ATTTATTTTCTTATTTGATATTTCTTTTGGTAATCAAAAATTTTTCCCCCCCCCCCCCCCCCCCCCCCCCCCTTTTTTAGCTGTAGTTTTAGCCAAGATGCTCTTACGCAAACCACTTCCACACCTCGCCCTTGTCACAGAAAAGCACCTACGTACATAGTCATACACGCGAAGCTAAAACAACCTGTGCAGTCCCAAGCAGGACTTGTAAAAACCCAAGCCCTATAGATGCGACCCCGAAGCCGAGAAGACAAATGAAAGTCCAATAGCGCAGGTGGTCTCTCCGATCGTAGAAAAGCGTGCTGAAATCATTAGGGCTCTGAGAGTCCATGAACTCATTGATGTGAAGGAGCTTATGCCCAAGCATCGGGAAACTAACACCGATCGAATAGTTGGCCCGCAAGGGAGGCGATGCGAGATAATCGAAAAGGGGGTGGTGGTGCCACCCTTTGGAGCCTTTCCCGCACATACTCTGCAGTATACGGTCAGATGCTACATCTTTTGGCCATGTATCTCGAAGCAAGGCCCGTGCCGCTCTCCGGGAGTTTCGATCCTGGCTGAAGATTATGCCGAAGGTTATTAAAATTTCTCGACAGAAGTTATCAAAGGGTCTATCCACGACTTGATCATCGTCATTTTGCGACAACCCACTATCGGTGTCCTTTTCATGGCTGATAAGACTTCTCCGTGTCAGTACTTCTGTTCTCAAGTTTGTCTGGTAGTCGTCATACCTGTTCAAGAAGTCTGTCGAGTCCGGCGACGACAAACATATAAGAGCGCAGTATACTGGGTGCTTAAATAGCTTGAGAACGCGCGTTCGTTCGTCAAAGTCCAGGTGCTGCACTGAGGAGTCTACCCACTCTAGCTTCACTTTCCCAACCAATCTCAGATTTGAGAAGAACACATTCGAAGCGGTAATCGAGGCCTTGGTGCCGACGGAGGACCTGGAGTCGGCAACAGGAGTTACTGAGTGTTGGCGTGGAGCTCGCTGCCCAAAGCACGCCAGGAGCTGTGGAAACGAGAGCGCTTTCAACTCGTCGTCGATCGCAGCAGAGCTTGGATACACTGGTTGACTCCTAAACCTCGTAGAGACTAGGTTCATTGAGGACGGATACATTGAAATCGTTTTGGGAGTCTGTGGCGGTCTAGACTTGTAAAGCAGTGTAACCCAGCCACATATGAGGAATATGGACTGGCAACAGCTCGTCAGATTCTCATCATCATCAGACGCTAGCCCATGGGCTTGTTGAAGCTCTTGAGCGATTCTGCCAAGGAAACTGCTATTATCCGCAGAGCAGGCCAGAAGAGCGATCCAGTGAATCAGTTTCCGAACAGATTTGGCGTCGACCTTGCCTTCACTCCCGAGAATCGGGCTGAGAGTGTTAAGCAAGTAGCTACTTTCTATTGAGAGCTGGTCTTCCAAATGATTGTCAAACCAGTATAGGCAGTGACGATATAGTAACCTTTGTTCTGTAGTAGCATCGCGATGTATTGTGAAGATTGGGACTTCAACTTCGTTTAGCTGCATCATCTGCTGCCAATAATACCAATGGCAACTATAAGTAGGTAGAGTGCTTGGGGACAGTGCAAGATACTAAGAATTACAAAGTGCAAGTACCAAGGTGTTGTGTCACCTTCTCCAATTTATACAGAGCGGGAATTGCGCAGTCGGGTAGGTACATGGGAAACGCAAACTTGGGTGGCGGTGTTCTAGCCCCGAAATCAACCCCAAAGTTGGGCATCAGGCGTTCCTATGTAAGGTATGTAAGGTGGAGCGTATTAGGCTTTCTCAGCCTTGGGCTCAAGGTAGCATTTTAATTTCAATAGAAAGTTCAACTACCTGGTTTAGCTTTTAATTACACTAATAACTAGTCACTTTGATATCTTGTAATCCTCATCGGACAAGAGCGGATGACAGAAACAAGTCGAGCATAAGTCTCACTTCATTTGCCTTTTCATTTGCCTTTCTTATCTATTAAATGGATTAACTAGGCTATCAAACAGTTTATCTTCATCATCACCCTCATCGAATTCCTTGCCCTGTCGTAACTTTCGCAGAATAGCCTCAGCTTCACCTCGCAAGTGCTCAGGGTCCTGCATATCTGCTAGCGCAAGGACTTCCGGCGATTCTGGGCACCTTTCTAGAACCAGAGCTTGCCTTCGAAGAATACGGGCAGCTTCTCCGCTGCCATCTTCCCCATGTAGTCTCGCGATCTTGAGACCTTTGCTAAGTGCATCCCTAGATACGTCTTAGTCTATCGAATCCTTCGTGTACACACTTTACTGTTTCCATCAGAGGCGCTGAATGGTGAAATGGAGTCTTACATTGCTTCATAATAGTTCTTCAGCTCCGTCTCGATGCAACCAAGCTTGAAGTACGTAGCTGCTAATTTCATATCACTCGGTGTCTGCTTTAGCGAAATACGAAGTGCATGCGTCAGGCGTTGACGAGCAGCTTCGTAGTTCCCCCTGCCCAACTCCGTACCACCCCATGTGAAGTTGATTCTATAGCGTTTCGTAAGCTCAAGCACCTTGAGATCCAGAGGGGTTTCTCAACATGACATGTGTCGAAAGACTACCAGGTATGCGTACCTTACTTGTAGATAGTGCTCCGGTCCAAACGGCGCATAGAGCTCCTCGCACAGCTTGTATTCACGAAGAGCGTTTTCGACGTCGCCTTTTGCAAAAAGCACACGTCCAATACACAAATGAACCAAACCTAACATTGCTTCTACGCCTGGGCGACCGGTACGTATTGCCTGGGCTCGGCGGTAGTAATCCAGAGCGGTGTCGAGGTGTCCTTCGGCGAATTCTACGGAACCGAAGTTGCCGTATGTTGCTGCAAGTTCCTCACTGTCAGGCGGCAGTAGTCGTTCGCGTATAGCACAGCTTTCCTCCAACACCCTTCTCGCATTACCAATTTCATTCAATTTGAAATAGTTGCTCATGGCGGAATTCAGCAGCTGCGCATAATCAAGGCTATCTTTGTCGCTAGATGAATTGATCGCTATGTCAAACATCTCTAGACCTTCGCGTTCAGAGCCACACTCGTATAGGTGCCTGTTTTCGGGGGTTCAGCAGTGATCCACTATATATTTAGGACCGGACAACACGAATGCTTACGTACCATACACAAGCAGGCATAAGATGTTGAAATGTTTGTGGCGCAACAACAGCATGGCCGGCTCGCTTGAGCCAAGCATACAAGGTGGCGAGGGAGGTTGCATGATGAATATACGTTTGGCATGCTGTCCACTCGTTATACATATGATGACCTTTCTTCCTCGCAGGGAATGCATGGTCAACGAGACTTGATGCAGAGTCGAAGATCCGCTGCCTCTCATCTTGAGACAGATCTATCTGGAACAGAAACGCAGTCTGGACAAGTCGATGGATACTCAGCTTGTCTCTTCGTCGATCTATTAGAGACAGCTCCCTTAGAGCCTCAATCGCATCGTCTAAGCTATCTTGAATTAGTAATGATGACTGTAGGTAGAACGAGGACACTACTAACTCATCTTCATCGGCACAGAATGAGAGATCTCCCTCCGCAATCGACGAATTGAAGATAGCCTCCGGGATTTCGTCCGGCTGAAGGCAAGAGATAATTCCCAAGAGCATGAAAGAGTGTTTATTCTTGCGTGCCTCTGCGAAGCTCATTTCCCAAAGTGTAGCAAGCGTATGACCGGCGATAGCAGATGAGTTGGCTTGGATATTATGCGGCCGCCGTCGATACTTTCCAGCAAACCTTGAAATATCATCCTCTAGCTGCTGATGTTTGATCAGTGCGACAATCTGTTGAATTCCAAGTACAAGGCCGTCCAGCTGGGCAAGGAGATAGTCGATGGCTGTTTTCTCTTCCACTGACATAGTAGAAACGATACTGGTGACTTCTTGGCCCTCTTCTACTACATTCGGAAGCTCGTGCAACAGCCTCAGAAACAAGGTTTCGGAATCTGAGGACGATAGGGGCTCAACCATTCCGAGCCTCCTGCGACACAATTTTGCTTGTGCAGGGTAACGTGAGGTGACGATGAGCGAGCCTTGGCATCCAAACGGAAGAAATCTCTGTATTTGAGCGTATTTCTCCATATTGTCGAAGATCAAAAGCCAGCTTTTGTCTCGGGGAAGTTAGCACAGATTCAAACCGCAACAATGTGTACTCACCGGTTTCCCTTAGCCACTGATGAACCAAAGTCAAATGATGATCGGGATCACCATCAATTTTCACATCAGGAAGACCAAGCGCCAAGGCAATTTTTGTGAAGCCTTGTTGCAAGTGTCCCTTAGACTCGGCATTGACCCAGAAGATGGCGTTGAACTCGTCGAGATGCATTTTGGCATATCTAACTGCTATTTCGGTTTTGCCGACACCACCAATACCACAGAGTGAGTAAATCCTCAAGGGATCTTTCTCGCTGTCAGCATCCTTGAAATATCGGTGCATAGTAGCCAAGAGGTCAACATGCCCAACAAAATATTCTGTTCTCTCTTCGGGTAGCAGATAGATTGGAAAAGAAGCTGTTGCAGCCAACGCTCGTGGTTCAAGATCGGTCCTTTGAAGATGTGATTCGATGACGTTTACCCCTAGCTCACGCAAGCGACCTAGGTAGTTGATGGAGTCGTCTATGCGACAGAGAGTTTCTTGAAACAGTTTTTCAAGATTAGGTTGATCTTTCTGAAATAGGTTGGCTTGACTTCGTTAGCGTTAATTGCTTCTTCTTGTTCAAGATGAGATAGACTTACTCTGTGGTGGGTGGTCGCGCGTGTACTTCACGAAATGGCTCCATAGTAGAATGAGATCCTCAAAAACATCAATGAAAGTGAGGCAGATCTCGTCATTTTCATCGGAAGAAATGCCATTCGAGTATCTTGCCATGAGAGACAAGCGCCGTTTGATTTTGGCGATCATGCTCTCCAAGCTCCTTGATGCGTTGGTGCCGTCCCTACAAAGCTTTTGGCCGGCATTAGTATAGCATTGTTGACAAGGTCAGCTTCGATAAGAGCATGAGTTTGTCAGCTTACTTTGACACAAAGGTACAACAGTCCGAATGCCAACGTCGACGTCACTGCATTAGGCATCATTGCAGCAATGAAAATTGCGAGCAGCTTCTTAATTGAGCTCTGGGTTGGGCGGATTTGATCGACAAGTCTGGATAAAAGAGTCTGTTTGGCCTCGGACTTTGCCGCGTTCTCCCGTTGAAGCTCCTCTAGACCTTTAATGAGTTTCTCGGGGGAGTCATATCGAACTACTGTTTCGTAATCGGTCTTATTGAGCGTTTTTTCACATCGCTCGAGGGCTCTAGCCCAACGATTCGCATAAGTGGTCCTGGAAATGTTGTCCACCGCTGTCCTCTCATCTCTCCCATCTTTTGAACTATTTGCCTCTCACATATTAGTGTTCGAGACTGGCGAGTAGAAGCTAGGTGAGCTTACAGCTCTCTTGACGAGACCGATGAACCGCCGCTGCTACCGCGTCGGCTTTCGAACTCTTCCCGCGTTTCAGCGGTAGCCATGAAGGAATGAACCACTTGCGGTGTAATCGGTTTCGGCTATCGTGTTGAGGAAGTGTCCAAGGATAGAGAGCTTTTCGGTGTTTACCTGTCGGTAGAGACGACCTGATAAGCCATCTGTGGCATTCATTTGTCGAAACGATGCTAAGATGATTGACACTCGTTGCTACTACGGCTGATAGGTGGTTCTATGGTCTAGGATAAAATGCACTTTTAGATGCCCAACAGCTCAAGTACCGAATACATCTAGAGGTACCTGGGAGGACTCAAAATACCCCAAATATGCTGGGCCCGGGGTATTCCCCATGGGTGCCTACCTCGCCTACCTACTAGCGCTGCGTGGCCCGCGAACCAAGAACGGAGACGAGGAGACTGTTGCAGAGCCTCCCTAGTTCTTAATCTGGTTAGGCGCACTTCCTGGACGCTGGGATCCTTGGAAGCTGGAAAGTTGGAGACACTCGACACCACACTGAGCAATATGCGTAAGCCTCACTCAAGGCTAAGCGAGGTTGATTGTGTGTGGCCTCATGACAACCTCTTGTCACTTGCAGCGAATGAAGGCAAGACGATTGTGAATGCACGCATATGCCAGGCAGCTGCAGGGACGTAGAGAGGCAATAATCATGCTCTGTGCTTATCGACCCTGCTACAGCCGACGTCAATGACACCACATGTTCGTCGTGGACTAGGTACTTCAAGCCCGAGGATATTTCAACATCGGCCAGCCTGCTTATACCACATGATCTGACATGAATTCAAAAAGGCGGTGTGGTAGGAGAAAAAGGCGGCGGCGATGTTGTATTTTCCATGGCTTTTGATGCAGTCTCGGAATAGAGCCATCAGCCTTCGCGTGAGTACTAGTCAACTCACCCGCTGCCCTTTCAGCGAATGCTACGTTCAAGATCCTTTGTGTAGATTACATAGGGATCACATGTGTGCCCAGCTAGAGGCACTCTAACGAAAGAAATAATTTGCCTTCTGGCTATAATTGTATTGAGATTAATGAGCGTACAGCGGCGTAGTGTGTTGCATTCCAAAAACGACCGTGTCCCCTGCTCCTAGATCCTCCCGCGAAATATCCAATGACCTCGATCTGCCGGGATCCATCTACCAACATCATCATAGACAGGCAGTCCCGCAGATTCAATAATGGCCGGGGGTGCCGCGCTGGCTAAGCTCCAGCATCGCCCGAGTCGGCAAAGTACATCAGTCCTGGGTGGACACCGACCATGACTTGGTCTCCGTGCGAGGCGGGTTGCACGACGAAATTCTGCTTCCAAGGTCGATCTCGAACGTCTCCATCGGATAGTTCGTGATGAGCGAGAACATTGCTCCCGCCTTTATCAAATTGAAAGGCTGGCACTTCGGCAAACGAAGACATTTGGGATAGGGTTGTGGGCGGAGCTGGTAACATTGTGTTTGTGTGAAACGATATAGATCTCGTTGCGGTTTGATGAATGTTTTGAGCAGAAATTTTGGAAAAAGGATTCAAGAGCGGTGAAATCACTCAGGTTGAAGTCTGAACTCTTTTCAAAACAGGGCAAGAGTGGCTTCTTATAATTAATGCTCGGGCCCGAGAGGAATGGCGTGTGATGCGTTCCCCTGTACTAGGTAGGATGCAATTTTGTCTCTTCACATGAGAAGTATCGGCGTTTGAACCTCTATTGGTTATATTGGATCTGTAACGGCTAGATAACAAGTAGCATATCCAATGAGTGTCATTTAAGTAACTGCATTATCATATTTCTCTTGTAGAATCTGGTTTGACTGGCCGCTATTACCTATCTGGGAAAATAGTGACTCGCTTCCTTCTACCTTGTACTCCTTGAGAATTTGATTCGTCTCACAACACTACGTACAGTTTACAGTCAAGAACCTCAGAAATTAACATTCTGCACCAGCACCACTGTTAGGCTACAGAGTGACCTAGCGATCGAAGCAAAATTGATGTTCAAAATACAGGCCAGGGAATGCCCCATGCTAGAGCTTCGTAATAACAATCGCGCGCGTCTCTACGCTGTACCGAGTCGTCAGGCTGATGTCCTTTTCAGGAGAGAGGAACGATGAATGTGGACAAACTACACACAAATGTCAATCTCCGAAGTCCAGCAGAACTATGTGCCAAGGAATCAATCTATTTTCAACATTTTGGACTCACATCTAGCCTGATTTCCCGCTGCAGAATCGTAGGTCACGAAGACCCAGGCCTCGTCACGAGTCATTGAGTTGAGATAGTACCTAAATCGAGCAAAGTCAATCGAAGTTAGTAGGCCAGTCAGACCGATGTACCTATGTGGTCTTACCATTTCTGATTTGGGTTATGGTGCAAGTAGAAGGATTCGCCACTGCGATCCGGACGGATTCGGTCACAGGCTACTACATCAGCTGGTTCAATAGACCTGAAGTCGCAGAGGGTCAAAGGCTGGTCCTCGGCAACAGGCAAAAGACTTCTCCAGAAGCTTTTGAATACCATTAGCCCATGTGAAACATGTAAAGCTTTTCCAAACTGCAGCTGCATACTTTACCATGCGGAAGCGGTACCCCGGTCGTAAATATCTCTCAAGATCGTTCTTGATAAGCTGATTCTTTATCATAATTGGCCCACTGACGAATGTGTAATCTGTCGAATTTGAAGTCAATCATATGTACAGGGCTGTTCATCGCGAGAAGGCCATTCTACCATTGTGAGCTTCTGAAGTCGGGTTAGCATATGGAAAGCTCATTGCACCTCTTACGTACCTTTGATAGTGGTATCAATTTCCAGCTGGTTGTTTAGGTTCCACACGCTGTTCTCTCGGTGGGTTTTGCGTTGCTGGAAAGCGTCTAGTGAGATAAGGTCACCAATTTGACGGAGAAAATACCTTGAAGTCCCAAACTAGAATGTGTTCAGCGTCAAAAAACGTGGCGAGGGCTGATTGAACATCCTTTTGATACTCCCTGATATGTTCTAGGGTAGTAAAGTCGACAAGCGCTGGTGGGTGATGAACAACCTTAAACCCGCATTCCTCGAGTTTAAAGTCGTCCTCTTGACCACGGATGTCAGTAATGTCAAGAAGTTGTGTCTGAAACTCAAGGTTGGTGACATTCTCTGGATCTTCATCTCTGTCAGGCTGAGAATACATGAAGAATGGTTTCTCAGTGGTCCACTTGTCCGACCGTCTGAGAAACCTGACTTGGCCGTGAGTGTCTGCCATGGTTGCGTGATCAACAGCGAGAAATGGACGAGTATGGCTAAGATGTGGAAGATGGTGACCACATAGATGTTACTGGATTTCCGGCCATTTATCTAATTTCACAGCCGTACCAACAGAAAAATAACTATAGTTTAAACCCCTATGCCCCCTGGGCGTTGAGGGCATCGGGGACATTGGTCAAGTTTGGCTTCCCAATCGAGGCGAGTGACAAAAAAGTAGGCACACCCACCCAGCTTACCCTAATGACAACCTTAGCTTTACAACGTTCGAAGTTACCTAAGCAATCTAGTAAAACAGGAAATATTATAATAATTACTTCATTAGTAAACTGGTCTCTGCTAAGTGTTTTAGTAAAAGATTTGTATTTTTAACATTTTATTTAAGAATTATATAGCTAGTTAGAAAAGTAGAGTTTAGGGGCTGTAACTACTTTTTTGTCACTCGCCTCGCCAATCCAACGAGTCTAGTCGACAAAGCTCAAAGACTCTTCGTCTACATTATTTTTTCTTTTTGACAATAAGTGCGGCTTTCAAAGTGCAGCAGAGTGCAAAGGATTCTTGCAAGCCTTGCTTTTCCTGCCTTGCTCAGTAGGATTCCACTCATGCTCTTGTGGCGGGTAGGATCATGCCGGGTGTAGCGGAACTGCACATTTTGGTGGGGGTCTCCGAGACAAAGAGCGGGGTCAAAACGCCCGACAGCCTACAACGGGATGTCGGGATGTCGAGTGGCGGAGGAACATGGGTCCCTTCGGTTTCAAGGCTCGAGGTACTGATCTTGTACTGTAGTACAAGGGAGCCACCTACCTACTATGTAGGCCTAACTACGAAGAAGGCTTTCGAGCTTTGAACTTGCATTTCCCCCGACAACCCATCCCTTGCACTTGATCAGTCCGATGCCCCAAGGTGGTGAAGAGAAATCCTCACAAGCACGGCCATGATCTGAGGATGAATCTATCCATGAGAAGTCTATCGAGAAATCTCCCAAGATCCCCAAAGCTTTTCCCTGTGCTCTCATGTGCACTGGCCATGGCGTGGGTAGTAAACGGTGAGTATACCTCCTCTTCGCCCTTCGACGACCAAGAGCTCAGACTTCGCTTGAATTAGTTCTTCGTCAGCGACCTGGCTTCAACCCCTTGACGGCGACTTTGGCCGACGTTTCCCGATTGTTGGACGAAGGGAGTCTAACAAGCGTTGATCTCGTCAATGCATATATTGGGCAGGTCGAAAAGCACAACAAGAACGGCGCTAGACTGAACGCTGTTCTTTCGCTTGTTCCGGAGCAGACTGTTCTTGAAAGTGCACGCAAGTCGGACCAAGAAAGAGCCGCAGGCAAGCCCCGTAGTCGTTTACATGGGATTCCCTTCCTAGTCAAGGTACCAAGCTTCTTCATCCCTATGCAATCCGGTCGGATCTTAATAACCAAGCACCCAACAGGATAATTTGTGGACGGACAAATCGTTCGGCCTCCCAGTCACATGTGGAGCCCTTGCCTTCAAGAACACGTTTGCAAAGCAGAATGCTTATATTATTCAGACGGTTTGACTGTGCCTTTGTGTTGCACCTAGCCCTACTGACCTGTGGCAGCTTCTTGACGCTGGCATGATCCTCCTTGGGACAGCCAATCTCTCAGTAAGAGCCACACCCCTCAAAGTAGTCAATGCACGATTAACCTGTGTGTTAGGAACTCGCCAATGCGAAAAGTACCCAAGTATGGGGCGGCTGGTCTACACTAGGAGGGTACGTAGACCTCACATATCATCTATTAGACCTAAACTAAGTGACAAGACAAACCCAATCACCCTATGTTGATGGGGGAATAGACCCGACCGACACACCTCTGGGCCATAGCGTAAGCAGATAACTTCCTCATTCTGGCGGTTGCACGTGCTGATTTAGCACCCGACCAGTGTCCAGCAGGTTCTTCATCCGGAAGTGCTGTCGCTGTGGCAGCAGGAATGGCGCCTATAGCAGTGGGAACTGAATGTGATGGATCCATCATGATGCCAGCCGATAGGGCATCCATATTTTCGATCCGATTATCTCCCACCCCTACATTGACTTCGGGCTTGTTGAGATATAATAGCCTCGGGGATTCGGTGGGATGGATGGTGAAGGGCGCGGAAGATGCTGCCCTCATGCTCAATGTTGCTCTTGGCAATGATGACTATACTAAATACCTAGGTCAATCCTTCAAAGGCCTTAGAATCGGGTTACTTGACCCAATGAAATGGCAGCCAGGTACGGCTATTGTCAGACCCAATGATGAGTACAATGAACAGTTCGTAAGTCGACCCTCTAGCCCACAGGCAAGGACGACAGCATTATGAGCTAATCGTCCAATCTAGATGTCTGAGTTCAATGCCATGGCGTCGAAGCTTGAGTCTGCGGGTGCTATCATCCACCGTGATATTGATCTTAGACGATGGACTGGAGAAGACCAAGACATGTGGAGAGCTCTCACCTGTAGGTATACACTTCGCAAAGCATATCTCAGAGATTGGAATGTTTGAATCTAACTGTCATCAAGATCATGACTATGGACACGGGTTCGTGGAATTCACCGATGGTCTCATTGACCCGACCGTTCGAACCATGTCCGACCTGATCGACTTCAACAAAAAACACGCAGAGCAAGCTATGCCGCCGGGTAAGCTGTCCCTTTAAAACACGGAGGCCATACTCCCCAGATAGCTGATGATACTTGGACAGACAATCCCGGTCAAGACATCCTCGAGAAGACTGTCGCCAACATGAACTCGCTTTCGACTGAGCAATACGAGGAGTACCAAAGTACTATCCTTAATCACACCAGGGACATCGGCGTTGATGCAGCCATGAAACGATACGACATCGACGTTATCATGGGTGCGCCTACGGGACGGTCAGCTACAATCTATGACGCTGGAGGATATCCCGTTGGTACGCTGCCTTTGGGATATGCCAAGTTCAATGGGCGCGCCTTTGGGCTCTCCTTTGTAGTACCACGAGGGAGGGAAGATCTCCAGGTCAGGGTTATGAGTGCGTGGGAGAAACTTCTCAACCCGCGGAAGCCGCCGCCCAAATTGTAAAGGGAGACGGGGCCATACATGCTGACGTTAGTCTTTGGTGGCGCGCCCCCTGCGCTGTCCTTCTCACACTTTGCTTCCGTACTTCTTATGAGGTAGACATTCTCCCATCAGGGACATTATGTATCATAATCAAATAGTCTGCGCGATTCCGCTCTTGAATGGCTAATCATGAATCCGGATACTCTATAACACAAATCATTGGAGTTATGTTCTTGCCGTTCTAGAAAGCCTCGTATCACAATCTAGCTCTTCACACAACCCCCTTTCGATCCCAGCCCAAGAATTCTTCTGCAATGTGCTAGGTTGTCCTATGGGCAGGTAATAATGCTGCGTTATGTCGTTACTTTAAATGATAAAGCGGAGGCCTGGCTGTTACGAAGTAGGGGGTAGAACCAACAAGGCCGCCGTACCGCCACGGGCTACCATGGTAAGTTAGCATAGGCCCTCGAACCGGGTTCCTAATGTTGCGTATCCCCAGAGCAATATATCTATGCTCAATTTTTCAAAAGGGTACCCGGCGAGATCGTACTCTCTAGATCGCTTGCCAATTATAGCCAACTGTTGTCAGTACTCGATTCGCCTCGACAGCTACGAGCTTGCAAAAAGGGGCTTTAGCATTAGCCTCTCAATACTCACGATGTTTCTCCTGAATGCGAAGATACTGTATAACGGCCGTGGGGCCGTAAGCCATGTGTTGGGTAGGGATTATACTGTCACTGAGTTCCTGGAACAGCAGGCATTAAACGATACCTACCACCGCGATCTACGAATGGTCTGACGTACAATAAGGGCTGAAGGTTTAGACACGTCGAAATCACAAGGCGAGGTATCCTAACTCAAGGACATGTCTGGAAGCTTAGACCTCCCATCGATACCTCTAGGTTTCCAGAATCTCCAATGCTTGGTAGGTAAAGGTAGCCTGAGCGGCCCAGTCCGACGCAATCTTCAGCTCCTAGCAGACGAGCTACCGTATAAGCCGTCTGTATGAGAAGGTTTGTCGCTATATTGACTATAGCGACATAAACTCATTTGCGAAGGAGTATCAGTGCCATATGGCTGAGGAAGTGGCAGCAGCGGTAAGCAAGGGCAAGTGCGTACGATTGGCGGCGCTCTGGAACCCAGCCCAGACGAACACGAACCGTACCATGGCATCTTTGTCTGCGGTCGTGGACCCGATTATGTGTTCACGGCTTTCCAAGAGGGCGAGGCTAGCGATCGTCAACACCTTTCAAATGATATCAACAAATATGTGTCGATAGGAGTTAATTTAGTGACGGATAAGGGTGACATGCCGTTGTTATATACCCGGTGGTGGCTCTATGGCCTATACGTCTTCTCTGCAATTCCTAGTATCGATGTTGTGTTACCCTGGCCGAGTAGCATGTAGTTGTAGGCGAGGCATTATCGTACAGTACAAAGAGAGCTATTGTTGTCCCTTTCCACTTCGCGCTTTCAATTATTATCTTGCGAAAGTCATATATCATATTAGCGATTGTAGCAGGTGATTGCAACCTGCCCGCCTGACTACGAAATATCTCCCTTTAATAAAGCTTTCGAAAGTGTCAAACGGACTTAGTTGATTAATATCGACTTCTCTTGCAGGAGTCTAGTTCTAAATCAAGGAGCAACTTCCAAGTTGAGATCGAAACTGGCTAGGAATTTGAGATTACCCTCTTTCTGACCCGTTAGTTTCAAGGAAAAATCGATGCCGCAAAGACTGAATAGAGGTCATACGATCTGAACATGGAAGGGGTCACCTTGTGTAGCAAATGAATCCTGCTGCAACAAAATTCTGGGTCATTTCATGCATCCTCATGTACTCTTAGCCGTGTGGCCATCAAGACCGAACGTAGTTTACTATGGTCAGTTACGTACTACACTGAGACTCTGTATAGTCTATCCCAGGCACGAAGGCTTTAATACCTTCGTGCAACAAGTATTATACAGTATCTCCATTTCAGTTCTCACATCAATATCCTCCCCCCCCAACCCCCCCCAACCCCCAGCCCTAAATCTCTAGGGAAATCCTTCAGTTTCCTTCTATGAGTCAAAGAGTTTCTGTCATGAGTGGGTGTCTCTAGAGTGAAGCTGAATCGTAAGTAGGCAGCACCTAGGTAGTAATAGATAGGCCCAATGTATGGGTAAGGGCTTAATAATATTGACTCCTAGCCTTCCTAGCACTCAAGGGCCCTATTGCCTTCATATATACCCGACTATTGAGCTATATCCACACCTTTTGGGTAACTTCTGTCCTAGTGCTATATTGCTCATGGCAGTTTCATCCCCTCTAGTGCGAGATTGCTACGATGTATGCAGCTTGAGACATAACTCATACTATAATTTGATATTGGAAATGCATCTTACCGAATACTTTTCATGACAAGCTCTATGCTTAACTATTCTACGATTATAAAATTGACTCTAATTCTCAGCCAATTCGTCTCCAATGTCTAGCCCATCCACAATGCTGTCTGTTTTATATTTTAGGTCGTGTATTTATCAATGCTCATCTATAATGCCTTCTCCGTCTTTATCACTTTTCTCTCTGTTTAAACATCTGGCCGCATTGGGAATTCTGCCGTTATGGCCACTGCGTTGCGTTGTATTCAATTATCATTATATAGCAAGATTTCTTCTCATTTAACCATCGAGTTAAATAGAGAGTGTCCTCCGAGTTCACCTATATATGGGTATAGTCTTGAGTGTTGTATATAGTGAGTAATACACGCCATTTTTAGAAGGTTTTCGAGGCAACAACTTCATATTTACTTCTGAATGTATCTTGTCGTCCGTGCAAGCGGAGTACCAAAGATAGAACAGCATACTTCTCGTTTTACGTTTACAAGCAGAAAATGTAGTTCGCGTTTACCAGCGGGGGTAGTGCAAGCTGTTATAAGCTGTTCATGATCTTCGAAAGATATACAAGCAATATGGCAAATTAGTTATATAGACTTCAGTTTATTATACCACCCAATGAGACCTATGCGGTCAAGGCTGGCAGACTAGTTGTATATATCACCTTAGCCTCCACGAAGCCTCCGATACCTGCCAAGATTCTACATAGCCAATCAGAGCATATTAGACATGTATTGTAGCGGTTTTGATACCAAAGGTACCTAATGCTATACCAGATATGCATAGATCACCGGCAAAAGCTAGGCTTTTGTATGTAGATCTGTTAGCAAAGCTAGGGGATACTTAAGACCCGATTAAAAGTGTCCCGGAGGTTTCGTGGAGGCTAAGGTGATACTCAAGTCAAGCCACCAAGGATTTTTGCAGCCCTAGGAGATCATTATCATCAATAGCATCAAGTCCAAGCCCCGACCTCTGCTCTTGTTATACCTGGCTCATAAATACTACTTGCCTTATATTCATTACACTACAATGTAGCGTCGAATCTTACCGGGTTATTTCACTGTATGAAGAGCTTGTCACATTGGTGCCGAGTCAAACCTCTGGTGGGTTTTAGGGTTGTTGATTTGGCGCTGGAATAAGCTTTTCATACCGTGAAGAGCAGTTAACTAGTGTATTTTGATACATTGTATGTGATATAAATGTGTTTGTCGTTGAACGAACCCTGTATGGATTATACAGTTGTTAGCTTGATAGCCCTGTCGATTAGCCTACTATTCATCATGAGCGTCAAACCAGACTCATAAGCGGTTTGGCTCTCGAACCATTCATGTAACTGATATGTTCCTGAACGATGGCTCGAGGCAAGGGGGCGAAATCTCTAAAATCTTACGTTTCAATATGGGAATTCATATCTTATGAGGAGGATTATTCCAGAGAATGCGCCTGTAGTCGCTAGCGATCCGCAGGTTCGTCTGTACGCGTGCGAAAACTACCTCACTTAGAGTTCTGTAGCACCCGCGCTTACCCAACTATAACTGGTGCAATTTGGTGAAGTACATGACATGGGAATCAGCCTCAGCTTTGACTTTGCACGAGGGCCAACTTCTCCGGCATTTGAAGACACGAACCATTTGTTTAATTACATTCCTGCGATATCAGGGAACCAGCCATCAAACTACCCTATTGGTATTGATCAAAGAAGAATTTGTTTATGACCGAACCCTAGGTATAAGAGTAGAGCTCGTAAAGGGTTCTTACAACGAGTAACATCATTCAGCACCCTCACACTATAGCGTACTCGACACTAGAGATCTCGGTCAGAGCTATTCAGAGAGAGAAGGGATTCAGATGTAGAAGAAATTGGTGAAAATGCATTGAAATCGCTATACTAAGAAATGATGAATATGTCCAGTTTCGATATACAATTACAACCAATGGTTGATGTCGTAATCTCATGATGCACGCTGTGAAACTTAATCTATCTTCTAGCCGGTCAAACTAACAACCCTCCACCATTATCGTACACCACAACGCTCTATTACTTTTCAATAGCTTCCACCCCACCGAAACCAGCCGAGAGCCACGTGTGATGGAAGGGATCGGCGCTCAAAGTGTTCTCAAAGTATAGGCACTTCGAAGTAACGTTGATGAATCCGAATATGATTTAAGTTGAACTTTTTAACACAGCACCCGCCACGGGGTCAGTACTAGCAGTATTGGATAGGTAGGCCGTAGGATTGTCCCCTCTTTTTAACCAGCAATTCCCGTAATTTGACGGGATATACTTGGTCTGGTCCGTCCGATACGTGATTGCTGTGCATTCGTCCTTGCCACTGAAGCTATTGTGTGCCGCGCAAGCTTGTAAGCAATCGTGGAAAGAGTATGCGATGACAGCACCGAAGTCCCCCCCGGAGTAGTCGACGTCGCACGTAGGCTTGAACGTCCACGACTTATCGCCTAATGTTATTGCCATATCATTGTCGAGGCCGCCTGGACAATCCAGCTTTACCATCCCAGTGGGAACAACTATGATCCCTGTTGTTGAACTTGGAGATCCTGTCGCAGTGACCGTGGCTGTTACTGTCGTCGTTGCAGCAGCCACATTGCTATCGGGAGCCACATGGCTATTACATGCGCTGTTGTATAGTAAAGACACAGTTAGGAAAACACTCTTTGGTCGTCATTTGAGCTCCTCGTAATGGCCAAACTCACCTCTTCGCATTATTAACAGCTATTGAGCCACCAACGCCACCACCCACGGCAGCAACGATGATAACCACGGCCAACGCGACAGATAGTAAGAAGGTTGTCCGTCTTACTCCGCAAACAGTCGGCTCTTGAACGGGAGGGGAATAATATGGTGCTGGAGCCCAAGGTTTCGTCGGTTCGGTCCTCAACTCCAAGCCCGGCTGTGTATGGTCAACGATCTCTTTGTAAGAGTCGAACTGCGATGGCTGCGAATTCATGGCGTAAAAGTTGTAAACGAGCGTGTAGTGGTCGGTGGACAAGTGCGTACCCAATTGTCAGCGGGTAGCTGCCTCCTTGATCAACAACTCAGGTTTACAGGATCGGCAACGTATAAGCCCTCTCGTCGACTTGGCGGTTTTCCTGCGTTATACGACTCTTATGGATTGAACCATGGACGTCATAAATTGAACTTGACAGAAGCACTGCTAGAAACGAAGACGAAAATGCATTACACTACTAATCCAAAGAATTCTTGTCGAATTGGGTAGCCCAGGAATTATCAGTGAGCAAGCCGTTTCAGATTGATCATTCTAGGCTTCCGGTCATTTCTTCTTACCTTTCCTTTCTCGGCCCAGCTTATGTTGAAGCTGGACATCTCATTCGGTAAGTCCCCTTAGGACTAGCCAAGACCTTTTTCTGCCTTGTTGTCATACGTTTAGTGCGCAGATCTCACGCTTACTGCTGACATACATTACATTAGCCACTATTATTACCAGTATTAATAGTATCATCGCCGGCCCCCCGCTTGCGAACTTGCGATATGGTGGATCTTCACGCAGACAGGTGAGAGAAGATAAAAAGAAGTTGATGTCTGTTAATCTGGCCTAAATAGGGCTGAATTACATAGGTTTCAGCGCGGTAGCATCTTCTGGCAACCAGGCCGGCTCGATTCCCCACCGCATTTTATGGATGTGGCTGGAACGCCACTTAAATTTATACGAACCCGACCGCCAAGTCCTAGAAAGAGGCTCCGGTCAAGATGATCGAATCCAGCCATCGCAATGCAATATTCATTCCCTAGGACTTATCAAACAATTTCGATAAGATTACTTAATATCCAATAGGTACCACCCACATGTGTATATTAATAGAGGACGCCTGGTATGACAAGAAAACTCACTTTTACAAATCTCGAATTTGTTTTCATACACATTCCAACCATTTTATGTAATATCGTACCCAGTATTGAGGAAACAGACGAAAGATCGCAAGCTTCTGGATAGGCAATAGCGTCTAGGCTATCTAGTCTACAGCGGTAAACCAGGAACAATAGGTCCTGTCAGAGGATACTCCATACATAGTAGGTATGGGGATAAAGGTGTGAAAGAGTGGCTCATAGGTTGGGCAGAAGCATTAGCTTCGATACGGCATGGTCGAGTTTATAGTAGGTGGCCTGGATCAATCTTTAAGGGGCTTGAAGCATCAGAGGACCCCAGCAGCTCGCTAATGCGCGCTTGCGGCGCATGTTTGCATACGCCGTAAAGCGGAGATTGGAATTGACAACCAGGTACTACTAAAAGGATATCATGTAAGCGGCGCTTGCAGCTCCTAGCAATCGCTACTATTATCTAATTAGATCCTTGGCATGTGCCCACTGACTTTTACCTCTCTTCCGTAGGATTAGAATGAGTATTCGTAGGTGCAGAGTATTTGGGATGGTAGGGAGTAAGGGTGGCAGAGCTCACGATCAAGCGCTGCTAAATACTGGGGGCACTGCCGCATAGGGTTATGTAATATAAATATAAATATACGCTAACCAACTGAAGAGAAATATCGCGAAGCAAGTGTCCGGGGTACCTTGCGCTTTCATCACGGAGTTGTCCGTGTACGGAAGTGAGCCTGTAGGAATGGGTAGCTCAAGTCAGGTGAACCACCAGGGATGTGCATTGGTTGTTTACCTATCAGTAATGTAGAAATTGTGAAGTAGTTCTCACGATTACCAAATCTTGGCACGTTTGCCTCACAAGATAGGTAATACAAGACTCATGAGAGGATTTTACCTTTGGGTCGTTCAGGTTATCCTTGAGACACGAGGAAGGGCTTAGACGAAACCCCCGAGCTGCCAAGCATTTAATATCGCACAATGAACTATGCTGCCAAGGCGTATATCTGTTACCTGATATACTTGCTATTTCATGCTATTAGGGGAGTACTTTATGGCCGCCGAGAGCAACAAGAGCAGCATATGATATAAGCTGCCTTGCTATAATGCTTTTCTTCATGTGAGGTCAGTAGTTTGCTTCGAGTATTAGCTGCCTCGTTTGTTTCAGCAATGAACACGCATATCTTATAGGAAGAGAGCAACTCTGTTTAAGGTCCCTATAACCAAGCTGACCAGCGTAGACCGCTTATCCCTCTTGCTCGATGTACCAACATAGTAAGTAATTAGCTCTAACAACAGTTTTTATGTAGAGCTCCTGAACCAAAGTCCAACCTAGAACTAGGAAGACACCGACTTGAGATGATGATTTCAAGATTGCCCCTAACACCAAATCATGCCATACTTACTTTCCTGAGCGGCCTAGAAGTATGGCTATGCAGTAAAGTTTCCAATGCTGCGTGAAGTTTGAGACGTGAGGAATGAAATTGTCACATTACCATATAGTTGAGTGTAGACGTGCAGGGTCTCGGCGTGATAACGTCGTTCCTATCTTTTGGACAGCGTGGCGCTTTAGTATGCACTCCTAATCTATTCCGTGACAGGGATTTAAACTCCTTTTGCCTATTTACTTCTAGTTTCGGTTTGTCTCTAGTTCCCAACACATACTAGACCATTCGACTTATCGGCAGAATATCACACTTCGTATATGATATCTCATCAATCAGTTGACTAACTTGAATCTTGGTGGTGATATGTTCTTATGGATTTTAAAGCTCCTAAACTTTATTACAAATTTCAGAAAACTATTAAAGAAATGCATAATTTCATGGCCAATTTGATAGAAGACAGGGGAAACTCTTGTTGGAAAGCACTGTATGTTAGCAACACTTTTCAGACGAGGCGACTCCTGTAAGTAGTTGCGCAGTGACTTTGAAAACTTGAATACCATCACGTGGTGTCAGAGGTGAGTGGTACGGAGTGAGCAGTAATCCAATCACTGTTGGCAATCTAATATTGGTTCCTAAACCTTCCAACTCTCAATGGGGGTCATTCCATTTCACTATACTGCAAGAAGGCCTAGTATAACCACCCTTAGGGGGGATATGTGACTATAACCCCTGACACGTAGACTTTCCCAGGCTGAATACTAACTCCCGGCCATGTCTCCAGAATTCCCGCATCGAGACAAGAGCTGCGTTAGCACCATGTCCGAAGTATAGCCCGAATCTATTCTCATGCACGGTTGTTCTCCTAGCTTCACCCGTCTCTACCCTTCAGCTCAACACCACATCCCTTCCAGGGCATGCTATAATGAGATAACAATAGCGTAGAGTGGCGTAAGACCTGTCTTCTTGCAGTTCATTATCCTGCGTCGTTATTATAATAGATAAATCAAGTTATGCTATCTAAATTACTTAGGTAGTATATATATGCCACAAGCCCCTATGCAGTTTTAGGGGGTCTCAAAGCTAAATAGACGTATAGGGAATTCTATAGCATTTATTTGCGCCTTGTCTTAATATATAGAGGATAGAATCTCGAACATCACCAAAAATTCGAAGATGCTCCATCAAGTACGAAGATTTGCTAAGTTGATCAACCACAGGGAAAAAGGGTAATTTTAATCAAGGCTTCTTTCTTGTCACTTGGAACCTAGGCAGCAGCATCAAGATTAACTAAGCCATCAATGTAAGACGAAACGTATTCAATACGGGCAATCTAAACGTAGCTCCACACAAGCAGCTCATATCCATAGGTCTCGTACTATATTTATATTAGCGAGGCTAATACGAGAGGTCACATTCTCGCTTTTCCTCCCTTGTCTTCTCTTCGTCCTACTTCTTCTTCTAGATAATGACAAAGTCAAGGGAATGTAGCTTATCAAAATGGCCATATCGGCTCAACGCTACGTTAACGACTCGCAGCTCCCTATGAAACAAAGGAAAAATTCGACATGAAGGATTCTAGGGCAGAATCAATCAATCAAGTGAGTGAAGGGATGATATGAATGACTCACAGGAAGCTTACGTTATGAAGCTCAGCCGCACCACCTAGATTTGCACTTCTCATATAGCGAGCCTATAGAATCAAGAGATGGCATCATCAGGTAGATCACCGATGATCGACTGATTGTAAGTTGATTGTGGAAAGAATCATCACGCTAAGCTGTTTGCTGCGTCCTTGAATCAGATGTTCGGTCATCCGACTCGAATCGTGGGTATACAACTGTCCTTTGAGTCAACCTGGTAGAATCTTGGGTTCCGAGAATCGGTCATTATGGAGCGAGGGGCCATCGTGGTCTGCACTTATCATATTCCATTACGTTTGAGGAAGCACGTAGGTATATAAGATTTTCACTGGCACAACTTTAATGTCGGTTTCATGATAGCCGTCGGGTCGCCGTTCCAACACCAAGACAACACTGTATCCTATATAGGAAATTATACCCTGCAATTAGGTCAAATGCTTTGCTCTGAGTGGCCAAAATGCTAAGTACCTTGTTTGGCGTTGCATCAGCGGCTAAAGGAATACCAAGGATTGGTGTGCATATGGAAGTGGTGTAGTGTGGATAGGGGGTATGAGTCAGCAATGGATTTGGAGTTCGGAGTTTTTATCACGTAATTATACCTCTTCGTGATGGCTTCACTAATAACCGCTTAGTCTTTTAAAGGCGTGATACCTTTTTCTTAATCGAACGTTGAATTCGAAAAGCGGCTACATTGGCAATGAAATCCCTAGTACTAGCTACGGATTACACATTCATTGAAGTGTAGATGCTTATCTATTGATTTCATTAGGTGCAAGTGGTACAGGTCCTATGGGATCCTTTCAGCTTCAATATTCGAGAATCCTTGAATTCTTTTGTGTTTACTATTCCGGCGATTTTTAAGAGAAACTTTGTGTGTCATCTGAATATTCTAGGCAAAGGATTGGTCAGTTATTGAGAGACGATTGCGAATGCGAGCTTTGGAGGCAATCACCTCCACCTAAAATCTTATGTGAAGTTTGAAAAGGCATGATGGCCTCTTTTGAGCACATGCTACTTCAATACGACTATCGAAGCTGATGATCAGACGTAGATTCTAAGGGTTGTAAGCTGTATACACATGATTCGTAGCTCCGATGCTGACTGCGAAGCGCCGGCACTATTTACAGCGAGGTGCATGTCGTGTAAAAGCCGTAATGGGGATTACTTGTCAGGTGTAAGAATGGATTTTCGTGGGGGCTGATTGGTTAGTTTCATATCACATGGGCTGAATGAACTTGCGTAGTGTTGTATGGATGGATTACTTGCAGCTGCAAGGCTTTGAGGCTCTAGGCGGTGAGCTTTCACTCTAGCCAATCGCATCAACTTTGGCTGTCCAGAGTGGTAATAATATGATTAGCATAAGGGAGGCCTCGCCAGCTGATGTCATCGAAAATAAGCTCAGCTTTAACGAAGCGAGCGAGCAATGCATGTGTTGGCCGATCATAGCTTGTGATGTCTGAAGCATACCCGAGAAAGCCGACGCACTCCAATGAGAAGCTAGACGGCTAGAATGTAGGAGTGCGACCACTCGATAGGTTTACGTTTCTTGGAATGACGACACGCGCAGTGTTGATATATGGTACTGTACGCATTAATCGACCTGGTCGAGGTTACGGTAGTGCATGCATGTTAGGCTTCATGAAACCGCGTGGGAGCCAGGATGAGCGTACTTCATGCAGACAGTGACTGCACTCAATGCAGATGCTCCGCGGAGGAAGGTCGGAACCCTATATCAGGGGGTTGATTGGATACGGACATACAACCGGCGGAGTGGCGTGGGTGGACGTCTGCGGTTGTGGCACGATCCAATCCCTTCTCCGTGTTTCCGGAAACCCTGAAACCATGACTACAAGGTCTATCTGCTTCCGAGAGAGCCTGTTTAGTGGAGAGAAACGAAAAGGGCTGTTAGTGGTAGATGATCTTTTGCGTTTCAGCCTGGATCGGAAAGATTCGTCGTGTTGATCGCTCATATATCGTTTACTTCATTGGTGGGCCATTCGACCGGGTCTGGCCGTTCGCATGTTCCATGATCCCGTCGGCCGCCGCATTCCCAGGGGACAGGGGCGCGGATACTGCGCGGGGAATAAAGCACATGCGAATGCAACCGCAGCGCACGAACACCTGCACTCTGCCCAGGCTGCGGATCGCGAACTATGGCCGCCGGAGATATTTGACTGTACCGAGCTAGTGGGGCTTGGTGTCGAAGCAATTCCAGCAGCCCTGTCTGCCTACTTCATCGGCCTGGAGTCATACTGTTGGTAAATGTACTGCGCGCTGTGCGCAGTAGGTTTCCTTCCACTAAGAAGCATCGCGCTGTGGTTTAGTGCTGGCACCATCACTCAGTGTTCTCATCCGGTAAATCAGATGTTACAGACGAAACTGGCGCTCAAAGAATGAGGTCCCTGGTTGTGAATTCGGCGCCACATGCAAGCGTAGCAATGCGAATGGGTTGCTTCTTGTAACATACGACGAGTAGGTAAGAAGGGCCGGGAGGAGGGGTGATGCGTAACCATCCACCATGTATAGTCCCGATACCGTGTGTGCTTCATCTCTTACTCGTTGGCGCAAGATCAATTGATACCAGTTGGAGGGAAACGGAAAGAGGCATGCAGTGAAGACGGGCGTGACGGCTGTACACACCACGTACACAATAGAGTACAGTAATTCATCGTGTACTGTTGATGTGTATCTCCAGTGTGGACGTAGTAAGAACTGGTAAGGTGTGATGCAGTTAGCTGCCGACCGATCGCTAATGACCGACCCCTGAGGTTCAACGGTCTGCAGGGGGCCAACCGGGATCCCCTTGTTTGCTCATCCATTTGCGTAGACACCGATGCGGGATGGCCCCAACACTTTCACTTCCTAGCCAATCCACTTCCCCAATCGCTCAGCTGCTGTTGTATTGATCATGTAGGTACGTAGTGCATATGGGCGAATAGGTACAGGTATATACGATTTAGGTAACGAACGAGATGCCTTGACTGACGGTGGGATCTAAAAGGATATAAGATGCAAGACGAGATAGGAAAAAGCAAAAACAGCAGGAAGGAAAAGAAAAGAGAAAAAGCAACAGTAGTTGTACCAAGACACGACCTAGCCCCATGTATCGTAAGACGAACCAATAGTCTACGCAGCCTCAGCGGCGATGGTAGTGGTACCTTGGGAGTGAGTGTGATACTATTAAATGTAGTTAGGTGATGGATGGCGTCTCGTCTGACGCTGAGTACTACGGCGCGTACCGATCGGAGTCCATTCTTTGCAGACCCTAGCTTCGATACGATGCTGTTTGCCCTTGCATCCCGGGGCACTCGTCGTCGACGTGGTCGTCTCGTTTGCCCAACATCTCATGCTCGACTCGCACAACAGGCGGTATGGGAGAGTCACATGGCACAAGTGATGTAAGGAGATAACCACTTATCAAACAGACCATGATGGCGGCGGAATTGGCTAACGACGTATCCGTCCCTGGCTAGGTCCCCCGGTTCTGTGGGCTCTCCTCCCATCAGCCATCAACCCTGGCCAGTCACCGAGAGTCCCAAGAGGTTTGTGGTGTCCACCGGCTTGCGCGAAGGGTCCGCGAAGGGCCTAGCGTCAAGTCTGGCCAGCCGATTGTCTACCTCCCCGGGAACATATTCGAAATAAGTACTGTACCAAGCCGTTTGCCGTTGGCCGCTCTCGCTGACCGCTTTGGACTCTGGCCTGGCCATGTTCGGACAAGGACTACCACCCTCGCTTGGCCTTTCCCGTTGTTGCCCTGACTTTCCAACACGGAGTTATAGAAGGCGGCAGCACACGGGTCCAGGGAGACCTTAGAGCTACCGATTCGATTCCCACCACTTTGTTTGTGTTTGGTCTTGGACACGCCCACTTATCTACATACCTACCTCCAAGTCTCATCTCTCTCTGCCTGCACTGTTGAACCTCGCATTTTTATCATACTGCCGTGCGACCTAGCTGTCTACCGACTGTTGTTCCTGCTGTGCCCATCGTGCGTAGGCCAAATCTAAAAACACAACCGGGATCGTGCTGTGGACAGGATATCAACTTCTGCCTAGCAAATATATACATACCTATCCATCGAAAAGAAGCTACCCCTGATCGCGGGACATACATAGCTCGAGCTCGCCCCGAGATTTCGAATAGCTGGTTGGTCGCCTGCCCCATCTGTTTACTTTCGCCCCGTTTCTTTTTCACCGTTCTCTCCATCGAAGCGTGGTCGAGAAAATACAAAGCATTTTCGGAATGTTTTCTGAATTTGGCCCCCATTTGAAGCAATGCATGAACGCTGTCGTGTTATAGGGCTGAGGCCAGGCGTAGCTGGTAAACGCCGCATCTTTTTTGGGGGTTATGCATAAACGAACTACAAATACGTCTTATACATGTATGTACAAGCTGACCAAAGGAATCTAGGTAGTCAAGCTAAAATAGCGAACATCGCCCCAGAGCCCAGTGCCCAGTGTTGCCTGGCTTCAAGGTTGTGTGGAGTTAGCCTGTGGTGCTGACACGTGAGCCCAACTGCACCCATCTTAAAGACGGAGGACAGCAACCACCCGAGGCATCGGTGTTTTCGTACGTCACTGGGGTGTGGTGACTATGTATGAAGAGTTCGAGTAAGTGGATGAAGCTTTTTTGCTTGACCGTCGACAGAGGGAGACGGTATGTGTGTTTGCGCGCGTGTGGGCTCTCTACCTTGTTTGTGTTGTAAGACAGTGAGCGAGTGGGCAGATACGGCGGCATGAACGAGAGGGTTGCCGGTCTAAGCCGTCTAGACGAAGTCCTGTGTTTCACAAGGCCTCCAGCCATAGGAACAACGAGGACGACGATGGTGACGACGACAATGGTCAGCATGAGGCATTATTACCTACCAACAGCAATGCATAGACAGCCATATGACCAACATGCTTAGGCTTCTAAGATCAGATTCGGTGCCCAAGCTGGAGAGTGCTGCTTGCTGCTTGCTGCTCGTTGGAGCCGCCTGCAAATGCAACCAAACCAACAGCTGCCACCTCTCGGTCTCAACAGTTGTTGTGCTGGCACCAAACAAATATTGTCGTCGATGCGCTTTCTGCCGTTGCTGCTGCTATCATTGCTGTTGTTGCCATTGATTGTTGTTCTCATTGTTCCCGCTGTCCTTGTTGTCCTTGTTGCTGCCGCTCTTGTCGTATCCGTGTTCTCGGGGGTTTCCATCGTCGGTGCGGCTTCCTAGTCTCCCTGGTCTCCCTTTCCCTTTCCCTCTCCCTTTCTCTCTCTCGTTCGTTCCTTGCAAAGTGCACCTCCCTCGCATTCTACATTTTGGTGGCTTCCGAACAAACATCCAAGTGCTTGCCGAAAATGCCTGCTTTTCATAGGTGGGAGGTCGGAGGTGCCTACTCAGGCCAAGTCCGTCCTTGCATCATCGTCATCATCATCATCTTCTCTGGCACCATCACTCCCTCTCTACCTTTTTCCACTTTCCAAGTTGTATTCCACCCTCCTACCCCTATCTAGGACTTATTTCCACATCGTCGTCAGAAGAAGGGTTTCTCGATACCAGACGACGAGTCACAAGACACTTCCGTTCCTGTTCCTTGCCTTGACTTGCGTTTGTGTCCTGCACTGCTTCCTTACCTACATAGTATGTGGGCTGTCTGGGGCTCTGCTACTGGTCTCTCTTGATTTTTTTTTTTTTTTTAATCTCCGCGTCTGTCCCTTGTCGAGACTAAGCGCATCCTATGCCTTCATGACAATAGCTTCGAGTTGATCCTCCTAATAGGTAGACTTCGTCTTCCCATCTGTATTCCGACTCGGATCCCTGAGCCCCTTACATCCAGGCTTAGAAATAGGGTGTGAGCTTGCATCCACCTCAGCAACTGGCATCACCCTAGCCCGCCTACTATGAACCCTGGTGGTTCCCACTTGCATCTTGTTGCCTTTCCTCACCTCTTCGTCTTTCTCTCTCAGCCACCAGCATCTACGTACTTGACGCTGCCGTCTCTTGTCCCTCGACCCCCATTCTGCGGCTCAAGAGCCCATCTAACTCGCTTCGCTTCGAGAACCAACTGAGGCCAATGTAGCTGACCGACCTTCCAGGAGATATTCATCACTTGCACAGCCTTTCCTTGACTGCAGCTCGACAAACTGGATACCGGAGAGCGTCCTCGCCCGTTGGCTTAACCTCGTAATATAGCCATGGATCTGCTGCTTTCTACCGAGACCATGGACAATACACTGCATCGCGCCGAAGCGATCCTGCATTACGTCTACCCTCTTGCCGTGTTTATCTACTTCGCTGCCTCGTCAGCCGTCGTTCTTTGTGCGCTGCAGAACCCCTCCTTAAAACCACCGCCCGTCAGAATCAAGCTCATCTGGTATTTCTTGCTCCTGTTCATCAGTCTGTATGGAGTGCAGATTGTGCTCAAAATTGTTGAAATTCTGGTCTGGTCACACTGGCCTGCTCAATCTACCATTATTGGCCTACTTGCATGCGTACTTGTCTTTGGAGTGCAACAAAACAGCTTTGGGGATGCGGCAGACATTGTCTGGTATCCGTACTATGGCTCCTGGGTCCTGGCGTCCTTGTTTGAACCTGCTATTGCTGTTTCGCAATTTCTCGCCGCAAATGATGCTTCTACCATTAGTCTCGATGCCCATCCTGAAGTTGAGTTACCGGCATTTATTCGCCTGGATGCTGCTTTGTCCATTGTCCGTTTCGTTATTATCACTGGTGTCATCCTGATATACTTCTCATCTCACTGTCGCAATGATACAGATAGCTCTGATGAGGAAAGGTCCCCGCTGATCCCCAAGTCTGACCAAAGAGCAAGCAATGGCAATGGATCAGCCGATAGTGGCTACGGGACTAGTTCCGAGGCTGCCAACACTGATGCGACCAATACGGAAACAGTCAACTCTCCCACAGAACCCGAATCCCCCTGGGAGCGTCAACAGCGTCTCCTCCGGGAAAAGATGGAGAAACGTTTAAAAAGTGAAGGAAGCTGGATCGCATATGTTAAGGGTTTCATGGTATTCTTCCCCTACATTTGGCCAGTAGGAAGTCGTCGTTTGCAAATCCATGTCGTTCTCGTAGGGCTATGCCTGCTCGCAGGCAATGGACTCAACTTCCTCATTCCTCGCCAGTACGGTGTTGTACTGGATTCACTGGGTGGCGCATCAAAAGAAAGCCCCTGGGTTCAGGTCACGATATTTGCAGCTCTCCGAGTCCTCTCGTCTGAAGCAGGCCTCCCCCTGATCAGAAACCTACTCTGGATGCCGGTTGAGTATTACTCCCAGGAGGCACTGAGCGTCGCGGCATACTCTCATGTTATGAACTTGTCATCCGAGTTCCATGATAGCCAGAGCTCGTCCGACATTCAGGTGGCTATTTCAAATGGGTATCATCTCACTAGTCTACTTGAATCGATCTGCTTCCAGGCAATCCCTATGGTTATTGATCTGGTCGTGGCCTTTACTTACCTATCGGTCAAATTCGGTCCCTATGAGGGCTTCATCACAATCGCTACAGGCCTAGCATTCATTCAGTCCGCAGCTCAGCTGATTTCAAGGTTCAAGGAGAAGAGAAAGAAGGTGGTCAGCACGTAAGTAAATATGCGGCTCCTCATCAATGGGCTATCCTAATATTATGGTAGATATTTCGAAGAGCACTACACTCGTCAGGCTGGTATCCAGGGTTGGTATACTGTGAGCGCCTTCAATCAAGTTCCGTACGAAGAAGGTCGGTATAGTAAAGCTGTGAAGTCCCAGGTGACGGCGTATAAGTCTATTTACTTGGGATACCTAGTTGGGCAAGCATTCCAATACCTGATTCTCACTGCGGGCTTACTTGCTGGCGCATTTTTGGCTGTCTATCAGATCATTCACAAAAAAGCCACACCTGGTGATTTCGTTATGTTATTGACATATTGGGGCCAGCTCACATCGCCTCTTCAATTCTTCTCCACAATGGGACGAAATATTAGTCAGAGCCTGGTCCAAGTCGAACGTCTCCTTGAGGTGATGCTAACAAAGCCAACTGTTGTCGACAAACCTGGTGCTCGGCCCTTGAAACTAAAGGGTGGAAAAGTCGAATTTCGCAATGTCAGCTTTAGTTACGACAAGAAGAAGGACATCTTGAAGGGCGTAAAGCTGTCTGCACCACCAGGTACCACTGTTGCTTTTGTAGGGGCAACGGGGGCTGGCAAGTCGACTATATTCAAGGTTCTCGATCGTTTCTACGATGTGACCGGTGGTTCAATCCTAATCGATGGACAGGATATCCGAGACGTCACATTATCTAGGTATGAAAAACGCAAAGCAGAATCGTCCTTAATTTTGAGATATGATGCTTCTGTATAGTTGCCAACTCTCCTTGCTGACCAGTATCATCTAGTTTACGACGTTGTATCGGGATTGTGCCCCAGTCTCCGATTCTCTTTGACGATACTGTGATCAACAACGTCAGATATGCCCGGTTAGATGCTTCCGATGAAGAGGTTTACAGCGCCTGTAAAGCAGCTGCCATACATGACCAGATCATGGGATTTACTGAAGGATATAAAACCCGAGTTGGAGAACGTGGCGTGTAAGTTATGCGACATAGCCGAGGGGCTGTATTGATGTTCTTCCTCCGTACGCTCGCTAATATTGGCAGAAAATTGTCTGGCGGGGAGCTGCAACGAGTCGCGATAGCTCGAGCTATACTCAAAAATCCCGAGATCGTCCTCCTAGATGAGGCGACAAGTGCTGTTGATACTGACACTGAACAAAAGATTCAGGAAGGATTGCGCGCGCTATGTGATAATCGTACAACGTTTATTGTGGCGTAAGTATCGGACTTCGACGCCGTGAGATTCTAAACAAGACTAACACCTTATAGTCATCGCCTCTCAACGGTTATGAATGCTGACATAATCTTCGTTGTGGCTAATGGCCAGGTCGTGGAGCAAGGCAGCCACGAGGAACTGGTTCTTAAGAATGGCAAATATGCAGAACTTTGGTCCAAACAGATCTTTGTGAAGCCTAAAGAGCGAAAAGAAAGCACAGAAGATGCCGAAACAACTTTACAACCTACCGAGCAGAAGCATGAGGCAACTGACGAGGAAATGAGTGAGGCCAGTCGTTCAGAGGCATTAGTATCGCTCTCTACAGTGGAGGAAGGCGGATCAGAGACAGGTGGATCGGATGTAGCTGGCGGCGAGGGTGGGAATACTCCGGTGGCGCACAAGAAAGAGGTAGATCTGTCAAATGATCAATCTTGATTTTTTGACTGATACTGATCTCTAACTTGCAGGGTTCAAGATTGAATCCCGGCGCACCGGAGTTCACCCCACGTACCCTTTGCGCAACCAAGCCGATGCCAGCGTCGCCGATTCACAACAGCTGGGCCGAGGATGTCGAGGATGAGGCTGCTTCGCCTACGAAAGTACACATTGAGGGCAACGACTCTGGCCTAGAATGGGAGGCGCATCCTGATTATGCTCGAGCGCCACCAAACACAGCAGCAGCATCACCTGACAGCCTCAACGTGGTTATTGAAACAACTGCTTCGAAGTCTCCAGGACCTAGGCCTCGCCGTAATACCTTGCAATCTATTTCTTGTCCAGAACCGCCCCTAGTTCCTCTTCAATGCAGCCCAGCACGCGCTACCAGTCAACCGTTGCAACTAACACCAAGCCCTCAGCTGCCACCACAAGCACCAACCCCTAATGAGAAACCTGTTGCAACCAGACCTGAAGTGCAGTCTGATGTGAACTCTGAGGTGCCTGATTCAACTATTGTCAAGAGTCAAGCCTCGCAGCAAACGACTCGTGGAAGGGGCTCACGCGGACGAGGCCATCGTGGTCGATATCGTGGAAAAGGACGGCGCAACACCTCTAATGCGAAACAACAAAACAAAAGCAAACGGCCCACGAATGCCCCGGAGCTTCCATCGAATACTGTTCCGCACGCATAGTCTGCTTGATTTTATTTCTATATTGGCTCCTTTCCAGAACTTCGTGATTATATTATATCCGCCTAACCCTTCTTATCTGCAATTTGAATCGCGAGGTGTTAGGAGTCTCGCATCTATTCAATCCGATTATTCGTATGGCGTCTATTCTCGTCCCCCTTTTTCTTTGATTCATTCTATTTGTTCTACTTATCTCAAGGGTAAGGTTTAGCAGCATTTCAAGGGATGGCTCTCACGACATGATGAATAATCGAACAGGCCAAACAGAAAATACAGGAGATAGAAAAGAACGAGCAGAGAAGGAGACAAGAATCCAAAAAGGACGATATACAAGGTATAGACCGGTGGCAAAAAGAATTCAGGTAGATAAACAAACTTCCGGTAGGGGTGATGCGAGGGGGGTGTAGACATTGTGTCCGAGGTATCATTTCGTCTTGCCTCGCAGGCTCTTCTGGCGCACAGCGGTCACGTCTTAGTAGATGCGGCATAAACGAGGCACTTTTGGGCGTGGCAAGTTTTAGATGGTCCAAACAGCAATAGAGACTGATTCCTTGGTTTGTTCTATCGAAACGTCGAGCATCGTGACTCGTAACATGCGTAATCTAATAACTATTACCGGAATGGCCTTCTTCCAAAGGTATTGATTCGTCAATGGAGACGCCCGATAAGCCTGCATGGCACCATTTTGCCTTGTGCCGTTTGTTGTCGCTATAATCCCCCGATGAACGCCTCACAGATCTGACATTTTGGCTCCTCACATATTGGTCGCGAAGACCGGTTTCAACAGCACTACTCCCCTTTTCATTCGTGCATTCTTTCATAATCTCATGTTGTTTCTTTCCCTTTTTTTTTTTTTTTTCAATCGTTTCCCAATTTCCACTGATGAGGTGATTAGATACAACTGACCCAAGATTATCATTGTTGCCCACCGGAGCCCGGGGGACCACCGCGGCCACCGCCTCCCATCATGTTCCTGGCCATCTCGGCAATATTGGGGTCGTTCATCAACGCGGACATGTCGGGCATGCCGCCGCCCTGGCTGAAGCGGTCGGCCATCTCGCGCAGGCGGGGGTTGCTCATCAGGTTCTGCATCATCTCCGGGTTCGACATGAGGCTCTGGGCCATGTTGGCGAACATGGGATTGTTCATGATGGAGCTGAGGTCGGGCATGCCGCCGTTACCGCCGCCGTTGCCGCCGAACATGCCGGCCAGGCTGCTCAGGTCAGGCATGCCGCCGCTGCTGGCGCCGGCCCCCGGGTTGACGTTGACGTTGGCGGAGGCGCCGCGGGATAAGGGGTTGCCGCTGTCGCGCTCCTCGGCCTCGACCTCCTCGACGCGCCGCTTCGCCGTCTCGAATCCCTTCTTCATGGCGTCAGAGCCGCCGCTTCCTTCGTACTCGATGCCCTGGCGGTAGGCCTCCATGCTGCCCCGGGCGTCACCCAGCGCGAAGCGGGCCAGGCCCAGACGGGACCAGCCCTTGGTGTACTTGGGGTCGGCGGTGACGGCGGCCTCGGCATCGGCGCGCGCGCTCTCGTGGTCGCGGGCGGCGCTGTAGGCGGCGGCGCGGTTGGACAGGAAGATGGCGTTGCCGGGGTAAAGCGATAGGGCCTGCGAGTACAGCTCGATGGCGTTGGCGTAGTCCTTGGAGGTCATGGCCTTGTTGCCCTGGGCTTTGAGGTCCTCGGCGCGGGCCTTTTCTTCGTCGGTGGGGAGTTTCGAGGAGGTTGACGACGACGAGGCGGAGGATTTAGCGGCCGTGGTAGACTTGAGCTTCTCGTAGACGCCGTAGATCTGCATGAGGTTCTGTGAGCCGATGGCGGCGTTCACGGCCGTCTTGTCGGCCGGGTCGACCTTGAAGCTCTCGGCGATGCAGTTGATGGCGACGTCGATGCTGTCCTTGTCGTCGGCGGACAGGGTCCCGTCGGTGAGCGAGCTCGACAGGAAGTCGCAGATGGCGAGCGCTAGGCGCTGCTTGGATGTTGCGGCGGCCTGGTGGTTGCCGGTTGCACCGGGTTAGCTAACTGGATCATTTCGGCGTCTGTTGTTCACGGCGCTGGGGAAAACGTACCATGGCTGCAAGATATCCTTGCTCGTTGGGCAAGGAATGTGATAGGTGTGGGGTAGTAGCGAAGGAGAAAGTGCTGAGAACGAATGGAGCACTTTCAATAGAGTGGTAGAGAAAAGGGAGAAAAGAAAGGAGGGAAGGAGGAGAGAGAAGCTCTTCAAGTCGCGGGACTAGGAACGTAGGTAGTGATAGATGGGTAGGTCGAGGATAATGGTAGGTGTACACTACGAAGTAAAAAAGTAAGTAGATTGGAGGCAGCAGAAACCAGCCTCGTACGGAGGAATCGAAGGAGGGGTCGCGAATTGGCTTGGACGCCCAATGAAATGGACCGAGACGGAACAGCACAGAACAGAAAGTGGGATGAGCGGTGGGCTGTCCGTCGTCTGCTTCATATACCTTACCTAGATACACAGCCAGAGATGCCTACAGAGGTATGTAAATGTGTGTATATATATACCTAGGTACATATGTGGATTGTATGCGTGGCTTCTTCTACTACATATAGCCATCAGATTCGAAGGAAATAGTTTCTTTTTCGAATGAACTACAAGGCACTAGAAGCTTCTTTCTTTATTCGATTCAATGCCATTCAATGCATATGATGCGCGACGATGATCACGGCCTTATTCTTACGTAGGCCACCCATGTTATTTCAACCAATTCATGAGGGTCTGGTGAGGGAACGAAGGGGCCAGTGCAGTGCCACATCAGCTTGCTGTGCAGGTATTGCCGACGGCGCATGTAGGGGGCCTGTAGGGGGGCCTGTAGTGGGCAGCGGGGCAGAGGGGCAGAGGGAGATCTGGAGGGAACGTTGCGGGGTCTGAGCGCTGAGACTGAGACTGAGACTGGGCCTCGACCTGGACACCCGGAGACAGACCCGGGCCGGCATGGGCGGTGGTGGGGTGGGGTCCTACCTACTTAATAGGTAGGTGGATGAGCCTACTGAAGACTAGGTCAGGAATCTTAGATATATATATCAAGAATGATGAGATGTTATTTTATGAAAAGAGTCCAATGGTAGTAAATGTTGGAGATATCTAGAAGATGGCGTTGGAAGCCCGTAACTACTACTCCAACTCGTCCGGCGCCGGAGGTAACACGATGTGACTGAGTCAACCGGCAAAAGCACGCAATCAAGTCACCGCCAACCCAAATTTGTATTGTCATATACTCACGGTTGTTGGTGCTGCTGTTGTTTTACCCTCGTCACTGCCATACCTAGGGATACGTAGGAGAGCTACAAGTGTAGTCTTGTTGAGGAGCTGGTGAATCCTATAAGCCAAAAAATCACAATGGCGTCGTCTTCGGTATATACAAAGGAGCAGATCGACCAATTCCTGGACCACATCCAGCTGCCCGAGAAATACCGTCATGCACCCCCATCATACGACCTCCTCAGGGCGCTGCACACCCACATGCTGGCCGCCGCGCCCTACGAGAACCTGGCCATACACTACAACCCGTCCCACGCCGTCGTGCTCGACCCCGAGCACCTGTTCCGGAAGATCGTGCTGGACAAGCGGGGCCGCGGCGGCTACTGCATGGAGAACGCCATCCTGTACAACCACATGCTCGTCGGCCTCGGCTTCGACTCCTACACCGTCGGCGTCCGGACGCGTCTGCGCGACGGCGGCGTTCCGAAGGGCGACTTCCCCGGGTGGGTGCACATCGTGAGCATCGTCGAGTTCGCCGACGGGTCCAGGTACCACGTCGACATCGCCTTCGGCGGCGACTGCGCCACGCGGCCCCTGCCGCTCGTCGACGGCCTCGTGCACGCGAACATCGGCGCGCAGGAGATCCGCCTCGTGCGCGACTGGATCCCCACGCAGCTGAAGCGCACCGAGGACTCCAAGCTCTGGATCTACGAGTACCGCAACGGCGCCGACAAGCCGTGGAATCCATTCTACTGCTTCACGCTGGTGGAGTTCATGCCGAATGACTGGGAGGTGATCAATGTGTACGCTAGCACGAGCCCCAAGTCCTGGCAGACCAAGACCGTCATCACCATCAAGTTCCTCCGCCGTGCGCGCGCCGGCGGCGACAAAGACGATGAGCAGGAGATCTATGGCAAGCGCATGCTGGTGAACGACGTGGTCAAGGAGAATCTCGGCGGTAGGACGGAAGTCATATATGAATGCAAGACGGAGGAAGATCGGGTCGTGGCGTTAGAGAAGTATTTCGACCTAAAGCTGACGGAGGAGGAGAAGAGCGCCATCAAAGGTTGGAGAACTGCGCTGCCGTGAGTGAGCACATGATTGATTGCAATGCTGTCTTTACTTTTCCAAGCTTCTTCTTTCTCTTTCTTCCCTGATTCTTGTCACGGTAGAGAATAGAATCTGTTAGAGGACTGGTGCTCGGATGTAGCATTAGAGAATAACTAGATAATTCAATGGCAGTAACTGCCCTAAGATTTTAAGCTGCTGTTAAGCCAAGTGGTAATTCTAGAACGAGGTCCACCCCATTACATACCGTTAATACTATTTCGATGCCATTCAGTCGATTATTATTACGCCACGCTCTGCCTCTCAAATGGGGAAACAATATTATAATTACCAAACTGAAACCATCAGCAGAGTGTCAATAATATCAATGCTAACCCAACAGCTTCGCAGAACCAGCTAACCGTGAAAAATTCATAAGGTTCGATCGAGGTAGCATATAAACTTGCGTAAAATGTCAACGTAAGCGCGTGACATCTAGGTGTGCATATATCAATCAGTTCCAGCACATCGATGTGTAAAAATTGAAATATTCATAATCGTGCTAACTGTAGTCAAACCCACTCTTCATGCTTATATAAACATTACAATCAGACTATCAATCGCTATAACTTGCGAATGGTTACAATAATCATATGAAACCACATCATATATCTTTATGTCATTTCCAGTGCCATCCTCACATCTCGATCTATTCCCACCTCGTTCATGATGAATATGCTTACCTCGGTATACCATATCAACACCATGCAGTCACGTACGCGATTTAGGAGCTTCGAAAAGCAGTGTCAGTCACCAATCGATTAGTCATCTGCAAAAATCCCTAATTACCTATCTAGATAGGTACGTGCCTACTTAGGAAAGCAACATGTAATTATTTACTTTGAACTGACCCAATCTCTCAAAACACCGTTCCACCTTGCTTTTTCACATGCTAGTTCGTACTTGGTTACTGGTTGCTCGAAGCAAGTTTTAAGCTGAATGTTTCCACCCCTGGCAAAAAGGACATTGAAATTCGTATGCGTCATCATAACATGACCTGGCTTTAATAACCAGGACACCGTGGATCGAATGGTATCTTCTGATTGTCTACCGCGCAGATCATTTCGTTAGCGAAGGCTCGCCAGCGGTCCAGCAGATCAGTTTGCCGAATTCCATCATGCTGGGGGTAGAAGCTCAGGTGGCCGACGATAGCACGGGTATCAATCACAAAGGGCCGTTGAAGACGCTGCGGTATCGTTGCCGTGATATCTTGTTCGTCGTCTTCGGCAATAGGCAGTGCGTTCTTGATGTCATGTCCCCAGACAGCGACGAAGTTCAAATTGTATCGAATATACTCCGTATCATAAAGCTGCTCAGCTCCGGGGCCTAAATGGTTCGGGTCGAAAAACTTTAGAGCCGCTGCGTCTGCTGATGAGTTGGCACCTTGGGGATAGTCGATCTGCGTGCCGAAGTGATATCGCCACATGGTGTTGAGTTCGAGATTTCTCAGCAACGAGTATTGTTGCTGCGCTGAGATCATCCAGGATTTCCACTAACTCACTGTTAATCAAGGGGCAGCACTTTGGGGATGGTCATTGATATATTTCAGTATCATAAAAAAAAAAACGAAGACACGCCCGCAGCGCAGCCTTGTCGTGATCTTATATCTTGATAAAAGCAGAAACACAAGGGAACAGAGTTGGGGATGAACTTACGGCAGCTCCATACATGAAATCACCACCATCAGCTAACGATGTTAATTTGTCGATGCCCATCGGCGTTTTCAATAACGCATCCTCGATATCGTCGAGTAATAGCCACGGGTGGCCGCTGTAGTGCGGTGTTGCAAACAAGTGCTTATTCGTGATCTCCTCTGTTAGAATCGTGCCATTTTTGATCGTTTTGGGGACGTTCTTCTTTGGGAATGCTCTGAAGTCCGATGGACGCCATAATTGTGCTGCTTGCTGAGAGGGCTTAACCTTTGGGTCGGGGAGAAAGGGGTGGATCGCTCCAGCATCATAATGCTTGAAACCGGTTAAAGGGCTATTTATCAGGTTGGCAGAGACAGCGAAAGGGTGAGGCTCAGCGATTCGTGTAGATACAAGTTGAGGTATTGTGTCAGGATGAATGAATACCTGGCCCCAGGCAAATCAGTAAATTAGCTCTTCATTGCTAGGGTGTCCTTATGCCTTTTGGGCCAGAATCCATATAGAGTGGGAATTTGACTTACAATATCGTCGTCAATCTTGATATAAATCGTGTTGTCCTCAACGACAGGGTCCCACATGCAAGCGTAGTTGAACCCCTGACACTGGCCCGGCATCACTATTTTGTACTGTGGCCTTTGCAGTACAAGTTCTTTCAGGTATTTCAGATCCTCTTCGATATCCGTGTGTATCATGAACCAGATCTCATCAAGGTACCCGCCGTTCACAGCGAGGTTCTTCTGCAGATAGCAGTCTAGGAAGTCCACAGTTCTCTTGCGGCCATAGAAGACCAATGCCTTGATTGCGATGCCATGAGGTTTCTTCCAGCCCCCTGGTGGTGCAAAGCTCTGAAGCGCGAAGTTTGATGTGTGAACCCTTACGTTGTAGTCGCCCTTTGCACCCACAGGCCAGGTAGTGCACTGCCCTGGGACTTTGGGAGATGGCGCATTGGGCTCAGGGACTACGGGGAGGTTATGCTCGATCACATCGATGATCTCGTCGCGCGCCGTCTCCCTGATCTCACGGCGGGCTTCGAATAGCAGCAGCGATACACTGAAGGCGGCAAGGGCGAAGACTGCTAGGTGGCGTAGGTCGGTGATTCGCCAGTGGAGAGACATGGACGGAAGACTGTCCCGCCACCTTGGTCGGCGCGGCGTGCCCATGATTCTGTTTCTTTTGCCGTTGTGGTTATAGGAAGTGCTGCGTGTGTCTTGTTCGCTTGGAGCAGACCAATCCGTCGAAAGTGTTTCCCAGGTTGCTTTCATGCGCTCTATTGGGGCTGAGCGAGATGTGAAGTGCGAGTTACCGACTTTCCATTGTGAAGCACATACGGGTTGGCAAATTCAGGAGATGGCAGCCGTCTTGATGTAATACAATGGGCAAAGCTGGGTCAAAGTAGGTACGGCGAGTGCCACCCAGTATCTGAGACCCTTCCAAACTGCTTTATTTCGTTTAGTGGCACTCATTGTCTTGCGTGCCTGCCCAAGCATGTAGTAATTAAGCCCTTAGTGAGTAGTTTAAAGTGCCTCAGGGATTATTACATTGGGTGGCTCTTGCTGTTTGCTTTATGTCACAATACTTGCCCTTTCTTTGACATTATTACCTCAGTTGCGTACCTGCTTGGGTAGCTATTTCCGTGTTCCTCCCCGTAGTTACTCTGATAGGTACTTACATTTACATACGCACTTAACAATAAGTACATATAAGTAGGTGGTAGTGTACATCATACATAAGTACATATAAATATAAGTATGAGTGCCATTGTAGCAATTTGCAGGCAAGTGTAGCTGTCTTACACATATGACTGGCTTTGGCTCGGGAGTTCATGTAACGATATCAGATAGCTCGCACACATCTATCTACCATTCCTTTACCTAGAGTATGTCCATATGCCGGTTGAAAAACAAGAGGTGCTATTCCACATTGAATAGGTATTTAATCATGCCATTGTATGAGATTACATTTCTCAAAAAGGGAATGAAGCGCTTTAAAGTGAGACTTGCTGACTAGAGACAACGATTATGTGTAGCGTGGAACATCCTTGATGGTGCTCCCTTCGTACATATCTACCTAGTTGCCGTATCCAATTAAGTTGTATATACACTTTTGACGGACCAGATATATGTGTACAGATGGGATGTGTTGCGGTATCACCGAAGAGTGCTCGTACAATCATACAGATTAGGACTGTCACCTCTTGAGCTGCAGGTACCGAGGATGCTACATCAAATTCAGATTCGCGCCAACTGCTCACACATGATTGGTAAGTAACGCACGAGAATTGTCTTTTATAGTCCACCCAACAGCCTGGGGCACTTTACTTGATCCTCACATGAGCTGACTTCGCTCGAGATCATCTTCGCAAGCCAAGTGGTTTCTATCACATGCGCACAAGCCAAAAAGGGGTAAGACAAAACAATAAGCTTCGTATCTCCCTATCGTGTGCGATAGTCTCATAATTGGTAAGACACGCCGATGGAATGAGAGTATTTTTCATCACAGTACTAAGATAAATCATTTGTTCTTCATTCAAGATATAAATTATGCTATGTACTAATTGCGCCCGTATCCCTAGGCTGCGTGTTCTATATACTGGTATGTGTGCGCCTCTATCGACCATCCCGCAACAATGCTCGTGAGTTCCAATGTCTATATCAAAGCAGTGGATTCTCCAATTCCCTGATGGTAATGACGCATGCCGGCCACCGAATGACTATTGGTACAACTGTTGCTCAAAAGTGGACAAGGAAACATATATATATTAAATGTTGATCGTGTCTCATCATCATTTCTCGGTACTCTTAGAGAAACGCGTCGTCATCACCGCCTCCACCTCGACGGTAAGACGGTGGGTTTTGTGGTAAAGGGGGTGTCGAGTGCCGCGATGACGCGTCTCTGCTCCTGCTGGGATGCCGACTGGTGTTCCACTCTCGCCGGCTGTCCTCGTCGTACTCGTCGTACATCTTGTCGTCGCCATCATCACTTCTGCTTCCCGGGGGACTGCTTGTAATGCCTCTATCATACCTCGCCGTATGCTTTTCGTCCGGCGAAAGGTCGTCGTCGTCATCTAAATCCCCATCATAACGGGGCAGTGCCGGCATCGACTGTGAGTCGCCTGTTACGAGCCCTAACCTCTCCTCCTCAGTCGCGTTCTTCACCCTGGCGCTCCGGTCCGAGTATCCTCGTGATCTCAGTCCTTGCCTCAGCGAGTGTTCGTGCATCGACGGCAGCGCTGGTTCCTGTACTCTGTCAGCTTGATGCCGACGGAATACATTTTGGAACGAGAACTGCCGACGTGCTGCGTGAGGCTGCTCGCCATGAGGTGGCGGCGTCGGCGGAACGAGTGAGGTCATGCTTGCCCCTGGCTTTGGCGTCTCCGAAAATTGTATGTGTCGATCACTGTTCTTCGACGAGAAATCGCCCGCGCCGCTATATTCGGTATGATACGAGTCGGTCCGCAGTCCATAACCTAGTGGGCCAGCCTCACCGTCATAACTTTGCTCAGGAACTGCAATGTGGGTCAACTGCACTGGATGTGTCTGACCCAGCGCTGACGCACTGTTATTTAATCTCTCTTGGTGAGGGAGCTCCGGCCGGTTGTGCAAAACACTGCGGGCGCGTTGACGAATGGTGCCCGCAATACTAGAGAGAACGCCTGGCGACATCTGCCTCTCCCTTTCAAGCTCTTCGAGTTCATCATCGCTAAGTAACCGTGTGCGACCTAGGGGTGGATGGGGAGTTTGAGCCGGACTAGGGCTCGTAAACGGGCGGCTCCGGTTACTACCCATAGTTGTTCTCCTCCGTCGTAGCCCATCCCACTCAAATTGTTCAGGCTGGCCATCTTCACTAAGTGTGGCCAGTCGCTCCATTTCTTTCTCGTGATGCAGACGTTTAAATTCCTCGTGTTCCATCTTGGTTCTCGCGTTGGAGATACGCCGCAAGATAGCAGCAGTACCACGTAAGGCATCAGCTTTGGGCTCAGTTTCAGGCTGCTCTTGTTCGGCAATGGTTTGAATCTGGTCTAAATCACCGGCGAAAACGGCAGTGTCAGGCACATCTTTAGCCGACTTGGATAATTGGAGTAATACTACGCCGGAGCAGATCACCAGAAACCCGAACACCACAGTGATAATTTGGACAGCCGTTCCTTTGAAACCCCGGAACAATACAGCCGAAGTGATAATAGTGGTACTGGTGAAATAAACGTAGTACGTGGGCGTGACCATAGCTGCGTTAAAAATATTTAGTGCTTTCTGAATCTCGGTTAGTAACACTATTCTTGGCTGAAGATCTTATTCCCTAGACTCACATTGAGATATATGATTTCGGTGACGAGAGTTCCTATGATGAAGACAAATAAAACATAAAGGAACCAGTGATTAAACTGAGGCTCGCCACCGATTTGTGCGACAATCGCTGCACCAAGGCCTTGCGTAGCAACAACACTTAGGGCGCCAACCCAGCTGCAAATGGATATGTATGTGAACATATTTTTTTTGCCATATCGTGGACCCGCCCAAACAGCAAGGAAGATAGCACCCACGACGATGACACCTGCATACGATAGAAACCCAGGTGAAATGACGTAGTGCTGCATTTCTTGGATATTCGCGACGGAAGATTCCGTAGGGGCATTGAGGACGATGATGACTGCTCCAACTACACACAGAAAGCATGCGACCTTGCCAATCAAACTGAGCCGTTCCTTCAAGAAGATGGCGGAGAGCACGGTGGCGATAACAACCGATATAGCTCCGAGCGACGTGACTAGGATAGCATCGGTAAAGGCGTATGCGACGAAGTTGAGGATTTCGCCGAGAATCATCAAGCTCATTCCAGACCACCAAAGAGCATTTTTCAGGTAGCCGTAACCTTCACCTGCAGCCTGCTGGTATTTCTCATTGGCCCTGAGCAGACCAACTTTTTTTAACACGAATGAAGTCCCTATGAAGAGCCCCGAGCCGACGGCCAAGCCAATACCAATGGCCTTGTAGGCAGGGGGCCGACTTTCTTTGTCTGCGTCGGTCGCATCTGTCTCGTTGGCGCGGGCGTATATTTGGTGCGCTGTCTCGAGTATGAAAGCTGTGTGATCCATGGTTGGCGTTCGTGGGCTTGAAAAGGGAGGTTGTGGAAGAGGTAGCGGTGATCGCTGAAGATAACGACAACGACGACGATGGGATCGTCTCGTGTCAAAGGCTACAGCGCTACGCGGAATCGGCTTGGTATACGCTTGTTTTTGACAGGTGGATGTGGTTTCATTCGCCCAATAATTCAAACTCCCAGACTTGTGATTCGGAGGGTTGTCGGCTAAGTTGAATGATGATTTCGGTCCCTTGTTTTTCTGGCTCTTCTGTCAATTCGGTCTATTTTGTTTCGCTATTACTTTTGTGTTCCCAAGCTGGCGAATGCTAATTATAAACGAGCGCTTAAGTAGAATGGGGTCACAGCAGCTGTTGGTACTTTGGTCCGTTACAAGGCTTGCATGGGGGTGGGTTTGGGAAGCTTGAAACAAACGTCGTTGGCGAGAAGCGAAGTCGACTGGGTGCCTCTGAAGATGGGTCGGGATAATGGAGATGATGGGGATGATTGGGATTCGCCTCCCTTGCCAAGATGTGGCAGCGGCTGAGTGGTTGGCTGTCAGCCGCTGCTGCTGCCAGGGTCGTGGGATTGTTGGACGATTGTTGGATGGTTGCTTTGTCGGTGTGTTTCTTAGCGCACTGTAGGAGGATGGGCAGGAAGATGGGAACGGTGTAAAGACATTCAATATCAGTGTGGAGGCTAGGACTCGGGTTAAAGAATGGAATCTATTCAAGCCGGTGTAGTGTAGATATCACGACACAAGGAGAATGAATGAATGATTGACGATTGACGCAGGAGAGAGATGGATGGAGTGGCTACGGCATAGGGTTGCAGTGTAGCGTAGCAGCTGCCCACTGCTGGGTTTGGGTGTGTCGTACCTCTCTTGAAGTCGTCATTGGGGATTGGGGCAGTGCAACAACAGCGCTTGTATGTAAGTAGGTACGTGTACTCTAGGTACATATATACATGTACCTAATCCATGATCAATATTGAAGGTATTTACTTTGGTGCTTACAGTGCTTCAGTATCCTGGCAGTTGAACACAGCCATAACACCGTAACACGTAGTAAAGAGAGCAGAAGAGAGGTTACCTAAACTTGTTCTCCATTGAGTGTTAGGTAGGTAGGTATTGAATGTCCTCTCCCCGCCCGTTCACCGAGAGACGAGATGATCGGCAATCTGTCACCTATCCTGGCTTAAAGTGCCCAGAAATAATTCGAGTGCCCTGGTCTAGGATCTAGACCAGATCTAGCGTATCTATCCCGCAATACTGGGGCCTACTTAGTGTAGGTACTCTATCTGCTGTAGATGGAGCCTAGAACCTCGGGGCTGTAACATTCTGGCTGAGACTTGGTGCAGCCGTCGTTCTCAGGTTGTGTAAGTAGGTACTTCGTATGGTCGGTGCCTGGTATCGAGAGACAGTTATACGGTACCTATTCTTGAAGAGATATGCCGACATTCGCACTCCCCACAACACCAGGCTGTGATGCCAGTGTTAAGGTTGGAAAATGCTTGATATTAATTTCGGGCGAGCTGACGAGCCTTCCTAGCCTGTCCAAATGAAACATTCTAACTCCACCTTCAAGACTAGCGGACAATTTCAGCGCACTAGGTTAGAGACTCTCCAGCGGCCAATCCGTCTACATACTCACCTATGTACTTCTCATCCTTGGAATATGCCTGCATGTGAATAGGGATACAGTCATGACATGTTTGCAAAGATCCATTTACGCTCGCATTCGCTAGTTGGTAAATGTAAACTCCTAAGCAGACTACCTACTTACAAGTACTACTTATGTAAGAGATCACTACAGGTGCTCTAGGTATACGTGCCTAGGTACACTACCTACAACGCGACAGGCCACCGTTACATTGAACCCCTGTTACTGCCCTGTGTCTGCCCTGTGATTTTCTTTGGGCAGTGATGTCACTAAAATGTAGCAGACCAGTGATCTTGGAATTTTCATACATAGTATGACGTATAAGAGACACAGTCTCTTGACCAGGTAGGTAGCACAATTCGGCCCAGCCCACGAACTTCGCTTAGGCATTATTTGCATGCTTATCCCCAATTCAGTCACATTGTGAACAATTGTAGCAGCCCTATCTCAGATGGGAGAAATGAAGACCGCATTAGTGCACCACGTTGGGATATGGAGGCCGGAAACGGCTGGCAACAGCGATTCTCGCTTGAAGACGGGCAGGTTAGGTATTGCTTCGCCACCCCACATTCGGTTGCGCAACCCGAGTACGAACCACACGTGTCCCAATATCACGGCGTACGGGCTCTAGGTAGCACTTTATGGCCTGTCCTGACGTACTTAGGCTACCCGAATAGCCAGATATTACCTGCTCACTCAAATGGCCATACGACCTTTGAAGAGCGGGAATGAGGACTTAGAGACCATCGAAGCCCGAAAGCTACAATTATGAGGGAAAGAGTAAATGGGGGGGAAGCCGACTTCTAAGAATCCCATTCACTGATTTGCTGCTTAGTCTCATGGATATCGACCACGAGCAGGTTATAGTCATCATCAACGCTCAAATCTCCCTCCAAAGAACCGCCATATGTATATAAAATATTGCTATCATCTAATTAATTGTACAGGTTGCTTAAAACTAACTCTAATGTATATCTGAGCTGAGAGATCCCTTTCATATGCCTATCGCCGTCCCGCTTACTTACCTACGCCTCATTCAACTCTTCGTAATCTGGGAGTTTCCAATCCTTCACTTGCTCCTTCAACACCATCGCGCCGATATTGACTTGGAAAAATGCCAGCACGGCAACGAAGATATGCATCAAGGAGATGCCAAACGCAGTCGACATGAACGACATGCCCCAGTCGGAACCCTCTCCAATCCCCTTCTGCACCTGGTCCATAAACGGCCGGAACTTCGCATCATAAGAGGCAAGAGCCTTGTCGAGATCCGCCCCGGCGTCAGATTTGTCGGACTTCTCCGCCGTCCCCTTTCCGCAGTGCCGCCCGATTTCACCGGCCAGGACGTAGGCGCCGACGATGCTCGATGTAGTCCCCATGCCCGTGTTCGCCGTAGGGCACCAAGCAGCGTCGCCAACAAGGACAACACGACCCTTGAACCATCGGTCCAGCTTCACGATCGCCATGCGCTCGAGGTAGAAGTCGTTATCGGTGTTCATGGCTTTCAAGATGTTCTCCGTCTCCCAGCCCGCGCCGCGCATGAACTCCGTCAAAGCCTCCTTCTCGGCCTTGACGTCGCCCCGCGCAACGTTGTCGAGGGCATGGGTCTTGCCGCCGATGTATATCTGCAAAGTCTCGGGATGCGACCGTCGCGCCATGATCCCTTTATTGCCTGGTGCCACGTAGAACGTGGCGAGGAATTCTTCTCCCTGTTGTATCGGCTTGTGCATAGTGAAATAGCCGACCATAACGCCGTCTAGCGGGCGGGCTGCGTCCTTGGCACCAGGGCCGAGCATCATCTTGCGCGTACGTGAGTTGAGGCCCTCAGCGCCGACCACTTGCCAAATCTCTAAGTCAGTGTTTCCTCTTCACTTTTAGAAGAAATCCCCGATACTCGCCGATACTCGGGATGACATGTGTGTAGACGCTCAGGTGTAGGAGAGAAAAACAAAGAGCTTGAGAGGGAATTTACCTAAGTCGAAAGAATCCTCCCTGCCATTCGCCAACCGGACAACCACAGAACTGCCCTTGTCATCGTATTTCTCGATGGACGTTCCAAAAATGAACTTGGCACCGTGCTTGACGGCAGCATCATACAAGATACGGCATATATCCCCTCTCATGATCTCAAACTCCGTCGTGAAGTTCTGCACGCCATCCTTGGTTGTCGTCGCCGGGAAGAAGGCGCGCCGGCGGCCTCGCTTGTCGATGAGCTGTACGCCCTTTTCCGGAGCGACCTTGGCTTTGAAGGCCTCTTCCAGCTTCATGCGCTTCATGACTTCGATGCCGTGGCCTCGGAGGTCGAGCTGGAGACCTGTGTCCCGGAGGCTGGAGAAGCGCTCGACTACCGTGATGTCGTGGCCTATCTTCGCCAACCAGTACGCGAGCGCGTTGCCGGCGATGCCGGCGCCGCTTATAAGGATCTTGAGCTGTGCCATGATGGTACTCTAGAGCCGGTGTTTGGATATAATGGAGATGATCAATAAGTTTGTCCACGTTGCTAATTGCTGTTGTTCACTCAGCCTGGTATTAGTGGCATGTTTGATGTCTGAACCGCAGGGTAATGTAAGGTATAGGGAGTTATATATCACTAGAAATACGGACTTTTGCTATGTCCGCTACCCGGGATGCGCGAAAAGCTCATTTAGATGTCCGTCAATCTTGAGCAGGTTCACTTTGGCTATCGGCCGATATGGCCGAATAGACCGTGAATTCACCGAAGGCGGCACCAGGTTGAAAATGAGCATGTCATGCAATGATACCCCATCGTTATATATTATAAACCCTAGTTCGGAAACCCATTCTCACCCGAGAATCTTGTTAACCGTGTTTCACGACATCATCTGCCTGGTAAGTGTTGCAAGGGGCGCCTGATCTAACTATTTCGGAACTCCTGAAAACAGTACCACCATTATTATGACGAAATATTTGCTGTATTCAAGGTTGAGAGTGGTGGAAGGGAAGTTTTGCGTCTCGTTCAGTGTAGTCTACCTATCTCTTATCTACCTATCTATCTATTTTTCACACATCACCGAAGAAATGAAATGAGGAGTTAGGACGAGGTTCATACAGCTCGGGTACGTGATCACTACCAAAGGTTAGGAAAGAAAAAATCCAAGTTGAATTCCAGCCCAAGAACATCTTGGTCACCGTCACCGCTAGATGATGCGAGACTGCCATCGTTAGGAGACGGCCAAGGCGCAGCCCTCGCTCGCGCCTCTAGTATGTCATAGCAAAGAACAAGACTATCCCGCGCGTTCTGAGCCATTGTCAACTCGCACACGGCGTCTATATCCGCCGAGTTAGCTACAGCCAGTACGATACTCAGGAACATAGGGCCCTTGATATTTGTTTCCCCTTGCCGAATGCGCTCCCATGATAACGCAGAGAGGTCATGCATAGCCTGTCTGAGGAAATCGAGTTGTCTCGTATTACTGCGGAAAGTGCCGTCGTCACGCTGGGACTGGGCTTGGACGAGAATCTCATGCGCGATGGTAGACGCTGCGTACCTGAACCCCTCGCGGAACATGCCGCTCCCTGTAGCCATAAGTCGCGAGAAGTGATCATCGGGCTCTGGGGATAGGAAGGCTAGGGTCGCTTCTAAGGTGGCCTTTCGCGAGTAGTTGAACAAAGGGTTCAGACGTGCTTCGCTGGCGAAGGGGCAGTGTAGAGGTATCAGGAATCGGCGTACTAGATAATCGCAATAATTCCGTTGAAATGCGGTCACCCCGGCACTTCGGTTATCTGAGGCGAACTTATTGCATGCTCGACAGGCGTCTGTAATTTCCCGATGCAGTGTGAGAACGCCTTGGTACGCTAGTTCAGAGTGTAACCCATTTAAGAGTTGGACAGTACGGAGCCGACTTGGCAGGGAATCAATCAACTGAAGCTGCATCGCCGCTGAAGTGTAGCCTCCTTTGGCATGTGGCTGCAAGACGGTGGTGCTTTCATCAATCTCATCGTCATTAATGTTCGAAGGGGCTTCCGTATCGAAATCTTCAAGTGATATCCGGGGTGGCATTGCAGAGTCTAAGGAAGACTGTACGAGTAGTTCGAGAATGGTATACCATAAGCGCCTGTGGACTTCGGCTTGTAACGAGGACATGCTTGGAAGATGCTTAGGATCTCGATGTAAGCCTATTTGCATGGCTCTGTGGATAAGTGAGCCCATAGACATCCACACCAAGTCACCGCCAACTGAGTATATCTGTCGGGCAAGCATAACTAAGCAATGGATTTGCAACCCACTGATGTTCAAGCGGTCTTTCTCGAGTGGCCCTGATAACCAAGCTTGGGCAGTGTATATCCACTGCTGAACTATATCGCGCAGCTGATTGTCTGGGCCACCCTGGAGACTTGACCCAATGCCGATAACGAGAAGAATTTTGAACCGCTGCGACGCACTCACACTTTCGGGATTCTCCCATAGACTTGGGTACTCGGCCCAGAATGTAGGCTCATGCAGTATTCTATGGACAGGTTCGAAACACCGGAAGTAGACGGTCGCCATATCATCTGCCATGGCGCGGGGTGGTGGCTCGAGAGACGGCCGCGGGGAAGTTAGGCATCTGCTCGGCCTATTCGCTTTGAGACTTTTCGCAATTCTCTTGCACTTCTTGTAGAGATCATCGATTTCGGTGACTACGGCCTTCGTCTCATCGCTCTGAAATGATGTGCTCTCAGCGCCACAGGCTACCTCAAAGCACTTGTAAACTAATTGGAACTTTCGAATGATTAGTTATTTGGCATCTAAAAAAAGAGCGAGGAACGGGCTTGCCTCTGGGGCCGTTCCCATCCAGTCACTCCATCTCAGGAGCCGCGTTTTCTTCAGCATGATCTCCGAATCTCGAAGACCAGACTGCCGGGTGAGTACATGCCGCCCCGTCTCGGCAAGTCCATAGGCCGGGCTTGAGGCAGATAGCGCTTCAAGTTTCCGCACTCGCTGCCTTAGATCCTGAAGTTCTGATGCTTCTTGGACGCGGTTTGATGTCTGAAATTCATCGTGATTCGTTCTAGTCGAGCACTCTGCCTGCGGAGCTTGAGATCTTATTGCATATCCACTCGGGGCTGGTAGACTATGTTCATGTCCTGCGGTAGGTATTCCACCATTAGTGCCGGGGGTCAAAGGAAGAGGCGAGGCCCTCGGACTCAAAGCCGCAGATGCCTGATTTTCGATTCGGCGAAGGGGTAGCGGGATATTGCCAACTCCCCCGAGACCCAATCGATAAGAACAACGTGTGTTCGTAGAGACGCAGCGCGCGCAAGGGGTAGCTCGATCACACTTGATCTTGCGACGCCGACAAGCTAAGCACGACAAGGCGGGTCTACGGCGACGTCGGGGTTCTTCTTCCATAAGTACTAAGTCGCTCAGTCATTCGGCCGTATGCTTCCCAAAAGTGCGCGTAGCCGGATTTAGATCATGGATATGCATATATAAATAAATAAATTGATACGAGAGCAGAGAACAAATGTTGCCTGTCAAGAAGGGCTGCGTGTCGGACATAGTGAATTTCCCGTTGAATTTCCCGAATAAGCCGTCGCTTATATCCGCACCTAGGCTACGGCCACACAATTAAATATCCTTGAGCCGAGTCGCGTCTAGATCTGCTTTCATTGATGCCATACGAACTAATCATTATACCCCAAGTTCTCAAGCATAGCAGAAGTGAGGATGTGCATTTGAATAATCCCAAGGGACGCGCTTCGAAACATTTAACACCGAGCTGAAACATGTGTAATCCGAACTGAGCACTAATACTCTAGAAGGCGAACATCGACTACCAATTTCATGAAAATCTCTGGGGATTGCAATCAATTCGCCAGCTTCGGCGAATTGGCTGCCTAGGGAACGCGTTTATTAGGAAATCTTGATATTGGATCAGCACGCTAGGTTGAGCTTCATCCACCGGTCAGAGCAAGCATCCATATGTACAGTTAGTTTCAAAAAGTGGTAGTTAATTCATAATTGATAATTCGCACACCACATCTCACACGCCAGTAGATTGAAGTAACATTTCAAGAATGAAGGTTGGTTTTCTACTCAAGCAGTCGTGCACGTATACCTATACTAGACATATAGGTGAGTTAAGTTGCAATTGATTTTCCGGAGCCAGGCACATTGACTACAGCCCCAGAAGCTAGTGTAACCCCGGGGCTTTGACCGGAACTGATGCATTTATGACAGATGCGGTGGAGCACCAATCCCGACGACTACCCCGCAAGCTGGGGTAAGTGCTCGGGTGTTCATTCATTTTGGATATCACTGCACTTCCCCATCTGCTAAGCATTGGGCGGGGCGGAGGAGTACACCTCGTTACTCGGATTTCGGAGTAATACTCCGCTTGTGATGGTGACATTTTGCAATAGTTTGCGGATCTTACACACCGATGGCGGGGGTTTCGTGGAGAGTCGTTGCAACATTAGCGTCCATATGTAGACCTTCCGTATACCGATACTCCTCTTTTCCCCTTCGTAATCTCCCCTTTCAAAGCTCTCTTCCCTTCACGCCACGGAATACATCACTTTCATATACCAACGTACGCACGTACGCCAGGACTAAGCGCAATTCCAAGATGCTGCAGGGATGTACATTCAAAAGCGTGCTCGACAAGGGCGAGAGGGTTAGTATGGGTGTATGGCAGACGTTGCCAGGCCAGAATGTATCGAGAGTGCTCGCGCGGACGCCAGGCGTCGACTGGGTACTCGTAGACTGCGAGCACGGAAACATCGACGACGCCGCGATGCACGAGGCTGTTCCGGCTATCGCAAGTTGTGGTGTCAGTCCGATAGTCCGAATACCCGATATGCAGGGCTGGATGATCAAGAGTGAGTAGTACTACAAGGTCTTGAGCAGGCTGGCCAGAACTTCTTCATTACCCAGACACGATCACTGACATATTTTACAGGGGCGCTTGACGCGGGGGCACACGGGGTGAGTGAAGCTCAAAGGGCTTGAAACCCAATGGGGGGAGATGTTCATAACTGTTGACTCTGTGGTCCTAGATCTTGATACCGCTTCTTCGCTCCGCCGAAGAGGCCAAGAAGATTGTTGCGGCCGCCAAATTCCCTCCGCTGGGACAACGCGGCCTAGGTTCGCCATTCGCGATGGAGCGTTTCCATCCGATTCCCACAATGACGGAATATCTACAGCACGCGAATCAGTCGCTACTGACCATAGTGCAAATTGAAACGCAAGAAGCGTTAGACGCTGTAGAGGAGATCGCGGCGGTTCCGGGTATTGACGTGCTATTCGTCGGCCCCTTTGATTTAGGCAACAATATAGGGCATCCGATTCTCGATGGCGTAATGAAGCCTGAGCTCGAACAGGCCATTGATCGCGTCCTTGCAGCTACAACCAAGGCTGGCAAGAAGGCAGGATTCTTTGCTAGTAATGGAGAACAAGCGAAGAAGTATGCGGATAAAGGCTTCCATATGGTCAACGCGGCTCTGGATACTTCCCTGTTGCAGACTAGCTTGGAGCGTTCTCTTGCCGCAGCTCACGGACAGGCGGTACCGAAGGCTGCGGGACGGTATTAGCGAGCACATTACTCTAATTCGGATGTTGGTTAAACGGTGATCATAATTACAGTAGATATTATCATGCTGCCTGTATAGACGAAGCGTGGGGAAAAAGAGTTACGATGCCTTCTCAGCCTGATCCATTTTAGCCTTGACTTGATCAGCAGTGAAACGGTGCATGAGCCTTATAGCCTCCGAGACCGATTGCGGCTGCTCTTCGGGAGCCGAGGACTTGCTAATATGGATCTGTCAGGCCCGCCGTCAGCAAGGAGTCTACCTAGTGGCCATATCACCAACAAATGAATACATGGTTTCTGATCTACAAATATTAAAAGGCCATCTGAGACTGGACCTGAGCAGCCAGGTCGGCTCGTCTCTCGCAAAACATATCACTTTATGAACATACCACAGGAACATCAAAGTCGTAGAGCTCACGCCATTTCGGCGCTGACTCTGAGTTGACTATGTCGACCTCTTTGAACTGAAAGGGCCGGGTGTCCCAGACGTCGGATAGGACTGAGCGGGCGTTAGAGCACAAGCCGCAGTTCTCACGCGTGAACAGAGTAATTCTGCAGGACTGGAAGAGCCGAATAGTCGGTCGCATGGTGTGATACGATGCGTAGGATAAGTAAGTTGGTTGGGTAGTTGAGTAACAAAACTTCCCCTGTCCTACGGTACCTAAGTACCTACCTACTGTTATAGCAGATACCTAGCAGGAGCTAGCAGGCCTGTAGGGGTGGATTACTGCCCTGGATCCGCCCTGGAGATCCGATCAGTTGGAGCTTTAGGTGACACTGGAGCACGATAGTTGCGTCATAGGCGGCAAATGACTGGACAAGCATCGTGCAGTGCTATTGAGAGCTTCGTTGAATGAATATCGTGCCGAAAGCGGCAGGCGGTGGAATTATTTGGTCTGTAGCTGACTCCCGCCTCCAGATTCCATGAGCTTCTCAAGCCCAATCGTGTCGACGTCTCTGGCCGTCCGTGTTTGCTACCCATTCCCTCCATTCTAGGCACATAAACACTTGTTACCGCCAATATTAATTCGCTTGCCTAACGGGTCTGTTCGAATTTGTATACTGTCGCGTTCTACTGAATCTATTCTCGACCGAACCCCTCGTCTCATCGCGTCTCATCGCATCCCACCCCATCAGGTACATTAACTCTACAACCTGAGAGTTCAAGGGTGCACAATACGCCGGAAGTAGCCGAGAGCCAATCACCCGCGTCGTTCATTCACGTGTTAGGGCAGCGGCAGATATGGCATTGAAGTGCGTTCACCAAGGCTGCGGCAAGGAGTACAGCGATTCCGATGAAGTGTGCAGGTACCATCCAGGCCCGCCGGTTTTCCACGAGGGGCAGAAAGGTGGGTGACTTACTGACTGACTGACTGACTGATACACTAACCCGACCATTTGTTTCTGTTTTTGTTTCCATTCATGTCATGCGTTGGCACATCGTCTCCTCTTCTCTCAGAATGCGACACGGCTACTGACGTGACAGCACAACAAACTAGGTTGGAAGTGTTGCAAGCCTCGATTCCTCACCTTCGACGAATTCCTCCAAATCCCCCCCTGCACCGAAGGAAAGCACAGCACCACCGACCACCCACCGAAAATTGAGAAAAAGGAACTAGTTGCCGATGTAGCCCCCACTGCGCAGTCCCTCTCTGATAAGTTGGCTGAGGCCGTCTCGTCAACACCTAGCCGCGCACCCCTCGCACCCCAGCCTGCAGCTACAGCACCGCCACCGCCTGCTGAGTCCGAGGATGACGAGCCTAATCTCGAGATACCCGACGCCAAGCCATGCAGGCGGAAAGGTTGCAACGCGACTTACAAGAAAGGCCAGCAGAGGTCTGATGACGAGAGTTGCGTTCACCACCCAGGCGCACCCATATTCCACGAGGGCAGCAAGGGTTACAGCTGCTGCAAACGCCGGGTGCTAGAGTTTGATCAGTTTATGAAGATCGAGGGCTGTAAGACATCGCCGCGTCATTTATTCATTGGGTCGGGCCAAGACAATAGTAAGAAAAAAAGCCAGGGCACCAGCATTGGCAGTCATGGTGAGGAATTGCTGGAGACGGTGCGACACGATTTCTACCAGACCCCCACGACAGTCATAGCATCCTTCTTCCTAAAGAAGATAGACAGCGCTAGAGCGACAGTTGAGTTCAATCCAAACTCCCTAGATCTAGATCTTCCAACAGATGAGCCAGCACCAAAGCGCTATAAGGCCTCCGTCCCACTCTTTGGTGAGATTGATGTACAGAAATCCACCTTCAAGATCCTTGGTACGAAACTCGAGGTTAGCCTGTACAAGGCGGATGGTGCAAGCTGGCCAGTCCTTCGGAGCGACGACCAGCGCACTGGAGAGATATTACAAATCGGCCGAGCTGGGCGGGTATGAGACAACCACGCATTGCAACGAGAAGACGCCGAGAAAAAAAACGATGTAACCAAGGAAAAATGAAAAAATATGTTCCACAAAATTGCCTGTTAACCATACTGCTTACCTCTTGAAAATAATGTGTAGTGCTAGCTCATGTAAAGACTACATGTATTCGGCGGAGCGATGGTAGACACTTACTGTATGTTGTATATGAACTTACAAGAAGCAGGTAGAGACTTGACAATTCGCTAATCGCTTCCTATTGCGATGCTGCTGCTCTTTGGGGGTTTCTTTTTCCTTTTTTCTTTCTCTTCGCCACCTCTCGCCATCTACATCTCTGTCAAGTTTACTCTACTCTCAATCACAGGGATCAACGATGTCGCGAATCACTGATCAAGAAATTGGTCGGGTATCGATCAAATCGTGACGGAAATCCTTTGATTTATCATTTATCCCGTGGCGTCGACAACCCTGATCTTGGAAATGAGTATTTCAGCGGCTCGGCCCTTGTGGTCCTTTCAAGACCTTGGCTTCATTGAAGGAAATATCTTGGTAAAGACACATCCCTACGTCCGATCAGCAATATAGGAATCGGCAATCTATCTAAGTCGCTTGGCGACGCATGCAAATCATCAAGACGCGCAAGATAATCTAGACTTCGTACTGACTCTGAATGCCCAGACATGTGCCCAGGTCTTGGAGTCAGCTACGCCTCCATGCCAGCCGGAGACTTATCTCTACGATGACCCAAGCCTAGCCTTGCCGTCTCTGAGTGCGTTTCAAAAGTGGAATAAAAGGCCGCCAAGGACTACGGATCGGCATTTGGTGACATTGCCGAAGCGTGGCCAATGAGTCAGCTAGCTTGCTAGTGTAGCGTGCCGGGAGCCTCATTAGCCCGAGATAGGAAGTCCCGGCTTGATGCCCCGACACGGCGCGTAGCTATATGTAGGTAGCAGGGTTGGGCACCGATGCTTGTGTACATCTATTTTGAATTACTCCGAGAGACTATAATTCTGTTGTCTTGGAAGCCTACCTAGTATCGATTTGTGGCTGATTATGCTGATACCAGGCCAAGAAATATGTCATTCCGATGCGAGTTGATTATTTCTGTCTGTAGGCCATCTCATTACAACTGTATAACACGTAAGCCTCTCACTACTCTCAAGTCTTACGTGTACTGCAGGAATGGGGAGGGCTTAGGCACAAGATTGTGTAATCATCCAAGACAAAAAGGGTCGTATCTAGTTTGCTACTAAATCATTAGAGAATATTGGCATCATTCTTCCTCTCCACATGGTTTTCCCTTCCCCTGCCCTCCGCCATGTGTTCTTTGTCATGACTTTGAGAGAAAGCACTGCCGTCCGTTATTCCATTTTCCCGAGATCCCCTTGACTCCGTTTATTGTTCCCTGATTTCCTCGTGAAAGGCCCACATGCAAATATATCAAACCTAGCGATTCAGATGATTCATCACCTCTCTGGTTCAGGCACGGCCGTCATCTTAACGATGGCCTTGCCATCTGCTACACAAACAAAGCTTGGCCATTTCTTTATGCGCTCATCATCAGCCGTATCTACGGCGAAGTAGAAACTTTGACCATTTTCCAGGTCTGGGATAGAAGTGGTCATTTTCTCGATTTGCAGCTCTGAGTTCTCAATGGTAGTCCTGAATACATGTCATGTTAGTCAACGATTAATATATGGCGAGAAGAATTCTTACTGAGAAGATAAGGTTGGACCCTTGACACTGCGGGACGAACTTTGAGTTTTGCTTGACTCTCTCCTTGTTTTGACGTTGCTGTAAAGTTTCCGTATTATTACAGTCAAGAGGTGGCCAAAGCCCGCCACAACCACTGTGACAAGCAAAGTCAGCAACTTCAATTCTGGTCAAGAAACAGATGACTTTGGTAATGACTGTAGCGGCTACTTACGAACAGGCGTGCCTAATGCAAGAGCCCATTGCCTGGAAGAGTCTGTAAGTCAACTGGGTTATAGACGGAGGGGAGTTGGAAAACTCACGGATGTTCCATATCGCACAGGTGGTGCAGCAAGGCTAGATTTACTCCTAGGATGGCGATCACAGAGCCAAACTGCAAAATCGACCATGGGGACCAATACAGGATGATGAGAGGCTCCTCCACGCAGAACTGCATCCCAAAGAGGCAAAATACCTCTATGACAAGCATGGCAGTCGCCACGAGGAATATTCCAAAAGTGAGTCCGAGTGAGACGGCGAGTTTCTTTCGAAATTTCTCGGTAGTAAAGGCCGGGTGGTTACGGTATTCCATCGTCCTGTATATCTATTAGTGATTATACCAAGGCAGCTTGATCTTCGTTGAGTCTTACCATTGGAATATACATGACGTCGAGAGCAATGCTATGATCACAAGGAAGAAGAGACTCCAGTACAACGCTTCAATGTGAATTCTATCGAGGTTCGAAGTGAATCGTGCGTATGATTGGCACCGGTATGCGTTAATAGCGTCGAAGGGGGCTTCCATTTTATTTCTTCTACGCCGTTAATGTTAAGAATTTCTGGAGTATAAAACACAATTACAATAGCAGGAATCTTGTAACGCTTCAAAGGGCTTAATGAGATAGTTAAGGGGAATAGGCCATGTGGTTTTGTATGGCTAGGTGACCGGGGACTTACTTATATGTTTAAGATTAGCCAAGTCTGGGGAACCGCCCTGGCCTTTCGTCTTCCAGCATACCGGCCCAAGACCCAGGTGGAACTAGATCTTCCTTATCGAAGATGACGGGCATCTTGGTATACTCCAGCCAAGCCCATGGTGACGCCCACCAGATGCATTTCATTTATGATTCCAAAAAGAGGTAAGCAGCCACAATTTGTTATCATCGAGAGCTGAGAACGATGGCCAAGACGAAATCTCTGGCACAGGTATAAACACACACACATTCTTGAAGCTTAACAGCATCTCTATCAGGCTGTCACGATATAGTGGTTGATATAGTGGTTGCAATAGATTTCCCTTCAATTTTAAGGAACGGGATGGAAGCCTCATGGGACTAACACTTAGTGGTGGGGGGTAGAGAATTTAGCTTTCGCCCTAATGAATCGGCCACCGCCTTGTCATCTTGGCAGGAGCCGCTACATGAAACCTTCTTGTCTTTCAAACTTGGCGACCTTTTCGTCAGTAATTCAGAGTAGTGGGCATGATGTGCGTAGTGGCTTGCTTGGCAAAAGTTCCGGGTCTTGGTTCGTGATGCAATCAGCCAACGCGAGGCCTCTGTGTATTCACATTGGAATTTTTGCTCAAATTTCCAAATTGGAGTCATAAATCAACATCTATCCACATGAATGAATTGTTATCAATATTCCCGCGAGCTCGGTGTAAGATCGGTGTTCCTAAGGGCATTTTTGGGCTTAAAAATGAATTTTCCGGCTTTGGAATGGAGCCGGAAATGGACCCAGATGCCATTTTAGCGGAATTTCGGCAATGTGGATTCCGGCGTACTTGTTTTCGGCCCAGTTCGTGATAGCTGATGGGTCTGATGAACCAGAAATCACATAGACATATAGTTGCAAGGAGGTAGGAATTAAATATACCGTAACTGTATTCACCTCGAAACGTAGCTATATAAGGCCCGAGACCTCTCCGAACGAGAGAAACCATACTAAAACACGAAGTAACGAAACCTTACCCACGAGTTGTCTTATCTCTCAACTATGTGCAACTTCTCTTAGATAAGAACAGCTCTCGAACTTTCGCAATACTATACTACGCAACATCCTCCCGATATGGTCTACGACCTTTCTATGTGACTTTGAATATAAATGCTGGAAAAGCTAAGAAGTAAAAAGATATACATCTCATTCGTAGATGAGAAAAAGCAGATCAATATTCTATGTGCACTCAAATAACAATCGAATTTCGCTACTCATGGTTGTAACAGGCTTTGTGCTATCACTACCTAGATGAAAGAGCGTGCCCCTTTGTATGTGGGTTTGATGAGGTCCGTAGCCGGTTGCAACGTGTGTTCTATCAGCCAAACACACAGCATTAGCCATCTAGTGGTACTAACTCAAGGTTCTCGTCCCACTGAAAGCCCGGAGGTGTTATGGGCTGCGGCAATTTTCCGTCGCTGTCTTGATATTGGTGTACGTCCTCTAACAGAGGTAAAGCCTCCAAGTCCTCATTTGAGAGCGAGTGTCTGTACATGTAGTCGTCAAGATGCTTATATGCAGTCCAAAGTGCGAAGGGGACGCCGAGGGGTTGGCTATTTGGCCGCTTTCGGTGCGCTAAGTCGGGGATCCATCGCTTTCCTCTTTTGATCTCCTCGTCAATATTATCCTCCAGGATGTCATCCATGTACTTCTTCTTGCCATGACCATGAGATTTCCCCTTCGATGACTTGGTACTCGTTGGCGTGGTGGGAGTCAAAGGGCCATTTAGGCCTAGTAGTTGAGCTTGCTCTGCCTAGGCGTCATCGACATTTCGTGCGTCTACTTTCTTGATCAGGGCTTGCTGAGCTTTCTTGCGCTGTCGTACAGCTGAAGCTCGCGACTTTACTTGAGATTTGTCAATGGCCGATGAATTACGCGAGTCCATAATTTCTCCTATATTGGCTTCTGACGATTTGGCGGTATTCCTAGCAGCTCTTCCTGGCTGACGGCGGCCGGGTTTGCGGTGAGACTGCATGGTTTCCTTCATGTTGAGATCGTTATACTGCAAGTTTTTCTTCAGGGTGAATGGTAGAGCTGAAAGAAAGTGAATAGAGGTGAAGTATTGATATGAGAAATGATGGCACTGATGGTTCGAGTCGTGAAGTTTAAATACAAATCAGGTGGTGGCCCTGAAGCATGGAGTCCTGAGACGAACCTCATAGATTATCTATCGATTCAAATAGAAAGTGGTAAAATTTTGTTCCTTTGTCAGCTTATAAGAGCAAGCTTCAAGATTGTGTGGTGCACTCTTTGTCTGAGAACATGATAGTGAACACTTGATACAAAGGGGTCGATTCATTTGCCAGAGTTTCACGGCGTTCCCGCCCTCTCTCTGTTTTATCATCGGTGATAATTTATTGATTAAGGCACTGTAATGAAAGAAACAAAATAGTCGAATTTGTCCGGGTATACTCCTTTCCCCCAGACAGTATCGCTTTTATCTAGGCTACACCTCTTTGTTACCTCGTCCCCGGAATCCGGATATTATTTCCAGACGTCGAATATGGTTTACTACTAGTATTGTAACCCTCATGACATAGCGACTTGGCTGAACTAGGTATTACACTAGTTATGTCAGTGCTGCACCGCAATGCAAAACGACCAACAGTCCACACAAGGCAACCTATTGGGGTCAATACTGACCAATTTAGTGGAGCCCAACCTTGCTCGAGTCACCGACCCCGAGTCTGCATACTTACAAGAAAGATGGCCGGACCATTCGGGTGTGCAACGGAAGTGGACTAGGCACTGCGGGTTACCAACAGCAGGCTGATTGCCGAAGAAAATGCTCCCAAGTAACCAGACGTGAATTCCGCCAAAATGTATCGTCTCCTTCATTGGTACCCAGAGCATTACTAGTGTTGATATTGCATGAGAGTTGGTGCAGAAACTCCCAACTTAACCCCGAGGATTGCGGACGACTCAAGAAAACGTCATGAATCCCATCAGGATTGCCATCATTGGCGGCGGCCTGGCTGGGGCTTCTCTAATTCATGCCCTCGTCAAATTTCCTCACCTTGATGTACATATCTTTGAATCTGCTTCTGTTTTCAAAGAAGCTGGTATGGCTATTGGGATTGCCCGAAACGCTCAATCTGCTCTTGAGCTCATCAGCCCTTCCGCTGCACAGAGTCTCCAACGAGCCGGCGCCGTACCCATGAGAGGTGTTCGCTTCATGATGGCTTACGGTGACACAGCGGGGACTGTGGCTGATGAAGTGGATGATGTAGTTCAAGGAAAGCGTCTTACTAGTATCGTCCATCGCGCGGACTTTCTCCAAGAGCTACTCTCTGATATTCCTCGAGAGCAAATGCATGCAAGCAAGAAGCTGCTAAAAGTCGATGGAAATGGGCCTGTAACACTTCATTTTACAGACGGAACTACACATGAGTGCGACATCGTCATTGGTGCTGATGGCATTCACAGCGTGGTGCGAAGGCTCGTCCTGGGTGAGAAGGATCCTGCAGCCTCTCCCCAGAACAGTGGTGCCTGGCTCCTAATGACCCTTCAACCATTTGACAAAGCTCAAGCTAGCCTGGGTAAGGAGCTTGTCACAATGGAAGATGCGCGCGAATACGGGTGGGCTGGCAAACACGCATTTCTAATGCATAACATTCTGAGTAATGGCGAACTAGTGCAATTTGTGATTGCTGCGAATGATAAAGAAGAATCAACTATATCGGACCAATGGCAACGTGTCGTAGGCGTCGACGAGATCATGGAGCTGTACCAAGATTGGCCTTCTCATTTAAACAAGGCCGTCAACGAGGTAAGTGTCGCATTTCACTAAGAGCGAATGATATAATGAGACTAATATGATTCCAGCTTCTGTGTGGTCAACCTGAGCATAAGGCCTTGTATCTTTGGGACCATCCCAATGCCTCCAGCTATGTTTCAGGACCTATCTGTATCACCGGAGACGCTGCCCACTCGACGACACCATGGCAGGGTTCCGGGGGTGGCATGTCTATTGAAGACAGTCTCATTCTCTCCTCGTTACTTGGGCGTGCAAAAGCGCCGTCTGAGGCCCTCACGGCATTACAAGTATATGACCAAGTTCGTCGCCCTCGCACACAACGTATCGTCGAGTCAAGCCGGGCCACAGGAGCTATGTTGACTGGTAAGAAGGAGATAGATCCAGAGACTATGAGAACATTCTTGTCTAGGTGGGACTTCATCGTCGATATTGATATGGAGAAACATCGTGATGAGGTGATCCGGCTGTTTGAGGCTAAGCTGAAAGAGGAATGAGCATATAGTAGCTAGTAACGCACCCCTTTACTTACTCTTGTGGTAGCACAATGATAATCACGACCAAAGGGAAGGACTGGGATTCAGCTACGCGCCGGGCCCTTCTATCATCTCATATAAATAGATGGCTACTAGTATTCAACTATTATTTGCGAAGATCATATGCTGCTTTCATGGATTGCGCAAGATTAGGCGAAACAGTTTCGCAACGATCAACAATATAGAACTATCCCGGTTCTGCTGAATACGGCATATTTTATTTATGCAATAAAAATTCAGCACACGATCTTTCTTTACCCCTCAGTATTGATGTTCCTAAACCCATCAGTACATGTATTCATTGGTCTTGGGCACTCTTGCCTTTGATTACCGATGTAACTTGCTGCTACAGGCCATATCTTATAGACATAACTATTTGATGCTAGTGAATAGTTCATAACAGCATATCTGACATATCTGTCAGGTACCCTATTAGATATCTGTTGGGGGTATATCTGACCCCTTTGTTACGTTAGCTGTCAATTCTCCACATTTGCTCCTCAGCCTCTCGAACAAAGAAATCGGCCTTGAAGAGGAGCATTCATCTAGACACCTTTGTCTGAATTGGGTCTTTCGATTATCTCATTATTTTCCTTTGACAATAATAACGTCGAAGAAAGATTTCCGTGTTGGTTATAATGTTCGATCTATATCTATGAGTTCTAGCAACGTCTTAAGTGCATTCGACTCCTTACAGCATTCTAAATATGGCTAGTGTTCTCTACGAAGACGGTCAGCCCGATCACAAACCTATTGCCGAAGCAAATACCAATCATTCGAAAATCCCTCACAAGCAGAAGTACATTGAGCTCTATGGGGTAGAAGATGTTGAAGAAGTAGAGGATTACAGAGAGAATGGTTTTCATCCAGTCGACATATTAGACATTCTAGACGGCAGGTTTGAGGTTTGTCACAAGCTCGGAAGCGGCGGGATAGCAACAGTATGGTTATGTTATGAAGCCGGTCGCCAAAGGTGGAGGGCTATCAAGATAAATGCTGCATCGCACTCATCAATGGACAGCGCGGAGCTTAGAATCGGCAAACTATTGGAGAAACAGGGGTTCACACCTCAAGAGCTTGAGAAACATCATATTGTTATTGCGGAGGAGACCTTCTGGATCGAGGGACCTAATGGCAGGCATTTGTGCTCGGTCCTGCCAGTTTTCGGCCCTAGTCTCCCACAATGGAGAGAGCTGGCCGTTGGATGGGGCGCTTCGAAGATTCAGGAAATCTGTTACGAGATCGTGCAAGGCCTTCACTTCCTTCATGAACACGAAATCTGCCACGGAGATTTTCGACCACAGAATATACTAATGCGACTGGCAGATGGTGGGCTTGATCATCTTGATCCCGATGACCTGTTTGCGATAATCAGCCTCCCTTCTCGACACAAGGTACTGACCCTGGATGGAGAGCGCAGCCTAAATGCTCCGAAATGGGTAACAGAGCCGTTGAATTGGTATGAGCTCAAGGACTTGGTGTTGGATGGTGTATCCATCGTGGATTTTGGAGAGGCCTTTGAAACCACTTCCCCTCCAAGTTTCTTAGGCATTCCTGGTACCTATGCTAGCCCAGAAGTTGCATATGGCGGAGAATCTCTAGGAAAGGGCATTGACATATGGTCACTCGCCCTGACACTGATGGAGACCAGGACAGGAAGAAAGCTTGGTGATATACCTAATAGTCCACTGGACCGCATGGAAAACTTTGCCGGGCCGATACCACCTCCTTATCGATCTGCCGCCGCCGAGGAAATTTATCGGAACCAACTTGATGAATTTCGTAGATATGGCCCAGAAGAGATGAAAAAGCCGCAGCCCCCAAGTGAGAAGATTCTGGAAAGCACGAGCTCGCTTACTGATATGATGTGGGAGACATCCGGCGGGGGAAGTGTATCTACGTCCTTATCTCCTGACGGAATTGAAAAGGAACTACGTAATGAACTCTGGGAATGTGTTCTTGTACCCCAGGAGACAGATACAGGAGAAGAAATTACCGCAGAGATGAGACCATATCAACTCTCCGAGCATGAAGTTGCTGCACTCAAGGATTTATTAACGGGGATGCTAAAGTACAGGCCCAGCGATAGGAGAAGCACGTCCGACGTACTCAGGCATTCTTGGTTCAAAAAAGATTTTGATAACGAAGAATCAGATGCTAAAGAGCCAGCTGAGCAGTTGGTGGGTTTTACCAGTAACAGCGCGCCACTTACAATTAGCGAGGGAGCTGACACGACCAAGCTCAAGACAGACGAGCAAGATAATAGGACCGCTAGAGGGAACTGGTCTCGATATCTATTTCCCGTATCGCAAAACAAAAAGCTTTTTGTTTTGAGCTTTTGCCTCCCTATTATGTTTTCTTTTCTCCTTCTATGGTATATGGGGCTAAGCTCAGACCGGGTGACGATTCGGAATCTCGAGGTATTCAGTATTGAACTTGGCCCAACTCAACCTGGGACACACGCAGGCAAGTAATAAATTGCACGATTTCGTGTATGTTGCCAAAGAATATCTTGTGATACTCCTGCTCTCCCTCTGGAGGCAGATACGATTACAAATGTAGATAGTTCTGAAATTCAAAGCCTAAAGGCATGGGGTATCGCAAGTACCTCCTCGCTGATTAATTACGCTATACACTTTGTTGATACGCACTATAATTCTCTTGCATCGATGAATAGAACGTATTATGTACACATAGTCATATAGACCTCAGGAATGACTGCATCAAACTATGACCATGTAGAAGCTTTGCCCCCAGCTATGTGAGAGATTCAGGAAGCAGCTAGTCACTTTTTGAATTCTCGTGTCGTAATTCATTCTAGTTATCTATGTACAAGTCCGTTTATTTCCTCTGGGGCCAGTGACCTCATGGGATGTATCCGTTGATGTCGAACAAAACGTGCACAAAGACAGTACCAGCACCTTTCATCAACACACGATTGCGTAAAATCGTTTCCCTTCTCGCAATCAAAGCGCTGCCATGGCTTTGTTTCAAAGTGAATCTCTCTCTGCAGGTGAAATTTCTTCAAATGTTTCAGAAGTAAGTCCGTAGTTGTGTATTGACACAAATTTAACATGAGTTCTCAAACTAAGTGGAATCTTGAATGGAACCCAGCGCCTGGTGCGCGACTGCCTCTAAGGGGAGATAAAGCCAGCTCGGTTAACACGAAAACCTTTGGTAACGGCACGTATGAAGACCCACGTGTAAGTCCAACTCAAGTACCTGTTCCCACTCAGTTTTCTGAATCAATGATAGATTTCATACTGGTGTCCTCTCCAATTTTCGGGGCCTGAGCTACACGAGTTTAACGAGTTCGCGCGGAAAATATGCCAGGATTTAGGTTTCACACATATTTGGATTAGGTATATTCCTACCTGGTTCTCATTCTCATGCAAATTTAACAAGAGGCCAATAGGGCTTTCGTACACGACTGGAAAACCAAGCGCGATCAAATTACAGCTCATAGAACAGGAGGGATTCAGAGAGGAGAGGATGCTCACATTACGGTCTATCTGAGTGACCGGCCGGATTGGATAAACGTTCACGGAGATATATATGTTGAGACAAGAAAAGTAGGCGAAAGGAAGAAAATGCCAATTGGTCTAAAGAGGACAGAAACAATGAAGCTACAAGGGGATAGCCCACCGCGAAACCCAAGATTATATGTGTGGACGGAAAAAGATACTGGAAGGACTACTGAGAAACATGATATCGCAATGGCATCACGCAGTTGGAGAAATACGATGAACTGAGAACCCATCGTCGCAAAGTCAACTCGCTTTTGGAAAGGGTGAAGACAGACCCAACAATAGCCAGCTTAGCTAGCGTTATACCGTAATGGGCAATTGTTTTTCAAATCTCCAAGTAACATCGCATTCCCACATAGAAAAGAAACTCTAGGTAACGGCCACTAAGTATTTCGATTTTGGGGAAGACATTGTCTTTCTGATTTGGTCGGATCCAAATTCACAGCGAGATGTTGATAACTGTCTGTGGCTCTCGGGTGCGGTACTGTTTATAGCAATGTAATACCACATTCATTCGCTTAAACGGTATATGATATTGCTTAAAGTAATCAAGTAGGCAGCCATCAGCTGTGACTGTATGTCAAGTAACACGCTTGTTCACCTGAAATTCGTGACTTTATTGTTGATAAAATCTTTTCCATCTTCACATAGCAAGATTTTCTTGATTGAGATCAAATAGAGCAATGGGTTCGAACCCAAGTTTAGTGCCCTTCGGTCTTCAAGACTTGCCTACCGATATCAGCCCCCCGATAACCTCCAACAGCGTCGCGAATTTTGATCCAGAAACGATCAAGAAAGATGCACTGGACACCCGAATTGTAGTTCACCATCGCTTTCCCGAGCTCGTGCAGCGCTTCCTCGAGCACAAGAGGCTCCATGGTAGCAGCATAGAGAAAGCACTCTACCATGACGGCTGGACCTGGCAGCAGCAGATTTCCCGTTTTATAGAGAAACGGAGCCTGGTGTTCATGGGCGGGAGGGACTTCACCGTGGTGAGGAACGGAGAACAGATCGGTGGCGCGTACAAGGAATGGGACCGCATCGGAACTGAAAGAGAGAGCGAAAACGAGTATCTTTTTCTGAAGGATTACCTTAGCTACGATGAGATTATGCTGGGCAGCTTGCTAGGCGTCAGCAGCCCTAGTTACTTCGTCAACGACGGGAGTCGCAACAACATGGGCCGTCCGGGTAAGGCGGGTGAGTTCGAACCGCGCGGGGTAATCATCGGGCTTGTTGGGGCTCGTTTTGAAAGACCCGATCGGATGGATTTCGCGCTCTTATTACGAGATGCCCAGAATCCCAGGATGCATCCTGAGCTCAAGGGCTTATTCTACGATTTCTTCGGCAGAAGAAGAAAAGACCCGCAGGCGATATTTGATGAAGAAATGTACAAGGCGAGAATCCGGATCAGCGCTGACATCCTATTCTTTGAAGCGAGTCGGAGAGCGAGAGCCGCGGGGAAAAAGGCGCACGTTTACGTGGTTGGCTTAGGTCTTGGGGTTTGGGCTCTACACGGCATGGGCAACCAGTCGTTACTCTACGTCGAGGCATTTATGGAGTCTCTAGAGCAGCTCGGCGACAGCCTTTCTTATATTGGCACTGTAGAGTTTGCTTGGATCGATAAAGTCCTGGGTTTCGAGCAGCGTTCGATGTCCGTTGGTGCTCTCCAAACGAATATCGATGTGAGGTTCACACGCCGTAACCCGGCAGAGAAACTTCATGGCGCTGATGAAAACAACCTCCTTGTTTTGAGCTATGCTTGGGATGGAAACGCCTTTCCTGGTAATGAGTACTGGGTCGGTTCTCTTACAGCCTCGGGAGACCCTGCAGCAGCTTGTATGTCGACGATCAGCGAACTTCATAATCCTTTGGTGAATCCTGGATTTCTTGAGCGCATAGAGGTTCTTGGCGAGATGCCGCTCGTTTCAGCTTAGCAAACATGAAGACGTTTTTGAATATTCTTAGTTCAACGTTAAAAGCGTCTAGACAGAACGGCTTTTAAGAGAACTGCATATGTTCTGAGACTATAGCTTTCACGAGTTTTCATTTTGATGAGTTGATGACATGACAAGAATCCTAAACACCAGATCTTCTTAGATCTCGTGAAAGGTTTAATTTTCATTTATGGTGCCGATGCTTATTTAGCCGCTCGCCTTACAATTATCACAACCTCTCTATCCAATTGCAATTCATAGCTGCACTTTCAAATAATCCAAGAGCCCCATCCGTCTATAGTAGTTTACTTTATTGTTGTCCACAACAGCAGCAGCGGCATATGCACCACCCATTGTTGGATCAGGGAACATTCTGAACGGCTTCTTGCCCCGCGGATATCTCGCAAGGTCGACCAGCGCATCGGCAACAACCTGAGGATCCGCATCCGGAGGGACAAAAGCCGCTATGCCATTCATCGTCTGTTCACAAAGGCCCTTCGTAGGCCCATCCTCGTACTCCTGTGCGACGTTTGGGCGACCCGGCTTCATAGCATCGGGAAAGTGATTCGTCCCCTTAGTAAACACACCCGGGCTCACAATCGTAGTTTCTATGCCCCAAGCCGCTAGCTCAGCTGCATAGCTCTGTGCGAGGCCGTCTTGCGCTGCTTTTGCCGCGAAATAGGCACCTAGAAGCGGGCTGTTGACGCCATACGTCGACGAGCTCCCTATCCAGACGAGATGCCCCCTACGCGCGTGCCGCATGTGCGGTAGAGCTGCCATGTTCAGTCGCTGAGAGCCCACCACGTTCACATCGTAGAGTCGCAAGCACTGCTCAGCGGTGAAACTCTCGGTCGGACCGTAATTCATGTGTCCTGCGTTATGCACGACGACATCGATGCGTCCTGTCCTGTCGAGAACGTGCCTCACAGCAGCATCGACTGACTCTTGGGATAGGAGATCGAGAGAGACGGTACGAAGGTCTGCCTTGTGCTCACGGCTGAATGCTGCAGCCTCTTCTTCGTACTTGGAAGTGTTGCCGTCGTGGGAGTACATCCCCGCAAACACGATGTGTCCTTCTTTGGCCAAGGCTCTAGCGCAGAGGGCGCCAAAGCCAGTTGAGGCTCCGGTGATAAGGTAGATTTGTGACATTGGATCTTCACTTCGATTTTGATAGTAGGAAAGTGGTACAATATGATTGTTTGCGTTACCTTTGAGTTCATCATCGATCAAGAGACCACAAAGTGGTGTCATCTTTTATACTCCTATTCATAGCTGCTCACATACTAGATTTTAGCTCTCAACATATTATGAAAATACTGCACCCAAAAACCCGCTCAGAATTAAGTCCTTTGTTTCAAGAGAGGCTGCACGTTAGGGGCGTAATCGGGATTATGAGTGTTCTGGCTCAGCTCCGAGTCGGATTTACAAAATATGCTAAGCAGGTGACACAAGTTGCGGCTATCCCATAGTGTTGGAAAGCCGATTATAAGGTTACCTTGTGACAGAGATCCGTACGCCATCAACACCGTTGCCCTTCCGGAAGGCTGGTTCTTTGACGGCTGCAATCGTCTCCAGCCGGACTTTTCGGTCCCAGCAGCGGTTGTACGGACATATCGCGGCTTCGGAGTCTCGGTGGAAAACAGCACTCGAGGGTAACCGAGAATACACGTCGATGCGTAATAACCGGATATCTCGAACAATTGGTGGCATTAGTATACACACACTGCCTACTCTTGCTCTTTACTTTACCGGAGTATCTTGTTTCAAAGCTAGGCGCGTCTCTACTTATTGCCATGGCGAGGATGCTTCTGTCACTACGATCAGGCCTCAGCTGCCCATTGATGGGAATAGCAATGCTGCTTTATTGTCGACTCTCTATATCCGAAAACGAACCTGATAAATTACTGATACCATTGCATCCGCTTTTCCGCGCGGAGCGGCTGGAGCGGTTGGAGACAGTTGCAGTCAGTTCAGTCAGCGCATCGCAGCAATGCGTACACGTGCCGGGTCATTGTATCAGGACGTTCCTGCATTGAGGAGCGCGCGTAACTCTGGCGAAGCGCAACGTCAACCGCGGCTATTGTTACTAATCCGGGGAAACGGGGAAAAGGGGAATAGAGGACTAGGGGCTGTAACCCCTCATCGAAATCATGAGATATACATACCCGAGAGGTGAAGTCCAAGGCTCCTAGGCTCGTGCCGAGAATTTACAAGAAAACTGCCATGATGCCTAACATGGATTATCTAGCGCCAATTTGTCAACCGATACAGTAAAGAAAAGACGAATATGTCCTTGTCCATAGCCAACATGCTCAATATCTGCTGGATTATCAGCACAGATGAGTTTTGAACTTCAACAAATCAGAGAGAGATGTAAGTTGACTTGTGATGTCTTGTTGTTTTACCTTCATACAAATCGACAGACCGAGCGGTTGACAACCCCGCGATGCTACCTCGCCTCCCCCGTCTCTTACCCCGTACTTTAGCGGTGAACTACAGCAGGCGGTTCACTGGGGATCGTCGTTAGGGCGTCTAGGCGGTATTTTAGGCACGGCGGCTGTGCCCTATCAAAAGCTGAGCATTACAATACCTAGGTACCGCTCGCCTACCTGCTACCTAAGTAAGACCAGCTGCCTACGCTAAATATCAAGTGTGTCTACGGGCAGTAACATCGTCAATGTTCTCACTGACCTATCAGACTCCCCTTAATTGATCCTCAAGGCCTGAGTAACACTACCCCGCCCATACCTACTAGGTATATAGTAGGTACATACCTTATGTAGGTACTTACGAAGTAGGTAGGTAGGCGGGTGTACAGAGCCGGCTGTTGCCTTACCCGACTCGCCCGAGATTGGCCGAAGGAGGGGTGGAGGGGCTCCAGAAGCCTGCTGGAGGGTTCTACAAGTCACTTATAGTAGGTATGGAGGGGCAGGGCAGCTACTGTACGTACCTACCTACCTATTACGTAGGTACGTAGGTAAGCATAGGTAATGTACCTTTATTGTAGCTTCTCGCCTCTGGTACTTGCCCTTGGGTACTTGGTTGGGCGCCGAGTGCAAGTACCCTCGCTACTGTATCTACACCGCAACAGTACTGACAGCTGCTGTACACTAAAGACGCATGGATGCATGCAGGTAGGTGCCATGGAAAGTGCGAGTTACAATGCATGCCATTGCCATCCCATCTGAGTCTCCCACACATTTCATTCATTTGTTCAACTAGCTGAGTCGGCCCTCCGACGTCAGGATTTTCTCGCTCCTCCATAGATAATCCCTCCTGTATATCATCCTCCAACCCATCCAACCATCGACCAGCGAAACCATCTGTCTGCTGGTTTTTTTTGTATCTGTGCTTTCACTTGCCATCAGTCGGCGCTGGACGCTTCTTTCTTATTGTTCCAGCGTTTGGATACTCACCGCTAAAGAATGCACCTGGAGGTCGCTTCTTGACCTTGACCTTGACCTATTCCGTTCGGACCTCAGCCGAAGATACGCGAATAGAATCGGTTCTACCAAGCAATTGACCCGAACTGTCCTGAAGACTTATATGTCTTCATATCTCTCCAGTTGGCCTGCAGAGAATCAACTACAGGCGTCTTTCAACTGAGATAACAATATTGGAGTCATTCCGTACACTAATCCGGACCACACACATCGCACCAAGCGGTATCGGTCTGTTTGAATTTGACAGCACTCACCCACCAACCACCATGCCGTCCTCACAACGACCCTTCTTCTTATCGTCTTTGCTGGCCGCCTTTCGCCAACAGCCGCCCTCCCTATCCGCCACACCTCAACCCAACAAGCATACACATACGCACGCCACCACACAGTCTTCATCCGCCAGCGCATCATACGGCTCATCACAATCCCCCTCGCAGGCGCGGTCTATCTCTTCCTCATCTCCCTCCCACCCCCAAAGCTCGACACAGACGACGTCATCGCCCCCGCCGCAGCGGACAAGCGGTAGTGGCAGCGTGATGAATCAACTCCCATCGTTACACTCGCCACTTCCCATCCCGGGCGGCTCAGGCCATCGGCGCGGCAGTGATAGTAGTAGCGAGGGGTTTCGCGATGTGCTAGGCGCTGATAAATGGTATATTGGAGGTCGAACCGCCGGCGGCGAGGAGAAATTCTTCAAGCTCGGTGTCGTAAAGCGCGTGCGTAGCCAAGACCGACTCAGTCTAGATCGCTTGAGCTTATAAGATGCTCAAGGATAGATGAGTCGAGAAGGTGTCGCAAATTCCAACCAACGGACAAAAACCTAGCAGAATTTACACGTTTATTATACGCATTTCAGGAAAGGGCGACTTACTTTGGTCTCTGCGGGAGAGCGCAGGGGCCGTCAGATAGAGGTGGCCTGGCAGTGTTAGAGATCGTGGCATGTCGCATCCATCATTGAGGACGGCAGCCACAATCATACAGGGATGAACTTGGCTACAAGGCCGGGCATGAAGACACGGATGACATGAGACATAAAGACCCTGGGGTGGCTCCCCACGGCAAATGGTCACGGCGCAAAATGGTTGTTTATTGGAAATGGCGTTTTACAGGCTTGGAGACAGAATAATGCGTTTAAGAAAAGCAAGCTTGGTCGTGAAAAGTGGGCGGGGCTGCGTAACGGACACTGTCCCGCTTCCTTCCAAATATGTCAACTTGTGAACATATCATCTACATATACGTAAACCCAAATCACTCGGGCGTTGAAATGTCAGCCTTTGAATCAATATGCCTTGTATTAATGCAACTTTGCTATGGATTTGGGTGATAATCATGTAATTATTGACTCTCCCAGCTATGAATTAGTGACATAAGCTATGTCGTTCGTTATAGTTACCCCTTTTATCTATCACCATAATTGAAGAAACCCACATTTGAAGATTGACTACATAATGCTTATACTAGAGAAAGCAGCAGTAGTTCACTCCAGGTGGTATTTTCCGGCTGTATCCCCTGATTTGATTCCTCTACTCACCACATGAATCGCTGCACGCGCCCTTCGTCCTGCAGCGTGCCATCCGGCGCGCGCCAGTAGAACGGTCGCGTTATGAATATGTCCACGGTGGCTGCGTTGATCAGCACGAACCAAGCTGTCTCCAACAATAATATAGAGGCCTCATGACTGCGGCGCGATGGAGATTGTTTAGGCGCCTTTGTGCGTCTACCCGGCTGGGATGGGGAAGATAGAGAGGGCATTGAAGTCGTGGGGATGAGCAGGCGCCAGAAGACCCATGGCAAGATGAAGTAGCGTGGTTCGACGAGCGGTGCTGTCATGAGGGAGAGTGCGGTGGTAACGAGGAGCATTAGGACGGTGGAGGTGGGTGGTGATGCCGCTTCGGCGTCGACTTCATCTACGCTCTGGTCTTGGGCTGCTTTCGAATGAGGAGAACGCGGCTTTTGAGTCGACATAAATGGCGACTGAATCCGATCCTGCTGAGAGGGCAGAGGCACCTGGGGTCCTTGCAAGACAGCCCAGCATAGCCAGGCACAGACGATGTAAACGGGCGCGAGGGCATAGCGGATCCACCATGCTCTTAATATGCTGTATCGGAAGACGTAGAATACGTAATGTCTGTTGTCGGCTAGCGTGAAAGGATGGATGATTGTGTTGAATCGCACTATGAGCAGTGCCACTACTAGAGCACCGCAGCTGAGCACGACTGTGATTACGAGGCGGACTGATAATATGCGGCTGAGGAGTCCTGAAAGGGACTTCTGGCGGATCTCAGAAGTTATCGTTTGGTATGTCGTGATTACCGAGTTTAGGAGCTGGGGAATGAAAAGGGGCGCAGAGAAGAACGTGAAGAAAGGCCAAATATAGAGCAGTTGCGCGAGATGCAGAGTGGCAACGTGGTTGGATTTATCGCCTGTGATACATTATTATTAGGAGCAGGTATGGGGTAGCAATCATATCGAGCTCACCTAATACTACTCCGCCATTCCAGGCGACGAAACCAACGAATGCCCCGAGGATCACCCCATGTGGCCACAGAAATCTACGCAGCACTGTCGGAAGATTACACGTCGCGGCAACTCCAATGCTCAATGCACAAAGGACAATATCTGATCTGGTTAGTATGATTTCCGAAAGGGCTGTCGTTAATACTTACCGATAGGCTGCGCAAGACTTAGCGAAACATCGTGCACGTCTCCAAGAGAGTATCTCCATGCATAGAATCCGATTTGATCGGACAATGTTTGGAATTTCGGTGTTTCCACAGGCGCTGGTTTCAAGGTCTTGATCGCATAGACAACTTCCAATCCACCCATATAGACCACAACCCAGAATATGTTGGTCTGTCGGAAGGCTAATGTGACAATGCCAAGAGCGAGAGTGTACACATCGTTCAGGAATGAAGGCGGTTTCGCGCCTACTCTTGTGAGATGATTCGCATATGCGAGTAATACTATAAGCGTAGATGAGGGATCTGTGTAATACAACCCCGAAAAGAAGAAAAGGACTGGGAAGAGGCCGATATTGATCCCCGTCGCTATTTCGCGAATTGTAATCTCGCGATCTGCGCCTGGTTTCCCTGGGATGTGAACTAAGCGCGCTCTGCAAATGAGGACGAGAACCGTAATCAACGAGACGACAAGAACATTGAAGCCTCGAAGGTTGTAAATGGTGCATGGAAGGCGTAGAATTTTGTTGAAGACGATTGTTGAGATATACCTAGACGTTTGAGCGGTTGTGGGACAAATGATGCGGTGGTAGTCTGAACTCACAATCCAGGGGGTGTTGTGATTTTATCATCCCATTCGAGATATCTCCCCTGGCAGTAGACTTGGGCCTGGGGGATATGAAAGACCTCGTCCTGGTGAATCAATTGTTAGTTCATTGGCTGTAGAGTTCAAGCTACTAGATTCGTACCAGGTACGGCGCCGGCACGTGTTCAGTAACGACCAACAGCCATGAAAGCGCCAAAGGAGTAATGCATGCGAGCGGAATGAATGTGCCGAGGACTAAGCCTCGCATGGATGAGAACCTGGTGAATAGATATGCAGCGAGGAATAAGACCGGGAAAGGTCTAAGCCATACCCCTAGTGATGGCTCACTGGGGGCTAAAGTGTCACTCATCTTTGACGCATTGATTGGGACTGGCTGAGCTGGGAAAGAAAGAAAACCGATCGAGCAAAATTTATATCATATTGGAATTATTATTTTTAAGAGTGAAAATAGTGAGAGAAAACAATCTCAGTGGAAGTTAACACGCCAGCTGCGTGTTTGCTCTCACTGGTTGTTTGAAGCCAATTACTTCCAAATTAAGTAAGACGACAGCGAGACATGATCGGGCGCTTCCGTGTTACCGGATACCGGGCTGCTGCAGCTGCCAGCACAGGCAAGACACCACCATCTGCAGCTGTCAGAGACGTCACTTCACCATACATGAATGTTTCAAGCCATTCGACCCGTTTACACCTCTCACTGGTCATCTAGTCACTCTTTCACCGTTGGCCATTGAGGGCTGCAGAGCCCAAGATCCTACCACCAGTATGGCACTCCCACGCGCTCTGTCAAAGCGTACGCTTTTGTCCGCCACTGCTCCGGTAATGGCCACGCGACAAGCCCCAAGACGGGTTGCGCAACATTTGGTTTCCCAACGCGCGGTTTCGACTTCGAGCTCGACAGCCGGTGTCTCTCGTGCCCGAACAGCCTTGCTAGTCACCAGCGTCGCCCTGTCTGGTGTTGCTATCTACATCTATACCACCGACACACGCGCCTTCTTCCATCGCTATGTCGTCCCGCCACTGCTACGATTCATCTACCCAGATGCCGAGGAGGCTCACAACGCCGCCGTATCATCGATGAAGAACCTTTACAGCCTGAACCTGCACCCGCGAGAGCGATCTTCGATGTTGACCGTTAAAAGCGACAATGACATCTCCGTCTCCGTGTTCGGCACGCATCTCGCTAACCCAATTGGCATCTCCGCGGGATTAGACAAACACGCTGAAATCCCCGACGCACTTTTCGCTCTTGGCGCCTCGATCGTTGAAGTCGGAGGCTGCACACCTCGACCCCAAGAAGGGAACCCTAAGCCACGCATGTTCCGAGTGCCTGGCATCGACGGCCTTATTAACCGGTACGGTCTCAATTCGCGCGGCGCCGATAATATGGCAATGCGCCTGCGAGAACGAGTGCGCAGGTTTGGAAGGACTCTTGGGTTAGACGAATCAAGTGTCTTGAATGGCGAGGCAGGAGTTCCGCCCGGAAGTTTATTACCTGGCCGGTTACTACTGGTTCAAATCGCCAAGAACAAGGAGACCGATGAGAGCAACGTAGAGGCCGTTGCGAAGGACTATGTCTACTGCGTTCAACAGCTGGGGCGTTATGCGGATGTTTTAGTAGTCAACGTGAGCAGCCCTAACACGCCGGGTCTGCGTAATCTTCAGGCCGTCGAACCCCTGACCAAGCTTCTAAGTGCAGTGGTCGATGAAGCACGGAAGACGGACAGGAAAGTCAAGCCCAAAGTTATGGTCAAAGTCTCGCCGGACGAGGATGAAGACAACCAATTGGAAGGAATTGTCCAGGCCGTGTGGTCCAGCGGTGTCGACGGAGTTATCGTTGGAAACACCACGAAGCGCAGGACTGGTATCATACCCCCTGGTGTCGGCATTACGACAAAGGAGCAGATGACATTGACGGAAACTGGTGGTTACTCAGGCCCCATGATGCTAGGCCGCACTGTCGACCTTGTTAAGCGATACAGAAAGATGCTAGACGCTAGTTCGTGGCGGGAGCTCGTTCAAGAGCAGAAGGTAGTTGACGAAGCAGTTGATGCAAGCATTACTGGCATCGATGACACAATCATCGGGATACCGAAAGAAGGGTTAGCTACCAAGTCCAAGCCTGATGTCACACTGGCGTCGGGTAATACATCAGAGCAAAAGGTTATCTTTGCGACAGGTGGTATAACTAATGGACATGATGCACTCAAGGTGCTCAATGCGGGAGCGAGCATTGCCATGGTCTACACCGGCCTTGTTTACGGCGGCGCAGGTACGGTTACACGCATGAAAGACGAGATGAGGAAGGAGATAGATGCACCTAAGGCGTAAGGGATAGCGTAGAAGCGGGGTCACCGTCGTGCATTAGAAAGACAAACCTGTACTATTACCAGAGTAGACATTTTTAGATCAAAAGCTTTTTGGTATGGGATGTGTTTAGATAAGCGGAGTCACGGAACTACTACAAGCCAAATTGAAGACGGAATGAAATCTATTGGTATTGTTTTAATACAGGTTCGCGGTACATGCAACGCTGCTGGCCGATGCGGTTGATCATAATCTTTCCATACTCTTCAAAGGCTTGCATTTAGCTTAGAAGGGCTAGAAAAGTTGTTAGTCGCCATGATATTGTCAGTCTCTAGGTCAGCAGTTTTTGATCTTACGTTGTCTGAGGCGGGGATCTCCTTGATGTAGTGGTCGCCAATGAAGGGGATCTTCTGTAGAATGTCCTGCTGCACCCTGGGAATTCCAGAAGCGAAGAAGATGACGGCAAAGAGAGCGACACCGCCGAAAGCACCTGACTTAACGGCGCTGTTGTTCCAATCGTTAGCGCTGCGCCTGTTTATCCCCTCCTGTAGTTTCTCTCTTTCGATTGGGCAGATGACAACTATCCACCTCCCTTTATAAGTTCGGAGTCAATTGAGAATCTTACAGTCCAGTAGCCTGCTTCATGGTGAAGCCAGCAATGTTAGGCTGGTAGTGATACCTAATTTGCGTATCGAGGTTAGCCTTCCGTTGGCCCGTGTTTTCAGTTCTCGTTCGGAGGTTGCGCTGCTTCGTGTGAACCACCAGGGTGGTGCATTTTCCGAAGTAACCGGCGATGATATTTCGAAAATATTCTCGGGAATCGTTCTGGGGCGTTCGGTACTCACTTCGGTCCATAGGGACTCTTGTAAGATGGGATCTTAGCCTTGGGGATGAGAGACTGTGAAGTCGATGGGTTAGCACATGCGGCCGAGAAAACGGGAGAAAACTGTGAGCTCAGTTTTGGAAGTTGAGAGGTTAATCCAGCTTACCTGAACCATTTTGTCTGCGGATCGTAGGAAACGAGTGAGAAATCTCAATGGCAGATTATTGTGTTGTTGGCGACCAAATCAGTGATGGAAGCTTCAGCCGAGAGCTTGCGCGACATTCTTCCGATGGGTCGGCCAAAGCCGGTAGTTGCTTAGCCACAGTCACGCGCCACATGACAGTGGGTCTGAGCCACATATCTTCGAGGGATGAAGGAGTGGATACCGGCAGTCGACCCACCTTTTCCCGACGTCGATCAGAAGCGCGTCGGCCTGGGGTATGCAACCAATGCCAACGGAAAAAGAATCCGAGTTTCCAAAAGCATCAGCGATGCTGATGTAACACATGCTAAAGCATTTGGATAGCGCCAGCATTGCTACACCCACCATGAATAAACAACTAGACTCGTGCTTTGACCGAGTTGAGAAGGCCCTAGGGACGCTCATCGACTCTATTGCTAAATACAATCCCTCCACGACCCAGGTACAGGAACTGGGAAATGCAGACGCAGAGCTCAACAAAGGACTCCAAGACTGTACGTTCATGACAACCCTGCGATACCCTTGCCTGAGATTCAGGAACTATATATTGGTTTCCTGCCTGCTAGGCAATCATGAACGAGAAGAACTTCAGTGCTTGAACCATCCCTTAACAATGATACACAGTGCAAACCCACCAATCCAACTACCAGCGGCTCCAAGACCTGCGCGCCTCAACAGCTAGATACGATGCTCAAATCAAAGACACACTCCGGCTCCTAGCCAACACGCGGAAGGAGCTCGTGCACGCCTCCGCGACCGTCTTCCCCGACGGGCCAAACTACGAGATACGATACGACGAGCTGCTCAGCTACGCGCGGCGCATCAGCAAGACGACGATCCCGCCCGTCGGCGCCGCGAACGCGATCTCAGCCGCCATGAGCGAGGCCAAAGGCGGCGAAGCCAGCAGCGCGCCCGAGACAGCAGCGACGACGCCCGCGGGCGGGACCCCCAACGGAGCGACGCCGCAAGCACAGCAGCCATTACCTACGACGGTCAACGGCGGAGCGTCGAGCACGGATCTGCCCGAGCAGCTAGCGATCTACCTGAATCCGCACAGCGCGTACACATTCGTCCCGTGGCCGAGCGAGGAGCAGGTGCGGCACGGCGCCATCGCGTCGCTGGCGTACATGGCGGAGCAAGGGATTGAGGCGGAAGGATACGATCCGGAAGCCGAGAGGGCGCGCAAGGAGCGCGAGGAAGAAGAGCGCAAGGAAGCCGAGGAACGAGAGCGCGTCGAGCGAGAAGAGAGGGAGCGGCGCATGCGCGAGGAGCAGGCGCGTCTCCGGGCCGAGCGCGAGCGTAATCGCGAGAAAGAGGCCGAAAGCTGGCGGCGCGCGAGCGTCTCGACTGGTGGTGCTCCGCAGCCTAGCGGTGGACCGGCGGCATCGGCCTCTCCTACGCAGCCTAAGGCGCAGTTCCAGTTTATGGGGGATGACGACGACGATGATGATGATTAGGTAGGCGAGAGTTAGATGGACGGACATCACCCGTAGGACATGTGCTACGCTAGACTGGTCATTTCTTAATGATACTCCCCGCTTATGTAGAAAGCAGTGGATGATCAAATAACTTGATACCGCATAGTATTCGTATTCAAAGTCTTTCTGAATGATCGCGTCATATGCATTTGAAACTACCAAAATAAGTATGTCTATAGCCATTGAATGTTTTTATCTTCATGATCATACAATCTATAATACATGTAACCCAATTATAATAAGGTGAAGGTATTTTGTATTGGCTCTAGTCGCCTAGAAACTGCGACTGGCTTTGTACTATGTTTGCCACTAGTCAATCTTGATGGAGCCGTAGATCTTCCTCACGAACCACCAGCTGGCGAAGAATCCAATTGATCCTGGACACTCATATTAGCTTCTGCAACTTTGTGCGCCCGACGATGCAAGGAACATGGACATACCTGATAATATGAAGAAGAGGAAGGATAGCAGCGCGCTGTAACCGATGTACAGCACAGTGCCGGACAATCCACCAAGAGAGAGCTTGCTGATGAGGTAGATCAGGGCGTTAACAAAGATATAACCTGCGCTCATACCCGCCGCGAGGAAAGCACGCCATTGCCAGTGGTAGTTCTCTGCGCAGAGCAAGAAGTAGACCATAAGGATGGTAACGGCTGCACAGGTGATGATCATGAGACCGTAGCACAGGAAGAGGAAACCGAACATGTAGTAGATACGGCTGAACCAGATGGAGCTCATGATGAAGTAAAGCTCTACAAAGATGGCACCGAATGGGAGGATACCAACAAGTAGCATGCTGGGGATAGGCTTAAGATAAGTGGTAGAGGGCGGGACCTGGCGGGGAATCTGGTTGGTACGGACAGGGGGTTCGATCGCACTCGCGCGGAAACCAAACCAAGAACCAGCAACGGACAGAGGCACCGAAATAATGAACCAGATACCGATGATGACAAGCATAGTACCGAAAGGAACGGCACCGGCAGCGCCATTAGCCCAGAGGAAGAGATTGAGGAAGAAGAAAGATGAGAAGACGATGCCCGGGACAAGCAGAGGAGTTGACGCAATGTTCAACTTCCATTTCTCGCCATTCATTGACTTGTATGTTCTGGCTGAGACGTAACCACCGACGAAGCTAAGAAGCGTGTACAAGAAAACCGCAATGGTGCCGAGAGAGCCACGGTTGGACGGTGAAAGAAAGCCGAGGAGAGCAAAGCAGATGGTTAAGCCTGTCATGACAAACAATTGAGCACCGTTGCCTAGCAGCACGGAAAGCAGCAAAGGATGAGATGGAGATCGGAAAACGTCACCATGGACGAGTTTCCAGCCGGAGTCTTCTTGCACACCGTCTTCTAAGCTATCTCCCCCTGAAAGATCGTCGAGGTTGATTTGATCCAGACGGTTGTATCTGGCAATATCCTTCCTCAAAGCCCGGAACAGAACCGAAGCAACTGTTATGGTAAGGAAAACCACTACAACAGCCGAGTTGATCAGGGAAAACCAATGAATATTGGGATCAAAAACGTGCAGGTACTTGTCCCACCGGGTAGCCCAGGCCGTGGGAGACTCTTTCCAGTAGACACTGTAGGAGAATGTGACATCGGTGACCTGGTTAACATCCTCTGAGAGCACGACCGGACCGATACCCTCGCCATTGCAATCGAGCGCACCCTCTCCGGGAGGATAGGCTCTCGAATATGGCTGGACCATAGCTCCCACAACTCTAAGCTGACTCTCATGGCCGCGAACTTTGTGGTACTCGATGACAATATCGTAGTGGTTGTTGAATATGGTTGGTCCGTTGGGATCGGAAGCTGCGACCTCACCAAGATGGAAGCCCGGGCTGTAAAAGTTGGTGCCCGTAAGATCATCGTAGAGGTTCTGTCCAGCGGGTAGTCCGTCCACCAGCCAGTTTAGAGCAAAACCCTTCTGGATCCGCGTGTTGACAAAATGAGCCGTTTCGGTATCATATTTGGCATTGCACAGTTTGATGCAAGTCTCATTCTGTGCCATTTTCAGGTTGAAGGGTGAGGTCATGATCCGGTCACCAAACAGAATGCTCCCCAGGCTCTCCGAGACATATTGGGGGCCACCTTCAGGCTGGCAGAACCCAAACCTGGTGTCATAGTAGTCGTACGACAGGACGGAGTGAAGACGGGCATCTGGCGCAGCAACGGGCTTGATGCTATTTACGAAGAGAGGGACAGCACCGCCTGGCTTGTAGGAGGTGGGCGCGACGCCGGGGAGATAGAAGGCAGCAGTGAGCTGTGGAAGGACAAAAAGCGTTGACAGCAGCGCCGACGTTGGCGCAATTGATGGAGATTTCATTGTCGGCAGAGCGTCTGAAGACAATCAGAGAGGTATTAGTACACATCCCATAATGTCAGAGGAAACTTAGTATCCCACCGCAGAGGATCAGTAACTCGAGAGCTCTCCCTTCCCAAACTTACAATTATAGTGACAACCAACGCGCAAGATGATGTACGGCGCGGTCTCAAGTACGGGTTACAGAGCACAAAGGCTCGCACTGCGATGAGAGGTTCGCGCAAAGAAAACTAGACTTCGAAGCAACAAGACTTAGGAGAGGATGAACTGGGTAGGCAGGCAGGTATGCGCAGTGCAGGCAGGCATAGGCATAGGCATAGAACTACTTCAAGTACGGACACATAAATAGATTCGATGACTTTGAGGATGGGAGCTTACTTAGATACATAGGTAGTACGTGGTTTATGTCAGGATGCTACCTTGCAGAGCGCTACATCACAACTGTACGTCGATCTTTCTTTGGTGCTCAGGGGTGCCACATGTACTTGGGTACATCCATCTACTACCAGTTGCAGGTACCCTACCTTGTAGGGGAGAAAACCCAGGATGAGTTCAGGCCAGTTAGCCCCTATAATAGTGCTACTAGGAGACGCTAAACAAATTTTATTGCTTCTAGCAGCGCCTCGGTCTAATAGCCATAAGTACTGTACCTGCGCTAGGTACCCGAGTCCGCCTGGACACTAACACTTTAGCTATCTTATCGTCCGATTAGATACTAATTTATTTTTCTGAAGTATCCAACGCGCTTCAACATTTACCACATGCTCTTCAATAGGCGAGGCCATCCTCATCTTTGCCTGAAATAAATACTGAGTCTCACTCACTGGAGATGGCGACAACCGTGAATTTGTCGTCCTTGTTTGACTCTCTCAGCAATTCATTGTCTTCCGCGATCGAGGCCACGCCTAAACTTGCCGGCATAGAGAGCATCGAGAATGGCGTGTCACTACTCGACGTCAAGAATGAACTTCTTCTATCATACCTACAGAACCTGGTCTTCTTAATATTAATCAAAATACGGAATGCAAAGAGCGACGATGCAGGTTCGAGCGACAACTCGGGCGAGATATCGGATGCCGTTGTGAAGAAGTTGGTTGAACTGCGACTGTATCTAGATAAAGGTGTGCGCCCGCTAGAGGAACGACTGCGGTTCCAGCTCGACAAGATCATCCGCGCTGCAGATGACGCAGACAGGAGCGAGAAGATGGCGAATGATACTCGAGAGGCCGAATCAGAATCAGAATCTGACGAGAATTCCGACGAGGAAGCCGACGGAGACGATGGCGAGCTAGATGACAGAGCACGCAGGCGGGCGGACGCCAAACAAGGTCCCTCGTTTGCTAACTTCTCGGCACCTGTATCCGTAGGCATGGCGGCGGCAGCGACCCAGGACAAGACCGGCGTCTACCGACCTCCCAAGATCACCCCAGTCGTCATGCCCACTACTGAGCGACGAGAGCGAACAGAGCGCCGACCCATGAAGTCTGCTACGATGAATGAGTACATCGCGGACGAACTCTCGACTGCTCCCTCGGCCCTCCCCAGTGTGGGATCGAACGTAACTTTTGGCGGCAGAAAGGTGAAGACCACATCAGAGCGCGAAGAGGAACAACGGAGGCAAGAATTTGAGGAAACCAATTTCATTCGATTGCCCAAAGAAGGCAAGAAGCAGCGCGCCGAGAAGAATAAGCAGGAGCGCCGAAGCGCAAAGATGAGCTTCGGTGGGGAAGAATGGCGGGACCTTGGCGAGGGTGTGGATCGCATCAACAAGCTGACGAGGCAGAGAGAAGGCGGCGGTAGGAGTACGAAGGCCTTGCTGGAGAAGAGTCGCAAGAGAGGCCGAGAAACAACCGATAGCAATCGCGGTAGTGGTCTCAACAGTGACACTAGGGAGATTGGTGAGCGTTTTAGCAAGAAGGTCAAGGTTATGGAGGGAGGAAGAAGAGATCGCGGCAAACGATAAATCTAGACGCAAACTCCACGGATGCTATACAGATCAAAGAAGGAAAACAATCGCAATCAAGCTCATATCCAAAATATGGAAGTATTTCTTCTATACTTTTTTCCCCTTTTAATTTGGTCCTTCTATATTCATGATCCATTCGTTACATGTAATGCGTCTGCGTTTCGCACAAAACGAGCTATAAGGTAATCTAAGCCCCTTACGCACAATCTGTCTCTCCACCGTTACGCGATCATGGCGCCCACGAGAGCGTCTTCGATACCAAACGCGACAGCTCATCACTCTCCATATGCCATACCAATTAGAAGCTGCGACCAACATCTGGTTTATCTGCACCCTGGTTCATACCCATACCATTACGGACCTGTTCCTCCTTCTCCACAATACGCTTAGGCAACACCAAACCCAGGCCGAAGAAGACGAAGAACGCCCACTTCCATCTGAACGGGTTAAACGCGACACAGAACGTGAACCACCAGAGGAGCTCAAGGTACGTGAAAAAGTCAAACGCCCCAGTTGGCGCCATGGACTTCAGGACCTTGGTCATATCGATCCAGCGCTCCATCCAGAATGCCGAGGGGCGAGTGAGCGGGTCCATGAGGAACATGAGTAATATGCGCGTGTAGATGCCAATGTGCCAGTTGCCGACGGTGCCAATGGCCGAGATATAAGTGCAGTTGATGGCGGAGATCGAGGGGTGCTGCGGCGGGAATGTCTGGAGATACCAGTTAGGCGGTCCGTAAGGTTCCTGGAAGGAATCTTCGGGAAGGAAATCCAGCTTAGGTCGCTTGTAGCCCGTGGCCATGACCAGCATGTCGCCTTGGATGTCGACTCGTTTGCCTGGCCCGCCTTTGGGCACGCCCTTATCGCGCTTGTTGACAAAGACGCCGTTTTCGTGGAAAGTGTCGATGTCGCATCGTACCCACTCCGCGGCACCCGAGCGCAATTTGTGCATGACATCCGAGTTCACCATGGGAGTGTCGGTGAAGATTCCTTTGTCGTCGGGCGCGATGTCCCGTAGATCGCGGTAAAAGTAGCGCTTGAGGAGACGCTCCGGGATCCAGGAAAACGGCGTCTCTTGTCCCCAGATGTTCATGGACAGCAGAATGTCGACTATGAAATTGCGAGGGATGATCCATTTGTCGCTGAGATTGGGAATTAGCGAATATTTCGACGAATGGAACCGCGTCGGTCTTCAAAGACTTGCTACTCACCTGCGGGACAAGACATAAACTTTCTTAGCGCCTTCTTCGAAGGCGTATTCCAATGCCTCGACCGCACTAGCACCACCGCCAATGATTATCATAGTCTTCCCCTCGACATCGACACTACCAAATTGTTAGCAAAGCGCCTGCTATATACTAGGTGAGCGAGCCGTGGTGAGCTTACCCTGTGAGTCGGCTGGAGTGATATACAGGCTTCTGGAAGCTTTCAATTCCGTCGATATGTGGCATTTTGGGGTCTCCACAGGTGCCAATTGCGGCAATGATGCCATCGAAACGGCCGTTGGCGGTGTTATTGATGATCCAGCGACCCTGGTCGTCCTTGTACAACTTCTCGACCCTGGTTTCAAATTTGGTCCGCGTGTCCAGGCCGTACTTCTCCCATATCATCCTTACTTGGCTGAGGATCTGCTGACGGTCGGGATATCCTCGATCCCACCGAATTGAGGGGTGGAATCTGAACATAGCGGAGTGTATCTGTAGGCTAGATGTAGTGTTCACATTCTGCGGCATGGAAGTCAATTCGTCTGCTCTTTCAGAATCTTGTATTCATCGTGTTGACTCACGCTCCATATTCCTCCCAGGTTCTTTTTTGTGCCTGCCTCGAATATGACGACGTCGAATCCATGGCCAATACAGTGCGCTGCCGCCGATACTCCGGTGATACCGGCACCAATGACGGCAATCTTAGGTCTTCCTAGGCGTGCGCTGGGCCCTGGAGGAGTAGGCGCAAAAACAAGATTGGTTAACCATTGGAAAATCTGAAATCCGAATAGGAAAGGGTGAAAGAGAGGATTGGGGAGACGAGTCTGAGACCCCATGTTGGATTGGTGGGCTACCTGAGGTAGGTAGGGAGGGGGGTGATATGGATTGTTATGACTGCAGTTATGAATTGAACTGCGAAATTAGAGTTCCAAGACAAAAAGTTCTCGACTACATAGAATTATTCCTCAATTGTATATAAATATAAACAAGCTCGGCAATTGGTTTCAAGTTACGATGCTATGATGTTATAGACTACTCTAGCTCGGTTGTTGGGATCTACTATGTATACTAGGTAGCCCCTGTCCGATGACATCACAACACGTTACTATATATTACCGCATCGCATCGCGCTGACATGTGATTGGGGTCGGTTGCGCAACTTTTTCAGATATTCATCCTCATCATGTCCAAATCCAACGCCAGGCGCACCATTTTGGTCCTTCGTAAGCACATGCCAGACCTTGACTTCTATTTTCCGCATTTAAACCGACTTTAAACTGCGCGCTCGGCTGATCCGGCGGAATGTTATCGTCGACTTTCGGATAATTACTGCTCCACTAACGGCATGGATGGAATCGTCGACCGCCCTTAGAATGCTCCCAGCCCCTAGCTCTAGCACGTAACCTTCTCTCGCAATTGCACAGTAGAGCTCGACTTCGTTTTCAGTCTTTAAACAGACATTATCTCACGACGGTTGTTATATCCATTGGTTTAAATGATTATCCGTCGTCAGAGCCTTTCTTCCAGGCTCATAATAGCTCTGTGGGCTATGAGTGCCTGCTCGTCGGACGCGAAGATGAGGAATGGCATGATTATGACACTCGGCCTGTTAGTGACGCACCAAAATGAGATGCATATTGTTTTCCGAGGTCGTGTTCGAGCCGGCGCACCAGTTTACTCGTCTACTGGATTGCGGGGAACTCATGTAGGTGAGTCTGACAGAACTTGAGAATGTAGTCGTCGAATGTCGCATTTTGTCAAAAGCGACGCTGTTAAACGTACGAAGTCTAACGACAACTATACTCTCCACCTGAGTGTAACATTGAACTTGTTCGTTGCTAGTATCCACAATATCGTCTGGGAGCAGTCGATCTCATCCCATTCCAGAACGATCCGTTTGGGGCAACAGAAGACGGTAGCTTGTTTGGTACTGCGAAGAATTCATCTACAAAAGATACCACTGACAGAGTAGGTTAGCATTTGTCGTGCCCGCTGTTCAAATACCCTAGTAGTGTTTCCGAACGATCTCATTAGTGTATGAGAAATATTATAACAAGGACAGAGGTTTGGTGTTGGAACCGATGATATTCACAATATAATGATCTACTAGAGCTGCAAAAGTCTTCGGCCAATCGATTCCTTCTTGGCCTCGGTGGCTGTTTGACTCTAAGTACAAGTTGGGGGTCAGTTCTGACTGCCTGGGTTCACTGATCTTTTTCATGAAGCAAAGTCTGTATAACCTTACTTTTAAGTGCTGCCTGCATGCTGAATTAGATGGGCACAAAATGGTAATTCAGAACACTCACGTCTTGCTGAAATGGAAGGTATATGAGGGTTACATTCAACTGAAATACTTGATCTAAGTGAGGTAAGAAGACCGCCTTATATACATGAACTGTGCCTTCGTGCCCCTTGACCCGTACCGTATATTACCACCTACACTTTCAACACGTCTAAGAGATTTTGGGTTCGACACTTAGGCATTTATGAAAGGCAATATCAATTGGTGAATATGCAGTTGTGGAACGTTCAATGAGTCATCAGACACCCCATAATATGAAACCTTCGCAACTCGCGTTTATATTCTGTGACTCGCAAACCTAATGGGATTTGAAATATGAATGCATGTCTCAAATAGATAACGCAGTCCATGTGATTGAGGCACAGGCATAACACCTCGCACTATGATTTGAAACCAGAATGAGCAGTATTGAGGAACATATATGTACATAGTAGATACAAATGAAAGATTCAATCTAGGCTATTTGTTTCCAATCAAATACCCGAGTCTCTAGCCAACAGGGAGCTTGTACCAATTACATCTCAGAAGTCACTACCCCGACCTCCAATTCTTTGAACTCATCGCTTCCTGATGCTTGGCCGATGGGGCTTGTGTATTACTGGAGGTCCAACAATACAACCTAAGACTTCGAGGTCGCTTCCCATCTTGCAGCTGCAGAGACTCCGCTGGTGTCAGAGAACATGGCATGGCTCCTCCCACAGCGCCAATCACATCGACATACACATCTCCGTGTAGATTAATCCAATCCTCTTTAAATCCAAGATAAATCGTTATATGATTATCTTCACCATACTGCATGTCTCGCGTTTTCTGTTTTGTGATGTCATCTCGCTTGGTCTTCCAGTCATGAACATGTGCCCTACGAAAACAACTTGTTGGCGAAGACTTCAGGTGGCTACTTCGAGGACAAGCACATACCTAATCCATATATGCGTAAATTTTAACTCTTGACATATCCAGCTAGCAAAAGCGTTGAATTGAGCTAGCTCCTTGCCTTCAAACAGGGGTTGACATCTATATAAAATCTTCTTCAGGTCAGCTTACGACGTGCAAAGAGATATCTGTGTAGGAAATCTAACACATGGGTCGTTTATTGTGCCACTTCCGTAGGTTGCTACGGGCGCAATTTGCCGCTGTTTTTTCGGATGGAATGGCAACCCAGCCCCTTTCGGGATGGGATCGCCCTTATTCCAGTCCCTGTTTGATTCATCCTGTTGACTTTTGCTTTTCCCGTATCCGCTATAAGTTGACATGGTCACATATCGTTAATTCTCGTTTCCACTGATCCAGCGCCATACTCGTAATCGCAAGGTGCTGCTTTATTATAACACTAGATACAAAGGCTCTTTACTCCTAGAAAACGTGGCTTTTTTTCTCTTTGAAATTATAGTATTGAAGCTTAGCTAAATATCCGGAACCGTATACAAACCTGAAAGAGATCATGAATACGCCTTTGTATACGCTTTATTATAACACTAGATATAAAGGCTCTTTACTCCTACAAAATGTGGCTTTTTTTCTTTGATATTGCAGTATTCAAGCTTAGCTAGATATCCGGAACCGTATACAAACCTGAAAGTACCCGGAACCGTACACAAACCTGAAAGAGATCATGAATACGCCTTTGTGCACGCCTAACTCTGAGTTTTCTACCGAGGATATGGGTGATCAGTTGAGCGCAAAAGTGTGATACAGTATTGCGAAATGCTTACTGAATTGAGCTCAACTGATACTTGAAGTTTTATAGCCTTTATAAATTTTACTGATAAAAATATCTCTACGATGCTGTGAGAGATGTAGGATGGAGTGAGAGGCCAGCCAAGTCTGGAGGATTAGAAACCCTCCCCCTATTAATCTCAGGTATTGGAATCTCCATTGTAAAGATAAATCGAGCACAGGGTGTTTATTCGCAAAGGTTAAGTTCTATCACGCAAGAATGAATTGTCATGGAATTTTCAACATCGTCTTTTAGCTCTTAGACAGAAATTATGTATATTTCCTTGTTAACTAGCATAACGACAGATTCAAACTATCTTCAATCCTGAATCCAAAAGGTCATCATATCCATCATGGTAGAATGATTCTAATGATCTAAATGTTCTTGAAGACCACGCCCGTTGCAGAGAAGTTATACAGTAATATCGTAAAAATGACGGAGATAAATGCCAGCAGAGTCAGAACACTCGAAATATGTATTCTACTACCTGTGGGCATAAGTCTTCGTATTGATTCCCATAAGCTCGTCAACCGATTGCGTCAGGATACTTTGGCAGTCAGTAACAGGTACCTCGGCAGCTGTGGCTGGAGCTGAAGTTGGATCGTTTACCTCAATAAACGCAGGTTCAGATGCCTTCTTAGAATTCTTCTCAAACCATGGATGCTTCAAAATGTCGGCAGTGCCCATCCGCTGACTTGGTTGGTACTTGAATAGTTGGCTTAACAGATCTGCCAAGGCCTTCACCTCAGCTTCTGGCAAATGGTAGTGTACCACACCCCATTCTTCGCTATTGCCTTCTTCGTCGACACTTCCAGATATCACAACTTCTTCCGCAATCTCCCAGCCCAACTCGATTTCTAGTTCACGAACACCTGAGTTACCAGTTTCAAAGCCAGTCAGTTTCGTCAAGTTCTGACCACCTGATTGCAGTCTCTCCTCAAGAGGTATGGGTTTACACATAACCCCATCCCGTCTACCGTATCGTTCATACCGGCGCATCTCATCATTGTACACTGCTTCCGCGGCTGCACGCCGAAATGGAGGAGGTATCGGACCCGCGAAGCGCTCCATTCGCCGAAGCGGTCCATTGAGGACCAAGTCAAATGATCTAGCAGCTCGGATCTGTAGGATAGAATATGCCAGGGACCATATGTCGCTTCCGATCCCTGCCGGCAACCCTCCATAAAGAATCTCGGGAGCTGCATATACGTCGGGAATCCCTAGAGACTCTGGTGGCGAGGACTTTTCAAACGCTTCTCCAAAGTCGACTATCGCAACGTCATCCGATATGAACCATTTGAGCTCCGACCACCATAGAGGCTCGATTATCCACTTGGGAGCATGTGGGCTACGCTCACCCTCTATGGTGAAAACTTCTCCTCTGTCGGGAAAGTGGAGCATTGTGAATAGCTCGTCAGGCTCGATGTCGTCAAGCCCATTGCCCTTCAGCCTCATGAGAACGTTAGCAGGGCGGAAGTCTCCATGGCAGATTCCTCGGCTATGGAGGAACTCCAGACCCTTGGTAAGCTGATAGCAAACGTTGTTGATTCGCGATGCGTCAGTGCCGAGAGACATCTGTCGCCAATCGGATAATGTTGGTCCAAGGAGAGGTAGCACGGTGCATAAATGTCGTCCGTTCGGGCCTTCAATCCAGAAAATCTCCAGTGGCATCACGACATGGCTGTCCAATCCCAGGACCGCAGTATCATTTTCCAACATTTCTAAGATTTTTATCTCAGGGCTGTCGTCGTGCGATCGGGAAGCTGCATTGATCTTGACAGCTCGCCATTCCCTCAATTTTTGCTCGTAGCAAAGCCATACAGTCGCTATGCCGCCACTACCAAGCTTATGGCAGACTTCAAATCTCCCATCGAGCATGTCGAACATATTAACGGGGTGTAGGCCGCCTGGTCGATAGTCCTCCACATCTTCGGCACCTTCGATCTCATGTATTCGCTCATATAGCGGACTAGGAGGCTCAGTGAGTCTATCCATTTTGTCTTCGTCGCGATTCGGTATTATACGACAAGTTTAGGGTTAAAGTTAAAGGTGAATCTCTGGTAGAAAATCTTTGCACCTAACTCGCTGATCGGGCTGCGCGATATATAGATAGTGGCGATGAATGATGTGGAATTTTCGATAATAATCGTGTTGGGTCTTCAAGAATGTTAATGAAAGGCTCTTTGTTGAAGTTTTATATATGGTGGGCAAGTAGTCTGTACCATTATGAGAACAAAGAAGCCGCGATGCACAAAGAATGTTCTGGTTTTGGCAAAAGACAGGGGAACTGTTAGGTGACAGATTCTCTTGAGGACAAAGAACGTGTTCCGTGTGTTTGTTGTCACAATCAGACGCAGAGGTAAACCCGCACCGTTTTTGTACAGAACAGAACAATTTAAATTCAGCTATCGGTAAACCAACATGATCACGAACTATGGTTCAATGAGCAAACTTTTAACTCAATAGGCCCTGGCACGCGCGTGGCTGATAATGCATTCCATACGAATGTGCTTCATGCCCTTGACCCACTCCACCGCACTGACGTTAGAAATCCCATTGATCGAGGTTTCAGCCCCATACAAACAAGCAAATAGGATGTAAAAAACTAGATTTCTAGTTATTGAACAATAGAAACAAGGTGATATAAGCGCATAGCCGTGCACTTTCGAATGCATTTTCAATATAGAGACGTTCTAATGTCTCTTCGGGAGTGGGAGGAACCCCACGGCAAATGAAAAAGTACAAAGGATAATGCTATCAGAAATCTTGGTGAATTGGTGTAAAGTCTTGCTCATTGTCTCTAGGCCGCGACAGCTCGACCCTCAATATGAGGCAAAGGCCTAGGCAGTCCCATGTGTATGCTAATTTGGCTACATGAGTAGGCAGTAGCATGAACTACCTAAAGCCATTTCTCGGTCAAACTTAACGTTCTTGATAAATTTAAAGATGATAATGCGCCCAGACGCGTGGCGCGGAAGAAGGTGCAGAACTTGCGCAGGATAATTATACCAAGTCGACCTACAATGGGCTACAACTCAGTAGACCTTTGCTGCAACCTGTGACAGAACGTGACTTCAACAGAATGGCTGTTGCGGCTTAGGGAATTTGTCAGGGATGTAGTGAAGCTGTGCAATGAGAATGATTGGTCGGCGTGCATTCGGAGTTTCGGAATCTCATTGTACCATATATATCGACCAGTAATGGTGTTTCACAGGGGGGGCTGATGGGGAGATGGATCCCCTGTTGACTGGCTTCATCTTGAGTTTTTCGTTAAATTCAATCCGATGAAATTACGATCGCCTCGTTCCCGGATGATTAAAGTTATTTGAATGCCTATTCAAGTATAGATGACCCAAGGAGCAAGCTATACACTCATCCAATTCAGCAGCTTGAGTCTAGTGCCCGTTGGATGTGGTCCCCTATGCGCCTATTGTCGCAATGTGTCAATACTTACGAAAAGATTCTTAGAAGCGCAAAGAGCATCGGTCAGATATCTATAACCCAGCTGTTTTAAAGCGGCGCTGAATGTTGTGTTACCCAGCTTTAGGCATCAATGATACCACCAGAGGCGGAGCCTGATCGCTATCATTTCGTTCCATTGAGTCAAGCAAATCTTGAGTCTCCGTGATAATGATTTCTACTGGCTGCTCGCTTGGGCTCTGATCTCAAAACCCTGTAAGAAACATATTGGTAGTGCCTATTATGAATCTGTGTACTGGCCTAAATCACACTCTTCGCAATATGACAAGGTCTTCCAAATTCATTTTATAATTCCTAGATCTCCTCGTAGTTATCGTCGTATAATCTATTTGTACTAGTCAACCTCAAAATGCCCTCCATACTTTGCTGCTCGTCTATCAAGCCTTATCGGCCGACTTTAGTCGACCATGAACCTAAGTTCACTCAATTCATGCGCTGGGCCAAGTCAGACCCTGTGGTATCTGCGGACGAGTCTTCGCTCCTAAGCAGCGCGGCGTATGCAATTCAGCTTGTCAGACAGGTCAACTATGGGCCGCAAGAGTCCATAAGATACTTTGTCCCAGCTAGTGGAAGCTCGGACTTCCTCGAAGTCACCGAGAATGAACTTATTCCGGAGAACTTCGAAAAATTGAACTCGTAAGGGGTGCTTTCACTGCAAGGACCATGCTGATACTAATTGTTCGGCCTTTCAGATTCAAGAACTTCAAATGCGACCAACACAACAAATTCTTCGACGTCAACTTATACCAGAAGAACCCCGTCAACACTCATCATTGGCGAGCTAACCTAGCACAACCTTCTAGAGATATCGACTTGGCATCTAGGAGCCCTGAGCAAGAGCAGAATAGGGAGGAAGGGGGGCCTAGTCAAGACTGTCCACCTTCCGATCCTGATCCTGAGCTGTCTCCGCCCGAGCCATCTGGCTCACTCGCTCCCGGGCATCACTCTAGTGAAGTCGAGCTTCACGAGAAAGACACTTTGGCCCAACTTCTCGTCAGTTGCTCGACCAAGATATCGACTCTAAAGCCAATTCTCCAGTTCCTTCTTCCTAGACTGAGGTCAAACCTGGGCTCGAACAGCATTCTATCCCTATTGTCCCTTGACTGGGTCAATAGAGAACTAGGACTGGGGATTGATTACGAAGATCTGTGGGAGTCTGAACTGACTGCCCCAAACATTGCCATCTTCTTGAATGATTGCATTGAGCTCTCTGTTGTGGACTCAGTCAACCCTACGAACATCATAGACTTAGTGGCTCACACTCTGAACCACATGAGCTCCCTGAAGGATAAAGAGGCACCTGGTCGCGTGAAACTTGAGAGAATCATTAGCCGGGTATTTGAATCGGATGCTTCAGCGAGCTGGGTTACTCGCAACAGAGACAACATCAAGCATATCATCACATATGGCCCAAGCGAAGAGATGCTTCAGAGCTCTAGATATCGAGACGAAGAAGTGCACCAAGATCGGCTTCGCCATAAACATGCAAGGAACGTACCGGGACAATTCATAGAGGTATTTTCACGTCCCTATGCACCATCCAGAGGCATGAACTAATGATGTCATATAGGAAGAGTATCTCACCGATGATGAACGTGACAGGTATGGAAGAGAATCAGAATATGAGTCATATTCGCCTATGAAAGACTACACTGCCTGTGATAAGGAGTGCGGGTATTGCGGTAATTGTGATTACTAACGTAAGGCCAAAAAGCCGAGGTAGTCAAGTTCTTGGGATGGGTCTACGGTGACAAGACGGATTCTGTGAATTTTTGAAATATCATTGTGTTCTCTAAAAGAATGATTAAGACGTCCGTTAGGTTGCTCAGATTGATGTCACTGCCGAGCGGGGTACTGTGATTATTCTCGGTTCTTTGGAATTAGTCCGACCATGTCTGACATGGTCCCATTTTGAAGCTGCATGTGCTGATAAGATGTTCCGGCGTCGCTCACGATGTGCTTGCAATAAAGATCGATATGAAGGCATATCTGAAAAGAACTTTTGTTGTTGCAAGCCTAGTTGGTAGAAGACTGACCTAGTGGCAGCTTAGAGTGAATAGGGGTAACGTGCCCAGAGTCCCCGCTAGGGTTGCCCCTGTTCTCACTCAGCAGGTAGGTAGGTACTGCAACAGCGCCTAACTTCTCTGTATGCCGCCAAATGGGAATTAGTTACGATACGGAAAAAGGAATTTAGCAGATTTCAATAACATTGTTACAAATTATTTGTATTGCGTTGGAGTATGAATAAAAGAAAATACACATTTAATACCATATGCCTGCGCCATAATCGCCCGCTCTAACAGTCAGCTGTCAAACCCATGCCAATATGATCTAGAAATGAACCAAACAAATCCCTACAACCTCAATCTGCTAAGCGGATTACTCGAAAACTCAGACATAGTGCGACATAGTGCATCGATCGCAAGATCAGCATCGTCGGGATGGATGCGATGGCTCGACACGGCAAACTGAATGAAAAGCCTCTTTTCATCGCCTCTATTGACGGGGTATGTGACGACGTGGAAGTGTGGCTGAATTCCCAAATCCATTGTCTTCCACTGCGACGATGGCGTCTCGGTCGCAGGAACTTTGCTTTCATTGCCATCATTGGTAGAGGTAGCAATGGGACTTGACTCGCCCAAAGAACCGCCGAGGTTAATGTTTCCGTCCTGATGTGTGAGGACACTGCCAAACTCTGTGTTGGGCGCCCAAGTTGTGGACTTGGCGAGAATATCTCTGAAGTCCATGTTGGCATGTGGCATACTGCGGGTGTACTGTGCCTGTACGTGCTTCAATAGGTCAAGCACTACCCAGTGTTTGTCCTCTTTGTTGCCATCGTTATGGTTCTCTGCGGCAAGCACAGATGCTGGCAGCGACACCCGGAATGGTGAGACAGTGATGCACGGGCCCGAGATGAGGTCTATGTTTGGTAGCGGCGCGTCACGACCATTGATGATGTGGCCGAATACAATATCGGTGTGACCGCTGGCGCGCGCCAGTACCACGGCCCATGCAGCCTTGACAAGCGTGGCTAGTGTAATGCCTTCTGGAGTGAGGGGAAGTGGAATATCCCGAAGTGGTTTGACGAGAAATTCGGCATCATTCCTGAGCAAGTGTGAAGACTTTCCTCGGCACAGCGCTCCACTGTCGGTCATCTCGGCATCATGCAGATACTCTCTCCAGAACTTGTGTGCTTCACCGGATGTAGTCTGATGGCCTAAACGGTAGCGCAAGTAGTGGGCGAATGAGGGGGCGGTGCTGCTTTCTTGCACTGGGGTGCTATATGCTGATGTGAGATCTTTAGATATCATGGGGAAAGATACGCCATCATATTGAGCGTGCGTCATTCGGACAATAAGCATGTGATCAGACTCAGAACGGGAGACTAGATATGGTTGGAAGTGTAGAGAGCCAAATGGGACTGGCGAAGTAGCGTATTGGTGGCACAGTCTTTCTGAAAAACTGTCAAGTTCTTCATCACAACTAATTTCGATCAACTTGAATGCGGCGTCGCGCAAGACAACTTGCAGTATTACGTCGCGATACGTAGCGAAAACTGTCCGAAGGATAGCATGCTTGCGAACAAGAACGCGACATGCTGCCTCGAGCCGTTTCGGATCGACTTGAGTATTGCTCATATGCAAGCGGCTGTACGTAACATTATTGCCTCGGAGCAGAGAGCTCTGAAGCTCTGTTGTGGGAAGGATATCCTCGACATCTTCTGCCTTGTATCGTGGAATCTGAGCTGAGAGCTGTGCATTGAAAAAGCTAGAGAGGCTATTTATGCCTAGTAATGAGCCCGGGCGGTAGTTCTCAGCCAACGCGGCTGATGCCAATGTCGTAACAACCTTAGCTTGTTCAGAAAGCGTGGGATATTGGAAAATGTGAGATACTGGTAAGTGTAGGCCTTGTCGACGAGCCATAGCTGCAAGCCGCATCCCCACGATTGAATCTCCTCCAAGATGAAAGAAATCGTCCTCTGTACCAATGTCATCCAAGCCCACCTTGAAGGTTTGGGCCCAGAGAGATTGTAGAAGCTTCTCATTCTGTGTTTCTGGCTTACGTTTCAAGCTATTACTTCCGGAGAAGGCTTGGACCTGATCCTTGGTAAGGGTCGCGGCAGCTTCTCGTAGTAATCGCCGGTTGGCTTTGTCACTACTTGTACGAGGTATTTCGGATACCTGAATGAAAACAGACGGAACCATGTAGCTAGGGACAACGCTGTTAAGCTTGCGAGTTGCTGCTTCTTTTTGGGTTAAGAATTCTATGTTAGGTGCCCGGAACAAGGAGCTCTCGAGGCGGTCGTCTGAATGAAGCACATTGGCAACAAAAGCAAAAAGTGTAGGAGGGCTGCCGCTTGGAGCGACAACTTCAGCTACCACATCAGTGACGTTGGGAAACGAATGCCGTACATGGTGCTCAACTTCACCTAACTCAATCCTTTGACCGCGGAGTTTGACTTGCGTATCCCGACGCCCAAGGTATCGGATAGTTCCGTCAGAATTGTACACGACAAGATCACCGCTGAAATACACCCTTGAGCTAGGAAAACCTTCTCTGAATGGACGTAGCCAGATCGGGTTGGTGATGTATGCGGCTGCAGTTTTCTCTGGATCACGCAGATAGCCACGTGTGACCACAGCACCCTCAAGAACTAATTCGCCCGGAACACCAATAGGCGCTAGACGTGTAGGATCAGATGGCATAGTAACCCATCCCACACCTCCAGTCACATGCCCGAGAGTCCCTTGCTTCCAGCCAGTCTCCGACAATGGCCCGATAGCGCAGATAGTGGCCTCAGCGGGGCCATAGGCAGTCACTAATCTCACCTTCGAGGCCCAGGTGCGGACATTATCCTGAGAGATTGCCTCACCTCCAAGAACGACGGTCTCAAGAGACGGGATCGTGTCAGGCTCCAAGAGGGCCAAGAATGAAGGTGTAAACAGTGCCCAATTGACATTGTGTTCTTTCATAAAAGGTACAACATCATTGAGGCGGTCAAACTCTGAAGGGATACAAATGCATCCGCCATTAAGGAGCACACCGAAGATTTCGTATATGCTGGCATCAAACGCGTATGAAGCGAAGTGCAGACCACGTGTATTCTGAGTCATGTATGACTGAGTGCTGTAACCATGTATGCTTGTGGCTAGGTTGGAATGCTCCATGACGATTCCTTTTGGTGTGCCTGTGCTTCCACTGGTGAAGATTATGAAGGCCGCATCATGAAGATTGACTTGAGGTGCTAAGAAGTCTTTGGCCCGAGGGTGCTCACCGGGGATGGGCACAGTGATAATCGTGATGTTTTCAAAGGCCAATGCTTTTTCATGATGAGGAGATGTCAAAATATACTCCGCCTCAGTGCGGTTCAATATCTCCTCAACTCGACCTCTGGGGTGGGTTGGGTCGATATTGACACAGGCGGCTCCGATTCGGTGGATCGCCATCATTGCGACCACTACCCACTTAGACCGATCAAATAGCAGCGGCACCAATGCACCCGGCCGAATCCCCCGGGATTGAAGTTGCTGGGATAGGATACTGGACATAACGTCGAGATCATGGAACGTCAATTCTCCGTCCCATGCAGAGATTGCTGGCGCATTAGGGCGGGTTAGAGCGTGATGTAAGATAGTATCATGAAGGCACATTTCAGAGGAGGGTGGAATATCTTGGTTCCATTTGGCGAGTTGTTCACGATCCTCAGGGCTAATAAGATCAAGTTCACCGATAAGGAGTGGCTTTGATTCAATCTGCGATCGCTGTAGTTGACGAAGCACGTGTTCAAATTGTCGGACCATTCTTGACGCCTCCAATGGTTCTACTATACTCTCATCGTAATTGACAGTCACAATGATGTCACGTTCACCCTTCGCAGGGAGATGGCAGACAATGACAAAAGCGTAGTTGGAAAAAGCGCCATAGTCTTCGTGCTTGGTTGCGGCGTTGGCTAGTAGCTCAACTGCATCGGTACCACCTGGCGCCTGGATGGCTAGCTGGCACTGGAAACTGCAAGCTGTGGATGCTTCTTGGCTAAGTTGGCGCATATTCTGCATGCCATAGTGCTGATATGGCATCGTGCTGACTGTCTTCTGTTGAATGGCTGCCAAAGACTTCTGTATAGTGTCTTTTTGAGAGACGCGCGTGCGTAACGGGAAGGTAGCGAAAGTTGGGCCAGTCATGTATTCTATGCCTCGCACCGGGGCGCTGCGCCCATTAACAGTCAACCCGTAAAGTACATCTTCGGTGTCGGTGTAGCAGGACATGATAACAGCCCAGGCTAACTGAATTGTCGTTGAAGCCGTATACTCAGTCGCCTGAAGGTCAATTGCTGACATCTTATACTCGAGTGACGAGCTTGCATCGGGAATGTATCGGGATGAAGGCAAAGATGGAAAGATAGGGGCATTCAAACCCTCAAACTCGGCTTTCCAGAATTTGTCAGCCCCTCGGGTAGTCGTGATGTACTCGATGAATTGGTTAAAGGGCTGTGGGATTAGAGGTTTGCCATCGTAAGCGGCCTGGGCTTGACTCCATAGTCTTGGTAATGATGAACCGTCATACAGGGCATGATGAAGCGTGAGATGGAATTTAAAACCCCCTTTGGCATTGGGATTCGGTGAGATTAGAGCGAAGTGTACCAGCACGTCGCCGACTCCCATACTGGCGTCTTTCAAGTGAGCTTCGTACGATTCTTCATCATCAAAAGTGTGCCAGACAATCAAGCCTCGGAGAATGACTTGGTGGAACCCTGTTGTGTCAGATTGAATTATACGCGTTCTTAGGATCGTGTTGACATCTGCCGTGTAATTCCATGCAGACTTGAATCTCTCAATATCAACGGCATCAGCCAGCTCGTAGTCGAAGGTCGCAATGTAGTGTCCTGGGCGCTTGGCAACCAAGGCAACCAAGCCTTCCTGGAGAGACGTGCAAGGATATATATCTTCGATCTGGTCAATTGGTACTAGACACTGCTCTGCTGCAAGTTGAACCAGCTCATTTTTACTTATGCTATCGCCAATGAGGGAAAACGGAGCTAGTGTAGAAACCTTTGAAGCCTCGGTCCTAGTAGAGACTGCAGCTAGGTCGGACAATTTAGGATGGCTGAAGATGTCTGACATGTTTATGGCATAACCTGACTCGCGAGCCATGGGAATTAGCGTCATTGCCAGGATTGAATCTCCGCCTAGTCGAAAGAAATGATCATCTACGCCAATGTCCTCGACTTGGAGATCAAATATCTCGGCAAACAAGCGCTGGAAGCGGTGCTCTGCTTCGGTACTTGGTATCCTCTTAGCGGAATTCAACTCCGTGTAGAAACGGATCTTTTCACGCGTAAGACTAGCTGCTGCGATCCTTACAGCTCGTCGATCGGTCTTGCCAGTCTTTGTCAAGGGAATCCGAATGAGAGGAATAAAGATAGTGGGCACCATGAAGATCGGTAATACACCGTCTAGTTGGGACATTGTTGTCACTACGGCCTGTTTGAAAAGGTTATCTGGGACACCAAAGATAGACAAGTCATCTGTCGGCTCATCTTGATTCAACGCGTCGTTCCCGTCTAAGTGGACGAAGGCCATCAGCACGGGTGGTCTATCGTCATCACTGGGTTTGACGACTTCTGCAATAACGTCGTGAGCACCTGGGAACCTTTGTCGCAAGTGAAACTCTACTTCGCCTAGCTCAACTCGCTGACCTCGCAGCTTGACTTGCGTGTCTTTTCGGCCAATATATCTCATTGAGCCATCTTCTAGGTACTGAACAAGATCACCCGTCCGATACAGGCGTCGTGCGGCAGACCCGCGAATTCGTCTCAGCCATGAGGGGTATTCAAGGAATGATGCTGCAGTTTTGGCAGGATCGCCTAAGTATTCTTGTCCAACAATAGGAGATTCCACCAAAAGCTCACCAACGGCTGTGACCGGTACAAGCCGTTCGTAATCTTGAGGGTCGGCGACCCAACATACCGCGCTCGTTGGCAACCCAACGTTGTTGGGATCCTTCTCATCTTCGACGTGGCGATTAAGAGTAGTCAAGATAGCACACTCGGCTGGACCATACAGGTTGAGGAGATGGACGTGAGGCTTCCACTTAGCGATATCACCTGGTGCAATAGCTTCGCCGCAGAGAACTAACGTCTTGATGGAAGGTACGGTCGTGGGGTCAATGATTCGTGTTACTGAAGGCGTCAAACAAGCCCAGTTTGCCTGCAGGGTGTTTATAGCGTCAATCAAATTGGACTGTCGCTCCTCATCTGAAGGCACACAGACACAACCACCGGCGAGCAGAGTCAGAAGCATGTCAGCAATACTAATATCAAATGCATATGATGCGAATTGGAGAACACGAGATTTGTTGTTCAAGAAGAGGCCAATACGATTAGCCTCTGCACTGGTACACCACGAGACGTGGGAGTGAACTGCCCCCTTGGGTTTGCCTGTAGACCCTGAAGTGAACACGGCATCTGCGAAACGTTAACCTTATGTTTCATGTGTATGTGGCTTACTGGGAACTCCCGCAAAACTATCTTGGTGGGCGGTCGATTGATAGGTGGTTTATAGTACTTACTGCGGTAAGGTCAGCCATTGTAAATATGCAAATAGATACGACAGATTTTATACATACCACATGGGATTCTCTGGGTGGACGGTGGATTCGAAAGTAAGCGATTCAGGGCTCGTGCCCCAATTGAATTGGCTATCGCCAATGACAACAACCTGACGACCCAATTCATGGGCAACAAGCGCCGTGGCGTTGGAGGCAATAACTATTGAGGCATTGCAATCATCGCAAATATCCTTCAGACGCTGAACAGGATGAGACGGATCCATCTGAACAAAGGCTCCGCCTGCCTTGAGGATAGCTAACAGTGCAACAGTGGTCCATTTGGATTTTTCACAATAAACAGGTACGAAGATACCAGGGCCGACTCTAAAATTCCGAACCAGATAAGCGGCTAGCACAGTGGCTCTTCCGTCTAATTCAGCGTAAGTAAACTGGCCATCCCAAGCCAAAACAGCCGGCGCGCCTGGCTGGTTCATGTTGCGCTCTTTAATGAGTTCATGGGCACAGCGGTTCACAGGCGAAGGCACAATCTCGTTCCAGCCCATAACGAGGGCGCTGCTATGGGGGCCGAAGAGATTCAAATTGGCTACTGGCTGATCGACTTTGGATGTTATTTCCGATACAGCCTGGGTCAAGGTATCAAGAACGATGCACGCTTGTGCTTCGCTCATTGATGTTGTCCAATAATGTAGTGCAATTTCGACGTTATCACCTTCAGTCCAAACGTTGAGAGTAATATCGTACTGTGTCATTGTCAGTCATACGCGGGGGTAGAGAGCGATTTGGGTACTTGCCTCAGTTGGATCTTCTCCTTTCAGGGGTTCAATTCGTACCGAAGAGGCTTCTTTCGACTTCAGGGCCATTCCTCCCCGCTGCAAGGAAAGAATAGTGTTGAACAGGGGTACGTCTGGCAGGCTAAGTGACCGCTTAATTTCGGCCAAAGAGAGATGCTGGTGTTTTGTATTATGCAAGTAGCCTTCTTGTACAATTTCAAGCAGCTGGCTAAGCGTGATATTGCTGGAAATTTTGGTTCGGCAAACGAGCATGTTGATGAACGGGCCAATGGCATTTTCGATTCCCGAAAGCGGAATATCGCGGCCCGATGTCAAATAGCCAAAGCAGACATCATCAGACCCCGTAAATGTTCGTAGAACCAGACTCCAGGCCAACTGGAAAATGTTTGATACTGTCGATGCATGCTTCTCGCAGAATTTGCGAAGGTTTATGCTGGAAAGCAACTGTGTAGTAGCTGCTTTCATCTTCCGACCGCCGGATTGCTCATTAAGATTGTTAGTTGCGGGAAACAAACAGGGATCGATCCCACTGAGATAACTCTGCCAGTACTCCCTGGCAATAGTAACTGAAAGAGATTGGACATATGCAATATAATCTTTGTATAACAGTTCCGAGTGTGATGGTAAAGAGCCGTGGTAGGCACGATGTAGATCTCTGACCAAGACTTGTAGCGATGTTCCATCAATCAGAGCGTGATTGATCTCGAACAGACAATACAGTTCTTCAGTCGATGAGTGACAGAGCGTAAGATGGTATGGTGGCTGATTCTTAACAGGCACAGTCGCTGGTCGGTTACTTAACGCCTGTAGAGGATCTGAAGAATCTGGCAGAATGGTGATCATTCCATCTGGAAGACGGCGCAGAACTACTTGGTCCATATAGGCCTGGCTTGTCTGACTTGGAATGAAGATTGTTCGAAGAATGGGATGCCTCTCCGCTATTTGATACCATGCTGTGACGAAAGCGGCATTGCTTATGCTAGTACGCGGACTCCTAGCGGTGATCTTCAAGGTGAATCGGTTGTTGTAGATTAGAGTCGCTTTGGATTGACTAAGGAGCATGCCGTTTTGAATGGGCGAGCAGGGGTAGATATCGTCTATGTCTTTGGTTGACAGTTCGAACTCTGGGAGGGTCTTCTGCAACAGCCTATCTAGTGTCACATAGTCCAAAGGCATGAGCGGAAAATCAATAAGAGTGCTAGCTTGTTGGCGGGAAGGTAGAATCAATGCCAGTTCGAGCAGTGATTTCTCATAATTGGCAATCCACTTGTCCACTGGACGAGTATCCCCCGCATGACGGTTGTAGAAAAAGCTGAACCTGAAGCAGTTATTGAACAATGTGGCTGTCACATCGAAAACAGCGAAGCGTGGGGAATTCTCTGCAATATCGAGGACACCATGACTGAAGTCGCCGGGGGTTGAAAAAAGTGCGTCCGTCCGCTCTAGCTGTTGGTATAAGCCGGTGAAGTTGAACACAATCTCAACTGGTCCATCGAACCCAAAAGCGACGCGGCCTTGGTTATTTAGATACCTCGATGTGAAATATGCCCACCCACTCTTAAGTAATTGCCGCCGTTGATCTTTTGTTTGCCGTACAATATCCATCAAGTCACGCGATTGGATGTACGTGGGTGACATAGTTGTGAACCACCCTACTGTACTAGTGACGTCTAACGCCGAATCCCAGACCTCACGGCCATGACCTTCTGAGAAGATCACTGGCGCCTGGTCGCGGTCATCAAAGGTGCACATGAATGAATGCAGCAAGGCAGCCTGGAGGAGCTCAACAGGCTGCGTTTGGAACGCATTATTAGCAGATCCGAACAGAACGCGCGTGATTTCCTCACTGAAAGTGAACTCTTTGTCCACAGCATCTCTCACGAGGTTGGTTCTATCAGTAACACCCCAGTACTCAAGCATTGGAGGCGGAAGCTTTCCGTTGTAGGAAATTTCAGGACCGAGATACTTGGCGGCGTATTCTTCCTGTAAATGTATCCATTTCTGGAACGGGAGAGAGGGCCGAGACTTCAAAGAGCCTGAGTTAAGTACGTCCTCGAGGTCTCTTAGAATGATTCTCCATGAAACTAGGTCGACTACCAAGTGATGTGCGACGACGAACAGGAACTGTGTCTCTGAGGGAGTACTGATTAAATCGGCAGCAAACACGGGACCTAAATTGATGTTGAGTGATGTTTGTGCCGCCTCAATGATATCTTTGGACTCTTCTAGGAAAGTTATCTGATGACTCCGGAATGCAAATGTTGCATCCGTAAGCTCCGGTATGAACTGCTGCCACCTATCGGATCTGCCTTCATCGCTCCCTATATTCTTAAAACGTGCTCGAAGCATATGATGGCGGTTCACAATCATTGTGATTGCTTGGAGGAGTTGTTTTGGGTCTACAAACCGATTGATGCGGAAAAAGAAGCTCTGGTTAAAATGGTGAATGCCATCGGGAGATGAGTCAAAGAACATCTGCTGAATTGGCGACAGGGAAAACGGAGTTTCGGCTTTGAATTCGATGTTATATGCGGATGCTTTCGACCGTGTAGTATGTCGGCTAGTTGAAGATATTGTTTTATAGCGGAAAATGTCTGTTATCTTCACGTCGAGTTCCTGGTTCGCGCAATGAGCTACAATTTGCATCGCGCTAATCGAGTCGCCACCGAGGCGAAAGAAATTGTCTTCCATGCCAATATGCTCAACGTTAATATTCAAGATCTGAGCCCAGGCAGCTTGCAATATCCGTTCGGTATCATTCGAAGGCTGGCTTTTTGTTGCCAATGGGGCACTATATGCTAGAAGCTTATCTTGAGGTAGGACTGCTACACAGTGCCGCAGAAGACGGCGATCAGCTTTCCCGTTCGTGCTAAGTGGTAACCGTTGTAAGGGTAGATACAAAGTCGGAACCATATAGCTTGGCAGCTGTTCATTAAGGAGCGCCTCAGCTTCCTGTGCTGCTGACCGAAACTCAGGTGAAGGCTCGTGGAATATGCCCCGCGAGTCATTAGTTGTGTTGCTCTCGGTATAGACAAACGCAACTAGAATAGGTCGGCGAGATTGGCCGTCAAAGGTTATGAGCTCAACTATTGCGTCGGTCGAATGAGGGTAGCATTGCCGCAATTTGTGCTCGACTTCGCCTAGTTCCAGTCGCTGGCCTCGCAATTTGACTTGAGTATCCTTTCTGGAAATATAATGAAGGCTGCCATCGGCATTATATTTGACAAGATCACCTGTTTTATATAGCCTGGAAGTTGGCCCCCCGAAGTCCCTTAACCAGGCAGGCTGTTGAATGAATACTGCTGACGTCTTCTCTGGGTCGCTGAGATAACCGCGCGCAACGATAGGGCCTTCCAAAAGCAGCTCACCAACAGCGCAAACAGGAACTAACTTGTCATGATTATTTGGGTCAACGACCCATGACCTACAACCGAAGGTGGTACCTAGATTTCGCCCGCTAGTTCTTGTAGTGACGCGTTTGGTTGCGCCGCAGAATACAGCGCACTCAGTCGGGCCATAGGCGAGATATAAATCCACCCTGTCTCTCCACATACTCAACTCCTTTTCCGATACTAGTTCGCCGCCACATATCATAGTTCTCACTGAGGGGAAGTCTTCGGGGTTCATAATACGAGCCATGGAAGGCGTGGTGAAGATCCAGTTCGCTCTCATTCTCGCAACCGCCTGAGCAAGAGACTGCCTGCGTTCGATGTCGGACACAACACAAATGCAGCCACCCTTTATTAGCGTTGATAGATTTTCTGCAATGCTAGCATCGAACGCATACGACGCAAATTGCAGCACCCGGGAATTCTGATTAATGGTGAGAGCTACAGTGTGCTCCCGAGAACTTGTAGCGAATGCACTATGCTCAATCATAACACCCTTCGGCTTGCCAGTTGAGCCACTAGTAAAAACGGCGTAGAGTATGTTGTGCGGAGATGGGATATGTAGTTGTCTATGATCATCCTCGGTCCAGGGCTGTTGATGATCGCCCACGGTGACAATATGACTTGCAAATTCAGAAGCCGTTGGTGTTTGCAGTTTCGATGCTATAATAATGGATGCCCGCGCACTCTGGCATATCTCTTTTAACCTCTGAGATGGTTGAGAAGGGTCAAGAAGAACAAAAGCTGATCCAGTTTTCATGATTGCTAGCATCACCACAGTGGTCCATCTCGACTTTTCAAAGCATACGGGGATGAAAATGTCAGGGCCAACAGCATACTGAGCAAGGTGCAATGCCAGTTTAGAACTGATTTGATCAACTTCGTGGTAACTGAAGCTTCCATCCCAGGCCTCAACGGCGGGCGCGTCGGGTTGGTCCAGGCATCGTTGATGGATCAAGTCATGAACAAGGTGCAACTCTGGGCTTGGTAAGTTTCCACTCCATTGATGCAGCGTTTGGCGACTTAAACTCCCTAGCACAGAGATACTGCCAAGCGACGCATCGGGGTTTGCAATCACCTCGCCGATGGTCCAGCGCAAGGAGTCCGCAATGCTATGGGCAATCTCTTGTGTAATAAACGATTGCCAATACTCTAGGGTCACGTCAATGTGCTCTGGGCCGACAATGATATGAATAGTAATGTCATACTGCAGTTGGGTTCTCGTCAGTTAACTAGTAAAGGCTGAAACAGACATGGTCGAGTAAAGCTTACCTCTGATGGGTCTTCACCCCCGACTACCTCAAGCTGGACTGAAGTTCGCGCGTCTGTGTCGGCGTGCCTCATGTTTTGGAGAGACATGGCCGTATTGAATAGAGCTCGGCTGTCGGGTAGCTGAGCTGCTCGAATGATATCACTGAGTGGGTAGTGCTGGTATTTCAGGCTCTCAACAAAGGTGTTATGATTGTCGCGGAGCATCTGTTTCAAGGATTTCGAGTCGTCCATGTCCATGCGACAGACGAGAATATTTATGAATGGCCCCATAGCTTCTTGCGCTCGAGGAACGGGCACATCACGGCCTGCCGATAGATATCCGAAGCAGACAGCATCAGAATTCAGATATGACTTCAGCACTATGCCCCAAGCCACTTGGAAGATATTCGAAATAGTAAGCTCGTGGTGTTCGCAGAATCGACGAATAGTTGAGGCATCACCCACGTCGATCTCGACTGAACCAAGTGAGTCTTTTGATGGCATCATCTCGTCTACGGCGATGGATGGAAACTGGCAAGGATTAACACCCTCAAGGTATTGGGTCCAGTATTCTTTTTGCGCTGAAGAGGTCTGGCTCTGGAGGTATGAAATATAATCGCGGTACGCGGGCCCAGCGTAACTAGGCGAGCCGTGGTCATAAGCCTGAGCTAATTCATGCAGTAAGATCGCCTTAGTTGTTCCATCAAACAGCGCGTGGCTGATTTCCAGACCGCATAGGATATCGCCGGTAGACGTTGTGCCGATGGACATCCTATAAGGAAGTGACATTTTATCAGCAGTAAGCCTCGGCTGTGTTTCGAGATGACCGAGGAGCCGAGCTGCTGTGTCAGATGGAAGAATGTTCACATCAATCGGGACATTTTTTAGAACTACTTGATCAACAAATCTGCCGTCGTCAGTGCTGCGGACGAAAAGTGTCCTGAATATTGAGTGGTGAGCAACAATGCTTTTCCAAGCTGCAATTACACGCTCAGCGTCGACGGCCCCAGAATTGCCTGCATGTATTCTCCAGATGACCATCGTTTGGTAGTGATCTGGAGATTTGGCCTGACTAAGTAATATCCCTTCTTGAATTGGAGAGCAGGGATAAATATCTTGGATGTTGTTGATTGCGATACCGCTTTCTACGGTGGCGTGGTCTAAAAATTGGCCTAGTGAGTTGTAGGTGAAGTTCATAAGAGGGAAATCCGAAATGGTAAGCTCTAGGGCATGGGTGGGGAGTATTCTCGACATGTCGATGAGGGACTCCTTGCATCTCTGTATCCAATCCACAATGGGCCGATTGGAAGCTGCATGGCGATTGAAATGAAACCCAAAGTGAAGACAACTGCCCTTCATCTCAGCCACTATATCAATGACGGAAAACCTACCAATTTCATCCGATACATCTGATACGCAAGACTCAGGTCTACTGGTCGACTGGAAAAGTGAATCAGAGCGCTCTAGTTGCTGGTACCGGCCAAAAAAGTTAAACGTTAACTCTTTGAGATCGTTAGATAGAGATGCCTGGGCTCGAGGATGTAGAGAAGACGTAAAATGCGCCCATCCACTACTTGGTACAGCTCGGTGCTGGTCTTTGGTTCTGCGAATGACATGGAGTATATCACTACCATCTGTGTGGACGTACATTGGCCACATTGTAGTGAACCATCCGACTGTCCCTGTGATATCGATATTTGATGCCCATGGCTCACGACCATGACCTTCATTCCACAGGGCTGGGGGAGACCGATCGCGAAATGTCTGCGCAAAAGAGTGTATTAACGCGGCTTGGAATAATTCTACCGGCTGTGTCTGGAACGCCCGGTTTGCCGATTCGAACAGGATGTTCGTAACCGTTTCACCCAGGCTAAAGCCATCTTGTGTAGTGTCTTTGACCAAATTGGATTGTCCAACAATACCCCAATAATCATCTGGGGGAGTCGGCATGTCTTTATCCAACCTGACATGTTCTGGATTTAGGTACTTTGTAGCATATTCTGACTGTAGGTCACACCATGTTTGAAAAGGCAGGGATGGCTGCCTAGAGATAGAACCTGTCGTCAACTGCTCTTCCAGATCTTCCAGCAGAACCCGCCACGACACCAGGTCCGTGACAAGATGGTGAGCAGCAATGAAAAGATACTGTTCGTTATGCCCGACAGTAATCAAATTGGCTACCAACAAGGGACCTTTGTGCAAATTAATGGCGTACTGGCTAGAAGTGATAATCTCGCCGGTGGCATTGGTTGATGAGACATGATGTTGATTGTAAATGTAACTCCCAGATATATCATCCATGATGGTTTGCATCCATCGACCTTCCTTATTACAGGAGAACCGGGCTCTCAACATGGAGTGCCGCTTCACAAGTTCATGAATTGCATCACTAAGTGAGACCGTCGAGATGGAACGGGTTATCCGCAGGAAGAAGCTCTGGTTGAAGTGGCAGTCGCCTCGAGGCGCAGCCTCAAAGTATACGTTTTGGATCGGTGAGAGATCGAAAGCTTCGCCTACCCGTTCCGGCTGGTAGTTTGTGGCAAGTGATTTCTGAAGTACGATAGCAAGCTGAGAGATTGTTTTGTAACGAAAGATATCGGCAACGGTGATGCTTACACCGGCAGCACTACACTGTGATGCGACTTGCATAGCACTAATTGAGTCTCCGCCAAGCCGGAAAAAGTTGTTGTGAATCCCTATCAATGAAATGTTCTTATTCAAAACGCGACCCCAGATGCGTTGTAATAGCAGCTCGCTCTCTGTTTCCGGCATTTCGTTGGGTACAGCCGATGAATTGTACAGCTCTAACTGGTCAGGTGTTAGACGTCCAGCTGCCGCCCGAAGCCTCTTACGATCTAATTTCCCGTTTCCAGTCAGAGGCATATCTAGAAGGGGAAGGTAAACCACTGGAACCATATAAACTGGAAGTGTCTTAGATATCTGGGTTTCCGCAAACTGGGCTTCGAGGGAGAACCCTCGGCTGGGCTCAGTAAACAAGCATTCGGTTGACTGGTGTGGCGTCTCATTACCACTCTTTGAGTCCGAAGTGCCCCAGCAAACAAATGCCACAAGCATTGGCTGACGCCCATTGCCCGAGGGTGTGACAATCTCTACCACTACATCACTAGCACCGCGAAAAGAGGCTCGTAGATGTGTCTCAACTTCACCCAGCTCTATCCGTTGACCCCTTAGCTTAACCTGAAAGTCTTTGCGTGCGACGAACTGGAATTCGCCATTGTCGATGTATCGTACCAAGTCTCCGCACTTGTATACACGGCCAGGAGATTTGCCACGGAGTTTAAGTAGCCACTCTGGGGGTTCTATCCAGGCTGCTGCCGTCTTTTCAAGGTCATTAAGATACCCGCGGCCGACAATAGGGCCCTCCAGAAGCAATTCTCCCACAGCTCCTATAGGCAGCAGCTGATTAGGGTCGTCTGGACTCACCACCCACCCGGTACTGCCGAAGCAATGACCTAGATTGCGGCTGTCATTGATGTCCTTTGTTACTAATTGTGTCGAGCACATTATTGAGCATTCGGAGGGCCCGTATGCCAAGAAGAAATTCACGTGCGAGCGCCAGGCGCCAAGTTCCTTTGCAGTGATGGACTCGCCACCTGACACAAGAGTGCGTAGCGTTCTGAATTCAGATGGATTCAGAACTCTAGCCACAGAAGGAGTGAGGAAGGCCCAGTTGGCCTCGAAAGTGGCTACAGATCTCGAAATATCCTGTCTCTGTAAATCCGATGGTATACAGATGCAACCTCCCATAAGAAGCGTGGTTATGTGCTCCATGACTGCGACATCAAACGCGTATGATGCAAATTGGAGAACCCTTGAGGTGGTGTCCATAAGCAAGGCATTTCCGTGAGTTACGGCGCTAGTTGCAAGAGCCCGATGTTCGATAATGACGCCCTTAGGCTTCCCCGTTGATCCACTAGTAAACACGGCGAATACAGCGTCATTATAGTCGCGTGTCTGCTCTTTTTGGGGCGTAGGCTGGTATTTCCAGGTCGCAAGATTGCCCGAATTGACAATGACAACCTCAGGTGCCAGGCTAAACGACAGATCGCTCTTACTTTTCGAAGTAAGAACGACTGTGGCGTCAGCTTGCTTGCAGATATCTTGGAGCCTTTCAATTGGATGCGATGGATCCAACAACATGAACGCGGCGCCGGCTTTCAACACTCCAAGCAAAGCAACAGCTGTCCAACATGATTTTTCAAAACAAAGAGGTACGAGCTGGTTCGGCCCAACACCGTGTCTTCGTAGCTCTGCGGCCACATAAGAAGATAGTTCGTCAAGTTCCCTATAAGTCAAATCCCCATCCCAACTGTTAACAGCTAAGGCAGAAGGTTGGGATAAGCAACGACGTTCAATAAGTTTATCGACGAACTCTTCTATCGGCACTGCTTCCTTCTGGTTATACTGAAGCACACGATCCTTGCTCAGGCTGCCGAAAAGATTTACGCTCTTGACCTCCTGATGCGGGTCTGACATTATGCTGAGCAAGGCTTGTTGGAATGCGTCGGCAATATTCTCGGTCTGTTCATCTGACAAGAATGTTCTAGAGTACTCTAACGAGACCTCAATATCCTTGTTTAAAACGCCGATGTTGATGATAAGATCGTACTATAATTATTTGAATTAGCAACAATGCAGATAAGTGAGCGATGAGATAGATTACTTGCCTCGGTGGGATCATCGCCACTGAAATCTTGAACCTCGATAGTACAGTCGTTAGGAGAGTCCTCGATTTCCTTCTGAACAGACATAATTGTATTGAATAACATGGTTTCAGGCGACTTGGTTGCTTTGACCTTCTCAGCCATTGATAGATGTTGGTACACCAAACTTTCCACAAACTCTGCTTGATTCTTGTGTAGCAAGTCCAGGACGCGTTCGTCTGAGTTAAGCCCAATGTTACAAATAAGCAGGTTAATGAATGGACCAACAGCGTTATCGATGCCAGGAATTGGGACGTCTCTTCCGGATGTCATGTAACCGAAACACGCAGAACTCGAGTTGAGGTAAACTCTCAACACAAGCGCCCAAGCTAGTTGGAATGTGTTGGCTACTGTCAATCCATGCCGCGCACAGAACTCTCGGATCTCAGTGTTGAATGGAAGGGCGAGTTGAAGAAATTGTTTCGTGTTCTTAGTATCATCCAACAATCCACGAGGCGGTGATGCTGGCAATATGCATGGTTCAGCTGAGGCAAGATACTTTTCCCAATACATGATGGCATCGCTGAGCGGTTGGCTCTCTAGGTGACGGATGTATTCCCGGTAGGTATTTTGCGTTGACATTTCAAGCTTATGGTCATATGCAAGCCGAATATCACGTAACAAGAGCTGTCTTGATATGCCGTCAACAACCGTGTGGTCTATTTGTAACAAACAGGCGAGCTCCCCGGAAGACGATACACAGATGGCAAGCCGATGCGGTGGGCTTAAAGGTTGTATCTCGAATTGGTGTGTCTTGAGATTTTTCAGAGGGTCGTCGCTGCTTTTAAGTATGGCGCACATCTCAGTTTGGGGTTCCTTGAGAACAAGCTGGCTATGCTTGCCGCTTCGATCTGGGTTGTCGAAGAGCACTGTTCGAAGAAGCGGATGCTTTTGCAGTACCTGATACCAGGCATTTATGAGTTGTTTTGGATCTATGAGGGACCCATCTTGGGATTTTGCCATCCAAAACCATCGATTGATATACAGACCCGTGGCCTTAGCTTGACTGAGTATCATACCCTCTTGTATTGGAGAACAAGGGTAGGCATCTTTGACCTCTGAAGACTGTGACCTCAGTTTTGCAACTACAGTCTCGTTGAATTCGTCGAATTCCTCATATGAGTATTTCAACAGTTGGAAGTCTGAAGCCGTAAAACCTGGAGCACAGTTGACCAAGTCTTTAGCGGCCAACTGGAGAGATTTCTTCGTGTTCTCGATCCATTGGCTGATTGGCGCCTCCTGCCGTTGCATGTGCCGATTATAAATGAAGCGGATTAGCAATTGAGAGCCTTTGACCTCGGATAAGACATCAAATAATGCAAACCGTAGAATCTCAGGTGACATTTGGTGGAGCTCCCCCTCAGTAAGAGAGGACGGCTGAAGCAGAGTCGTCGGGTTTTTCGTGAAGCCTGGGTCGAAATTGAACAGTACCTCAAAAGGTGGCTCCTGGTGTAAGTGCGCTGCACCTTTGGGATGAAGATAACGAGATGTAAAGTATTCCCATCCATTGCTCTTCACCTGACGCCGTGCATCTTTTGTTTTTCGCACGATGTCAAGTATGCCATCATGTGGCTGAATAAAGATATCTGCAGGCCACATTGTCGTGAACCAACCAACTGTCCGGGTCAGGTCAATAGCAGGGTTCCACGGTTCGCGACCGTGCGCCTCGGAGAAGATTACTGGCGGACGTCGACTGCGGAAAGTCTGGACGAAGGCCTGAAGAAGAGCTGCGTGAATAATTTCAACTGGTGTAGTGCTAAAGGCATCATTGGCTGGCCCAAGTAGAGCCTGCGTTTCACTCTTTCCTAGAATAAAGCTACTTTCGATAGCATCGCCCCAGTAATTTTTTGTGCTTTCAATTCCCCAGTAGGATGACATGTCTATGGGGGTGTACTGGGGTATAACATTGGTAGGATGCAGGTTCTTCGCCGCGTATGAGATCTGTAGCCGACTCCAAGTTTGGAATGGCATAGGTGGCGCGAGTGGTTGCTGTTTGCCATGAAGGAGGAGCTCTAGATCAGATAGGAGGACTCTCCAAGACACTATATCGACTATCAAGTGATGCGCTGTAAGCGAGAGGTAGAGTTCGGCATCCTCATCAATCTCAATCACGTGACAGAGGAATAGAGGTCCCTTTTGAATGTCCAGTCTTCTTTGATCGGCATGGATTAAGCACTGCGCTTCGCTTCTTGTTGGCACTCTGTGCTCTATGAACGAAAAGCTATGAGCATGATCATCAGTAATGAATTGCTCCCATTGACCATCAGAAGACTGGCTGAACCGAGCACGTAGCATTGAATGGTTTGTAACAAGCCAGAGAACAGCTTCCATCACCCTCTCTTTTAATAAGGGTTTAGCGAGCCGGAATGTCAGGTTCTGGTTGAAGTGGTTATACGCTCTGCCAGCAACGTTAAAAAACAACTTCTGCGCTGGTGACAGGTTGAATCGCCTATTGATAGTTTCAGCTGCGAATGAGGGAGAGTGCTGCATCTGTTCGGTTCGTATGCTCATCTGCCCGATTGTCTTGCTTTGAAATAGGACCGCAACGGAAGTTTTCAATCCAGCAGAGGCACACTGAGCGACAACTTGCATGGCGTTAATGGAGTCGCCCCCAAGGCGGAAGAAATTGTCATCCATGCCGATAGATTCAGCAGGGAGGTTCAATACGCGTGCCCAAATTAGTTGTAAAGTTCGTTCAGTATCTGTAGTTGCTGCTCGTTTGGTGGTCTCAACTACAATGGAATATGATTGGATCTGATCAATAGACAGGGACATACAAGCTTCTCGTAAATGTCGTCGATCTACTTTACCGCTCCGAGTAAGAGGCAACTTCCTTAACGGGAGTAGTACCTCGGGAACCATGTATGATGGGATGGAAGATAATAACTCTGCTGTTGCCTTCTGAGACCATTCTCGGAAACTATCACTTGGCTGTTGGAAAATACTATTAGAGTCCTCGTTGGTGGTTGTTGTGTCTATGTTCGAGCAAATAAATGCAGCAAGGTAAGCCGCCTTGCCTTCTGTAGGGGGAGCGATAACATCAACGATAACATCAGTCGCACTAGCAAAGCGACTCTTCACATGATACTCGACTTCGCCCAGTTCTACTCGTTGACCTCGTAACTTTATTTGAGTATCTTTTCGGCCGACATAGCGTATAGTGCCATCAGGGTTGTACTGTACCAGATCGCCAGTCTTGTACAGACGTCCGGTTTGTCGACCCGAGCGAAAGGTACGTAGCCAGGCGGGTGGATTGATATAAGCCGCAGCTGTCTTGTCCGGTTCATCGAGGTACCCTCTTGTTACAATTGCGCCCTCGATCAACAGCTCTCCAATGGTGCCGATGGCTGCTAATCGTGTGTCTGGACTCGATGTGTCTACGATCCAACCAACACTTCCTACCATTCGCCCAATCGTGCCGGGTCTCCATCCCGAAGATGGGATGGGTCCAACTGTGCAAAAAGTACCCTCAGCTGGGCCGTATGCATTGATGAGACTTACTTTGCTGGCCCATATGTCTACTGGGTCGCGGGTGACTGCTTCTCCTGCAAGCACCAGGGTCTTCAAGGAAGGCACATCCTCCGGTCGAAACAGATTCAGTGTAGATGGCGTCAATAGAGCCCAGTTAACTTGTTGATCGCGAATAAATTTAGCTAGCCTATTCATTCGATCGTGTTCTGATGGAATGCAGACGCAACCTCCAAATACCAGAGTATTGAATATTTCGTAGATGCTCACATCAAAAGCGTACGAAGCAAAATGCAAGGATCGTGAGTCCGAAGAAATTTCCATAGCACCAGCATGGGCTAGAATGCTCGTACAGAGGTTGCGATGCTCCATGACGATACCTTTTGGTGTACCTGTACTGCCTGAAGTGAACAAAATTACAGCAGCGGCTTGGGGCTGAACTTTGGGCAGTCTTGTTCCATGTGGCGGGAGCTCCTTAATTGAGGTTTCTGAGATGGACAGTACTCGAGGCACGAGGCTTTCTACAAGGGCCAGATGGGCCTTTGATACAATTATAAGTCGTGGCCTAGTTTTCTTGATAATTTCCTCTATTCGGCGGCGTGGATATCCCGGATCGATAAGCACACATGCACAGCCAGCACGAAGCACGGCAAGAAGGGTCACAATCGACCACCGAGATTTTTCCAGACAGACTGCGACTGTAGACTCCGTTTCGACTCCCATGGTAAGAAGCCGTCCCGCCAACCGTGCCGACCAGGTGTTTAACTCGTCGTATGTCAACTTCCCATCCCCCGCACATACAGCTGAACTATTTGGGGTCTTGATACTGTTACGAGTGACGAGGTCGTGTAGAGTTTCCAGCGCAGGCGGTGGAACATGGCCATTCCAAATCGCAAGCTGGATCGTATCCTCTTCGCTCATGACTTCAATATCTTTAAGAAGATGGTCATGTTTCGCCGACAACCGGTGTAAGACAGCATGGAACTGCTCTACCAACCTACGGGCCTCATGTTCTACGAGAACGTTAGGATCGAAATTAACGGAGATTTCCAAGTCATTCGACCCTTCCTGTAAGTGAAGGAACATGACGAATGAGTAGCTTGCAAACCCTTCATAGCCGTCGAACCTCTCTGATTCTGCGGTAGCCAACCCACCAAGATCCAATTCTGATGTAATATCCGAGGGTTGAATGACCAGCTGGGTCTGGAATCCGCATGCTGTGGATGCATCAGGGCTGATCCTGCGGATATTCTGCAATCCGTAATGCAGGAAAGGGATAGTTGCGAGAGTCTGTTCTTGCAATGCCGATAGCGAGGCATTTAGCGTTCTATCCCCAGGTAAGAGCACTCTGACTGGGACAGTGGCAATAGTAGGGCCAGTGATCTCAGATATGCCATCCAAAGCAGTCGCGCGGCCATTCGAAGTTAGCCCAAAGACCACATCATCAGAATCTGTGTAGCGTGAAAGAACAATTGCCCACGACAGCTGAATTAGAGTCGACAGCGTGTAGTCTTTCTTATAGTCTGAAGACCCCGTGATAGAATGAGTAAAGGACTGATTAGGATTGGGGCGGTAGTCAAGACTAGGGAGTTGAGGGAATGTCGCTATATTTAGATCGTCAAATTGTGAGATCCAAAAGTCGTGGGCTCCTTGAGTTCGGCCAATGTGGCGAACGAAATAGTTGAATGGCCGAGAGATCAGATCCTGTGCCTCATATGATCTCTTAACTTGTTCCCAAAGCAAGGGGAGAGTCCATCCATCGTATAATGAATGGTGGATAACCCAGAGAAACTGATGCCAGTTATTTCTGTCAGGTAAAGGAGCAAGAGACAGGTGCACCAAGGGCGAGCCTAAGCCCATGGAGAGGGCTTCTGCGTGGTTCTGCTGCCCATCCGAGGTATCAAAAAACTCCCACGGTGGCAGTTGTTTTAAAACGGTTTGAAAGATGTTAGTGTTACCTGATTGTACCAAGCGCGTGCGTAAGATCGAATTAGCAACGATAACTGCATTCCAAGCCTCTTGAAATCGAGAAATATCTGTACTCGGAGGAATCAGGTACTTGAATCGAGCAATGTACATGCCTGGCGTCTTCACCGCAAGAGCCATCAGACCTTCTTGTAAGGGAGTACATGGGTAAATGTCCTCAACAATGTCTTCATCTACTTGGCACTGACTGGCAACGTCCTTTAGGATGTCGCCTTGATGAGCTTCACCCTGGAGCAAAGAAAGCGGCTCAACATGATGCTCAACACCATTTGTATAATTTTGTGCAATCTTTGCCAGTGAATACACTGTTGGATGTCTGAATACATCAGCAGTATTGAAACTTAGGCCACGGTCTTTCGCCAACGCCACTAGATTCATAGCTAGAATCGAATCTCCACCCAAGCGGAAGAAATGATCGCGAGGACCTATTCTGTCAGGTTTAACTTGCAAGACTTGAGCGAAAAGTTCTTGCAAAATGTGCTCTTCACGAGATGAATGAATAGCCTGCACAGGGGCTGAAGGTTCGCTATACTCTTCTGGCGAGATATCTGCCGCCATGCTACGAAGTAGTTTGCGGTCCAGCTTGCCAGACTTACTATACGGCAAATAATTCACTGGCAGGAACACGGTGGGCACCATGTAGATAGGCAGAAGAGCCTCAAGCTTCCCGGTAGCTTCTGCAGCGAGAACCCTGAAGCGAGCATCTGACATTCTGAACATCCTCTGCTTAGACACAATGAATGCTGTCAATGCTGGCCTATTTGTATTCTTATGCAAGACTACTTCAGCAACTGCCTCTTCTGCCTCCGGAAAACATTGGTGCAGATGGTGTTCGACTTCACCGAGCTCGATACGTTGTCCTCGAAGCTTGGTTTGGGTATCTTTACGACTGACGTAGCGCAAGGATCCATCGCTCGTGTATTGGACAAGATCACCCGTTCGGTAGAGGCGAGCTGATCCTGATGGTCGAAAATTAGACAGCCAGGCAGGGTATTCCGTTGCCGTAACGAATGAGGCAGCAGTGCGCTCGGGGTTATTAAGATAACCAAGTCCTACAATAGGCGATTCGACAAACAACTCGCCCACAGTACCAACGGGCGCTAATCTTCTCTCGTTGTTCATATCAACTACCCAGCACACCGCACTGGTAGGGAAGGCGATGTTATTAGGATCTTTATTGTTACGGACATTCCGGTGTAGGGTAGTAAGGATTGCACACTCTGCAGGGCCATATAGATTCAGCAGGTGGGCGTGAGGAGCCCAAAGCGATATTACTTCATTAGCGATAGGCTCTCCACAGAGCACAAGCTTTTTCAAGCCAGGTGTCTCATTAGGATCAATAATCCGAGCGACAGAGGGTGTGAGACAGGCCCAGTTGGCGCCAAGGCTATTAATAGAGTCAATCAGGCTTCCACCTTGGATATCTTGGTTTGACGGAACACAGATACACCCTCCCGCAACTAGAGTGAGTAGATTATCCGCAATGCTGATGTCAAAGGCGTAAGCAGCAAATTGGAAGACTCTTGAATCGGGTTCAAGATACAGGCCGACACGGTTCGCCTGAGCGCTTGTACACCAGGATATGTGAGAGTGAACCGCGCCTTTTGGCATGCCTGTAGACCCTGAAGTGAAGACTGCGTACATAGAATTATGGGGTTGGACTAGAGAGTTGGGCATAGAAATGACTTTGGTAGGCGTCTCGGAAGGCTTCCAATCTACGTTGAGAATAACTGCACGTGACGTTAGGCTTTTAGCCATGGCAGCGTTTCGCTCCGAGCTGATAACGAATGGGGCTTTGGCATCTCGACAAATACTTTGTAACCGCTGTGTGGGGTGGGAGGGGTCAAGAAGAATAAATGCTCCTCCAGCTTTGAGTACACCTAGCATAGTAATTGTAGTCCATCTAGACTTTTCGAATAGGAGCGGGATGAAGATTTCAGGACCAACACCCAGGTCTATCAAGCATGTGGCAAAGCTTGATGAGAGTTGCTCTAGCTCACCGTAACTGAATGATCCGTCCCAACCACATACGGCGGGGGCATCTGGGCGAAGGTCAGACTGTCTCCGGATAAGTTCATGTGCACATGAATGGACCGGTTCTGGAAGAGACTGGTTCCATCGCCTGAGTTCAGACCAATCTTCTACGCTTGTTGTGTCCAACTCGGAAATAGAAAGAGACTTCTGTGATGGAATAAGCTGCTGAAAGATATGTCTAAATTGGTGCAGCATTCGGTTGAATTGTATTTCTTCAATTACATTAGGATCGTAAGTAGCCACTATATGTACAGAGTTGGCCAATTGTTCAACGATCAATGTGATCGCATACGTGCTAAATGCATCGAGAGAAGCTAGATCCTTGGAATTTCTGAACAGCTCTGGAAGTTGGTCTTTCTCGGGTTGAATAACCAACAAGCTCTGAAACTGGCTCGCAGTGGCAGCTTCAGGTCCAATTCGGGCGATATGCTGTAGACCAAATTGCTCAAAGGGAATTACATCTGTAGATTGACGCTGCACTATCCTCAGTGCATCCCCGACTGAGGTGCCCGGGGATACATTGACACGACAAGGTATAGACGCGATCGTCGGTCCAGTCATATCCCCTATTGCAAAGACTGGCGCTCCACGGCCAGAGACAGTAACACCAAATACGGTATCTGAGCAATCTGTATAAAGCGAGATGAGAATGCTCCAGGCGAGTTTAAGTCGGTTAGGCGCACTAAATTCGGATCTCCCTCGAAAGTCGAGTGGTATATCGAGAGCCTTCTTAAGGGTAGGCTGAGGGATGTAAGCTGTAGCGGGAAGAGCAGGGAATGTAGCAGATTGCAAATCTTTAAATTGATTTTTCCAGAAATCTTCGGAGTTAGTCCGCATTTGAAGTATATAAGCGATGAAATTATTAAAGGGACGAGGTACCAGTGTGAAACCTTCATATGCTGCCTGCACCTGTTGTAGAAGCAGTGGCATGGCCCACCCATCACTAATGGCGTGGTGAAAGGCGAAAACAAGCTGGTAATGGCCACCACCAGATGATGTTTCAAGGGATAGACGAGCCAGTGGGCCACCTATTTTCCAATTATCTAGGGTAGCTCTCTGAGTTGTTTCTGAGACCCATGGAAGGGCTCCACGGATAACTGCTTGGTAGAGAGAGCCGCTTATCTGTATGATGCGCGTTCGAAGAATAGGGTTCGCATTCACTACATCATTCCATGCGCTCTTGAATTGAGGCACATCAAGTTCAGCAGGAAGCTCATACTCGAAAGCAACAGTGTATGCACCAGGTCTCTTGAGGGTCAGTGACATCAAACCTTCCTGTAGAGCAGTGCACTATAATTCGTTAGAGTTAGCAATTAATCCGGCAGTTGAGAAAGATAAGGGCTAGGAGGTTTGCAGGCTCCCAAGGTACGCATCTTCTACAGAGTAGTCACCTCTATGCAAGTTGGTTGGATGGCAAGGGAGCGGCTCTGGGAGTAACATACGGGATACAGATCCTCGACTTCAGAAGTGCTATGAAGTTGGCACTGCTGGATAGCAGCCGCGATACAGGCCTCGGTACTGGCCGAGTCTGGGAGCAGAGAAAATGGCTTAACATGATCACTACTGCCCGGCGAGTTAAGCTGAGCTAGAGATGCCATGGTTTCAAGGCTGTCATGTTCGTATACAAGGCGAACTGGGAGACTCAGTCCCTCCTGCCGAGCTGCGCCGGCTAGCTTCATCGCAGAGATAGAATTGCCTCCTAAATCAAAAAACTTATCATCTAAGCCGATATCTTCTGTTGAGATCTGAAGAGAATTGGCCCAAAGGCGTTGGAGTATTTCTTCCTTTGGCGTGGCTGGCTGTCGCTTCGCCGTCAAAGACGAGAAAGATATATACGAGTTGAGTTGAGACCGGGTGAGGCTTGAGGCTAAGGAACGTAGCCGTCGTCTATCAGTCTTCCCACTCGGTAAAAGTGGTATGGATATTAGAGGCAAAAAGACACTTGGAATCATCCATTTGGGTATCGACCCAGTCAGCTGTTGTTGCACGAGCTGCACCTGTGCACGAAACTCATCGCTTGAGCTAACGAATCCCTCAACGTGCCCGTTACCATGTCGCGCGGCGTTATCAATGTCTGGGAGAATGAACGCGACCAAGGTCTCAGTTCCATCAGCATTTGCAACATCCACCACGAGCCCGCGGGCGGTGGGAAGGACGTGTCGCAGATGGTGTTCGACCTCCTCAACCTCCAGCCGCTGGCCGTGGAATTTGACTTGGTCATCTTTGCGTCCGACATAGCGTATCGAACCATCTCGCGCAGCGCTATATGACACCAAGTCTCCTGTTTTGTACAGCTTCACTCCTGGTGAAGCGAAGTCCGGCCGATATTGACGATACCATTGAGGCGGATCAATGAAGGACTGGGTGGTCCGCTCAGTATTATTAATGTAACCACGGCCCACTGCCGGCCCGTCAAGGAGGAGCTCGCCAACTTGGCCAACCGATACCAGCTGATCAACATCATCTGGATTGACGATCCAACACGTGACACCAGTGCCAAAGCCTAGATTGGTGTGGTCGATGTCATCAATCGTGCATCGTCGCGCAACGTTGGCGACCGCGCACTCGCTCACGCCGTACGCGACAAACAGTTCCACGTGCGGCGCCCATTTGCGGACATCGTTCGCATGGATTGCCTCTCCACCTAGAACCAATGTGCGCAAGGTCGGAAAGTCGTGGACATTGAGAATCCGCGTGACCGACGGCGTAAGTATTGCCCAGCTGGGCTTCAAGTTCCGCGCTTCGCCAGCTAGGTCACGTGTTCGTCCCTCGTCAGAGGGAATGCAGATGCAGGCACCCACGATCAATGTCGTCAACATCTCCGTCAGAGAACCATCGAACGCGTGTGAAGCAAATTGCAGCACCCGAGAGCTGGCATCCATGCCGAGAGCTTCAGCATGTGCCACTGCACTGCTGCAAAAAGCCCTATGGTCGATGATGACGCCTTTCGGTTTTCCGGATGTGCCTGAGGTGAACACGGCGTAAGCCGCATTCCGAGGATGCACAGCACCTGCAGAGAATGCAGGCGAAGATCTCGCTAAGTCGTCGCCCATTACGACGACATCAGGCGCTAAGATTTCTGCTTTCTCAACCAGCCGTCGTGACGCCACGATGGTTGTGGCACCAACAGTCCGGCAAATCTCTTCTAGTCGACTTGTTGGATGGGATGGGTCTAACAGCACGAAGACACCACCTGCCTTCAACACTGCGAGCATCACCACAGGGACCCAGACCGACTTTTCTGAATAGATAGGGACGTATACCTCAGGGCCTACTTTGTGCTGGGCTAGAAGAGCCGCGAATGATGAAGAGAAGGCATCTAGCTCTGCATAGCTCAACTGACCGTCCCATGCGCATACTGCAGGCGCTTTGGGCTGTGAAGCAGCGCGATCTTGGATCATATGGTGTACGCAGACATTGAATGTTTGTGGGATATGCGAGACCATTGGCTTCAGTTCCAACATTTCGACACTTTCACTAGCGTCTTGAACGCCATTCTTCTTCTTCTTGAGATGTGAAGCAACGCCATTTGTGCTAGAGGTGCCGTGGTCAGTCAGGACAATCTGGTCGAAGTGCGGCGCCATTATGTGGTGGATTGGCAAAACCAGCAAAATTCGAGAATGACTTCGACGCGAACAGGGAGATAGTTGTGTCCTCTCTCTCCCTGATACAGTATCGCAATTTTACAAAGAAAAGCGCCGAAATTACAGCACGATGTACGGATTTTCGATCTTCAACAGCTCAGAGTACAGTCGAGATATAATCTACTCAACTCAAGCTCTTCACAAGAGACATTTAAAGGCACATGTAATCATGAAGTCTTCTAACGCGATATTGCCAAGACATGTCGGATATGTAAGTACCATAACCCCTTTGACCCGTACAACACTTCGCAACTACCTAAAGTAGAAATTGCACAAAGCGAGGTCCTCGACAAGTAACACAGGCATGTCGCCAAAATCATCGCCGCCCAATCACCAGCATACCGGCTCTATCCTTCGGGTACCGTAAGCTTGTCACACTCTGCTTATTATTGATGCAGATCAACCGGGTACTCACAAAACAACCCTCAAGTATAAGTTACCTACGCCAATTGTGGGTACATGTCACGAAAACACAGGCAGGTTCGTGACCAATTCATGCTCAGCTCGTAAAGTTGTTCGGATCCAAGCTATGCCGCATAGAGTCGCAAGGGAGTGGACAGGATACAGCATCCTTCTGACTCCATGCCGGCTCAATATACATGGGTTGCAATAGGCGCGGAATACCCACCGTCACAGCGGTACATAACTCCAGGAGTGGAGAAGATGACGAGATTTGTTGTGTTCTCCACGGCCTCGGGCTTCATTCAGTAAGCGGCGCCGGAACTCTAGATTCTTCTGTGCCAATATTACACCTCGCAGGCGCCTAGAACTATCACGTTAGCATTCTCGCTGATGCGGTCACGGTGTGATTATGTTGCCTACATTTTGGGTGAAATTAGCTGTGACAGAGAACGTGATTTTAGGAGTTGTGTAATCTCATCAGAGCAGACCTAGGCAAGGCGCTTATATCAAATATAGTAACATTCCTGCTGTACACCATCTTCATCAGGACATCTGTTATCTCTACCCTCCCAAACTATGTCTCAACCTATGTTGCTAGACACTTCAGCCACCGAGAGCGTTCAGCTCTACAGCATTCGGAAGTCGGGGCTTCTGAACTTGAAAGAGTCTATCATCGCAGGCCTACAGGCCACTCCTAAGACCTTGCCATCTCTCCTACTCTGGGATGATCAAGGTCTGCAAAACTTTGACGCTTGGACTCAGGCCCCTGACTACTACCCTAAGCGTTGTGAATGGGAAATTTTGACAAACTACCAGCAAGATATAGCCTCTCAATTGCCAACAGGATCTATCATCATAGAACTGGGTTGCGGGTAAGGTCTCGTGAAATCAGATATTCATGTCATACCATGCTAACTAGTTACAGAAATCTCGGTAAGACAGCATGGCTGTTAGCCGCAATAGAGCGCCAACAACGTAAGGTGCATTATTATGCTCTTGATGTATCAGACGATGCTCTGTATAAAAATCTTGGGAACCTCAAGACGCAGTTCGCCAACTCAGAATGCATCAGCATATCTGGGCTCAAGGGAACCTACGATGATTGCGCGGAATGGCTCGCGGGCTCCGCTCAGCTTCCAGGCTCTACTGTGACTTTCTTATGGCTAGGCAATAGCATTGCTAACCTCACCAAACTAGAGGCAAGCCTATTAATAGGCCAGTTTCGTCAGGCTTGTCGCAAGATGTCGCTTGACTGCAACTTCTTGATTTCCGCTGACTCATGCGCTGTTCGAGAGAGCATTCTCAAGGCCTACGACCCTAATGATGGCCCATCACGAAAATTCCTCCTTCACGGCCTTCATCATGCGAATCGCTTATTGGGGCGTGAAGTTTTCAAAGAAGCTGAATGGGAAGCTGTCCCTACGTGGGATGAAGATCAACATGAACTTCACTACAGTTATGTTCCGAATGTTGATGTACAATTTGATCACGATCAGATACAAGTCTCCATAAAGAAAGGAGAGCCGATCCATTACTTTATGTCAGGAAAGTGGACGGAGCCACACGTAAACTCGATCGCGGAGAAAGCTGGACTGAAAGTAGGCAGCGTATGGAAGGACACGCAAGAACAATACTGTTAGTACATTTCCTATCACTCAGGCTCCCAAGTACACAACCTAACATCTGCACGCAGGCTTCTACCTTCTTCACAACAAATCATATTCGATAGGTACAGATGGTGGTAAAAGTCAACGAGCGTTAATCTAGGGGTGTGGTTTTTCAACGTTTACGATGAAATAGGGGCTAGAGCATGCAATGAAACTAATTCGCAATCTTACACACCATTTTACTTTGCATATTCATTGAATCTCGATCAACTGCCGATAGATTGTCGTACAAAAGTAACCCTCCTGCAGGCTTGAACCATCCTAGCTACTTAAGACATCATACTAAATCTCTATTAATTTTTACACCGAGACAGAAAATGTGCACATTGACCCTGCCCCCGCTCACAATTGCTCTAGCACAGTAGGTGCTTTTTCTACAAGGATTGCGTGCGTCTCTGCTGAGCCTCATGACGCAAGACCCTTTTATACGAAACCATGTCCCAGCTCCTTTCTAGCAACATGCATACCAATCCCTCTATCAGACCTGCATGTTCCCATGTTGTATTACCGCACGGATTCTAATTGGCTTGGTTCGGTCCCGAAATCCCTCGAAGTCTTTGAACCATAGATGTGCGTTTCGCGGGTGTCTGCCTGGTCTAGGTTTGCCGGGTAAGATATTGTTGGGAGAATGGGTTAATCCTGTGACTTACGAAGTACGTTTAGTTGAGCCGCTGGCAACTATGCAGTATACACACACGCCCCTGCGATAATCGTCGTTATGTCTCAAATCGTTAGATATGTCACTATACAAGTCTACGTACGAGGTAATATACATGGGATTATCTAGAGCGCTAACTTGAGGAATGCCTCTGAAATAGGGATGCCGTTGAACGACCCCGCACATAGTGAGCTTATACAATATTTAATGCGCCGAAGTCAATATCGTAATCATATTGAATTGGTCCCCGGGATATGACCTCAGTTTTAGTGATGATTTCGGCATGAGCCTCTAGAATTTCGGTTGAGGGATTAGAAGGGACAAGAGAAATTGTATCGAAATCTCTGTGTCCATAATTAGTGTTCACATTCATGTATTCCATGGAGGCTTCAAACGACAACAGATGCCCTTTGCTCGAATCTGGTCATCCTCATGCTGTACAAGTTCTTGTCTACTTAATTCTAGTGTAATTCGACTGCCGAAGGCGAGCTTACCCCTAAGTATGCGGATATGCATAAATGTGTCAAAGCGGCAAAGAGACGCGGTGAGATTCGCGGGGGTGCGGGAGTGTCTCGGCAATGCATATTATGTGTATTCTCCGTGTAATTGAAATGAGTACGTTGAGTATAAACGGAGGAGCGAGGCTGACGCGACCGGATGATGACAATGTGGCGTCTGCTAAGTCATCCTTCCGGAGAGTTTGTACCCTTACGAAGCTTGTCTTTCATCTAAGCATATGACTCGAAGATTGATTCTAGACACATGCCTGTCATGCCGAGCACTGCAGCCATGCTGGCGCATAGGTAGAGCCTTATTTCAGTTACGTAAAAAACCCCTTGGGCACCCATTATGGGTGTGCATCTGATGTTCGAGACCGTCAGGACTAATCAATTTCCTCATTTCGGGTTGGGAAGGTGATCATGTCTACCCCAGGAACGGCACACTTGGCACGCTTACATATGGTGGCTTACCTCAGCTACATTCTCTTTGTCGAGTAAGTACATACTACATGTGTGGAATTCTACGATTTAGTCCTTGGCAAAGCTTGACGAAAGCTTCGCTGAACGTTTTGTAACACAAATACTTCATGCAGACGTGATCTACTTGCAGATCGACGTCGACTCAATAGACTACCAAGCTTGAGAGTAGGCTACTACTAGCTGGGCAGAAACCGGGATTTCTAACATATACCTCCAGGATGATGGAAGATTGACGGGCTCTGCAGAAATTATTATAGCACTGCATAGGATTCAAGGCAAGTTGAATAATCTACCATGCCCTTTGTCCACCGACTAGGTATCCGCGCAGGCAAAGGAGGTTGCACAATATTGATAGAGAATGCCGTTATTTAGAATGCTTGTGCTAACTTTGCCTGTTCTCCTGGACGTACAGTGTCAATACTGAGTAGTTAATGGACATAACTAAATAATAGAGGGCAGGAAAGAGATGAAATTCTAAAGATAATACTCTAGTAGAAAATGGAAACCCATGCAACAATACTAGTTAGCAGATCATGTCGCAGTTTGGTGAAGAAGCTAATAAGAAAAAATATGGTTTTCTGGCGATGTATGCATATATGCACGATTCTCGCGCGTTCGTGTGATATCCTGTCAGAAACGGCATATCGTTAATGAGATAGATTTTCTGACTTGTAGTACAACCAGGTCAACTTCAGAGTGAGACCAACCAATAAGTAGTTCGTGAATCATAAAGTAAATAGCACTTACGTTGGAGGCAGATACAGAGGATTCTTTCTTGCTTCTGGTCAAATATCAAAAAACACCTTTCTACCATCTTCATCATGTCACCCAGTATTGTCCTAGATGACGATCTTCAAATCTTCGACATCAGGCAGAGTGGTGAAAGTCTTGATCTAAAAAGTAAAATCATAACGGGTCTTCAGTCCCTGGCACCTACACTTCCTTCCTTGTTACTCTGGAACGACAGAGGACAGAGGCTTTTTGATCGCTTTTCACAGACGCCCTCTTACTACCCTTTCCATAGTGAGATTGAGGTTCTCAACCGACATGGCTCAAATATAGGTGAATGTATTCCTACCAGTGGGGTTCTTCTCGAACTAGGGTGCGGGTAAGAAAAACACATACTCTCATTTTCTAGTATCAGTATCTAGAACGAAGTATCAAGTCCGATGGAGCGAAGTTTCATCAAACTAAATATTCGAACTGATAAAGCAATTTTTGCAAATACTAAGTGGTTTACTAGGGCGATTCGCAAAACCAAGTCGATCCTGTCCAGCTTCAGGCGCGAGCAGAAGCCAGTACACTACTTTGCGCTGGACGTGTCAAGTCAAGGCCTCGAGGCCAGTCTAATCGAGCTGAGAAAAGTGTTCAGGGATTGTCCTTTCATCACTATCACGGGGCTTCTGGGCACCTATGACGACTGCGTAGCCTGGCTGGCTGGTCTCAAAAACACCAGTGTCAACGGTTCAGTGACTATCTTGTGGCTGGGGAACAGCATTGCCAATGTCAATAGCCAAGACGAAGCAAGCGCCTTCTTGGAGCGGTTTGGCACGGCATGTCAACGCGCAGACCTGGCGTGCCGCTTCGTCGTGTCCACGGACATCTGCCAGAAGAACCACAAGGTCCTCGAGGCCTACGATGTAGAGAGGCCAGAGTACCGCGAATTCTTGCTCAACGGAATCGAAGCGGCGAATCTGGCGCTGGGGTATGCTGCCTTCTCACTCGAGGACTGGCAGCCGAACAGCTGGTTGGATGAGCTTGAGCGCAATCTCCATTTCTACCTAACGGCACGCCGGGATCTGCTGGTCCCACTTGCCCCAGAGAATGTTGATGGAGGTAACGCCATGAACGCCGTGAAAGTGTTCAAGGGCCAGCGCGTGCGAATAGTGACGAGCGGCAAGTGGAGCGAAGAAGCTATGCGTGGCATCTGCAGTCGCGCCGGCTTTCACATTCGTCAGCAGTGGAAGGACGAGACGGGCGACTACTGTGAGTATGAGAAACTGTAGAATTACTTAACTCCGTGAAGTCTTGGGCTGACTGTATTATTGTGCGTCAGGTATATTCTTGTTGATGCGAGAATCGCACTGAAAGGCTGGGCGGTAGCGTGATGGAGACTGGGCGGGCCAAGAGCCAAGCATGTTGGCACTTGCTGCACCAACGCTCTCATATGTAGATACGTGTAGCTACCGTGACGTGAAGCGAAAAGGGTATGTCGTGTATGGTGAAGATGCTTATTTCAACGCCTCTTCTGGTCTGTGCAAGATACTGAAATGGGTGATGCCAGCATGAAGTGGGAATGCTCTCCACTTGCCCAGTCCATGGTGTTGAACCTTTTCGGGAATTATTCCAAGCCACGGTGCCCTGGACAGACCCAGGATTTACTGTAAGCGGTAACTGTCCAAGCTCTTAGCGGCCCCTTAGCGGTCGCCTAGCCCCTCAGCAGCCCCTCAGCAGCCCCTTAGCAGACTCGGCAGACCCTTAGTCTGCCTTAGCTTAGCGCTTAGTAGGGCTGCTGGGGCGCTAGCAGGGCCCTGGCCGTTGGGCCTGTCCGTCCAGACCCGCCTTACCCCCAGACTCCCGCAATGCGGGCGGAGTGTAGCGGCGCCTTAGTTCCCGTGAGACTCCCGCAGTGCCATGCTAGCCAGGTGGCCGCTGTCGAAGCTAATGCACACGAAGAATCGAAACATATCCAGTTGTTCAATGATGCCGCGCCTCATCATGATCATATTGCCTATGCTCTCTGCTATGCCACCCCTACGATCTGCTGTAAGCTTAGCCGTGGAGAGGGCCGAGTGCTCACTCACATGATTCGCTTGGAGAATGTGCTCCTTTGACCATCTACATCATCGTTAGAACAGGTAGAGATCTTCGGGCAAGAAAGACTTTGCGAGTTCAGCTGAACGGTAAGGTGACAAGGCCTTGGCATCATTATCCTAAGGGGGCCGATCTTCTGTTACCTGCCACGGAGCAGCTATACTTACACTGATATTACATACTGCCCTGTACCTATACACGCACAGCACTGTAACCAGACTGGATCGGGCCAATCTTTCAGATCATCTTTGACGGTCGCCGTGGTTGACAGACGCCTTGGCATCTGCGCGCAGGGGATTAATACCTACCTAGTATCAGACCTATGAAGAGACTACCTAAATCTCACCTGCCAAGATCCATCTTGTACAACCTCGTATAACTAGATGCGCGAGATGCCCTCCTCAAGATTGCTCTAACGGGGTGTGACTCTCACGCCGCTCGGGACACCGTACACGGCTGCAGTTTGGTACTGTACTGTAGCAACACACCAACCTGGCTTGTACTTATTTTTTTTGGCTGTATTACAGTGCCCCTTTCCACTGGCTAACAGCCTGTCAGAACATTTGGAGAATTTCTCTCTTTGCCTCTCCTTGTAAATCTTGTTTTTTCTTCTTCTCGACGTTCGTTTAAAGAAAACCGCATCACGGTTTCGCAACACGTTCAATTTGCATCCACGGCATGTTGACGCCTTCTCAGAAATCGACGTCGTGAAGCGTGCAACCTAGTTGCCTTTAGTGGAAGAAACCCTTCCCTTGTTTGTTTCTGTGTACATCTTCATCTTCTTGTATTTATTGGTGCAATGACGGCGACGGAAGAGAGCGCGGCGCAAGCCGCAGCCAGTTCTACCTCTCCTACGGCAGCCGAGACTGCAGCATTGCCGCCTTCTCTACAATATTCCACGGCGCTTGAAAAGGTCAACACACAAGATGCCGCCGCGCCATCAACTCACCCACCTGATGAGAAAAAGCCAGAAAAACAAGACGCCGAAGGCTCTAAAAGTGAAACTGATCCCGAGAAGGCCGGATCCGTCGAGGAGGTACCCCCAGTGGATGACGACTCTCAGTATCCCCCGTTCTGGAAACTGGTGCTGTTGACCATTGGTCTCCTCTTCGCGCTGTTCTTAGTGTCCCTGGTAAGGCTCCAAGGCTGTGACAAACATTACGGTTACGACCTGTGCTTGCTAACCTCCGTTTACCATTGTAGGATAGTACCATCCTGGCTACCGCCATCCCGGCCATCACCAATGAGTTCAACTCACTTAACGATGTGGCCTGGTACGGAGCCTCGTATCTCTTTGCGGTTTCAGCCCTGCAGCTACTTTACGGCAAACTGTACTCGACGAACTCTGTGAAATATGTTTTCCTGTTTGCTGTCTTTGCCTTCGAGATTGGCTCGCTCGTCGCCGGTGTAGCACCAACGTCCAATGCCCTGATTGTTGGCCGTACTGTCTCTGGTGTGGGGGCGGCTGGCATCTTTGCCGGTGCTATCATCATCATTGCCACTGCGGTTCCTCTGCGACACCGACCTATCTACACCGGCATTCTTGCTAGTACACATGGTATTGCCAGTGTTGTCGGACCTATGTAAGTCACTTAATTGATCCGGTCCAGACGGACTGGATCTTTGCAATCCATATTTCTAACATTATCTAGCTTGGGAGGTGCTTTCGCCGATCACGTAACTTGGCGCTGGTGTTTCTACATCAACCTACCGTTTGGGGGCGTGACTTTGGTCTTCCTCTTCCTTTTCCTACCCGACAAGCCGCCGGCGCAACCTCGCCTGCCGTGGAAAGAACAGATCAAACAGTGGGACTTGCCGGGCACCTTTTTCCTTGTGCCTTCTATCATCTCCCTGTTGCTTGCGCTTCAATGGGGAGGAGCCAAATATGCATGGAGTGATGGCCGTATTATCGCGCTCTTCGTTGTTTTCGGTGTTCTGGCTATCATCTTCTGGTATGTATTTTACATATTCTGGGAGCATGTGGAGTATCCCTAGCCACTGCCCCTTTTACCTGAAAGGGCAATTACTGACTCAAGCGACTATAGGTGCGTGCAGCTTTGGCAGAAAGACTTGGCAACTCTCCCTTTGCGTATCTTAAAGAACAAGAATATTCTGGGTGCTCTTTGGTATGGTGTTTGGTTGGGTGCTTCTGTCTTTATTTTCACATACTACCTACCAATCTGGTTCCAGGCAATTAAGGGTGTGTCGGCGACGCAATCTGGCATTCATAATCTGCCTAGCATTCTGGGCCTAGTTGTCTTTGCCTTGGTTGGCGGTGGCTTGGCGACCGCACTGGGCCAATTTGTTCCGCTTCTTATTGCGTCCTCTGTCATTTCGTACGTATCCCCTCCCCTCCCCTTTTCGTTTTCGTTTTCTTTTTTCTCTCTCTTTTCCCTCGTTATAGCAGGTTTTGAAACGGAATTTTCCTTCTTGGGTGATCACCGTGTTATTTCGACGAGTAGTTGCTAACTGCGGAGAACTATAGGTCAGTCGGTGCCGGCCTCCTAAGTACCCTCAAAGTTGACTCGGGCATTGGCTACTGGCTGGGTTATCAAATAATAATGGCAGCTGGTGTAGGCATTGGTGCTCAAAACGTCATGCTTACCCCACAGGTAGCCGTCCCATTGACCGACATGGCAATGGCAACCTCGATATTGTCATTTTCCCAGACACTTTCATCATCCATCTTCCTGGCTGTAGCTCAGAATGTCTTCCAGAATCAGCTGATCAAAAACTTGGCGGCTCAGGCCCCAGAAGTTGATGCAGCGGCTGTTATTAATCAAGGTGCTACAGCCTTGAGAAAAACCGTCACCGCCGAGCAACTGCCAACAGTCCTCGTGGCGTATAATGAAGCTATCATACAAACATTTTACGTCGCTGTGGCTGTCAGTGCATTATCTGTCTTTGGCCCTGTTTTCATGGATTGGCTTTCCCTAAAGCAGCCTCAAGCTCCGGAACAAAAGCCTAACCCAAGCGCAGACGAGGCCTCGACTGCCGATGGACAGTCCGCTGAGCGTAAATCCGGCGAAGCATTATAGCATATGGGACATGGCGGGTTCATGAAACTCTATTAATGGCGGCTTCTCGTTTCCCTCATTGTATACGATAAAAGTTGTCCTTTTCTCTTCACTCTTAGAGACTTTACGTTCTTTCGAACCACAGCATTTCAGCACATGTATTATATGCAGTACATCCAACTGTATGCTTTTAGGCATGTCATTGTTTGAATTTAGGTAGTCGGAATCAGGTAAAGGAAAAGCTAGAGCATCTTCCATGGGATTGTTGCCTGTTAGGAGGAATATGTTAAAGGTTGACGAGTTATCTATGAATCAAAAGTACTGGTTGTAGCATTTGCAAGCTGTTGGAATAGGTAGAGTAGGGTACACTCAAGCCTCTGACTATATGTATCATTAGATTCCCCCAGGACTTTAGGTCCTTTAGTTCTTCTCTCTTTATCCTAAATATATTATACACTTCTACTTACCTTATATATATCCCCACTTCCTTTAATAGGTTATAAGCCCGGAATAGCTTACCTATATTGTTTTTAATTAAAATACTATTTAATAATCTTATTTTTTAACTTTTTTATGAGCTATTCCTCCAATCCCTTACCGATAAGGTTATTAATAAGGTCTCCGATAAAGCTATTTCCTATAAATATTTAAAATAACCTACTTTTAAAGTTATATAAAAGATTAACCATTAACTATTTTAAAATATTAATAAATAAAAGTATTTAACCTTAATAGGTAAAAGATATATTTAATAAATAAATTATTCCGCTCCTAATATAATATAAATATTAATATATAAAAGAAACTATTATTTAATATTCAGTTTTATAAAGTATAATCCAATATATAAGCATTAATGTAATATTTAAATTATAATTATAAGAATTATATAAATAACTTATATATTGCTTTATTTTAATATTTAAATAGATCCTTTAAAATTTAAATAAATAGGGCTTAATTTAAACTTCTATTTAATCCCTTTTTATCTTTCCGTTATTTCTTTTAAAGGATAAAGCTAATTTAAAACGTTATAGCTATATTTAATTACCTTATTTTAATACCAATTATTATATATACCTATAAATATTAAGCTTAATTAAAAAAGGTATCTTTTATAAATATATAATTATTTAAATACTTTAAAATATTTAACCTTTTTTTCTTTTATATTTATAATTTATTTTACTTAAGTAAAAATAAAAAAAATATCTTTAAATACTTATAAATATTCTTTTAAAATAAAACTATTTATTTATCCTTCTTTTTTTAAATTTTTTAATAAAGATAATTTTCCTTACTTTATTTTTAAATTATTTACTTTATTTAATTTATTTATAAATAAATATAAAATTAAATTCTTTCTTTTTAATAATATATTATTATAAAACTTTTTATTAAACCTATTATTATTATCCTTTCTTTCTTTATTTTTAAATAACTTTAATTTATTTAGTCTTAAAGTTATTATTTAAAAAAAACTCCCTATTATTATTATCGGAATTAAAGCCTATATTAGCGGAACTTCCAGCTATATTAGCTTTTATTTGAATAATTATACCTATATTAATAATTCCCCTTCCCCCTCGATTAACTATTACTCCGGCAGCTCCTATTTATTCTATTCCTTTAAAAGCTATTACCCCTATACCGGTACCAGTTATTCCCGTATTATTAATAGGCTATTTAACCATTATATAGAAGCTTAAGTAAAAGGTATTACTATTATACTTTAATTTAAATATTAAAGTTAATATCTTTTAAACTTAATTTAAATATAATTAATAATAAAGTTATAATAAATAAAAGTAAAACAATTATATTAAAGTTAGTTTTAATTATAAACTCCTTTAAGAATTATATTAAATTTATAAGGTAAATAATTAATTAATTATTAATAATAAAATATAAATAACTTTTATTTAAAAAAGCTTTAATAACCTTTCTAATTTAATATAAAGGTAAAAATAACGCTGCTTTTATAAAAAAAGTTAAGGAATAGGAAAATAAATAAAAGAAGGCCTATATAATAATCTAGAATTATTTTAGACTTAATATTTAAGTAGTAATAATTTATACTATTAAAAGGCCCTTTAATATTATAGTATTAATATAGGTAAAGATTATTATATTTAAACCTTATAGTAATATTATCTTTTAATTATTTATATTTAAATAGAATACTATTATTTTAAAAACCTATAAGGGTAATATAATAAAGTTAATTATAGAACTTTAAAAATTTAAAATAAATTAATAAAACTTAATTTAACTTATATAATAATAAAGTTAATATTTATTAATAAATTCTTTACCTTATTTAAATCCTTTTATAATATCTTTTTTATAATATTTTTTTAATAAAATAATATTATCCCTAATTAGGCTATAAATAGTACTATTAAAAAATAAGCTATTACCTTTAATAAAGCTATTATAGCTATTAAAAAAAAACAGTAAAGCTAGAAATTAAAAGAAGGAAATATAAATTTATTATCCTTTAGCGGTAATATAAAGTATATTTAATACTTTAAAAACTATCCTTTAAATTGCTATTTTATTAAGTTCCTTTATTTAGCCCTAAAAGGGTAGGTAAAAAAAATGGTTAAAAAAAATAAAAGGAAGTAGGATAATAAATTAAATAATAATACCTTAAAGCTTAAATTTAAATTAATTAATACCTTTTTTTTCTTTATTAATAATATTATATAGTTTAACTTTACTTTTATTAATTTTTCTTTTATTATTAATATGCCTTTTTTTTTATACCTAAGTTAAATTTTTTAATAGAAATATTTAATATTAATATTAATACCTTTACTATTCTATTAACTAAATTAACTATTATTCTTATTACCTTTAAACTATTTTATAATATCCTAAAGAAGTTTTAAATAATAAATACCCTTATAAAGCTTAGTTTAATTAATTTTAATAACTTAATTAATAACTTTCTTATTAAAAAATTAAAATTTATTATTATTTTAAATATTAATTATAGCTAGTATTCCTTTTATAATTAAAGTAACTTTTTTAATATAAAGAAATATACCAGTTTTAAAACTTTAAAAATAAAGGGGAAGGTAGTTATATTTAAAGAAATTAATAATTATATAATTACCTTTATAGTTAATAGTTAAAAGAAATATATAATTTTTTATAATATAGCTTATTGCTTTAAAAGCGAGGTAAATTTAATATTTATTTCTTAGCTATTTAAAAGAGGTATTAAATTTCTATTTTAATATAATAAAGCTTTTAACGCTAAAGGTAAAAATTGCTTTATAATAATTAAAACTATTAGTAATTTATATTTAATTAATACTTTAAATAGTAATACTAATATTATAACTTTAAATATTAACCTTTATATTTATTTTTTATTAAACCTTAAAATATAAATATAGTATAAATAATTTAAATATCTAAATAATTAAAGCTTATAAAACTTAATAAACTATTTAATTAAAATATTTTTTATTTAAAAATATTATTTTTATAAAACATATATTAAAGGATAAATAAAAAAGATACTTTATATAAGCTTACTATAGAAAGGTATTTATAAATTAGAATCTTTATATATTAACTTTATTAAAATATTAATAAAGATAAATTAAATTTTAAAGTATAATAGGTTAACTTAATAGGTAATTATTTATAATAATTATAATAAAATGACCTAGTTACTTTTTATAAAATTAATTATTAATTTTTTAAAACTATTTAAGAACTTTTTTAGTTAAAGGGAATAACTTAAATAGAAATACTTTACCCTTACCTTAAATTAAAGATTTATATTTATTAAAAAAGCCTTAAAAGTATTTTATTAAAATAAAAGTATTATATTATTCCTATTTATCATTAATTAATATTAGTAAAATAGCATTATAAAAAGGGCTATTAGAATTTTAAAAGATATTATTTATTAATTGCTTATTATAATTATTAAAGTTAAAATTAGTTCCTATTATTAACTTATATTAATTTATATTATTATTTATTTAAAGAACCTATATCTAATAAAAAAGTTAGGTAAAAGAACCCCTTATAAAATATAATATAGAACTTTATTAGATTTTATATACCTTTATATTATTAGAAGTTTAAGTTATTACCTTTTAAAAGGAAAAGCTTTAATCTTTAATAAAAAAATAAAGCTTTATTTTATATTTAATTATTAAAAGGAAAGTATTATTAATTATTTAATGCTTTTAAATTTTAATTAAATAATTTATATAAATAATGTTAAATTTAAGGAACGTTATATTTATATTTTTATTAAAAACTAATCTCCTATATAAAGTATTACCTATTTTAAATTAAGCTTAAAAGAATTTAATTTATTAAAAATTAAAGGTATTATTAATAAAAAGGCTATTAAATATATTAGATTTTAAACTCCTATTAAAATATAAAAAACAGGTAACCTATATAATAAAAATGCTGGATTATTTAATTTAAGGGGAACCTTTACTATATACTTTTATAAATATTTATATAACAATATACCTAAAGTATCTTTAAAGTAAATTACACTATTACTATTTATTAAAACGCCTTAATTAAATAGATTTAATAAAGGAATTATTTATAATAATAACTTTAGCCTAAAATCCCCTATATATACCTCTAACATCTTTAATAATAAATTATTAATATTAAAAGAGTATATTATTATAATGCTACCTCTTAAAGTTTAAAGGAACTATCCCAACTTATACTTTAAAGTAAAACACCTTAAACAACTTTAATTATTAATTATAAACCTAATGTATAAGGTAGTAATAAAATAAATTAATAATAATCCCTTTTAAATAATAATCTTATTAATAAGTATTATATATATTCTTTTTTTAATAAAAGTAATTAAATTAAAAATGGTTAAATAAGTTAAAAATAATGCTTATTAATATAATTAATATAAAGATATAGGTAATAAGTATAAATTACTTATTAATAATAAAACTTAAAAGCTATATAAACTTTTAATAAAATATAAAGCATTATTAAAAAAGTAGGTATTTAAGTTAAAATAAAGACCTAATAGATTAATTATATATTATAAAGCTTATTAAATAATTAAAAGCTTTAAATAAATAAAAGGCTTAAATTATAATAAAACCTTTATATTAATAGTTAAACTTATAAATTATAAAGTAATCTTTACTATTATAGTAACTTTAAATCTTAAATTTAAATAAATAGATATTAAAATTACCTTTTTATATAAATTAATAAATAAAAAAATCTACATCGAATAGCTTTATAAATTTACTAACGGAATTAAAAAAGTATATAAATTACTAAAGGCTCTATATAGGTTAAAGCAAACATTAAAAATTTAATATAAAACTTTAACTACTTTCCTAAAAGGATTAAACTTTATACCCCTAAATACTAATATTAGGGTATTTATTAAAGGTTATATTTATATTACTATTTATATTAATAATCTTTTTATTATAAAACCTTTTATAAAGGAAATTAATAAAGTAAAAATTGCCTTATATAATAAATTTAATATAATAAATCTTAAATCTTATTTATATTATTTAAGTATAACTATTAAAAGGAATTATTTAAATAAAGCAATTTACCTTAAATAAAGTACCTATATAAAAAAGGTACTTTAAGATTTTAACTTTTAAAAAGTAAAGCTTAAGGATATTCCTATAAAAACTAAGGTATTTAAGCCCCTATTAATGGACTATATAACTTTAATTAAAAATAAAGCCTAATATATAAATGCTATTAAATTATTAATATATACTATATTAAGTATTTATTTAAATATTGCTTATATTATTTCCTTTTATAGTTACTTTATAGTAAAGCTTAATAAAGTATATAAAATAATAATATATTAGATCTTTAAATATTTAAAGGGGATAATAAATATAAAATTAATTTACTATAATAAACTGTAAAATCTAGTTAAATATATTAATATAAACTATATTAATAATTAAAACACCTATAAGTCCACCTTAGAATATATCTTTAATATTAATAATAAAACTTTAAGCTAAAGTTTAAAACAATAAACTACTATATCGCTATCCTTTTATAAAGCTAAATATATTAATTAAACGTAAATTATTAAAAAGGCTATTTAATTAAAGCTATTACTTAAAGAATTAAATACTATTTAAAGAATAAGCATTATAATTATATATAATAATAATTAAAAAGCTATTACTTTAATAAATAACCCCTTATACTATATTAATACTAAGTATATAACTACTTAATTAAAGTATATTTATAAATAATAAGCTACCGGTAATATTAAACTTCAGTACATTCCCACCAACTAATAGGTTATAAATAAATTAACTAAAGCATTATTAAAAGATAAGTTTATAACTTTTCATAATGCTTTAAGCTTAAAGTAAATAGGAATTATAACTAACCCTATTTACCTTTACCCTATAATACTATACCTTAAAACGTATAACTATAATTTTATATAGGTTTTATTTAATTTATTCTTATAAAAGCTCTTTTCCTTTTTAATACCTTATTTTAAAGGACTTTAAAACTTATTAATACTTATTTATTATATATATATTTATAACTTTAAATAAAATATATATAAATAAAGTTATTATAAATAATAAAAAAAATATAATAATTAATATTTTATTTAATATTATTTTAATTATATAATTAATAAAGGATTTTCTCTTACCGCTTTAAACATTATAAATATTAATAAATAACCTATTATTATAATAATATTTATTATTATTAAACAATTCTTTATTATAATATTAAACTTTATAACTTTTATTTACCTTAAAATAACATTTAATAAAAGTTTTTACTATTAATAATAATAATTATATTAATTTTAAATTTAATCAACTTTTTTACAAAACCCTTAATGGACTTAAAGTTAATTAATAATTAACTAATTAATTATTTAAAATAATATTATAATAATAATATATCTATAAATATATTATATATTTATTTTAAATTAATATCTTTTAATTACTTTAATAAAAAAAAAAAACTAAAAAGCTAATAATATAATACTTAATACCTATACCTAAAATACCTTTAATACATTCTATAACTATTAAAAGGATAATAAGAAAACTTAAATAAATTTCTTTTACATTTTAATTAATTAATTAATAAAAGACCTATAAAAGGATATTAAATAGTATACCTTTATTATAGCAATTATAGCTAACCTAACTAGGGGTAAAATTATAATATTTTAGGATTACAACCCTATTTAAAATATAATAACTAGTTTATAAATAAAGAATATTCTTTAAAGAAAGTAATAGACCTTTTTAAAATTTATATTAAAAAAGGTCCAGTTATTTATAATATAATATAATATGGATAACTCTTTAAATAGTTAAAATCTATACCTATTATATAATATACTTTAAATTTATTAATAGATATTTATAGGCAATATACCCTATTTAAAACCTAATAATCCCTACTTAAAGGATTATATTCAATTAATAAAATAAACCTTATATTATTATAATTAACCTATATTTATCTCCCTTTTTTTTTTCCCTATAAAGGTTTTTTATAAGTTTAGTTAATGTTTAAAACTCTAAATAGAATTATATAAAAAAGACCTAAAAGTAATAATAGTATACTTTTAAAACTTTAATACCTATATAAACTATTTAAACTATGGATTTTAAAGGGGGGAAATTAAATATTTTAATAATTTATATTTAATTTTTCACCTTAAGAAAAATAATACCTTATATATCTATTATCTATATTTAAAGTCCTATATTACATTATTATATTAAAAAAATAAGTCTAAAATAAATAAAAGTATTAAAATAGGTAGAATAGGGTACACTTAAGCCTCTGACTATATGTATTACTAGATTCCCCCAAAACTTTAAGTCCTTTAGTTCTTCTCTCTTCATCCTAAATATACTACACACTTCTGCTTACCTTATATGCGTCCCCACTTCCTTTAACACAAGCGGTTCTCGTTCGATATTATGTTGCATTACCTCAGCATCATTCACTTAGCAGGCTTACTTGAACCTCGCATTTTCCTGCCCATTAACATGACAGAGTGTAATTATGCCCCGGCTGGGGTGTTACCTGGGTAGGGGGCTTGTTTACCGTGAATTGCTCTTGTTTAAATTTTAGTTCATCTTCAATCACATCATGGTCTTTAAACTAGGCTCCGCTACGATTTTGAGGGCACCTATTTCATGATTGCCCCTAAGATATGGCATTGCTATGTGCGTTGCGGCGAGTCACGGAAATGTACTAGTTAGGTTTTGGAGTCTTGGCTGTGTGGCTATTTCCCCTGCATTTCCACCAGGATACTTTGAAAGTGCCCTGACAGCGTGTATCCAATCACAAGCATTGTTGTTACGAAAGAGGAATACAGGAAAGTGGCCTAGCATAAGAGAACTTAATATCCGTCTTGGCTGACTATCTCCGGGAATATTCCCGTACAGTCAGGCTCTTTCACTGAAGGCGTCCCAATATAGTTAATGACTACTTCAACATGAAATTGTAGGACTGCGTGTAAATTGTGGCTCACACATGAAGCTGAGCTTAGTTACTGAATGGATAAGACTTAGGTGCCCGCCAGCGTTAGATGGAAAGTTTTCTTCTTTCACAAAACAAAATATAGTAAATTAATGCTTATGTCGTTTCTTGTAATTGAACTAGTTTGTGAATTGTTACCGAATTCAAAGACATATTGTTATATACGTGGTATTTATCAAGACCAAAGTATTAGACTTGGAGGCGCTCCCTTCGATTGCCCTGGAAGATAGCCTACAAAAGAACTCATAGTGTAGCGCACGACGTCGTCGGGGCGGTCCCAAGCCTTGTCGCAGGGCTTTACCTCGTGGAAATTGCTGTGTTTCTTGTTAGACAGGATCCATGCTTGGAGGAAAGGAAGAGGGGGTCAACTAAAGTATCGCAAACTACAAACTTACCGTGAGTTGAAAAACGTCAAGTCCCCTTCGACCGCTTTCATGGCCTTGAAGATGGAACCCTGTACGCCGGCTGGCTCGTAAGCATATCGAGGAAACGCTTTACGGAAAGCTTCATCATCTGCTGCCCCCTTCCACTGTCGGTCGTAAATGATCGTGTCACCGCCAGGAACCTGCTTTAGCAGTATGTTCCATGTTAACTGGCTCGTGATCTTGCCGATTTCCCACCCTGCACCGTCCTATATAACACAGTTTTATCAGCAACAAGGCCCTGATATAGCATAGCTTGCAAGATAGCGACTATGTAAGTTGCAAGTGAAAAGACATAAATGTATCAGCCTCACATACATATGGTGCGTAGTCGGAATGAATTTGTATATAATCGTTAACGGCACGAATAAGCCCTGCAAAGTAGCTCCTGTCACCCTCGTGAGCAACTCGTGTTTCGAGGCCGGTAGCTTCCTGGAGAAGAGCGGCGACGCGGGCTAGGATGTCGATATTGGCTTCTTCTTTGAACCGTTTTTGCAACGAGTTTGCTTCTTCGACTCGGTTCAGGTATGTCTCTTTGTCTGCACAACTTCCGGTTAGCTACGGACGGAACTTATTCCTGGTGGTGAGTTGCTTTACCTTGCTGATGATCAAACTGTGTCAAACCTATGGACCCGAGAGGGGGGAAAACAACTTTCTGATTATAAAACCCCTAGATAGATAGTTAGCTAATATGGTTTACATCCTCGCTATGTAGGTGAAGACTTGCAATTTGATACTGCTGAACAATATGCACCAAGTCTCTGCACCGGTCTGCGGAAAGAAATCCCCGGTGCCTTATGGTTGGAATGGCGTTATTTACCAAGTCGTTAACCGACTTTCCTGTCAATGGTTGGTCTTCCAACGTCGTCCAGTTCGTGTTTATGAGGCGGCCATGATCGTGAACAGCTTGCTTATTGTGAGCCACGAAGTCCGATGCTCTATCTAGCGAGTGATGGCCTATATGTGTTGACGAGTATAACCTTGATGTGAGAAACCGAGTGTTGGGCCATAGCGAAGCGTCATTACCCACTGTCTTAGACAAGAACCTGCTAACCCCTAGTAATGACTGTGACTTCAGAGATAGCATAGTGTTCATTGCACTAAGTTATAGAGTATGTTAGACAATATGTCAACTTAATTACGGATGTCTGATACGATAGTTGATGCTCTGCTTTCTTTTCATAGTCATTGCTATTCTCTTCTCCTCCTTCATCCTCATCATCTTGTATCTTGACTCTCTTGTCTACGAATAACCCCAGTAAATCCGTCACTTGTACTCACTAGAAGAACAGTTGTCCTGCCTAGGAATAGCAAAGCGTTCAGTGTATTGCTGACGAGATCCACACACGATCCCTCTAGTTTCGTCTTCATACTACACTACGCTCACACCACCGACACCCTAGTCCGGAGATAGGTCTTGGTACTCATCCAGGTACTGAATACAATTTTATGTAGATTATGTAGATGTACTTACGGATCTCTGTGTAGACCTTGACAGTAAAGCTTATTCCCCAGCCTCGTGGAATCTATAGCCAGATCGTTCAATATTGTCACCCAACACCAAAGCCAGCTAAGCCAGTTATAACATAGTAGCATATGCTTGAGATCTAATCCGAAACGATTTGCGCGGGACTGTCCCGATTGGTTTAGTGTCTTACACCCTGTCGGTCGTGCTAAGTGCATTGTTTTGCATCATAATATCTACACCGGTCGGAACCCTGGTTCTGCCCGGTTGCGCGATGGCAGGGAATGATAGTGCGGCTTATGTGCATATGTTCATGGGCATAACCACACAGTACTGTAAGTGCCCTCAACGCTCGATTATTATTGCTGATTCAAAACAATAATAATACCTAAAAAACTCCGCAATTCTCTTCAGTCGCACGCTAGACGAACGCATAAGTTTGGTTCACTGTGGCTATGCACTAACAGATAGACCAATTATCACCTTTCAACCCTTCGGTACATATGGTTGCCACCGAATTCGCCAAACGACTTGTTGTAATAATCTACGAGCATCGTGACATCATACGAGCGTTTGAAAATCTTACTGATCTGCGTCCGAAATGTCCTTTTTGCGCTGCTCTGTTGCGGTGCAAGAAGAAATCTAGTAGTTGCACTAAATCCGGACAACAGACACTTGCGGACATTAACCAGAGATTCATTTTAGATGACGTGCGGCCAGGCAGAGGGCAGTGATCCTGAGACTAGATGATTAAATTGTACAAGGGGTGACTTGTAGCTTCTTCAAGGACTCTAGCTTTTAACACCTTTCTTCTAGATTCTCATGAACGCAACCTATTACCCCTCATGCATGTAGTGTAACTCGATCGCGTGGTAGTTTCTATAACTCAATGCATGCGCAATTATATTCCGGCCTGTACTTCGTGCCGAGAGCCTGAGTAAGCTACGCCCCTGAACAATATTACTGTGCCAACATATTTCGCTTCATGTAATAGCCTATTATAATATTCGAAATCGCTGAAATTTTTGAATGAACTATGTATCAACTGAAGCTACCGCATGTACTCTGTACACGTGAACAAGTATTATATACAAGTGTAACTCAAGTGTGTACATGTTCCTAGTATATGGATCTGCCTGTGCAGCTTTCTCTCCATCAGAACCTTGGAATGGGGTGCGGGGATGCGTTACACTTGGGTCAGTGGGTGCGTAGGGATGATAGGTTGCCTTTAAGTCGACGTTTCGTCAGCAAGAGTGATGCCGTATCGTCCTATGGGTAACACATGCTGTTGTTCAACAACAGAGCGCATGCATTTGCGGTGTCTAGACTCTTGAATCTAATTACCGACCTACGTAAGCAACCCTACATGTCCATCGTGACCTACCGTGTATTATGCATGTCTGCCTTGAAGCGGATCTGCAAGTATCTGCCGAATGTATCACTACTTGAAAAGACAGCCGCTTACGTTGGTCCCTTGGGTAATCTTCTCATCATAGGGGCCTTAGAGCGGTGTAATCCAATAAACAGAACACCGGTCTTTTTATTTGGTCATCCTTCACACCCACGTTATTGCTTGTTTTCTTCTATAGCTCGCCAGACTTGTACCACTCTACCGATCAGTCAGTGCAGTCCAAAGTATACTCCAGACACGAATCATACCATGGCATCTATGGTATGACTCCCAATAATACACCTGTGAGTGTGGAGCTGACCGGAAATTCTGGATTAGGAATCTCTCGCAGCGACTAAAGCCCTGTATGAATCCCAAGGGGATCTGCGGTCTTTGCGCACGACCCTCGTAGCTGTGACATCAGTCAAAGCACTCTCCGAGGCGGAGCAGAAGCTGTTCAAGCAGGCCTTACCAGAGGATCTGGTGTTTACTACCGAGGAGACCATCTTTCATGCCCAAGGTGGAGGACAACCAAGTGACACAGGACATATGCTAGTATATGCGGATCCGGAAGGTGACAGCCAAGTTGCATCTTTTCAAGTCCAATCTGTACGTCGAACAGCAAACGGCACAATCCTTCACCGAGGCAGGCTGGAACCGCCGGAGGCAACTGTACGCGTTGACTCGCACGTTGAGCAGCATGTAGATGGCGACAGTCGAGACTTATTCTCTCGTATCCATACTGGGGGCCATGTACTCGGTCTAGCCGTACGTCAGCTCGGCTCAAAGATCCCCAGTGTTGTTGAAACAAAAGCCCAGCACTACCCTGATGCCGCATTCGTAGAGTTTCAGGGGAAAATTGAGGCGCATCATAGCGAGTCTATCCAGGAAGTTCTAGATGATCTTGTACAGCAGGATCTTCCGGTGACGGTGTCTTGGCTTGACACTGTCAGTCTGCAAGAGAAAGGTATTCACCTAGCGAACAACTTTTCCCGTGAGTCAGCTCCTGAAAGCACACGTGTTGTAGAGATTGGGGAACTAGGCGGTTATCCATGTGGCGGGACTCATTGCCATAGCACGTCGAAGTTAGGCAGAGTTGTAGTAGGGAAAATTTCAAATAGAAAGGGCAATACTCAGATTAGATACACCGTTACATAAAGCCAAAAGGTTCAGTCTGGAGATAGATTGGACTGCATGTAGTTGAAGCTTATGCGCGACAATGAAGGTGCTCGACGCATTCCGCCGCATATCAAAGTCTCGTAATGAGTGAAACATAACTGAAATTGCCTCGATATCTTGGACAATGGTACAATTCTGTTCACGTTAAATATAATTAACGTATTCCCATCGTATTATTCATACACAGGTCGCTTTACCTGACATTACATTTTCTGAAAAGACTAAAGGTATCCAAACAGTCCGTGGCGCTCAGAACTCAGGAGAAAAAGAATACGCTGAATAGCCACCAAGAGATATATGAAGGATACGTTAATACGTTAATATCATAATTTAAATCTCGAGCCTCACTATATAAAGTATTATTGTCCCTTAAATTATTGGCAAAGAAAATATAAGTGCAGGATGGGCTAATTACTTGATCTACTGCTAGTGAAGCTGTTTAAAAAGCTGCAACATTAAACAACTGGAGGCAAGATAAATGGTCTGTGATAAGTACACACTATAGTAGCTGGAATTCGATAAAGTGAGGAAAGCCTATTTTCAGTTGAATACTTACAACACCTAGAGAGGCGGAGTTCAATGTTTCAAAAACGAACAACAGAAGAAGAAAAAAAACTACGAACTATTGATTCATGCGACAACGACAGGACTCGAACCTGTGACCCCGAAGGGATATGATTTCTAGTCATACGCTTTAACCACTCAGCCACGTTGCCATCGCACGTGATTATTAAGAATATTGGCTAAAACGAAGAATATATTGCCTTTGATTTCCCGATAGTTTTAATTTGGAATTAATAACAAGCCTAGATGTAGCATGAACTAGTTAAGGCGATAGACACTACGACAATGTCAGGCTATTCCTAGCTGCTTATATTCTGTAGCCCATGAATCTTAGACTGAACAATAGTCTAAGTTCTGTAGTCTCAAGCTCTCAGAACTTTCCATTAATGGTGTTGTCAGATGAAGTGGTGATAAAAAACCACTATAAGAGTTGGACGAATGGCGAGTGCTAAACGAGTGCACTAACGACCAGCGTTACCAGGTGGGGAACTATTTATCTAGACGTGGGCAGTTACTTTTAGCTCTACTCATTGGGTACTAAAGAAGTCTCGAAATATCGGCACCAAGTGTTCCGAAGGAGTTCAATAATAAGGTGACGAGGACAGTTGCCGCAACTTTGAATATATTACCTAACGACGACTTCTAGACAACTGACATAAGTATAGCTCAGAATACAAATCACACCAGAAGCAGTGAAATCTAGACACATTGTGGCTAGTGTTCACTATCCAGCTTTTGAATTGATCTAAGTTGAAGACGACGGGGTGAAATGGGATCTAGAAACCGGCCGATATGCTAACTGCTCGTCGATTAACAACCTTTAAGTGCTTATCAGAATATGTGCAATACTTATTATATATGTCTGGAGTCGGTGAAGGGATATCATGCAAGTAGCTGAGTACATAGTCAAGGATAAATTTCCCTCCGCGTCCACGAGGCAAACGTCTATCACTAAGCATGATCGAGAGCTGCCAGGAGGTATAAAGGGTTGGAAATAAGCAGTCAGAAAAGCGGCCGGGAGTAAATGACGCAGAGGGACTGAAGAGAACCATGGTGAGCCGCTGGCTGATTTTTGATATCTCGTACTTGCTCTGATACGAACCTCTTTCAACCATTCTCTGAGCTTAACTGTTTTTTCTTCGCCTTTCTGCAACCTATAGGTGGCGTTGGAATATCAACTCTCATAAGCCTATTGACCAGAAAGCTTAGCGATAACTCGACTGGGTTGGATGAGTTTCACTCTCGGCTGCACTGCAGCAGGTTTCACCATTTTGGCAACCGGCACGATTGTTATTCACTTCATTATCATCTTAGGCTTTATTGGAGATAGCTAGGAGTTCTACCCTGTCCCAGCTACATTTTACAGCGCTGGCGCTAATTTGGGTGGCTGAACAGTGGACATGATTAGAGCTCAATATCCTCATCTTCCTCGGCAAATTCAACCCGCATTCCCAACTGTTTTCCTAAAATTTGTTCATAAATGAGTCGGGAAGTTCCAGCATCACAGAAACACTTCACAGCTTCCGCCGCTAGTTGCAGTGGTCGGCGATCCGATACGCCACCCTCCAAACCTCTAGCTGCCATGAGGATCCATCCAACTACCCACGGAAGCTGACTCTCGTTCTCCAAGTACGCGGGGGTAAAGAGCTGTCTCAAGCACGAGTCGCAGGAATCTTTGACAGCTCGCAGAAGCCTCCAACACCCGCGGTGCATGGTCAAGTAAGGGAACGCGTATTCAATTGACTCAGCATCGAGAGCAAAGACCAAATGTTCGATGAGTTGTTCGAGGGGCATATTACCATTGTCAATCGCCGTTTTAGCTCTCCTTCTTTTACCTTCATCGGCGAGATGTTTCAGCCTTTTCTTTTCCTTGAGCTTCTTGGGATCCTTGATTTGGCCCATTGTCAATGGGCCCTCCTCTTTAGTGCCCTTAGCCTCAAATAGGCTGAGTTCAATAATCTGGCTTACATATTCGGGGGTGAAATCAACCTGGCCGGTGTTTTGGACGTAGCGTGCTCTAAACATGGACAAAACAGGCGACGCAGCTTTCAAGCCACGTGTTCCAGACTTGGACCACAAGGGGGTGTTCTTGCGTTGTTTATTATTAGTCATAGCTGCTGCTGAGGTTCCCATTTGGAGACAGAATTTACTGAAGTATGCCCGGGGGTCCTTTGGTACCTCACCACCGACGTAGAAGCTATCCTTGCCTAGATTTGCGGTGATGACCTCCATGTCTTGCCATATATAGTTCAACAGCTCCTCATAACGCAGTGCGTTGTAAAGATGTTGGCAGCACTGAATTGACCCCAAAGCATTAGCAACACCGAGGCCGATCGCGCGGTGCAAGGACCGAAAATAATAGAGAATTAGACCACTCATGACCGGTGACATGCGGAAGAGGCGATGGCTTTCGCTGTTGGGCATTGAAACGCCTCCTCTTCTACACATTTCGGCCCGCACTTCACGTAATGGATCTTTACCAATCCACTTGACGGCCTGCTGGACCTCTCGGATTAACATGTCGTTAATATTTTCCTTTGCGTGGAACTCAAAATGTACTGTAATGTCGTTATCTATGGCCGAGAGGTGTTTGTCCATCGTATTGAAAGGTCTCTGAATGTCCTCTTCCAGCTCATAGGTGATATCGAGAAAGACCTGGGCAGCGAAGACGGCATAAAAGGGGACTTGTCTTGTTTTATCTAGCTCTTCAATACCGCGCAGGAACTCATCCTTGACGGGCCAACTCTTGACACATCTAATAATAGTCATGAGCTCAGTGAAGAAGACCAGAAGTAGTGCTCGGTCATCTTCGAACTTCTGCAATCCTGTCTTGCGTGAACGATGACTCGCTGTATTGTAGAATCCAAACATGTCCTTCTTGGAAAGGGGAAGATCTTTGGGTTGGGCCAAATCGATGAATGACTCAAGCAATCGGTAGGTTGTTAAGTATGTCTCATATCCAATGTCATATGTATCATAATTGAAATTGTCTTGGCCTTCTGCGAAAACGTTGTCAATCGCCCAACCTTTCATCAAGCATTGGAGATCATAGAGCTGGCAGAGCATAGTAGCTAGACCCCCGTTGCGATTCAGCAAAGGGAGAATATCTTCCATCATGTTCCTGACAAGGTCGATAGCAGTATTGGTGGCGATAGCGGCTGCAGCAAGCTCGAAGATGCCAATTCTGTAATTAGACCATATCCACCGTACGTGGGCTCGAACACGGTTCATGTCATTGATGACGCTGGCGAGAGCAAAGATGGCATGTCCGAAGGATGTCTCGATTTCGGCCTCATATACAACGGTATCACCTCCAGTCTTGGCGGGTCTCTCTACCGCGGGGGCGCCCAAGAACTCTTGTGAAGGTTCGTAGACAGCAAGGCCGGCGAATCGATTGCTTAGCTTCTCATCGGTTGGCTTGTCCTGGGGCATATCAGAGACCAGCATCAGAGGCATTAGTACCTGGCGTACTTTCTCTAGCACTTGAGAAAGCTGTGATCAGCACTATAATATGATCAAAGAGACTAGAGTAAAAATCCTTCGCGTCTAGGACAGGTTCTCACCTCCGATGAAGTATTGGTGCTTTGCATCTGAGACCTCACTAAGAACCTTGCCATGCTTTTCGAGCTTGGCACCAAAACCAGAACGAACAGCGATGACACGGTCAATGGTTGTCCTTACAGTGTCTGGCACAGAGGTGGCCTTCGCCGCAATATGTTCGGCCAGTGGGACAAATTCGTTCAGATTGATGACATGCCTCGGGGCTGCAGCCCCAGTCGACGGCTTAGGAGAAGCCGCCCCCTTCTTAGCTGAAGCGCGTGCCTTTCCCTTGAGGCGACCGGTACCGGCAGTTGTACTGCTGGTAGATAGATCAGTAGAGTACCCCAGAGACTTGGCCGTGGAGGCAAGCCATGCTGCCACAGAGTCCGTGTCCTGCTTGTACAGCTGGTAAGTACTCGACAGGGCTGAAAACACCATTTTCCACGAGTTCAGCAGGGCGACGGTATCAACGATAATGTAGACGACGAGTAGATGGAATGTGTGGAAGGTGCTTAGGAACCCAAAGAAAATGTATCATTAGAATCGTGGCGCTCTTGCGGGGGTGTGGAGGAGAAGGGCTGTATGGCAAACAGACGATTTGTTTATTTATTTATTGCATCAAGCACACAGGTGCCTCAGTACCTTCCAAGGTAGCCTGATAAAAGCTCGAAACTTTTACACCACTACTACCATAACCACTAAAATAACCACCAAAACAATCACTTTAAAACTATCTGAAAACTAGTATATTAATTGTTCATTTTTATTATATCCAATCACCTCAAAATGCCTATTTTAATATCTATTTTGGTGGTTGTTTTGGTAGTAGTGTGGATGTGAGGCTGTCTGGAGATGCTATCTGGGGACGCTGTCTTTTGGAAAGTAATTATTATCTAGGCACGTGATACTAGAATGGCGTCCTGAAATAACACTTAGAGAACACATCGACTTTCTAACTTATGCACTGACCTCATTCCACATGGTAGCTAGTGACGCTATCTTTCGACTTACGTCTAGTAGAATCTTCTTATTAGGATCACATCTGCCAGTCGTTCTCTGTTCCCTCACAGCGGAGTCTCAGGCTTTGGTCAGATTGCCTCAAGTACTTTGGTGCAGATATCTGCTTAGAACATTGTAAATTTATAATGACAAAGCACGAAGACTCTTGAGCTTTCATATACTTAGCTTAAAGTAGGTATGCTAAAGTCGTAATTCGGTAGGTAATACCTACCGGTAAGTGATGTTCAGTCCTCTGATCTTGATACATTCGCATGAAGAGAAAGTGTAAAGTAAAATCACCAATTGCTGCCCTTCAACACCCCGCCATCGATGTAGCGAGGGGCAAGTCAATAAATTGGTTAAAGAGTATAATGAAAGTGTTTATATTTAACTACTCTGTGATGCCCCCATATATTGCGAGAGCTCTGGTCTGTCCATTATAGTCTTCACGTCTTCGGTCATGTACACGAGGGCTACAGACATGAGTGGATTCAGTTTGACTCACTTCAGGCTGCATATGAACGGGCCATGCTGACTGGTTTCTTTCGAAACCTTATAGGAGTATTGAAGACGTTCATATCCTCACTCTCTCTACCTCCTATTTCAGCTACGTGCCAGCTAGTCAATCCCTCCCTGGTCGGTGGATTGCGATGATGCACGGCGGAAGCCTATCACAGGATATGTATAGTTTAGATGTTGGCAATAAAGGAGTCAACAGCCTCAGAGTAATGAGAACGCAATAAATTTCGTACGTTCTAGCTGATGGTTTCAAGCTGTGTGGCTTTTCTCCGCCACACTATGCGCTACTCCGCCATCAGGGCAAACGTAGTATGGGGGATTTCAGTTTCGGATACCAGAACCTGCAGCCCAAAGTATAATTAAGTGAGGATAGTTTATGCAGTAGTTCTCACTACAGTACAACTTGTAAGCGTGTGATGCCTAGTGTATTTGTAGAGACCCGAATGACTAGACTGACAGCATTGTGACTACTTAGATCTAGAAGGGCTCCCAAAGTGGATGGTGGCCGAATGCGGAAGTAGGATAATTAGACTTCAAAGTCACGCAATTGCTAGCGGAGGTCATGCGACTCAGATATATGGAGGTTGGTATCATGTCAGCACGCCGTCTGAGCTTGATGAGAGCAACATAGAGCCTAGGGGCTGCTCATGATGGTAACAACCACTTCATTACATGTATATGTCAAGAGTAGTACATATGATCCTATTAGATTATCTAGAAGTCTAAGTTATAATACAATTATCTAGCTAGATGAAGGTCTTATATATAGATTCCTAGTATTTTAGTATATAGAATGTAAGTATTATCGCCTTCCCTTTCTAACATTCCCTTTTGATCCTTATATTAATTAATGCTATAAATTTTAATCGATTCCCTTTTAAAGGTAGCTCCCTTTAAAGTAAATTAAATAGTTATATTAGATAGTATAAGGGTAATATTTTAAAGAATAACTATTAAAATAAAATAAATAAGGTAAAACTTTTTAAAAGTTAAGTTATTTATAGCTATTAAAATAGTAAATAGAAGCAATATTAAATTCCTTAAAATAAGATATTGTAAAAGGTAAAAGTTCCATTAATATTACTTTTAAATTGCTATTTATAATATAAAGCTTTTAAAATTAAGGTACTATAATATATAATAGCTATAATATATTATATATTTATTATTTTTATATATCCTTTTTTTCCCTTTTATCTTTATATTATTTATATATATTTTTATAATTGCTTTTTTTAATAATTAATATTTTTATTAAAGTATAAGTTATAAATAGCTTATAATTTATAGGTTTTAAATTTTTAAAAAGGGTATATTATTTATTTTATATTATATTTTAATTCTTTTTATAAAATAATATATATACTTTTTTTACCTATTTTACTATTAATTTATATTATATTAAATTATTAAGCTTAATAACTTTATTTTAAAATAGTTATAAATTAACCTTTAAAAACTTTATAGGGCTTTTTTAACTTTTATACCTTTTTTTAATTAATTATAAAAGTTATAATTTTAAATTATTATATATTTTCCTTTTTAACTTTTTTTTTTTATTATAATAATATTAAAAGTATATTAAACTTTATTTTTTATTTTTTATTTAATTAATAGATTTATTATAGGTATAATAAATAAAACTATTATAGTTAAATTATTTAGTTTTATAATTAATTAAAACTTTTTTAAGGTAGCCTTTATTATTATATTATTATATTAATTACTTTTATAATATTTTAAATATTATTAATATTAAAAAGCTTTAATAAAAAATATAAAGTATAAATAAATATATACTTTATTATTTATAAGTAAAGTTAATTTAAAATAACTTTAAAGGGTTTATAGTTTATTATTATTATATTATTAAAGGTATTTTTTAAAAGTTAATTCTATTATATTTAAATATATAAATATTTAAAAGATTTAATTTAGGTTAATTAATAATATTTATTATTTTATTTTTTAAAGTATTATTATAAAATACTTTATAGTTTTATTTTAAACTTTTTTTAAGTTATTTTTAATAGTTTTTTTTAAGCTTATATTTATTTTATAGCTTAACTTTTAATAATTTAAATTTTATATTTTTAAATTATAAAGATAATTTTTATATTATTTATTATTATTAAAGAATATAGTAGTAAAGGTATTTTAGCTTAAGTTAATTTTAATATAGGATTTATGTTTAACTTTATATATAAATTATTTTAGCTTTATTATTTATTTTAAGCTTAATGATTTTTTAAACTTTTTAAAGGTTAGCTTTAATAATACTTTTATTAGCTTATTTATTACCTAATTAATAGTTAAAATATATTTAAAATTAACTTTTTTAACGGTAATTTATTTTTAATATTATTAATTTTAAATTAATATATATTTCCCTTTATTATATAATAGTAGGTTATATAAAGCTAAAATTGCTTTTTAATTATTATTATAAATAATTATAAGTATATTATTTAAATTAGCATTTAATTTAATTAATAGTTTTTATATTTAAATAATTTCTTTAATAATTTAGGTTTACCCTTTTAATTTAGCTTCGAATAAAGATAATAAAATTATTAATTACTTTTTTAAGCTTTAATTAATAATACTATTCTTTAAATTAAATATATACTTTAAAATTAATTAATAAGTTTCTTTATATATTTTTTAATTTAAATTAATAAAGCTTTATAGTTTAATTTTATTTCCTTTATATATTAATTTTAAATTAATTATAAAGTTAAAGTATTTAAATATTTATTTTACCGCTTTAATATAGGAAGTATTAGGTTTAGCTATATACCTATTATATTTAAAGATAGTAAATGCTATATTAAGTTAAATATTTAATATTATATATATTAATAAGCTTGTAGCCCTTTAATATTATTTTCGATTGTTTAGATTTAGAATAAAGTTATTTTTAAATATTTCTATTTTAATAAATAAAAAGGTATAGGTTAGCTTTAATCTTTAATATTTTAACTTATTTAAATTTTAAAATCTAAATTTTATAAGTATTTTTTTTAAGTAAGCCTTTTATAATAACTTTAAAATATATATTTTATAATTTTATTTAATAATTATTCCTAAATAGTATTTTATAAGGCTTATGTTATTTATTTGGAATTTATTACTTAATATTTATTTAATTTTTATAATTTTTAACGTTTTAAGTTTAATAATTAAAAGATTATTAATATATATAATAATATAATAGTTTTTTTAAATAAAGACTTTAATATTTAAGTTTAAATTATTAAATTTAAAGCTTTTTAAAAATATAGTTAATATTTTATATTATATATAAGGTATTTATTTAAATTTATAAAGGGCCTTTTTAAGTTTATAGATTATATTTAAGTCCTTTATAAATTTTAATAATTGTTTAATAAAAATATCCTTTAATACTTTTTTATATAAAAATATTATTTTTATATTTATTTAATAGATTTTAAGATTTAAAATAATAATAATTATAAATAATATTTTATAACTTATAAGTTTTATTATAAAGGTAAACGTTTTATTATAGTTTATATTATTTCTTTATTTAAATTTTTTAACTATTTATTTAGCTTTATATTTAATTATTTTTCTTAATTTGTTCCATTTAAGTTTATAAACCTACTTTTTAAATAATACCTTTATATTAAGTAATATTAATATAAAATCCTAAATAATATTATTAATTAAGGAATTATATTTATTATTTATTACCTTTAGCTATTTATTTTAATATAAATTCCTTTTAATAGCTTTATAGTTAATTAGCTTAATAATTTTAATTATATTAATAGCTTTTAAAGTAATAGTAATAAAGTAAAAAGTAAATAATTAATAGCTATAGTTTATAGGGTATATATTATTATAATAAAGTTATAATGTAGGCCTTATATACCTTTTTAGGACCTATATTTTAAACTTAACATTTTTATTATTATTACTATTGGTTTTTAACTTTATATTAGGTATAATGTTTGGAATGTTTTAATTTTTAATATTGTTAGATAATATTTTTTAATAGTTAAGGTTATTATTATTATTTAGCTTTAAGATGTTATTAGAGTTTCTAATAGTTTTATTAAAGGATTTATTTATTAAGGCTTTAGGTGTAGTATATAAAATAGTAGTTAGTGTAATAGTTGGTATAATATTTGGTATAATATTTATTATAATAGGGTTTAATTTTCTTTTTTTTTAAATTAGTATATAATTTTTTAATTTAATATAAAGAAAACTTTTAAACTTTTATTTTTTTATTATGTTTAATTTTTTAAAGTTTTTTATAGTTTTATTTTTAAAGCTTTATTAAATTTACTTTTTTTTGTTAACCATTTTAGTTAAGTTAAACAAAGGGTAAAAGATCTTTTAAAAAAAGCTTATATTATTAATATTTATAACCCTTTTATTTTTTAAAAGGATTATATAATTATAGGAATTTTAGTTTTAATAGTTTAATATTTTATAAAGTAAGATTTATTTAATAAATGTTAATCCTTTTTTATTTAATTAGAAATATTTTTTATTAGTTTTTATTATTATTATATAATTATAGGTAAGCCTTTACCTATATTATTTTTTATATAATAATATTTTAAGTTAATTATTAAATTGGTATATTATTATATAATAAGCTGTTTAAATAATAATAGGTTAATATTTTTATAATATTTTATTATTTATAGCTTATATTATTATAAGAATTATAATAGATTTATATATTTTTATTGCTTTTTTATAAATATTACTTTATTAATATTACTTTATAGTAATAAATAATATTTAAATTCTTTAACTTTAATATATATATTTAAATTCTTTATTAGTATTTTTTTTAGCTTTATTAAGTATAAATATATAATACTTTTATTTAGGGTATTTATAATATTTAAGGAAAGATTTAAAGATTTAGGTAAATTTTCCTTTACTTTTAAGTAATAATATTTATATTATTTTTATAAAATTATAATATATAATAATAATATATATAAAGCTTTTATAACTTTTAAGTATTATTTTAAGGATATTTATAATATTAATGTATAGTAATTTTAATAGGTAGGTATTTTATTAAAGCTTTTTTAAATAAGATATTTCCTTTATTTTAATTTAAATATAATATTTATATATATAAGTTAATTTTTAAAGCTTAATATATTTAATATTTATTAATTTTTTAATTGAAGATTTATTAATATATTTAAAACGTTTATGCTATAATATAAGTTTAGGATTAAAAAGGGAGTAGGTAGTAAAAGCGGCAATAATAGCCTTAATATTTAACTTAGGTTGATTAATTATATATAGGCTATTATATTCCATACCTTTTAAAAATATATTATTTTCCTTTAAAGCATAAGCTTTATTACTTTAAAAGAGGAATTTAATATTAAGTCTTATAAAATATAATATAAAGATTAAATTTATATTAATTATTAAATAATAAATTATATTCTTTAATATAATAGGTTTTTTTATTTTATTAATTATATTAATAAAGGTATAGTTTTTATATTAAGTTAGTTATACTATTAATTTATTAATTCTAATAGTTATAGGGTATAATACAATATATAAGTTAATAAAGTTAATTAAGTTTAAAAATATAAGAATATTAATATTACTATTAATAATTAATATTATTTTTAATATTTTTATAAAGCTATTAATTTAATTTTTATTAATAATAATAAGTAAAGCTTTTATAACTTTTTTTAAATAGCTATCCTTTAATATATTATTTAAAAGTTTTTTTATAGCTTTAGTATTAATATCTTTAATATTAGGTTTATTTTAAAAGGTATTACCCTAAGGTAACTTTTATATAAATCCTTTAAATATTAAAAACATTAAACTAAATATAGCGTTAATAAAGTTAATAGGAATAAGTTAATTTATTAATAATAAATAAATTATAAAGATAGTATATTTAAAAGATTTAATAATAAATAAAGCTTATAGTAATCCTTAAAAGGATATAAAAAATATAATAAAGTTTACTTTTCTTTCCTTTTTTATATCCTTATCCTCTTTAAGTTTTTTTACTTTATTTTTATATTATTTTATTTATTATAAATATATATCTTTATTTTAATTTAAAGGTTTAAACTTAAAGTAAGCTATAAAATAAAAAGAAATATATATTTTATTATAATTAAAATATACCTTCCTTTTATTATTAAATTATTATTTAAATAAAAAAAGATTAACTTTAATAGTTAAAAGGGTAATTTATACTATTTATTCCTTTTAATCTTATTTAAAGTATAATGCTATATTAGTTACCTTTTTTAAGGTAATTGTTACTTATATTATAATTTTAGCTATATTAATAATTAGGATTTTAAAGGTATTAATTTCCTAAGTTATTAAAAAAAAGTTAAATTTAGATTTAAAACTATTAATAAATTTTTTAATAATATATAAATATAGCTAAGTTAAAGTTGGATTAAGTTTAATTATATTTATTTAAATCTATTATAATATAGCAATAAATTAAATAATATTATTAATAGATTTAAATATTATTTCTTTTTATTATTAATAATATTATATAAATTAAGCCTTTCCTTTAAGCTTATAGTTTTAATATAGTTTATTTTATAATAAAGTAGATATATTAAAGGGCTTTATTAATATAGGTTAAATTTATTAATAGGTATTTTATAATAGTTTACTTTAAATTATAATATTAATTATATTATATTTTTTAAATTATTTATCCTTTTTAATAAGGAAGGTTTTTTTACCTTTTCCTTCTTTTTATTAAAAGGTTATTTTATAAAGCTTTTTTAATAATATTTAAATAAACCTATTTATATTAAGTTTTTTTTATATATTTTAGCTCCATTTTAATTATTATTTTAAGCTATTAAAAAAGGCTACCTTTTTAAACTTTTTAATATTATTTAATAATATTTTAATTAATTATTAATATTATAGGTAGTATAATAATGGTTAATAGGATTAACTTAGTTAATTTAATAAATAGGTTAATAGCTATAAAGGGTTTTATAATATAGGGTTAAGTAGCAATTAATAATTTTTAATTAATTTCTTTTTTAAAATTTAATATTATAATATATTATTAATATAGATTTTTTAAAAGGGTGTTTAATAAGAATAGGTTTTTAAAATAGTTACCTTAAAAATCTTTGGTTAAAATAAAGGGTAAATTTAAACTAGGTTCTTTAATTTAAAAATTAATATTGAAAAGGGGGGCGTTAAAATTAATAAAAAGATTTTTTAAAGTAATTAGTTTTAAGGTTTAATAACTAAATAAAATATTAACTTTATAATTAAAAAGATCTTAATTGTTAAATATTAAAGGGTAAAAAAAGACTTTAAATACCTTTAATAATAATAATAAAAATAAGGGTAATTAATTAATATAATTTAAGCTTAAATTAATATTTTAATTATTTATATTTTTTTAGTTAAAAAGGTATTTAAGCTATATTAAAACTTTATATATAAAATAAGGAAAAGCTTAAATATTTAAAAAATAAATAGTATTAAATATTTAAAGTTATATTTAATTATAAAGGTTATAATAAATATTTAATAATATTTTTATTATTAAGTATTAATAATATAATTATAATTATTTTTATAATTATTAAAAGGAAAAGGTTAAATTAAGGATTTTTAAGTAGTTAGTTATATATAATTTATTTAACCTTTATTTATTTTAAGGAATTAATAGGTTAAAAATTCTTTAAGTTAGCCTTTAAAACCTAACTTTATTAATTATTATTCGAAGTAGTAATATTTTAATATAATCTTTATCTATAGAATTAATGAAGTAGAATTCTAATACGTATCGTTATTTCATATTTATAAATAATGGAGGGTTAAAGATAAAGTATAATTTTAACCTTTAATAGCTAAAGATACGTTTAGGTAAACATCCGGGCTTATAACCTATTAAAAGTAATATATATAATCCCATTAGATTATCTAAAAGTTTAAGTTACAATATAGTTATTTAGTTAGATGAAGGTCTTATATATAGATTCCTAGCATTCCAATATGTGGAACGCAAGTATTACCGCCTTCCCTTTCTAACAGTATATACTATGCCAACCTCTCAGCCTTATCATCACTATCTCGATTTGCCTAAAATAGAGCCACACGCAGACCTTGCTACATCCGGCAAAGCGGTCACAACGGAAGCGCGCGGCGTGCTCCACGTAATATGCCTCGGCTCGCGCCCGTGCGACCCACCCGGAGACCCGCCTCAATCTATTAGTCCGAGGTCCGGATGCTTCGGGGGTGGACTAGTGTGACTAGTGTGAAGTTATTGGAGTTGCGTTGGGATCTTAGACTGGGTTAAAAAGAGATGCTATGTAATCAAGATCATTGGAATGGCTATTTGTGATGGAAATAGTTAGGGGAAGTAGTTGTCTTGGCACTTAACTTGGTATCAAATCGTGACGCTGGCTTACCGTGTTATAATATAAGGTCAGCCATCTATTATAGACTGCTAGGGTAGCACCCATGATACCTTTCATCTAGTAAGCATGACATTTGGGGAAACTATCACTATCCGAATGTAACGAGACACTTCCCCACTTCATATTTACTTGCTGATCTGGAAAGTTATCGACTGTGTCCGCAATGGCTCCCGTAAAATTCAAAACTCAGCTCGAGGCATCCTCGTATCATGCTCCCGGCGGCGGGGAACTATACAAGCCACTGAGAGAGAGCATAGTAAAGCTGGCGCTTGAACAAGGCTATGATGAGGCAACAATGATGGAGCACGGGGTGATATGGGCAGATGATCAAGACCCGTGGGGACATATCAAAAATCACGGGTTCCCTCACTTTGCTTCCGCCTGCAACTTCCGCTTGTTCGAGAGCTTCGAGGAGCATCTTAAGGACAAGTTTCAAGATTTGATGAAGGTACGCGGCATTGGCGTCATTGTCAAATCTTCCACCTGTGAAATCAAGAGGCCTGTTACATATCCAGACTCGGTGAGCATATATTGAAACGGCGAGTTTACTTCGCTCCTAACTATTTAACAGATCATTGTCGCCAACCGAATCGACGAGGTACGGCCTGATCGATACCATGTTACGACTACCATGTGGTCGCTGAGACAACAGCTCCCTGTTGCGGAGTCGACTGGATGGATAGTCTTCTTCGATTACTCTAAGGGCAAGCCTGCGAACTTGATCGAGGCAGGTGGAGTGTTTGTGAACCTTCATGCGGCGATAAGTGAGAAGGCCAAGGTCGCCAATGAGAAAAGGGCACAGTGGGAAGCAAAAAATCCTAAGAAATCTCGAGGCGCCAAACTCTAAATGCTCCTAGATGGGTCCTCAAGTTGGAAAACAATACGCGTTGTAGAAGAGAAAAAGGCAGAAGTGACCTGCCAGCTAAGGGATGCAACAAATGGACAGTTGGTAGATAATACTGGTGATGCGGAAATCGTCGAGGGACTTAAGGGGAAATTGTCTGGGATTGAAAGAGTGATCTCATTGCTTAAGTCTTGGTGTGGTATTAGGTTGTCGAGAACTAAAGAGAAGCTGTAGAATTTAGAAGAAAGTCAAAAAGCTAAAAGAGAATCTAATGGAGTTGAGCAACAGCAAGCCTAAAGTATCATTGAAAGAGGCGGTGATACTAACCAGTAATGAGACCTGCGACGACTGCAGGCGATTGAAGGACGAGGTGAATCATCATTTCAATTTGAACCTCGAAATGGAGCACGGAGAAATGTGAGACGGCTAAGAATACACGGACAATATGAGAAAGCTTTTGCACTCATGCTTGATGCATCTCGCGGAGACGTGGAACATTGGTCTTGCGTATATTCAACAGAACTGACTAATGAGTCACAACTTACGGCGGATTTACTTATGTAAGCACCATCGCCTGCTGCCGCCCGACGATGATATCCGCTTCGGTGGTAATTATGTGTGGGGGTGTTTTGCCCGGGTTAGATCACTGAAACTGACTGATAATGTGTCTCTTTTGCTTCATTTGCCCCCCATTGTAGAAGCAAGGTAAGGTTGATGTTGTAACTTCTTATCGTGAAACAGAAGAGGAGTCGCAAGTATAATGTGAAGGCGGAGAGTGAGAAAGGCACCGCCGACGTTGCCAAACGCTGGTGTTGAGCAAACAGAATTTATGGTCGCCCATGTGAAGCATCTGCAATAGATACAAACTGATCATTTCCTTCACACATCTATTCAAGCTCTAGATTACATCTTGCTTAACATTATCTGCAAGCCTACCTGTCATCCCCAGGCGGTACTTCCTGGTCGTTCTCGGTGAGAAACGGCCCGAAAACTCATCTCACCATTGCAACGTAGCTTCCGATATTGTCCTTCTAACATCTCCCATCAATTATAACAGGCCCACCGCGAATAATGAACGACATGTAAAAGACCGCCCAATGATGGTGTTGCCACTCACAATGGCGTGAACTATCATTGCTACAAAATAATTATAAGTAGTGATGAAGCGGCATAAGCGCCGATTATCTGAAAGCCGAAAGAGACGCTCCCTTGCTTGCGCAGCGCGGTAATAAGCGAAATATCATCGCACAACTAATCATTCCGGCGCAACAAACATTCCCGAGGCGACGCCGTATCACTCTCGATCGCGATCTTCCTTATCAGACGGCATGATGAACTTGAGCGAGCGCTGAGATTGGAGTAGTTGTTGACAATCTGATGTACATCCCTTGAGAAGTGTATGACGGCGGAGCTTGTCCTTCTTTCGGCAAATTTATCATGAAACACTGGATGCTTTGTGAAAGGTGGCCCTTCTCAACCCGCTCACTGTCAATACTAAAATAAACAGCTCCGGGGAAGAGAGTCACAGCTAGCCATTTATATTATTGATATGATGGTAATTTGTAATTGTTCAACTTCATATCCATTCCGCATATTTACTGATCAATTCACACCAGGCTTGGAGAAAAAACCATCTGCTTTGCTGGATGATTTACTTGCGCTTGGGCCGTCCCTCTTGTATGTAGAACTTCATCAACATTAAGACTGCCCAATTGTGTAGAGGTTGTAGAAACGTCTAGTAGCTGTGCATCATTCCACCAGGGTTTGAAATGCTGCGAGCCGAAATTAGTCAGGGAATGTCTCCCTGAATAGGAATGAAAGGAATGCGAAATTATCAACAGAAAATGGCTCAAGCCGCTCGCTCCTTGCCTGAATACCAGCTTCACAATCGCTTCTCTTACATGAAAACGGCGTTTCGCTGTCAATATTTGCTATGCCAAGACAGCCAGGTGTTACTATTGATCGGATATGGACCTATTGCAGGCACGCGATGTGTCTTCCCGACGGATAACGGCTGTTACCCGTCACCAATTTACCCGTGAAGATGGCTAGTCCTGATTGCTCGTCACAGAAAGAATGTGACATTGGCGACACTGATGATTTGAGTGTCGGTTAGAATGAAATTGTTCTAGACCAGCTAAGTTCTCACGTGGGCTAACGTGAACGCGACCACGACACACAAGAGGTGTCACGAAAGTCTTTTTCATCCTATTTTGTGCCATGGTAGAAGATCGCATCGATACACATCTGTTTCTCGACTGCTACACTGACCACTCGGATTTTAGGGTTAATCCCCCGCACTGCCTGTAATACTGCTCTGTCAGCCCTGTGAATCACAGGAACGTAGGTGAATTATGAGGCTGAAGACTTAGATATGCTCAGAGGACGTCCTCTGAGCATCACATTAACGGACTAGAAGTGTCATGACTACTGCAGTCAAACTCTATGGGCTGGATGATTAATACCAATCTAATTCTAATTCTTAATCTTATTTTGCCGCTTAACATATGTTCTACGGGTGTTTCTCTCCACACCTAGACCCAGCAGGTTGGAAGAATGCAAGGGAGCTTAGATTCATTGGCTGATCCGGCTTGTGGGGGCAGATTAGCAAGCCTCACGGGGGCAGGGCGCTGCTATACATAATTATGGAGTCAAGAGAACAGTAGTGCTCTCGATATACAGTAGTGGCTCATTGAAGGATTGAATTTGTCCCTCGATTTGTGTAGCTGGGGATGACCATTGAATTGTGATCCCTTGATGTAGCTCCAAACAATTTGCTCGGCGTTGTCTGAACTGTGTATGACCATACGTAGCATCGTTCGCTACTTTTTGAATCCTATTGGCTTACCACAACAAGCACGATTCTTCCTGCATCACTTCAATTGTTTTCAGAGAGCAAGAGAATGCGAGACACGAGAGTAGAATAATGACCTCCAACACTAGGCTGCGTCTTGGGGAAGTATAAGATGAAGCGTAACCTCCTGTTTCTAGATAGGTTTTCTAATCTTCAAGCTCACCCCTACAAACAGCAACAGCAGCAACCCAGCTCACCACAGCTCCTTTCTTCCGACATTCTCTTCACAATGCTTTCGCTATCCAAGCTTGCCATCGCCCTAGGGCTCGTTGCCGGCCATGCTCTAGCTAATTCTGGAGATATGACCTGGTTCGACCCCGGTCTTGGGGCGTGCGGCGCAACCAACGGTCCGAATGACTTCATCGTCGCCATGTCTCCAGGTGAAATGAAATGTGGAACAAATAGTATGCATTTCCTGAATTTCTTCACCTACCCTCATGTTATATCTCTAGCATCCCCTAAGAATCGCCAAACCATGAACATAGAGAATATCTACTAATTGATCATTTCATGTAGTCAAGATCAACTACAAGGGAAAGTCGGCTACGGCCAAGATCGTCGACAAGTGTCCTGGTTGTGCCGGAGGATCCATCGAGTAAGTAATGTAAACCGAACCCTCATTTCTCGCTTTTTGCACTGCTACGAGTGTGATCGTGTTCTGATTATACCTTTCCTCTTTAATGAATGTTATGAGATAACTGACTTGCAGCTTTCAGCGTATCCCCCGCTGTGTTCAAGGTCTTTGCGGATCTCGGTGTAGGACGTATTCACGTCGATTGGGCGTATGTCTAGGTGATTGTTATGAGAACAGTCAGGGTTTTCCTAGCTTGATGGGATCACTGCTATCAAGCTAGTGCAGGCATTGTGTGGGTGATAGTGTAGCCTAGCATTCCGACCAACAGTCTCTCGTTCCTTAGCTAGCAGTACAAGAAGCCGAGATCAGCTTCAAGCGTCTCAATCAATTCCATTACTTCATTTTGAGCAAGAAATGCCCTATACTGACTAAATGTGTGACTGATTAAAGAGTAATACTTATCGTATCTTGTTGAACGTAGGTGGAGCTATATAATACCCTTTAGACTGCTCGAACGTCCAACAACGTCGTTTTTGACGTTCGAGATATCTCATCGCACCATCACATGACCATACTCCAATGATAATAACGCCGTATAGTTACTCCTCACCCCTTAGATCGACGGGGCCCGCTTTGGACAGCTCCGATGCTGTCACAGTACTATAGTCGAGTGTAGAGCTCTACACAGGGTCTCGACCTGATTACGTATGTCGTTTACCTTTTGGTAGTGTAGCGGTATAGAACTACACTCCTATTACTCGTTCCGTGACAGATGCCTATGTATGTTGGGAGTGGTATCGAAGAATACCATTTATGTCATGGCAACCCTGTGTACCTAACTCAGTCAACCTTACCTCCTGTGCCTCGAAATCACTGTCCCTGTCTCGAGTTATCGACATTTGAATAGTGTCAAATGTCGGTCAGTTAATCAGCACTTAAAACTCAATTGATAACGACGAAAATCTTGAAATGTCTATCAGAGTTTGATTGATCATTTAGCACTTTATCAATTCTGACGCTATTGCAGTGAACTTCATTTCATCATTCATTCCTGAAACCATCGCATCTCTTGCCATGCAAAACCATCCCTATAACAAGAGTCATAGTGTCGTTTATAGAAGCCGATTCCCAACTGCCCCCTAGGTCCTCACTATACGAGAGGTGATAGGCGATTCCCTGCTGTACCCCTATAGCAACTCAAGACGTCGCATTGCTCGACCACACACAGTCCTTTTCAATCTTTCTACCACCTAAGCGTTCGGTCCCATTCTATCTGAAAGATATTCTTCGCAATGGCAATACCACAATCATGACATGCGATGGTAACACCAAAGTTGTGCTCTCGATCAGCCAGCGCAGGGTCCCAGGTCGAAACATCCTCAAAGGTATAAAGTTCACCACGCTTGAGCCGGTGCTCGCGTGTGTATGGAATGACGTAGGTGACGCTCTTCGGATCATTGGGATCCAGATCCCGAATCACTGGTATCTTGATTAGGTCGCCGCATACCGGATGCGTCAACTTATACCGGCAATTAGGGCATTGCTTGGCTGTCTCGATGTCCCGAGTGGTCCAGGTCTTCATGCACTCATAGCCGAAAAAGTGTCCGCAAGGCAGCACGCAGATATTCTCGGAGTTCTCATCCGTAAATGAGGCATTGCCTGCTAGCCATGGGGGTACTCGAAGGTGACTAGTTCGGCAGATGTCGCAGGTCAGCTTGACCTCTGCGCGTGCCAGAGTAGGAACTTCGTCGGCAGCGGCGGGGGTGAATGCCGTTATGTACTTGGCGAGTTCGGACCACGTGGATATGTCGTTTACAGTCCTGACCAGCGGCCTTTTGGTAAAGCTGGTACCAGTAGAATTCATAGTGGACAGGATGACTGGGTACAACATCTTGTTGAATTCAACGTCATCAGGACCTGTTCTCTGGGGGGGATTATCAGGCGGCATGGTTGCGAATATCTAGAGATTGAGTTAGGATGAAGTTCATCTTCAGCTGCTGGACATTGACACAAACCAACAATAATTAGCCAGGGCTACCAGGGCTTTTTTTAGCAGCAGGGGTCTTTGCTTTAGATGTCTGGAGTTGTGAAAGAAGCGATGTTGGCATGGATGTCATATGAAGACAACCCTGGATAGATGAAGATGTAGCAACGGTGGTTACTGGGTTGGATGAAGCCAAGGAGTTAAAGCAGACAGGGCAACAAAAACTGTTGCACCTTCTGAAATCTTGTGAATAGCAGGGCGAACTTTGATTGTGAGGCAACTTAATGGTGTACGTAGAATGAACCAAAATCTCCCATTGGGGAGACCTTTGGGTGATAGCACACTTTGTTGATGACCTCGATGTGATCTTGTGTGATGGTGATGAGATGAACAGGAAGAAAGAAAGTGACAAACCTAACTCCATATTGTCAATCACTTAGAAGTCTCTGTGGGTGCCGGACCAGTAGCCACCACTGAAGGATTGGACGTTCTCAATGCGTGAATGGGACTCAATGGTCCGTGCAGTAATCATTGTCTACTGTGGTGCCCCTGATTGTGCCTACAATGGCAGCTATGAGGTGGCTCTAGCAGTGGACTAACGCTTCGGCCCCGAGAATCGAAATCCAAGGAATTGGTTCGAACCACAAACAAGAATAATCAATTCTCAAGAAGTTATTCTTCCTCGGCCGCATCCGTACAAGTACCATTGTAGAGATTTAGAGCGCACAATCTCTACTATCTACTATCAGAAAGGTATTGTCAGCATATGGCATATAGGGGGTACCATTGTAGGTACAAGTACTAGATCGATCTGGTGCCTGTCCAAACAGTACATTTCGAGAGGTATTTTGATGTTCTGATAAGCTTGTGTACATGAAGTAGTTAGCATCAATGCTTACGCGCCCCCAGTGCCCCAGCCCGTCGGAGAACCGCTCATCTCAAACAAGACCAGTCTAGCATTAACCAGCTCACCATGCGTAATAACAGGACCATCTTTCACTTTCCCATCAATACTCAACCCCTTGACATAAGGCTTCCGGGTAGCTCCAGGGGCAGATATCACAAGTTTCCTCTCCTCATCTCCATCTCTCCCAATCTCACCACCCGTCGCCACACCCCTCGGTAATCGAATAGTAACCTTCTCAAAGAAAGGCGTTCCAACAACATACTCATCGCCCGCTGAATTAATAGGGTAAAACCCAAGGGCAGAAAACAGGTACCAAGCGCTCATCTGCCCCAGATCCTCGTTCCCGCTAAGGCCCGAGCTCGTAGCGTTGTAGTTATCCCACGCTATGCTGCGGATGCGCTTAGCAGCAGCGTTCGGATAGCCGATTAATGAATACAGATACGGGATGTGGTGCGACGGCTCGTTGCTATGCATGTTATGTCCGCCATCAAAATGTTCGTCGAGCTTTATCTTCATACCGTCTCGACCGCCTTTGAATAAGCTTGCTAGACCCTCGATATCGTGCGGGACGTCGAAGGTATATGCCCATTTGTCCCCTTCTGTCCAACCCCAAGTTTCATTTGCGAAGGAACCGTTCTCGTTTCGCGCTTGCATGAATTGGGTCTCGGAGTTCCATAAGTTTGCATAGTTTTTCGCTCTGTTGTCGAGGGCTGCTGCCGCTTCGTGTTTACCTGCTATGCGAGCTACGATGGCACACTTAGAGTAACAAGTTAGCATTTAGCATTCCTATAAATCCAATTGATGAGGGAACCAAGCTCCCACCTTAATTCAATCCAAAAATGCAATTGGTTGAACTCACCGCCGCGTCATTAAACGCATAATCAAGAGTCCTCGAAGCAGACTCCGCCCAGCGGTCATTGTCCACCCACCCATGATCCATATAGCTCGTCAGGCCAGCCCGGACCTCATAAGGGGTATCAGGCTCTCTATCATAATAAAGAAGCTCCGTGTCTCTCTCAGGAGGCTCATATGCGTCCTTCCGGACAGCATCCCAAGCCTTGCTGATATTAAAAGAGCGAAAGCCGCGAGAAAGGGCGTTGGCAAGGACGACGTCGGCGTTAGTCGCGATCATAATATTCGTTTCGACCATGTTTGCCCACATCGGCAGTCTACCGCTCCAGTCGAAGATGTTCAGAAGAGACCTCATCATCCCGTTCACGCGCTCGGGGGCGAATAGCGCGAGAAGAGAGTGCTCTGCGCGGTAGGTGTCCCAGATGGACCATGACTGGTAGTACGACTCGTTTCTGGTGTGAATGCTGTCCGTGTACCCGTTGTAGAATACCCGCGGAGAATCAGGATCACTCCCCGTGGGCTCCGAGAAATCATTGGGGTATTGTAGTGCGTGGAAAAGTCCGGTGTACCAAATTGTTCGTTGATCGTGCTCTTTGTCTGTAGCGTTGATACCCTCGATAGTAACCCTGCCAAGCTTCTCCAACCACGCAGCCTTCGCTTGCGCTACAGTGTCTTCAAAAGAAGTCCGGTCTGGTATTTCAAGGTCTAGGTTTTTCCTCGCTTGCTCAACGCTGACAAATGAGATGCCCGTGCGGACTTCAATTCTAGTAGTTTTGGGGCTGAACTGGACGTAAGCGCCAAGGTTCTCACCCGAGCCGTTTCGACTGCTTTCCGAAATATTTCGTCCGAAGGTTGTGCCGTATGAGACAAATGGTTCCGAGAAACGAGACACAAAGTAGCCACTGAACGTCGCTGGTTTATCTGGCCCTAGACGATAGTCTTGTCGTTGTGGATTACTGCCAGAGATTTCTTGTCTCTCAAGGTCAACCTCGATGTGACCAGTCCAGTTCTGGCGAGTTGCCTGGATGAAAACATATCGATATACGGGTGTACCACCTGAGTTGCTAGGGGTGGAGCATGCGGCTTCATAGTCGAGCCTTAGGTGGCCGGTATGAGCCAAGGCGCTCATTGCAACTCGGATTGAGCGTCTGCAAGGCTTTCTTGCAGCCCACCGTTTCTGTGCCCTACCGTTTACGCCCTCACGGATATCGTCAGGGACTCCGCCGGCGCCACCCGGAACAGGCCCCTCTCCGGCAGCGGCTTCTGTGAGGTCCCAGTTATGCTCCCCTTCCGTATCTGCATCTAGTAGGACTTCATATACGTAAGGGGTGCTGACTTCGTCTTTCTTGTCAAAGGCCAGCCCGCGCTGCTCAAAGGCTGATTTGATCCCGCCAGTCCAGCCAGGCATGATGACAGTCTGGCCAAGTTCTCCCATCCAAATAGCTGGTTGATGTGTAGCTTGGAATCCGTGCACAAGTGAGTCATTGTCGTGATATGGAACCTGTGATATATAATTCTCACGTGTCTGCGGCGTCCACCGCGTCACTACGACATCCGAGGTTAGTACTTATCATGTAATCGGACTCTATGAGTGCTAGGTAAGGCGAGATATGCCTATGCTATAATTAGGCTCATAGATAAACTGTTGCGCGGATAAGAAAAATAAATAAATTCCCGAGGATCGCTTACTTCCAAAAGGTACGGATACTGAGGGGATCATGCCACCATTATCATTCGGTGAAGTTCCGTATGTGCCGATGTGAGGGTTCACATATTGGAGGACGCCAATATTATCGTGATAATTTGACTTCACCGAATAATCCTTGTCGCGAGGCTTCCTCTGTCCGGTACTCGGATGAGCTACGATAAGGGCTGAGTGAAAGCAGACACTCAGAGCTAGTGTTGCCAACCTCATGGTGCATCCCGTTCATCTGAGATAGAAAGCTTAAATCGCTTGTTAACGTTAACAATTTGATATTCACAGAATATGACACCAATGCGAGAACAACAGTCTTGGAAAACAAAATAGCTCTAAAGACTGCTATGCTACACAGTCTCTTTAGTTTAATACTAGGATGGTTGACCTACCAACACGGGGTTCGAGTCGGTTCATCTCCATGCGGAGACGGAGCAAATCCGGGACGACGGTTGCGAATGCGGGGAAATCATGTATAATGGCCACCGATGATTAACAAGCCCAAAGACCATGAGGTCATCCCCCACTTTGAGTCTTTATATCCTTCCCCTTTGAGCATGAAAGAGAGTGTGGACATCTAAATCCAGCGTTTAGCACCGGTCTTGAAGTTCGAAGCAGTAGACTGAGACCATCTCATACTGAGGATTAAACAATCATCATGTCATTGAGTGTCATGTGTGGTCCTTAATTATCAGACGAAAGCCCGTTTGGTCAGGTTGGGACACGCTCGAGTACGTGACTCTCGCATGGGAATCATCTATGACAAGGAAGGACGGATTAGAAGATCAAAGGGAACACAGCACTATGGGAATCTGTCAAAAACTATTCACTTGATTGGCGTTGCAATTGCAAATAGTGATTTAGTTATTCAGTAGGCCCTAATGACCTGGTTCATATCGCTTCTCTTTTCTAGCGCTCTTGAAGCCGCAAAATAGGCAACAGTGGCAAATGTAAGCGATAGATGGGTTATTAATAATAGGCAGTACACATGAAGAGCGCATGTTTACTATAATTATGGTCAAGGGCCGATCAACGTGAAGCCCGGCTCGTCACTTGATGGCTCAGGAGCGTGTATATTGGATGGTAACCCTTCGATAATGAAGAGAAGGACTGCTCGTGTGATTGCTACAGAGAGCCCTGTGTCGGTCCTCTCTTTCGCGGGAGCTCGTTCTTATGCTTGACTGAGGCGATGATTGCGCCAGGCTATACTGTATAATCTCGATGCCAGTGGGTTTTTAGTAAAACGGCGTCAAGTTGGTTTGCGCTGTGTGGTCTCAGGCCATGCGTCCATTGAGACGTAGACTATTGAGAACAGTTCCCAAGTACCACCAATGGGGTATTCCCGTAAGACTTGACTAAATCAAGTTGCTGGCTTCGGGAGACTCTTCGACTGGAATATGACAAAAGGCTGACTAGCCTAGTATTCACTCAAATTAGCCACAGATGGCAGGACGAAACCCTAAGAGGTCGTGAATTAGAGGTCGCGGAATGAGGTCGGTATCCAGTCTTCGCATCATGGATATAACATGAAGCATGATGAGACTAGGTATGACAGTGCTTGGACGAGCTCAAGCACTTCCACGTAAAGCGATAAGTGTTTGTCTGATTAGGTAGATGATCAATCAACTGGTAGAATCTCCAGCCCTTCAGGGAGGAGTATATCTCTAATCGTGCCATGCTGCTCCACGATGTATTGATGTGCAGGCTCGAGGTCGGGTGTAGCACCATTCATTTGTGGCATAGAAGAGAACATGTCACTAAGTAGTTCAATGTGGCTGACAAATCCGCCACTAGGATTAGCGCTTGTCGTCTTGACAGCCCAGTCTCGGCCCCAAACTTGAGGAGGGATGATGGAATCGTCGTGTAGTGCAATTCGCAAGGGCCATTGCAGGCGAGGCCACCATTCCTCATCATCTGGGTCAAACAAAGAAACAATGCCCATAATTTCACGCCGAGCGACGCCTTTGAGCCACCATACATCGTCAAGACACTTAAGCAGAGCGAAATAACTGGCTAGGATAGCAAGAGCTCGGGGGCGTCTAGCCTCAAGCAGCTCAATAAAGCGGCGTGATACAGTAGCAAGGAAGACGAGAGGCGCACCAGTATAAGGGATCTTGTGTGCCCAATCAAGAACAGCTATGGCATGTTGGTATGCCATTCGTGTTTCTAGATGTGTTGCCGGGTCGCTCTCGAATTTAGCAATTTCATCATCCACCCCCACCAGAAGATCACTGAAGAAGGCGGGGCGGCCGGAAAGGTCGAGGTTTAAAGCAGGCTGTGATTCGATAATGGGGATGACAATGGTACTAATACGAAGCCATTGCCAAGTCGCTGCTACAACAGCTTTCACGCCTTGGAAGGAATGAAACCATGAAAGTGGCAACGAATAACCACTTGTTCGGTCGTTGACATCGTCTCGCGTGAAGATTCGAGATGCAGTGGATTGAAAAGCGATCAAAGCAGACGTGAGAAACAGTGCTTCGGCATTTGACTCGGTGACTCCTTTACTCAGGCATGCACCGTACTCGGAGCAGGCAGATGCCATGTAAGAGTGGCTGGCGCGTATAAGCTCCCGATCGTGAGGAGAGCTGGACCGTAAATGGAGAGCTGAGACGGCCAGAAGCGTATCAGCCAGATAACTGGCACTTGAAAAAGCCAGTTCGGGGACTGTGACGCGCCATATTCTCTCAAGGACAGGAGAAGATACCGACAGGGTTTTCGCGGTCACGGTGGTGAAGTTATGAAGTAGTTTCAGCTCCAACATTCGGTTTTTCTTGGTGGTCGTTGAGGACAGGGGAGGAGGATCTGGGGTTTTGTATATCGGTACAGGCGTGGTCCCAGAAAGGGTGGGTGTCGTGGTATCGCTGACATCGGTCGGGCTTTTTTCGCTGTGAGCGACAGGTGAATGCGCCGATACTGAGGCGGAGGCGGATGATGAAGCCGGGCGCGATGGTTCGGTGGGAGCAGCAGTCGCGTCACTGGTCGAGGTAACGTTGGGCGTGTGAGTGTCTCTTATGCCAGGGTGCTCAAAGTCGCATGAGACACCATGTTTGGAACAGTTGCCGCAGCGCGGATGAACCTCGTCGCACTTGATTTTCCTGACTTTGCATCGTCTACAGCCTACAATTGCACATGGGTTGTTAGATGTCCAATATCAACCACAACCAACGTCAATCCACCGGTAACAGGAGACACAGGAGACGGCTTGTTCATACCGGCTCTCGACTTCTTGTGGGATCTCCTTGGGGGCATAGCTTATTTCCAGGGAATGGGTGTTGAACAGTGAGTGAGCCGAGGGATGTCTCGAAGCTGGGCCGACGCTCATAACGGCAGCAGATCAAGACTGGAAAAACAGATTCGACGCGGTGTGCCAGGGTGCAGAGAACTCCATGAAGAAGCTGAGGACGACAGTGAGAGCGTCTTTAAGCATTGATCCATCATCGGTGGGCGTCGTCGGCCTGGCATGGAGATCCGGGATGCCGGCTTCATTTTCTGTAAGGAGTAGGAGCAAGCAAGTAAGCTGGATTGAGGTTGGCGCGCTACGGTCGACGGACGGTCACTGGCAGAAAAACACATTAGCGGTCTGCGGTGGTGTACTCGGCGCTAGGTTTAGGGGGGGTAAGGGGGTTTAGGCTGGGGCCGGGCGATTTAGGGGCTGGGTTGGCTGGGGCACTCGGTGAGAAGTGGACTGACGGCGAGGCGGTGCAGCGGGTGCAGCGGTGGTGCAGTGATGCAGTGGTGGTGGTGTAGTGCTGTGCAGCGCCGCAAAGCGACCCGATACGCCGCCAACCCGCAGAAGCGAGCTGTTTAGTGGGGTTGAACCCACGCTGATGGCATTTTCAGTCCTGCAGGACCTGCTTAAGCCGATAACCATCTCAGAAATACCCTCTCGCTCTGCATATCTTCGCTTTAGTGGATTTTTTTTATCGCAAGGAGCTATACTATGTAGGTAAAGAGGCCTTTGAAACTCGGCTTCAAGAGAGGCGTCAATCGGCGTCGATGACGATGGAAATGCACGTCCATGTAGCGCACGAGGCGAGAAGCTTGGACAATACCACAATACCCACGATTTAATTGGCCTCTTGGCTCCCCATGGCCCTCGGTTTCACCTGTGCTGACCTTGCTGATCCTATGCGATAGGTGCTCATTGAGTGACGTACATAGGAATTTAGCGGAGCACAGAATACGAATACGAGCCGAGCTCCGGGCTGCTACAACAACCGCCGAAGACCGCAAACGTACAAATTCCATCAGCGCAATCATCTACGCCTCAATCAAGTCGGCCACCAACAATGGCCATATATTAGTAAATATTTCAAATCAATTCGACAACTAGTTGTCTGGTCTTTATTTGAATTGAAATAGCACAAGCTCATTCGCTCAGGCCAATAGTGCTCTACAACTCCTCAGGTGACTAGACATGCACTCACACCTAACAGAGTCATAATCTTCCAAATGGAGACGCCGGCCATGACAGCATATTTGTTGGTGGCTGTGTACTTATACGTCAACAGTTGTCCACTTCTTATCGTCGCCTGAACGGCTTCTTCGTGATGCGATGATGAATCCTGGTAATTTTCGGCGTCGTAGCTATCTAGTATTTTGAACACTTTAGCTAGACGAGGATAGCTCAGAAACTTGAGCCTGAGACACCATCCCAGACATCATGTTCTCGGGATCAATGGACACTCAGTGTTGCGCGAAAGGTCACCAAAGTCATGTGGATATAGTCTCAACCCTATCTATGGCTGCTCCATACTTTGAGTCTCAGTTGTTATATCTTGAAAACACCTCAAGAATCCAGACTCGCCTAGATGATTTTACCTCTTCATCGTCTCTCAATTCAAATCGGAGGCACATTTTTCACGCTACGCAATGCCCCCCGTTGGCTGCTGTAGTTGCTAGCAGTATTCAAGATCGAGGATTGTTACGTTAAAACTTATGAAGTAATACTAATATCACAATTTGTTATCTGGGTGTGTAACAAGATCCAATCCTATTCTAAGTCAATATATGAACTAAGCTATTTAACCAAGATGACCCTCATACGCAGGAGGTCTTCCTTGTTCTTATCATAAGATGCAGTATGAAGCTGCCGATATCCAGCTTGACGGTGGCATGCTAACCTTATATAAAATAAAATTTGCCTACAAACGGGTATCGGAGCAATCGTGGTCAATTGGAGTGGCCGATATACTCAGAATATGCTTACAGAGGTGAAGAAAGAAATGCAGATGAAGATGCGCAAGAGGATGAGTCAAACATAGGGGGATAGCGCGAATAAGGGGTAAAGTCTTGGCATGGTTTAACCATAGCACAGCTCGTGAACTAGGAGACAGTCCTAGAACTCACAGTTATCAATTTTCGTCTACTTCTGTTAAAATACGCTATAAACATTATTATGTAACCTTCCAACATGTTCGAAGAAATATTTTCTGTGTTCCTCCAAAAGACGTAGAGGAAGTGCAACCTTGCGTCAATAATCACCAACAGTTGCCGGTTATAAGGTATCAACAGGGCCTTCTAATTAGTAATTTAGAGGGCAATTAGCTAGCCAAAGACTCATAACTAGGCAGAACATTCTCGCACTTGTATTGAAATCTTTTGTTGAAGTATTAAATTTATAGCACACTAACAATATTGATGTCCTTCATGTCAAATTCATATTGATATGATTACAAATTTTGCGAACGCTTACGCTTCGGACACTTAGTCTATCTTTAGGTAAGATCACTCTGACGACTTCACCCTTTCTCAGACAGAACACTTTCGGTTCTTCCGTAGCTTTTACCAGCTCAAGCTGTTCCTAAAACTGTTGCGAGGTGGCAGCTTATCGGTCTCGGGCGCATTTGGAGACGTCCAGGTGGACTTATTCTTTTCCAGACACCCGCCTTAGATCAATGAGCAACTTGGCCGTGTTCACGACTATCTTGAAAAGAATTTCAACAAGGCGTCTCGCGATGTATTGGCTTATGATATAGAGTTTGGGGAATGGGACATTGACTACCTTGAAGATGGCGGCTCGAACTTGCCTAGACGGGGCTGGATACCAGAGGGCATCGAATTCATTCACAAACCCGAGAAGGCGGCATCCTATGAATACCCGAGAGGTGCCTTTCGCCGCGTGGAAACTGGGGTACAATCATATGCCTCCACAAGCATTGGTCCTCCACCCTCACACCACAATCCTTCGCCGATGCGCCTATGTCTTTTGGGATTTAGCACGTATTCAGCGCTACCAGTTGCTCCCAATATTTGATAAGTTATCAGAAAGCCCTATGCAATTGGAGTGGGTATGGGACAGGGCCGAACAGGAGGCTATGAGTCACTCCTGGGAAGAACGCTCAAAGATATATCAGAAGGGCGGGAGAGGGTATTGGAATGGTGACGATTCAAATCGAAGCGAGTGACGATGATTAGCAAGAAGCATAGAATCTCACAATCCCCCAAGAAACATAGACTAGTCGCTCTCTCGACGTCTCAAATACACAGTGGCATGTATTGACAGAGTTATAAAGAAGCTGGAGTGGATTTTTCGGGAGTTTATCAAAAGGTTTCATAAGAGTTAACTGTACGTACAATTGGACCGACCGACTTCCTAATTTCTGCGGTATGTCAATACGTATCATAAACACAATGACTGAATGGCATTATCATACATATTGAAATGCATGCCTTGTGAAAGATAATTGCAAGTTTTAAGACCGAAGTCTGCAGTAACCGCGCTTACGAGGTGCTCAGTACGTTCAGTGCTAGTAGCAGCTAAGGAGGGGTTAGTTGGCGGGGATGAAGAAAGAATAGCCTTAGACAAAAAGCAACGGGAGAGTAATTTGCATACAACAGTTAAGGAGTGGGAACGGAATCATCCTTGGGCTGAGCAATTCCATATCCGAAAAGAATCCTACTAGTACACATCTGCAGTGAGAGTACCGCCACCCGCTGCCTTGCAACAGTTTCCTAAACAGAACATGACCCTAAATATGCCTAGCTCACTTGTCCTGACACAAGTATCAAAAATCCCGTAATTACATCTTCGGAATACCATGGTTATTATTGTTTCTCAAGACAAACATCCCACCATGCCAACCATACGCACGGTTGAGCCTTCGGCCATGACGCCGAGCTACTCGGAACGGAATCTTGCCTCGAGGATGAGGTTCATGAAACTGGATGCTTCTCTCAACATCAAGCCCTGTCGGCTGAAAGTGCCAGGCAGATCCGTCCAGTTTCTCAGCGGCAAATCCTATGGAGCGCATGGCATGGAGAAAGTCGCGCCAGGCCACCTCGCCTGGGGTAGTGTGAGCTTCTAGGTCGAAGAAGATAGTACGGAAGACATTCAGCGCTCGTGCATCTACTTTGAATATAGGTTGAACGTGGACGTCTGCTGGGGTTCCAGGAAGCGGTGACGTTGTGACATTTTCACCTGTCGACTCGTCCACTGATTTTCCACGACGCTTGATCTTAGTTTTGCCAGAATCCAATGCTAGAACCTCCGCGCGAGCGGATAAAGCGGAATCGGCCTTTTGAAATGGGTGTGAATAGGGTAGGGTATACTCACACGACCCATTATTTGTCTGTGTTTGGGTTCGCCTCGACTTTTCCTCCTTCTTTTTCTTGGCAGCCGGCTCAGCCCATTTCGGCGTGCACGGTAGGTAGCCGTACTCTAAGAGAAGTTGCTCGTAAGCTGTGGTGCTGAAACCTCCCGCCTTCCGGCACAACATATCGTCCACTGTATTCCAGAACGCATCCAAATTCGCCTTGGACCTTCGACGGGCCTCAAAAATTGCCCTGTTGTGACTCTTTCCTGTCGGATACAGAAATCTCGTACCTGAGGGAGATCCCAGCTTCTGAAGAGCAATGCAATTTTGCTCAGTGAAAGTCTCAATTATTGCGGTCCAGCCTTTGGTGTGTTCTTTGAACTCGTCTTTAATCACTTCCTCTCCATAGACCGGAGAATTTTCGAAGCCATTGGTCCAGGGCTGGAATCTCTTAAGTAGCTCGAGACACTCGCCAATGATGCAAAACTCAACAATCTGCATTTGAACATATGGAGAAAGAGATTCTGGGGCTGTAGGCTGTGATTTCAATAGTCTGCTGAGCTCATCGATAACTCTAGACTGTTCAATGTAATGCTGAAACTTGAGTAGAGATGCACGGTATTCCTCTGGTAAGTCCTTCTGTAGGGATATCTGCGGATTGTACTCCTTTGAAAGTTCCCGTAGATGGGATGCTTGGTTCCGGAGCTCTGTAAGGTACTCATACCGGTAGAATGACTCAAAAAGGACGAAACTGATTACTCGGGCCCACTGGAAATCATTGGGTTGGGGCTTCTCGGTTGGATAGACAAGCAGGAGATGCCCTTTCATGTCAAGTAGGGTCTGTGCAAAGTACCTAGGATCTTCACGTAACGACAGAATGTGGTCTTCAGCTTGCACAATCTGAGCATGGAGAAGTAATTCGATATTTTCCATATCTAATTTTCCAGGAGGCCTGCAGGGGGTTTCTCTGGAAATGGTATTCAGGAACCCGAAATCTGTAGGGTGGGGATTCTCCTTTGACGACGGTTCGGGCTGAGTGGCGAACCTCTCGCTGTCAGTGATATATTTAAAATCAACATCGTGAAGCTTCGGGTGATGCTTAAGCGGATCGCATTGGCGGTTTACTTGGGGCTTGAACAATATTGATGCTGCTGGTCGAAGCACACCGCAGATTATGACTGCAAAGACACAAAAAGTAACTCGAAATCTCCAAGCAGCAAGTCCCAACAGGTAGAGTCCAATGGCACCAAAGCTGAAACCAAGAAACTTGCCGAATTTGAGTGGATTCATTGTTGCAGTTGGCTCTCACTGGCTATTTGTCAATCTGATTTACTGATATGGAGAGATTGGGTAACCAGAGCAAGAAAGTTGACGAGGATTGAAGAATGCCCAGTGCATCAAAGTTACCATTGCAAACACAGATGCTAGATATCCCCACGGGCATGTGTGTAGGTGTCTTTAATAATGCACCGAGCCGCGCTGAACTTGTAGATAGTGCACACTAAAAGAAGTGCCTCGAAGTTTTAGACCTCAAATTTCCGAACGTGAAACACACCTGAAAGGCCAAATAAACAGGTAAGGTCAATTAAAATGTACATATTCCGAGCTGTGTAACGGCTGTGTGGTTAACCATTCTACTAAGTAATCCTCATTGTGTACCAATCAAGGTACTGTTTTTCTCAATAGGGCCTACTGTAAGGATGCAGGCACAGTACAATAGCCACACCAATGAAGTCATTAAGCTCTACTTGCATTTAGCATCTAGGTTGAATGACATATTACAAATGAGATAATACAATATTGCCTGATTTTGAATGTCCCTGTTAGTATGTAGACCCCAGTGAACTGCCAGACACGGCGCCAGACATCAAAGTGATGATCCTCAGCCTCCGCTATCCGATACTCAACGAGTAGACCTAAGGCTAGGTTAGTCCTACAGCTGGAAGGCTTGCACCCGGAGAGGCGCATATAACCCTTTGTAACTAATGACTTATTACTGAAGTACCACAAAGTGCTGCAGCACAATTACCAGTGAGCTGTGTACGGTAGTTGCAGCTGTTTTTCTGCTAATTGGCCGGGAGGCCACAAACCTCCAGACCCTAGAACCAGTATCTTCCCGCTCTCACACCACACTAAACGTTATGGACAACTGGGCGCCATTTCCTAGGAAAACAGCATGGCCGTTACTATGGCAAGTGCAATCATGGAGTACTGTGTGTGGCATTCTTGTTTGTAGCGCTGGGATCATGTCGGATACCAAGCTTCCTGCCAAGAGTTGACAGGTTGAGTAGATGAGTCTATCTTTAATTTGATTATGATTAGTCAATTTGATTAGAGCAGGGCTACTTCTAGATAGGTATAATTTTCACCAAAACGGAAGTAGTTCTGCTTTTCTACAAGTTAGGAGCTATGGTCATACTTCTTAGCTGAATGCCAAGAATATCACCACCGTTGCTGCAACTGCTAAGTTGACCAATTCTTTGAGTTCGCGTCCCTTCAGATAAACAACTTCACACGTATTTCACTTGTCGGGTACGCCTGGCCTCTTGATGAGAGATCGGCCCCTGAACTGCTGTTCGCACCAAAATTCACACCTAAAGATGTCTACTCCGATAGCTTCACAAGCAGCCAATCAGTCACAATCGACTCCAACGGATAGCCCTAAAATGGTCGAAGCAAGGGTCCAATTGGCTGTAAACGCGTATAAATTGGGCAAGTTTGCAACCTTCAAGGCTGCCGCAGAAGCCTTCGGTGCCCCGTATCAACGCGTACGCCGTCGCTACAACGGTAACCACTCGCGTCAAGAAAATGGTGGCCATAACAAGGTGTTGAACGAAGCTTTGGAAACAGCTTTGCACTCCGCGTTGCAACGGTTAATCGTTCAAGGCACGAAAATAAGTTCCCATCGCCTGTGGCGTACAACCAACGAACTGCTGAAAACTGGTGTGGAAGAAGGTCAAGAACCTCGTCAAGTCCGGCAACGATGGGCTCGTCGCTATCTCGCTCGAAACCGTGACCTGTTTCCTCGGGTCACGGGGAAAGGCCCAGGGAACGTTGGTAACGGAGGTGGAGTCACAACGAGTACCTAACTACCCATGCGTCTATGAAAACGAACTGCGGATTGGATGTCAGGCATCGCATAGTCGACTAACGCAACTATTTGACAGCGGCAGAGGCTAGACGAGGAGACCGTTCCCGTGATTATGATTGCATTTACATAGTGGCTCATGCTGGAGGAATGCGCGTTTGTCGCTCTAAGTATGCGGATGTTGCCAGCAAACTGGCAGATCGTCGTTGTTAGTTTTGTTCACATACTTCCTACACGTTAGACGTCGCTGATCGACGTTTAGTGTAACGCCACTTAACATCTGCAGATGTCGTCGGTCGCGCAATGAGACTAATCATAATACAGGCACTTCTTAGGCATGTATTTTCTATTATGACTGAGATTGAGCACAATTTAACTATAGCTGTCTCTCGGTTTCTATCTGTTTACCAGAACTGCTTTCTAGGCTCAGATAGCATAGATGAAGACCATCTTACCTACCTAGGTCTCGGTTGCCGTCAGACTCAACTTGCCCCTGTGGGTTCCAATATGTCCGCCTGCGCTAGGACATGGACATGCATCATTGACATTCATACGCGAGAATACCTATCTACCGTTCGATGAAGAACGCAGCGCTAAGGAGCTTCACCCTTGAACGAGCCCTATCTAGATCCGAGTTACTTTATGCAGTTGGTTGAACTGGGTGGGATTAGGTGCGAGTTATTGGCTAGTTCCTTCGTGTTGACCGGGGCTTTGACGTTGGCGACAACTGGGGTCAGTCCACTGAAACGGAGAGTAGCGGCACCTTAGGGCTCCTTTAGGCAACTAACTAGGTACCGGTAAGAGTCACAGCGAGAGTCTGCGCGAGAGGCACAGCAACCAACAGTTACGACGTTTGACCGCTTCATTCCACGTCTACAGTCTAGGCCAGAACAATATAAACAGCTCTTTGAGCCCCCTCTGATCTTAAACCTGCTGTATTTTCTATAAAGGTTCCTTGATCAGATACCCTCTCATCATATTCATCGTAGCTCTGTCTCCTCACCTTCAAGTGCTAAGTAGGGTGTACTCTACAATAAGCAATACCTTGTCGCCTTCACACCTTCTCCGTACCGACATACGTAATATGGAGTCTCACCAGTTCTCTGGCTGGGCGCAGACCTTGCATGATGATTCGAATACCGAAAACCGCTTGCGCGCGATTGAGAGCTTCGAGAACGCGATGAAAGACCCTGTGAAATGGAAGAAAAGCTGGGCTGATGGTGGGGGCACCGCTGGCATCCTCCATCTGATGTCGACAGCCTCGGTCAGGGAAGTCAAGGTGTTTTGCAAAGCCATAAGAGCCTGCAACCGGCGCGGGAGGAAGTCGGCTGACAGAGAGCGAGCTATCGACGAGCTGGTCAAGGCTCTTTTGCCTCAGCACTATCGCTCAACAAAACTACGGACAAGGGATAAGCGCCCGCTCCAAAAGTACTACAGCTATATGTTAAGAGGATGTTCGTCCAGCTTCGTTGAGAAGCTTCTCACCAAGAAAGACAAGTCCAATCCGCTTTTCAAGGAGCTCAACGTTGGAAAACTGCTATTCGCTCACGATGATATGCTCAGGAGGCGCCTTACCGATTACTTGCTTCACAATGGGCCTCAGCTTTCGCAACCCGAGATGGACGTCAGCTTTAGGGCCTTCGTCTTTCAAGAGCCTCCTTTCCCCGGTACCGAACCAAACATGTCGGCATCTATGCAGTATGCTCTTGAGCTACTGCAAGCTTTCGTCACCGGAAAACGTAATGTAGATCGCTGGCCGCGCAGCCCTAATCAAATGGAAATACTGATGTCCGTTTACCGCCGATTCGTACGAAGACGCCGCTCGGCAGATAGGTCCTTCTTCATCAAGCTGGGGTTCCAACTGATACAATCTGAACCGGCGTTCAAGTCCACGGCAGACGCAAACGTGTTGATGTCCGCAGCTGCCACTCTATGGAAAAAGGATCCGCGTCAGTATGAAAGCTTGCTGTTTCAGGGGCTACGCCTTGGCCTCCGCGGGGATATTTTGCCCGAGATTGCCGCTCGATGGAAAGATGATCCTGACCAGTTCGAGCACTTGTTAACTGAGGCACTTGGCTTGGGACTTGGTGGACATTCAGACGAAATTGGCGATAGCTATTTGAGGTTGATCAGGCGTAAACCGTTCGAAGATATCAGCTCGGAGCTGAGGTGGCGTTTGCTTTGTTTATTTTGCCAGCACACTCCCCAGGATGGCGTCAAAGAATCGTCTGACTTCACAAGCCTTGCGAACCAGGAATGGCCGTTTGAGCTTTTTGACCAACTTGACAGAGAAAACTCGATATTCTTGCTGAAGGGTCTTTACTCAGTCAATCCGAACTTCGACTTCTTACGAGCCCCCAGGCGTTACACGTCCATTTATGCGATGCAGAGCTTGTCCTCACGACGGAACTTCAACGTAGACCTTCTTCTAACCACATATCAATGGGGAGATAGTGATGTTCAACAAAAGGTTCGAGAAGAGGTTGACCAGCTACGAAAAACGGCTGCCACGACGCGAGACCAGAACGATCGGGCCCTCTTCGCAAAGGCCGCTGCGCATCTTGCGATAGCAACCGGTGATCTCGAATCATATGCCGAGACCTTAGTATGGCAAAAACGATTTATTCGCGATTCCATTGCGATCCGCAAAATTTTTGCAAAAGATGCCTTACTCACCTCAGAAGGGTTAGGCCTGCTTTCTGGAATCGATCTCCCGGTTGCAGATGGCACAACGCCGAGTGCCATTGCAAAGCGACTCGCGAGAGCCAACGAGATATTGAAAAGTGTTAATGATACAGCCCGTATGGCCAAGAAAGAACCATCTAATAACCATGCGAACTGGACAGCTTTTCAGTCATTCTACACTGATGTGTATAGTGAACGGGTCTCCCGCGCCAAGAAGGTCAAGCTCGAGCTTGTCGAATCGGAGCTGGATATGTTTCACATCATCTGGTCGGGAACTACAGAGCTGGCACATAGTATTGGCTCTGATTTCATGAGTCAGATACAATATCCCGTTCTAGACCTGTTATCTGGACTCTCGGGTGCTTCCCTCATCGCTGCCGCCGAGACTTTGCTAGATTTTGCCGCCAAATGGGGCAGAAAGGGGGATCGTAACGAAGATCATGACAATATTACTGCTACCATGGAACTGCTGTCTTTTCAAGCTGTCTCAAAGCTAGCCCGTGCGGATGCACCCACTCTGGCCCAAGGCCTGATACAACGAGCGATCATCGAGTTCCCGGCAGCAAGCAGTTGGCATAGACAATTCCTGTCACTTGGATATATGAAAGATCTACCGGCTAGCGCCGCCAAGACAATGCTCCTATCATTCGCTTCCGCTATAGGAGAGAAATTAGAAGAGCAGTCTTATGTCAAAGTGGGCGACGCAGAACCGCCCAAACATGCTCCTCCAGCATCCCTCGTCAAAGTGTCAACGGTCAAATATCTTGCACAGCTTCTGAACAATGCTGAATTCATTGGACCGGACTCAGCGATCGAGGTTCTCATAGAACTGTTCAGAGCCGGAACACATATAGATGTTCGTCTAGCCACGCTAGATAGTTTGCTCGGTTCTTTGAATACCATTGTCGGCGACGGCCCTAATGAGGAATGGAAGTCAGACCCAGTGGTAGAAAAAATCCTGGGCACATTGGAGATCGTGATTCCTATCGCAGGCAATATGAATGAGCGTCGGCCATTGAGCGTTAGGGACTGGCAAGAGGCGAGAGAGAAGACGACAGTACCGGCCTTATCCATTGAAGAAGCAGAAATTCCTCCTTTATTGAAGGCGGTCCTCGAAATAGCCGCTGGGAAAAGGTATCCGAATCTCGAGAAGCTTCGGGATGTAATCTTTTCACGTCTGGTGCTTCCAACTCTCCACCATTCACAAGAGCAGCATCGCGCTTGGTTTTCTCTGTTCCTTGCTAAGTATAGGCCAGCCTTAAGCGTGGACCGTCTACCGCCTGTACCTATCACTCCTCACGTCTGGTATGATCTGCTGAATCATCACGGTCGCATCCTGCCTTCTTCCGTCATCGATGCATACAACCAGTATGCAATCTTGCGAATACGCTTGCCAGAAGATATTCAAGAGTTCAATGAATCGCTGCAAGAGGATGCTACGTTGCGCAATGATGCCAATGTCAACCATTGGCTATCCATCTTTGGCGACACGGGACATCCTCAGCCGTGGAAGGGCGTAGTTCAATACTCCCTATTCAAGTTGATTCTCACACCGGGAGAAACAGTCGCTCCAATGACCGATCTCCTCGAAATTGTTGCTAGCCAAGCCTCTGCACTCCTAGATGACTATGAAAACCGCGTGGATGATTGGCAACAGCTCGTAGCAAGCTTGAAGCGACCATATTTAAGCGATTCCGGCGAGAATAACGAGGAGAAAATACAGCAAGACTGGAACACATGGCTGAATGCTACGCACGCCCTGTCCTCGAAACTCGTTTCGCTCCTCGAGCACAAGGTGGCCTCATCTGGAGAGAGCAAGGTACTTCCATCAACATTCCCACTACGAGTCTGGGGTCTTCCGTACCCAGAACCTCACTCCGTAGAACGTACGGCCGAAGCCGGTATTTCCCTTGTCACACTACTCGACTCCTTTCTGGCATCGTACCTTGAAAGCCACGAGGCAGACGTGCTCCTGTGGGCCACACTTGCTAATGATGTCTACAACAATCTCGTCGGAACCTATAGAACCGAGGCTATCTCTGTCGCACGTCTCCGTATGGCAACACAGATTGGCGATCTGAATGGAAACCACGCCCACGCAGCACCCGCCATACAACTCATCAAGGTCGCGGTAGCGCTGAAGTTGATCGACAGCGTAGCCAAGCTCCCAGCTATCCAGAAGCCAAAGACGAACGATGAATTCACAACAGAACAGGCCGTATTAAGGACCTTGATTCCACGCTTCCGCGCTATCGTCGACGGATGGGCATCAGGTGGGGCTACAGGTTCCCGGGCATCTGCTGGCATCCGGGACATGGCTATGCAGTGGAAAAGTAAGAATAAGGCTCTATGGAATACTATCCTCAGCTGGGATTCCGCTTAGGTGGCGGAATGGCCAGAGAGCTTGGATCGAGTGTATATCGAGGAAGATATTGTGTTTATGTTGACAGATCAGATGGAGCTTCATACGCAGGTCCAGGAGGACTTCCGGGAGGACCTGCGGAGAGAACGCGAGACGAGAGGCGGGGTGCCTGTTTGCATGCTTATTACGCGGGGAATCATCCGTGATGGTACATTAGAGATTCGGGATCACGGTATCTTCACGACTAGTCTTTTGGGTTGTTTAGTGCATAGGTAACTGAGATATCCTGTTTTTTTTTTTCTTTTTTGGCGGTTATGCCCTCGGCCCATTGTTCGCTGAAGCGTCCGCTAGGGCACTCACGCGACTGAGATAGCGTGCGTTGGTGGACTTGTATGCACTATAAGACCCCTTATTCTCTGGCGCTCTACGGGCAGCTTACCCCCTGTCGCTGCCTCTGGGAAGCCACATCTACAGCGGGAGAGTGCCTAGACTAGGCGGATACCTACTATGTTATGGATGGAATCCTGTGAAGAGACCGTGGGAACAGAGATTTAGATTTCCTGATCAAGACATATGTCTTTCTTTGCTTGGTGTTTTCGCGGGCGTGGTTGATGAGAATGATGATTGAGTATCTGGGTACGGATATTGACATGTAGATACGATAGGTTATGATCACATAACGCTAAAGGTTAGGTGCTAGTAAGTGTGTAATGAAGCTCCCTGAATCATAAGATATTACTGTAGATACACTCACCTCACTCAGTGATGAGACACATCACATTCGACATCAACGTACAGACTCATTACATGTCACATATACAAGCAATGACTCACCGCATCTCTCTCTATAGCTGTCTTAACATACCTGAGGAGGCGCATCATGACCTTGCAACGCCGTCCAGTCCTGTTCAACGCGAATGCGAAAGATCAAGTCCACATCTCAGAAGCATGCGCAGAGTCGGCAGCACCATTCCACAAACAACTGCCAGGATACAGCCACACCACTCTAATTAATCTAGATGAAGTCGCCAAAGAAGTCGGGGTGCAGACCGTCCGACTCAAAGACGAGAGCACAAGACTTGGACTGCCGTCCTTCAAGATCCTAGGTCTCTTTCGCCCAAGCAGTTGTTTCGCATTACAAGGGGGGAAAATCGTCGGCGAAAATACTGACTGTCGAGCCAGATACGGCAGCATGTCTTTACAAAAGCTTGCAGGAAGGGTGAGATGGTAGTTGAGCGAACAATCCCTACCATTATGGCTGGTCTAGACTGCGGCACTGTTTCATCGATTGCATGGCACATCCTCCGAGATGGCGTTGATGCTGCCGTGACTGTGTCGGATTATGAGGCCCATGCAGCTTCTTTACAACTATGTAGGAAGATGTGGCGTTTCTTCAGGACCATGCGGTGCGGCGACTTTGGCAGCCTTACGTCGCTTGAGCAAGTCGGATAAGGAAACTTTGGGGCTGGATGCAAATTCCTCTGTCCTCCTGCTGAGCACTGAAGGCACTCGCGAGTATGTGATGCCCTCAAGCGACAGTAGCGATGATGCTGTCGCTTCGTTTGCTCAATCACAATCACCATCAATCCAGAACCCGATTGGATTACGCACATTGAGTCTAGAACAATGTAGGTAACTTCTTATTGCCTATTAGTGCTGGAAAACAACAATCGAGCTTGACTGTAGTCCGAATTGGTGTAACGGTTAACATTTCACGTTTTCATTATCTTCGTTGATAATAATACCGTGAGGCTCGGGGTTCGATTCCCCGATTCGGAGCTTAATCTTTTGAAATCTTTTCTATCCGCGATTGACGTGCTACGTAAATACCGTTCTTTTTTTTTTTTTTTTTTTGTCTTTTTTTGGACTTTGTAACTTCCGAAAATAGGGTATGAGAGAAAAACAAAGCGTGAATGTCAAGTTTCAATTATAAGCTTCAATACTGCATGGGCTATTTAGCTATGCAGAAATCAGTCTTACTATCGCTTGTGCAGCCATGGCAAATCACTTCACTTGTAGCTTTTTGGAGAAGCAGTTAGTTGTCACAACACGCCATTATACTTCAGAAGTGAAAAAAGGGTCAGATATCTCTTGTCAAATCGGCGTTTGGGGGGAATTTTGGTTTCAATGAGTGGGGCAGGGGAGCCAAGGTACAGCCCCGCAACTATTAGGCCCTTTTTCCCGGACCGTTCATACCTGAACTCTATGGGCCTCTCAATAAGAAGCTCTCTTCAAGTCGTTGTCCACAACATCGTTCAAAATAGCCTCATCCCGCTTACTCGCTGCAATCCGCGCTCTCTTAAGTTTACGTGTGTCCCTCTCTGTTTGTCTCGTCACCCACCATGTAATCACAGTGATGATGGCGCACTGGTGACTCGGGTCAGCATAACAACTCTATGAAAACAACAAAGAAAAGGAACATCTAGTAAAACTCAGATAATGTTGACCGCAAGATCCACTTACTGCACCGACAAGACCCGCAGCGACACCGAAGGAAACTGTGTATTTGGGCGCATAGGCGCTTCGGAATACTATCAGCGTTTGTTAGTCATGCAGAATCAAAACCAGTCTAGGCGTCAAAAGAGCGGGAACTTCGTACTTTGAGGTCCAATAGCGCCGCCAATCTGTCCGTAGCTGTTAACGAATCCAATAGAAAACGCAGAACCTGTAGCACGGCTTGTTGTTTGAACGCGCCACGGCCACATCATGGGATACCAAGCCGCTGTCACAGCGTTACCGATCAGCGTAGCTGCGTACACTCCGCCATTGTTCGGGTATACAATTAGCACAGCATATGATGCGAGGATGATCAGAAGGAATGACAACGGGTATAAGGGACGTGGGAGTCGTCCATTATCGGCGAAGTACCCTGTTACGAAGATAACGAACAGGCCAAAGACTGAGATCGGTAAGTTCAGGAGCTGGGCTTGAGCAATAGTCCTGCATGTTACGTCAGCTACTATAGTAACGTCACGCAGAAAGTCAGACGAGATGCTTACGTGAAGCCGAGGTTAGCGATAACAGTTGGCTGATAGAAGCGAACACCAGATGTTCCCACAGTAAACAATGCCCAGATCAAAGTAAACAGCCACAGGCGCTTGTCTTTGAGCGAAGCCCAAATCTCACTCATGTTAAAGTTCTCTTCTGATGCTCTTGGAGCATTTTCGGGTAGCCGAGCTTGAATGAAGGCCCTCTCCTTCTCCGTCAACCACGACGCTGTCTCGGGAACTAAATCCTCTGTTAGTTCCACAATGCAAGTATAAGAAGGCTAGTATACTCACAGTCTGGCAATAAGAACCAAATTCCGAAGCTAACAATAATTGTTGCAATCGCTTCGACAAGAAATAACCTATTAGAAACTGAGTACTTGAGCGATTCAAGGTTGAATGAGTGTCCCATACCACTGCCAGCCGGACAGGCCACCAGCCCCAGACACAGTATCAAAGCCATAAGCTAATAAACCACTAAATATTCCAGAGAGGTTGCCACATATATCTGTCGCAGTGGTGAGTTAGAATTGTTTCATGAATTGCTTAATATCGGGGATTAACAGGACTCACAAAAGTATAACAACCGAAGAGACATCTCGTCAGGTCTATACCAGTATGTCATCAGCAGTATAACACCCGGAAACATGCCTGTGTTATTTCATGTTAGCTCTGTTCCCTTTCGATCTGCTGTCTTGACCTACCCGCTTCTGCTAAGCCCAAGAAGAATCGAGCAGCATATAGACCTTCCTTATTGGAGACCGGAACATGTAGCGCCAGTACGATCCCCCAAGTAAGCATGATCCTCGACAGCCAGCGTGAGGGTGAGAAGCGCTTTAGCAGCAAATTTGATGGGGCTTCAAAGACGATGTAAGGGATCTATAATAGCTATAAATAAGCACGCCGAAGCTCTACGGCTATAGGATGAGCAGTGCTTACATAATACAGCACAGTGACCAATGCAAACTCATCCGATGTGATGTTAAGCTGGGTCAGGATATTTTGAGGCGTTCCTCGATTCATTATTCGAGCATTTGAGACCTTGCAATTTGATGTTAGATAATAAACATAGTGAAGAAAGCTAGCAGAATCCTCACATTATCCACGTCCAAGTTCTTGAATAAGAACATAATGGAACACAAAGGCATGAGATGCCAGTCGATGCGTCGGATCAACTTCTTCTCTTCAGCAGCGGTGAGATACGTACGGGCTCGCATACGGTTCGCATCGAAGCCTCGTATTTCTTGGTCGCCGGTTGCATCGATGGCTTCGCCACGAGCGGCGCGGAAGAAGCCATCACCGCTGCTCGAAGAAGAACTTGAATCAACCTGAGCCGAGGTCGAATCTACCGCAAATTTCCCGACTGACGCCATGATACGAATCCAATTTTGGAATTTCTATGATGGAAGCCAATAGAGTCCCCAAACTCAACCGATTATTGTCAAAAGAACGACCCATTCAGCAAAATCAGAAGGCCAAATGCACCTCATATACTGGATCGGCAAGACCCCTCAGAACCTGGTTAGCCTCTTTCGTCAATAATATCATGCTCAATGGTAATCACGACAGACTTCCAAATCCCAGGCCCATGGATAAACTAAGGCCCTTGTCTTGGGCCCAGGTCCTTAGGTCCAAGTTCTATCACGCAATTCCCACTAGATGCTGTAGCGAGGTGCTACAACACGTGGCTCCCACATGAGGGCAGGAGATAGGGCATGTTGAGCAACCCAAAGAACGCAGAACTTCCCGAACCGCGCTCCGATTTTCTGGCATCCCACCATATTCGTCATTTGGGGTCAAATTGCGAAATACGCCCAGGTCCCCCAACGTCACGACACCAACCTCTTCTAGCACATGCCCCTCATCACGTCATCCTCGATAGACGCGATCGGATGCCAGCCCCACGGGATATTAATTGTAGGGGATTTCGACATCTAATTGACGAAAGTTGTACGTCTGTGGTATCAATTAAAACGTTTGACTAAGTTTACAGTTTAAAGACATCGAGAACTAGATCGCAATGGCGGCAGCAGCAGTAAGCACATCGAGCAATGCTACGGGGCTGCCCACTTACCACCAAGTTCCTGAAACCAAATATGACCGTAAGCACACCCTAAGTCCCTTTCAATGAAACTCTAGGTGTACCTGGGCTCTGTTTGACTTATAGTGGATCAGTTGATTGGGCCGAACTTGCGACTTTGGATCTCTCCCAATTCGATCAACCCGGTGGCAAAGAAAAGTTGGCTGCCCAGCTCTTTGATGCCATACAGAAGATTGGTAATCTATATATCTACCCTCTCAATATTTCTTGCCTGACAATCTAATATCTACCCAAAGGGTTTTTCTATGTCATCAACTTTGGTCTGGACCAAGACCAAGTAGACAAGCAGTTTGCCATTGGCAAGGAAGTGTTCCAACTATCAACCGAGGAGAAGCTCAAATACCGTGCAGACCTTGAGAATGGCGGATACAATGGATATAAGCCCCTTGGTATCCGGGAGGTGCGTCCCGGTATCTTCGATAACACGGAGATCTATAACATCCCGAAGTTCATCCCAGAGCTGGAGAGGACACATCCGGAGGTGATTAACCAGAACCGTCCCAGCATCGAATCATTTGCGAGACACATTCATGAAAACATTGTGGGTAAGCTGCTTGTGTTGTTTGCGATAATCCTGGAGCTGCCGGAGGACTTCTTCCTTCAGCGACATCGCTATGATGCACGAAGTGACTGCCACTTGCGATATATGAAATATCATCACCGCACATCTGAGCAAAATGAGGTAAGGTCTCTAGATCTTTTATCTATCCGGAGATTATGAAGTAGCTACTCCTTGAATTCAGTCGCGCAGCTGACACTATGCCTAGGCTCTAGAGAACGTCTGGGTCAAGGGCCACACCGACTTTGGATCCTTGACTCTCTTATTCAGGCAGCCAGTCGCCGCATTACAAGTGCGCACACCCGAGGGCCAGTGGAAGTGGGTCAAGCCCTACCCAGGTAGTATCACCGTCAACCTCGCGGACTCGCTCGAGTTTCTCACGAATGGGTTCCTCAAGAGTAGCATCCATCGTGTTGTTGCTCCGCCACCCGATCAGGCCGAGGTGGACCGCCTTGGGCTACTCTATTTCGTGAGACCAGAGGACAGCCTCGAGCTGAAACCTATAGTGAGCAACGTACTCGAGCGTCTGGGATACAACGATGTCACCGATAGCAGCGCTGTGGGTATTACGGCAGGGGAGTGGGTGAAGGCGCGCGTGGCTAAAGGGACGGCAAGGAGCAAGGTCAGGAGTGACGTTGCAGAAGAGGAAATTCTCAAAGGCAGATCGGCGAAATATTACGATTAGATGTACAGATATCTCCTTGGATCATGCACTTCATATTTTACACCCGCATATGTCTAGTTGAAATCCACGTACCATTACACCGGATTCTATATCTAATTATGTGCGCTGACCGCCAACGATATACTTTGTTGTATTTATGCTTACCCCTTTCTTGAGGTACATTGGGATGACAGTGACAAGCGGGTGGACATGAAAAGTGCAGTTTTGAATGAAATCCATCTCTCCTTATAACATAACAAATCATGCCATTCGGAGAGCGAATCTGCAGCCTTTTGAGCTTAATACCACGACATATATATTACCCCTGAATCCTCCAACACACCTCTATTTATTCATTGCCAAACTGAGCTTATAACGATCTTGTGGAAATCAATATAGATAAAAACTAAGCTTCAAAATTTCTTCTTTGTTTCAATTTCAGTCGATAATATTTGAGATTGAGCGTGCTTTCGATTCTCGGCTCTCCCGATAGACACTCTAGAAATGCATATTCTAAGGGCCGATTTTTTCATATTAAGAAGCCAGGCTGTTATTCACTTGATGCATTCTCGTATCTTGAAGTTTCAGAAACGCGATAGTTTGTCCAGGTAGTATGCTGTATATTGTCAATGGCACTTTACGCTGTCATCGTCGCATTTCGGGGTCGCAACAAGAGGGTGGTATTGCTCCAGCATAGTAAACGAATGACGTGCAGAAGTCAAACCATTAGCGTCGTAGGGCTCAATTTTATCTTGCTTTAGCTCCACGCCGTCAACGCAACCAACTCTCTCATTGTCCTGATCGTATGTCATTAATAGGATTACCCAGTCGTATGAATGCACCTAACTTATCGCTCAATCAGACTATGCGCTTGGCTACTCAGCCGGTCACCAGATATTGATACCTAGGTTCAACTATACCTTTTCAGCTACAGGCGTCTTATCAAGGCCATTTTTAGCTTGTCCAAGGATTGTGTTGCGCTTGATAATCACGAAACTACAGTAACACTTAATGGATCTAACGAGGTAAGTCAGGCGACCTCTTACACAAGTTACACGGTAATGTTCCTCTAGTCGTACCTACGATCATGGTTCCAACGATAAACTTGCCCCGTGTCTCGCTCAGCGGCTATCGTATCGGTTCCTTCCGACTTGATCATCACCCCTATGCAGAGATATGTTATGAGTTGTATCGAAAAGGATTTATATCAACATAGAAGCATGGGACTAGGTCATCATGAAACTACATATATGAACCAGCCCCTTCAGTATGGCATAAACTTCCTTTCACAGCATTCATGAAAACTCATGCACACTCAATCCAATGTCTTCATTGCAAGCGCGGTCCCGCGATCGCACTTCTCCAGTTAACTATGCTCATGGCACAGATCAGTCTAGCAACATGACTCGCTTAGCCGATCTCACGCCGGATTCACACGTGGAGTGCGGGGACACCCCATTTCCTAGAACCGCTGCGTCGGTAAACCCAGCTCCAGGAACGGCGGACCCGATCTTTAGCGGCCTATACGCATCGCCAGCCTCCATGGCGTCATCCGCGACTGCGATATCCTCATCGGGACCAGAACACATAATCTCTGAAGACATCTCACCTACGCCCAGCCAAGGAGACACACCGCTGCTAGGCTCGCCGAATCTAGGAGAGCAGCCAGAGATTTCTAGCTCGGGCCGATTGCCATTGAAGGAATCACTTGGCCGCACCGGGTCCGTGACTATCTTCGGCGGATCGGCTCTCATCCTAATCAGCATTGGCTTTCTCTCGCTCCTGTGGTTTGGCTATGGCGATGAGCCCGAAGGCGCTAAAGCCCCTTGGCTCTGGAGACGAATTGCCGTCAACGATTGGATGACGAGAGCAAGTAGGTGACGCTCTTCTATACTCCAAGGATAGCTTACTACCAATATGTTGGGAGCTGACACGGGGATATTACAGTCACTATCTCGGCGCTAGTTCTGCGATCCGTCGTCTCCATCCAGGTGGCACTATGCACATCCATGACCGCCGCGCTGGTGCTCGAGAAGCGGTCCGCCCGCAAATCAGACGTCGCCTACCTCTCAATCGCGCGTAGCACCAGCGATGGACCGCGAAAAGTAGCTCAGCTACTAGTTACGTCGAGGTCCTGGTCCGTCCTAGCATACGTCGAGCTATGGCTGATCTGTCTCCTGGCGTTAGTATCGCTCGCCTTGCAGTTTTCCTCGACATTGCTCCTCTCAGATATCCACGATTTTGTCATCGTTAGCAACGCGGAGGCCAGACCGGTCGCCAATTTCGGCACATTTGACGTCCTCCAAAGCGACGGCGTCCAAGCCCCCTTGCTGCAGAATGACCCTATATATGCCATTTTCGGAGAAGAGCGGTCGAGCGCCGATATAACCCCGTCTGAATCTGGCTTCAGCGATACTGGCGTTATACGGAGAGGCTTCTTGCCTTTCCAAGGGAGTAAGAACCGGACTTCGGTCCGCAAGTATCAAGGGTCGACGTTAGTTACCAACTCCCACATCGTTTGCGTTCCTCCTCTGATCAAAGGTCGTTTTGTTCCCCGTGGAGAGGGCATAGAGTGGCTTGGCGTTGGCCACATGGTTGGAGCCCTTAACTATAGCGGCAGCATTCGGCAGGCTCGTGAAGGACTAGGGCCGCTGTGCGCCGGCCATAAGTGTGAGTCTGTAGTTTTCGAGTGCAGGTGAGTTTTCTAATAAGTCATCGCCTGCTCTTCCTTCTATCTAGTCATAGGTTGGCTCACTCGGTTCCCGAATCCAGGCTAACTAGTAATGCTCAAGTATTCCAGGCAGCCCTGATGCCTCTTCCCCACAATCAAACTTTTGCTTTGTCGAAACCGTAGGGAACACTACGCGGGCCATCGCGAATCACTGGACCTATGGACCGCTTTCGTATTTGAACATGGAGGCTGAGCCCTGGTCACCCAATTCTACCATGTATCTTGTGTCCAAATCAAATGTGGCACCCGCCGGATGGGATCATATAGTCAACGCGCAACCTATCCCAGCGCCAAGTAGGAATGGAGAATGGAGCACGTATGAAATCTCGAGCGGCCAGACCGTGGATATCTCATTGTGCTTTACCCGGTTCTATACCCAGGCGCGGTATGTCGACATGATTGCCGAAGAGCCTACGCATGAGCCGGTCGTGACGTGGAATGGAGGGGGTGTCGAACACGACACTAGGATGGCCTCTGCTTTTGTTGGCCTCGAGACTCCTATCAAACCGCCTCGGGAAAGGGGACTGATGGATAGTAGGTTGTTTCCAACTTAGGCCTCTTCTAATATTGATCGAGGTAGGAGTCAGAGTCCTACTTTGGGTGGTGACATTGATAAAAAAAAAGATCCAGATCCATCGAAGATAAGATGAACACTGACTCTGGTATTCTAGTGAATATCTTATCTTTGCCAGATCCAGCCATACCAGATGGTATAGGAACGTACGGACTGGCCTTTCCTGAATTAAGCGCGAATGTGATACAAACAATTCTTCTGGCAGTAGTAACGAACAGCTTCATCCCTGGATCGATATCAGGGTGTTTTTTCTGCCAGGACTACTCGTTTTCCAACTCCCAAGCGTTCAACTTATTATTCACCGATACCATCGAGTCTTCCGGGAGAGCCGCTGCCGCTCTCCATACCTACTTTGCCATTTGTGCAATGACGATATACGATACATACCTGAGCGGGTTCAATGTCACCGAGACCGTGCAACTAGCTACCACAATTTCTATCCGTACACCTGGGCCGTGTTCGAAATATCAATGCACAGGTTTCATCTCAGTCACGACACTGCTTGGCGTCCACCTAGTCATCGTGATGATCATTACCACAGTCTTCGTAGCCCAGGCGAGGTACTCGCGCTGTTCGAATACATGGCATGCTGTGGCTCAACTTATGGCAAGTGAAGAGCTAGCGGGTGTCCTCGATCGGAGTAACAACGCTAAGGACGATGTGATTACTGAGAATCTCCGGGCGGACAATAAGGACGACTTCGTGAAACTTGGACGAACAAACGGAAGTAACCGAGTCCAAGTGCTCGGAGTGGCCGACAAGGCGAAGAAGAAGACGAGGAAGACGAATGGTCAATCATGAAATTGCCCTATACAAACAGTGGACAGCAAAGTCAGTAGGATGTTGATTTGGGGAAGTTAGAAGTTGCCATTTAGATTCTAGATCTTGGCTCTTGGCCGTTTTGTTTCGCCTCTAGACATATTTCAAGTTTTCTCGTTCTCATGTTCTTCACTAAGACTATCAAACAGTAGCATTTAATTCTCAGAACCGTCGATATCTTGGCATGCATAGTGCGTTGATAGTGTCCATCATATCATACCCGTCGAAATTGCGTGCTGGAGGCAGTCCGGGGTGTTAGAGACCGAAATAGTCCGATGCGGACCGAACACCACCGTTGTCGCGGATAACGACTTCCTATGATGTAAATACATTATTCACGTGGTTTTCACGACCGATCGCGGCTGTACCATATTCCTAGGTTTTTGATTATTACACTTACCCGCCGATGCAAGGTGGTCCTGGCCGTCGCGCGTGAAGATACGTTGGATCCTAGCAGAAGCCCATTCAACATGACCACTTCATTCGAGAGCATACCCAAGATAGACCTCTCGCTAGCAAACAATCCGGACACACTTCCCCAATTACTCGCGGACCTGCATCACGCTCTCGTCGACGTCGGCTTCCTCTACGTCTCCAACCATGGGGTCCCATCATCCGTCATTTCAGATCTCGTGAGCGCACTACCCAAGCTTTTCAGTCTCAACGAAGCCGCCAAGCGCGCCGTGGCGCTCGAGAACTCGCCGCACTTCCTAGGATACAGCGGGGTGGGCACCGAGAACACGGGCGGTGCCGCCGACTTGCGCGAACAGTTTGAGTTTGCGACGGAGCTGACGGCGACCTGGCGCGAGGGGTTGCCGTTGTACGAGCGTCTGCGGGGTCCCAACCAGGTTCGTTTTTCTTTTTTGAGGAGATGTCACTTGTTAGATAAGTTATAAGGCTACGCGTGACAGCTCTCAATCTACGATATTTCATTGACAGATATCATAGTGGCCAAACAGCGATGCCAAGTTGCGCAATGTCATAGAGAGTTACATATCCGAGCTCTCGCAGCTAGGTGAGCGATTCCTCGACCTCGTGGCCCGAGCCCTCTCGTTGCCGAGCGGGACATTCAAGCCGTTCCTCTCAGACCAGCACCGCCTGAAGCTCGTGCATTACCCGGAAAGCTCCTCGAGCCCCCCCGGTCAAGGCGTCGGACCGCACAAGGACTCATCCGGCTGGTGGACATTCCTCCTCCAGGCCTCGCCGCCAGAGGTGAAAGGCCTCCAAGTGCTCAACAAATCCGGGTCATGGATCGACGTGCCCGTCGAGCCAGGGACATTCGTAGTGAACATCGGGCAGGCCTTCGAGGTCGTCACAGGCGGTGTATGCAAAGCTACAACGCACCGGGTCCTCTCCGGACAGCGCGAGAGGTTCAGCGTGCCCTTCTTCCAGGGCGTCAGGCGAGATTTAACAAAGGCCGAGGCCGTCGGCGCCTTACAGTCGCACTTCGCAGGCATGATAGGCGACGAGTCCAGCGAAGGCAGCCAGATCGATTCTGCCTTTCTGCGAGGCAAATATGATACCTGGGGTGAGTCGCAGTTGCGCACAAAGGTCCGCAGTCATCGGGAGAACGGCAAGAAATACTACAGCGAAGTATATGAGAAGTATATAAATGATGATCTTGCTTGAGACTTTGGAGATTGGGTTGCATCGGAGCCTACCTATTACACCAAAGCTTGCGCTGGCAGCAGCAGCCACCATACTCAAAATTAGAGCGCTAAGTCCTCACATCAAAGGGAAGGAAATGGGGTTTCCAGCCAAGGAGCACAGAAAGACGTTCAATATCTCATCAGATGAATATGCTGTTATACAGCAACAATCACAAAACTGAGATTAAGAGGTAACGAGAAGAGGGTATCAGTATGTTCTGGTCGCCCATTTCGCGTGGGTGTCATATTACTCCAGCCAGTATTATACAGACGAATGTACAATGCGTTGTGCTGCATTCCCACTGCAGCTACATGACGCTGGGTATAGTACCTAAAACACATTTCATTTCCCTCTATACAACAGCGGTACGAGCTTGCTAAAAAGATCCGGCTTTCTGCGAAATTGAAACTCAAGTTTCAAAAGATCATTGCCTTGCTGGGCCAACAGCCTAGCTTGAGAAAATAATGCCTAGTAGGGGTCGCTCCCTTTTCAATACCACTGCTCTCGCAGTTTCGTGTCTATATACTTGGTGTGGATAGAAGATCGCTCTGAGCATCGCCCAGTGATATAGTACCCAATATGATTTTGTATGCTTAAGGTGAATACACTGGACGCCGCAAACGTCGTGAATGCAAAGTTGGATTGAAACAGCCTGAAACCTCGGGAAGCCCGAATCTAGGTAGATGCGTGATCGGTAGACCTAGACGGTTACGCATGACAGAGATGTGAGGCATACCGAGACAACCAGCTCTCTGGGATTTTGCCTTTAGAGACCGTCATTACAGCCGTTGTTTCGACCTCGCCGTGGGCCGTGGGTGTTTGTTGGATGCGATACCAAGGATGAATGGTGCGCGACATAGTCAATTCATCCACTTATCTTTCGAAAACCCTCTACACTAAGCGCTGGTACTTCGACGTCTTGGAGACCTAGGACGCCCTCCTCCCGTCTTCGCTCAACGAAGCTATTGCACTCAGCAACAACTAGACTCCATTCGGCCAAGGCCCGTCCAGCATATTTGACGCTTCTGGCAAATGTACCGGTTGGCTTCACGGGGTTGACCAGATTCTCTTTACTAAGCCCAGCTGCAGCACGCAATGGCATATCATCCTCGTGGAGGTCAGTAAAACTGAACTGCCCAATGCTATCCCGCCCGTCCAATGGTGTAGGGGAAGAACTTGGTGAGGCATGGACTTCCGAAATATCGGCATTCTTAGCCGAGTCGACGAGTCCTGGAAGGGCACTCCCAGAAACTGCGCGAGTTGGTGCTGGTCGCCCTGCAATTGGCGGTGGGCTGCTCCCTTGTCCCTTCATGATCACCCAAGACTGTGCCGGATTTGGGAGTCGCGGTCGAGTTAGTATGCGGTTGGGAGGAGGCATTGTACCAGCGTTATTCCATGACAATATAAACTTGAAGAGATACTGGGTTGCTTCAAAAGTAGGCGAAGATCCAATGCTGTCAGCATCCGAGTTAGTTGGACTGGCAACACGGGTTGATATCCGAGGTGGATGCGCGACGCTTGTTCTTGCTGCTGCTGTCTCCCGCCGTAGAGTCTCTAGATCGTCATTGTCACCTACATTGGTGGAGGGTGAGAATATTTTGCCGAAGATAGACCATGTCTTCTTTGTATTTGCAGTGCCAGTATGCTCTGGGTTGAGATTCGATGTGTTCATAGAGTCAAAGTCTGTTGGAGGAGCACCCGACGTGTCTTGTCTCGGTGAGGTGGGCAACGAGTCAAATCCTGCGATAAACCCGGACTGTATGGTAGGAATTTCCGTCCTTATAATCATAAATCGTTTGCCTGGTGTAGGAAATGAAGGCGCCGTTGATGGCGGAAGCTTGGCTTTTTGTTCGCTATCTTGCTTAAGCCAGAGATAATGGCTCCAAACTGTCTTTAATCGAGTAAATACGAGTAGGAATATTCGCCTGCATACTGTTAGCATCCATATACAGCCTCCCTGCAAAATGGCTTACGCGTCAGAGTCGTTGGCATTCCCAGCATCTCTGCAGATTCTCCAACATAATAGTCTCATATAATAAGCGCGAACCATAGGGCACCAGTTATTGAATAGCTTATCGAAGGTTTCCTCAGCAAGGAGCCAGTCTAGACAGACGCGCTCTTTGCGACTCTGGTCACTCGCAATAGTTTCCCATATTGAGAAAATAAACGAAAGAACCCGGATTTCAGACATAGAGTTATTGGACTCAAGAATCTTCTTGCAGACTTCAACCCAGAACGGCCAATCAACGTCAACATTATGGGGACAAGACCCGACCACAAAATCGTTGTAAATAACTAAAGACTCCTCAAGAAAATCGCAGATCGTGAAACATGCTGCGTGATTAAACTGGGAAGTTTGCTTGACAGCTGCTTTCATCACACCCAAAAACGACGCAGCAAAGGTACAACGGACATTGTCAGATGATACGGAGGCATCTGACAACAGATTTTTCAATAGAACAACAAGCCTATTCTCACTCATTCCCTTTAGAATGTTGCTGTTACTTGGTGCCACCTGCAGCGGCATGAGAGACGCATCGGCTCCATTGAAGGCATCCGGCAGTGGAGTTTCTATAGCCGCTTGGCGATGTATAGTTGAGTCAAGAACTGAAAGTAGTTGAGCGTTAACAAGAACAAATCCTGGAGCACGAGCTTTCTCGATAAGGGGCAAACCCGGGGGTGTGAAGTCATCTGCGAGGATGAAATAGTATTTGCAGAAAATGAAGAACAGATCGCTATCGCGGCCATTCCACCGCCCTATCCAGGGTCCAGTCCATGGAATCTTGGTTGATGCTAAAGGTGGCTGCGCAGGCTTCCGAAGAGCTTCGGAGAGCGAGACAACGGAAGTCCAGCCTAGCTTCTCCATGCAGTGAGGGAATAAGGCCACAATATCATCGCTTTCACCCCTGCTTCTTCGAGGAAGCTTCAGTTCGTCTGTAATGCGGCGTAATAGTTTCGGTGTTAAACACCACAATCGAACAAGAACATCCGCCACTCCAGGTGCGAAGAAGAAGGCATAAGCACAAGCTTTGCCAGCGAAGTTGATTAGACTGATAGGGGCGTGCCTAAGAGACATCTTCTCCACGACAAGAGCTATCTGCGACACCAGATTGGCGGTAAACATGTTCCTAACATTGTGTCCAGTCGATTCAGCGAGATATGCAGAGTCCGCGGAATGAAGTGAGCCTGTGGAATCATTAGGTTGTTTAAAGCCTAGTTGAGATTTCCCCCGCGTACGCTCTTGAGGATTTCTCTCAGCTAGTGGACGAAACGTAGGAGTGCTCTGTCGCCACTCTGGGCGCATCATGATGTGGCTCACCGCATCGAGCAAGATCGGTCGGTCAACTCCAGGAACGGGTGGATGAAACCTTACGTGGAGCATCTCAAGCAGACCCGTCCACCAACTATTGAGTATGATAGCTCTACGTTCTAGATCCTCATGGTGCAAGTTCAAATGGGACGGATCTGTGGCATATTTTTGAAGAAACGGCACCAGAGAGGCTCGTATCAAACTCATCTTCAATGCTGTAGGCTTAGATTGAAATCGCTGAAAATCAACTTCAAGATGCTTGAAAGCGGTCCATAATGGATCTCGGGCAGTTGATGGATTTGCAGCAGTGGTTGCGTCGTCAGGGTATGTACTATTGCTCGTTTCGGAAGCATGCGACTTACGCGTCTCAGTTGATGGTGGCGCTAGACTTGTCGTCGACGATGCTGAGCTGCCGAGCTCATTTGGCAGCCTAGTCTTTGTGCGAATTGTGTGAGGCCGAGGCTTTATCTTGTTCAAGTAATTGCCAATCTTGCTCATGGATTCGTTCGACCGGGCACTGGTACTTTCACTTGAAGAAGAATCTGAACGGTTGCGCGAGCCTTTTCGGAGCTTCATAACGGAGCTGTTACTCGGGGCGCGTTCACGGCCAAACCGCTCCTCAGGGGGCCCGGTAGCCTCTTGTCGCTTATTCGGTGAGGGTGATCGTGAAGCCGAGATCCAAGAACGCTTGGCAAATGAGGCGAAAGAGTCAGAGACGGTTCTCGATCCATCCTGTGTAGGTGGGATTGAAACGGTTGGTTTATCCTTTGCTCGGTCGACAACCATCCCTTCGACGGCTGGCTGAGGCAGGCAACCCAGGTCGGGAGTAGATCTGGAAGAGGGAATCCAGGACTGCGGGCGACTCAACACCATGGATTTCCTCCTGCCCATAATTTCAGTCCGGGGCCTCGAGCCGCCAGATGAATATCGAATGGAACTGCCTGCAGGATTCTCATTGGTAGGGCTGGGCGTAGGGTCGGGGGCAGAGATTACAGCGGTGTCGAAAGATAAATCGAGATCGAGATTGCCGTCGACATCGAAATTAATGGATGGCACGGCGTAGACAGGGAGATCAGGCAAGCTCTTGTTCTTTTTGCCACGTGAGAGAGCAGAGGTCAACGACAGTCCTGTTCGTGCCGTAGAGGACTCGCCTGGGGACGAGGGTGGCAGAGATGACGAGGGGAGCGACTGTGTCGACTCGACGGTGGATGAAACCGTCGAAGCCAGGCTCGGGCCCATCATCATCTCATAGCCAGCCAGGGGTGAGCTTAATACAGACAGGGAGTACAGGGCGGCGGGGGGGGGGGGCGGTAGGTGTGGTAGGCGGTAGGCGATTAGGCGTGCGAGTGCCTTGGACTAGTGCACTGTAGCGGGTGGGATACAGGGGTCGGACAGGGGACACGGTGCCTACAGGATGCGCACACCTACCTGTGTCGGGCACCCAGCTTTACCTAGTAGCCAGTCATTGGGCACAGCCGATTCAGGGACGCCGCTAGCGGTCGAACACGGGGCGCTAGGCGGTAGGGAGGGACCTATTGTCGTGTTCGTAGCCTACCTACACATGTATATTTGAAGGTCTGTAGGTCTACTATGTAGCTACCTGCCGACCTGTTACTCGGTACAGAAAGGCACCCAACCGGTAGGCAAGGGCCTTTATTGAGTTTGTATCGCAGTAAGCAATCCAGGTAACGTTCGTGGTTGGAAGTGGTTGGCAGTGTTTCAAGGTGGAACCCAGCAAATGGCCGGATGCCAGTACAGGCCGAGACTGAGAACTATACGAATAGCGGAAAGAATGCCACGGCAAGATACAATATAGTTCAATCAGCTGCTTGGGCAAAGTTAGATGCTGCAGTAGTCTTCCTCTCGAGGGATTGAGTTGGTCCCGCGAGTGTATAGTAGGTATGTATGGTCGTGGATCCTGCGTTATGTCGTTCGTTGGGTTGTGCTGTTTGCTGATAGTTATCCTTTTTTTTTTTTTTTTTGAACTGCCTCCCTTCTTCTTATTCTTCTTCGTCCCCGGGAATTTCGAAAACCAACACTCGAGGAGGATTGGGAGGAGGCGAGCGACAAGAGGGGAGCCAGAAGGTCTGTGGACCGGAGAAAAAGGAGCAACGGATCTTTTTTACCTTTTCTTCGCACGTCTGGGCTCCTGGATTTCTGGTCTTCAGGTCTGGGTATTGTTTTACTTGTATGGGTAGGAGGGGCACGATAAATTTGTTAATAAATTTGTTAATAAATTATTGCAGCATTTGTCTTCTGCCTGGACCCTGCCCACCGCTCCAACTTTGCGTGAGGCTAGACTGCTCTGGGTAGGCGCCGATGGTGCCGGTATATTACAGTTACATTGTAGGTACCAGTGTCTAGGCACCACGCATTGTTGGATTTCATAACCTGCCGGTACAGAGATTCTTATACTATAAGAACAGAGATAGATATGTTTCAGTTCGGTTCTTGTTCTCTCTCTGTTGATTTGGTGCCAATCAGTGTTTCTGTCGTGACGCGTTGGCACTGAATACTTCCTCGCATGCTTGGTACATAGTTTGATAATATCACACGATACCCCACCAAGTTAGAGTAACACATCTGAGTCGAAAAGATATTGCACGTCTGTACTGAGTATGTATGTATGTATGTGCGTGTGTGGTGTGTAAACAAAAAGGCAGGCTGTCCTGCACAAGACAGATGTAGACATGGTATGTCATTAGAAATTTGTTTAATGAACTCACATCTGGCTCGTGATGGCAGCACCCAACCTGGTTTGACTTCCGTATCCCACGAGAGTAGCCCAACCCGCAAGTTTTTTATTGTTATTTGATGCCGACAAATTCGGTATTCTTCTCTGTTCTCGTACAACATGATAACAGAATTTGATCAGCCAGCACAGAGTTGTGGAAAATACAAGATGTAAGGAAGCCCCGGACAACCAAACAATGCATTCCCATGGTGCCCAGAAAAGTAAGTCGACAGCGAGCGACGACGATCGGCGTTAGACCAGTAACCTTGACTAGATCGAAAGGTGAAATCTCAGTCAAGCACGTCCAGAGCATGCCGTAGTACAATAGCTGCCTAGGGAACTAACCTGGTATCAGAGAAAAGCAGTGTAGCCATGCACGGCGTGGATTATTGATTATTGAGTCTGGGGACAGCAAACCTGGCTTGCGGCATCAGAACGCCAGGATCCATCACGTTGGTTATCGATCCTGAAATGTAGCATCTCTTGAATTGTACTACAAATAGTAAATAGTACAATACGCGTGTGAAGGCATTGGTCGGCATCTCCAAGGTTCAATAGCGGCCAATAGTACGTTGGCTTCCTTAATCAACACTTGACAGCCAAGGCGCCATTTGTGCTGTAACCACATAGCGCTCGCCTAGTTAAAGATATTAATTAGAAGACCAAGCGTTCTCCCGGGCCGTGCATCAATTCCAAACAGAAGAGGCGCTTATTAATATCGAATGAAGAAGTAGTTGAGAATCTCACAGCTCTCCCCTCCTTCTTTCTCACAAAGCTACGCTCAGTACCTATGTCTCCCAAACTAATACCTACGCGTTGCTGTATGCATCCCCAGATCGAAAACCAGGGTCTGCGGGATCGCACAGCTTGCGCGGCTAACGCCGTAGCTGAACGCCCAAACGTGCCAAGTCCACTGGACATTGGACCTTACTGGACGCAGAAGAACGGCCGTCCGAGTTGGCGATCTCTTCTCGTTACGACAGCACATCAGTGACACCGCCTCTGCACCTTTCCCAGACGATGGCGGAATCGATGCAAGAGTGACGAGTCAGAGGCCGGACATGCACGGCCCAGGTTGACGTGCCAGAGTTGTTACCGCCTTGGCTGCTACTAATAGTAAACAGGCGATGGATTTAATTTACATGCTGGTTTCGACTCTGTACACCAGCTGTACGAAGTACGCACAACTCGACACAACAGCGCGAGGCGTCGTCACAGACTAAAGTAGGTACTTCGTTGACCGATGAAACACCAGATGCGGCGATAGCCCAATGCGGACAAACGTCATCCGTCATCCATCACGAACTACTACTCGCTACTTACTTACATAATGCTCCACACCGACACATCAGGAAACGCCATGGGAATCTAATGAAGAAACAACATTTGCATTGCCTAGAAAGGGAAAGGGTGCAATTCCTGAACGCCTGGGCGTGACCCGTTCTACGTACTTACATAGGTAAGTAGGAGAGCTGGCCGCAGGGACTTGTCATCTGTCGTCCAAGGAAATGTAGCTAGCTGTACAGCCAGATGCAGCACTCCTTTCTCAACATCAATCAGACGAAAATCAATATCAAACCCGGATTATCCAAGCCGATCCTCAGTCGTAGACGTCTTCTATCGGGTCCCCCGAGGCGGCCGTTTTCAGCAATTCCTACAGCTGGCCGGAGCGTACTTACATGGTGGGTGGTGGTGGGTGGAGTACGTAGTGCGGCGGCACTGCAGCCAACAGAGAGACGGGGCCATGATGGGAGCTGAAAAAGTGGTGTAACGAAATGAACTTGCGGGATATCGGATGGCTGCACCACTCAGGAGAGCCCGTCGACATGCAGCCCGACATTGGAATCTGCCGCATTGCATGGGCAGTACCTCCGCATGCAGATATAAGATCGGGCATGGTCGAAACACCCGGCCTTCGAAGCAAAGTAGTAACACTGCGACGATTGTGCCAAATTTTTGTGCAGGAATATGGTGCGATATCGTCGGCGAATTCGCCACGGTATTCTAGGCCTACATCTTCACTTACAAAGGTCCAAAGTAGACTTACGTGGCCAAGGACATGGCAACAAGATCCTATCAGAGACGCCCCGCTCTCTCGCTTGGATACTGCAGCATATGCATAATTTTAACATTTTGATGCTTCAACGTTATTGTGACAGAGGTGGCGGACATCTGGGTACCCCGAATTCCATCCAAGCTCCGACTCCGAACCGGCCGAAACCAACCACTCATTCGCTATCTTGTTATACAGGTATGTAGTTGCCCCGGTCGAGACATGTTACACGACAAGGGCAAAGGAAGCGCTCTATATAAAGTAGATCCTTACTTCGTAGTTAATCAGATAATGAGGGCTTTTTGCGGAACAACTAGAGTGCTTTACCCGCTGTTAACCCCCTTCCCAAGGATGTAACTAGACAAGAGCCGAAACAGCCGTCATTTAAGATACGGTAAGAGTATCGACATGCTCACACGGGACATCGTAGACCATGAGGCTGGCTGTTCTAAGGCTCAGTCATGATTGACTCAATTAAGATCTTTGAGCATTGAGTCTTAAAATGTCAAGTATACGTAATCAGTGTGAGTGAGATTAACAAGAAATCATCACAACGGTAAGATCTGTCACCTCTTCTGGGTCAGTCCACTCTCGCTACTGTCGACAACCACAGCGAAGAGTCATAAGGCAAGCAGAGCCCGAAGAACACCGACGATAGAATATAAGAAATGACTTAGAGCATATAACACACATGCACTTCTAAATCTAAGTATATTTCACATAAACATTGACCGAGATACAGAGCTACCAATTCCATAAGCAATGACCTATGCTTGATTTCGCAAACCTGTTAGTGTTTATCCGCCTCGCCCAAACCTAGGGACTCTCTTACTTAGAACCTAGGTCTCCAACATGGCATATGCAGCTGGCGGTGACTGCTCGGAATAGAGCACCAGAGGCTTATTTCGAGGCTACTATAATTATAAATTCCGCCAGCTTAGAGGATGCAAGCGCCCACAACGTAGTTGGCTAGCTCTATCGAAGCAAGTGATGGTTTCCGTGAGACAGCAACCCGAAGACGGCCGAACGAATAGAAGCTTTATAAATAATATCATAGCTTGGCGTTATATTCTGGTATGCTGGGAAGATAAGCACCTTCATAAGATAAAGCGCTAGTGTACACGATAGTCCCAGCTGAGGATACAAATTAAGTGTCCTTGATATCATATAGCCTGATCGCGCCTGTAATATAGCTATTTGCTATAATCAATTTATTTCTTTCGTCTCTTCTGAGCGTCGTCGTCAACGTCCACGGCGGTATCACCCTCAGCATTACGGTCGCGTTTCAGACCCTTCATCTTTCTTGTCTGCAGGTCGCCCAAGTCCTGTTTACCGAGATGGATTCTACCAAGCTTATCACCCATTATATCTGTCGAGATATTCTTTTTGGTTTTCTCCTCACCGGCTCTTGGCTTCTTCATGGCCTCCTTCAGGACCGCCTCGTCTGGCTGCTGGCTGCGACCTATTCGGAAATCCATCCTCTGGGATCCCAACGTTAGCAAACGTTTTGAATAAGAGATGTAAGCGGTGCACTACGAAAACAAGTGACTTACCGGGCCCATCTCCTCTAACTCGATACGTGGTAGTCTCTGACCGCTTCGTTTCGTGTCGAGAAGGTACAGTCGTAGGTGAACAGTTGGTTTGACGTCGTCACCAACCGGCTCATCAGCCGCTACCGATATCATGTATTGCAGGCCCTCAACATCAATCTTATCGCTACTGGCATCGCCCTTGAACATATCTATCAAGATGCTTTTCAAGATTGTATACTCGTTGGCGACGGGGCTATCCCACGCCGTCCCGGAGAACAGCATCATCGGTCTCAGCCCAACGGCAAACTTGCGCGACTTGAATTGCGATAGTGTTCTGAAGGTCTCGGGTATTATGTGAAGCTCGATCATGTCGAGGATCTGGTTTGTTGCGAATGTTCGAGCGAAAGTGAGGGTGTTTGGGCGCTTCTTGGAACTGGAACCAAATACCAGCAAACTCGTGTCATTCTTTTCGGAGAAGAAGATTAGAGATGACGGGTCCTCGAATGGGTGAATGTCGTTTTTCTTGCTAAACTTCTTTGCCAATCTGAATAAGTCAACGTTAGTCGAGACTGGGTTCGATCATTTCAAGCGATTGACAGATCCCAGGATCACTTACGGCTGTCTCAAGGAATGAAGATCGGCAAGAGCATCCTGAACGATTTGGCTGCATGTTGTACCACGACTAGATAGACCCGATTAGACATGATTATACTTGGTTTTAATGTGAAAACTCGAGATTTCCAGTGTTAATGACATACAGAAAAAGGGTCGACTTCGGGTTCTCAATTATCTTTGGCGCCTTCTTCTCAAGAGCTCTCTTACTCCTGGCGTTCTTAGGTTTTCTGCGAAGCTGGTTAGCAAGGGACAACAAAAGGTAGATAGAAGATATTCATACATTTCTCGAAGCATTGTGGCAGTTAACCTTGACTAGACGTATCGGGCGACTCCGTTTCTTATATCGTGAAGAGCGTCGTGATCGTTCAACAGTCCTGTCGCATCAATTGCGCGCCTGCATGGAGCTGCAGGGTCGAGACTTGCTGAAATATTTAAGGCGGGGAGGATTTCTGCCGGCAGAAGTCTTACAGCGACTCCACACAACAGTGCATGAAGTACTTGGGTATCTGGTCAGGATAGGTAAGCGGTCAAAGCTAGCTATTCTTTTCAGCATCATGATTGGTTGTTTGTTACTGTAGAAGCTTGGCGTGCCTAACTGGCTGCTCTAAGTTACCACCAGTAGGTACCTGTGTACAGTTACTCACCTGTTAGTGCCAGCGTCAGCCATCAAGGTTTTTCTCTACACAAATCTACATCATTGTAATTACATCCAACGTCAGTAAATCTTCCCTTCTGTTTCTATAAGTTCAGTTCATTCACGACGTTTCAACCATATGATGAGACACAACTGGTGAAAATGAAATAACCATGAAATATAGGAATCTACTTGTTATCATACAAGGTTCTGAAAGCAATGGGTACTAAGTACTAAGTTCCAACAACACCGCTCTAGCTCATCAGCAAACAACGGGAACTAGACATTTATTCAAATTTGTAGGTTATTATTATCAATTCTTTCGTCCCATTGCTTTTACTTTTGAATTCCTAACTCTGAACGTAGGTATCAGTACTTCGGCCCCGTAGTAACCATTGGACTGATTGCAGATTTTGCTTCATAGACAAATCGGGTTTTCTAGGTCATGATGCTTAGAACTCTGTCATTATCTAGGATCTATATCAATCAGTTGAGTTGCCAATCCTAAATTCTATTGAGCTCCTCCTCTACATATAGTATTTTCAAAGATAGTGGCCACAGCTATTACAACTTGTTTTGACCAGGCTTCTCGTTCACCAAGACATATCTATACCGCGGCTTGCCTTCTTCCAAGTCAATGACCGTCTGGTTGGCCTCTTTCATGGGCCGTTCCTCGATCCAAGGTTTGATGTTCTTGTCCGCAGCGAGCTGCAACATTTCCTTGATCTCCCACGGAGCACCGGTAGAGCTACCAGATATCTTGATACCATTGCAGAGGAGCGTGAATACGTCGATCTTGGGGAAATCGCCGCCATCGGCCGCACTGACATAACATTAGCCTAGCTCAACACTACATTTCATGAGATCTCATCAGCGCAGGTGGGCGCTCGCACTCACCCTACTTGGACAAAGTCCCCTCCTCTCTTCAGAATGCCCAAGTACTTGTCTAACGGCATGTTCGAACTGCTAGCAGTGCAGATGATCAGGTCCACTATATCTTGAGTTAGTGACTGACAATTTGAAAGATATCCGATCAAGCATGTTCGTGCTTATGCCTATCGGCAAACTGGGGATGGCTTACAGCTTCGTCTGTGTTCTTTGGCCCAATTCTCATCCTCGTCTGTGGCAATGTACAGATCCGCACCAAGCTTCAGAACATCATCTCGCTTTGAGCTCTTCCTAGAGATACCAACGACCTTCTCGGCACCCATAGCCTTGGCAAAGAGAACACCGAAGTGGCCAAGTCCACCAACACCAACGATGCCCACTTTCTTGCCCGGGCCGCATCCAAACCGCCTCAGTGGAGAGTATACTGTAACACCGCCACACAACATTGGTGCCGCATCGGCCGAGCTCAGTCCTTCCGGAATGTGAACCACAAACTGTTTATTTGATCGGTTGTGGGTTGCATAACCGCCATAAGACTTTCCTTCGTTGTTGGGATAGACAGAGCCGTAGGTATTAACGAATACGCGCGTGCAGTAGGTATCATTGCCACTAGAGCATTCGGGGCAGTCTGGCTCCTGACAAGTTCTGCTTTGCGCGCCAACACCGACCCGGTCACCTATTTTGACGTGGTTGACGTTGTTGCCAACACGCACCGCCTTGCCGACAATTTCACTACAAGTTATTAGCGATCATAATCTCATCATACGCATCAAGGTTTGTGTCATCGTCTTGACATTGGGCCGAGAGCACCGAGAGACTCAGGAACACGTACTGTCCGACACAGCAAGCTAATTGCGGTCAGTTTCTCTGTGTAGGGGGCTTAACGGTAGGGGAAGACTTACGGTAGTTCGTGGCAGACCAACCAGACCGCAGGGTATGAGCATCAGAGCCACAGACTCCACAATGTGAAATCTCAATATCGATGTCGTCTTCAGTCCATTTCTTAGGCTCAAAAGAACCCCACTCCATCTTCCCGTTCGCCGCCTCGGGGCTATGGCCCAACCAACCTTCAAACTTGTAATCAGCCATGGTAATAGAGCGTGGTATGTAAAAAAGATGTATTTGAGTAGAGTCAAGAGCGAGAAGATTGGGTTGTGATAGTAAGCGGTCACGACAAAGAGGGGTTGTGCTGCTAGTTTATATACTCTATTCGGACAGCGGAGATAGATTCAAAGACCCCCCTCCTTCCATGTCGTGACGCTATGCAAGTCCTAGTTTGCTGGGGATAATTTGCCTAGGCCCGCTAGCTTGCACTATGAATTCCCGTCTAACTATTCCGCAACACGTTGCATATGAGGCTTTTCAGGCGTTAGGCGGGATTACTATCCTCAAAACTCGAGTCCTCATAGGGCCAATTTTCTTTAAGTCCGATCAATTTGTGCTTACAAAATCCTTGGCTAGGAATCGTAGATCAGTTTAGGTTGCGACCGGTCTTGGGTGATAAGTGGAAACCCTGCCGGGAACTTTTAATCCCTGGTTGATATGACTTCAACTGCCGAATGATAGGCTATCTAGGATCCTGCCAGCCACGAGGTGGTCTCATGTGCCCGTAAGGCAGCTTGACCGTTGAATCGATACTCTCGACTCTATCAGACCTTTTTTAAAATTGATGGGTCAGTATGCACTGTTAACCAATGGCAGTGTATCCTTTAACGCGCCGAGTTTTCGCAGGATACCGCTACCTTGAAAACAAACCTAGCCGACAACGATGCATACCCTTGTTGAAAACGTACAATTTTCACAACTAAAGGTCAACTCTAATCTGCTCTGTAGCGGTGCGCCTCGCTTTGACCTTGAAAAAACATGTAAACTGCGTTCTCATAAATCATACTTTATTCGCCGAAAGCTTTACATAGTACACACGACTACGAAAGCTAGCTAGCCAGTCATTCATGACAGAGGTCTCACTCGACTGACATAGTGATATTGGACAAAAGCGACTGCCAGAACAGGGATAGTCCGATGCCTAATCTTAGTAAGTAGTGTACTTCCAAGTTTGACCGACTGCGCCGAGGTTGAAGACCTTGACGAAACCCCCACTCTCCGAGGCTGACTATCGGTTGATGATGTACCATTCGAATCCCGTGTTTGGTCATCGGCAAGATGGTTAGACGTTGAAAATTTCTTAGGTGATACGAATATCTTCAACAACTGTCGTAATGCAACCCACAACACCAGCAACTGTAGCCAATGAGGTCTTGCGGGGATGCCACGCTAATTCCCTAATTGGCTCTCTAAATCTAATCGCCGCAGGCGTTAATCCATTTACTTAAAATCTCAATTATGTAAGACATTAACGCCGATGGATAAAATTCTCGCCGTTCCCAAGTTAATTAGGATATGTCCGGTATCTCCTTTAACTTCGAGACGTCAGGCAACGCAACTCAATGTGTATCTCGCTCAACGCTGGAATGCCGCCTCCATGAGTCATTTGCCGTTAATCGTATAAGATTTTTGGTAAGATGTTTGGAGCATCGCGAGCTGCAAGAAGGATGGCACCGTCTTCGACGGAAATAACACGACACGATGCTTTCTATCGCATGACAAAAAATCGTCAACAGACCCCGACTATAGACCGTCTTCCCACAGCCATGAAATGAGCGGTCTAGGAGCCAAGATTTTCACAGCACGATGAGCAAGGGGTTAGGAAAGAAAAGGTGATGCCTCTCCGGAACTCCGAGGACCGACAAAACCAGCTATTGTGCAACAGATCGCGAACGCTCCTGCGACGGGCTGAGTCACAATCACCATCTCTCCAGTCATCGTAGATCAAGTCTGTCGAGCCATGCGTTGAGTACATAGCACGCTTGTTGTGCTCCAAATCTCCTACGAGGTGGCACCTTTAGCCTACAGAATTGCCGGGGTGATCATGATCCGGCGAGGCTTTGTCTCTATTACCAAGATAGGGGAAGCCGTACTCGCTTCCCCGACGGAAATATAGAGCACTCCGGACGTTTTGCAAAACTTGCTGGCCTATCATATGAAACCAGGTGGTTGCGTTAAGAATGCATGGCTGTGTAAGCGACACATGACATGTCACGAGAAAGACGAAGTTGTTGATCCCTAAATTTTAATCAGCGTTAATAAGCGAAAGCTCCGCCGCTCTATGATATACCACGTATCCAGTCTATCGTAGCTGATACTATACCATGGCGGCATCATGTCGGCGGTGGGCCGCGCAGTGCTTCTGCATGATTTTGGTGATTAACTCACTGGTTCTCGATGGCGATATTCCGCTTTACGGCTGTCTCGTGATTCATCATCACAGCATTCTGTGGACCTAATATTCATGGGAATGTACGTTATTTTCTTGGAGTTGTAGACTATACCTGTTATCTTAGCCCAGAGGTGTCATTTCTCCATCTGCAAGTCTTGCGTGGCGCCGTGCCAAATTTTGACGATTTGGCTTCTACTGATAAACGTGGCTATTATAATTCAGTACGTTAATGGGCCATATAAAAACAAGCCTGAAATTTCGCTGCGGCGCTCGGTCTACCCCTTGATAATATAAATCAGTGGAAATGCCTTTCTAGCTGATAATCTAGTCACCATCTGGTCAAGGCCACGCCTTTCCATGTGGGAATAACTTGCATCAATCGAACACGATGTTCAGAATCCTACTGGAGGCGATAACATCAGCACCGCAATTTCAAGTCAAGCTCGCACCTAGAGATAGATCAACATCTATACTTCTAGGCTGTCGAGGATGATGCAATTATTTCCATTAAAGGATTAAGAACAGGAGACTTTTTGAAGCTTTTCATCGTTTATGTAGGTAGAATCAAGGTTATATGACGATTGTTGGGACCCTGAAAGTTCAGGACCAATACAGACTAACCTCTTGCTATACCCCTTTATCAGGGGGTATAGTTACAATATACCCTTAGTGTTACACGTGTAACCTCTGTACCGGCTGAAGAATGCAGTTCGCCTTGCACTTCGGCCGTACGAAGGACCATTGCAGGCTGTTCATGACCTTCCAAGACATGCAGGCAATATTGGGCAATATTGGAAAGTGAGGTTATACAGACTTCGCTTCTTGAAACAGACCCTAGAGACCCAGGCGGTCTGGGCTGGCAGATCATTTGTATATAGAGTCTCCTCAAGCCACCAACAGCCGAGAAGGAGTTGGTTGGTCAAGGACTAATGCAGCCCTAGTTGATCATTGTAATCAGAATCCTCAGTTCCAAGCCCAGTTCAACTGCCCTTGTTATACTTAGGGTGGCAATATTAGACTACTCTACATAAACAGGAGTTACCCCTAGGTATTCTGAAAGATTCGGAATGGATTTACTACGATATTGTGCCCTATAATACTACTTGACTGTGACTAGCCTTCTATTGACTCTACCCACTCATGACACTTTTGTTCACATTACCTAATTGCATTGCTCAGCATCAACCATATATCTTGCTGTAATTCTTCTGGTAGCACACTACTATTATGTTACCAAAGCAGAATAAACGCAAGTCGGGAATAAACCTCCAGATACTGGCCTATGCTAATCTGACCGCTGTAATACGGACTTTGACTCGCTGCCATCCACGAGTGCTATTGCATAGCGGTGGCATTGATCCAAACAGTAAGACTGGGCACGGACTCTGCGAAAAGTACTAGATATCATTAACCGAGCGTAGCTTTTACACTGCTAATATAACTCCTTCAAGCAGATATAAGGTGGCAACTTGCTGAATTCGACTGAGGGCATATTCATAGATCAGCTTTCAGTGACGTTGGATAGACCTCTGCTATGTAACACATGTAACACAGCGAATGTGTACTTGTGCGGGTATGTCAGAAATCAGAAAGGCTGGAAATGCACCGGCGAAGTAATATGTGTCGGCGGAAGTGCGACAAGAGAATGTTGAAACAGGCCATAGGCTATCATTTGGGCATGGCAGAAAACAACTAGCGCCCCGGTTGCGCCGTGTCAGAGGGGGTTGTCCCGGAGCGAATAGAAGGCTGGTCACAGTCAGGTAATAAACAGTATAGTATAAGTCTCAACAGAGTAGCCAACTAATCCCTAATCTTCTAGAATATATGGGGGCCAACTTCAGAATACATTCACCAATCCAATATAGCCACTCCTACTGTAGGTTTGTGAATATACCCCCTGACACGCCGCCGTTCTATATCCATGCGGCTTCACCGTGATTATCATTTTCTACGCTCTTTGCCCCATTGTAACAGACTTATTTCTTTCCTCCGATACGTCCATACCCGTGGGTGGTCTCCACGTCCGGTCGTACCCCGCGTGTACCATGCAGTATAAATTTTGATATCCGATCCATTCCTTGTGTACGGCATTCACCTCTCAGCTTCAAATCGCTGGAGTCTCCAGCTCATCCCAAATCTCCGTAGAATGTAGGTTGCAACTGAGCCGACTGCAAACCCAACAATCGAAAGCATAGTGAAGTACCAGCCATTTCCTATGTAGCTCATCAGTGGCTTTAGTCCCGCGATGCCCGCAGCTGCTAACCCGCATCGCACGATGTTCCCTGCTGCCGCCGCCGTGCTCGGAGTCTCGGGGAATATGTCTACCAGGAGGGTGTTGAAAGTCTTTGCAACAGTTCAGCATGCTGTCGATTCAATAGCTAAAAGAGTTCGATTTACCTGAACAATGCATGTTTCAAGGCCACCTAATACAAATTGTAGAATGAGAGGTCCGCTAACATGCTTGAGTACCTAGTAAGCACACGACATTGCAAATAACTGCAAGCACTCACCACTCGTTTCTGAAGAAGCCAGCCATAAGCCGCAAGTGTAGCTAGATGCGCTACATTTAGGAATACCATTGACCTTGTTCTCGCCTTCTCGATCGGAAAGTCTTGCAAGTTGTCGCCTTTCACTTTATCAACTTGATGACCAATACTTCGAGCCTGGCGCTTGTAATTGTAATTCATTACCTTTCCTGTTAAAGGTTAATTAGAGCAACGACTGCCAAGATACCGAAAAACCTACCATTGACGAAGCCACCTATTATCACCCCTACTCCAATCGCCAGATAACAAGCGCCAATAACAGACTCGTCAAAGCCGTAAATCTCCTTCAATTTGTTGGTGATAGACGCTTGAACACAGTAGTATATGAGATAGAAGATACCACTGAGAAGGAGAACTATGAACGAATCTTTATAAAACAAGATACGAAACGAACGTAGCGGGTTAAGCATGCGAGCTGGCCGTTTTTGTGGTGGTTCAGCTGCAAAGGTCTGGCTCGCCTTCGGCATTCTGATACCGAATATGATAGACACGAGAGGCTGTCCCCATTTTGCTGGCAATACCTTCCCATTGCCAACAATGTTTCTCGCTGTCTCGGGCAGAAACATCACAATCATGATCAATACCACGCCTCCAGCGATAAGGAGAAACCAGAACACCCAGTGCCACCCAGCCTGGCTAACCAAAGCCCCGCCTATAACGGGAGCCAGGACAGGGCCAACATTGGCAGCCGTGATTGCAACACCTTGCATAGAGCCTCGCTCTGCTGGAGTAGATACATCTGCTATCACTCCATACGCTATGGCGATCGTGGCAGAGCAACCTAAACTCTGTACCATTCTCAGGACGAGCAACGCCACAAAGCTGTTTTGAAGCGCCAGAGCGATGTTCGCTACTACATACACCGAGAACATAACGATGAACACAGGACGTCGACCAAAGAGATCCGCGGCATCGCCGAACAACACCGGCGAGATTCCCTGGACTATCAAGTACGACGTAATCGTCAGATCGACGAGCTCTGGCGTGATATTGAGATCTTCTTGTATCAAAACCAGACCGGGGAAGTATATGTTGGCAGTCAACGGGGAGAATATCATAGACAAACCGATGATTGCCGTAATGAGCTTCTTTTCTCCCGGGTTGAAAAGAGAGTATCGGTCTTCTTGATCAGCCCCTTCAACTAAGTTGGGGTCGATGGGTGCAGGGTTGTCACGCGAAGAGCGAGCTCTGGGCTTTTCGTCTGGCCCTAAAGTTACCATCATGAAGTTTGAGGGCTGCCTCTAGAGTATTTCAGCAGTTCTGGGGCCTGTGTCTCGACGAATAGTCATACATGCGAGTAATAGGAGCTTCAGACAGCATGGGAGGCTATCAGGGCGATAGATCAGTTTTCTTCTTAGGGAATTCTTAGTGAATTCTTAGTGGAATATAAGTCGATAGCACGGGTATTCCAGCGAGAGACTGGGGTAAATACTGCACAAGTGTATCAAATGCGTACTTAGTATATGTCTGAGTACATCTGCGGATTTCGTATAACATGAAAAACTTCGTGAGTTCAGAATACCGAGCTATATCGTGACGTTTTGCTCGACATGAATAGGAATTTCCTTGTCTGCTCCCTTCAAGTAAGCTTAGTGAGCATGCGATGTGTCAGGGGGTAAAGATGAGTCTGAGGTACTTTAATGATCATATGCAGCTGCAGTTGGTACTAGCATGCAGTATTTATTTAAGTAGAACTGTGATTTGCGAAAACTTAGCCAATAAGGGTAATGGGCATGCATGAGTTGGCTTTCTTCACAGTGACGGATGAGGGGTACCTATATTCGAAAGATCATATCAAAGTCTTGCAACGGCGGCCTTTTTGACTTGCTGATGATATGTGAGACATCTGGGCCGTGAAGCGAAAGAGATAGTGCACCTGACAAATGTATTCTTGGTACAGCGAAATTGAGATATTAACGGGCCAGTAATATCCCCAAGGATCGATTTGACTTCATGTGCTGGGATATGGCCACCGGCCACCCCTTGCAACTACACCAATACGCACATAGCCACCTATTGGAAGCACGCAAAATCCCAAAATTTCGAGTTCTATCTCGCTACACGCTCATCGTCTCGTTATCGCAGTATTTCTCGACCAAACGCTTCATCTCCTCAATTGCCCTTGAATAAGAAGGTCAGCAGCGTCCCACTTTGTTAGGTTTCGAGACATACAACTGTCTTGTCTGTTTATTTTCAACCCATGAAGTCGAGACCATCAGGTCGTTTCGCCTATAATTCTGTGTTATATTTCATTCAATTTCCACAGAGGGAATTGCAACTTACATGGCGTACAAGGCGTTGCGATCATCCTGTTCTTCTGATTCATCTACGTTCAAAATTCTGAGGTATTCCAGTACGTGGTGGTGCGAAGTGTGATACCGAGCAGCCCGCCAAGGGGCGAACTCGTCTGATGCTATCAGATAAAGAATCTCCGGATTCACGGTGTACGGTCTACTCACATTCGTTGTGTCCATAGAGAGCACATGGATCATATAAGACTGGCTTATCGGTTTCGGCGTCGACGGCCACGTTGCCATGCCATAAATCACCGTGTATAAGCACAGGTTTGATCTTATCCCCATTCGACTCCAACGGCCGAAGTAATCTAGGGATGACGCGCTTTAGAATCAAAGGACTGAGCTTGTCCAACTCATTGTTTGGGCCTTGGATAAGTCGTTCTTTCTCCATTGTATCCCTCATTAGCCTAGTGAAAAACTCTTCCCAAGTGTCACACCAGGTTGTGTTAACTGGGAAGTCTCCTCCATACGTGGTGATGTGAAACCCAAACTTTCCGTTGGGTGACTCCGTTGTTTGATGCAACTTGAAAACGACTGATGCGAATTCGGTTGTGCCAGGCATCTCATCCTTCATGTCTCGAAACTCAGCTAGATAGAAGTGTTTCTTAGGGTCTTTCGCTAGGACACCCGCTGCGATTGGTTTAGGGATATTATATGGCAAGGCCTTATAAAGAGCCATACTACCTTCATACTCCCCGACGGCCATCTCTTTGGCTTTCTCAGCAGTGTACACCTATTTAACGTCAGAATACTGTTCTCCACGCGCGAAATTCACTCACTTTGAGGAAATAAGACTTCTCAGTCCCATCGGAGAGTATGGTATCAATTTTACTGCTTACTGCCCAAAAGCTTGCGCTATATGTAGACACCCACTTAATTGCCGTGTCTTTAGATAGAACTTTTCCATTGGTTAGACATGAAATTTATGAAGGAATCATCCCAAGCGTGATATCTTGAAGATAGGGCATAACCAGGAATTTTAACACATTGCCTACCAGCTCTCACCCCATCATCTAGTTCCGTACCCTCGTAAGCCTCACTCTTCGGCACAGTTGCAGGTGTAAACTCCGGCGGAATATACACCATTGTGAGAGTTGGGCCAACAGTGAAATATGTCAATACCAATGATTATCAGCTTGCTACAACTGAACATACCCAGTGTGTAGAAATACAACTATCGCCAGCACCGTATGTGGAGAACACCTCCACGATGCTACCCCTCCTTTTTTTTTTTAAAGAGTGTTGGCAGCAGCACATGTCTTGTGCATATGCAGCCGTAAACAAAGCCTGTTAGCTCGATACATGACCTGGGGGCTAATTCAGTTAGGCCTCTAAGCCAGCTGATGGGGTTTAAGCTTATTTTGGTCAACAATGGGGTAAGTAACGATCTAACATTCTTAATCTGGGGAGGATTGACATCTTGCCCCGTCGGGTAAGAGGTTTTTTATTATTCCTCAGTTAGCTGTACAGCCTCTATAACTTTGCCAGACTTGCCTATCCTATCAAAAAGCTGATATATACATGGCCTACCCTCATATATCACTATAATGCAATCGCAATGGCTCTCTTTGGAAGAACTGGGTACACTAGCCGCATGTGCTAGAGCCTGCCTCAAACCCCCTCCTCACACGGTCGGGCGATACTCATTCTTCATAGGAACGTTTAGTGGTGTAATACTGGTGGTTTGTGTAGTACTGCGTAAAGCACCTTAGAGTCCCCCAAAATTATCTAGCCCGCTAACTCACACTCAAAACTTCCAGCTCTACTATTTCTAGTGTAATTACTGTATGTACAACACCGTCGAAAGTTTGAGATATGACTATGATGGGTTCACAGGTAAGTATGCTCTTAGTCGCGATTATATTTAGCACTTTTTCTAAGCTTTGCGTATTCGGCAGCCAAGACAACCCAGTGAACTCAACTCGATCTCACTGCCCAGCCAGCTCAATAGCAGATCATCAGAGCTCGAAGCGACATCATCACAGTCCAGCATTAGCAGAATTCAGAATGGATTCAAGAAATTCTCTCTGGCAAGGCGAAAACACGCCAGCAGCGACGAGGACTTATGGGGGGCGTACGGACTAAATCTGCTTTATGACCCCCCGGACCCTCTCATTGATTTGATATTCGTCCATGGTTTGCGAGGTGGCTCTACCAAGACGTGGTGCAAGGGTGATGATATGAGGCTTTTCTGGCCCCAGGCTTGGCTGCCTCGTGAACAGGACTTGCAAAACGCTCGCGTTCACTCTTTTGGCTACAACGCCGACTGGGCGGATACCAAGGAGACAAAGCTTGATCTCCATGATTTCGGTCGGGCTCTACTTACAGAGATGAATACATCCCCTTTTCTGAGGAGATCAAGAGAGGTTATTAACGTCTTTCACTGTGAATCAAACAAACAATTCTGACTGGAGATAAGACACCTATCCTCCTCATTGGTCATTCAATGGGTGGCATCGTTATTAAGAAGGTAGGAAAATGAGTGTTAAATGAATGAATTTTCCCTGGATAACCATAGAGTATCCTGAAGCATCAATGCTATGGATTCTTCTTCGTAACACCGCCCACTAATCCGACCTTAGGCCTACATATTAGCGCAGCAAGATCCAACAGCTCACTTCCTTGCTAATAGGATCCAAGGCATGTTTTTTCTAGCCACGCCGCATAAGGGCTCAGATTCTGCGAAACTCCTCAACAATATTCTACGAGCTAGCACAGTTCTTAGTTCAAGGCAGTACATCTCGGAGATATTCAAAGGATCACCTTCTCTGCAAACTATCAACGACGAATTCAGAATGTTCACGGACAACGTTCAAATTTGGTCGTTCTATGAGACCTTGAAGACTAGAACGAGCCCTGCAACCTCTGTACTGATCGTCGACCGAGATTCTGCGGTTTTGGGTAAGTTGTCCTCACACTCGCCTTGTTTGGTAATCTGATGAAGATTATAGGATACAAAGGAGAAAAGGCGCAGCCGCTCAACGCCGACCACCGGAATATTTGCAAATTCGATAGCCCGAAGGATCCCAACTACGTCACTATTCGAAATTCTTTATCCAAAGCAGTCGAGGACCTATTAGGCGATGGTGCGTAGATACTACATTTGTTAAGCCGTCAGCAACTAACACTCCTCTTAGTCTTCCTGAACAGAACCGAAGAGTCAAAGACCCAAATGAGAGACATTGAAACGTTTTTGATGATCTCCTATAATTCTGAGGATGACCTTATTACAGCTGAGGCAAGCAAGACAGAAGGAACTTGTGAATGGATCACAAGTGTTGATTCATTCGAAGGTTGGAGGGACTCGCTTGCCGAGGAGCCAATGCTCTATTGGCTCACAGGTGAACCAGGGTCGGGGAAGACAGTGCTTGCAACACATATAATCCGGCACCTGCAAAATATGGGAGCCGATGTTTCTTACCACTTCTTCCAATATGGGCGAAGATCACACCAAACTATTAGCGGTTTCTTACGGCAAATAGCCTATCAAATGGCCCTTCGTCATCCCTCAGTACGCCAAAGTCTCCACAAGATACAGGAGATTGGTATGGTATTTGATAAAGAGGATGAACGAACCATATGGCGAAAAGTATTCGTGAACGAAATATTCAATTCACCCTTACATAGTACACAGTACTGGGTTGTGGACGGACTTGACGAATGCATAGATGGGCCGAAGCTCTTCGGCTTGATAACAAAGTTTGAACTATCGTTTCCCATCAGGTTATGCTTTGTTACGAGGAGGCGTCCAGATCTCGATCGACACTTTAGCCGTTTCGATAGAACTCTCTTCGCCCATCATATCGATACTGATCGAACACTCAAGGACATTGGTGCATATATCCGAGACAACGCCACAATGCTCCCTGTTAACGAAGACGAATATGACTCCTTAATTGAAAGAATAGTCAGAAAGTCGAGGGGTATCTTTCTTTGGGCAAAATTCGCTCTAGAGGAATTGGCAAAGGTGTATAGCGATGAAAGCGTCGACGAGGTGTTAGACGAAATGCCTGAGGGCATGGCTTCCATATATTTTACAATCTTACAGATGATGGCCACTAATACTCGCGAAATCAAGCTCACAAAGGCTATTCTCACCTGGGCTGTCTGTGGAGTTCGGAACTTGAACGTTCTCGAATTGCGCGCTGCGTTAAAGTTGGATTTGGCTACGAATATCAGAAGCGTGGAACGAAGTGTAGAAGGGCTTTGTGGCCAGCTGTTACGCATAGACAGCAAAACCGGCACTATACATGTTATCCACGCTACAGTCCGTGACTTTCTTCTTGATCACGAATTGCAATCACCTTTGGCGATACACAAGGACAAAGGCCACCATCGCTTGGCCGTGGTCTGTCTGCAATATCTGGTGTCCGAGGAGATGAGGCCACCAAGGCACCGCTCACTTGTACAAGTACAGTCAAGAACGACCTCTGCGTTTGCAGACTATGCGTGTACCCTGTTCTCAGACCATATAATCAAAGTTTCGGCTCAATCGGACGAGGTCCTAACCCTACTGGATCGTTTTTTCCGAACTAATGTACTGTCTTGGATTGAATTTGTCGCGCGCAAGAAACGAGATCTGTTCTATGTAATCCGTGCTGCACGAAACCTCAAACAGTACCTGGAAAGGCGCGTCAAGTGTATTACCTCGCCCCTTGACGAACAGTACAAGTTCATTGAACACTGGACATCGGACTTAATACGAATTATGTCCAAGTTTTCTCGAAATTTAGTCAACTTTCCGTCCACAATTTTCTATCATGTTGCACCGTTGTGTCCTGTAGATTCTGCTATGTTTCTCCAATTCAATAGTCCACAAGGTGGCTTTAAGCTCAGCGGCACAAATCATATTGGCTGGGATGACTGCGTCTCGTACATTGACTACCGTGGAGTACGGGCATTATCCCTTGCGGTTGGAGACAATCTGTTCGCTATTGGTCAAAGAACTGGCCATATCAAAGTCTATGACTCGGCTACTTGTCAAGAAAAGACAGCTATTGCTCATGGGGAGCCAGTCAGATTTCTGAAATTCAATAGCTCTGGCCAACGACTACTTGCATCTGGTACCCGTCGACTCACCATGTTCAATGTGGTTGGTGAACCACTTTGGACTTATAACCATCAAGACCCTGTTGTAGCGGGAAGGTTCTCAGCGAATGATGACACAGTCACGGTCGTTACTAGTCGTAGCTCAGTCCTACATTTTTCTGCCTCTAACGGCGTTGTGCTGCCCGGGCAGTATTTAGGGAAGGAGGATTGCAAGCAGCTGAAAAAAGCGACGCCCCGAGCAATCCTCCACGCAGATATATCACCCGATATGGCGATTATGGCGATAGCCTATCGTGGGAGTCCTGGTCGTCCTGTACAGCTTTGGAGTCTTGAAAAGGACATTTCAATTGGTGCTTGCTGGTTCAAGAGAGATACGGCAGGACTAGCGTGCACGCCAATCTCAGATGTTCTTTTCAACCGTAATCCCGCCGTGGAACTTCTTGCCGTTGCGACACAGGACGGTGAACTCGCAGTATTTGATCCTTGGACTCGTCGGGAGATTGTCTCGGTGTCCGGCGAAGCATATATTCTTGCCTGTACGCCCGATGGGCGAACACTTGCGACAGGTGATATGCGAGGTTCCGTCAAGCTCTGGGACTTCGATACTCTCACTCTACTCTATTGCATCAAATCTGATGACTATGAAGTCCGATCCTTAGCTTTCAGCACTGATGGTTTTCGCCTTTATGATATTCGTGAGGCTAAAACAAAAGTTTGGGAACCATCGGCGCTCGTGAGGAAGAGTTTATCAGATGAGTCGAGCATAAGCGAATCAATTGCGCAACCTGCAACAGTGATTGATCGCAGCCAGGAAGTCACCGAGATAATGAGCCTGACTAGCATGGGCTCCGAACAGTTTGGACTAGTCGGCAGAGAGGATGGTTCAGTTGTTCTGTTTCATACCTCTAGCGCCAAGTTTCAGAACACATTATACTCACATAGGCGTCACGCAATGGTGACACGCGTAACATGGAGCGTTGGCGGCTATGTAGCAACAGCGGATTCTTCAGGTATAATTCAAGTATGGTCCACTTCAAAAGGTGATGGGAACATGATGGAAGCCGGTCGCAAGGTCCTTGGAGTTAAAATTATGAGTTCAGTCCGCGACTTACAGTTAAGCCCTAGCGGGTCCAAGCTGTTGGTACGCGAGGCCGCTTCTGATTCTATATACTGGATCCCAAGTTCGACGGTTGAATCGGCCCCTGACAATTCAATAATTGAGGGACCTGATATTCTTGATCGTACCTGGGCCTGGCTTCCAAATCCTATAACCGGGTTTGATATCATCATGATTGGTGATTCGGCTCTGTATCTCTATGAGACCTGCGATACGGCAAGACGCATTTCCTTGAAAGCGAAAGTCACCCTTGTGTCTCATCGTGGCCATCCTGTGCCGCCGGGCCAACGACTACTCTTCACAGAGAGCTCAAGGTTCCTAGCAGTCGAGCTAGAGAAATCACAACAGGAAGATTCTCCGAAGCTTCTAGTCTACTACTTGGAGCACATACTCCACGAGACAGAAACGACTCCAGAGAGTGCTCTCGGGAAGCCACAGCCCTTGTTATGTCTACTACATCGGACGATCCGAATGTTCATAGGTTGGGACAATGAGACTCTCGTCTATTTAGATACAGAACTTTGGATCTGCTCGATTGAAATGTCATCGATTAAGAGTGGCGACATTCGAAGTTACACGAGAAGACGCCATTTGTTCATTCCATTCGAGTTAATTGGTTCTAGCAATGGCATTGCGCCGGTTCTGGTTTCCGGGACTAGTATTGTTTTTCCTCGTCAAGGATTCTTGGCAGTCATTGAGAACGCTGTATCAACGGTTTTCATGACTGATGAGGTCGTAGTTGATAAATGAAGGTAGCCAGAACATCGGTTCCTCGTGCCATTTTCCAAATGACCTTGTTGTTCCAATTGGATGAAACATATACCGGTTCGTGTAGGTATGTGGTGTAGACATGAGACTTTGCTTTTGGGTCTATCCTTGGCATATTAATCAGGAATGGAAACAAGACGGGAATAGTCATTTCCGCCTAAATGTGCTGCAGGTAAGGCTAGTGAAATTGTAATGTTAGAAACTAACTTACCTAGGATCTGCCTAGGTATTTTGTTCGATAGGCTTCTGCTAGATCCATTCATCTGAGCAAGGGCTTATAACATAGCATAGTTGTAATAGTACATTAAAAGTTTTTGACTCCTCCCATACTGACTTAAAACGGTATATCATAGATTTTACTGAAGCAGAACATATAAGTGCTATTACACCTAGCTATCCCAAGGGATTATCATTCATCAAACTCTTCGAAATGTAATGGATGAGTAATATGACGTAATACTCACCATTAATACACAGCGATTGAACATGCGCAAATGTACACAACTAAGATATCAATCATAGTCTTAAGTGCTTATTTGATAGTCGCCTGCGCCTCAGAATCATGTCTTCATGAAACATGGGATTTGTTTCTGCCTGACCTAAATCTCCTAGGGTACTATGTAAATTGAAAGATACTATTAGTCTTACTCGAGATCGTCGTCGGGATCGCTGGTAGTTGCTCTTGGCGTACCACCTTCAGGGTTATAATGCTCATTAGGCAACAGAATTACCTGCCACTGAATACGAGATGTCTGAAATGCTGCACATGTAGGAAAGGGAATTGTTCGTTATATAAAATCATAAAGGTAACACACCAGAATGTAAATAAAGTAGGTAATAGATTGTCTAGCTTAACACGTTTATTCTTGCACATTGCGAAGTCAGTCTTTAAACCCAATCAATATGCGATTGCGATTATCAACGTTCCTTTCTGGACTGAGCGCCATCTGCGCGGTGTCAGCACAGACTCAGTTGCAACAAGAGGGACCTTTCGCTCTGCAAGTGAAAGGCAAAGCCTGCAACAGTTCAATTGATGGCTACCTGAAGCTATACAACTTGCCGGGCTCGACAGCGCCGACTTTCATCAGCTACGAACCTACCGCGCATCCTACCGTCAGCGACCCGTCATACCAGTGGTACTTCAACTACACTGGCTTCATACAGTACAGAGGCCACGAAGTAGGCTTCCTGCTCGCGAACCCGACACTCAACACCACGACCCCTTCCCCGTATCGTGGACAGGTGCTGGACATCACCTATATGTCTAATTCGAATGTTGGCGTCCCTGTGCTTGGCGTGGGTGGTTACTTTGACATCGGCTTCGACGATGACAACAAGTCTTTCAGCGTTCGGGAATTCGACGATAGCAAGTTCGTTCCTGGAGAGCAGCCCGAATATAGTGATGACTACGGATACTATCACTGGGCTGTTTGTTGGCAGTTCTCTGGTACCTATGCACAGACTCTGTCATGGATTACGGCCGGTAAACCTCATAACCCAACCTGCGAGCTTGTCGATCTTATACGCGTCAATCCATAGTAGATGCACTCGGAGGATGACAGCTACAGTATAACCTGGTAGAGCAGTGTGGCAAACAGACCATACTATTCGAGGCGATAGAAGCTTAGAGAGAAAAGAAAAGTTGAGAGCGCTCAAACTCAAAATGTCCAATGGACTTTGCATTGTATTATTAGTCTTATACATCTTTGGAGCTAAAGAACTATGTATTCTAAATTGAGTGAAATGATGCTGCGACTTCACTGCTGATACAGCACGGTGTTTACTTGATAATGAATGAGGTCAAAGATTATCGAGAAGCAGTCTCCATCTTGAACTTCCCTGTTTCTACATTATGAAACCCATTTTTTCGGTTGTTATAAACACAGACCTCTTCACAACTGCTTTTCTCGAGTTTTAATTGGGTAGTTTCGCGCCATGCGCCATGTCGGCTCCCATCTCTAGCCCTGTAAGGGGCTTGATATGGCTAGGGGTAGAGCCATACGCGGGCCAAGGCAGACATGGTGTCGAACAAAAACAACGGAAAACAGCCTGTTTGCATGTCTAGATGAAAAGATGCATCTGTTCAGATGTGGAATGTCTGTTTCTGGCGATCACCAATTGATGAGGATTGAGGGGAATAAAAAAGCAACGAAGTGAGCAAGCAAGCACATATCGCCGGGAATACGCAGGTATGCTGGCATGGCAAATAGATGTTTACGTCAGTATCATTTCTGCAAACGCAAGATAGGCAGCTCATAATGTTTGACAGCTTTGGCTTAACTATCGCAAGCGTTGACGGGATGCTACATCTCCATAATGTCGACCCCTGTTGCGAGGTAGTAAGGACTTCGGTATCATATACTCAATACCTTAGGTAAGCACCTGTCGAGCTCTCATCATTAGCGCTTAGGCACAGCGTAGCTCAGCACTATGGGGCAGCTAGAATCCACTAAACTAGGAACACATTATCCAGGAGAAACCCGTCCCAAAAGTACCTAGGTACCTACTTCATACAGGTAACATGATACCTCAGTTTCTGCAATTTTGATACCTCATTACTTCCTCAACCTTTGATTGTAATACTAATGCGATCTTCTCAAGCAATCTCTAGCCTCTCAATCACGTAGGCGGGCACCTCAATTACTCAATCGCTTTGAGAACACCAGGTTTTGATGCCAGGTTGGAGTAGATCCGGGCATGTGTCGACAGGCATCCCATCCCAGGCTTGAGGCTATTCACGTCGGGCCAGGAAAAGAATCCATTCAAGATGATTGTCACAGACCGCAGCCAGAGACCGCAGCGACAAACCTGCGACTTGTCACCTCCACTGTGTGATTGTGCGCATAAGCAGACAGCCGATACATCGATAGGGCAGCGTTATGTTGCCTAGAAACCAGCCGAGCACAATCGAAGCGCACATCGCCGTATCATCGCATTGTAAGGCAGCAAACAAAATGCATTATTTAAACATAAAGCTACCCAAACTCCGCAGCGGGGTAATGCCTTTTTCCTGCCCGTCAACAAGTTATCACTAGGTAGCCAACTACTGGTAGTAAGTGAGCTTGTCGGCCATCTTCAGCGATTTTGTTCGTTACTTTCTCCTACCCCGATCCCATCGCGACGCCTGTATATCTATAAAGTGCATTGATGAAAGACCTTCTCTGCCACGTACCTTCATCACTCATCATGGAGAATGAGAGCCGTATGAAGCTTGCTGCGTGGTACGAAACCATACATCCGCGCAGAATCGACATAGTTGGTGATTTCGGTGGGAAACAGCTGTTCTTCATCGACGGCGATTCCTTATTGCTCCATAGTGTCACCACTTTGGGCGTTGATTACGACAGTAAGACGTCGTTTTTCTTCATCTCAAGCTTCTTCCTTCTACAGCGGTGATACCTTGTCGTTAACATACCCTGAACCCAGTTGGATTTCAGCTTCTGCACGCAATATTTGCAGTAGAGTCATTTCTCAAGAATCTGCAAGTTCGAGGCTGCAGATTTCACATCGTGTTCTTTGATAACCAAGTGAGGCTGTGTACACCTTCGGCAACACCGCAATGCATGTCATACAAATTTGAAATGACAAGAACTATTCTAGTTCGGCATCTCCAACTGTCTGCCAACAGGACTTTTTGGAATGAGGATACCGGATTAGTGTACTTGTTCCCCTCGATCGATAGCGAGCAGTTTCATCAGCACCTAGCTCAATACCCGGCGTCATTCTTAATGTGCCACGATGGCCAGACTGCCTCGGGACGTTCGACGCAGAATTCAGCAGTGTCTCAGTACATGATTCACCAATTTCTTCAAATGAGGCATAGTGTAGCCTTAATTCATGGCACCGAGTTCAGAAGCTCCAGGGTAGGTATTGATGATCACAGTGCGACCTGGTTGTACTGGCCGAATCACCCAAGACCGACTAACGAGATGGTTAGGTCATTGTGCCTATGATAACGGCAGCTCCTCGGATACGATCTTTAACAATATCTCCAAGACTACTTCCAATTTCTGGCTCACGGGAGCTAGAGGAGCTATCGAAACCTAGCTATGCTCTATACCAAGGGAGAAGCTATAGAGAATTGTTGACTGTTGTCGCACTACATAGGGTTTTACAATCTGAGCGAGACGAAAATCACAGGGTCATGGCAACAGCTATGATTCTACACAGCGTAGTAATCAGCTGCACACGCTTAGCAGAGCGAGCATCAACATCAAGAAGGCAGGCGCAACAATGTGTTAGCGAGTTTCTAAGTAACTTCTGTCAGCAAGCAACCAAAATCCTGGAATCGGAATTAGGAGACTCGCTAGCTAGTGATCTATATTGGGATCTTTTTGACCTGGTCGACGGAACACTCTTCTTGTCGTTGCACACAGCCCTTTCAACGGGCCAGCATGTTCCTGCCACATTAATTTCCAAGGCAAAGCCACTGATCACTTGTGTTGAGCAGTGGGCCAGTATCTCCCTACTCGGCAACAAGTACGTGCAAACTTTGACAGGATCGGAGGTGGAGAGCCCAGTTACCCAGACGACTTCCATTTATGATCCGTCAAAAGCAACAATTCTTCCATTCAGCCATGGCGTCTTGAACAAATTTCTTGCATCTGTACATCTTCAGACGACCGATGTACATGAAGAAACGAGTGAGAGCAAAGTTTTTCGAGAGCTTACACACTGGCATAACGCAAAAAAGGGCCTTGAAGCCAAAGGAGCACAGAAGAAACCAGGCTTCTATGCTAGGAAGAGAAATCAAGAATTCATGGCTGATACGTTGGCATACTCTGCTAGCCTAGTCAACGCGTCGGGGAAGTTGATCGAACCTAAAACTATTATAGTAGACGTCTCAGCACCTTCGAAAAAAGCTCCAACTAACCGGACGGCTGTGGACGCATCGAAGGGGAAGAAAAAGATAGGAAGCGCTACAGGCAAGAATAATGCTCGCGAGACTGCACTGCTTATTCAATCTCGAAAGCTGAAGGAAAGAAGCAGTGACACATTCCGTCACTGGCATACAGTAGCCCGTGATTTCAGCCAAGAGAAGGCTTTGATCGGACGCTTTCAGAAAGCCAACAAGTACTTCTTGAGTCTAACAAAGGAAGACAGGTTAGCAATTGGCGCTGAAGTGTCATTATACCTATGTGACACGCTTTATCGTGCTTGGGAAGAGCGGGTGGTCGCAACGAGTAGTCAACCAGGTATGTTTCAGCCCTAGGATCTGCGATTCAACCTTGTCTTATGATGTCCAGCAGCATTAAGCATAGGGTCGTTGTTGTTCAACCAGATCATAGAAACCTCAAAGTTGCCTGGCTCAACCCAGGAGATTTCAGCAGCCTTGCAACTCCTAAGCTCAGCTATAGGAATTTCGAGCCAAGTGTTGACTAATCAACCCTTACTCTCGCGCCATTTAGGGTTTCAGCCACGGATTTTAGAATCCAGCCACCCTACGTTACCAACTCTGGGTTCTTATGAGTTCCAGCTCGGACATTGTGGCCCTTTCCTAGAACGGAGTTTCGACTCACGCAAAGACGACCGCGTGCCGTTTGAGCCAGATGCGTGGCAAGTTTCAGTGCTCGACAGTATCGATGCTAATGATGGCCTCTTCATCGTGGCTCCTACTTCTTCCGGCAAGACGTTTATCTCCTTTTACGCTATGGAAAAAATCCTTCGAGCAGATAACGATGGCGTTCTAGTTTATGTTGCTCCCACAAAGGCTCTTGTCAACCAAATTGCTGCTGAGATCCAGGCTCGATTCAAGAAGTCTTACCATCATAAAGGAAGGTCAGTTTGGGCTATACACACGCGCGATTACCGAGTAAACAACCCGACAGGCTGCCAGATATTAGTTACAGTCCCCCATGTTCTGCAAATCATGCTGCTTTCCCCTACAAATGCCAATTCTTGGTCAAAGCGAGTTAAGCGCATTATTTTCGACGAGGTCCATTGTATCGGACAGGCTGATGATGGTATTGTATGGGAACAGCTGTTGCTCATGGCGCCTTGTCCGATAATTGCTCTTTCTGCAACTGTTGGAAATCCCGAGGAATTCTGTGACTGGCTTAGGGTATCCCAAACCTCTAAAGGCTTCAATTTCAAGATGATAACCCACGGCAGTCGGTACTCCGATCTTCGAGCTTTTCACTACGCTCCTTCTGAAAGGGTTGAGTTCGGAGGGTTGCACCGTCGCGAGCATCTTCCAGTCCCAGGATTGGATGGATCAAATCGAGCGAGTTCTAACTTCGAATACATTCACCCAATTGCCACGTTGGGCAACAGGTTAGTCAGGACCTTCTATTTATATCTTAAGAGTTTTTTTTGAAACGGGTTTATTGATTGAATTGCTATCTCTAGAACAGGAGTCGATCTTGAAGAACTTAGTCTTGAACCACGAGATGCACTCAGCCTGTGGACATCAATGGACAAGTTCCAGACTAACAGGTTTCCACTAGACGAATCGCTACACCCGTCCCGAATCTGTTCTAGTATACCTAAGAAATCCGACGTGCTTGCGTGGACAAAAAGACTCAAGAGTGTTCTCGCTGTTTGGATGCAGGACGAGTCTTCGCCTTTTGACCAGATTTGCCGAGACCTAGAGCCCGGCAGCCCTAACACACAGGTGATCCAACAAACATATACTACCCCTACCCAGTCATCTCTGAAGATCGAACGGCTGAGAACCTTTGCACTGTTAATTGACCTACACAAGGGAGATGGTCTACCTGCAATCTTGTTCAACTATGACCGCGTGGAATGCGAACGCGTACTTGAGCTCATACTGGAACAGCTTCAGTCTAAAGAAGAAGAATGGAAGACATCAGACAGAGGCTGGCAGAAAAAAATCAGAGACTTTAACGTATGGAGGGCGTCGGGGGAGGGGAAAAGGCCTCCAAAGAAAAGCACCGAAAAGCTAACCAAGCAGGAGAGGATGCGGGAAGATGCCAGTGCTGAGGTGAGCCAATGGGAAAGTTTCGATCCAGAAAAGCCACTGGAACAGTTTAGCTTCGCAGACAATTCTCGGCTTACACCATCAGAGCTTCAGGGGTTTATCGACTCGTTGAAGGACGAAATTGTCAAGCCACATTTATTTTCGGCCTTGGAGCGTGGAATTGCCGTTCATCACGCCGGCATGAATAGGAAATATCGACAGGTTGTTGAGATATTGTTTCGCAAGGGGTACCTAACTGCTGTGATCGCGACAGGCACCCTCGCTCTTGGTATAAACATGCCCTGCAAAACCGTTGCGTTCATTGGAGAATCCCTCTTCTTGACTACTTTGAATTATAGACAAGGAGCTGGGCGAGCGGGACGCAGAGGATTCGACCTACTTGGTAATGTCGTATTCACCAATATTAGTCGCACACGGGCCCACGAGCTCATGGCTTCTCGGCTGCCTGACCTTAAAGGCCACTTTCCTTTGACCACGACTTTGATTCTCCGGCTGCTAGGCCTCGTTGATGCTGCAGGGGAATCTACTTTCGTGTTGGGTATTGTCGAGTCTCTTTTGACACAGAATAGGTTGTACCTAGGTGGTGAAGAAGCGGGCAAGTGTATTCAACATCACTTGAGGTTTTCCGTTGAGTATCTTCAGAGACAGCACCTCCTATCGGCCAATGGTAAACCAATAAACTTTGCGGGACTTGTGGGACATCTGTACTTCACAGAGAATGCTGTCTTCGCCTTTCACTCACTCTTGAAAAGCGGATATTTCCACCGTCTCTGTTCGAATATTCGCAGAGATGCAAGCGGTACCCTGAGAAAAATGTGTTTAGTTCTTGCACATCTTTTCAACCGTATCCGAGTCCATAACCTAGGTACTGACTCGGCCTCATTTACGCTTCCGCGTCTTCCCAAAGAAGCTGAGGATCTCCTGATACTTCACAACAACGAGACATTGGAGATCTTTAAGGCCTACGCAGGGACTTATATCAACCAATACCTGCACAACGTCCCCGACAGACATTTGCCTTTCAGTGGAATTGCGGTCGGGGGTGAGGAGCCGCGCATGTTGCAACTTGCAGGTGATTTACCAGCTACCAAGCTGCGATCACCTTTCTCGGCCCTATCGGGGTTCTCAGATGAGTTCAAGAGCATTCGCGACCTGTGTTCCAACATCCGAAGTGGTGTATTTCTCGAAGAATCAGCAGTGCCGTACATCCCAATCTGGCCCCACGACGTGTCTACCGCATTCAATTCATATATCTATGATTTCTTCAAGGATGGGGACTACGACGCTCTCACACGAGACAACAGGATCAAGCAAGGAGACGTGTGGTTCCTCCTTCGAGACTTCTCCCTCGTGTTAGCCACAATTGTCACCAGTCTGACGAATTTCGTTCGGGCAGAGAATATTGTCGACGATGACCTTGTCGGATTCGATGATTATGATGAAGAAGTGAATGACAAAGACACCATCCCCAAAATGGTAGAAACTACGAACCATGTGAAGCATGATACTTCGCTCAGTAAAATAACCAAAGCGAAGGTAGTCGAGTCATGGGAGGATGAAGACGACGATGACGATAATTATTCCGGCACGGAAGATCGTGCGGTTCATGAAAAGCCCAACAAGCTGACCGCCACGCCCCTCGAGCCTCCGATTTGGGAAGGGGAAGGTAGAGGCCTGGCGGATGTCTTAGAGGCATTTACCTTACTAAAGCAAGACTTTGATGAAAAGTTTCACAAGGTTTGGGCTTAATCTAGCAGATTTCAGCTGCAACGACTGAAATTGTTGTAGAAAACTGCACTTGGGATTAGACTAACGTGGGCTATCATTGAGCTAGGAGGCTGTGGCCATGCTGCCTCGTATGGGAATTGGCCGGGGATGAGGCTTAGGGGTAGGGAAAAGTCTGCACTAATTATACAATTGAGTATGTCATTCTAGCTGATATAGGCCAAAATCAGGATGATTCATAGTTGTAGGGCTTGGCCGCTTGACTACCAACATTGTAACTAACTTCCTACATGACAGAAATAGGGGTAAGTAGCTACATAGCTACATAATGACGTGCAACTCATTACCCTGCCTCTGCTACTCTGGCTCATAGTTTAGAGCTCACCAGTTACAATATAGCGCATGCGCCTCGCGTTATCGCTGAAAGGGTTCACCTTTGGACTTGCTACCGACAAAACTTCCATGCTCACTTTCCAGCTCGTGCCCGTCTTCTTGCCAACTTCATCCCATAGCGACTGAAACGTCTTCTCATCATGCGCGTAAACACTAAATCCTCCCGCCTTCATGGGGCCTGGTTGAACGGAGCCTAGATGCGACCCAAACAAGACCGCCGGTGTCTCCCTGCTTAACCCACGACGGAAGAACCTTACAATGCGTTCGCAGATAACGAGCTGGGCATCCCAGCCAAATAGATGGAAAAAGTTCGACGCGTGCGCAATGTTGATCTTGCCGTTGAACGTTTTGGCCATTGCGCTGCTCGCGTACTCTTCATCCGGGACTAGCAAGTCGCCTGCTACGAGTGTGGCTTTCAGGGTGTCACGGTCGTGAAACATTTCATAGCCCAGTTCGAGGAATTCGGGGTGCAGGTCGCTGCCGTAGAGGCGTGCTGAGTCGACACCTTCGTAGGCGAGCTGCCGGATCGTTTGGCAAATGAACCCGCCGAGCTCGAGGAAAGTCTCCTGCGAGCCTGGCGCCTTGAGGCGCTCAATGGCCTTGACCATCACTGGGTTTTCTCCGCCGAACTCCAGAAGCCGCAAGAAGGTGAAGTAGCCTATGCAAGGGTACTTGGCGATTGCCCATGCTTTATCGCGCTGTATGGGACTATGGTCAGAAAAGTTTGGAGCATCAGTGACACCTGGGTAGGATGGAGTATGGCCATGTTGTCTCTTACAATTTTGAAAATCTCTGCTTCAACTTGATCCGGGGCGACCTTGCTGTATTTCTCCAGCAACTCACGGAACAGGTTGTAATCCCATGGGATTGTGTCTACCCACACCTTATCCTTGTAAGCCTGGGCGTCGTCGACGCCGATATTCTTTTCCGACTCTACGCCCCATTTCTCAATAGGAGCGGCTCCAGTTGTGCTTGCCATATTGAAACAAAGTCGATATCAGGCGATCAGTAGCTCCGATAATTGCTCGTGGGGGAAGCAGTGAGAAAGCTTGATTCAACTCTTTATCGTTCTACTGGCTTATATATGCGAAAGTCGTTCCTTCGCAGGATTCGGGCCCGCACACCGGAAACCCCTGAATGGCTGCCTACATGAACTACATGGCATAGGCTATCAGAATGTTATCTTAGTGATACTTCCTTACCTATAGGTGGTAAGCCGCTTCAAATCGGGGGCCGAAGCATCTACCATGCCGATACTGTCAATATGACATCTATATCCCCTGTCCGATTTTGACCTCCACTGCCTCCTGCTTACCCCCACTTCTCCGCATCAAGAACACGATCCACATGATTTGCAATCGCTTACAGTCCCAGCGGTGTACACTTATGCTCTGTAGGCCCCGGGCGTCTCATAACGCGTGTTGGCGGATTTCGGGATGGCGTGCTAAACTCCATCGAAGTCCGCTACTTTGCGGGGAACGGCATTACTATTCCGACCGCGGACTACCTCGCTTCTCGTAGCTATGGTCGCCTGAAGCTGGGCTCCGACATGGCAATTACAAGTAGTCTTCACCAAATAGAGGGTTAGATGAAGCCACTAATTCCACAGTAACCTCGAAGATCGATTCAGGATGCTCACTCACGTCATATGGGATTCTATTTCAGAGCAGTTCGATGCAAATAAAAATGCGTTGCGACCGTATGCGTCATGATTTCACGAGTGCGATGGCCTATTAAACTTGGTGTAGAATCTATATAGTTGACTAATCTTTAATCGAAATGGGGTTAGAATAAAGTGCTGGGTTGAGACACTCAAGGGCCCCTACTTGGCATCCATTGGGCTCGTCAGTCGTTGCCCATGCACTCAGCTTGTTGTGGGGAATCGCCGATCGGCCTCACTATCGCGACATTTTTTTAGTTCCGAAGTCGCGAGTGTGCCATTGTTGTGTCTGTTGGTCCATTGAGAAGCAAAGAATGGATCCATTGAAGCTGAGCGTGGAAGTGCCTCAAGGCACATTTTCATGAGGATCTACTTCGTAGCTCGCTTCTAGTCATATAGAGTAACCCGTAAATGCGCTACGGTATCCCCCGGAAGTCAACATTTCGACTGTGAACTTAAGAGTGATTCGCGATGATGTCAAATTTGGTGACTGTTTTTGGTTCATATTCCATCCGCGCCGGTCGCGACGTGGTTATGCCTCCATTACCGACATCAGTTCCGATACGATATAAACTGATAAGAAATGCGTAAATTGATGCAATTGAACAAAAAAAAGGAGTTTGATCTGCGTCTATCGCCCTCGACCCATTAAAGCCTATTCAATCGATTTATATACACAACTTGTAGTATCATTTCGACTTTGCGCATACCTTCACCCTCTGGAGTCTGCAGATAGAAAAAGTCCCTACGAGGGCAGAGACTAATGCAGCCAGAACTATACACAAAGTGACTGTAGTCTATGTAGTCACGTGATACCCCTTTATGTCAACGACCTATTTTTGATGGCAGAAAACCCGGCTCATACCCAACTGGATCTTAGCTACGCATTATCGATAAAGCAGTATTTCACTCTCAATGTTCTTATCTATAAAATGGCACTGAATTTTGAGCTGAGGCATCAGAAGGTGAGATCTACGTAGGTCTCCCGGCGGCTATTGAACAGGAGAAACTGAGGGTAACAGAAATCCTACTGCGCAAGATAGCGCTACTTAGACTGACTATAGAAGAGAGTCTAGCATAGAGAATGGGATTTCTTCTGCCTACAACATGCAATCTCCTACTTTTGGCCCATCTATTCTAGAGAGGGTACCTACTAGTTGGCGGGGTCGAATAATTCTCATTTGACTACCGGACAGAAGAGCCACCTGATGTTCGTAGAGCAAAAAGGCGCAGATGTAAAATACTATCCCATTTCATAACATAGAGACGAGTAGACGCCTGTTATGAAAATGGAAATATCATATGATCATACTGATGACCCGCAGAGATTAGACGAAGAAAAGAATATAATACATTTCTGCAGTAAATCGGCCGCCCAAATCAAATGGAATGTCATCAAGATCATAACAGCCGAGTTCATCGTATGCCCAGCGAGTTGGAGGCGGGCTCATTAAATATGTCGTCTTATCTTGCTCCTTCTTATGCTGTACCGCGATAATAAATGAATTTTGGAAGGCCTCTGATAAATCTTGCATAAACTTCCTGCTGATATCATATGAGTGCTTCAAGCATGCAGCTGGCTGCTGGTTATAGTCATCGGACCACCCCACACCCATGTCCGGGCAATAGTCCGGACCTTCACCCGAACCTTATAGGTATATGATAGCTTCTCCATAGGTCAGCAACCAGCTAACGGATTCCATATAAATATAGGTATACATTATTTATGGTTGTACCGTGCTCGAACATTTCCTGCGCTGTACTTTCTAAAACATACACAATGGCATTTCCTGGAGGCAGGTATTTCATTGAAGACAAGCTATCGCAGCAAGCTGTGCACCATCAGAGTTTCGAGGCTCTCTGGGAGACAAAATGGAAGCCATTAGTAAGTGCAAGCAAGACTTTGACTTTCTGCACACAACGGACCAACTATGCTGTTGATATCCCTCTTTGAATGCTAAATAGTAACGCGTGGTCCGCAGTGTGACATGGGCGTATACCCATTCATGTACGGCACTTCGCAAGATTTCGAGCCTGTAGTCAAGAGTATTATAGCTGCCGGCCTCAAGCCACCCTACAATTGGGATGAATATGCGTCGCATTTCTTCGCCAAGGCCGCAGAACTGGTGTCGCAAGCAGAGGCTTCACAAGAGAGAGATGAAGCTTCGGAGTTATTCATGTACGTACTTCTGTTTGCTCTCTTATTGATGGTCGACGTGCTGGTGAGACGGGTCGCATTTTGATACCCTTTAGGAGAGCGTCAGCATTATATCGCATCGCACGGTTCCCTGCTCCTCGCTCTGAGAACCAGCAAATCGCATGGGTGAAAGGTAAAGAGGCTGCACTTGCAGGTCTTAAGCTCCAGAAGTATCCGATGACCGAAGTGACGATTCCGCATATCCATGCCGCGTTTGGGGACGGCACGGCGTTACCCGGTTATTACCATCTCCCGGAGCATGCATCTCCGGATAATCAGGTACCCCTTGTTATCATCTTCACCGGGTTGGACGGTTACAGAACTGAGCTTGCGGTATGGAAAGATGGATGGGCTGAACTTGGAGTCGCGCTCCTTGTTGTTGAGATTCCAGGGACTGGAGACAATCCTGGGGCTCCTTCAGATCCCAGCTCACCGGACCGCGTGTGGTCAAGCATGTTCCACTGGGTTGGCCAGCAGGTGCAGATTGACCAAAGTAAGATTGTGAACTGGGGCTTTAGCACCGGTGGCTACTGTCAGTACCTTTATAGCCCAAAGAGGTAACCACTGGCTGAGTCTTGTAGATTCGATACGCCTCGCGCATACGCATCCTGATAAGCTTAAAGGTGTGGTGGCGTTAGGGGGCGGATGTCATCAGTAAGTGTTACCCTTTGTTTCATTTTCATGTGAAAATGAAACATTACCCTCGAAACTTTAAATAACTATGCTTCCTAACTATTCCATTCATACAGCATGTTCGACCCAAAATGGCTGGATGCAGTGGACACCTTAGAATATCCATTCGAGTAAGTCCTAATCTCTTGCCTTATCTTAGATCAAGATACAATTAATTAACACGATACACAGTTTGGCGCATACGCTCTGTTATAAGTTTGGTTACGGAGCCAACTTTGAGCGTTTCAAGGAAGACGCAAGTGAGCGATTTTCTCTGCTTAAAAGTGGAATTCTCGACCGTCAGGGATGCGCACGCCTCCTCCTTGTAAATGGCATGGAGGACGAGATCTTTCCTATCGATGATTACTATTTGTGTCTACAGCATGGTGACCCCAAAGAAGTTCGGTATGCATTATCTCCCATTCTAGAGCATAAAACCTTGATCATGTCTTTCTACGCTGATATAACACCTTATCTTGAAGCTTACTTTAGTTATACAGTTTTGTTAGTGGTTCCAAGCATATGGGCGAGCCTGCCTCCTTCGTCATCATTCTCCAATGGCTTTTCAAGCTCCTGGAAGTGCCTGGAGATGTTAGAAAATTCCTTTCAACCATTCCGTTCAAAGCAAAATACTTGAAGTAGAGATATTCGACAGGGTTACTTCCCGTCTATTTAGTTAAAAGAACTAACTTTAGGGGATTGCAAGTAGAATATGAAGATTAGTGATAAACTTAAAAGAGTAACAAATAGATAAAGAAAACGCGCGTTATCTTCCTCTCCATTTCAATCCTTATCGTTGAGTAGAGCTGGTAATTATGAGCTTATTCAATATGCCTATGAATGATGTGGAATGAAATCTTCACGATGGGATCAGCTTTCGAGCCATGTGGTTATTCTCCACTACACAACCGGTCTTGGCAATACGTTCATATCAGAATTGCAATAACCGGTCGAAATATTCATCCAGCGGGGATAGCTCAGTTGGGAGAGCGTCAGACTGAAGTGACACTTCATCATTAATCTGAAGGTCGTGTGTTCGATCCACACTCACCGCACTTCCTAGTGCTTTCAAGCACTTGAATCTTCCTTTTTTGATCACTATAAGTATTCATCACACCTCGGACAATAAATAGGACACGCTTCTCTGCCAAAATTAGTCAAGCCTCTGACGCCTATTTAGTTTTGGTATAGCCAAGCAGTTGTGGTAACTAACATATGCCTATATGGTAAATGCAGGTGTCGCTTAAGTCCATGTCGTCTATGTGTACAAGTCGTTTGAATAAATATTCTCTGAGGTATCTTTTAAAACTGACTCTCGATCTCTAATCCAAGCATCATATTTCTCAAGTTATTCCTCGCGCTCCACCTAATGTTCTCAGTTGTACCCTTTCCCCGCCATTCAGTGTTGGCTGTATCCTGAATATCGCTGTCACTCTTGACAGGGCCTTTTGCGCGGTGATGAAAAAAGACAGGAGGCGTGACAGTAAGACACTTAGCTCGGAGTCCATTTATATTTCCCGAGGCACCATCCCGACAGAGTCCTGCCAATGCGTTGTCGAATGGCCCTCCTAGATGGTCGATAGAGAGGTCAAACAGGACTTTACGGGCACCACGCTGTGAGAGAGCGTATGCAAAGCTGCAAATTGGCCCGCCGCTGACATGGACCCATCTTGTAAATTCTGGATGCTTAGCAAACTCAACGAGGCCAGTGATTTTATTGAGAGGTGGTACAGTCTCGTCATTTGGTATGGTGAATTTGGGATACCGCGGCTTCCCCTCATTTTCAGGAAGTACTTCAGGAAATATTTCACCACAGCTGCCATTCAGGTTAGCATCATGGTTGATCATGAATATCTATCTTGTACCCAGCGGGTTCAAACTGTGATGATGCATGGCCTTGGGAAATTGATCAAACCAGGATGAACTCACTGTCCTAGCCACAACACATCCCAGGTATCACCATACTGTGACGACGGTATATCCTCAGACGGCCAAAAGGAACGGGTCCCTTCAGCGATCTGTGAGAGCTGCTTCTTCAGGCGAACATCCCTACACCGCAATTCAACAGTCGTCAACTTCTGTGCACTGTATCGGTAGAGTATCGTACTCACCAATCCATGTCATCTTCTAAGATCAGAGCTGTCTCAATGTCTTCCTCGACTATTCTGAAGTGGTCATGTTAACTCGTATCGTCGCGACGGTGCCAAATTCTGATTAACACGTACTTTCGTATCGCATTCATGTGAGCCCGCCAGCTGCCAAGGTTGCCTTCCATTAATGCTGCTCTATCAACTCCAGGAGGCACTGCTTGGTCGGGGATGGTTTCGCCTCTGACGCCATCAATGAATTCGACATGAAACCCGGTAAGGGTGCTCGTCAGAGCGAGCGCATCACGTTTATCCGTGCGATCCGGAAGGCCGACTACGAAGATCTTGGAAAATCCCAAGGTGTTGTTTGTGATAGACTCGGTAGTCGTATAATTTGGTTGCTTTTTTCTTATCTGCTGAGATAGGTGACCCCGCGGCGACGCTCCTAGTGAAGATCTAGAAGTAGCAAGAAATACGAGCAACACAAATAAAGCCAGAAGGCCCAAATAGACTTGACGAGATATTTGTCGCATTTTTCTTAGACTGTCCATGTCGGACTTGTGTTTCTTCTTGAATCAAATAGAAGAATGGTCATCAGAATGGAGAACAATCGAGGACAGGGTTTTCCGAGCGCGGATTGTGTCAGCCACGTCGCAAAGGAATCTCACAACAACCCTAAATAGATTACGGGGGCGGGTATCTCTCGGGGGCCAAACAACTTTGTTTGAAATTATCAACAGCAGTCGGACTTGTTACCATGATCAAGTAGCTAAGGGACTTGCCCAGGATATTCTTCGATGGACTTTAGCATGATATCACTGTTCGATTCACACTACTTATCGCGCTCTAGATGTTCCATTATTCTTATTCGAATAGACCTGCATCTCTACGCGCCGATTGCGTAAATCCCGACGTTACGGGACTGGGCCTGGCCCAGCAGAGTAGCACGGCGTAGGCTACACCACAATCGACAGGGGTTTACAGCCAACATGTAATATATAACCAACATGCATACCAACATGAATTAAAATGTGCCAGAATCGTCTGGCTATTCCACGTTGTTGATTGTACCATCAACAAGGCCAAGAGCTGTATGTTTGGGAGCGAAAAGCGTCGATACCGACCAACACACAGCTAATTCATGCAAGGAGGTTGTTCAAGCTTTGGATGAGTGCCTAGTATTGTGCCACAATTGGGCTAGAGACGGCCCCTAGACTGTTTGTTGTGAAATCTGAGTAAAGGGAGGGCTATATAGCCTCACCCTTGCCTGTTTGAAATGAGCTCAGTTTACTATTATCATCTTCGACAATTTTCATTTCCTGTGACTCGTCATGCATGAGTAAATGTTGAACGGCAGCCCATAAGATCAACAACACCCCCGTCTCACAAGATGCATTTGTTCGCCTTATTGTTTCTCCCTTTATCGTTCGTTACACAGGTGATGGGTACTAAATTCGTCTCTCCAATATTCCAAGACACAGCAAAAGTTGGTCCATACGCGAGAAATGGCCATTGGCCATTAGGATCGACTCAGGTCGTGGCATTCGCAACGCCGTGGAAAGAGTACAGACTCGAACTCTGGCAGCAGAGCTTGGCCGGTGGCAGCGCTCGACGATCGTCACAGTTCACTTATAAGCGTACGGTTCTTGGATGATTGGTCCTTCCTGTAATGCTAATCCCGGTGTTATAGAAAAGGCCAACGGCACCATATTGCCGCAAAGCTTTCAGTGGACCGTTCAAACTTACGAGCTTCAACTCTCTAGTTCTCCGATTTTCTTCTTCTGGCTCTTCCATGGCACTTCGGATGCTCAGCAAAGTTCGGCGTACTTTAATATTACGGTCAACGCTTCACCCGACTCGGAAACGGTTTCGCGAGTAACTCCCACAACGTCAACTGAAACTTCTAACGTAGTTTCCAGCATATCGACAATAGTCGCGCCTACATCTATCCCTCTGAGCTCGGATAATGTATCCAACGGACTATCGACAGGCGCAAAGGCAGGGATAGGGGTTGGGGCTTCACTTGGAGGGATCCTAGTCCTCATAGTAGCCGGTGTCGTGTTCATGAAGAGGAAGAGCTTACATAAAGAACGGCAACAAGTCGCCGAACTTCATGACTCTCAAACGAAGGCCTATTCATTTAACCCTTCCACAACTGTAGTAATAACGGGTGGACACAACTCAAAACCTGACGAGGTACCTCAATATTATTATGAACAGCCCAGCGAGCTTAGAGCATAGTTAGACTGTATCATGAAAGAGGCACGTATAGGATCAGAGGCGAAAGTCGGTTTCATTGCATTCGGTTGAATGTATAGTATACTTAATTCAGTTTCCGATCTTCTGACAATCTATTATTGAATAAAACTGCTACCATATAGGCCAAGCCTTCAAGGTGCATCTTATATTAATCCTGGAAGAACAGCCCGGGGACGCCACGACCCTGTGCAAATTCAATCAATCAATTCAAGTCAAGTAAAGTATATTTCAAATTATCATATGATCCAGGCTGAAATGGGCAGCGCTCAATATGAGTGCAGATAATGGCAGGTGGACTTTGCGTTGATTAGTATTTGGTAATGCTTTCAATAGGTGGTGCTGGTAACTAAGTCTGTTCCTGAATTTTCGCAATATAAATAGATAGCTGCTTCGAGATGAAGTAGGAGAGCCGATATTATGTCACCCCTAATTACAATTTCGCAAGTTCAGAAACATGCTACGAAACCAACGAGAGCCTCTTCCACATTATGAGTCCTCCATAGTAATTTCTCAACAATTACGGAAGAAGAAATAGCCGCTCTGGGGATTAGTCGCGAAGTTATAGCATCCGGCTCTGGTGATGGGATGTGCTTCGGCGAAATTGTAGACGTTGGGAAAGCCACACTCCTGGTCGGCGAATGCCTCTACTGTAATGGCGTAGCATTCCGGGCCTTCTAGCTTGTATGATTGCAGAGGAGCTACCCAACAATCGGCGTAGTGTGGAACGGTCTTAGGCACTGATTCGCCCGAGCACTTTTATTCACCAACGTCAATAAATCTTTCATTCAAACACACTTACTACTTCCAGGTGACATTCCCAAAACCTTTAAATGTCCTTGGGCGGGAAGAGGTGGAAAAAATCGCGCCAGCGTGGACTTACGTCTGTACTGGTGTATGCTGTGAATGTGCATTCCCTTGGAAGAGGCCCAAATTGAGCGTTGGCAAGGCTGGCGGCTGTAGCGACAACCAGGGCGAGGGTAGCTTTAGCTTTGATAGCCATTATTCCGATGATTTTTGCTTTATAGAGCGGGGATAGGGGAAGTTTTCGGCAGCTCTGGGACGAGTGTAGATCTTAGAAGACTACACTTGTTTGTTTGGCCGCAAAACGAGTCCTAAACAAGAGCGGCGTATTCCCGTACTTATATTCTTGGCCTTCCTCATTTTCTACGAAGTCATGACTTACTCCAAGCAAGCCTCAACAACTACTCTACAACCATTTCGACAACGTGGAGACACATCACAGTCCTCGTCAAAGTCAAATTTCGTTGTCCGAACTCATCTATCAATACTATCGATTGGCTACCTACCTACTGAGTGACAATCCTCCTCGGATTCTCGGAACCTCGGGAACTTTTGATGTGCAATCCGGAGGCCGATAGGCTATCCCCTCGATCATACCCACCTGTACTTCGGTTGTTCGAAGCGCTCAAGTTTCAGTATGTAAATGCGGCTGCTATTGGGGCTAAAACTATCAAGTCCGATCTTGAACGCAAGTAGTTAACAATGACGCAAGAGGAAGCAGTATATTTGCCGAAGATGTATTTGGGAACAAAAGGGACATTCCTCATTATGCTATTGTGTTAATCATCACAAGTCGTTAATGACGTTATACATTCTTGGTCCTAAGTATATAGGACCGGTACATGAAAATAATGTAGATAACCTGTAATAAAGTTGCTCGCTAAATAGAGCATACACGAGTCGACAATTAGGAATGATGTGTCGAGTGATTATTCCAGATGACAAGGAAATCGCTAACATTCAAAGCAGTTAGTAAACACACTAATCGAAAAAAGTATCTCTCTTGGTTCTGCTACCGAGGTTTTGCCAATACTATTAGATTTAGAGCCCTATTGGTGCAAACCATAGTTGCCTGTTTATCTTGGGGCAGCACTTGTTGAACATGGGGTCGAGAACATAGTAAGAAATCAGCTTTACAGTCAACCGGCCTCGGTAAGTTAACCGGCGAGCCCAGTCGCCGCCATAATTGGCTTCTTATGTAAGCATCTCGTAATGTCAGAGCCATAACTCACATAGGTGATATGTTCCTGTTCGCTGACCCTGACTGGAAATTGAACCATTGCCTGCCTCTTTAGGATTCTCGTATTCCCAGGACATCGGCCGGGGAAGGGGCTAGATCTACGCCACTTTATAAGCACCTGCTGATTAGAGCGCACGATCCCCGATTCGCCGAAGCAAGTTGCATTCGAGAGCTACCCGGCTCCGTAATGGAGCCCGCCTACATGGCCATTGATATGCAAACTGTATACCGTGGCTCTCACATTAGCACGTAATATCACCATATTTATTCTTATGCGTTGGGAACAGATGAGTCAATTATCGTGCTAGTCACAGCTATCTCCTAAAGCAACATTCTTGCGGCTTGCTGTACTAAAACCGAACAGTGCAAATGAGCGTCTCCTAAATCAACTTAAGCGAAGGTAGCTCGAAGTGATCTCACAAATCGGCACCAGGCACCTTCTCCTTCTCAACATACCAAGCCTGATCTCTCTCACTTTTGTAATTGACGTTAACAAAGTCGGGCTCCGGCTCCTTCGTTTTCTTCGCATCGTCATTGGCATCGTGATCATCATCCTCGTTGTTCTGATTCGTGGTCTTCGTGTAATAGCGCTGCCATAAGTATTTCTCACCCAGGCGTCGAGCGACATCGTTAGCTTCGTTGAGACTCACGAGGCGGCGCTTCCCTTCCGTCTTAGCGAGGTACTCCTGGACCACCTCCCAGGTCTGCTCCTTGTTTGTTTTCTTGTCTTTTGCCTTAGGCAAGAACTCTTCTGGATTCTGGTCCACAAGATGATCGTAGGATCTAACGTTGATTGCGACTGAATCGGGCTCCTTAACCTTGTCGTTAGTGTAGAGATCGTAAGCAATCTCGCCCGGAGTACGGCCGACAGTGTTCTCACGGAAGAGCAACTTCGGGTTCTGCTCGAGGAGAACTCGTGCTTGATCGGCAGACGACCGCAACACGGCTGTATGAAGGACAGTGTCACCGGAACCGTTCAATATTTCCAACTCCTCACCTTTCGAGTATTCGAGGAGCAGACGAAGAAGCGTCACGTGAGTGCTGTCTTTATCGCCGTTCAGGCGAGACCACGGAATATAGGACTCTGTTAGCCAGAGATGGAGGGGGGTATTGCCGCCGCACGAAAGGTTATTGCGCTGACGGAACATGTGAGTTCTCAGTTCAGGATCGAAAAGATCCAGCATCTGTCGCAGCAGGTCGAGATCTGGATAATTGATGACACACGCATGGACGATGTTGTTGAATCCACCATCCTTGACTGATTGGTCGGCCCCGGCGTCGATAAGTGTTTTGGCGAACTGCGGCCTGCCCATCAGGCAAGCCAAGAACAGAGGAGTGTAACCCAAGTCCGACTTCGCCTCGAAAGACGCTGGACAAACTTTGATTAGATACTCGATGAGCCTATTAGTTCTATCTCCGATGGGACCTAGCACAGCGCAATGAATAACATAGTCATCTGCGAAATTGTCAGCAGTCTGAATTCAACACACATGAATGAACTTACTTTGAATACCAAGCCACTTTGCGATAGCTCGATCAAAGCCCCCAGAGGACTCATTGAGATGTTTCAGTCGTTGATCTTCTTTGGCAATCGAAGACGTGCCAAACTCTCGATAGTGTCTCATGGGTGCATCTCCCAAAAACCATTCGACAGACTCAATTGAGCCTTTCAAAGCTGCTGTAAGCAAAGGCGGAGCCTGGGTACCTGTAGGCTTGACGACGAGGTTGCGGCCGGCCGCAGCCCAGTCGGCTCTCTTTTTGCCGTAAACTGTAAGACCTTGATAGTAGCGAGGCTTGACCTTCATCTCGGTTCCACTCTTCTTCACGAGCTCCTCGAGTGGAATACCCGCACCAGTTCGGCGGATTGCCTCGGCAAGCATGTTGATGCGTCCCGTCTGAATTGCATACTCAAAATCGTCTTTAGGGAATGCGTAGAACTTGCTAGAGTCGTCTTCATCTTCTGACTTTCTCACAAACTGATTGTGCAGATCGAGAAGCAAATTAAACCGTTGGCTATCCTCCTGAAACATGGAGAAAGCAAGGAGGGTTTGGGTAGAAAGTACGGCGTCCTCGACTTTGTCGCCGCCCAGTACGAACGTTGGAACCTTCCAATCCAGGATAGCCGAGGGCAGCACGTCACTCTTGACCTGCATAGACACCTGACCAATATTATCAATAGTGAATTGGTCTTTGATAATCTCCATGCGAACTTCGGGTTCACTGCCACTGTCGCTAGCCTCCGAGTCTTCATACGATTCTTCATCTTCGTTGGCATCGACTATCTTATATCGTGATTTCTCCTTATCTGGCGGCGACCATTGTGCTTGTACGATCTCCAGGATAGCTCTAGCCGTGTCAAAGTGGCCTTTGAGGAACGCGAGTGAGAAAGGGTTGTTGCCTGCCAAATCCGACACTGCTACCTTCAGCGGCGGCTCTTTCGCCTCAGGTCCCCAGGGAGCTAATGCCAATGACTTGATCTTGTCAATGTTGCCAGTCCATGCCGCTTCGAAGCTAAATGAAATCAGTGCCTGAAGTTCCAGTGATGGCATACTTGACGTATAGATTGGGGAAGTTGACTTACAGCTCTATATACGCAGTTTCCCTAGTTGAGGTGAGATCTTTCACTCCTGTAAAGCTAAACTTCAAACTGTAATCACCTCGGGATGTATCTTCATATTCGTCAGGTTGGGGATTTTCCATGCACTCGATTTTCGGATGAAGCTCCTTGAAAGTTTTGGCACGCTTCTCTACAAGCGCCGCCTCAACTTTCTCGAGCTGCGAGATGAGATTTTGTATGGCCTCCTTTTTCTCAACAAGGCCTTTCAAGGAAGCAATTCTCTTCTTTTCCTTGGCGACGGCCTCCAGATCGTGCTTATAATCTTCCATTTTCCGTTTGATGTCATTAGAGACAAGCCAGTGCTGACTATAACGGATATGGTCAGTAACATCCCTTGCACGAATCACTTCGAGTATCACTAAAGCTTTATCCCATAACCTTCCTAACGAAAGCGATTTATGCTCTCAAAGGAACTCGAAAAATAAGAATAAATTTGAGAGTGACTTACTAAGTTCCCTCCGAGAATCGAGATAGGAATTCCTCGGTTCCACTCGGCGCTTCAGGGGCACACGAAGTAGTGGAACGGCCACCCCTCAGATTGTTGAACCCGAAGCTGTTCATTCGTAGTCTGGGCGTGACTGGTTCTCCGTTGTATTTTCGCAATTCTTTCAATAGATGTCTCACAACATCTAAAGCAGTTTCGCCTACTCTCCAACGTCGTGCCCACTCATTTTTGATTACCTCCCAGCTTGCTTTAGTGACCGGGCTCGGGTCAACACCTCTTTCGAGGAGCTCTAGTGCTAACTCTGGGTGTCCAGATCGAATTGCTGTAATCAGAGGCTGTTCCATTGATTCGCTAAATTTCGTTTGGTTTCTCTCAAAATCCTGACAATTTATTAGACGAATTGATGACAAAAATAAGTGTTATATGCCTGCATGATGAAATCGAGAACTTACACCAAGCGTTATGTCGGAGGAGAATTTTGCACCTTGCAGCCAGCTATCAAAATCGAGCTCTGGTTTTGCTCCAGCGTCAAGTAACTTTAGCACAAGAATTGGATTGTTCTGGTCAATAGCTGTCATTAGAGGGCTAGTAGCATTCATGTTCCAATCAGATCCGGATACTGCTATGTGATTGATGGCTGTCTTCAGACCGAGTTTGTCATGCTCCCACAGACAATCGATGGCTTTCATGTTATTGTTCTATGCAGCACAATATGTAAGTAACCAAACACATTCACAGTCGAGTAACAGCTCAGTAGTGCAGCGACTCACCCGGATATAGCGATGGAAGGCTGTGACGCCAGTGAGGTCGGCTTGAGATGAGGTAGCTCCTAGACTCAAGAGTGTCTCACACATGTGGACAGCTTGCTCGAGTGGAAGTGCAAGAGCAAGAACCAACGTCAGAATTGCAGCATGGGGGTGCTCGTATGATCCATCACCGAGTTTGACGGGCAACAGAGCATCAGCTCCAAATTCTTGACACAGCAGCTTGACCATCTCACAGTGACCTCCAATGATCGCTAGGTGAAGGGGAGAGCATTTTGAGTCCCATGCAATTGCGTCGATTTTATAGAAGTCTGGATCGTTCTAAATTCGTGTCAACTTCGTTAGCCTTGCCTAGTATGCCGGTCTTGGTGGTTTGCTCTGTACTTACCTGGTCATCATCGAGTGGAATTGTCTCAGCCGACTTCGGCTCGTCCTTATTATCGACTTTGACGAAGGAGCCCGTAGCAATAGACTGAACACCATCATCCGATGACTCATCATCAACGAGTTCTCCATCTGAACCATCGTCCATAGAAATGTCACCGTCAGACAACCCGGAATCACGCGGAGCATAGCCCGTGTCAACTTTAGCCTTCTCCTGGCGAGCTTTGCGGCGCTGGTCCACCTTCTCTTCTTCCTCTTCTTCATTCGCGTTGCTCTTCTCCAACAGTATCTTGACCATTTCAATGTTACCGCGTCCCGCTGCAAGATGCAGTGCTGTCCGCCCATCGGCAATCCTTGCAACCAGTCGTGCGCCATGATCAACCAAACATTTGACAATAGCGGGGGTGGAACTAATCACAGCCAAGTGAAGTGGTGTTCTCCCGGTATAGTCTCTGGTATTCGGGTCTGCACCTTCCTGTGACAGCCAGTCCTCGACATGTTCGAGATCCTTGTCAACAATAGCTTGGCAAAGGCGAGCTGTATTGCCAACATAAGCCATCTCTGTCCAATCATCCTCGGTCAATGGGTTAAAGGAGCCGATTTGTTGGCGCCCTGGGTCATCGATACGGAAGGACACATTTCCTGAGACATAAATCTCGCTCTCCTTTTCAGCGATCTCAATTTCTTCAGGTGTCTGGGCTTTGGGGCATGTGCCACAACAATCGCCAATGACCTAAGCAAAGTTGTTAGGCTAATTCAATTGCATTCTTAACTCATAGACTCACATCTTCAACCCGTCCAAAGAAGGCTGGGTGCCTGTGTACTGTGCAGGAGTTAGAATGTTTTTGAACGATTCAAAGAAACTAGAGTATGCAGTGAAATAGGTACTACATACGATAAACCTCTCGTTCCTTAGGCTGGTTCCATTCAGCATTGAGCACTAGTATACGTCAGCATATAATCATTGTCATGAGTCTAGAAGAGTGAACAGTCGACCACGATCCCATATTATTATTGGCGTTTCACTAGATAGGGACGTCATTCGAATTGGTCATGTAGGGAATTGTACTTACACAAGTCCTTGGTGTAGCATAGTTTCTCAATCTTCTTTGCATGGAACTTAACTCCATATGGAACAGTAAATGTATGATAATTAGAAACTTCAGTCTCATCGACCCAATCTGCAACTTCGTCTTCGTGTATCTAACAGGGCGTCAGTATGCTTGAACTTTGTCCTAGTTTGATAGGACATGCTGTGCGAAAAGGTTGACTTACATCTTTGATGTTACCAAAAAGGCGATGTTGAAACCGCTGTGGCGCCTGGGGTCGTCCACGCTCCTCCCTTCGCTTCTTCATATATTGCTCACGGGCATTTGCGGTGGGCAGTCGCTCAAGAACTAATAACCTAGCCAGGCCAAGGGTTCTTTGGAAACTCCGCTCGAAGATAGTGGGATCCACACGAGAGCGATCGAGCTCGGGCCAATAGACTTCGAAGTTTCTATGGCTATACTTCGATAGTCGATTCTCGTACGAAGGGCTTCTCCGGCTGAGATCAATCGGATTGATTTGAGTGATGTAGGATGCAAGCGCACGAGGAGTAGTGTAAACTTGATTTCCATCACTATATCGTCCCATGTCAGTGGGCTCAAGCATAATGTGCTACCATCTCAAGAACTTTTGGACACATCTGCAACATGATTTCACAGGGAGAAATGCCATAAAGTCATAAAGAGGGAGGTGAATGAACTGGAAATTGGGAAAAGGACTGAGCACTTACTAAGCCGCACCCGAACAATCAATGTCAAACCCAGTAAGAATCTCAGAGACAGACTTATACACACGCAGGACAATCTACGACTATTATAAGTAAAGCGCAATTAAAGGGGAAGGGACAAAAGTACTTGGATATGACGAGTTGGGTATTGGCTACCTATTTACAAGAATTAGGCTTTGCTGTATGAAGAATTATGCAGATGATCGAATACTTACAGATCGTGATGGCGTTCTTGGTCCTCACAACAGTGACCTCAGAGAGAATCGCATCTCGAATGCTAGCTTCGATATCCTTGATCTTCTCAATCACCTGTTCTTCGTTCAATCCATACAAGAAGAGATCAACATCAGATGCCGGGCAGAACTTCTCATCTAAACAACATAGTTAGCCAGGGTACATCTCTCATGAGGCTACTTCACATCAGTGATCTTTTAAACGCTCTACTTACGGTAGTATTCGCGCAAGGCTCGCTTCGACTTCTTGTACTCGGGAGGCACTGGAAGAAGAGTGTTGACAACAGAGGACCCAGCAGCGACAACATTGTCCCAGTTCAGGTCGGACAAGGACGACTCAGAGAACACTCCAAAGTTATGTCGGAACTCTTTGAGAGATTCCACGACAGCGGCTGATCCGTCTGGACGGCGCTTGTCATCAGGAAGGGGCATGATATACTTGTCTTTCTGTTCCTGGCTCTCATTGTCGAGGTTGCGAGCGCGAGTCTGAATGGAAGGGGTATCTTTGGTGAGGAGGGGAAGAACATTGAGGTATGGATCTTCAAGAACTGGGTTGCTGCGCTCCTGGGCGTACATTTCACGCAGCTTGGCCTCGAATTTGCGATATGGCTCCATGAGTTCTTTCATGGGCACGTTGGGGTGCTTGGCAATGTAGCTAGCCAACTCATTGTGAGCGGCTGGGAGCTTGGGGAGCTGTGATGCACTCATTCTCGTTAAAGTGAAGGATGGATCAGGATGAAACAATGAAAGAAAGAGAATGTAGGGTAGAGAAGGAACGCAAGATGTTGACCGCTATGTCAGTGATGTGATGGAGTAGGTTAGGGGTTGACAAAAGATGACTTGTCAGGTAGATGTCAACAAAGCCTTGGACACAAGAAGGGATACAGAGAAGGAAGCAACAACTGAACAGGTCAGGTCAGGACAAGAGGGTTATATATCATCTCAGCTGTTTCCTCTGTCAACAACCCAAGGAGCGGTACGGCTGTACCTGAGGCACAAAACTGGAGAGAACTTGGCGTGTTTCCTCTACTCTGCTGGACCCTAGGCATTGATTGCCCCGCTGTAGCCTGCCAGCTAACAGGGGTTAAAACACCACCATCCCTCGCGTGGTCTTGTGACCTGGCGTTGGCAGTTGCTTGTTAACTAGGCAGGCCAGGCAGAACAACCATTTTTCTCCATCTAAATTTGGTCCATGACGCGAGGCACATATGGCAAATCCGATGTGTTTGCAATTGTCTTGTGGAGATCACCGTGCTGCCTAGATGATGAGGTGATTTTCCCAACCCTGAACTAGATACCCTAGCACTAAATGGACCGACCGCCCTCGGGCTCTCTTGGCTGGTGACTAGGGGTACTACTGGCAAAGCTAGCTTGCTATACTCATCCTCTTCGTTATTTTTCACCGACTCTTCGCTGTCCGAATCAACTATAATTAACCATAGTTCAATTGTTGTGTTTGATATTCATGGTGGAAGGTTTATATGAATGGTTACCGTCCAAGAAAACCCGGTGGAGTGTCTATGTAGACTTAAAGTCAGCACTTAGCAGCAACAGCCACCTGTACAAGACAGGCTAAGCGCTATAACGGGCTGTCATTTGAGCAATTGACCAATCAGTACTTTTACATTGCTCCCAAAGAAGCAATAACTGGCTTGTGATGTTAAGAATTTGGCTGGTGGCTGGAAGGAGACAATCACAGAGACAAGCCAAAGAGTGTCAATAACATCACAACAAACAATATGATATTAACAAACAAGACTGACTATTCTAGCATAGTTTTTTTTTATCCCCATAAGTTACCAAACTCCGTAAGCATCAGATAAATGCAACAATTAGCTACTAATCTAGAAGTCGCTCTGCACCTCACCCTTCTACAAACGCCTCGCTCTTAGCTTTCAGAGTACTCTCAGAAGCAGACTGCGTTGACGGGCGGTTGGCAATCAAGCGCTGCCTCTGGTTAGTGATCACTTCCTTCAGCACAATTCAGGGTTGGAATATACGTACAACAAGGTTTCTCAATAGTACAGCAATCGTAACTTTGCCCACTGAAGGGACATAGATCGACGCCTTCTCCTTGACTGCAGGACCATCGAAGTTCCGGAAAGAGGAAAAGTTGATGCACACTGCGCCATCGCGAATCAGCTCGGTCGGGAGCTTGTAGTTCTCCGATGGCACACCGCCGATAATGACATCACTAATGGGAACACATTGCTCCAAAGTCCAGCCCTCTTTGTCCTGAACTTGGTGACGGGGTTGACGGATGCCTTGGCCACGAGTGAAGACCTGCACACCTGTCAAATCGACAGAATACACTGTGGCTCCGTCATTTGCTAGAAGAGCAGCTAACGGACGACCGTTGACTTCGGATCGGTTGATAACGGTGATTGTCTTCCCGAACAGCCGGTTACCAGAAGGAAGGATGGAATTGTAGATATGGAGATGTTCCAGGATCTTGACGACAGCAAGAGGTGTGCATGGTAATATGGATTTCTTCAGGTTCTGCGGGGGGTCCAAATACCGCACGTTGTAGTACATGTTGGAGATGTGTTTGTGACAGAGACCTTCGACGTCTTTTGCGAGGGATACAGTCTCCTGAATGTACCTGTCGTGAGCGGGATTGCCTGGGAAGATTGGGTAATAGACAATGATGCCATCGACTTTATTGTCTTCATTGGCTGCCATGATCTCATCTTCCAATGCCTCTTTTGTGACTTGGCGCAAGTCAAAATTGAAGCCGCTGTGAACTCAGGTGTGAGTTGACGATGCCTAGCAAACAAACAGAGGGGATGACGTTACTTTTCCTCACAAGTCTTTTTGGACCACTCAGCATACTTCACAGCAGCCGGGTCATCATTAGCTAGGAAGGCCACAAGAGTCGGCTTTCCATCAGCATCTTGTTGTATTGACTTTAGCGTATCGGTGACTTCGGTCAACAAGTGCTTGGCGATAGACTCAGCCAAGATAACTTTGCAAGTCTTAGGAACATCTTGGTTAGAGGCCATGGTTCTCTAGACAGTGTATCATCACGTCAGTCTACAGGAAACTTGATGAGGAAAACATGATGCTGTGTCACGTAGTGTTGAAGACTGCCCCTTGAGGCAGATATGAAAATCCTCACCTTGCGTTGCTCCACTAGATACACCCCAGGCAGTTTCCTAAGTCCTAGTGCAGGCCCAGGACAGTGACGCGCGGAGTGGAAGACACGCTTTACGCAGAATGTCAGCGAATACGGTTGACAAGTAAGGAAGAACTGAAAACGAGTGTTTAGCCTAGGACTATAGGTCAGACACTAAGAATCATGAATAGTCGAAATAGTCGCGAGATCTGGTAGTGGATAGATGGGTGGGTGACTAACAACCATCCAGTCTGTCGCATTCTGAATCAACCTGGCTGGCCTATGGGTTAGGTAGAAGAAGCAAGCCGTGGCTCCAGAACCGGAGTCAGATTCTTCTTGTTCTTTTTTTTTTTTTTTTTTTCCTCTTTTATTCCCTCCAATTAATTGACAGCCCTTTGAATTGTACCTGGCCCAGCCAGTCCCCCACGGCTACCCCTCTTACTCTTTTAGGCATGGTTACATTTTAGACCACCGATAAGGCTAATCAGTGACGTACGGACCCTTGTTATTGCGAGATTCTATGGCGGGGTTGTTGATGTATCTCGGTACCTTTACCTACCTACACAGGATATCAGCTCCATGGATCTCAAGTTGTGCCTAGGGTAATCTAACAACCACCCCCAGTGCTGCATCAACTTACCAGGATAACATACGTCTAGGTGTTGGCCGCTATTGGTGGCTACAACAGTCTTGGAGATCGCAGGTTGTATCCGTCAATGAGTCAATAGCAACACTCGAACACCCCCGCGGTGAACAAACAAGTGACAACCCAACTGCAAGTGACAGCAACTATCCACGAGTTTAGAGGACCACAACCTCTCATTAATCTTCAACATCACTGAGCCTCCATACGGCCTAGGCCGTAAAAGCCAGGCAAGCTGCCTTTGAATAGCAATATGGCAGCAAGCCCCAGCTTTGATGGGCTTGCTCTGAAATATGTGCTTGCAGATAATGATGAGTTACACGACATTTCTGAACAAGCCGCCCAAGGCGAGTTTTCTGCTACATTACAACTCGGTCAATAACATCTTGCTGACATCTTCGCAGCTATTGAGGAATCCGCCAACAAGAGGGTTACCGTGGGCCAATGGGCCGCATCTATCCAGCGATGGCTACAGTCATCAGGTGACGATGATCTTATCTCGAGGGCCAAAGCCCTGGACTTCCTCGCCAGTACTCTACAAGTGTTGTCAAGAAGAGACGATACCCTGAAGAGCGATCAGGTTACATTACTCGTTACCTTCTTCTGCTCACTATTTGAAAATGACCATAAGGCCGGCGTTACAGCGTCCGCTAAGGCACTGAGGCAGCTTGTTGTAATGAAGCACTTTCAACCCGCTCTTGGTGAAAACATCCTTCAGGGTGTTTGTAAGTTGGGAGATGATTTCAAGTTACAGGCTCCTCAAACGCGCTTAGAGATCTACCGTCTTTTCCAGAGTATTTTGGGTACCCTCGCCAAGGCCTATGGACCAGGCCATTGGCAAGGTAATGCGAACGGATTTATTCCTGCACTCCTCACCTTGTGTCAAAATGAAAGAGACCCCGAGAATCTTATGGTGTGGTTCACAATCTTAAAAACATTTCTTCACGACTTTAACCCATCAACCGATGTCACATCAGACATTTTCAAGGCATTCTCTGCCTATTTCCCCATCTCGCTCAGATCTTCAACGGTACCAACCACCGTGACTACCGATGACTTGAAGCTGACGTTGCGTTCTTGCTTCTCTGCACATCACCGTGTGGCCGGATCCGCTATCCCTTTTCTCATAGACAAGTTAGACAAGGTTGATCAGACAGTCGCCGTCAAGGTGGATATCTTACTTACTCTAGACGCTTGTCTAACCGAATACGAGGCTCCAGAGCAAAGTATTGTGCCTCATTCAGATCTTATATGGAGCTCCCTTAAGTATGAAGTCCGCAATGGCGAGATTCAAGATATCATCAAAGCAACCCTTAAAGTGCTGTGCTCACTGTCAAAACGACTTGGTGGAGAGCATGCTCAATCTTTCTTAGGCAATGCCTGGAAAGATCTCAAGGAAGATATATCAGACTCAAAGTATACCGCGCAAGCAGGGCGTCTACTTGTTGCGGTCGTTGGAGCAACTCCCCAGTCGTTTGCGCTGCTGGTGCCGCGAGCACTGGAACACATTAAAACAACTATTAAGCACAATACCTCTATTTTACATAAAAGGCATCTTATAGCTCTCATGAGCTCGTTAGTGAAGTTGCGACTACATCTCGTTTCTGACTTAGACTTTAACCAGACCCAGCCTAAGGACCGGGTTCTCCTCTCGGATGAATTGTTTGGAGATACGCTATTTAACGACTTATATTTGCCGTTCTGGAGAGATCATTCAGCACCTTCGGCGCCCCTTGAAAATGTTGGTGTTCTGGTGGAGGCAATGCAAGGGCTGGGAGCCTTGGTTGGTCAGGTATCCAGTGGGAATGGCCCTATTCGCCAATTATGCTCCGATTCCACCTGTGAAACAATCATTGGTTTACTTGCCAAACCGGCCATCATCTGTCCCCTCGAAGGTCAAAAGTTTCTCGATTCTACTCACGAGATTGTACCTGAGGAGCTGCTCAATGCAGGTGAAGAGGCCCTGAGGAATGCAGTACCCCTTTATCCGCCTTCATTTGAGCATCTTCTACTACAATATTTACGCTCTCTTCAGCACGCATACCAAACCAATACGCATGAATTAAATTTACAGATCCGGAACGTATCTAGCACTCTATGCGCAATAGTCCATTCAGGGAAGTTGGAAGCTGCAGCATGCTGGGTTAATGAGGCGGCCTTGATCAATACCTTCCTACAAAGCTTACAATGGATGCTGTCCCAGCAAGCAGACCCAAAGTTCCTGGTCGTTTTTGTTGATACGATCCATGTGACGCTAAAGCGAGCTTTGAAGCTAGGATCGACATGGGATGCTACCCCGGAGCTCACAAAAGAGACGTTTCAAGGTCTCGAGCATCAGTTTGATGCGAACGACGTCCCTCGTGTTGACCTCAACCGCACCGGAAAGATCACAGCTTTAGCGACTGAAGAAATTAGTGCTAAATGTCCACGACGTGCATACTATGTCTTCGTAATTCAGCAGCTCTATCGTCGATTCACGGCCGTCTCAAATCCGAGCTCATCACCAAGCGAATTTACAACTGTTACCCTTGGCGCAGACCTGGACGGGAGCGACCCTAACTTAGTTTCAAGGGAGGATATTCTTCTAAATCAACTGGGTCAATTAGCAACATCAGTGGTCAGAACATTAAGCGAAGAAGAGCAGAGAGCGCTTAACCTAGATTATGAAGCTTTTGGTCTATTTCATCTGCAGAGTGAGGACTCGGCACAAGAATCCGTGCTACCATCACAGCTCAGTCCAGCCAACAATTTTCGAACCGCGCCACTATCGCTGGGTATTATACAAGGTCTATGGCCGGGGGCAATACGTACAGAAGTGAGTACAGCTAATTATCCGATGGTTTTGACTGAGAAAGGATACTAACAAATCTACACTAGATACACTTACCTGTGCTCGATAACTTAATTGACGTCTTAATGACTTCACCAATGCCGTGTTCCGAGGCAGCAAGAGCAGTGATGGACGCGTTGGTCTGTGTTTTGTCAAACAAACTTGATGCCAAAAACAACGGCTCCCTCGTCAAACAGCGGCTACAGACACAAGAACGTCTTATCTCTAAAATGCATGATTTGATGGGTCATGCACATGACACTGGTACTACTGGCTCAAAAATTCGAACATTCCGCAGCATCCTCCATTATCTCGCCGGCGATATAGCCCGTCCGCTCACCGGATCAGACCAGAACCAACTCCTTACCTTAGTAGTCGATAAAGCGCCTTCAGATGTTATGATGGGCCGGCTTTTCGCGCAAAATCTTGGCCTGTTGGTGATGCCACGAGAGTCTTTGTCGGATATCAACCACCCGATACGGAAAAAGCTTGGCCCTGGGTGGTTCAACCACAAAAACGTAATTCCGTACCTTGACCGCTGCTTCCCGGGAGAGGGAGTTGACGAGCATGGGGCGATTAACCGCGCCGTGGGAACTTTCTCTATCCTGCGCCATCTGAGTTATGACATTTACTCCTCTGAAGCGGCTCGCATTGTGCGCATCGGAATCCGATCCTTATCCACATTCCAAGTAGGCGTAGAGACGGACTCTCTACTCGCTGTCCTCCTTCACATTCTCGAGAAAGATCCTGCGGAGCTCCGGGGACATCTTGCGGCCTTAATTCAAGGCCTAGTGTCTATCTACACCACTGCGCGCAATGCTGCCGGTGCTAGACAACGTGATTCCATCGCCACGCGCATGCACACGCTGCAGTTCTGCCAGAAACTCACGGAGAGCAAATACGACAACCACCTTCTCCTGCCGCATCGTAGGGACTTGCTGCGTCCCCTTGCGGCTGCTTGTGGCGATTCGGTTAGAGAGATTCGTCGCACGGCGCTTAAGGCGAGGCAGGCTTGGGAAGGACTGGGCTAGTATATAGGTCTTCAGACCATAGCCGCCGACCCGCGTCTCTATCTTGACTAAAGGATTGATTAGTACATAGATTCTAGTTATGGCGACGATGAAAGTAGAGATACTGTTAGAAACGAGTCGAGTGCCCAGATAACAAACCTAATTGTATATGAGCATCTTCTTCAAGTACATAGTGCAGCTCGCAACATGAACAAAAATCACAATGGGGCAGTTAGCTGAAGTTCACATATGCATCTCATCTACCCACTCTGTCGCTGAGTAAGACTCAGTGACTTTGATTAACCTTAGATGCTTATAAACAAGACATGCTATAAGACCGAAGATTCGTAGGTACTTCACATGAGATGACTTTGGGATTATTTGGAGACGAGGGTATCAATGCATGTATTCATGAGTAAAAGCTCAACTAAGCTTATCTAGGACAAACTACACCTTTCTCCTCTTCGACTTCTTGCCACCAGCAGCGGCCGCAGCACTACTCTCAGCACCCGTCGTCTCAGCAGCAGCGAGGGCATCAAGGGTCTCGGAATCCACGTTGACGAAATCAGAGGACACGGTGGACGCAGAGGAAGGCGGGACAGCGGCGGCAGCACGTTTGGGATCGGCCTGGGCGACCAGCGGCACCGTCGTGGCGAGCATGATCTGGAAAGGGAGCGCGACGAAGTGGCCCTGCGCGTCGAACCATTCGGTGAAAGAGCGCTTGAACTCGATCTTGCTGGGCTTGCCGCCTTTCGGGGTGACTTCTACGGCGACGCAGTATGTTGGTTCGTTCTTCACTGTCGAAGTCGAGACGGAGATCTAGTTTTATCAATTTTCGTTAACAATCTAGTTATTCGTGTATGCGATAAAGATATAAAAAAGAGATATGGAATTTGGGAATTCTCGTCTGCTCACCTTTGATCCATTAGGAGAAGTGCCTTGGTACACCGTGCCCTTCTCCACGAACATTATCCATATCGTCAGCGCGCCGTTGATGACGGAGTACAGCGCCACGGCGGCGGCCGTGAACCACTTCGTGCTCTCGAACCCGAGCTTGTAGTCCCACAAGAAGCAGGCGGCGGCGATGGCGAAGGCGCCGTAGCCGAGGGCTAGGCGCGTGTCGATGAGGCTGTGGTCTTGCTTGAACTTGAGCGAGTTGAGGTAGTTAGGTATCGCATCGTCGGATGTGTTCTTTAGATCTGCGAGGGATGTTTAGTCGGCTTGCTGGGAAGCTGGAGAGAGCTAGGTGAGGGAGGGAGCTTACCTGCTAAGTTGTGCACGGTGATTCGCTCCTGGGACGTCATTTTGTGGTCGCGCTTCTTGTTCTTCTGCCAGTATTCCACGAGAGAGTGTCGAATTGGGTATTCGAGGATTCAAGGACAAGAAAAACAGCTCGTTGTCGCCTGTCGCACTGGTGTGTAAGTGTAGGTAGGTAGGTATATAAAGTTAGTACTTGATAAGTGTAGCTAAGTGAAAGTTGGAACGTGGCTCGTTCCGGCAGTGTGGAGCACATTTCTCGCTGAGTGCTACCTGGGTACACAGGTAGGTATCAGGGGTCCCCCGCGCCCGCGACCCGCTGTGTGCCGGCCCAAGCTTTGCGGCTGGCGAATTGAGGCTTGTCTTAAACCAACCGCGCACTTTACAATCCGACTTGCTACCTAGGCATTTGCTTCCTGACGTCGGGTACGTGTAGGTATTCTACGCAACAGTCCATCAAGACAACGAATCGCTCGCTTCACACTGGTCGCAACCCATTCTTTGACTTGAAATGGCTCAAATACCCGTGCAGACGATCCCTAGGGATCCCCAATTATTGTGAGTTGACCTCGAGAGAACTTGGTAGGAGTATGGTGCTGATTGCGTTTCCGAAAAAGCTATTGGATCCTGTTCCCCATCACCGTTGTCATGGTAAGTCGCTCTCCCGTGCTTGTTTCAATCACGTCGCCATGTTCTTCAGCTAATGGATGTCCAGGTCTTGACTGGTGTCCTCCGTCACTATGCCTCCGTCTTAATGGCCACTGTACCGAAGAGGTTCGATGCAAAGTCATTGAAGGAGCAGCGTGCCATGGTTCACGGCGTTGCAACGCGAAGCAACTTCCATGTGCTGTCCGCCCCGTCCTTCCGCGTGCGCCGCGACTACTTGACCAACGCCTACGAGTCTGGAGCATTTCTGAAGGACCCTGAACGTCGTGGCCAACCTCCCGCGAACCCCATGACGGATCCCAACGCTATGGACGGTATGATGGGCATGATGAAGAACAACATGGCTATGATGATTCCAAACACCCTGATTATGAGCTGGATCAACGCCTTTTTCAGTGGCTTTGTGATCATCAAGCTGCCTTTCCCGATTACTATCAAGTTCAAGAGCATGCTGCAAGCTGGCGTCATGACGAAGGAGATGGATCCCAGGTGGATGTCTAGTATCAGCTGGTATTTCCTGTGCATCTTTGGCTTACAGAGCGTATTCAACTTTATTCTTGGTAGTGAAAATGGTAAGTCTACCATAACCTTTGCCTCGGCCACCTGGCATTGCGATTCAAGCAACTAACTAGAAAATAGCTGCGAATCAGATGGCCCAGCAGATGGGCGCCATGGGTCCTCAGGCTGGCCCTCAGATGTTCGGCCCGGGAGTTGATCCCGACAAGCAGTTCAAGACGGAGGCTGAGAATCTGGCAGTCGTTGAGCATTATTCGGTACTTGATGATGTAGAGGATCGATTGCTCGAGGGTATCAAGTCTAAATAGAAATAGAAATAGAAATAGGATCAAGCTTGTGGGTGCCTTCCCAGACTCATGGCAATCGCCTTTTCCATCTCCCCAACGCCAAAATATGCTTATGCCTCCCCCTATCGCATCGCGCCTGTGTCTGCCACGACAAGTAGCGCACCTAGTAATTTATACGGGGGCTGAGCTTCATCCGTCTCACCATAAACACTGCTGGTCCTTTACCACCAGAGACACACTCCTAATCCTTCCTTGAACATACTTCCCTTGAGAGCATAGGGCGGGACGCTCCTGGCCCGATCGAGGGCTTCTTGCCCTCCACTGTCAGGGAGTTGGTCATTCCAGGTCTCGTCAAGGACTTGGAAGCGGACCATTTCGTTCTTATCGTAATGCATCCTATCCTCGTCGACTACCCAAACCCAAGCTTTCTCGTTATGATCGCTAAGGCGTATTAATATGCATAACCGCCGTAATATGACGTATTGAATAACCTACTACTCGGTATTTTCAGGCAGTTCTTTGTAGGACACAAAGATCTCTTCGAAAAAATCTGTTCGAACTAGTAAAGATAAGGTCAGCGATTCAAATCCGGTAGAGCTCACTTGAACCCAACAGCTCCAGTTTGACTCACTCTTCAGTCCCTCTGGGTTTGCGCTACTAATCGTTCCGAATAAAGTCTCCCCTTTGAAGGGTCTAAAGACAACCATACGGAATTCAACTGTTCATAATGAGAATCAAATCAGTCAGTCACCCTCGCATCCCATACTCAGCAAGACCAGAGAAAGAATGAAGAGCGGGTACCATTGACGTTGACCAGTCCGTTTCCATGTCCTATCAGTCCCTCTGATGCCCATAGGAGATCGTACATGCAGATACAAAGGCCAATCTTCTGTATCACGCGGTTGGAGTACTTGGCGTTGATGTTGTTCTCAATGGCTACACGGCTATGCTGCTCAAACTGTGATGGGGGGATCTGCACCAGATCCGCGATCTTGGTCTGTGCCGCTCTGGTTAGCTCCGGATGAGTAGATATACGTCGATGTCATTATCCTCACTCACTAAAATGAACATTTTTCGCGCCCGTTGCGATTAGGAATTATCGTCGAGGGTGTACGCATGTTTTATTGCCCAGGTCATGAGGTTTGGTAGGCTCAAAATCGAACCCCCACCATGAGACCCCTTAGGTACACTTAGCCTCAAGTTGCGTGCATGGGTACGCATGGGTACAATGGGCTAAGATAAATTAGGGGATTAGGTAAGCCCCTTCTGTACCTGCATGGGCTCGCATGGCTGCATAACTGCATGCGCATTTCTCCACAAGTGCTGGAGTCATCTACCGGGGACAGCCTGGTATCCCATCATCCTCATCCTGACTAAGTCCTCAGAACAAACCAATACTTCCATCGTCCTACGCTCTCCCCGATAATCAACTGCAATCTCAGCCTCCACCTTCGAATTGTGCTTCTTATCCCTCCTCGTTATCGAAACTGGGCACACTGGGCACCTTCAAGTGAATTTCTGCCATCCCTCGCCTGATCAAATTTTCTCAACTCCCGAGTTTTTCCCTTTCGACATATGGGACATGAACGCCATAGCTTGTTAATCTCAGCTACCTAGTCGCGTCGTTAGATCTGCCAGAGACGCACTCGCAAGCTTGGACTTTGCTAACCTGCCAACAACATCTGCTTAAACCATCACGTCTCCCAACGATTTCTGTATGTTCTGCCGTGGCTCATTTCCCTTATCACTCTCTGTCTTGCACGATATTGATACGGTCCGCTTGAGGAGTGGAGGATACCTTGTCCGATCCTGTCTCAAACCTTGAAACATATCTAACAGAATGTGAAACCGCAGATACTTGCTTTTTTGTGAACGTTCCATACCATCGAATGCTTTTTTGAAGACTTTCTTTGAATAGAAGATGGCCAGCTATCCTTACGCGCCGCCCCCTCCACCTCCGGCAGCTTCTGCACCCCCTCCGGGACAGTACCCCTCATATAACCAACCACATTCGTATAGTACAGGTTCACATCGTGGTGGTCAATCTTCGTATGGTGGAGGTGGGCGAGGTCGAGGTCATCATGACTACAATTCAAGTTCACGTTATTATCCCAAGCAGCCGGACTATGCTCCCCCCCCCCCTGGTGGTCATTATACCGCCGCCCCGCAAGCAAGTGCCCCTTGGCAAAGTGCTCCTACAGTAAATCACTACCCTCCTCACCAACAAAGTGTTCCCCATCACGCTACTCCTCCGTATCCTGCTAGTTACAATCCTCAGGCGTATAGCACTTCGGTGGGACAAGGGTATCAACCTCAGTATCCTAGCACGTCTGCAAGGCCTTCGCATGGCCCTCCATATCCTTATCCAAATGATCAAGCGCAGCGTTGGCCCGACCAAGGCGCGTATCCACCATATTCAACTCGGGGGGGTCGGGGGGGGTTCCAAAGTGACCGAGGTGGCCACAAGCCAGATAATTCAATGATCCCACCCAACCCCATGCGAATGGGCTTTGAACACGGCAGTGACCGTGCTACTCACAGTGCAAGTCCGTATGGGCCACCTTACCAGTCAAGTCCGGGACCGGGACCATATAGTCAGCCTCCCTACAGCTACCCTCCTGCTCCCGAGGCGTCATATTCGGCCTCTTCGCATGCTCCCCATACTGCTCATAACTATGGCACCCGAGGTGGCCGTGAGAGTTTTGGACATTCAAATAGAGGTGGTCGGGGAGGACACGGCGGCCGAGGCGAAAAGTTTCGCCACCACCGGGATCAAAAGCCTCATGGGTTTAACCCTTCTCAGAAGCCTGATGCAGCGGTTCACAGCAAAAAGAAGAAGCGAAAGACCAATACGCTCGGCTTAACACCCGGGGATGAGAGCAGCGAAGGCGAAGGCGCCGTAGATGACGAAGAGAAGCGTCTGAGTGATCTCTTGGGTGCAGACGCTCCAGTGTAAGAATCGATTACCGTCATCGCTAGTTTTATACAATACTAATCATATGGTATAGAATTCCGGATCTGGCTGCTTGGCTAGCTGAGCGCAAGGCTAACTATCCCACGAAGGCTCGCATAGAGGCCAAGAAAGCTGCTGCTGCTGCTTCTGCGTCGGTGGCGACATCTGAATCTAAAGCTGATGAAACCCCGAAAGTTGCAACCACACGGATTGATAAAGACCAAGCAAAAATTGAAAGACTTGAGAAAAAATTAAGTAAGCTTAAGGGGAGTATCGAGAAGAGAAAAAGAGCAGCCAACGATGAAGGGGATGAAATGCGGGCAGACGAGTCGCCAGGTCTGTCCGACTCATCAGATGATGAACCCGAAGTACAGACAACCTCTAAGCCTGCAACTACCTTCTTACCCCCTCCACCCATTACACGGGCTGATCCATCCAATCACTGCAAATACTATTCTACAGGTGGCACCTGTGGTAAAAAGGGCAAGTGCCGTTTCAAGCATGATCCGGCTGTCCGTGAAGCGGCGCTTCAAGAGAGAACCCGTAATGGGGGCCGCATGACCCTAAAGCAACGGATGTTGCTTAATGATAAAGATCACGAAGATATGGACGTGGTTAAAGCCATTCTTGATATGCGAGCTAGCGGACGCTTGGTCGATCCTCAAAGTCTTCAAGTTCGTGCAAAACATCCCACAGAAGATCAAGCAGCTACTGTGACGACTCCATCAACACTTCCTACTACAGCTGGCGTAGCTAGCCTGCCGCCAAATCCTTTCGCAGCGTCCAAGAAGACAGCTCCGCCAAAGAAAGCCGACCAAGTTGAATAGCTGTAGCAACAAGCGTCACACTATTGCCAGACTACACATTTCAGCGCTTCGCGATTCTCTATGATGAATCTGTTTACCCGATAATTCGCTAAGAACAAGGTACCACTATTTGTTGACTCATCAATGTGATGAGGGCCCAAAACTCATGTCATGTGACAGAGGGGGCCAGTTTCCACTTGCTTTCTTTAAGATCATCGACGTCTATCCGGTAAAGTTGGCTATGCCTCGACGATAGGCAGTGCGTTTTGAAAATCACTCTATGAAGTCTTGCTGTTTCCCAAATATCGTTTCTCTTTCTCGACATAGCGTCGTGTTTGCATCGCTGAGCAACCGAAGCCGGAAAATACAGGTCACCCATGTGTGGCAGGTAGTTGCAAAAGCAGCAAGCGAGGCAGTTTCTGGCTTGCGTGAGCTTCCTATCTAACGACATAATCTTGGAGAAACGAGATAAAACGTGAAGGATGATCAAGCGTTGCTCTTGCGGTAAAATTGGGTTCATGGAAAATCCATTAAAGTGGTTCTTCATTCGACGTTGATATTCGCCGTCATACAAATAATTCAATTAATACGGGCAGTACTTTTCCGCTTGGTCCGTTCAAGAATTACGGACCATTCTCCAAAACCATTCTCCCATACCTTCAGCCGGCAAGAGTAGGTTGTAATCTAGCACGGGGAACACGGTCCTATACAATTAATGGATGATGGTATGCATATTACGACATGGACAGCCAACGTTCTCGAGCGACGGGTTACAGGGGAAAAACCAGGTAAGACATGGCGTGCGAGCAAAATGTAATGGATTGAAGGTTGCTCCTGGGAAACTGCTAGCGCTTGTCGAGCGTTGAGTGTAGGATAGAAAGACTTGCTCTTCTTGTATTGCGCCTTGGAAAGAAAAATCACAGGGAGTTAGGGACATCTTAAATCTCGGGCATCCTGTAAATCTCATTCTATCTAGCGGGTTTATCTTATCATCAATCGAAGTTTTACCGGTATTTGTCTTTCCTTTCCTTGAATTTATCAGCCAGAAAAACGAATGATACTCGACACCAGCTTATGTTAGGGTATCCGACTTCATTATAGTTGGATATGTTAGATATGATCATATTCTGGAGACATGGCAGACAAACAACTAGGTGGTCATTACAACTCAGAAGGCAATTAATTCACAATTTAATTTCCTCCCAGCTAAGTAATCACTATCTACTGGTATCATGACCAAACCTCTGTGGAAGAGAGACATTCCCATATATTTTTTGCATGGATTTCATCCACCCCTCTTTTCTATAAGCGAGAAAAACGCCACAAACGCCCAATGTGTGCATTTTATACCATGTAGACTAACTGCCCCTATCCTCCCGTCCCTTAGCTTCCGCGGGCGTTTTAAGAGAGCAGGACGGCGTTGACGCAGCCATCTTCTTCGGGCTTGTTGGTGATTTGTGCATCTGTGAAGGGTGTCAGCTATTTCACTTTACACAGAAGTGCCTGGAGAGGTCGCTCGTTGAGCACGAAAGTAGAGAGTAAGTAATTGGAAGTGACATACTAGGAAAAGAGTTAGCAAATGCGAATACGTTTGGGATATAGATAACAAACTTACCATCGACCCCATACTACCTTTCCACCAGCTGTGGTAAGACCCAACTCCGAGACGTTGACCTGAACGACACGTGAGCATGATAGCGGTGTTACCGGATGGAATGTTGCTTACCTCAATTACAGTTCCGCGTGTCAAACATCCCAACTGCGTGTATAGAGCTTGCTGGGGATTCTTCTTGACGGAAATGATCGGGACGCAGACCGTGACTCCGAGTTCCTTATGAGTTAAATGGCATTTCTTGTAGCGCAAACCCATCGGGCGGATAAAGCGCTCGTATTTTACACTTTGAAGATGTTAGCAAGGTCAACCATACGTGTAACGTGTTACAAGTGCCATAGCAGTCGTTGAGCTCCCACAATATCGAGCGCGCGCCGATATGAAGCCCCAGTGTGCATGGGCGAAGATTGGTAAATCAAAACAGTGAATTACAACTTACGGTCGACGAGTAAAGTCAGGGCCACTATTTAACGAAAGTTAGTGAATGGGCCTTGAAGACATTGTTGTTGATGGCGGTAGTTGACTATCACCTCGACGATGAACCAGACAAGACAGAATGACAAGACTAGGAAGTTCTCTGAGGACATCATACGCGCCGAGGAGATTGGAAAACTTAAGTCTCTCAACTCCATCGGCTGCGGAAACCCCTTCAAGCTCCTTCCTAGTATGTCTCTGCCATTGCCCAGTTGATCATTTAAGGTTGGTAGCTGGTATGATAGAATCACATACACAAATGTCGGCATAGTAACCATTCTTTTCCAGCCTGTTAAGTTGAATGTTAGTAAATACTCTAGATAGGGGTCATTTTCCAATTGTAAATAGGTTGGAAGAGGGAAACCCTATGAATACCGGGGTTCCTCAACAAGAAACAGAGCTAAAACAGGGAGCGCTAAAGCTGAGAATTGCTCTTACCTTTGCCCTTCCGCTTGCCAGTAGCAACAACTTTGAACATATCTTCCTATTATTCTATCAGTCTGCGGAAATGCCTTGATACAATTCCGGCAACTTACTTCACCTGGTTACTGTTAGCGCTGAGTTTAAGACAAACATAGGTAAATGAGACTTACTGATACCTGTGAAACAAAAAAGCTAGGTGTCAGTTATTTGGTTCACAGAAGAAAACGCTTGGATTTTTAATAGAGAGTAATGAAAACGAGAGTATTCTTCACTCTGCATCCAATAACAATTCTACTCCCAAGCTTTGAAAGCAATCAACATACCAGACACTTTCGGTATGGGCACGCTATATCTCGCGGCCTAATATTCAGCAAAGTTAGCTTCCGTTGCAATATAATCTTAACGACAACATCTCATGAACTCGGAGATAGATAGTGCAATACCTTCTCTGAACGACGATTCTTGATAGCGCTCGAAAGCGACTTGGCTTGTTGCGGGTTGTTTCTGTCGAGCAGGTAGCTCGGGAGAGGTTGGCTCGGGTCTTTCTCTCCAGCAGACTTGACGTTCTTCTCCTCCCTAGAAATCCATCAGCAAATGTCGGTCCGAGTAGCTCAAATCGGTCGTAGATGGTCGGGTGTTATATCGATCGTGGGAATTCGACATACAAAGCTTTGATTTGCTTTCTCATCTGGATCTTATGCTTGTGTCGCTCCTGCTGGAACACTATAGCACACCATCAGCATTTGTGAAATCGTAGCGACCTGCATCGCAGTGTCGAAGGCGTAATCGCTCACTCTTGGCCCTGAAGCCACGCAGGTTGGTGGCCTTGGCTGAGAGAGTGTGTGCCTCTCTAGCCTCTCGTTTCCGTACTCTTTCTTCATGGTCCTTTGGGAGAACAGGCGTTAGCAGTTACGCTCGGGTTCGTAAAGACATAGCTCCATCCAGGTGGCGGAAGTAGAGCAATAATGCTATGTATACATACCAATCGTCTTCCGTGCTCCTTCCTATGCTTTTCCATATATTCGTTCTGAGGCATGGCGAGTAGATTTGCCCTCGAGAGGGACTTTGAACAGGATTATGGTAGTTTGTTTCGGGTCGCTGTCGTCGGTGTTGATGTTGTTGGACGCTTTCGTGTGTCGCCTTTCAATACAGAGGACGTCGCAGCTCCGGTCGATTCACCTGGCCAGTCCCCGATAAACAGTAGAAAAAAGTCCCTTATCGCATCTATCCCGCCACCCAGAGAGGATTACCTAATGCCCCACTTTGGCGCCCGGCTTGCAGAGCCAAAGTACTATATACTCCTGATAGCGTGCATTTCACGGATGCCACCAAGTACTGAGTACTCTTTGAGTGCAGGCGCCAGGAAAACAGCTAGTCTCCACTCTATTTTTCTCCAAGAGTGGGCCCTTTTCGATACTCTACAGCTTGAAGGCATCACAACCACGAATCTCTTACCAGGAAGAATTGTGTGACTAAACCCGCCAATTAGACATTTCTGCCTCACATTGAACTGCCACGATGAGCAGATCACTCTTGCGCTCCGTTCTGGAGCTGAGGACGCCTCTCCCGCGCCTGCCATCTGCCTCCCACATACCCAAATCACGCGCTCTCTCGACGACGAGGTCCATGATGCAGAATATCGACCTAGCCGCATCGCCATCACAAAGCAAGATACCGCCTATTTCGCCCACGAATCCTATTCCCAGCACACCTCCCAGTCCGCAAAAACAAACCCCCACCGCTCCTTCAGACGTCGAAGCCAAGGCATCCCTCTCTCAACTGTTCCCTCTCCTGCGTGCGCAGCCACGCCACTACATTACAGCTCACATACACGGGCGGCCATACCTCGTGACAGAAGGCGATCAGATTCGTCTACCGTTCAAGATGCCCGGTGTCCTACCAGGCGATGTACTGAGGCTAGACCGAGCCTCGGTACTAGGATCGAGGGATTACACATTGAAAGGCACCCCTTGGATCGATTCGCAGTTATTCGAATGCCGAGCTACTGTCCTCGGAACGGAAAGCGAGCCTCTAAGGATTAAGATCAAGACAAAGCGGCGGAACAGGAGGTCTCAGCGGGTCACGAGCAAGCACAAGTACACCATGTTGCGAATCAGTGAGCTGAAGCTCTTAGAGTCAACTTCATGAAAAATCCCGAGAAATATCAATGTACGAAGGTGTGGCATCAGAAAAGCAGGAGTGTTTGCCGGGTCTAGGTTCAATTACGGCCTTAAACACAGGCCTGGGTGTAGTGGATGTGAAGAGATTGAAGGGCCCGGACCTCATAAGCTTTGGGCCATCGCCTGAACCAGCCGAGATATCCTACAACTACTCTTGTGCCTCTCCAAGGAGGCTTCGAGACCACTACCCGTGGGCCTCCCGCAAGTACTTTGGGATTCTCTATGTCCAGAACTGTACCACTACAAAGTGCCTTGGAAGGGCCGATGTATTTAGAGTCGCACGCGCACTTGGGAGCTCAACATAAACCATTATTACCTGTACATTTATCATATCTGACCCCTTGTCTCGATGTATGGTGCAACACAATGTGGACATGCTGAGTTTTGAAGAATCAGATACTAATATCCCGTATTTCACATATGTTTTCTGTGAGCAACACTGCCATGTTCTATATAGTGCGCTCCTCGCCAGACGTTAATCACGCGAACCTGGTTCCAAACACTGGGGCGTCATATATCCAATTAACGCCTACAGGGAAGCTCCGGTTTGCCTAGGTTTACTTTTCAACTGAATACCTACAGATGAAGCCGTTCCTCAGTATCCGTCACGAGTATCACTTTGACTCCCACGCCATAACAATACTGTGTCGTTTCCAATCCTGCTGTATAGGCTATATGAATCAGGACAAAGGTCCAGCAACCCCTTTCCAGTCTCCGACATCAGGGTGTTCCGTAATACAGTAGATGTTCAAGCTCTAGGTATCAAATCCCTCTAAGTATGCGGATATGGAATCGTCAGAACTCGTCCCTCGTAGAATCATCATCATAGGAAAAGACGTAACGCACGCAAGGGGTCAAATACCTCGTGAAACAGCCAAACCAGCTCAGCACAGCACCAATACTCGCAGGACTAGACGGCAACGTATTTCTCGGTAATCATTCCACATCACATCAACAAGTATCCATTCAAAATGCAAATGAACCAAATATATCTGCTCATCCGACTTTTGATGACCTCAGACTCGCTTTATTCTCTCCGTGCAAACACATTTATAGATAAACTCCATCCAAAGCTAGACACCGTATTATTAATCTACCCAGTTCCAAGATAGTGCAGAAATACACTTTCTACTCGATCAAGGCCCGAATTCACTAGAAAAGCTTATCCATTAAATACGAATGTCTTGTTGCGCCTGCATACAGAACAGTAAGACATGGTGGACACACCGCAGAGATATATGAACTCACCAGCACTGGGCTTGCTATAGTAGGCATGTCTTTAAGTGTATAGCGTAGTGTATGAAATATAACGCATTTTATCAACGACTGCCGAAATTATGTGAATAATCCAGTTAGGTATTTCGCCCCTACTTCCTTCGTCACCAGCATTAGGAGGGTGCCGTAACAACACCAGAAGATGTTTCGGCGGGCAGACGAACCGACTATACTCTATTCTCATAGTAGACATCACAGTCCTTCGCCTTAGCAGTTCACATTCACAGTTAGCACAACATACCCAATATCCAAAATCAGAGCACAGACACCGACACAATTGAAAATAAAACGAATGGCGAATTGTTATTATAGAAATGGGATATAATACGCCGTCCTCGGACGAGGCACTAGCAGAAGCAATCGCTGAACAAGAAGTCTTTATCGTCGTCAAGGCCATCTAGCTGGGTCATTTGCTTTCTATACAAGAGCAAGTAGGTAGCGCTTTTCAGCCAGTTTTGCCTCCGGAACGCCGCAGGAAAAATGTACACCACCCGGTCAAACACAAAACTGATGGGGAATATAGTGCTGCGGCTCAAACCAAAGTCGTAAGTGAAACAAAGCCAGTTTTTTCCCGTGGGATAATGGGCAGGACATGAATGTATTGTATCCAACACTCGAATCCAAACCGTGAACAATAATGCCACAACCCTCCATCTTCTCCAACACCCCAAAATTTCTAATCTCTCCTCCCCTGCTTCGAACTCCCGCATTACATATCTCTTTTTTTCCGTGGTCGTAGATCTTCGTTATCAAATAGCTTTTGATTTCGTGCGTTGACTTGGCTTCCAGCCAAGTCGATTGAGTATGACCAGCAGCCATTGTGTAATCACCTGCCCTGAACCGACTTCGTGTCTTGACCGATGGCCTTGGCGACGCTGCTCCAATATGCTTGTGGCCAGACACTCAAGACCTCGGCCTCAGTGGGCATCCGCTCGCGGCACCTCGATACCACGCTCTGGATGATCCTGCTCAACATTTCTTCCGTGATAGGCAGAGAACCCTCCGGGGTCTCAACAGGGTATAGGAATGGATCTGTAGGGGCTAATAGCTCTTCGCAGGTTGGGCGAAGGCGCTGGTCGCGGCTCAAACATCGCTTCATAGTTCTCAGTAGACTCGCCGGCACCGGAACTTCGCCGATGCCGCGGTCCCCGAACTTGATGTCGTATTCCCAGTTAATGATAGCCTGGCAACGAGCCATCTGGTTCGAAATATGTCCAAATGGTGGTGTTCCGTATACCAGTTGGAACAGGATGCAGCCTAGACTCCAGACATCGCTGGCTTTTCCCAGCTTCCATAATCTGGGAAGGGTGGAATGACTGCTAATCTGCCGCCCATTGGAATCTGCTGTGTTGAAATCGATTAAACTCTCGGGGCTCATGTAATTGGGCGTTCCAACTTGTGCTTCGCGATGAACATTGACTGTCTCTTCAGTCTGGATTGCATTGGCGATGCCAAAGTCAATGAGCTTGAGACGGCCTTTGACGACCACGAAATTGGCGGGCTTGAGATCGGAATGCACGATGTCGCACGCATGCACAGCGGCCATACACTCGAGCATTTCTTGCCAGACATAACGCACAAATACCGGGTCGAACTTGGCATTCTCTGGAGAATACCTTTGACGTAGGAGCGTATTAAGATCCAGTTCACCCATTTCCATTACCTATTCACTTTATGTTAGCATACCTGTAGATATGAGGTAAATATAGCGTGAGTTAGACTTACAAGACTCAAAACTTGCTTTTCATCGTTCATTTCGTAGTCGATAAGTGTAATCACTCGTTCGACCTTACTCAGCTTTTTGAGAAGATCAATCTCCCCTTTATAGCCTCTAACTGTCCTTTCATCCGCATTTTCAATGGAAACGCGCTTCAGGGCGAACATCTTGCCGTTGTCGGCAGCCACTCGGTAAACCTTACCACTTCCTCCGCGGCCGAGACAGTCTAGACGGGAGTAGCATTTTCCGTTGACCTTCATATAGTTTCGGCGCCTCGGTACTTCAGATGTGGTAGCTGCACCAGCTGTAGATGTGGCTGCGTCTAAAATGGACATCTTTGGAGGTGGCGGCGGGACGGCACGGCGTGGCGTATTGCGGCTGAGAGAACCCAACGGTTTTCGTTCTGGTGAAAGATTGCGCAGAGCGCTCGGGTCCGTGCTTAATGGGCGACTTGGAGGCTTCACAAAATCTGTTTCTGGTAGAAGGCCGTCCGCCGGTTTCTCCCTTTTGAAGGTTGGCGGGGCTTCATTTTCTTGGTCCCGCCTTAGAGACATATTAGGCCAAGATGGAGGAGGAGGGATTACAATCTCATCGTTAGAGATTTTATGGGATTGTAAGGCAGGTTCGTTTTGTTCTGCAGGCGATGTTCGACTCACACCGAGTCTTGCTAGGGATTTGGCACTAATAGGGCTCCCAGAGCTAAGACGGTCTTGAGCGTAGTAGGAGGCCGCGAGATTGTCGATTGGTTCGCCGTGCGGTTGCTGATTGCTGGGATCCTGACTGGAAGGCAGATTGTCTGCATTTTCTGCATCTTCTTCGCTCTGTCTTCTATGCCCCCGACGAACTGGTCCGATGAGAAAGCTCCCAGGAACTACCCTCTTGACCCGCATGGAGCTTTGCAGCCCTTGATTCTCATCATTTCGAGCTCGAGAGCCATTAGAGCCTATGCGAGAAACACTTCCGATATATGATTCTTGTTGCTGACGTGAAGCTGTTTGTGGTTCGTCTAGTATGTCGTTCATCCCGTGAGAGGCAGAGTCTGCGCTCTTTGAAGATGTTGCAGAGCTACCAGTTCTGCCTTTACTGCCTGATGAGCCCACTATTCTAACAACGCGGCCCTGATGGCCTGGCGTGATGATTTCTTGATCTCTCATCTCCGAGATGTTGGCTTTCTCTTCGACTCCTCTGTCGATACTCGGAGCCCGAGTTCTGCTCGGTAACCCAGAGGCTGATAATGATGCCGAAGCTGAAGTAGAAGTGGACCGTCTTTTGGTAGATTTGAAGTTGGATCCAGCCGAGGCAGCGGAACCTTGTGATGATGCAGTACTCAGTCGCACAACTCGCTTGCGGACGGGGCCGGCGTCCTCACTGGTTTGGCTCCGAGCCGGCGAAGATTGTCGGGTGGATGGTTGCGCACTGGTAGCACGGGTGCGACGTCTCTCTTCACCCATGGAGGAGATTGAAGCGCTGAGATTGATGTTTCGCTTGACGGGTTTTGGCTGTTCGATGTGTAGTGGCGGCGACGAAGGCCGGTGACTCTGAGCTCGGGTGCGGACACGGCCGTAGTCCTTGTCTGGTTCGTCTCCGCCATCATTTAAGAGTGCTTTGGTAAAAGCACTGAGCTTGATAGGCTGAGGGATCTCGTCGTCGGAGCTGTCGCCGTCAGCGGGAAGCTGCGAATGCGACTGAGATCGAGATGACGCGTGAGCGGTAGGGATAGGGTTCGATTCGGCACGGCTCAGGGCCGATCGGGAGGTGTTTCTCCTCAAACCGGATCGTAATGATGATTTTCTTGTTAAAGCGGCGGATTGGCCAGCATCGAGGCCGATGGGCACGGGCGATGCAGTGGCCATGGCGGCGGCTGGGGGTGTTGATTTTGTTGGGTGTGTTGTTTATTGTGCGGAATGTATGGAGCGGACGGGCGAAGCGTGTCGAATCGGCAATCTGGAGAGCAATCGAATCTATCTAAAGGATGTTGTACGTGGGAAAATCGTCCATGGCCGTCCCAGAATGGTGGTCGGGGTTGGTGTCGAATGTGCTGTTGTTGGTGCAGGTCGCAAAGGTGAAGATGCAATGTGTTTGGATGGGACGGACATTTGCAGGGCTGGTCATCTTTCCCCACAGAGTTCACGCCTTACTCATTGCTGGTTGATCGGGCAACGGCAGCTTAGCGGGTCCGAGAGTTTGGACATTGGCCAATCATTCGTCCATTGAATTAGTGGGGCAGGAAAACCGGGATTCGCTGAACGTTACCCACCACAAACCTGCAATTTAATAAATGCTATGCGCACCTGGGGCACTCAGAAGATATTACTTTCTAAAGGTACTATATATGGTGACTATGTCGTAGCCAAGGTATTATGACCAAATGATCATCATATAGCTAGGTAGGCAATGAGGGATTAAAACACGATCAATCTGTAACCAGGATCTTAGGAAATAAGAAAAGTATTAAGCTAACATTACAAGAGCAGGAATTGTGATAAGGCCGTCGTTGAGCCGCAGTCACATCATACTCTACAGGGATTCAAAGCCGTACAAATTCATGCAACATTACTAGGTATAAATACGCAGGAGGCGCCTACCATCAGCTACCTTGAACATCATCTGAAAGCTGTCTCCGAACCGGGTATTACACACAAAACTACTAGCTTAAACTAGAGGATCGCTTGGTTAAGATGAGAAAGGGCGATTGACGAAAACTTCACACAGTGTTCAGAGAGAGCGCAAGTTCTCACGAATTAGACAGACAAGCATGAACATTGGAGAAGCAGGACCGGATATATTGCCCGTTATCGAATCCAGATAACGCATTTGACGTTGGAAACCCTGACAATGATCAAAGGCAAATCCCTCCACGCCAGAAGCCATGCAAGACCATCGTAGCCCATTTTTGTGTCCGTTCCCCAAGATCATGTAACTTCGTTGCCGTAAATGATATAGGACGCTTAGTCGAAAAGACCGAATCCCATGTCGTCGTCGGACTCCTCCTTCTCTGTTGTGATTGTTAGCATATCGAGGACCTACAACGCAGCGAGGGGATAGCATCAACGTACCCTCTTCCTTCTCCTCGGCCTTCTCCTCGGCGGCAGCAGCACCACCGGCAGCGGCACCACCAGCAGCGGGAGCACCACCAGCACCACCGCTGGGGACGGAGGCAAGCTTGGAGGAACCCTCAGCGATCAACTAGAGACTGTTGTCAGCGAATGTTCTCGTGTAGTTAGTGAATTATATGGGCGGTCGTACCTCATTGACATCCTTGCCCTCGAGCTCGGAGATGAGGCTCTCTAGACGCTCATCATCAGCCTCGATACCCACGGAGTCGAGGACCTTCTTGATGTCGCTAGCAGAAGGCGAGCTGTTGCCAGCAAGGCCAAGGAGGAGGTAAGCTGCGAGGTGCTTCATTTTTGTGGTTGGTACTATTCGTCCAGATTCAGGTTAGAGCGGCGCAATCTCAAGGCGAAGGATAGCAGGCGCTAGACAATATGGCGAGTAGAAGCTGAACAGGTATGTCGACTTACAGAAAGTTGGAAGTGTGTCGAACACGAGAAATCAATCGATTTAACCGCGGAATTGGGCGGAGACTGAGCCTTCGAGTTCTGTGAGAAGTTCGGTGTGACGAGGTTGAAAGTGGGAGGATGACTGCGATCCAAAAAGTTCCAGTACATAAAATGTTCGCGGGCCTTTTTTGCGTAGCGACATAATTCGTGGGTTTGTTGTGGGGGTAGATATGCAGCTATCCCGCTTTCCAATCACCTGATTAGGGTCGCATTATCATTTAGCTAGCCAGCTATATGCGCATAGCGCGGCGGGTGTCTAAAAGATACTTCGGTACTTGAGCTCCAAGGCTTCCATCCTTGAGGATTAGGTAATCAGCCAGTGAGGCTCCTCTTGGTGGCTGTGGCGGAATCCCAGTCTGCCCCAGCATCTGTGTGGCTTGCGATAGCGTGGCAGCAAATCACAGAATGTCCAATGACGTCGCGCCTCTCCAGCCACAGTTAGCTCCGTCCGCCGAGACAACAGTCTCAAAGAACAGCACGAGACCTCTTATCTGATTGTGAGTTTCCTTGCGCAACCTTGACTTTTCGACCAACTTCTTTGTTTGCTTTTGGGCTCGTGCACTCCCCCCCTCCGCATCCGTCCCCCCGGCCAGTGTCAGGCCCTCAGCATCTCTATATCAGGGTCTGGAGTCCTCTTCGTTTTCTCTGCTTACGACCATCTTCCGTCGGGCATTAATCAGCGTCTTGGGGGAAAAGTCACATCGAACACAGCCCACCCACTCATGACTCCTCAGGCCCACGACCACCTCTAACGGCCATCGCCTTTGCTCGCGAACACACGAACATCCTCCGCCGTTTCATCTAATCCGAGCCCGTCAATATGCCCGTACGTATGCTTTGATTTTCCCTTCAACGTTTCCTGTGCCACTTTGTTTGATTGTCTAACTCGGGTATGACATCAGATCGGCGACCTCCTCGCAGAGATATCCGGCGGGCAGCCGTCATCCGCCCCATCTCCTAAAGTAGCCACGTCATCGGGGATCAAGCGGAAGGCTGAAGATGGCTCAAATGGTGCAACATCAACAAAACTCACAAAAGCAAGGCAGCCTGATGGATCTTACTCAACTAGTAAGGTGACCCGTGATGCGGATGGTCGAGTTGTAGAGCGGTCGTACTCAGTCTCGCGACCAGTGAAAGCTACTGGCCTAGGTCAAACTTCAATAAAACCATCCAGTCTTCCTCACCGCACCAACTCACCTTCGACCAACGGACGCTACGAGCCACCAACCCCTACTAGCCAGCGCACGACCTCTACCTCGAACGGCAAGTTACCCGCTGCGTCCTGCAGCACCACGCAATCGAAACGGCCCTCGGACGTAGCAAGCCGCCCGAAACTGAACCAACCTGTGTCCGCTGCTGCGAAAGTGCCCCAATCGAAGCCTTCTCCCACAACACCGACGCCGTTACAGTCATCACAAGGACCTCCCAAAAAAGGCTCTTTCAAGGATATAATGGCACGTGCAGCAAAGGCTCAAGAGGTTATGGGTAAAGTTGGTATGATCCAACACAAACCTATTGATAAGGCTTCGGTGAAGAAAGAACGGGAAACTGCCAAGCCAGAGCAAAAGTCTGGCGCAGGGTCGGGTGCTAAGGGAAAGATGAGTACTTCTTACACTGGAACCGGACGGCCTTCTGGTACTACGAATCGTGGTAATGCTCCTGCAGGTGCACCCGCACGTTCTGTTTCCAAAGCTGGTGCTGCAAAAGACGGAAAGACTGGTCCCAAGTCTAAATCAGGATCTGCTGCAAATGACGTCGCCGAGAAGAAGGTTAAGAAATCAGCGACTGCAACAACCGGTTACGCAGGAACTGCACGGCCTGCTCCGGGAGCCGCGACTAAGAAAGGCCCATCTTCCAGAGGTGACCAACGCCCTGGACGTGGTGGACTTCTCGAACCTCCTCGAATGGGCCGTCGTAGTAAGTACGAGGACGAGTATGACGAGGAATTGGACGACTTTATCGATTACGATGACGAAGAAGATGATATGGGACCTAGGTATGGCTACGACTCCGAAGGGTCAAGCGATATGGAAGCCGGAATGTCGGATATCGATACAGAGGAGAGACGAGCTGAGTTGTATGCACGCGAAGAGGACAAGCGGGAGCAGGCGTTAGAAGAAAAATTGAAAAGAGAGAAAGAAGAGCGAAGACGACGATGGGCACAAGGAGGGCGATAATGCTGTGGCGAATCCTAGAACTCAGTACATGACTCACGATAATCTTCTTTCGGCGTACGGCTGTGAGGGAGCGCTACAGTTGATTATTATACCATACCCGCATCGTTTCATTCCTCTGATAGAGCGCTAATCTGCATGAAATTCGGCGTTCGGGAGAATTCTCACCGGGCAACCATTATTGTTTTTGGGAGAGATCAAACAGTTGTTTGATCCCAGCATGTCTTACATGGTGTTTGTGGATACAGGGTGGAAGGAATGAGTGCCTTAGCAGGTTATTTCATGGTGTTTAATAAAAGATTGGAAATGTGTATATTGTATAATTTAACTCATCATATGATTGGCCTATGCTTAGTGACTTTCTTGCATGTTTCAGTAGCTGCCCCTATTTGGTACTACATTCTACTTTAAGCGCCTTTGTTAATAGGATGACTAGACTAGGGATAAATGCCACTGGTCTAAGTGTATATTCTGCAGTTGCTGTCACTTTTGTCACGTGCCCCATTCAACTACATCTGGTGTTTGTCATAAGGATTACTATTATCACAAATGTCATGTCTTCTTGGGAATCTAGAAGCCATTTGCCAGGCTATCATGTAAAAGAGCTCATATTATTGGGCCACAATTGTGGCTATGAAGTCGGCACTAATGATAAAAGTGTAGATTTAAGTTATCTAAATGTCATCATTCAACCTGACGCCGTGGATCATGACATTGAATACATACTTGTATTCAGGTGAAATATGCACTAGAGACGACAGCGACAGGAGGATACATAGAAATGCAATGAACCTGATACTAGAATCACCTAGGATACCCAATGGCAACAGAGCCCACGTGTACCTGCCAGACAACACACCCCATTACCTCTTGATGATGAATAGACTGGCTCTGTCATAATATTCAGTTTATGGGCTAATTTGTATGATTCATAGTGATCTATAAAGCTGGAAATAGAAGTCTACATGCTACTATAAGAATTATAGCCACGCTCTTTCCCTATGTGTGTCCAGGTAAATCAATACAACCTATAGAAGGCACATTATTGCCACTGTATTGCCGTCATTACCTGGGTGGCTCAGAAGGTACTGATCCCAACTCACTTCCTGATAAGAAATGTTGTGTTTACCCTATAAACTTAATTCCCTGAATCCAGTTCTTGCTTTCCAAGCTGACAGGTCAACTATAGTAAGAGATACATCTCCTACCGGGTTAACCAGTCATCTGGGTACATTCACCACCAAACCGACGTGTAATATATATCAGCTGCAGGGATCTTGTCACCGCAATGGTAGTCAATGAAGAAGAATATGTTGGAATACAACACACGGGAGTTTGTACGTACCTAGGTAACCTCTCTTGTACCACTATCGGATGGCAGGTCGTTTATTATTTATTCCCTTTCTCCCACAAACCCCATTTCGTCTGTTAAATTCTCATTGTTTTAAATGTCCATCTCTTCCTCTTTGTCTTGCCTATATCCTCCAAGAGATCTCTTGCTTTTGTCTGTCGGCCACCTTTAAACCCCCTAATCTTTCCCATCCCATCTCCATCACACTCTTGCAACCACGGACATCATTTCCACCTTCTCTAACAAGAGAACAGGGCATACGATGAATCGTTCGCGGCAGAAACGCATCTTTCTTCGTCTCCGGGTTCCTCACGGTAGCCCTGCTACCTACCGGAAAAGAATCATCCAGCAACGGCGGGAAGCCGACGCCCAGAGAAAGAGACGGGAGGACGAAAAGAAGAAACGGGAAGACGAGGAGAAGAAGAAACTGGAAGATGAGATCAAGAAACAGGAGGCCGATGTCCGCATGGCCCCGGAATTTCTTGAGAAATTCAACAGGGAGAATCACTTTGGCCGAATCCCGCCGGACCCTAGCGTCTTGCCAGCTGAATTTCTCTGTATCCATTGCAAGAAGGTTGTTAAGCGAGAGGAGAACGTCAATCCCTGGGTCTGCTAGAGTATGTGTTTCCCCGTCCCGTCTCCCCCTCCACTGTCTCTTTCGTACCCCCCTTTCCCGCTCGTCTCCGTCCCGCCTCCAAGAAGTGGCAATCATGTGGTAGCCTATATTCCTCCAACATACATTTCACCCAATCCGAGATGGAAAACAAAAAGCAAATGCTTGTATATCACGATCCACAGGGCTGTAGGCGGAGCGGCTCGCCGTATATAGCCCTACAAAGGGCTTTGAAAAACTTCGTGTAACAACACCTGCCTGTCATACCGTACCCCCATGGTTGCAGCCATCGCATTGTAGGAGCTATGCTATGCAGCAAACTGACAATCACACAGAGCACTCGGGATTCCTTCACCGCCCCCAAAAAGCAATCTACAAGCCTCAGCGCTTCGGCGATGGCGAATACATCATGGTCGACGACGACGGCTTGACCTCCAGCACGCTGAGATGGAGCTGCTGCGACCGCGCCGAGGACGAGGCTCCTCGCGCAGCGGACTGGCACAACATGAGCTTCAGCCGCGGCGACCCCTCGGTACGCAAGACCCAGCTCAACCCGGAGCCTCCCCCCTGCCCGCCGACATACCATGAGCACGAGGCTGGCGCCGCCGGATGGAAAGGCTGGTACACGATCAAGGACGGGGTCTTCCAGGGGCCGACGCACGAGTAGTAATAAAGAATTCTATTGCTACGCAAAGGAGAGACTCTTGAGAACACTCACCTTACCGAGAGAACAAAGTCACTCATGCTTTCGTGCTGAGGCATCTAAAGTTGCTCTGTCCCATGAGAAGTCACCAGCTACCTAGTTCGCATAACTACGACTCGACTTATTCAACATGAGAACAGGCATTGAAGGCCATTGTACAACATCATTATATCACGCCTGTCACACTTGGGTGGAGAGGGGCTAAACCAAGGTCCAAAAAAAAAAAAAAAAAAAAAAGACCATGTATTCATTGAGTACACTGCTCGATTGCATGTGAGATAGAATCCTAGCTGGGTAGCTAGAGCATACAATACCACCTTGACGTGATCCCACGAGCGCCCGGAAGGGCCGAATTAATTATTCGCCCACCGCAGTGCAACAATACCTAACATCACCTGCCAGCAGCGTCGTAAAACCCCTCCTCCTCCGTGGTGTTTGATGTTATCTTATCGTCTTTCATTTTCTATTGATACTACTAGTTGAGAATATACCCAAATAAATGTCTAAGACAATCATCCTCATCCAGGAAGAGGAGCTGTATAAGTGATCATATATTTAAATAGGTAGCTCCCTACTTAACGTAGTTTCTATATTTAAAAAGCAACAATAGACCAAAAGACGTCCCGAAATAGCGCCTTTGGACTATAAATTTATAATGACATAACCCTCGATGCCAAAGCTTTATCTTATCATTCAGCTATATATCTACTCAATCACTTTTAAGAAGACACTCGCGATGGTTCTAATGGGCTACGATATTTATCTATCTACCTAGCCAGAAGAACAGAGAGAGAGAGAGAGAGAGAGAGAGAGAATATTGACTGAAATGTTAGACAGCAAGGTCCCGAGCAAATATTTTCTCACAAACCATTACCCCTCCGCCTTGTCATAAGTGACACAAGACACATGTTGCCCCTAAATCAAACGCCACCGGGTTTAGGTGGTAAAAAGTGGATGAGTCTCTCCCATTTATGCCTCAACTCTAGCGCGATAATTGGCGTTGCCCTACTCGCTTAAGGCTCATTTTTTTTGCTTGAGATCCTGGCATCTACATCTTAATTCGGAAAAGATATCTCAGTCGTACCTGTGACACATCATAACAGATGTATTCGTTGTACTGAAGATATGCGTTTGGAATGTTGGTCGGGCCTGGCGTAACAGTCGTATCGGGCACTAAAGTATAGAATATTAGTTTAACTGTGCTTGTGGACATTCAAATTGAGGTATTTCTAGGAAAAGATATTTTACACGTGTTTTCCAGAACTAGAGACTGAAACAATGTTCCCCGAGGCATTGGGATTACTCACTTTTCACGCCCTTCAGGGATGGATGAACGCATTCTGCATCTTTCCAGAGATTAGGCCCTGTACTACCTTGTCCCCAAGTAGACAACATGTTATTTTGTTTGGCGGTCTCGTCAGCGTTGTAAGAAGATTGGGTCAATTCCTGTAAGGGATCGCCGAGCTCTGCTTCGCATAAAAGTAGAAGCGCTTGCCCATGAGAGATGTATGAACAACAGTAGTTAGCAGACTATTAGGTCGTCAGTCAGTGTCTCCCATTAGTACAGGTCATATTAAATGTTTCTACCTTTGAGGACATGTCGGCCAAGTATATACCCTTTCCAAACATGTAGCCCGAGACTGGAGCCTCTGGTGGCGCGATCCGAAGACCTTGACTTAGAATGCCACCAAAATTGGTGCAACGCTAGAAAATTTCCACAAGTTAGGGTATCTCGATGATATTGGATTATTCTTCTCGCTGTGATTTGACAATACATACCGAACCGTGCCATAGAAGACGTCGATCACGGAGAGTTTTGTGCGATGCATCAAATCTGTTGAACTCCCCGTCGCGCTCGATGCGAAAGATTTGTTGTATCTGGAACCGAGCATTATGAGTATGACCTCGGGTATTCATTAAGTAGTTGCTCAATTGGGAAAACTCCTGGCTCTTTTGATTGAGTGGTGTCACTGGCACTAAGGTTAACGTGATAGGCCCAACGAATTAATGCACGGTGATTTATCGGGGGTACAGAGGGGGTTAAAGTAGGCTTACTCTCATTCAGACATAGCCCTCGGAATTGGCGATCAATCTCATTGAGATCCTCTTTTCTATCACCCTTCATCAAGAGTTCCGCGGCCTTCATATCTCCCAAGCTTTCTAGAAGTTCTATTTCTTTCTTTAGCTCTGACTGGAGCTGGATAACCGGTGGTCGGTTGCGCCCAAAGTTGTGAGGGATAACAGTGAAGTAAAGGTTCGATAGCTGCTCACATGCGTCATTGACGGTGGTGAGGTACTGGGAAGCTGCGAGAGATGGGTCATCTATCAAAGCTGATAGATCTTTCAGTGTCTGAAAGCCTCGAGTAATCATTGCTTTACTGAGTTTACCCAGAGGCAACTTTTTGGAATCATAGTTGAGGTCCGACATGGCGTTTGTGAAATACTCCTGGTTGAATATAAGCTGCATCAGATCCTGAACGGGTCTTGGCAACCTCGATTCTGGCTCGTCCTCTTTTTTCACTTTCGTTTCGGCTTCATCCGCATCATTTTCCTCTTCCGAATCGGGTTCATAAGACTTTTCAATGAAGGCATATTTGCCAGGTTTCGGCTGCTCGCCACGATCTTCCCATGCCAACCCTGACTTGGATTTGAACTTCTCTCTGAATACTTTCAGGGCGTCATCTAATGAGCCAGACCCGAGGGCGCTATATTGGCCACGCTCGCCTACACGACCCCACCGAGTCCACGTTTTGTAGTCGCCAGTAGCAGAACGCAGTAGCTAAAGATCATGTGTTAGCATAGTGTGAATAATCTAAAAGTTTAGAAAAGAGCAACATGCGTGGCTACTATAATGGTAATTATTGGGGCGTAGACGGGCACGGGTATGTGACACGGTACCGACTGCGGTAACTGTGCAAGGTGCAGTTATGTAAACTTACCTGGACGCGATAAAACTTGTTGTTGTTGTTCTTTGCGTTGGTTTGATTGAGCGAGGCGTCATAAATGATACCACTGCCATCGATATACACATCGTAGTTGTAATATTGCTGGTCGGCAACTTCATCGAGGGGGATCTTCACATCCAGAGACTTCGCTATTTGAGCCTCGGCAACCTTGGGTTCTTGCTCTTCGGGTTCATCGATTTCAGGCGTAGCCTTGCCCTTGCCCTTCTTGGCTTGTGGAGGTTGGGTGTCGCCACCACCAGTCTCCGGTGCTTGTCGCTTGCGAGTGCCCCGGGTTCGGATAGAGACGTCAATACCGTCAGCATTGTCGGTAGTAGTGGCAGAGGCAGTATCATTCTGAGGCAAAGTGTAGGCCTTCTCATTCATGTGCTTCTGTCTATCAAGACAATCTTCTAGCCACTCGAATGTGACAATCGGAATGCCCTTAGTTCGAGCAGCGATGACTTTAGTTGATGGCTTATTGAAGTCAGCCGTGCTAGACACGAGATGAGTAGTGGAATCCGAGACAGATTTGTCCAGAACAGCACCCAATGGCACAATGAAATTCTTCTCAATTGTGGGTTGCGTACGGCGGGGGATGGAGCCGCTGATAGCTATGTGCAGGCCATCCAAGGCAGGGGAGGCAGGCGCAGCGTCCTTTTTCTTGCGTGGCGGCATGGCTGGGGGATTAGAGACAGAGCGTAGAAGATGGGAATACTGTATGAGCAATGATGAGTGAAGTGAGATGAATAGTCAGAACACCTGAGTAGATGATAAATGGTGAATAACAAGACTGCCCAGGTGATGAAGATAAACCAATGATCTTATGTGATGAAGGACGAGGACACTGGAAGAAAGCAACTTGAGCTCTTCCTGAGGCACAGCGCAAACACAGGTAGAGATGGCTGGGGAACGAGCTGTAATCCGACTCAATTGAGCTGTATTGCGTTGAGTTGAATTGAATGGAAATGACTGGAATCAACGACGTGAGGAAAATAAATATTTGAAAGTGCACGTCGTCGCTCCTTAGGCAACCGTTGGCCCTTGCCTCCCGACCACGGAAATCAGTTGAGAGCGGGAAGGCACACGATCAGGTATCGAACATCACATCAAACGCGAAATCACGTGCCATGCAAAGGTACTAACGTTAGGACTTTGCATAGGGCCAGTACCTACATGCATCCCTTCAAAGAGCTAGCAATTTCGAAATTTGTATACCGGAGACTTGCACGAGGGCCCTTGCGGCTGAGAATAGCGGAGGAACAGCTCATGGCTTCGTCTTGGCGTTGGTGTGCTGCCTGTCGAGTCTCCATCAGATCCCAAGGCAGCCAGTGCTGCCTTGATGCGGTCTGCCATAAATACCGAGCTAACAAGATTATGAACTCTGGATATAGATCATGGTAAACCTACACGCACAAGGTATTCAAAGCCAGTAGCAAAAAGCACTTAAATAGCTGATCATTCACAAATTCTGATATGGGTTTGATAGGTAGATCTGCTTGCTTGGAATGATACCAAGCCAATTCTGCTCTCATTGGCAGGTGGTGGCCAATTGGGAACATTCTCGCATTTCTGAAGTTCTGTCAATTACTTGAACTTCGTCGGAATGAATGTCTCATCTCGTATGCAGGCATAGATGTAACGGTCCTGTTGACAGGTTCGTAAGGTCAGCCTGCTGATTTCATGATGAAAAGTTGGGTGCAGCTGCAGAGTTGAGCTGTTCCTATGTAGCTGGACAGGACAAGAGAGAGAGAGACTAGGTATTTTATTCCACCCATCTCACGATATGGATGAATTACTCGGTTCAACGGTGCTTCGGGGAAAAGGATGATAGCGAGATGCGCCGAGATTTGGAAGATCATAACTTCTACTATCACCTAAATGTTTTTAGTAAAAAAATGTTTCAATAGGAACTTTATCACGAGAATATTAATTGCCTGATTAGTGGCCTGACCTACGCGATGCTAGCTAGCAGCAGCAGTGCTGTAGTTGCTCTAGCGGCCTAGGCTAGATGCCGCCTGCCAGGTAGCATTACGAAGTAGATCCCAGCCCCTAGCAGCCCCTAGCATGCCTACCGGTAGGCTAGGTACCTGCTGTTGCTCCGGTAGTGCCTATCTTATCGCGATAACACGTTGACGATAACCTTAATTATGGCCTGGGTATGTAGGTACCTATGTACCTACTGTTGTTGTACTTAAGTATCTACTAGTAGGTATTACTTATTCTTGACAAGAAGACATTTACGTCACCATTGCGACCAAGACTTTGGGATCAGCAGAATTCTTGAATACGACTTCCTAGGCGTCGAGGCTAGTGTTGAAACCATTTTGTTGATGGATATGAAATCCGCGGGAAAGAGAACGTTTAGATAGAGGAAGTAACGCCGGTTTGTTTCAAATTGATATTATGGTCTCATGCGCCAGAGAGAAAGAAAAATTTCATTTTGATAAAAAAAAAAAAGAGATAAAGCTGCATACATACATTAACCGATAAGCATCCGAAAGATTTCTAGCAACCACCAAAGTGTTGACTCGATGAGATCGAGTAATATATCTCCAGGCTGCGGGGGCCCTATCTGACCTATCTGACCTACTGGGGCGCTAGACAGGCCGGCCCATAAGCCAAGCCCGTCATTGTTGCGGGGCACTTGACGTCGAACCCTGCCCTCGCCTGTCTTCGCCTGTCCTCGCTCCGCCCAGATGCGGTTGTTGGTCTGGCAATCATGTGCATGGGCGTTTGCGGAGGAGGGGGCCGAGGGGGCTGGATCACTTACATTTCCTCGAGCACTTGCTCCTGATCGACGGACCAATGAGCACTGTCGCCCGTCCTTCTACGCCAACGGTGACACCGGCGGAACTCGTCAAGCCCCAGCATGGGTCGCCGTCACCTGGCTCGAGCTAATGAGATAGCAAGTGACCGCTGGTCGCTGATGAAGCGGGGGGAGGGAAAGGCCATCATGTATTGCAAGGTCCATGGTGTTGCCGGCAGGAACTTGCGCTGTGTCTTTCGTCTGATATGGTAGGTAGCCCCTAATCCTGGATTAGCATCCAGGTCCATCAGAGTCGGACGACAGGGCAGGCTCTGCTTTCATTTGTTATCTGTTGTGGACTGTATATATAACCTGCAACTCCCATCACCTTCTACGAGCTGATGTGCTCTGATACTACATATGTACTCTGCTGGACGCCCTACTTGATCACACCCTACCCCCGGCACCTCAGCTACTAATATCTGATATCATCGTTGGATGAAGTAGCATTAGCTTTTAAAGTTCTAGGTGCCGCAAACCTTACCTCTGCACCTATCCCGAACCCCCTTGCTCCCCTGTCCTGGTGCTGGTGCATGGTGGATATTACCAAAGCATTACTCGACAGAAACGCTCGTGAGGCTCTCAACCGTCGACACCCCCGTGGGGTTCGCTAGACGACGACAATGCAGAGGTTACATACTTCCCGGGGCAAGTCATGGATCGAGAAGGTGGCGGTGGACAATGAGGAGGGCCTCTCCACAGCCCAGCTTATGGTAAAGTGACCTGTTTCTCTCATACCCGCCGGCGCCCCATCTACGGTACCTCGGTGGGCACGTGCTCGCCCATCTACACCGCGGCCATACCGGCACCGAACTTAGACTAACATCTGTACCTCAACTACTTAGTTGACGAACAATGACCTGAAGCCCGTTGAGCCGGCCCGGAGGCAGTGGGGCCCGTGGAACTTTGTCGGCTTCTGGGTCGCCGACTCTTTCAACATTAATACATGGATGATCTCCTCTGCTAGTATCGTCAATGGCCTTTCATGGTGGCAAGCATGGCTCGGTGTCTGGCTTGGTTACTCTATCGCCGGTGCCTTCGTGTGCACAACCGGTCGCATTGGTGCGACTTATCATATCGGCTTTCCCGTTGTCAATCGTGCCAGTTTTGGTATCTGGGGTAGTCTATGGCCGGTACTGAACCGTGCCGTCCTCGCCGCCTTCTGGTATGGTGTTCAGGCCTACATCGGCGGACACTGCGTATACCTCATGATTAGAAGCATTTGGCTTAGCTGGGATCGAAACACCATTCCCAACACCTTCGCCGCCGGTTCCGGTACGACGACTGCCGACTACGCATCCTTCTTCATCTTTTGGTTGGTCTCGCTTCCGGCTATCTGGTTTCCCGTCCACAAGGTCCGTCACCTATTCACGGTTAAGGCCTACTTCGTTCCTACCGCCGGCATTGCTTTCTTTATCTGGGCTTTGGTCAGAGCTGGCGGTCCAGGTCCCATCATCAACCAACCTGCAAAATTAGAGGGCAGCGAATTAGCCTGGGAGTTTGTGAAGGGTGTCTTGAGTTCCATTGCCAACTTTGCCACGCTCATCGTCAATGATCCGGATTTCGCGCGTTTTGCTACCAAACCTAGTGACGCCTTTTGGCCACAGCTGCTGACTATCCCTATCGGCTTCGCGGTGACCTGTTTCGTGGGTATCTTTGTCTCGTCTAGCTCCGTCATCATTTACCCTGGCTCGCAGCCTATCTGGGATCCTCTGGATTTACTTGAGAGATTCATGTAAGTCGGGAATGAATACTCATGGATATGCGTAGGACTGAGGCTAACATACTGCTTATAAGTGATGATGGTGGTTCCGCACAGCGCTTTGGTGTTTTCGTCATCGCCCTCGCATTCGCACTGGCGCAACTGGGCACCAACATTGCCGCGAACTCAATCTCCGCTGGTACTGATTTCACGGCATTGCTTCCGCGATTCATCAACATCCGTCGTGGTGGATATCTGTGTGCAGCTATCGGCCTTGCGCTTTGCCCCTACCAGTTCCTCTCGTCGTCAAACAACTTTGAGACATACCTATCAGCATACTCTGTCTTCTTGAGCTCCATCGCCGGCGTCATGGTTAGCGATTATTACTTCGTTCGTCGCGGTTATCTTGGAGTCAAGGAACTCTACGACGCACGCAACACTGGCCCTTATTACTTTACCTTTGGTGTCAACTGGCGCGCATACGCAGGTTACATCGCTGGTATCTTGATCAACGTTGTGGGATTCGTCGGCGCTGTTAATGGCGGTAATGTCCCAATAGGTGCTACAGTAAGTTACCCCTACTGTTACCGGCCCCTCAGGCCCTCTACTATTCCATCAAAAAGAGCATTTACTAATCACAACGAATTATAGTACATATATAACGTTAACTTCTTCGCTGGGTTCATCGTAGCTGCAGCGGTGTACTGGATCTGCTGCAAACTGTTCCCCATCCCGGCATGCAGCGACACATGGCTTGAGGTTGGAGACCAGGTCGACGAGGTCACGCTCGCCTACAACGACGATACGAGCGCCGCTGGAAGCATCGCTGGTAGTGATAGGCCAAAGAAAATTGACGAGGAGACTGGTTTGGACGAAAGAAGTAGCACTGGATATCGCACTATGCATTAAGCGAATTAGACTTCATCAAAGCATTTGATGCATGTTATTCTTTCTAATTGGATAGAAGACAGCAATATTATTTTTCAACATCCTTACTCATACTAGTACATACTCTCATCCTGGAATCTATGAGTTGAGCAATTAGATCGTGTTGGTGTTGGATAGTAGAAAGCCTTTTTTTCATTGCAGGAATCCACTCTGCAGGGCCAAATGGCTATGCCTACCGTACCTGCCACCAATCCCATAAAACATAAAAAAATCAACTAACGTGTCTTTTATGAGCGGCACTTTATTTGGGATTTCTTAGATAAGTTTTAAAAAGGTTTAATTAAAAATGGCAAAAGATTGACCTCGCTGGGGGTCGAACCCAGAATCTCCTGATTGCGCGTGTGAACTTGTTTTCAAGTTCTGATCGTAGTCAGACGCCTTGCCATTGGGCCACGAAGCCAGTAGTGGAGGTGTTGTTGTTGTTATTGGATTGAGTGTGATGTAAGTATTGACTATATTCTGTAATTGATTAGGTATTCCACTTGAAGTATTTCTAAATATTACCCAGTCAAGGACATAGAGCCGATCGCGCTACTTGTTGTTCAAGTTTTCGGCCAGGTGACATCTTCTCTGAAAAGTCTGAAGCCTGCGTACTTGAAGTGAATAGAATTCAAGTCAGTTGCTTAGGTTCGTCTGGAAAAGTATGAAATATGCTTTCGCATTAAAGGTTATATCTATGCTGGACTGGAATTCCTTAAACAAGTAAGATAATCTTCTCGTGTTAGCACCATGTCAAGAACGGTGTGGCGTAGGCGATGGAATCATAATACAAATTCAACGAAGCAGATGTTGTCGTTGACGGTCCATCTTACGAGTTTCGGCATTCATGTGATGAATCTAGGTTACCGGGCTAATTCAGATCCTATCGCCACTTTACAACCTCTGCTAACTTTCAATGGTTGAGAGTAATGACAGTAAAGTGTGTATGATCTCACTGTGTGCTTCAAAGCTGCATGTCGAATTAGAAAGACTTGTCTCCTACACTACTCACAGTACTGTATAAAAACAATATAAATCGATGAATGAGAGTAGGTGTTGTAGGTATATGAGGGGTAGACCAGGACTGTACAGAGCTCTTTGAAATGAAGGGTCACAGTTGCTGACCAACCCCGCTGTCAATTCTGCGTCAAGATGATAGTAAATGCCCATCATAAGGGGCAACCAAGGATGGTAACGATGACCGACTCCGGGGATCACGAATATATTTAATTTATTCTATTAATATTTTCTCATAATTTCCACAGTTAGTGACAACTCTACAAGTGTTACATCTATGCTGTCGTTGCATTATCAATTTTAACTTTAAAGCTCAGGATTACATCAACTAAAGCATTAATTAAATCTTAAGGCGAGACATATACAATATCTTTTAGTGCACCAACGTATGGTGGTTCACAAAGTGCATATTATGCTGTCTGAGTCTTATTGATAATGCACTGAAAACATAGGCAAGGGAAAACGCGGGTGATGTGCGAAATAAACTAGCGAACTAATTGACTATTCAATGATTATACACCAGTACGTCGAGAATTCTTTTCATATGATATTCATAATATGTCGTAGAGTCTGATTGGTCTAGTCGACCACTCGCCGAAATAGCACTGTCCATGAATGTTACGAACATAGGTTAAAGAAATCATCTATACTATTTGAGAGCCAGTGAAATGAAAGTTTAGTATGTAGTAGATAGCGTCGACATAGCCACCATCGCTCTAATTAATTACCTACCCAGCTTACGTAGGTGGAATATTGCAGGGTCTCACATCGTACACAGTTCGTTAAACCTCCAATACAATTGACTCGATAGTTATAAAAGCTTACGTCGCAGTTAAGTTATATCATAATCTTACCGATCGCCCAGCAACACTACATGATTTGTTGGCAAACTCGGGATAGCTAGCGGACCCTACAACAGGGATTCTTGTCAGAATCGCCACACAGCCTCTCATGTTCTCTAGCTTATATAATTAGGCATCACATCACGCCATGTAAGGGAAAGAGCATAATGGTTGATCAGTTGCAACGAGAGCAGACACCATGCATTCTTTCTCTATCGTACGACTATCTGTGGCATTGCTGTTAAGCAATTACCCCTTTTCGAGTGATGCAGCCACACACAATGTCACAGTCCCCGCAACCGTACCCGATAACGCGTCCAAGGTCATAGATCGGTCCTTTACGGGGTTCGCATTCGAGCAATCATCATTCTTTGATTACTCCTTCGATGCTCAGGGAAACCCTAATGAGTTCTCTCAGAACCTAGTTAGCGCCGTTTTGAGCCGCACCAGCGGTACACCTCTGCTGAGGGTGGGTGGGACGTCTGGAGACCATGGCCGATACGACCCATCACAGGAAAATTCAACCAACTTTCCCGCAACGGAATTTGGGCCCAAAACCAAGATTTCGGGTGACAGGCTGGTCCTCGGACCGCCCTACTTCAAGGCCTTCAAGAATTGGCCTGGGGCTAAATTTGAGATGATGGTGCCGTTTTACAACACCACATTCAGCCATACTATAGCCTGGGCGCGCGAGGGTGTGGAACAAATGGGCATGAACAATTTGTACGCTCTCGAACTAGGCAATGAGCCTACCTTTTATCCTTGGTTTTCCATCGAGGAGTACGTGACGAGATTCAAGAACCTTCAGGGGCGCCTCATAGATGCCATTCCCTCTTTAGGCGACAAGCGCATCTTCCAGGCTTTCGACACCGCATCATACTCGGCTGGCGACCTCAAAACCAAACCAACTTTCGAGAGCGGCCTAAACGCTGCAGCCCCAAGCATCAAACAGGTCGCCTATCATTACTACCAGAATCAACATGGAATCGCCAACTGGGGCAATTTCCAAGAATACATACGCCACACATCGACAAAATCCAATCTTACCAATTTCCTTCCCAACATCAAATATCTTGAAGAAGACCACTCTGCCATCGAGTTTGCATTCACAGAGGCAGGGTACACCGTCGGCGGTAAGGGCGACAAGGAGCACGTAATCAAAGCAAACAACTTCGCGTCAGCTCTTTGGTCGCTGGATTTCCAGCTCTGCGCCATGAGCATGAACGTGAGCCGTACCAACTGGCAACAGATCGTGAGATCGGATCTTCAAATGTGGCGACCAGTCAAGACATCGTTGGGCGGGCCTCGAGTCACAGCACACTTCTACTCACAACCTTTCGTGGCCGACTTCATTGGGAAGAGCGGAAAGACACAAGTCGTAGAGCTCGATGTCGGGATGCCTCACAATGGGCTCTATGCCGGGTATGGCGCATACGATAACGGGAAGCTGGCGCGGGTCGCCCTGTTAAACCTAGAACTCTGGGACCAGAAGCGCAGTAGCGGTGATCGCCCGTCTGCTAAATTTTCTCTATCGGGACTTAAGAATGCTGGCAGGAAGGTTATGGTGCACCATCTCAATGCAGAAAAAGGCGCTTTGGCGCAGAATGGTATGACTTACGCTGGCTTACAGTGGACTTGGGCTTCGAAGGGAAAGCAGAAGAAAGTGAAGGATGACAGCAGGATACTTGATTTTGTCGACTCGAAAGTCGACATCATGGTCAATGCAACTCAGGCAGTGCTACTTGAGATCCAGTAGGGAGGGGAGATTCTGTAGATGATGGACATTCGGCATTTGTAGCAATAAGTTGTGAACATAAAATGCAGCGTAGGGACAGGTCACTATCCCTAAAATGGAAAGCTTTGCTGGCGAAACTGTATCCATTTGATACACTGTGAATCAAAGTACGGAAGCACTTCGATCTACTATTACCTACAGCCATTTGTATCCTCAGTCAGATGATAATTTATCAGGGGAAGACCCTCTCAGACATCCCTTCGTCTGCGGCGCTGGTTATACTGTTAGGATTAAGAGTATATTACCTGCTACCAGCTCTATTAGGGATGCATCGCGAACTGCTACGTTGCCGCTTACACACACTATACGGTAAAGCTCTATAAACGCTACTAAACTTCACAGTTAAAATTCTTCATATTTAACTTCCTTTTTGATAAGTGACGGCTCAGGTAAAGCTTTCCAATGATGTCTGATACCTAGTCTATCGAGACATTTACTAAACCAAGATTTACCTCGTTTCTAGCTCCGAGGGCAGTCAAATTGCTATGACAGATGATGCATAAAGCACGTTAGATTTGATTCCTTTCAGTGGTAGATAGTTATTTCACTGTTAGTCCATATAAGGCTAATAATATCGACAAATTAATCGTACAGTGACATGTAGTAGGCCAGAGTTAGTTGCTAGGTCTTTCTTCTCAAGCTACAAACAAGTAGGACTTTGGCAACGATATAAGATTCTTGTTGAACCTTAAATACATGCCTTACTTCCGAATTAAGGTTCTTTGGAAACTATTTGAAGTTTAAACAGCAGCGATGCTTTTGCTATCCCCCTCCAAGTCTCAAAAAATAAACTTTAAGAGAACTCGAAACTCGACCTGTTCATTAGGTGAGATGAATCTTCTATTCGAACAGCCTATTATTTTTCGCATTCAACCATTGCTGATTCCATTTAACTTTATGGCAGGCCAGGTCTTTATAAAGATCGATAGATTCCAGGTTAGATTAGGGCCTTCCTCCTTGTGCAATGTCAAAAGGTTGATGTTACTTAATCCTTAAAGTCGAGGCTATTTCAGCTAGAATTACAGCTTCTCACCTTCATAGATCTAAACCACCTAATCAAGGTTCCTTACTCTTCGACAAATCCCGACCATCACTCCAAATATAAGAAAGGGCTGGCCCTTCCAGCCCCTCTACCACTTATCTACCAATATGGAAGTCACAGAATACGCACTCGACATCTTCATATTACTATGGACGCGACCTATTAGACAGTCCCGCAAGGAACAGAGCGACAGCCGCCTTTTACAGTTGCCGGTTGAGTTGGTTTTATGTATAATTGATTTCCTTGAACATAAGGATCTTATTCTGTTTTCCTTGGCTTGCGACTCGTTACGAGCCATCCTCCAGAAACAGATAAGTACCATCAAACTTTCTCGCGTCGATCACCTTTCATATCTTGCTAGTTGTGCTAGAGTCCAACCTAACAAGTAGGTATGCGAGGAATGCATGGCCCTTCATTGCATGCGCGAGCGCGATACCCCTGCAACTCAACGCAATGAATCCTCCTGTTACTATCAATCAGCATTCCAGAGAGGCCACAGAGACAGGATACGAACGGACACTCGCCTTATTTCCTGCTAGATACGCATTGATCACTGCCATATTCAGCTTGCTCTGAAAAGAGCTCGCTTACAACAGTATGATTCATATCTGAAACTCTTATTGGAACCATATCATGTCATGAACTACCAAACTGCAGTCTTCACATTATTTGAGGTTAATTACTCAGCATATCCCAAGATCGTAAAGACTCAAAACGGTGACCTTAAATTCCTCCTTCTATCTACGTGGCGGTATTATAAAGGCCATAATAGAATATCATTCTATGGAATTGGACACCTAACAATCTGCCCTCATATACACCTGGGTAGTTCTCACGCACTGGGTTCTGAGCTTTATAGGGCCGTAGAAAAGACAATAGCCAACGGCCACGAACATAAAGGTGCTTGTCCTCGGTGTGCTACTGACTTCTCAGTCCAGCTTACTGCTCGAGGCTTGGACTTGAAGGTTTGGCAAGACTTTGGGCCGGAGGGTTCTCCTGGAGACCTTGCTTGGGCAACCCACTGCCAAAGTATTGATGTGGATGGGGCCCCAAACTACTTGGACTTAGGGCACGCGTTATATCACGAGCCAGGGACAGTGAGACAGCTGTATGAGGAGCGTGGGATAGGTGAAGAACAGGACTAGCAGCATTGGTAAATTTTGGCCCCACGACTATAAGTACAACTCAGCATCATATACACCAGTAGTTACATATTAGATAGTAGGTTAAGGAGACTATATGGAAATCGACGTTAGATATGCTAGCTATCGGGCACTCGAAGAATTTGAAGAGCTTAAGTTAATATAGCTCTCCAGGTGGCTTCGTGACACCCATCCATTTTAAAAGTTTCGAATACCATAGTGAAAGTTTTACAGATTATATCAGCAGAAATTGATAGAAGTTATGGTAGCCCTTGAGATGAACTCAGGCACTTGTTTAAAAGCGCGAGCGGCGGTTTCTACAGCTGTAGCCGCCACAGTCATCGATCTAATACGGTTTGTTTATTACTATATCCAGCTCTATTGATTACGAAACTGAACGCTTCAAACTTTAGTAAACTAGTTCTTTGGATATGTTCACACATTCATTGCGAAAGCGCACTAATGGCGGTTTATGGTTGCTATAGCGAGGAGGATCAGCTTTTTAGTCAGCAGGGATGCCTGTGTCGCTGCTGGTCATTTGGCATGTTTGTGCTTACTGAAGTTACTGTCATGAGGTCGCCTCCAGGGAGACTCGGAACACATCATAAAGGCTCAATATACATAGCCTTAGCGCAGGCTCGACGGTCTTAAGGGAGCCTCGTGTAACAATGAATGTCATATGGCACGCCCGTGATGATAGGTTGATAGTAAGGGATGCAGGTGCAACCTATTACTATCCTATATCAATACTCTTTTTCCTACTACGATGACCTCCTCTTGTTCCCCTCCTTCTTTTTAATTATCGTAAACACCACCTCTAACGTGATACTCATTCACGCGCTTATTTTCCTTGACGGAAATTTTCGAGATAAATTCCTCCATAATTGAAGTCATCATGAGTACTGAAGCGATTCGCGGCGTGGCCACTTCCAACGCCGAGCTCTTTCGCATCCTCAACGAAAACCTTGATACAGACGGTCACATTGAATGCGAAGGCACCCAGCTTCCTCTCAAGTCCATGACAGATGACAAAGTCAATGAACTGATTACTGAAGAGAAGACCAGAGAGTATCTCGGGGAAAGCCTTGACTTCTTGGATTCTGCTGAAAGGCAGCAATTCGTCAGCAAGATTGTGCAAGAGGCCAAAAAGGTCTTTGCTACTGCTGTCCTAACAAGGCTTGATGGAAAGGTGATCTACCGGATCATTGATCATTTCAAGATCACCGATTCTAAGCTACCGGTCAGGCTGACAGAAGGCGAACCCTTGAATGAGTACTTGTCGAAGAATGATGGTTGGGAATTCTTCGTAATTCAATGGTATTTTGATGTGTAATGGCATCCGAGGAGGTATGTCACACTTCTAGCGTTGCGTATGAGTCCGAAGGGCTTTACATCTTTTTACATTTCCTAAGTATTTGGATACAAGATCTTTTCTTTGCTCACTCGCCTTATAATAGAGTACTAACTCGGGGCAGCAGAAGCTGCAATGATATGGTAGGACAAGGTCGAGCTGATGATGATGACGATGATGACGGAGGGTCTATGATGAGCATTCTGTGGCAGTGGTGAGATGAAAGGGTTGATCATAACGTGAAAATAATTACTGTTCGTTCTTCTTGTTTCGCTGGGAAAGGAAGCGGCGGTTAAGGGGTTGATCGTACGAGAGATTTTCGGCCTGGGTATCAACGCAAGGATTTTTAGCAACCTTAGGGAGTCTAGCTTAACTTTCCTAGATTTAATATTATGCCTGTAAAGAAATATTTCTAAATGTGATTAATGTTTTAACAGCTGAGGGCAAACTTTTTGCTGTTCCCTTATCTGTCTTATCCCTGGGACGGCCATATGATTTGACTGTAATAAATGCTAGAATCAGGGTACTACCTTCAGGAGAAAGGTGACTAAGGGATAAGTGTCCATGCAATCGAATGTAATTCATACAAAGCGCATTACTCAGGTAATACATTGACCTACTCCTTATATCCCTTCCTAGATCACGGAAAGATAGACACTAGCTAGATGGCAAGAAGGACCACAACTAAGATAGTACACCTATTTCAGGATCTCCAATGTTAGCCCAATATTACAGAAAGCAAAGATTTAGCAATTGTGTTATTAAGTCCGCATAACCTCACTTTCAATACTGCCCTGCACGTCTCTCGAAGATCATGAACAGCCTGCGACAGCCTGCACCACGTCCATAGCGAATGGCGAACTGCATGTCCAGCTTGTACGCGTGTAACACGTACACATAACACTACCACGCCGCTTACTCACGGAATTCGAAGATGTTTGAATCATAACCGAAGATGGAATTTCCTTCGATTCTAAAACGGTCGCAGTCGCAAATGGATTCGTATGTCTTTCTCACGACCCGGTCTATTGTTAGTAATACGCCGACAATGATGAATAGTATTCTGCCACCATCAATCAGCCAACCCCGCATTAAGTAATTTGCCCAAATACAGCTACCTGCCTAGGTATTGGATCTTGCTAAGACTACTTACCTAGAGAGGGCACAAAGATCCTATGATAGTCCTATGTAACAGCGACCCATTAAGATTAATTACAAGTTTTCTCAGGGTTGAATTCGTTTATCAGAACAAATTCCATCATCTCTCTAAACCAAGACTATCTTCTTCAGCAGCTGGATTCCGACACCTAGAAGTTCACCATGGTACGTGCGTGTACACCGGTTTCTAGATACAATAAGGTGACTGACTATCTCAGTCTTTTACGATAGACCAATTAGACCCGAACATCTCCTTCGACGACGCGAAGCCGACGCCGAGATGGGTCGTGGGGAAAGGCCAGAAGGTACACTGGCGCTCCTGTTTCGTCCGGGTCTACACGAGCACGGACCGGCAGTTCGCGAAAGCGAACTTCGAAACGTGTGACGGCCAAGTGACGGTACCTCAGGGCAAGGAGTTGTTTCTCGGAGGCGAAGGCGGACGTGTCAAGGAATAAAGTAAGTCCCGTCATTCGACCGAGTGTAATTGATCCCATATGTTCACACAAGTATACAGATTCGTGTGCAAAATCAAAACGCCTGCATCGTTCGCGTCTTGGGATATCACCATAGACACTGCTCTGGTATGGTCTGAACAGAGCGCCATGACATCCTCTTGATACGTAGGGCTCTCCCGAATCGCCGTATCGAGCAGCTGGCCGAAGAACGGCGCTATAGCTCTCGCTCTACACCCGCTTATTGTAGCCCATGTGCTGGGCAGGATCTGGGCATTACCTGAATTGATATATCTAAGTCCGTTGGTCGTTTCTAAGCGCACGCCGAAGAGTGTGTTAGCACAGCTTTCTACGTGCCCGCTGTGTATGTTGAGTGTGAGCTGGCAGATGTCCGAATTCTTGTATGACATTCCAATATGCGCCACGAACGTCTCCTGCTCATATGAATATGATTTTTCTAGAATACGGTAAAGCTGGTCGGGTAGGGTCTCTTTGGCTTTAGATACAGGTGTTGTCGAAAATGAATGTTCAAGACTAGCTTTTTGCGCGCTTGTGTCTACACATATAGGTATGCGCTGAGAGCTGTCGGCGTTGGTTTCAGTTATGCTAGGGGAGCGGTGTATTTGCGATGTATCCGCAGAGTCGTGTTCCCGTGAGCTTAATGTACTAGTGACGGCTTCCGACGATCGTGTTCGAGGGGACATGGATTCGTCGTGAGCGCGGGGTCCTTATTCAACGTTAACAGTGCATTCCATATAGTTAGGAATGAGGGTATGAACAAACGTTTCCTCGGATTGGGTACCGGTAAATCCACCCAGGCGAGAATTCTTTGCCTCAGTTCGGGCCCTATGTTGTCGGATATTTTCATCACAACCTCTTCTTTATGTTTGAAGGGCGTATTATCTAGCGCCTGAAGGTTTCTTCGCAGCTGGGCTTGACCTTTACGGTGGCTGCGGCTGAGAGCTGTCCTTCTAGCAGCGCGGTATGCTAGGCAGACGATGCCATCGCGTTGGAAAATAGGGTCGATAGTACCATAGCTATTCGGGTCTGGATACGAATACCATGGAGGCTGACAATTAAGGCATTTGAGTTCAGCTAGAAGCCATCTGGCGTCGTATTCTGCTGTAGCCATTTGCGACTACTGTATGGCTTGACCATGCTCGCGGGGAAGAGTGGTTAGGTATGTAGATAGAATACTGAAAACAAGAGAGTATCATTCATCTTAATCTTAGGTAGAGGGCGAAGCGTTTCGCGGCGCGATCGCGAACAAGGATTCTTTACAGCGGGGTTCTCGGGGCTCATATTTACAATTCTACCCCTCTTGGTATTGATTATGCTATTATATGCAGCTCATATTAAGCGACGTAACACAACCTATACTGTCCCTCTGTGTCCCACAGCTCCTCTATGTCATCATGAAGTTATATGAATCATATACAACATAAGTATCTAGCCCGGCAAGTAATTACCTGAGGTAAGATGTTCACCGGAAGGGCAATACTATTATTTCACATTCTGGTTTCCACATTTTACCATTAAGCTGTTCATCTTATACCTCTCCTTATAAGAAACAACCAGCGAGATACAATAACAATAATTTGCCAGATATAAACAAGGTATTTCTGAAGAACGAACCCAAGTTCTTCAAAGAAACAGCATCGACTAACAGGTGAGAGAAACCATGTCATCTCATCATTCACGATATCTAATATAAACAATTCCCCAGCTTCTGCCCGAACTCAGAAAGGTCTCTACAATGACAGCATCCCACCACCCCACCATATCAACCAAGACAAACCCTGCTCCACGGTCAAATGTCGTAACATATCATCTCCTAACAACCTCATTAAATTCTGGCATCAGTCTGTTCTGTAACTGATTAATCACCCATTATGCTTTGCAGCTCCATATTTGCATTATTATAATACTGTAATAGAAACCGCAAACTTCATACAAAGGTTATGGGACATTTCCAAGGGCCTCGTGGCCTAATGGCTAGGGCGCTAGATTTCGGTGCTATATAGCAGCAGATTCTCTAGAGATTGTCGGTTCGAGTCCGGCCGAGGTCGATAACTATCAGAGTCATAGTTGTACAATTTTCTTTTGATGTTTTGGATTACCTCAACTTTCTCTCTTTCTTTTTATCTATGTTCAGTATGGGTGGGGGTGGCGCATAATTCAATTCTACTAAACAGGTTTAGTTTTTTCTGAGCAAGGAACCCTGAGTGGAAGCTCGAAACTATTAAATCTGGGATTTACATGAAGGAAGTTTTCATTCCCGTGTAACTAACATGATTATAACATAACAGTGTTGTACCAACTAAATGAAATCAAGAAACGCAGTATTACAACAGCCAACTAACTTCAATGAGCCAACAGCATATAATAGGAGCCAGCTTTCAACTTCAACAGCACTTCTAAATGACAGACACACGCTAAACCAACGAACGAAAAAAGAAGAGGGAAAATACTCATAATGATATTCAAAAAGACGCCTAATACTTTTATACCGCAAAGCCTCCTGTCCTAAAAAACCGTTCGACCTCTTATTCCATAGGTGATATCAGTCTTCCTGACGCCCAAACGCCCAACCTATCCCAGCCATGCCGTGCCAAAACTACCCTATTGCCACTAAAAGAAGAGACAAACAACTCAAAGGGAAGAGTAACAAGAAAGACGAGAGAAGATACTAAGTGAGAAGAGAAATGCTGCCTCCGATAATAGACTGCGCGTAAGGGTCAACGTATCCTGACCATCATGTCCATGACCTCAGAATTCGATTCACTTATCGCGCCAGAAATGTCCATCAAGCGGGTGGCAGGCAGAGAAATTTAAGGAGAGTCAAGAATACAGCTCCAATACTCTAGCCCCAGAGGAAATTTGAAAAAATTGCAAATGTCCAAAGTAAACCCGAATCACACATCCTCCCTGAACACAGATCGTCGCTCCGAGATCGACGTAGGACTATCATGTACAGGACCACCAGCAGCTCCCGCAGCAGCGGCCTTGCGCGTGTCAATGGGTCGCGGGCTAACACCTCTTAAGCTCAAGTTGCTCGGCTCAGCAGCATCGTCGAAAGGATTCCGCTGCCCGGTCTCGCCTCTCGCAGCAGCGTTGTTAGCAGGAGGCACTTCGAGACCGCTGTGACCACGGGGATTAGGGCTGCGCCCCCTCTGCTCATCGATGCCGTCGCCAGCGAGATTCATCTGATATCCGGAGCCGGCGTACGGGCCGTCGGTGCGACCGTGACGTTGCCCTCTGTCTTCAAGCTCCTGGTCTTCAGGATAATATGCGCCGCCGTAGGTCTCGTGGCCGACGCGCGCGTCCCAGGCGTCGTCCGGATCAAGTGGTCCGAAGCCGCCGCCACCACCGCGGTGGCCACCGGGTGCGCTGGGCTGTTCGTATGCGCCGGCTGCCGAGCGCGGGTTCTTGAGGGACTGGAACCGGTCGCTTATCCACCCGCGGACGCCACCGGATCTAGGTTGTGGGGCTCCATAGGCGGATTGATGTGAGGAGCGCGCGAAGGGGATGTAGGAGGATAGAGGTGGGGAAGGAAGCTGTAGGAGGTAAGGTATTCACATGTCAGCTGGGTCCCAATGCGAATGTCGATGTAAGGGGCTTAGTAGGGTTTGAAAGGGAAAGGCATATTTGGTATTTTGATATTCTTGGCTTGGATGTTCACTCCGATTGGGAAAAGCAGTTGCGAAGAGGGAGGGAGAAATTGATGACGGAAGCTGAGGAGTGGTGGTATGATGCCGCGATGTCCCGGGGTTGTGAGACAAGCATAATGCGCGCACGGCATTGGGAAAGGAGAAGATGATCAAGTGAGTGAGTAAGTAAGTAAAGTAGAGATTGACATACCCCTAGACGCCTTGCGCGCAGTTGCGTAAAGGCAACCCAGCCGACGGCAGCGACCACTAGCAGCACGACGAGCACGATGAAGAATGTCCCCACGGGGCTGACAGCCATCTTCGGGCCTCAGGTGAGATAGATGTAGGACGTGGGCACGCGCGGTATGGCCCGTATGGGAGCGGATGGACGTTTTGTTGGTGGATAGCTCCGAGGAGCATGGAGGTACAATATCTGGTACGATGGATGGGCTCGCCACTCACGTTCTCACCTCTATCCACACAACCTTGGCAGATGGATGGAAGCGGGTGGTGCGTCGTCGTTGTCGTCGTCGATGACACCACACAGTGTCCTTCGGATGGGTGAGGGATCGTCAGGCGCAATGTCTGCCTGCTTGCCTGCTTGCCTGCCTGCCTGCCGGCCTGCGTGTATGTCTGTATGTCTGTCGGACGGACGACAACGTTCATTCATGCATCCACAGTTCAGTTCAGTTGCTGGCTTGGTCCGTCGTCAGAATGCTTACATGATCCGGCTACTAGTGGGAGAGAGCCCTTTGCTTAGTTAGTCGCGAGTTTGTATTCTTTTCCAATTGGATTGCGAATCCATACGTAGCTCCGTGCATCCCACTTACTTAGGTAGGTACTTACGGGTAGAACTAGCCACCTGTTAGCTACTGAAACTCCGCTAAATTTAGCAGTGCTCTAGGAAGGCAGGTCGAGTTCTAGGCATTAGCTAGGTGAACCATTACTATGTACTTATAGCGCATAGGTCCAACTGCCTATAGCGGTAATTAGCAAAAGCTAAGGTCACTAATTGCTCTCCCGACAGTACCGACACCAATGCACAGCACCGAACCCCACTGCCGTATACTTATACTATAGATACCTAGGCTCGCTAGGTAAGTACCTAGCCTAGATAGGCACCTGCCCTACCTCCTCCCTGGAAAGTCCACAGTCAGTGCTGCACAGTAGCGCCGCCTCAGGTGCACCCACCTGAAGGGCAGTGTAGGTACTTAGGTACTTACCTACCTACCTCCACCTGGATAGGTATATCCACAACGCACGGTGATAACACCTATGTAGAGAAAAGGCATCATACTTATCTCTCTACGTAAACCATGGATTCAAATGTCTCACTCGGCCAGCCTATCAGCGCCACCAAGCCACTTCGCATTGAAATCAGCCATCTGTATGTCTCACAATCGGAGGGAACAAGTCGGAAGGGCCAAATCTGCCTCGTGACTCTTTTTTTTTTTTTTTGTTCATTTCATTTCCATCTCCATCTCCATACATTACATCCGGTCGGTCGGGGGGGCTTCGTTCTGCCTCGTGCCTTTCCGAGAAAAAGTCGTGTAAGACAGAGACACCGTTTCGTCATACGAAAAGGGCGAACCGTTTACATTTGATATGTCATGTCATGTCGTGATCTTGGATATATGATGCATGCATGCATACATGCTTTGAAAGAAAAAGGGGGTCAATCCATGTTTGTGTATATGTGGTGTGTGTGGAATGGAAGCTGAAATTCGGCTGCAATCGTATACCTAGTAGGTAACCATTCGGAGAATGGCTCTCTACTCTACAGCATGTAGGTAGGCGAGCAGGTACGCTGCCCCCCCTCCCACCTTATTCTGATGATCGACGGCTAGGCACTCTAGAGTATTATCTATCAAACTTGTATATGTTTCTGCCGTGAAACTCATGCTTCCCCCTCTATCCGTCCTCCACGCCCTCAATCTGAAAAGACGATTGGATCGTCGACTCTAAAACTTGGCGTCTAATGTCTGTCTGTCTGTCTAGTCCCGTCTCCTGTAGTCTGGGGCATGCGGCATCCCCATCCCCATGCCCAACGTCATCTATTCCTATTCGTAGCACTTGTCCCAATGCCCTCCTTGCCTGGCAAAGCTCAGGCTATCCACATATTTGCTCAAGGTGCAGCGGCCTAACGCGTCGACGTCGCAGTTCTGCAGCGGGATTACTCTGTCGTTGACAAGCACCCGCACGAACTCCTCCTCGACGCCATCGCACTGCATCTTCTCCACATACATCCTCGCCGCGAAGGGCACAGCCCAGCTGGCTGCGTAGCCCTTGGTCTTCTTCGGGCTAGCCTTGGTCGTGTTCGAGAGGGGCTCCGTGGCATTGTACAGGCCCAGCGCCCCGAACATACCCGACATGTCGTTGTCGTGGCTGAAGTCCGCATAGAGCACGCTATCGAGGGGGAAGCTCTTGCGAGACTTGTCTAGCGTGCTGTTCGTCGTCGTTGCATCGACTACCGGCTGGCCCGTGAGCCTGGCAACGAGCTCATTGACGAACCCAACTCCTTGCGTCGGTCCCAGTGGACTGCCGTTGGTATAGCCGTACCACTTGCCGAGTGTTTGGTAGTAGTCGAAACCGTGCCACTCGTCCTCAGTGAATAGATCGCAGAATGGAGACAGGTGGCCGTCTTTGTTGGCGACTGTCTCAAATGGGCATATGTCCATCAAGTGGATGATGTCGTGGTTGGTCAAGTTAGCTCCAATGAGGTTCTTGTTGACCCGCTCTGCAATTGGCGGCACAAACGTGTCAACCCAAATCGTTTGGGCTTCATTTCCTGTGTCTGGACCTTCGTTGAACGCGGTGCATGTCATTGGGCTCAGCGTGTTGTTAAACCCTTCCACTTCGGGGAGTATGACCGGCTCGTAAGGGTACGCATCGGGGAATTTGGCCTTCTTGTCCGCCAAGCGTGCCTGGTGAAAGCCTTGCGTCCAGTTGACCGCCGAATCTACCACTCGCTTCTGGCCGGCAGTTCTGACAAAGGGCGAAACATTTCTTGCCAGCTTCTCATATCGCTGGTAGAAGTTGATGCCGGAATAGACTAGCTGTTGTTGACCGAATACTGTAAGTTCATCGGCGCCAAGAGAGTACTTGTAATCCTTGATGAAACTGTATTGTTTGCTATAGTCCGTCACGTTGTTATGTATTTGCTCGAAGAGAATCGCGTAAAGCAAGCTCTTGCCCAGTGTGGGATCACGAGCTCCATGGCGCGACAGCACTTGCGCAAAGGTTAGCTCGCAACCCTTTGGAATACCATTCGGGATTTCAGAGGGCACGGAAAAATAAGGCGAGTACTGGCCCCATGAATGAGACACGGCCGGTTCACATTGAAAGCCAGACTTCACATGATCACAGTAATGCTTTTTGTTCGTTCTCCTATCCCTAGTGTTAATTCGATCCATCAATAGATAAAGACAGTTCTAGACGTACGTAAAGTTTATCCCAAAGATACCTACGATGGCGAAGAGTAGTGCAACCCCGGTGAGCCGGAGGAGTGATTTGTGTCGTTCAGCCCATGATACAGCACGTTTCCGGGGCTCCTCTTGGCCGACGTTCTCGGGAAGAGCGCTATAGCTGAATTGCTTTCCGCTCACCAAAGAAGTGATGCGGTTCTTGATTTCTGAGAGGGTCATCTTGAAGTGAAGGACGAGGAACCTTCCTCCATCTTATTACAGTAGCGAGGCGATGAGCGCGATACGACTCCCTTTACAGATGGGCTGATGGGCTGACAGGGGAATTAAAGGTAGCGCGCCGATGGTTCCGTCTCACTCGGGTTTCAGTCTTTGCGCCAGCTGACACCGGCCCGTCGACGCTTTCGTTCACTTCAAAGAGCTCATTCTTTTCACATGAAGTTGATCACACCGCTATTTAGATCATTGACTACATCGAGTTCACACGAAAAGATGTCGACGACGCGGTGTCTATGAATGATTCGGAGTTTCATTAAACGTTAAGATCCGTTACCCCATCCCGATCATCTACATCTTTTTGGCCCAGCCTGTGTCTAAACGCACCAGGCTCATTGTCAAAGCCAGGTCCATGGTATCAAGAAAGCAATAAAACCATCCCTCTATCTAGACTTCGTGCCAGAGTCCAGTATCTTTCGACGCCAATCGTTGCTGGCCGCCAATTGGCGCATGAGAAGATTAAATACATTGGCATCTTCGTACCAATCGATGGAATACTATGCTACAAAATCATATTAGAAGGCAATGCCTACGCTTTTGCGCTGCCGGGATTGAGTCGACGGACCCACGGTCCTTGGAGTTGTAGCGCTGCTCAGTGATAGACTGGTAGGTAAAGTTTGCTCTTCAACAGTCCAATCGGAAACGATACTCTCGCTATCAAAGCTGGATCGATGCCGTCTTTCTGGACGCGCTACTTGGTAGAAGCCCTCACCACCTGCAACAGGTCTAGGGGCATTTGTAATGGAATCAAAGCTGATTCCTTTCTTGTGCTCCGCGCCAGCGGGGAACAACCAACTTGATACCCTCGAAGCCCTCGAGAACGATTTCTTCTTACGCAAAGGGGGACGTAATCGAAGCGGTAACGGGGGAGGTGGAACCCTTCCTTCCATTTTTCTCGACGAGTTAGCCTCGTATCGTGTCCGTACAGGTGGCTTGGTTGATGTGCTCTGAATATGGTCTGAGCTTAGCCGTTCGCTAAACGATGGAGCGTTAGGAGGCATGGCTGGTACCTCCGGCATAGGCTCCATTTCTGCCATAACAGTTAGGTCCATCTGCTGATGTGACTTCTCGTGAGTGTCAAGCAACAAACCTGGATGTCCATGAGCAGTAGAAGGCCTGCTGCTGACGTATATACTCTGTCTCTCAACAACATCATCGATTCGCTCTTGCAGTCTGTCTCGCTCTAGGATAGCATTGGCAACTCTCTCCACCAAGTCCTCTGCAATGGGCGACGGGGGTGCCGGGGATGTATACGCCCTCATTCTCAGGGGCTGGAGGCGCTGTGGCGTACTGGTATTTGAGCGAGGCGAGTCGAACACAGAACCCCCATTCACTGGCCGACGGGGGATACTAAACGGTATGGACGAGTAGCTTCGCTGGTGTGACACCGCCGGGCTACTAGAACGACTACGGCTTGCACCAGCATAAGCCCGCGGTGGCGGCGTGACAGGCGGGCTGGGATAGCTGAGGTGCGGAAGGATGGGTGAGAGTTGCGTGTCAGATGAGTTGAGGTTAAGCTCAAGCGGGCGGAAAGATGTTGGCTGAAGCTTGACCTGCGATGATGAATCGACGGGGAAGTGAAATGATTCCGAATAGACATGGCGGAAGTTGGTAGGTGCTGATATACGCGGCCTGCGCGGTATCGAGGTATTAGATGGCAACAGTCGTTTCCTCGCAGAGAAACTGCTCCATCCAGACCCTCTCCTCTTCCTCGGAGCCGGCTCCTCTGTGAATACCTCCCAGGTCCTCCCTAGTGGCGCCACGGTGGGTTGCGGCATCAGGGATGGTTTGTCGTAGACAATAGAGAACGAATTATTAAGATTAATAGAGCTACAAGACTTCTCATCGAAATCCGAAGTCACGGGCTCACAACAACGAGGAAAGCACTGGGTCCATATAGAAAACATCCCACTAAGTGTTTTCATGGTGGTGTTTGTGCATTGTCGAGCCAACAGGAAAGGAAGGACGGCCAGCGGTTGGTTGGATTATGAAGGGAGAGGACTGCACTCGACCGGGAAGACCATGGCAGTTCTGGGGTATTAAAGCAGATTCACATGTACGGCAGGTCAGGTCTTGAAGAGTTACATTCGGTAGCGCACTTATTTCTACTTAGCATTAGGCTGGACGCAGCTGAGCGGGCAAGCGACCATCTCTCTGTGCCTCATATTGGGATGGCCTCTCCAGGAGGAAGCGTCGACGATTTGGATGCATCGGCCCGTGGCTGTGATAGGCTGCGAAGCTCAGGCCGTGGGCCACTCGGCGCTTACGAACCGGGGTGTTCTCAGAGAGGCGATGGCTGGCGGCACACACCAGAATGCAGGACCCCACCACTTGTAAGATGACGGATAGCCTCTGAGCCAGTCCAATGTCTTAGAATGCCTTGGTTGTGTTTCCTCTAAGAAGGCTTAGTAGCCCACCTTGGTCCGTTTTTTTGTATTTTCTGTGGTCATCTCGCCACAGCGCAACGGAAGGGTGTGTCTCGTGGGCCGCAAAGATTGGTCATCGCGTGTAGCATCTGGAGACTATCCGTAATGAACGGCGCAGGAGCATGTCTCTCGTCATCCCCGACGCCGTGGTGTCGAGTGGACAACACGCGTTGCTTTGGGATTAGGACATACATGGACTTCTGCATGGACATACATACTACGCAGAGAGTAGCATCTCGTCTGCCGCAGACACCCACCAGGTTCGCGAGAGCAGAGACTTTTCGTAACAGCCTGACTTACGCTACCCACCGTACCGTCGAATCGAGGGAATGCCTTGAAGGCCAATCAGGGAGGTCGTTGCTAGAGGTGTCGGACGAACAATTGCCGTGTCTATCTGTGACGTTTAGCTCTGTTACAGTCCTATGCCAGTAAGTGTGGTGTGGTGTGGTGAGGCGCGGCGCGGCGTGTTAGACATTTAGACCTTTGACAAAACTCAGGGCTGTGCTGCCAAAACCAGTTGTTTGTTTTGATGTTTTCATTCGTGCCGCCTGCAGCTTCTAATAATATGTGGGATCTCGCGTCAAAGCAAAATAACAGGCACTACCTACTTCGTACTATACCTACGAAGTAGGTAGGATCCAGCAGCATGCGTACACAAATGTGTGCGTGTGTGTCTGCGTCTGTGTGTGCATGCGTACACTACCGACCGACCTACTTACTGATGTGGACTGTAGGTAAGTAAGTACTACCTATGTAGGTAGGAAGTGTTTTCCCTACTACTCCTACTACCAAGTACTATCATGTAGCGTGATGTAAGCATGTGCTGTCATTGTTAGATTCTGCCTCGTGTCGTTTGATTACTATTATTATCATAATATTATCTCACACGCGACTTCATTGTAGGATGTCGAACACTAGGTAGATACCGGTATATGGTATATTAAACGGCGAATGTGATGCAGCAGGCGTGGGCGGTAATTCAGACGAGTCGATCGGATATTGACAGTCTGGATCTGGGGAAGGGCAATCTGAAGGAGAGCGAACAACAGCTGGGCAGCCCGACGAGGACGGTACCTGAGCAATAGTCGCCGAGGCAGATGAAATGGCCTGAGGACTCGTTCAGGTGTTTGTTTCATCGATATTAGCTGGATATTATTGGCTGTAACAGTAGAGATAGATAGAAACGTGGAGACGACGAAATGAAGCCAGAAACAAAAGAATGCTTGATTGATTGATTGATTGATTGATTGATTGATTGATTGATTAGCTGGGCGTCTTCTAGACTTCTTTGACCTGTCAGTGTCAGATCAGGTCAGGTCAGGTCACCTGAGGTAGCTACCGCGACTACCGTAACAGTGAGCACACGCAGTCCAGCGTTTAATGCTGCACTAGGTATCTTGACTATCTACCTAACCTAGGTACTACAGGTACTGAACAAGAAGTGAGTGAGTGGACGGCCACGACTTTGCGGCCTGTTTGGTAGGCAGGTTCCTTGCAAGTTTTGTTTGGTGTTGGGCCCTGCAGGTACTCCCGTGTTCCCGTGTCTCTACCCCAGTCGTTGACGCTTTCATGCCGATAGGTTCTCGGGACTGAGAAAGGTGGCATATCCATGATACATTCCAAAGTAGAGGATACATACTTAGTACTACAAGATGCGATTCTGCCTGTAACACTGCATAAGCGCATGGATGTATCCCGTACACATGGTAATACAGTTTAGTTAGATACCCGCTTTGGCGAACGCGCGGCTAAACCACGGAGAGACATGGATGAGATAAACCTACAGTAGGTAGCACGATTGGAAGTGGGCCTGAGGCCCGTGGAGATATGGAGATGGATCCCAAGCCGACGCCAAGCCTGCAACTCATTGATGACAGCCTGTTAACTCCCATTTCGTCAGAATAATTAATTGCTGAGAATCCAACCTTGGAATTTCAGGCGCAAGATTCGCCCTGCCTTTTCCCACCTACCCACCAACGGTGCCCTCTTCTCAATTTCCTTGTCAACTGCTAGCCCCTCGCAACACCTTCGACCTCACACCAAGGTCACCATGCAAGCACCCAACCCTGGACAAGGGGCTCCCGGAGGCCCTGGTGGTCCCGGAGGCATGCCCATAGGTCCTAACGGGATGCCGATGCCCACGCCGCAGCAGATTCAGGCCATGCAAGCCCAGCTCGCTGCCGAAGCCCAGAAACACGGCATGACCGTGCCCCAGTTCGTCGAACACATCAAGGCCCAGCGGATGGCCCAGATGCAGCAGATGCAACAGAGACAAGCCGCTCAAGGAGGAGCCCCAGGAGGTCCGCAGCCCGGACAGCAAGGAGGTCCTCAGGGCGGCCCTCAGGGAAGGCCAGGACCGCCACCGCAGGGAGCGCAACCTGGAATGCCTCCTCCGGGACAGGCTCGCCCTATCAGACCCGGGCCGCCAAACCCCGTTGCCATCGCACTTGCCAACTTCCTACGCAGCCAACCCCTCAAGCCGAGGACATGCATTATGAATGGTGACCGCAAGGACATGTTCAGAGGTACGTCTCGATGTTATCACGTCAATACGCTTTGACACTTCATGACTCTGGTATCTGACACACTTTAACGAACAGTCAAGCGAGCTCTTCGCGCTCTTCAATCCCCCGCTTACGCAAAGGCTCGGGCGAAGAACCCGGCACTACCCGAGATCCATGACCGCGCATCTCTCGAGAATACCTTCAAGCTTCTCCCCATGTCTATGCTGGCATTGCGCGTCACCAAGGTCGACCCCCACGAGGGACATAACCATGCGCCGGCCAAGAAGGCGAAGCGCCAAAAGGGCCTATGGACTGTTCGAGTAGAGCCCCAGCAGGAGGCTGGCGACGACATGTACTACGTCTGGCTGTACGAAGGTAGCCAGATTATGCGCAAGGTCTACGCTGCGCTCGCCCTAGTTGTGATTTTCACCTTGGTCCTATACCCCCTGTGGCCGCTAGCACTACGACAGGGTGTCTACTATCTCAGCTGGGGTTTCTTGGGCCTCCTTGGTCTCTTCTTCGCCATGGCCATTTTCCGCGTTATCTTGTTCTGCGTCACCTACTTCGTTGTCCCACCTGGATTATGGCTATATCCCAACCTTTGGGAAGATGTTTCCTTCATGGACAGCTTCCGACCCGTTTGGGCCTGGCATGAGGTTGGTTTCCGCTTACCGCATATTGAGAAGTAAAGGAACAGAGACTGACATGTACACAGACCGAGAAGAAAAAGAAAAAGAAGACTAAGAAGTCTGCGATAAACGCCGAGTCGGCTGCTCATTTCGCAGGCTCAATAGGCGAAGCGGCTCCCGCTACTGCTTCGACGACAGCGACGGAAACTCAGATACAGACCGCCCCTCAACAGAGAACTGGTTACGTCGCGCCGCAGGTGGAGGAGCTCGGTGATGACGAGTAGGATAGGAGGGGCTAAATTCATTGACTCGGCGTTGGGGAATTTATCTTCAGAGCATCAGGATGTAAATTACGGGGAAAGTCGGACAGAGATATATATGTAATAGCCCACAAGAAGCTGAAAAGAGAAGCGAGCGTTTCACAATTTATCTTTGATCGTGCCTATATTGATTTGACATCTATTGATTTTTGCATTAGGGATTATAAACCTTCGTCCTTAAGGGCCATGAGTCTATATAGAGACGATGTTGCTCAGGTCGTCAATGATTTACAGCTCAACTAGCTCAGTGTTTCCGGACGGAGCAGGGAGTTCTCTCGTAGTACCAAACGGCACCAGGAGTCTTCGCACAGTTCGTAGGGAAAGTAGTATCGACAGGAACGCCCTGGACAAGCTGCACCCGGCCCTTGACATGGTAATAATACCACATCTCGCTCAGCACAGTGTACCCATTATCGCCCGAGCCCTTGCCGGCCTCGGTCTCGTTGTATCTCGGCCCGGTGCAGCCGATGTGAGGCAGCTTGCCGAACTTCCCTTCCAGCGTGTCCGCGATGGCGGAAACCGAATACCCCGTCTTGTTGGAGGGCACGATGCCCGCGGACGCGAGCCACCTCCACGTCGGCACCTGCTGGAAGTACGCCACCGTCGTGCTGAAGAAGTCGGGCACCTCCTCGTGCTTGGCGTACGCCGGCCCGTAGCACTCCGTGTCGAAGGTGCTGAAGCACGTCGCGTGCTTGCTGAACTCGTGCGCCCAGAGGACCCAGCTGGGCTGGTTGAGACCTGTCCAGAACCTGTGGGTGGCGAGTATTAATTAGGATGCACGCATGATTTGAGGGGATGTGTGGCGCGAAAGTCGCGGGTTGCGAAGGGGATTCTGCTTACTTCTCCATGTAGTCTAATAAGTCGAACTTCTTGAAACGCTTGAGGTAGTTGGAAATAGGCTCTCCCTTCCACGGCTTCACGGGCGTGCCCTCCGGCGTGCCGGTCGTGGTGTTCGGGTCCGGGTATGGGTCATATTGACGGCTGGAGGAATGATTAATCAGTTTCCGGGCAAAGGTAATGTCTTTGTTGATGGTAGTGCTTACGACAAGTCGCAATACTGCGTGTATGATCCTTTTCAAGTGTTAGAGTAAATCCCGTGGATGTCTCATACAGATTCTATTTCACATACCATTACAGAAGTCTGTCCATTGTATAGCGCGTTAGCAATCGATCACAATATTGCGTATCGCGAAGCGGGCGTCACTTACCAGGCCATAAGCCGTGGATCGTCCAGGAGTTCTTGGGGAGCAATTGGCCGTGCGCCTCACGTCCCGTGTAGGTGTTCCAGAACTGGGTTTGCAGCTATAACATCGTCAGCACGCTTAACCATCTCAATACCACACTGGATTATTCATATTTCCTCTTGCGGCGACAAGGGCTTTCTTACAACAAGGCCTCCGAATGTCTCAGTACAGCACGTATCTGTGAGACCGGGTTGCGCTCCATCAGAGCATGAGAGGATAGGCTCGACTACAGTTGAAACGATCAGCTTCCTGCTTCACATCAATCGAGTCCAAGCAAGAGGTTTTGCATGCATACTGAGGTTGCAAGTGTGGTTGGCAGTGCTCAATCCAGCATAGAGACCACCGAGGACACCCTGGGAGAAGGTCGCGAGAGCGAGGACTCGACGCGCGACAGACATCTTGACAAGCCGACAACAGACAATCGACACAATTGAGGATCAAAAAGCACGAGGCGACGGCAACGACGAGGTCAATCGACACCAGCAAGAACACAACTTCAGAACCGACGAGCTCCGACCGGGGGCGCGAGCGAAGTGATTTATTTTATTTCCTCCCCACGATCATTCCCATCTTTGACCTAGACCCGAGCAGCCGGGCTGCGATTACACTACGAACTACCCTAGCATGGTAGAGAGCTAGGTAGACCAGAGCTTGCTCGAATAGGGAGCTCGCAGGGTTCATGACGAGATAGGCACGGAAAAGGTGGATCACGCTGAGCGCACCTGCGCGAGATAAGAGCTCTGAGAGGTCAATTCGTTTTTCGACGCCTCATTCGCAAATGAAGCTGAACTACCGGGGGGTTTACCGTCCGTATGCGCGCGCTGTCATCTGGACCGGCGAGGGAGAAGGAGGGCAATTTTGAGGAGTTGGAAAGAAGACATGAAGTTGTAGTACAATGACTGGCTACATTGATCGCCTAGATATACAGTAGATTTACATCTCATGTTAATTATGGATAAATGAGATAGGTAGATGCCGAGGAGATCCTGTACTTATCTATTGGTTAACTGTGAGCTGGTGTTCATTGCCACGTGCGGAGCTGCTGGTCGGATGTAACCCGAGCTAGCCTTAGGTGCCAAGTAAGTAAGTAACAGACGGCCGGAACCGCCTCGCGTTATCTTCGCCGATTCAAAAGGAGTGTTTTTCCCAGTGTTGTAACTAAGGTCTAAGTAGTTGATCGATTTATTTTCACGAGTTAACATCGAAGTCTCTGAAGAAGATGTAGATGAAATGATCGCATGTCCCACAATCGCGCCTCCGCGCTTCTATATATAATATTGTGTACTGTCACCAGATGGGTCCTTCGCCATGTTTTCATTTATAAGATTTTGGAAGATACTACCATTTACTAACAGGTATCTGCCCTTCCCGAAGAACTAATAGAAGTTGGCGCGCTGGTACATGACCTAGCTCCAAGCTTGAATATTGGTAAGTGTCTAATCGCCTAGGTTTATGATTCGGCCCGTGGAGAAATCTTACCACGGCACTAATAAACCGAACTGAACCGCCGGGATTGCCGTCGCCATCTCCATGATCCACGGCGCGAACAGGTCAACCGCGGCATGCGCAGTCAGCAGGTGATATGTAAAGATTGAAGTGATAGCTAAACAGCAAATATTTGTACATCTCGTCTAGGTATAAGTGCCTTACCGTGAGCGTAGACATAGTCTAGCTACTCTCCAGGCGAACTATCAAGTCCTTAGTGAACACATTTCTAAATCTGATAACTTCTATTTCAGTGTCATCTATCAACTGAGTTGCCTTTGGGAATTGACCTTGCTTTTATGTGGTGCCTCCGATTCAGATATCACTATTCTTAACGAGACCATGCCACAATATATTTACCTGGTTTACATGTGGCAGTAAGATAGCAGTCGAGTGAGAACGAGTTCAGTCAGCAAGAATTCCATACATACCTGCTATGCACGTATAATTCTTCCAAGATCTCCATGTACTGATCTTACTTGCTAAGAGTCCTTTAAGCTTCGGCTCTCAGCACATGTAATATTTACCTAAAAGTGATAAACCACGTGTAAGATCTTTTCAAACTAGTATTGAAATCAAAAGTCACATTTGTTATAAAAATTACAAGTATAACGGCTTATAAACATGAATAATATTTAAGTATTGTCCATTTATGAAAATCAAGTCCAACATGAAAACACCACTTACCTATGGTATCAATTTACGGAGGCGGCATAGCGTCAAGAATAGGATCAAAGGGTATCGGGGCAGTCTCAGGCCACCCCAGCACTTGAAACACACCCCGATAAATCCTCTCCTGCATCGAAAGCTGTCTCTCCTCCTGCTGCTGTCCCCGCCCCTGGCTCAGATTACTACTCCCGCTCTCACTCTCCTGAATCTCGTCCTCGGACGCATCAAGCCGGTCCATCAAGTGCGCCAAATCACCACTATCAGAATTACTATTCCCCTCCTCCTCTCGTAACTTGAAACAGTAATTCATGCACTCGTCACACAGACTATCCGCGCCTCCATCAGGGTTTCGTTCAAAAACATGTTTGATCTCCGATATATCGGGCGTTTTCTCACAGCAGAGGTAATTCCCCTTAACATCTAGAGCGACTAATCCGCAAAGATCATCCGGCTTGACCACGATGTACGAATACTCTCGCAGTTCATCATTAAACCAAATTTCTAAGTCGGACTTTTCCTCAGGACTGACGATCGTTGTCCCGTAGTGAGGGTAATATCCGTTTCTGCTTGCGTTTAGTACATCCCCGAAATTGCACCGGACGCAGGTGCAGTGAGAAACGATTGCAATCGCTGTGCGGCACATTTTGCTAGAGTTAGTGGAGAGATTAAGGCTTGACTCTTTTTCGTTTCTTGTTGTTGATTAATATTAGGACGTATAATATTAATATAGCATTTTGTTTTCTTTGGAACTGTTGAATAAGTTCGCAAGATGGTGCTGAGGAAATATTTCGTGAAATTGTTTTAAATCTAAGATGAACTTACTTAATTATATATACATGTAATACAGTAACAGCATATGTACTGTTTAGTAACCTCGGCGAGAGGTATGAATACAAGGCCTTTGTTCAAGAATCATTAGGGAGGAATTTAACTGCATTGTTTATCAATGTATATGTCAACTTTAGAGAACAAAGGAATTGATCGTGTGGGTGTTTCTCTCCTATCTTTCCCTATTGCTTTACTAGTTTGCTTGCCCAGTTGCAACATACTCTCTATAGCTGTAGCTAATCTTAATTACAGTCAACCAAGTATTAACTCAGCGGGCAGAAAAACAATTGCTGGGACGCTGTCCCGCAGCAGACAGTGTCTAGGGATGCCATCCCCGGATGGTATCCGGAGATAGGACTTAGTGAATACAACAACTTCTGACTTACGACTCTGACGCCGCACATCTGGGATTACGGCGGCAACCTGAGATTGACAATTGATGACCACAGAATCATCATCCAACAAAATGACGGGAAACAGCACTTGTACCGCCAAGCACTTCGGGACATTGACCAGTTCGCTCCTTTCAGTGAGAAGAGCGTATCCAAACAGAGAAACTATAGACGAAACCGTCTCACCGCAACGACCGACGCCGACCTGATCAAGAACGCGGTGACACCATACGATTATTAGGTCAAAGTCTACAATCGTTTCCCTATTGCCCCAGGGCGTGATATCGCAACTGTTGTTGCCTATAATGCTGAGATGCATCCCCACCGACAACCAAACGTTTCTGTCCGAAAGGACCTGACTCTAATCGCAGACGTTCGCGAGAAGAATGGTTTCAAGACGCCAAAACAGGTACTGCGCATCAAAAGAGCTATCACTTCAACCTCTCATTTAAGAGACAAGTCTTTAAATCTAGTAGGCGATTTCCCATAACTTGAACCTAAGTCCAACTATATCGCTCTATCCCAAATTTCTATCTTTAAAAAAACGGGAAAAAAAAAAATAAACAAATTCCTTTTCTCACCATGTCACCGCATCAATATGGATTAAATAGAATCACTACACAAACTTAGTCTTGAAAGATTGATACCTAGGTATATCGACTACAACTCTACAACTATATCAATCTAGATTCACCCAACATAACATGCTGTAAGTAATAATCGATGCACCAAGTACTCACCCATCTAGTAATATCGCTATATATGTCAATACATCCCTGCATACCGCACCTAGCAAGATACATCAAACAACACAACACACACGCTTCTCAGAAAACCTTACTTCTCAGTAAACTAAAATTTAGGAATAAACAACAAAGGCGCTGCTTATACATGATTACAAAAAATATACTACGCGAATCAAGTGCAAGAAGCCCGCCTTTCCTTTCCTTTCCTTTTCTCTTCTCTGTGTTTCCCTTCCCACCAGTCCGAAGAAAAACCGCAAAAATCCAGGTAGCTAGGTATGAGGGTATCAATCAACCCGAGCGCGAAAACGCCAAACCGATGTTCCTACTAACGCCAACTTGCTAACCCTTTTATAATGCCCCATTTGTGAGAAGGAAGAAACACCTACTTTGCGGCCCTCAGATTTTGTACACCCAATTCAACTAGCTGCCTACCGTATAAGCATTTCCACGCAGGACCTGGTACCAGCCGATACCCTCCGAGCGAACAGACGCAATAGTTTCAGGAAAGCCCACAAGAACACGTAGAGAGGGAGGAAATATAACCAGCATAAGGGCCAGCACCACAACATCTAGGCCGGAGTGCTTCTTGTCTCTCGCTGGCGCTTGACAATATAATACGTGATCAAGCTTTTCGGATCGTCACGGACCGTCCTCAAAGACTCCCAGAATTTAGCGTCTCCGAGGCGTGCATGCAGCGCAACGCATAGCTGAACAGCATCCATGCGCACACCACTCTCTTTGCAGTCTAGGCATCGAATTGCGAGACTGGTGAGCCCGGTCACTTCGCGGTCCGTCGGAATGAACGAGGAACGTGAGTCGATAAGCTCCTTGAGCACGTGTAAGCCCATGCTCAAGCCACGATAGCCAACTGTGTCAAGATCCATCTGCCCTAAAGAACGTGTCATTGTGACGGTGATCTCGGCGGCGTCGCCGATGTGCACGAGCTCATCGGCGAGAAGCTCGAGTCCAGCTACAATATGCGTACGGGCATCATAAGAGCTTCGTGTACGCAGCAACGCCTCTAGGCCCCGGGATACATGAGGTTGGAAGTTGTCGGTATGCATTTTAAGAAGTAGCTTTATAGTGGCGAGAACTTGTGCTTTGATGTCTTGTATCTTTTGAGTAGAAACACCGTCAAGGGGAGACTCGAGATAATCAAACAACCCTATCAAGAGTGCATTGAACTTATCATCGTCAAAAGGCAGTTTATTTTCGCGAACCAGACTCTGCAACTTGCGGAAGCCATGCACATCTAAGCTTTTACCCTTGACGCGCGCGATGCCACTCTCAAGGAGGCGGGTATTCTGGCGAGCTTTTTCCGGTGAGCAAGGCGGGGATGTGATATTATTCTCTGCTGACAGTTGAGAAAGCTTGACTGCATCCTCGTTGACAGGGATATCTCCAAGTGCAGGCCGTTGCGTAGAGTCATTCAGCTGTGGTGGTTCAGGCGCTGCCTGATCTTCAACGACGGGGTCCTCGTACACTTGTACTGATTTTGATGGTGTTGCTTTTGGCGTGCTAGGAAGAATTACAGCCTCGTCCTCTCCTACCTTTGGTGGAGAAGTAGGAACAGTTTCTTCGGCTGCGACAGCCTCTGGAACAGTGACTGGGTCAGGTTCGGGAGGAGAAGCAACCTCTGGTACAGTAGCTGAATCAGCTTCTGGAGATACAGCAACCTCTGGTGAAGTAACTTCATCATCATGAGATGCTTCCTGTGACGAAACCACGATCCGGGGCGACGAGGGTTGCAAACTTTCTTTTAGACTTAAATTTTCAATAGCTGGCATGCCAACGTATGTGAGATTCTCGTCCTGGGAAGGACTACTTGACGGAGGGTGACCGAGTGTTGTTTTGGCTTTGGCGGGACTTGTGCGCGGAGAAGCAGCAGCTTTGACTAGGGGCTTTTTGGTCGGTGTCACCGCAGTAATGTTTGATTCGCTTGCAGTTGCAGCATGACCGGGACGAGTTCTCGGAGCCGTCCGCTTAGGAGACCCTGATATTGTCTTCGGAGTTATAGCCTTTGATTTGACACTTTCCGGACTTGACCGTTCTGCGGACGGTCCGTCATGGCTCCGTACTGAGTACGGGCCTGCTGTGGCGGGTCGGGCTGCAATTTCGGGTCGCCTCCTAGCTGGCCGCATAGGCGCCACGGACATACCACCATGTGACTTCATTGAAGATTCTGGACGAGCTCGAGTTGTGGGTTGTGACGATGAAGCAGTTGAAGTGGTCGGGCCTGTCCGCACTGGCGAAATTGTTGCCATTGCGGACCCTGGCCGTACCGGCAAGTTTCTGGTCGCTAGGGCCCTCTTTTGAGCCATCATCGTCTCACGTAGAGAAGGTTTGGAACTACCCATAGTACTTTTGGAGAGCCCCAAGCCTGGACGAGCAACTGGTTCCGACCTCTTCGGCGAGTTAGGATTGGCTGGATCCTTCTGGAGGAGCTTCTGCGCCGTAGAGTCCAAGTTATTCATGATCGTTTCGGCCCTACTTGGCCAAGAGGATGCATACGCCCAGTACGTAGATCGCATTTTCTCTCGAACGCCTGGATTAGGGTCCGCAAGACCCTTCTTGATGCACTTTTCTATCAACTCCAAGCCTCCGCCATGCTCCAGATGGCTCTTGTGGTTAGCCTCCTTCTTCAACAGAGTCTTCAGCCATCCAGTCACGTAAACTCTCGGCTGCACATTCTTGTCTTGGCAGGCACCCCATATATGTTGCATGATCCTAACAGTGTATGTTGTCCTGCCGACGATAGTATCGACAGCAGAGTTAGCCAGTTGCGAAGTTATCTTCTTGGTGGCAGCACAAAGCTTGATGAAGGTCTGCATTAGCAACTCCACCATTGGGTCAATTCCAGGGCCGAACGTAATAGCTAGGTCTTCAACCAAAGCACATCCTTCTTTAGATAAACTAGTCCGCAACGAATTTACGGCTTTGAGGATGCCGTCCAATAAACCACGACAGCCAGTGACGAGCACATCGGGGAAATCCGTTGAAGCGTTCCCGGCAATGAGCCTCCGCAGTTTAATTACGCTCTGCTCTCGTTTCATCCAATTCTGTTCAGTTTCTCTGCCTTCAAACCACTGATGCATGTCTTTGATGATCTCGTCAAGTTCTCGTTGGGTGTTCACGTATAGGGGTTCAACCGATTCGGTCCTAGCCTCTGGAAGCATTGGCGTAACCGGCCTGTCACTCAAGGAGGAAGAACTTGCAGCGACGTTCGGTCGAACCTGCATGGCCGACGCCGGGCGAGACTCGGGATCAGCCTTCATCCCAGTGGGATTCAATTCTTTCACAATAGCTGATTCTATGGCAGGACGGACTTTGAAATTCTTCAACTGCCTCTTCAGATCCGACTTTGCCGCATTGGGCGCCTCCCTGAATCATGTATTAGATTGGAAAAGTTGGTTATTGGTGGGCGCTGACTCACTTAAAAAGCTCAATGACGGCCGACTTGGAGGCGTCGCGCACCATGCCATCTGCATCTTCCAGCAATTCCATCAATGTCGGAACGTACGACCGGAATTGTAAGCCATGTTCTTTATGCATCTAAGTCAAATTAGCGCCCATTTGTCTTGCAAAGAGTAGTGTGCCAACGAGCACAATGCGTACCTGGAGCAACCATTGCAAACTTGCTTCTTTAGCTCTTGGATTTTTACCAACCATGGCAGTATTGCGAACGAATCTTTCAGCGTCGGCAGGTACGTGGGCATACATGGTAGCCATGGCTTGAATGGCCAAGGTCCGGAACTTGTCCTTCTGGTCGCCCATCTTTTCCACAATAAGGGGCAGGGTCTGCTTCGCCTCTCTATGCAGGTACTTTGGCTCCTGGCGCGACAAGCGCGTGAGCAAGTGATTTAGAGCGGTGAAGCCGGCATTGACGAGAGCAGCGTGCTGGGAGGCCGAGGCCTGGCGTAGGCCTTCGAAAAGAGGCGCGACACAGCTGTCGGGGACATTGTGTTGCTTGATGCCGGACTTGACGGCGGTGACATACTGGACCTTGGCATCGACAGTGGTGTCTTTTTTGAGGATGGCTAGCAGGCCCTGGACCTGGTCATCGGTGAGTCTTTCGGCCATGATCCCCGAGGATTGAGGATCTGGCAGGGTGTCGGCGTGGGCGGACAAAATGCGGTGTTATTCGTTGGCGAAGCGCGAATGGCGAATGACAGCGGCAGCCGACTCGAGGTGGTCCGGCGTCGATTGAGTGTGGAGATTGGGAGAGAGCTGGGTGACACAGCCAATGCAAATGAAAAGAGGCGCTGCGATGCTGAACAGGAGGCGTCGGTCGCTGGTTGGATCGGCTCGAGGCTCGTGGGAAGCTGGATGTTCTTTACGCTATATGGCTATATGGCAATATATGAGGTGGGATAAGGTTGTTTGAGGCTTGCCACACGCATGGAGGGAATTGTGCGCACGGGATATAGCCAGCATAGAGTCAAGAGTCGGAGAGACGGAGACGAGCTGTGTTGGATACCTATGTGATGTGAGGTAGATAGGTAGATGACAGGTCATAGGTAGGCTGGTCAAAAGAAGCTGATGGTGATGGATGGATGGATGGATGATCAATGTCTCTGGTGGAGGTACTTGTGTGTCTGGCTTCTGGTGACATTGGCAACAACAAAAATATTGATATGACAACAAGTCACTGGCCCGTTGTTGCCAGAGTATTCCTTGCCAAGAAAGAGACATGCAGCCAATCAGGGGTTGGTTATAAGCACTATAAACCCCTGTCACTCCGCCCGCGCTGCCCCGCCGAACTAGGTACCGCCTACAATAAGTACCTAAGTACATATACCTAACGCATGTATTCCGGGTTTTCCATGTTAGCTCAACAGCTCTCGTATTATTTTCATGGTCCCAATTCCATAAGGCGTCTCACTGTAATTTATTTATTCCTTTCGTTCTTAATAGTATGCCTTAGTTATAAGGTAATTATGTAGTGGCTAGTTATTTGATTAGAAGTAGATACCTAGGTCAGAGGTATGTACTATAGGTATTGATAATTCTGCTGATGCTCGGTTCTGAACAGGGCTAATCTAGAATAGGTATCCCTAGGCCAGGTACCTAAAACATACATATCCGCCCAAGGTGAGGGCAGAGTCGGGAGTGAGGGGCAGCCTCTATCCCTCAAGTAAGTACATAGTACCTTGGTACTTGATGACAGCAAATATGACCGTGGGTTCCTCATCGTGAGATTCACTGTTGTAGTTCTCGTAAGAAACGCCACATAACGTATGTACGTGATTTATAAGCTAGCAGAGTCTGAATTGATTCTCCTACTGTAATGATCTGAGAAAGCTGGAACTGTTCATATCTTGACCTTCGCTCACACGCACTGCTCCTACCAGTCGCTTCTCTCCCCCGTGGCTGTGCACCTTGTTTCTTAAGCACGCCTGGGCATACATAGCTCAAGGCTTCCATACATATATAAGTCGTGGCATAAGCACCCTCGTCTCCGTGAAAGAATTCTTTCTCCCTCTCATGTCTCTGCCCCCAAACACAACACCAGTTCCACCACCCATTTTTCTCCCCAGCATGTCGCCCGCAGACTCTACAGCCACCGCGACTTCGGCGCCGACATCGACACAACTCCCCAATCACTCCAAGGAAGAGAAATCGCAAACAAAAGAGGATGAGGCGACACCGACTAAGGAGTTCTTCGAGCCACATCTACGCCTTCACCTCAATGATCTCACAGACGAAGGGACATCCATCTTCTTGTCAAGCATCACTCCATCGACTCTGCTTCCGTCTGCAGTTTCGATAGTCCAGAAGGCTCTCTACGTTCAGCCCAAAGGAGAATTTCATGTGCCGAGTACGCGCAGTGTGACTCTCATAGTCAGACCTATGGACGGGGTAGCGTACACGACAGGCGTTGACATTGATCCGGAGCAACACAAGGAGATTCACTTCTCATCCCACTATATCGCCTCCATCTCACCCAGTAGGCGCAGTCATGAGATCGAGGGTGTGATAGTCCACGAGCTCGTACACTGCTACCAGCACAACGGTCACGGACACGCACCAGGCGGTTTGATTGAAGGGGTCGCAGATTGGGTCCGTCTAGGCGCTGGTCTGGCACCGCCGCACTGGCGGAAAGGCGACGAGATCAAGGGAAAGTGGGACGCCGGGTATCAGCACACGGCATATTTTCTACAGTATCTCGAGGAGCGGTTCGGCGAGGGCACGGTGAGGCGGCTGAACGAGGGGCTGAGGACGAGCAAGTACGAGGAGAAGACTTTTTGGACGGGAATTCTGGGAAGGCCGGTCGAGCAGCTTTGGGAAGACTACAAGAAGCAAGCGTGCTAGTCGGGAAAGAAAGAACCAAATACGGGGGTGATACAAGGGACGTGAAGACTTCCTGGTGCACTAGAACTTCGCTTCTGCTATAGAAAAGAAAACTGCTCACACAATCGTCTACACCCACAAATTTCCTAAAACCACCATTGATCGCGAGCTCACCGAGCACGCAAACCGATAAAAAGCTTTTTCTCATCCTATATCAGGCGAGGGTCAGTGCTATGGGCCGCCAGGACTCGAACGAGACCAATCATGCAAGCTTTTCCTCCGGACAAGGTGGTTATACACGGGGAAAAAACAGAATGTCGCCATCGGTGTGGGTCATCACCCAAGCATGCATCCCGAGGCAGGCAAGTGAGTATGAGCGGGACATACATAACATAACAAACGTCCTATCGACGCACATACGGCACAAGATTTAAGCCAATATGCGTCCGTCCTCACCTCGAACTCATAGTAGTTAACCAAGCTTTCCCAGCTCGGCTCATAAAATCCAATTGCCGCCATCTATACCACCACGCGAAGTAAACCACCAAGCTCACCAACCATGGCCGAGCAGAGCACCCCAGCGGTGCCGCCCGTAAAACGGCTCTGGTACCGCACGACACTCTTCAACGCCGTCGTCATCGGCGCCGTCGGCTTCATTGCGCCCGGCCTCTGGAACGCGATGAACCAGCTCGGGGCCGGCGGCGCCGAGAAACCGTATCTCGTGAACGCCGCCAACGCCCTCGTTTTCGGCATCCTGGGTATCACCTGCATCTTCGGGGCGCCGCTCGCGAACCGCATCGGGCTGTCGCGGACGCTATTCCTCGGCGCCGTGGGATACCCGATTTACTCCGCGGGCTTGTACCTGAACAACCGGTACGGCGTGGAATGGCTCGTCCTCGTGGGCGCGGTAACATGCGGTTTCAGCGCGGGCTTATTCTGGGCGAGCGAGGGCGCCGTGGCGCTAGGATACCCCGAGCCCGGGAAAAGGGGACGGTACCTGAATATATGGCTCTGGTTCCGTACTGGCGGTCCCCTCGTCGGCGGCGCCATCGTGCTCGCCCTCAACAACGACGCAAACGCCAAGAAGAAAGGAAAAGTAAGCTACACCACATACCTCGTCTTTACAGCGCTGCAGGCCCTCGCGGCGCCCATCGCGCTTCTCTTGTCGCCGCCGGAGAAAGTCCAGCGCGCGGACGGAACCAAGGTCATCATCAAGGTCGAGGCGTCGTTCAAGGCGGAGTTGCGCGCCCTCTGGGAAGTAAGCACGCGCCGCGAGATCCTGCTTCTCCTCCCCGTGTTCTGGGCCGCGTATTTCAACCAATACGCAGGGAATTTCCAGACATATTACTTCGGGATCCGCGCGCGGGCGCTCATCGGATTCACCTCGAACTTCGGAACGCTGCTATCCTCGCAGCTCATGTCCGCGCTCCTGGACTACCGCGGCGTGCCCGTCAAGAAACGCATCGTATGGGGTTTCTGGTACGCCGTGGCCTTGCACATCGTCGCCTGGGTCTACGGGTGGGTTGTGCAGGAGAAGTACACGGCGAACCCGCCTGCGTATGATTGGGAGGATGCCGGTTTCGTTGAGGGGTACTTCGTCATTTTGCTTTGGGACTTCGCGAGACAGGGCCTCCAGAATTGGCTGTACTACCTCGTCTCTACCAAGACGGACAATATCTCGGAGCTCACGCGTTTCTCTGGCATTCTGCGTGGTCAGGAGAGCTTTGGGCAGGCCGTTAGTTACGGCCTGAATACGCGCGCGTGGTACGGGGGTCGCGTGCCGTTGGCTGTGAACACGATATTGCTAGGTAAGTGAATTTCTGTCGTTTTCTCTCTCTCTCTCTCTCTCCTTTTTTTTTTTTTTTTTTTTTTTTTTGTAAATTCCTTGTCTCGTTGTGTTGAAGGCCGCTGCATCACCTGCTTTGCTCACACATGTGGTTTTCTAGGTCTGTGCGTGTACCCTACCTGGCTAGTAGTCCGTGACCATGTGCCAGTAGAGATATCGAAGATAGAGGATCCAGTCACTCCGGACGCGGGTGTGGAAAGTGACATAGAGAAAGCGGCCGAAGCGTCTATGGCCATTCTGCCGCAGGAAAAGGGGAAGTTGGCCTCCTTAGAGGCTGGTGTCGGGAGGGATACCGTGTAGAGGCTTGGTGTTGCCTAAGAATAATCACAACTAAAAATGTTATATGAACTGTATATGTGCTGACTATGTTCACATGTGATGGTTACGAGTAACTGGAGAGGGAAATGATGCTCTTGTGTATCCCTCTATATAGCCCGTCGATTATGAGCTGTTACTCTTGACCATGAAATTACGAAACACGCGCGAGATATATATGTGAGAACGAAGACTTGGATTTCGAATATTAGCTTATAATGTAAGAAGATCGAGGCTCATGATTAATATCCGCCCGCCCCGGTCTAGAGATACATCTACCTTATATGTACAAGGCGGATATACCTATTCCAGGGGTTTCAAAGTGTTGTTACAGGATCATGATCAAGGTACAATCCCCATCACTAAATATGATGTCGAGGTTGTTTCTGGTGAGACTTGCGTTTCTGTCACTCTCGAAGTCTTCATGGCGTGCGTATCATGTGCCTAGGCTTCGTCACGGTCTTGCCATGAGAGTAGGCTAGCCTCCTGCAATTGTATGCTAAATGACCGGGTAAAGAAGACATTTCGGATGACCCGCGTAGTAAAAACCATGGCTCTATTACCAGTGCCGTAAGGCTTTGAAAGACACTATTTGTGAAGCAACGTATTGATATGGCAACTTGATAACATTGGTTCAACGTTGGATTGTTTAACATCTGTGTTTCAACGCCATAATTGTTTACGCGGCGATTTTTACCGTAGAATTGTAAAGATTGGCTTATCTTCACAGGCAACATCCCCTTATGAAGAGCATCACATCTCATGCGGCACCGAAACTCTAATATCACATATTGTTAACATACTTTCTTCTGTATTAGCAGTGTAGAGAAATCATTTTTCAACTGGAGCGAAATGCAAGCTATGTACGAATTGCTCCCTCTAGACTATAACAAGAAGCAAATAAGGCTTCTCAAGTCAGCGAAGCCGACACCTTCAACACAATCTTTGACTATCTAGATGATTCAAGAGATTCCGGCAAGTCTATACAATCAGGCATAGTGGAGCTTTTTAGCAGACCCTGGTTCTCACGGACACGGATGCTGCAGGAAGTTGCCTCCCGACTGAGCACCCCGTTTTCTTATGTGGCCCGCATTACATATCTTGGAATTGTCTGAAATCAACTCAAGAAGCGCTCTCAACTGCTCTTTTATCCGTCTATAAACCCGGGGCAATAGGGACGCGACTGTGCGAATACCCTGCTCGCTGTTTCCACGATGCTGACATGAGCGCCCTCTTCACAGAGAGCCCACTGGAAAATATCATCTGAGACGATCTAGTCTCGCCACGCATGCCGTTTTCATATACAAGAAAGTATACTTGCTGGTTCGATATCGGAGGCATCTGATCCGAGGGACAAAGTCTACGGGCTACTTGGTCCCGTTTGTCCTAGCCACGGAGTTAGTGTCAATGTGGACTACGGCAAACACACATTTGAAGTTTATCGACACGTCATGCAATACATGCTTCTTGCCGATGGGGAGTTGTCCTTTTTATCTTATAAAGAAGAAGAACATCCATTTTGTGCCTAATCTAAGGAGGCTTGTGTATGCCAAATAAGTTTGTCGTCTGACCAAGGTCCATCGTGGGTCCCGGATTTTAGTAAAAAAAAAAAAAAAACGACCTCGCTCGGAAACACACCTGAGACTGTCGAGGTCGTATTCCTGCTGCTTTAGGGATGAAAGCAGACATTAATTTTACCGGAAGATCGTTGTTTGCAAGTGGCTTGTCTCTAGATATTGTCCAGCATACGGTACATTCGGCCAGATCTTCCACTTCATCCTAGGAGAGCTTCCCGTCAACTCGATTCTGCCATTCATTTGGAGGGTTGCAAGACGAACACCACATGGCAGTAGAGAGATGAACCATGCAGACTCCTGTTCCGCCTGTTCACCTGATAGATTCAATCTTGTTATGCTTTTTGGCTACCACAAGGGTAGAGATATTGAGCTTGGAACTTGAGGAATTCAGATTATAATGAACAACCAGGGCTTCATGAGTCCTTGACCAACCAACCCCTTCTCGGCTGTTAGTGGCTTGACTTGACTCTATATACAACTGGTCTGCTAGTCCTATCCGCCTAGGTCCCAAGGCGTCTGTTTCAGGAAGCGAGGTCTATATAACCTCACTTTCCAATATTGCCTGCATGTCTTTGAATGATCATGAACGGCCTACAATGGCCTTTCATACGACCGAAGTGCAAGGCGAACTGCATATTCAGCTAGTACGGTGTGTATGCGTGTAACACCAACCTACACCTACCTATGGCTATTGACCCCTTGTACCTACCTGCTATGTGACTGCTTCAAGGCTTCTGTTCACTCTGGAACTAATACACCTGACAGTTGGTAGGTGGTGAAGGAGTTTAATATATTGCTAGGTGTGAATGTTTCTGCAGCGCTTCATGATGTGATGACCAGAAGCACGAGTGCCTGTTTTTACATATTGGGTTTGGTAGTTGACTTCGTGAGTGTAGTGGACACGCCAGTCTTATATCCAGAACGCTGAGTCTTTTAAATGGGTTAACCAACCCGGTTATGCAGTGATATAAAAAGCAACGCGTTAAACCTGACTTATATAAATAGGGGGGACTTTATATTTCCCTTAATACGGTGGACCGGTGGAGTTAACATGCCGATGGTAAAACGGAGGCCCGGCGGCTACGAGATGGGCCGTACCGCTACGGCCCGCATGATGAGTCAGTATAGACTCTCGTGCCGAGTTCCTGCTATTACTTGGTCGAAGCTACAATAGCTCATTCGGAATATATCATTCTCATGATCTTCTCATGCAATATGGCTTCCCCAGAGCTCGTACTACGATCCTGGATACTACGACAAGATATTCCTAGCTGGGTCCTTGAGTCATTCTTTGTTTTGCCACTTATGAAGTATATCCGCCGTCATATCTAGCATTGAACCCAATGATGCATTCACGCCCTAGATGCTGAATAATCTCTAGCATATCTCATTATATCATGTCACTTGCCAGCAAACTTCGTCTAGGCTGGTAGTATTTTAGTTGACGTGTTGAGTGGAGCGTGCTCTGGGCCGATATTATCGTCGAGCAAGTATAGATAATAGAAGCAATAGTCCATCTTGATAGGGGTCATTTTAGACATGATGCTTACGTGTTATATTCCGACACACGAAAGAAGGCTGCGTTGTTCACGAACTATATGAAACTCGTCATTGCAACGTGGTACTTCATCAGAAGATATTTCTTACGATAGTAGCTACGTAAGTATATCGGCAAATACTTCATTGTCGACGCAGCTATGAGCGGTGGTCAGTGCCTAACGGGAATGCGCAAGGTAATGCCTTGCGTAGTGTGCATATATTGTACGAATCCTGTACGCGCTGAAGAGCCGCATGGGTAAGTGGACGGATGAACACACATCAAGCTGGACGAATAATGAGTGGATGACATTTATAGATTTATGCGTATGTGAGGATGTCGGATCTCTGGGGTTTGCGCTCATCCTATCGAGCCACTCACCTCGCCACATACGAGTCACGCGAGTAGCTTGGGCTCCCAGCGGATTGACTCTTGCGGCTCTTCATCCGTCCAATGAACAGGATGCGGAACACAAGCACCCAAGGGCGGCACGAGGTGGCAAAGAGCTGGCATGGGCCGCACTGCTAAGCTGATTGACCGAGCTCTGCGTCATCAAGAAATGCGGTGCTGTCGAAGGCGTTTCAGAACAGCTTGTACGATAGCATTCACTTTCTTGTTGAATGCTGATCGTGAAGATCTTCACCTCGAGCCCCGGAAGCAACGGCTTTGTGTATGATAAAAGATGCAGTTGGATATCTCGCAGCACGCCGTTGGCAGCTGGTAATGTCTTGAAACCGATGATGTAAGGTCAGACAGCTTGGCAGTACCAATTATGACATGACGGAAGGTGATGGCGACTCTCGTGGGAATTTTGGCTGACCATAGGAAAGGCAAATGATAACGGTCTGGTTGGCGTGACTATTAGAAGCAATCAAGTACACTTGTGCCCACTACCAAATCTGAAAACATCACCATTTCGAGACCCACGACTAGAGCTATACGGCTGCTTACTCGATTCTTATCGGGACTGGTCCCAAGAAAGCCAGATTAGGAACCTTTGGTTCTTGAGAGCCAGTCAATGACACCATTTGGTCCTTTAAGTCAGTCCAATAGGATTGAACAACTGACCAATTCCACACGACATACCAGTTTCGGTATCTCGCGTTTGTGGGGTACATGTGTAAAATAGGAGACAACATGTAAGTAACATAGAACCTATCTAATGCACGCTTGAATTGTCAGAACGACGTGTCCAGAGGATCGCTCCTGGGGGCTCCGCGCATCTCTGCGAGGTACTTGTTTGGCGTTGAATTGGGTCTGGTAAATTGATACGCCATCTGGGTGTTGATGCGCTCCAGCTTCTACTAGCGGATCGATCCTATAACTCGCTCGTCGTCTGTATGACGAATCGTCTATCAAGGCTTCCAACGTATGTTTCGAAGCGAAGAAAGAAGGGTAAAGTTCCGCTGTCGGAGAAGCGTGATAGGCGCCTTACCGTTAGGCATGGTGAGCGTACGATATGCTGAGAACATATAGGTCGGAGCTAGAATCTTCGGTGATGGAATAAGCTGCTTGCTGCACCGGGGGTCACAGTGACCTAGCCGGGGAACTTTCCCTTTCCGAGAAGCTCTATGATAGATGATCAAGAAGCATAACACCTGGCGGCCAACCATTGCGCCGTGCCGCAGGACAGCCTCAGCAAGAGAAGCGCTTTACGGGGCATCTGAAACACGTGCCTGAGTGTCCCCGGGACGGCTGACGGACGATGACATTTGACGTGGAGGTCGGGCCCCAACCAACCAGCGAATGAGCGAATGCCACACCGCGACCCGAAAAGGTGACATGCAGGCGCGCAGCGGAGGATCGTAGAACGGCCGCTTCGACTAGTCAATTAGACGAAATAGTAAGTGTTGAATGCATGGCCACGGAAGTAAGAGGACAGAGGCGTCATCAGACATATTCCCCCATCCACCATAGTAGATAGGTTACGAAGAGATCGTGAAGGCTCCTGGCGCATGGAATTCGAATTGAAAAGTACCCGGGAGATCGACTGGTGATCTGTAGTATTTTGACAATGGCTTGTTTGACGAGTTATAGTATCTACTAATATGGTAATGACTCAAATCGCTGTATACCATCGATTGCCAGGTGTGAGAATCGGTGGTGCAAGGAGGTTTGGTAACTTGGACCAGCGGCTCTTATGGCGTTCATTGCTACGTGGTGACCGCGTTCACAGTTAAGGGGGCACAGCAGGGCAGTTGAGAACGATTAAACAGGTATGCTGTACAGGGAGGTGATTGATGGCAAAGACTAGGAGAATAATAAAAAAAGGTGTAAAAGGTAATTGAGGTTAGTCGCTCCACGCATGGCAATTGAGGGCGAAGCCGAGGTAGCATTATCAAGAACAGGCGGGCTCCTATTTGCCGCCGATGCTGCATTGCACTCGATAACACTGTTACTATCGCCGGTCGTAAGCTGCGGGCTTTAACGAAGTTGCGCCTGGGAAAAGCGAACAGCGAAAAGCGATAAGCGACAGCGAGGGCGTCGTGGACTCGGAACCCCTACCGACTCACGAGCGCCCAGTCTCTGGTGGTTTCCCTTTTTCCTTCCGCAGCATGGCCATGTGTGGTTCAATTGGCGGGTCGGCGAGTCGAGAGCGTCGAATGGAGTGCATTACCAGAGCCGGCAATGGTTGCCGCGAAGGCGATGCAAATCCATAGGCACCGACTACATGGTGTCGACGGAGAAGTCAAGACGAGGGCGTTGAAAATAGCTACAGAATTGACACGACATTCACACACACTTTTCGACGACGATGTGTGACTTGGCTTCGTAGTTGGCCAACTGGTCTGAAAAGAACCCGAGAGAGCAACGTTCCTACGTCGAGGAGGGAGAGGGGAGAGAGTGAAAATTTTTCATTCGACTGAAAGCGCTGAATCGCTGAGTGGCCGTCTACCTAGATGTACCTACCTGCCGTATGTACCTTCATTCGACAATGACGAAAATATGGTCAGATGAGGTCTGCTTGGGAGAAAAGCAGGGAAAAAAAAGGTCTTGATTGATAGGATTGATAGAGGATTCGAGATACCCGCGGGAGTCTTTCTGAATGGCTAAAGCCACCACCAGCCACGATCGTTGGTGGCACGCTTGGCGCTGACCTTGGTCTTCGTCCAATCTCGTCCAATCTCGTCCAATCTCGTCCAATCTCGTCCAATCTCGTCCAATCTCGTCCATCTCCTTCATCTCCTTCATCTCCTTCTGGTCTCTTCATCATCGGACCTTGGGCAGATCACGGCAAGAAAGGCAAGAAAGGCAAGAGAAGCAAGAGAAGCAAGAAACGCACGGCATCCCATTTCGGCACCCTGCTCCCCAAGCTGGAAAGGCCTGGGCTGGCGCTAGATACCCAAGCAGCACGCTATGCTACCCACCTGTGGTGATAAGGTTACCTACGTGTCCAGTACAGTAAAGCACTAAACCCCCTAGAGCGTGTTGGGCTTGAGCACAGCAAGATAAGTAGGGAGGTATCTGATAGGTACCTAACTCAGGTGTGGCAGCATGGGCCCGGTAGCGCATGGCTGCATCCCAGCACTGTCCCAGTCATCTCCCAGCACCTCGGGAGGTAGAGCCGGTACCCAAGAGTGACTACGACCAGCGAATCTATCTAACCCCCACCATCATCGTTGTCGTTGTCGTCGTCCTTGTCGTCGTGTGGTCTCTTCCCTCTTCCCACCCCACCTCTCTCTTGTCTGTGAGCGAGTCTCTCTCTCTCCCGGATCATGACTAGGTACTTACCTACTGCCAATGCACATATTCAATAGTAGATACCTGGGTAAGCAGTGGATGCGGATGACTACCTTAACTACCTACCTACCACGACGACCCTCACGGACGGCGCAACATACATGCCACTCTCTGTCTAAGTAGGGACGGTAGTGCGGGATAATCCAGAATGGATTTCGCCAAATGCCGCAATTGAACCACGTGTGGCTTCGATGGTTGGCTGGTGGTTCGATGTCTGTCTGTTCCACCCTATTCCACCCACCATCCAGGATGGACTAGGTTAGTACAATGGAGGAGGTATGTAGTCGTATTCATCCATCTGGGACTCCTCCACCAAGAGATTTCTCCAGCCTCTATCGAGGTAGGTATGTGAAGTATGTGAAGTATGTGCTTAGCACACACACACACACAGCCTGGGCTTCGCGAATGGTGAGTGACGCCTGCAATACTACACTGGAGTGTGTCTCCATGCTACCCGCTTTGCCTGTCGCGACTGGATAGTCAGGTATAGAAGAGGCATGGGAGTCATGGTCATGGTAGGTAGGTATGTGCCTGTCCTCATCGACGTCGACCAATGTTAGCCGCTCTGGCCGCCCTCCTCCCCCTGCTCCCTGTCTGCCCGTCTCCTTCGTACGCTATGCTGTGACGGGACAGCTGCTCGACTGCCTATGACCAACGAGGTAATATATCCTATGCGTGCGTGCTGTCGCCTCCCTGCACATCGAGATAGGCAGACGGGGCACGGCCGGGCCCAGCATTGGGTAGATTCTGCAGCTGCCCACCCCCACACTATTGGTCCTCTCTCTGGTCTGGGAAGACAAGACTCGATGCATCCCGCAGTTGTTCGCCAGCTTCGAGAGCGAGCCGGGGTTTGACCCAATGGCTTCGCCCGAGGCCGAGGAAAGTCCTGCTCTGCAGAGCCATGACTGACACACCATGCTTGCCTGTCATCAGGTACCGAGCGTCTTCCCTCGATGATGCACAGTGTCGTCCAATGTCCGGTGCTGCCCGCGGGTCTTCTCTCCGGACCGCTCGCCTTGGCTGCCATCGACGCTGTTCAGTGGTACATACATGAGCCTGTCGTCAGCTCACACCCCAGCCCAGCCCGCATTCGCTGCCCATGATGTCCTCTCCCCCGTTCAGTGTTCGTTCGTTCACCCTGCTTATAGTGCTTGCCCACGTCTCTCGTTGTGCCATGTTGCTCCAGTCACTCCATCTAATTAATAACCAACCTTGTCTTTCAATTGACGCATACATGCTTTGTCCTCTATAGTAGAGGGAGCAAGGAAGAGAAAAAAAATATTTTCTCAGCTCACACCTTGTTCTGATCCCCAGGAACTTATTGGAGCGCTGCCTCGGAGCCTCAGGCACGCACCCTGGTGCTCTCTTATACGGCCCAAGCCCAGCGCTAGTACCCCAGGATTGTTCTCTTGCATCGACAAGATCGAGGGTACCTACCTACCTCTTCGTTAGGCCGCAGCAGGGAGTGACTACAAAGGTATTTATATACCGAATCGCATCTGTGTGGCCCAGACGGCCCACTCGATCATCGTCATCAAGGACCCTGAAACAGTGACACGCCTACTTTACAGCGGATATAAGGAACATCCACCACCTCTCACCTTCGACATCTGGTGTGAAACTTTCATCTGTGCAACCGGTACATTGTTTCCTTTTCTGATATTACAGTCATCATGGCTCGAGGGAGAGAGACCAACACTTCAAATCACACCACCAGCACCCGGCATACAAGACATAGTTCCGATTCGTATGAATCAAGGAGCACTGACCCGTCATCTTTATATGACAGTCCTTTACCATCGACAAAAGGCTCAACCCCACGGACCCCGAGAACTCAGTCGTCATGTTATCACGAGGACTTATCGCCGGCAACCAGTCTATATCCTCGTTCCTCCGTCGAGACCTACTCATCACGGGCATCCTATGAGGAAGGTGAAGACCTGGAGGAAGATGACGGCCTTGAATACCCCGAAATCCCCCCTTTACCCATATATCGTCATGAGATTGAGGATATCAACGTTCGACCTTCAACGCCAGAGGACTTCGCTGCTCTCTTCCCGTCTATGAACAAGCTTATTATCCGCCATGATGACTTGACGCCAGATGGTAACATGAACCTTCGCGTGGATACAATTGTATCTGGCCGGCGGAAAAAGACAATTCAGCTGTTTCACTTGCGGATGAGAGATTTGAATAAGCGGGAATTCTCCTTACGACGCTATTGCCGAGATTCCGGCCGCGAGGTCTGCAATTCTAAGCGCAAATACATGGAGCCGATGGAGACACGCCATCCCAAGTTACAGAGATCTGTTTCAACGGCTGTAAAGACTCTCACATGCCGGCCGACGCTCCGTCGCTCACCAACTTCTGCCTCGCTATTTTCTGCCAAAAGCCGTCCAGGAACAAGCCATTCAACAGCAGTAGTTGACGATGAATTCCCAGGCAGCTTTGAGCATTCTCTCATGCATGACAACAAGCAAAGGGCGCGACCCATTCCAACAAATACTATCAAGCTAGAGTTCTCAAACTACGCTAGAGTTGACGTTCAACGGCGTGGGCACAAAGCTAAGAAGTATGAGTTCGAGTGGTGGCAACACAAGTATGCCTGGAGGCGGATTGTTGACAAGCTGACGGGAACTCTATCATTTCACCTCTTCCGTGACGGCGACGGTACCCCGGTTGCCCATATGGTTCCTGAAACCCGATCACCGAACCAAATAGCCATTGATGAACATGCTGGTGGATGGATTCCTCCCTACCACATGTGGATAAGCGACCAGAGCTTGATTGATGTGCAGACAGACGTCGCAGAGTAAGTAAATATGTCTCCATTTCTCTCAATGATCATTTAGCACGTTGATCAGATACTCCATGGCCTATACACAACCACACTCCTCGGTTTAACTAACATTCATTACCTATAGCGTTGTTGTTGCGACTGGCCTAATTGCCCTCGTTGATGACTGCATCAAGTCTCGCTGGCAAACCAACAGACATCGAATTCGTCGCTTTAGCCTGCCGGACGTTGAATTTGTCAGACCCCGCTCCTTTGTACAACACCTACTTCACCGCCGATTCTCGGAGCATCACCAGCAGAGCCCGCTTCGCTCACAGAAGGCTGTGGCTGCCTACTAGGCAATTGGCATCAGCATATATCCAAACGACAGAAGGCTCCAGCCCAGGCGGCAGCATCGTCAGAGCCGAGTACTACACATACATTGCATTGTCATCCACTTTAGCGAAAATAGAGTGAAGAAGCAACAGGGCGGTCAAAGATTGTTGTCGCATCGTAATTTTGCGACCGCCATTTCGCCACCCCCAACGCCTCGTAAGCACTTCTCGGTCAGCTAAGCCATCGCTTACAAGACCGCTTCATTACAACCATTCCCCCTTCACGAGCTTTGTTTCTTCAATTCTTATAATCTCGTATTTTATCACATATCTCTATCTAATCCCTCGCTTAGTTGCCCGACGCAACAACATCATCCCCTTCGTTCCATGATTTCGGAGTCTGCTCTTTTTTTTTTTCCCCTTGGTTGCCGGTGCATATGCTCAGGTTCGTCATTTGTCTTGTTATTACTTTTTTTGTAGAACAAAAAGTGGGCTATCGCATCCGTTGCATTATCGTCGATTGGACTATTGCTTTTACACGCTCACTTGTTTTTGTGCCTGCTCCTTCCTAGCGCACTGCATCGCGCACATATTCACGGCGTTTAGCATTGGGTATTTTGGATGAAGCTCGAGGGTTTTGAGCCAATTATGTGTATATGAATATTTCTATCATTTTTTTTTATTCTTCCAATTGGGCTGCCCTCGTCACGTACGCGGGCTCGGAAGGTGCACAGCAAAAAACTGAAGGGAAGGATTTTTTCTCACGCTTATTCATTCTTATTTGCATTGGGTGGGACTTTTCTGTCGTGTTTAATCGGCTTCGTGCTGGGGTACCCTAGTAGTAGAGAATTACCTACTAGATATGAAGAAGAGTACTGTTGCCCTGGAATTGGCTGTGCATTGCTGTGACATTGAAGCTGTGCTGTATAGCTGACTCTGTGTATCTCATCTAAGATCTTCATTCTTAGCTTACTAGTTCCAAGCCTATACCACTTAAACTGTACTTATACCTTGTCTATATTCTGATTGGGCGCTTCTTGTTGCCTAGTTAGGCATTGGTTGTTACCATACTGTTAACAACACCTTTCCCAAATCTCTATTCTATCGAGCCGGACATTCACGACCTCGGAATTCACATCGTACATTATAAGGTACATATATCTCCTGTGGCTTCGGACAGGAGAAAGTAAACGGGTCTGAATCTCACCAGGCGATGGACGAGATACCTAGTTCTTCTCTCCCGCAAGTCAGGAGAAGAAATTGCAACGCGGAATAAATAAAGTAGATGGAGAGATAGAGCGAGGGCTTGCGTTGCGTACTGCTGACGGCAATATAGTCTCGGATGAGGAGAATATAGCCAGCGCAGATGTTTTTAATAAACTTTAGGCTTTATTCACATTGCGAGCTTAACTGATAGATGCTAGACACTTTTGTTAGTGAATCTAAGCAGCTCAGCTTGTAAAATTCGCGGAATTGAAATATGCTTAATTTGTCACACTGGAGTTTGAACAAGTGGTTTATGAGATGTTGTTTCTGGAAGTGTATCCTTGACATTGTAGGTAGGGAGGTAGGTTTGAGTGCGTAATTGAGTCCTATCATTTAGTAATATATCGAATTTTCCATATAGGATGAGTACTTTGATTCGGACCCTAGTCACTATATAGAGCGAATTTTCATAAACCATTACAACGCATCAATTACATAGTTTCCGCCAATTGTATAAATAACCAAACACTTCATCCCGTCCCATCATCTCCACTCGCGGGCCCAAACCAGTCCCCGAAATCCAGCTTCATCAGCAAGCGATCGATGCCGCCCACGCGATGAGGCCTGTACTGGCCGACCCCGTCCGCGTCCACTTCGTCTTCTTCAGAAGCGCCCTCGTCGTCGCCCTCCATCTCAGCTAGGAAGTCCGCGTCGAGACTAAGTCGTCGCAGGGAGGAAATCACGTCCTCGATGCCGAATTTCACGCGTCGCTCAACGCCGCGCAGCTGCGCGCGCACATCGCGCTCTTCCGCGTCGAGGTTTGAGAATGCGTCGACGACGCCCTCGTCTGCCTCGAGATCGGCGGCGACCCAGACGCCGTGGAGTCGGTGCACGAGGGCGATGAGCTGGTCGAGTTGTAGGAGTAGGTCGTGTAGGGGGGTCGTGAACGCGTGCTGGGTTAAGAGGAGACGGCGCGTCAGAGCGCTGAGGTATTGGCGGTGGGCTGTGCTGAGGGTTTGGGGGTCGTGGTTGGGATGGGGGGTTTCCGGGTCCTCGGGAATGAGGGCGTCTCGCGATGATGTAGGGCGGCTGAGCTCGGTGCCGGTTAGCCAGGCGTGGAAATGAGACCATAGACCCTCGACTACTTCGACTTGTAGATATGCTTCTGTTTCCCCGAGGAAGAATATCGCGGCGCTACTGGTGCTCCACGTGCCTCTCATGATGGAGGACCGGAGAGACGAGCGTTCGCGAAGTAAGTTGGTTTTGGCGATACCTTGTTTGGTGTTTCCGTAGGGTGCCCTAGGAGGTGGTGGGTGTTGCCGCCGGAGAGAGGTGATTTTCCAGAGGTCTGTTAAGCGAAGGTGGGCGCGTCGTATTGAAAGGAGGTATGAGTTGATCGCGGTATATATTTGGAGATCGGATTGAGTGAGGAAGAGGTCAAGGGGCGAATGTATTTGCATTGTGAGAGTGACGGGGACTGAGAAGAGTAGATTGCGGAAAGGTGTAGGTACGATGGCATCGAGTATTTTATTCGTGGCAAGGTGGGAGACTTTGGCTGGCGTTGCTGCTTCGGTAGACTTGGACACATGCAGTCGCAGAAGATCTCTAGCAAGCTCGAGTGCTTCATCTTCGTCGGCATGTTCGCTTTGCATGGATCCTAGGAAAGCCCAGGTCCTGGCTAAGACGGCGGATACCTCGCCCTCTTTCACTACCACCGTGCTCAGGGCATCTCTGCTTTCATAGGCCAAGTTGTCAGCTCGCCGCCAGCGGCTACGGACCCTCTCATCGGCTTGCTGCACCAGGGCAATGGCAAATTCACCACGGCCGATCAAGAAAAATTCTCTCAATACCTTCAATATTTCTTGCACCCTGGCCAATGGCAACAGTTTCTGTAAAGTAGTTTTGGACAGAGTATATCTGATGCTTGTGATGGCTCGTGAGAAGATTACGCCATTAAGAGGCGAAGATAGCTGCGCGAGTTCCCGGTGCTGTGAAGAGACGTGACTAAGATCACCGGCACCAAGATCTGAATACGCCCTTGACCGAGCTCTATTGATGGAAACGCCGATGAACAACATTGAAGCTGCTGTCGATGGCGTCACAAATTTTGGCAGCAACTCGTAGTTAATCTTGTATCCCTGTTCTTCCTCCCCATCCTCACGTATGAAAAAATCATACCCACCCACAGTTGGCTGCCGCCCGTATAAGACCCATGTCGAAACCTGCTTCAACCATGAAGTCTCAGCAACTTGAAGCAGACTTTGAGCGGTCTCGGAGATGTCAGCGTAGCCAGTCTGCAGCTCATCCCGCAATCTGTCAATAAGTTTCGCTGCCTGGCAAGGTACTCTATCTTCTCTACCCTTGTCGTCCTTCATAAACTGAACTAGCTCCCAGAGCCATTCTAGACGCCGGGTCCAGTCAGAGAACTGACCAATGACGGCTGTCAAGGGCACAATGTTGTAAGCGCCCACCAACGCAGCATCTTTGCGCAGGATGCCGTCCTCAACCTCGATAATCTTACGTTGAAAAGAAGCTAGATGGATAGCCACTATGGCGGTGGAGACGGCGCGACATATGGCTGAAGGGTGAGTACTACTGATGTGATTGGTCTGTTCTCTCAGGTTGCAATGGAGGTCACTGAGATGAGCGGCCGTGGTTAAGAGTTGTCTCTCCGGCGGCGATACGAGGGCCGATGCTCCGGGATTGGAATGGTCATTCCGGAGTAAAGGTGACGGGTGTCCCGACAAGGATAGCAAGATTTCATGGAGCATGGCGCTGGAGAGGATGAGGATGGTGATGACGAGACAGAGGAGGCGCTAATGCGTGTTTCACGTCAGTCTACAAGTTGGGTATCGCCAGTAAGAGTAGAATGAGGGCTACAGACCCTTGCAAGACCTTGGATTGTCTCCCGGAGCGGACCTTATCACCAATATCCTGGAATATGAGAACAATTGAGCCCAAACACTCGTATCGACACATTGGAACATGAGTGTGAGAAAGCCGGTCTCTCAGGTCGATTAGTATTGCTCCTATGTCTCAAGTTTTAGCAGTGATCGTTTGCAATATGCCGTCCCTTGTGTAAAACGGCGATAGTTAGTTAGGTGGGAGGAGAGCGAGGCCAGAGGGGTGAATGATACCGAAGTTGTGGTTCGTAGGAACATACAAAACTTGGGCGGAAGTCATTATTATGGGAGACAGAGTTGTCGAGGTCGTTCATGCATCTTCACAGGGATACCCTCACTTTAGATAGCCGCCTACAACAGAGTGTCGCGTCAACACGTCGGTCGAATGCTGGTTGACTGATTGGCCCGTCGACCGCGATTTTGATTCAGCGCATCGGTCACGTGATTTTGCATACACACTATCTTTCAAGCTGCTACTTCCTGTTGCTAATTGTCGCTATTACAGCCTCGAACTGGCCGGTCCTTATTCTACAAGTTCTCTCTCCCCAGTATATAGTACACCGATGGCAGCGAGTAGGGAGGTTATCGTGTAAGCTGTGTCTATTTTGTCAATCCCAGCACTCAATGGTGTGCCAAGGCCGGTGTCTACCTAGATATATGAAACCGTTTAGCGTAGGTATACAGGCTTCAGCCCCTTACTTACGCACAGGCTGCAATGGGGCCAAACAAATTCAACATAGATATCATCTCGCTTTAATCTATTTGATCTTCGCTACTCAAGATTTGCTAACCCAAGTCCTGACCCCTTTCCGTCGTGTTACAAACAGACCTATTTTGGTGATGTTCTTGTGGACGCACCACTGATGCTTGCCGAGTCCTTGCGTATCGAGCCACTTGTACTGCGCACCGGCGCTGTGGGCCTGGCATCATCGCCAACTACAACATCAGCGGTCTGGCCATTGCCAATCTTGACTTTTCCAACAACCATTCCTTTCCCAACTGCTTTGATGATGGCTTTTCGAGACACGCCTGTAACATCCACGTAGACAAGCCCGACATTCTTTACACTGCCGCCGAGATGCTTGGAAAGTTCCCCTGCTTCATCACCCCATCGATGTGTCACCATAGTCGTGGCCGAAGTAGAGGCCGAAGTGAGGAGACTTCTAGTCGCATGATCAATTCCATCCGCTACCGTCGTGAAAGCCATCAAGCTTTTGTTGAGGAGACCCGGTTTGAAGTTATCTAAAGGTTGGCCGTCGGGGCTATATCCCTTTTTCCCGCTCCTGTCTTTATAGCCTCGTCCCGCCAGATGAGCGCCGAGGTTCTGGGCCACCTTGGTTACCTGTCCGACTGTTTTGGATGACATTTCTGCTACCCCCCCAGAGAATTTACCGATCCGACGCACTCGTTCGTGCGTAGCCGGCGTAAAGGTCAAAGGCTTATTTGAAGCCTTCGTGTTCTTTGTAAAGCTGTCCGACCCGCTTTGCATGGCGTTGGTTACGAAATCAGATGTTGTGATTATGAGCCTGGACGCATACGCGGCCTTGGACACGATAAACGACTTTTGGTAAGCTGGATGTAACTCCAGCTCGAGTGTTTCTGCCGACGCTGGTACCACGGCCAGCTGGTTTCCCTCACTAGGCAGCGTGATTTCGACAGGGTCTGCAGATCGTTTTGGTTAGCCGTTTCAGCGTTCTCGCAAATTCGAGATCAGTACGCGCCTACCCTTGGATCCGGGTTTAACACCAGAGTCGACAATTTGAAATCCATCTGACAACTCGCCGATAATGCTTCCATCATCTTCGTCGATAAGCACAATCTGACCGGCGTGTGCGGAGCTGTGACTGCCCTTGACATATCCCTCGCCGGGTTTATAAGACGCGGGGTTGTAGGCGGGAAGCTGCTCCTCGGTCACAGGTTTTGATTTGGACCCGGAAGCTGTTGCGGAGCGTTTGGATCCTGTTGCCGGAGAGGGCGACGGCTTCTCATCGCGCATCTTGGCAGCCTTGGGCGGGGGGGCTCTTTCAAGGAAGGCAGTGCATTGCGCCAGGATTGTCTCAAACGTATCTACGTCTTCCTGGAGACCAGGACGACTTCCTACAGCGGGAAATTCGAGGCGAGTGAAGGCGCCGCTGTCGGGGCCGAGATCCCATCGAGGAATCAGGTAGCTCCTGGGAGGTTGGTGATAAATCTGGGTGGTAGCGGGGAGAGGGATATCAAGCTCCGGTGGCAGGTGGAGATGGAGATAGAAGTCTTCGGCTGGCGCATCGGCTTGCGCGTCGAAGGTCGAGGGGTCTGCAAATGGAGAAGAGGTTGGGACCATCAAGAGCGACAATGTCTGGGGGCCGCCAGGCGTCAATGGTTCCTCCCTACCATAAGCGAGATGGTAGGCAGACACGCCCTGGATGGCGTAGAGAAGCTTCGGGTCCTGTCGATAAGACGATGGCCTTAGCATTACGAAAAGAGAGTGTGAACTGCGTAGGCGCAGAAGCGCAATGCCAGCAGCAACATGGCGCAACACTTACATTGTGACCTGACGCCATGATTGGAGGTGGGGTACCCAGTCGGTGTTGAATGATGAAGCTGGAGATGTCGATGGCGATGGGCGGTAGGCACAAGGTCAGTCTTCAATCTAGACCACAAAGTAAGAATGTTTCAAGGCGTGAATATTAAAAGGTATTGGATTGAATGTCTAAGGTCTTCAAGGAGTAGGTATCTCTAAAGTGCATGTACAGCGCTTAAGTGGGCGGCGATGATGTAGGATCTTTGGGGTTACTGTCCCGGTTTCACGTCGCCAAGCCTTGAGAAGCGCTTAGAGGCAAACCACAGTCGGGCTGTGCAAAAGTGAGGCCTCTCACCAAGAGCGCTTCCAAGGGATAGCACTTAGTCCGGGATGTTTGAAGTGGCTGAGACGATGAAGCAATGTAAAGAGAGCAAGTGTTGCTGTTGATGGGTAGACGTCATCGGTGTTTCACTGCGTCAGAGCAGGTGGATAGGTATCGTGTACTATGTACACCAAACCTGCCAGAATTTAGTGCCGACGCTGGCGTGAGGGGTTCTGAATTCAGCGTCTAGACCCAGTGTAGCTAGGGCAATCCATCCACTAGCAACCTACAGTATATGTAAGTGCCTAGGTACCTAAGTATGTACCTAGCTACTTCGTAAAGCCTTACCTATCTCTTTACTCAATTACTACCTAGTACCTTATGTAAGTCAGAAGCTACCTAGGTACCTAGTAAGTGCGTATTTGAATGCTATCACCTACCTATAGATCACCTATGAGTGTCTGTAAGCACTATCTACCAGAGATCAAAATGAAGGGAATTCAGAAATCAGAATTCAGGTAATAGTCCTTTGATGAGGAGTCTGAGATTGGTGAGACAAGGTTCCGCATGTGTGTTTACTTAAGCCCCCCTCGCCCCCAACTCACCCAACCTTGCAGAACTTACATATGTAAATATATAAATATGTAGATATACTACGTACGTAGAAATCCTATGTATTTTATATAGGTAGATAGCATCAAGTAATGTAAGTGCTAAGATTACCATCTACAAGTAGTAGGTAGGTATATCATATCTTGACAGGCCATGTACTGCCTCGGAAATTCACCGTTTCAAAAGAAACACGGATTGGATTCAAAGATACTACACCTGTGTATGGACTACTTCGTACCTATTGCTCTACATATGAAAATATTTGTAAAACATGGCGTGCCGAGGCTGTTAGGTATTTGCATATGTAGGCAGGTGCTGCTACCACACCGGTCTTGTGAAACCTCCCACACCGTCTGTCAGCAAGCTGTCTGTCAACTCCTCCATCACCAACATTATCCAAGACACCTCCTCACTACGAAGTAAGGCGAGTGCAAAGGCCATTCATCCTTGTCCAAAGGAAATCGGATTCAAGTCAATATTAGTCTAATTGACATGCCTCTATTCTCAGACCCTGGGCATTCCACCGCGACACGGGAGCCCAACACCCCATACACTAACTTGTTGCTAACTGGCTCATCTGGGGGCCAAGTCTCTCCCCAAGTTTGGTCCGATATGAGATATGATGATACAGAGTCTCTTCAACAGCTTAATCGACTTACCGTACTCGCCTGCCTGTCTGTCTGCCCTTGAGCCGCTTTTGATCGGCGCTTTGGCATGCCCGACTGCAGCACACAAATTCGCCAAGATGGCAACGTCCAGACCACAGTACCGAACTAACACCCAGAACCCAGGAGTAGACGGCCAAATCAGGCGCCGGCTTGTAGGCAGACCTGTATGCGGCAACCCCTGCACAAGTCGAAAGCCAATACCACATTGTTGTACTGCATGGTCAGGATGCATTCATCTGCGTCTCCCGCTAGAATGTCTCTATTGCTAAGTATGGGATACTTTCATTACTCTTGTCTCTGCTAGAGTCCCTGTCTTTCTTCTGTCTTTGATACAACCTTGAAGGGACTAACGTTAGTTAGTGCTGTCGACCCGACCCGCGCCCCCTTGTTCACAGCCGTGACGATGGTGCTTGTTGTTCGGGTGGTATGGCCATTAGTGCTGCGAGCCGACGCTTGTCTTTGGCCTGCCTAGAAAAACGTCCTGCTCTTGCAGCATACCTAGCACGTCCCGATACTCTGGATAGACGTTCGTCTCGAACCAACGCTATTCCTCCTGAATGTCTAGCGGTACCGGTAGCCCTGTAAGACTAGATGCGGCCCAAGTTGCCTGTTAGTGTCACCGCTACTATTGTCCGCGACGAAGCTGGGGCGCAAAGGAGGAACTTCACGTCCTGGGCTGAACCATCAATCTATCCTTTGCCAACTGCAGTAAGACATTGTTGGTTCTTCCGCCCTCGTGCACGCGCCCGAATTCGATAGCTCTCCACGGCATTGTCCGCACTCCCTTGCCGCTCATTGGTTACCGATCTTTTGATACCTATCATTCGCTCGGCTGCCCTACTCTGGCTGGTTTCCATCACGGTATACTGTGATTCAGACACCATGTACCGATCCTCCCGCGTCTGCCGCTGGATGGGTCTCAGTATCCTGGCCACCTCAGACATGACCGTCCATTCTGCCCACCGCCACCAAACAATGGAGGCTTTTGTGCATACATTTTGTTCACTTCTCCCTCATTCTCTCTGTCGTCCAACGCCCTTACTGCTTCTATCCTTTGCCTCGAATCCCATAAATATCAACTTCTCGAAGAAGCCCACGACGTTCAAACCTATATAACCACTTTTTAACGCATACACTAATACTGTGTTTGAGAGGGCCTTTCCTTTGGTGTCTCTTCGGTGCTATCACAAGAGTACACCTCCCTAAGATCGTTAGGACACGTCATAGTACCAATTTGGATGCTACCTGCATATATATCAACTTGGACCACCCTGTCTATCGTACAGCTCTGTTGAAACCAACACCTAAGCAATGCGCAGCTAGCCTTGTTCCTTCATGCTACATTTGTAACGGTTGGGAAGTGGACACTTTTGGACTCTCAACCTATCTGGAATCTTTCACTATCGGTTATCACTTCAGAAAGACAAAATAAGCTTCACGATCTCCGTGGATAATATATATAACCTATTTACCTGCTCTCTTATTATATATTTTCCTGCTTTCCTAGGCACTTCACGAATTCGTCGCTGACTGTATGGTGAAAACACTTTTCAGTTCACGCTTGATGGACTTACGTACTGGGTCTCTACAAGACCCGGCCGCCACAATTTCTACCCCAATTCGCATTCATTCGATTCTTTCCCCTCCCAACCCCCCAGAAATTGACGAGAATTTGAGTTCCACGTCAGGGTGCGCAACACCAAGGCCAAGGCTTGCGGGATCATACTCCCCATCCGGTACCCTCTCTAAGACATCGTCTCCCATTGCGCGGGCATACTCAGAAACTGAGCCATCAGATACCGAACTACAGAGAGAAGAGGTGGGAGATGAACGAAGTACTAACGAGTATGGAATGAACGAGATGAAACCGCTTATTGCGAGCAACGAGGGCAAGAGACAGCCCAAAATGCGTCCTCCAATGCGCTCGAGCATCGCTTGCACGAGATGTCGTAAGTCCAAAATCAAGTGTGAAAATAAGAATGGCGAAACACCCTGCGAGAGTTGCATCAAGACGGGAAGCCAGTGCATTTTCAAAGTTCCCGATCCTGCGCCTCCTAAACGTTCGGAGCCTCCGGCAATTGTCAAACAAGAGCGAGATGGGGGGTCGGATAGAAAACGGCTAAAAAAGATTGACGACATAGCAAAGGATGATGGTCAAAGGGCGATGGCACATGCTGAAGATGTTTTATCTGCTCCATTTTTGACTGAAGATTTGTGGCATCAGGTACTTGATCTGTACAAGATACATTTCGGCCCAGAACTTTCCTTCCTATACCTTCCAACGATAAAAGAGAAACTAGGACGCAGATCTAAAGCTCTACATTCCGAACACAGCTTGGACAGCAATCTAGTTTTGTTGGGTATCTTGACCCTGACAGCACGCTTCCATCCAGACCTAGTCAGATACACTGCACATTTGTGTAATAACCAATCAGGTAACACAAAGCCTCGCCCGCCTCCCTCCCAGCCGGACCCATCTGCGGCGTCGGACTACTATGCAGATGTTTTAGCTATGGCTCTTGGACCAGTGCAAACAATGATGGATACTGCTTCCATAGACCGTGTGGCGGCGTTGCTCATGCTCGGTCTCTACGCGTGGAGTCAAACGCAACCGAAGACCGGCGGCATGAAGGCCTGGATGTATGTTGGTACAGCGATCAGAATGGCTCAGTTCCTAGGGCTTGCGGTGGAGGGAGGCGAAATAGGAGACCCAAGGATTCGGGGCGCCGCCGATTTGCGGTTGATGAAAGACATTAACTGCAAGTCTCAACTTGCTCTACAAAAAGAAATTAGACGGCGAATCATGTTTAGCTGTTTCATCCTCGATAGGATGCTCGCCTGTGGAAAATATCGAATATCAATTATACGTGGCGACGACCTCCATATCCAGTTGCCTTGCTCTGAGCAGATGTTCGATTTAGCCATAGAAGTTCAAACTAGCCGTCTTGGTCAATTGGAGCGCGGTGGGAACCATGACAACGTACTCAGTCGATTCATACAGCTAGTGGACTTATGGGGCGAGATATCCAAGTATAGCTTCCGAGGCGGCCGTGTCGAAGATAAATACCCTCCTTGGCACGCAGAGTCAGACTTTTACAGCTTAATGAAGGCTTTGGAAAGATTCGACTCGACCCTCCCGAGCATCTTTACTTTCTCAAGATTAAACTTTTTCAGGCACGAGAATCACCAGGCACTAAGTACCTATGTTCTATTGCACATGCTTCGGTTTGTATGTCTCATCATGCTACATCGAGAATATGTCCCATTTGTCCCAATACGCTGCCGCGAGCCAGAAGGGCCTCTTGACCACCCTACTTTCACGAGAGAAGAAACGCCAGCAGGCTTTTGGCGAACAAGTGCGGAGCAGCTCTTCAAGGCAGCCAGGGGTATTGTGGATTTAACCGAGATCTGCCAGAAAAAGGACAAGCTGCCGCAATCTACTATTGTCCTCTTTGGCATTTGGACTGCCTCTTTTGTTGGACTATATGGCGCTCATTTCCCCCAGATGGATACAGAGAGACACATGCTGAGTTTCGATTATGAAGACACGGGCGAAGATGTTCTCAAAGACATTTTCAGTCGCGGACCGACTGCACTCGCATTCCAGACACTGCTGAAAATGGCTACTTGGCAAAAGATGGCATCTACCTATGTGGAGATCTTCCATGGCATGAATGACTACTTTAGCACGATTAAGCAGGACTATTGCAGATATAGCGACCAGAACGGACGACCTAACAATGCGACACTGCGAGTACGGGAGGGTGGCACGGGTGGCGGACTTGAAGAATATCGGCCCCTGGGCGCGGCGTTGAAAGACTTTGGTACTATTCAACCATCTGAGCACGACGTTGTAGACATATCAGAACGACTTCGAATTCGTGACGTGGAGAAAGGGGGCTCGATCCGGTCCGCGCCGCCTGCATCCTTTACAGCTATCAATCACTCTTCCTCGCCGACATCTGAACCCACTCGTCCGTTCAGCCAAGCCCAAGCCATTGCCCGCATAGAAACGCCGCAGGTTCATTCTGAGCCCCATGTGGAGTCCCGGCGGTATCCAAACGTGTCATGGCATCAGCCACATTCGTCCCCGGCTCAGACATATCCCACGCCTGGCTCGATGCTTGACCCAGAGCCCACACACACGCCGGCCTTCGAGCAGAGTGTGATGAACGATAGCGAAGAGTTCTGGGAGAAACTCGCAAGGGGTGAGCTGCATCGCTTTGGTGCCACTGGTGATCTGAGCCTCTTTTCTACCGGCTACCCCGAAATCCCCATTACGGGCATGCCATTTGGCGGTCCATTGTATTTCCCATGAAGACCTGGGAGCTTCGCCTCAGCTCTTACGGGAGATAGAAGATTGGGAGACGTGGCGAGGATGTAAGTTGACTTTCCAAGGCGCTGAAGGATTAATCACCGGTTGGATGACAGGTACCATAGAAGTTGGAAAGCTTGGATGATATAAGTGAGTTTTGACAGCGAGTACTAGCGGCGTATAATAGGAATTCATGGCTACGAGCAGTTGGAGTCTATCCTATACAATAGGAGTAAAAGTGATTTGGGTTGGCAATTGGCTTTGCTCTTTACGGTGGTATGGGTCATTCTCGCCGGGGCCGAGATACTCTGTTCGGGATTCATCCCCTACCATCTCCTCAATAGCTGGGAGGCTATCTGCAAGTTAAAAGAAGGATATCCATAGAGCAATCAAACTAGTCAGTACCGTAATTCTTTCTCCAGCTTCTGAAATTGTACATGTTTTGTGAATGAGTAACTAGCTGGGCCACTTAACCCCTTGACATCCTTGTTACTCCTACCTACCTACCTACCTAAGTACCTAGCTAATGTGGTATGTATGAGATAGCTACTTTCATGGGTGGTAGGGCTGACTATACATCCATTTGTCTACGCTACACGCATCCCGCTCGTTCATTGCCCGCCACCAGGCAGCCGGGTCGGGCTACTGAACTCCATCCCTGTGAGGCTATATCGACCATGGGGGCAGTTCACCTCTTATCACTTTCAGCATCACATACAGTGAATTGATTCCTGGGTCGATCAATCCAGAGTACGCGGCACTTGGCTAGCAAGAGAATATTTGCATCACGCGTTCATGGGCCAAGGTATATGCAGTGTTAGTCCACAAGGCAGTCGCAGTCCACCTACTAGCAGCGCCTGCCTGCCTACTACCATGGTAGAGGAGAGGGGAGAGGAGCAGCACATGCGCCTGCCCTATCTCCACCTAGGCAGTATGACTCGGGCTACCATTGACAAGAATTCTTTCCGCCGCGTTTTACACATCAACATCATACCTAACCCTGGAGAGCATGGCCTGGCTACAAGGTGGAAAGGAAAGCACCCCATTCGGCCGCGGGTCGAGAGCTATCGACAGGCTCGGAATTCCGAGGTCAAGGTGGAATGGAGAATGCTTCCCTACTCCTTTGCTCATCTTCCTTCTTCCTCTTTCACCTCTCAACTCATAACACTGCTACCTATCTGTGTCTTCGCATAGGTATTTCCCTTGGCACTTGATATTATTCCTTCTCCCCCGTCTCATCACATTCGACACTTATATATGCTTCTTTCATCTAACTAATCTCGGCCAATTGCCAGCTTCTTCAAGTTATGGGGCGTCTCTACCCACAGGGGAAACCCTCCAATCTCGACGAGCAATATTTCAACCCCCAGCACCCTTTTACTGGTCAGAACACTTACTTGCTCTACCAGTCATGTCAGAAGCGCTTTATCACGTGGCTTGTTAAAGCCGCAGCCGAACTCGGGGCACCTCTCCAAATTGCTGACGGAGAGAAAATCGTCTGCTTTACATATTTGTGCCCCCCCCTCAGCGTAATCGCGGCCCGAGGCAAAGTACCCCCGCGCGCACTCGCATATTTCGGCTTCATATCCAAGGCCCTCCAGCACTGGCACCAGAAGCCTGATTGGATGACTTCAAGGAACGGCTTGATTGCCCAAGGTTCGGGCCCGCCTCGAGACTCAATATTGGCCACTCTAGAAGCAGCCAGAAGATATCTAGCAGAAGCGTCTATTACTCGGGGCGACGACGAATTAGTTGAGGAAGATTACTCTTTGCCCATATTGTGGGATGAGGCATACTGTGGGTAGCTTTCAGGATTATTTGCTTCTTACTATTACATATCGAGGCCAAACTAACTCCAGCGTCTATAGTCGCCTGGCGATTATTCTTTGACGATCTGGATGTAGTCAAGAAATACTTGGTGAGCCTATGGAGAGAAGTCAGAGAAATTCAATTAACTCTGATTTCGGCTGCCTTTGTTACCAATACAGCTATCCGGTGAGTTATAGTCTCCCGTCCCCGCCTAGATCTATTGGCCTATGCTGACTGTGGTTTCTTGATAGGCTGATTCGAGCAAATTGTGAAGCCCAGATCAAGGCCACGGCACATCTCCCTGGTATGCCGAATGAGCACGATATCACTGAATGGGTATTTAATAAAAGCAGGACGAGAATGTACAATATGGCGGGGTGGTGTTGCCGTGATGCCCAAAAGATTTATGCAACCTGTGGACGAGATATTATCCAATATGTTCGGAGAAGTCTTCTGATATGGATTGGTATGGGATCGGCATCCCAAAATGTCCGCTTGTTTGGAGCGTACCTTCGTGCTTTCTTGCATGACGCTTCGATAAAGGAGTAGGATCCTGACAGCCCTCATATGCTGCCTTGTCTGGATGAGCTTCTGAGTGGCTGGACGCAATTGGAGGCCAATAATAATAATATTACAGACAAAATCCCCCTCTGGATTGCAGCATCCATGCAAATCTACGCAGAGATCACTCTAGGACTTCACTCTTTCGGTAATATATTATATCACTTTCTGGGGTATAAACACCAACTGAAGTTATTTGGAGACAATAATCCTCCGAGAAGTTTATCCTTGCTCGCCCACCGCGACGATACTAGATGCCTTATTCAAGGATATGAGGAGATGTGGGAGTTGGAGTTTAAATCACTTAATACTCCTCTAAGCGAACAAAGAGTTTCTGCCTTTGTCTTCGCACATATGGAGTGTGTCCCGCCATTATGCGGCATGCAGGCATTGTGGCTCGAACAGCAATACAAAGCATCCATGTCCCAGTCTTTCAACTTTTATCATTCACTTGTGCCAGTAGCCCATTTATATGTATCAATGCTCCAGATGAAACTTGTTGACCCATGGGATGAGATGGATTATGTCTGTGGGTTCCCCGAGAAATTTATTTACTGTTTTACCTGTTCTTCACGCCTGACTGAAATTTTGGGTTAGAAAACGAACAACTGATCTTTCTTTTAGTAAAGCAATTAAGCTCGAATATGATAAAATGTAATCATATTGCTTGGCACCGCTGGCCCTGCCTAGAAGATTTGCCAAGCCAACAGGTAATCCGCTATTCTTTGAGTTGTAGGGCCCCCTAATTGTCATGTTTGATGTCTTCTACTAACCTATTGTCACTATAGCACACTTCGCCGATCTTTCCGATAGTGCAGAGACTCTGCTAGTGAGGTCTCTTTTTAAACCACATACTGCCGAATTGTTTTCCTGCTACTGGAAATCAGGTACTTCTTCTCGCTCTATACGTTCACCTACAGGGAACATACTATCTGCCGAAACGCTGCAAAGGGCACTCCGTCATTCGTTCCTTGACCTCGAATTAGCTGAGAAAGAGTACTACACACAAGCGCTGGGGTTGGGGGATGGAGGGATTGTGAATGTAATGGGGGTATTGCAAGAAGTGGCAACAGCCCGCGAGCGGGACGTGAGATTGGTATCCTTTGAATGGGATAGCTTACTCGACTTCTGCGATAATCTTTTAGGTTTTCTCAGAGAGAAGTGCTTACAGAAGTACTGGAAAGCGACTGGTTCCTGGAAAGTGGCATGTAAGTTGCGAATCTCGCCTCTTTGGACTGTTTCCTTACTCCTACTGTTGCCTGCCTTCTGTACCATGCTAAAGTCACTCACAACCTTCTATTGCCTGCGCCCCTAGTTGTTTCTCGGATGATCTGCCGATGAGCAACTGCAGCTAACCACTGTCCTTAGCTACAACACTTACGAATGGAGCCTCAGACAAGAATGGAACCTCGGAAAACAACGGAAGCGCGGAAGAGAACGATACGGCAAAGATGAATATAGACCACAACTCCATGGCTTTGTGTGCTTTGCTTCATCTCTTAATTGCGGACGATTTTAACAGTGGCACTGAGAACATGATCTTGGCCGGCTTATTCATTGATCCAGATGGGCTTCAGCGTTGCGAAACCCAAGATAAAGAATATTGCATCGGCGAATATGGAGACGGCATCACCGATTGCGTCGAAAAGCTGGGATTCTCGCTCCAGATGGTGGCTGACATTTTTGGGCCTCTGATCAAGGAAGTGGGACGTATAGGTATAGGTCGAGACGAACAAAGCGCGGCAAGGAGAGTCTACAATAGCGGCCTGGATACAAAATTACCTTTCCCCATCCGACGAGGGAGCCTTAGCGACCAAAGGATGGAACGGCACCCCGCTACCCGCAAGCGAAACTTGAGCATCTGAATGGGCTGGGATGAATCAAACTAGCGAATTGTTACTTCGAGAAGCGAGGTCAGGTGGTATATAATCAGAGTAGAGATATCATTCAGCGATTAATTAGCGAGATTTTTTCAGTTTTTTTTTTGTTTCTTTATTCAATTATCTCTCAATATGGAACTAATTACTAGGTAGGTCAAAACCAGAATGCCAACACTTGATTTCTAAGAGGCTGTTTGTGATATATAACTAGAGTTTGCTCATATCCAGCCCATGATACACCCTCTCGGCTAAACAATCAGGAACAAGGGACTCTGCCAGCCCAACACGTGCGATGGTGGCAGTTAATCGTATAAACTAACTGATCGGCTTGAAATGATATATTACTATTTTCCTAGTTATCCCCGAGAAATCAACGAATCAAAGCACAACTTCATTCATGTAATGTAATACCATTTGTACTTGTGCAACGCAGAACCAATATCGCCATCCTTTCATCACTTACTCGATCTCGACCCCCAAGTGCGCCAACTCCTCCTGCAGCGCGCGCGCATGCAGGGACAGAACGCAGATATCCGACACGGACATATTTAGTAATCTACCCGCGATGACCTCCGCGGCGCACTCGGGCGAAGGCGCGAGTCGGCTCCATTGCTCGGGTCCCGCGGCGGCGAGGGCGTCGTAGTCGTCGATGCGGATCCCTGCGGCTGCCGCGCGCGCCATGAAATTTAGCGTCGTGGCGATCGTGCGCAGGTGCGTGCTGAGATAGCTGTCTATTACGTTGCTGTGCGGGTAGACTAGCCAGCCCTCGTTCTCTTGTTCTTGTTTTTCCTCTTCTGCTACGACTCCCTTCTGGCCGTTATTATCATCGCCAGGCAATTGTTCGTCAACCGCGCCTAGATCGTCGTCGTGGTGGGGATTTAGTAGGTCGGAGTAATCGTATAATCCCGGGACTTCGAATGTCCATACCTGTTGTGCTGAAGCTGCAGATGGGAGTATCTCGTTGATATTGTCGTTGTCGTTGTCGTCTTCTTCTTCCGAGGAAGAAGAGGATGAGGATGACGATGACGATGGTGAGGGAGGTGTGTACTGCGGCTGCCCCTGGTTCTTCATGAACTCGAGGTACCGCGCTGCCGTCCCGAGGTGTGCGCCGTGAGCGGGCTGGAAAGGACTCGGCGTGGTCACGGGATGGTCGCCTGTGCTCAGCCCCTTGCTCTTCATGGACTCGAGGTATCGCGCCGCGGCCCCGAATTGTACGCCGTGGACGGGCTGGAAGGAGCGTGGCATGGTCACGGGAGCCGCGTCCGTGATAATCCGGGTTTTGTTAGAACTTTCATCGCCGCCATCCACGGCACCGCTTGCAAAGGGATTTCGCGCGACGGAGTCGCTTCTGGCGTCCCCGACTAGGCCGGAATTTATCTCGCGCAGGAATCCCTGGATATCGTCGGCCTTCGCGCTCGTGACTGGCTCCTCGTCCTCGCCCTCGGCGTCCAGGGTCGGATCACCATCGCCATCCCCGCCGCCCGCCGCGACACGCGGGGCTTTGGTCCCCGGCACCTCGTCTGTGAAAAGTTCATCTTGTTGCTCGGCGTGGCGTCTCCCCGCGCGCAACTCACGCGCCGTCCTGCGCACGGGGAGAGCTCTCATCGCAGAGAGGAAGCCGTCGTCGTTGTCCGCCCCTTTCTTCTTGCCATCCAGCCGCGCGGCAGCACCGCGCTTCTTCAGCACACGGGGTTTATAGTGTTCTTCGTCGACGTCGCTGGTGTCGACGTTGGGCGAGTAGACCGGTTGTCCGGGGAGTTTATTCGCAGCGACTGGGTAGCTGATTTTGGCTGGCTTTTTCTTTGTGGTCTTGGTCGCGGTTTCCGAGGCAGTAAGACGAGGCCGCTTGGAGGACTTTGCGGGGGCTTTTGATTGCCCGCCGGGTCGTTTAGTTGGTGCCATGGTTGAGATCAAGAAGATGACATTAGCTGGGAAACTCCCATTTTACGACCCAATCTTATAGGAGGTGAGAAGAAGAAGAAGAAGCAAGATCTTGGACTCTGGCAGCGGGTGACCCCCGTACTGGATGATAGTCTTTGAGCGCAGTTTCATTTGTTTCCGGAATATGGCGGTATGGTCCTCCTCATGGTTCCAGATGTCTTTGTTTGAGACAATAGGCATTATGACATCCCGCTTTCAACGAACTAGGGAATGTGGCAGTGATTGCTTTGTCTGAAAGTAAAGAGAATTCCAGCAATAGCTTACTTCGTCTGCATTTGACCTAACGCCCAACGTCGTAGTGAGATACAATTGCAACACGATATCCCACATCAACTTTACCACGGACTGCGACTGCGTAAGCGTACACCGACATGAATCGACATCACATTTGGCTTGAGACGGAACATGCTGATTTCAGAATTCTTAATCAATTGCCTATCGTAATTATTAAGACGAAAGCATCACACCGAGATTTAGAAATCTGAATCGGGCGCTATTCGCTTATCCCTTGGCTGCACCGGCCTTAATCAATAAGATGTCGCCATCTTCAATGACGTAGTCTTTGCCTTTCGTCATGATCTTACCCTTCGCTTTCACCTCGGATTCGTCGCCCACCTCCTTCAGTACGCTGTAGTTATATACGACAGCCTGAATAAATGTCTTCTCAAAGTCTGTGTGAATGACACCAGCGGCCTGGGGTGCCTTGGTGCCTTCTCTAATGGTCCATTGCCGGACCTCATCCGTGCCAGTGGTAAAGAAACTACGTAGATGTAATGCTTTCCGCATTGTAGTAACGATCTTGGGTAACGCAGACTCAATTCCGAGGTTTTTGCATTCCTCAGCAGCTGCTTCTTCGGTTTCAAAGCGTGTCAAGCGCTCTTCAAAGCAAACCGAGATGGGAAGGATGGGGTCGCCTGCAGCATGCTCCTTCATCCATTCTGCAATCTTGGCTAGATGCTTGTTCTTCTTTCTCGTATAATCTTTCTCTGAAAGGTTGACAAGATATACAACCGGCTTTGCGGAGAGTAGCAATAGGGTGTTGATAACCTCAACCTGTTCACACACAGTTAACATATGTAACTTTGGCTACCGTGTTATATACAGAGGTAAGATGTGAATATGAAATCAGAGCAAGTTTTTTATCTCAGTGTGTTCTCTGCGTTGTATAATTGAGACACTCGAAGAGCTGGGATTAGATCAGGCGCTATGGCCCTTTGTCATCATAAAAAGGGGAATATGCGAGTAATGAAAATAGTGATGTCTTACCTCCTTGGGGGACCAGTTGCCCTTTCGGACATCCTTGCCGTCTTTCAACCAAGCAAGGACCTTCTCCATAGTGGCCTCCTCTTCCTTGGCCTTCTTCACCTCGAGACTTTGACCACCAACACGGGTCTTCTTCTTCTGGTTCTCTATGGCCTTCTCGGTGAATTCGATATCCTTTGTCCGCAATTCCTCTCCAATGATATCTAAATCTCTGACAGGATTGACATCACCTTCGACGTGAATGATTTCGGCGTCATCAAAGCACCGAACGACCTGGAAGATGGCATCGACAGCGCGGATATGTGACAAGAAAGCGTTACCGAGACCAGCGCCAGTGGAAGCGCCCCTGGTAAGACCTGCGATATCGTAGACGGTCAAGTGAGCGGGCACTCGACTCTTGGGGTTGTACTTCTCGCATAACCAGTCGTAGCGCTCATCGGGCACAATGACACGAGACTCCTCGGGATCAATAGTGGCGTAGGGGAAGTTCTACCCAAGACTAGTCAGAGAGAAGAAACAGGCACCCAGAGCAGCGGGAAGCTTACAGCGGGATTACCAAGACTGCACTTGGTGATGGCTTGGAAGAGAGTAGACTTGCCAACGTTGGCAAGACCGACAATACCAGCCTTCAAGTTGTTGCCAGGGCGGCCCAGGAGGACCTTCTCCTCAACGGCATTCTTCTTGGGAGGCATTTTGGGAGCACTACGTCGCTTAGCGTAGGTACGAGAGGTGAGGTATATGACGGTGCAACTAGGCACTCGGGGAGATGTAGATGTGAGGAGAAAGGCAGAGCTAGCTGCGGAGGGGACAACAATGCGCGAGAGAGAAGCGAAAGGGCGAGGAATGAAGGTGGAGGGAGACGTGGTGAAGGATTTACGACTGTGGACCAGCCGCGAAGGTCTCGTCCAACAAACAGGGTGAGACGTTTGTTCGAGTCAATGACCGAGTGTTATTTATTTATTAGTTTGGATTTGGGGTGTTTCTTTGATGCTTCGAAGTGTGGTCGAAGGCAGACCTTGTGAGGAGGAGAGGAAGGGAGGAAGGGATGAAGGGAAATGGGGAGGAAAGTAGGCAATGGACTGGGAATCCAGTCAGGATTTGTGGTTTTTTTTTTCTTCTTCTTCCAAGATCACCTTTTAATGAGGGGCAGAAAGGAAGAGAGAAAAAAAATTCAAAAGCTTGCGGCGCAAAGTGGATTCGGCGAAATTGGACTTCCAAGCTCATTCACCCCCCAGCCCCCAGCCCCGCCAGCTCTCACCAAATTCAGTGAAGTTTAGTGAATTTTGCAGAGACCTCAAGCTCTAATAGGCACCTGTCTGGTCCTGTAAGGTGGGGTAAGTCGGGGCCAAGCCTGTTCTGCCGATAAACCCTCTTTGATAGATATACTGCTTACTCTGTAATACCCAGACTCTAAATAATACATGATATGGGCATTTATTTCCAGATCCAAGTCCCCTCTTTCTTTCGCCCTGCTTTTCAGCCTCGAGCCAAGACCCGCCCCAAACCTGGGGTTTTTGAACAATGGTCCACATCAGTTTAGACCTGTTCGGAACCCCCGCCTGAGACTGCCCAGAGTTGGGTTTATACTGGGGCTTTCAGTGGCCCAAAGCGCTGAAGTCTTACGTGTAGTACTACGTGCTAGGTACCTACTTATGTATTTGAAGCATTTGAACATTTGAAACATCGAGGCCACTTCCTCCAGCCAGTCAGCTGTCATGCAGATCCTCTGGCACCATCTATTTCGGAAAACGACCCCATTTCGTTCGTTGATGCACAATGCAAATGCATTCGGCTCTCCAACCCATGTTTACATTCCCTCGCCTGCCTGCCTAGTTATTTACTTATTTACTTACTTACACAGTACACAGTAAGGCAGCCCAGGCAACATTCAATATGTTACCTGTTATTTCCAATTACCTAAGGTATTTGTAGAAACTAGGTAAAGCCTCGTTGTCCTTTCTCTTTGTCGCTCCGCTTCTAGACCTCTCTCACTCTCACAATAGTGTGCCTATCTAGGCCCTTTGACCTTTTGACTAGACGCCGCTATTGTGCCTTGGCGTTATTTCTCACCACCACTGCATATACATATGGTTGGTTGGCCGTAGGCATTCAACAAGCATATAACAAACAGTTCAGCCCCTCCCGCCACAGCCTTTCCTTCCAGCGGACGAGTTCCGATATCTATCTACCTGGCTAGACCACGGTTTGTTTCGCTTTGCAACCTTTGTATTCTTCTTCTCTACCTTCATCATCACCACCATCATCATGTCATCCAAGAAATCCTCGTCTAGCAGAACTTCGCGCCAGTCACACAGGTCAACGTTGTCCTTGACAAGAACCGAAATAGTTATCAATGTCTATGATTTGCTTTCTGTAAGTTAACCTTGTCCCTTGCATTTCCCTTCCACTCTAAACTACAAACTATATCTGTCTATACCTGCAGCGGCATGACAATACTAATCGAGCATCTGCCTAACAGCCCGGTCGCCTCTCTTCCGTATTATGGACCTTCGGCACCTCTCTCCTTCATTCCGGCGTTGTTATTAACGGCAAGGAATACGCGTATGGAGGACACGATAGACCCGGCGTGACGGGCGTGTATTGGACTCAGCCCAAGACCGAACCACCTGGTGGCACATTTCGGACCGAGATCCTACAAGGCTTTACCTTCGCAACCCAATCCGAGATCGACTCTATCATCCGTCGAGCCTCGATCGAATTCGATGGTTCCGCCTACAACATCCTCACCCGCAACTGCAACCACTTCACCAGCTACCTCTGCCAGCAATTGACCGGCCGGCCCGGTCCCAGCTGGCTCAACCGTGCTGCAAGCATCGGCGTCGCATTACCTTGCGTCGTGCCTCGCGACTGGCTCGAGCCACCAGACGTCGACACAGCTGAAGGCGAGCTGCTGGGAGATGATAGCGACATAGATGCCCACGAGGGCTCGCGGATGCTGAGGCCTGAGAATTCCCGCCGGATGTTAACGAGCAGCCAGGATGGAGACTCCGACTCCGACCAAGACTATCAGCCCAGTAGCAAGTCCAAGGGGAAGAATAATGCAGTTCGGGATAGCAGTGGCAGACGCTTGCCTGCTGCAGAAAGAGCCCCGACTCGTGGGAGGTGATCAAGGTGATTGAGAATAGACGCATGGAAAGTATTCACTACTTATTTGCACTTGATGGCGTTTTCGAAGTGAGGATATGGTAGTGGTTGGAGGCATAGGCGTTATGGAATGACTTATTCTGTCTGATTGATACCAAAATATCTTCTTTTTGTGTCATTTGCGGGGGATGGTGCATGGCGGGCATACAATGGTGTTCACACTCCTTTTACTCTAGCAATTACGGAATGCATATCACAACTGGGTTGGATTCAAATTGTACATGGAAATTTTCTACATGCTTGATGGCTATAACATATGATACAGATCTCGTGACGTCTACGCTTAGTAGACTGAACGGTTTGAAGAACTCTTCCTTTCAACCGTCGTTTTCCTTGTATACCAGTAGCTTGAATCCTTGTTCTTCTAACCCAATCTCTTGGGTCTGGGACTTCTCGTACCACCGAACTTCAGCTTTGTCCCGTCGGATACTTTCTTGATATGCGGCCGTAGCAGACGCCCTTCGCTGCCTAGTAGTACCTTGGTAGCGGCCTCACGGCCGCTGCCGAAGCCGCGGAGCACGACCTCGAGCGCGGTGATTTTGCGATGCCAGCCGCCCTGGTTTAACTTGTCGATTACGTAGGCGCACAGCTGATATGCGGCATCGTAGGTCCCGCGCTTCGCCTTCTTGAAGCCGATTTGTCCCGTGGACATGGAGACGATGGGATTCCGGTCTGGCCTTGAGACGGTGATGTGGGTGTTGTGCTTGTGCGAGTAGATGTGGAAGTGGAAGGGTTCGTGCGCGGGGCCATAGCTCTCTTCTTCTGATTCTGATTCGCCGAGGATCGAGCCGCCGCTGGGCTGGTTCATTGCCCGCGAAATGGTGCTCTGGGCTAGCAATCGCGATATAGTGGACATGCTGTCCTGTGGGTTTATGCCCGGCGTTTGTGAAGGTTCCGAGTTCTGGCGCTGACTGTCGGCGAATCTGGTAAGGAGGGACGGCCTGGGGGCCCCGGGCGCAGGCGGCTGCTCATCTGCTTGTCGTGGACATGTTTGTGAAAACGCCCGTGTCGATTGGCGACCGGGCCGTAGAGATAGGGCGGAGAGTTTGGAGGTGGTCTTCACCAGAAGACGGGTCGTCGACGGGGTCATCTTCGAGGCATTGACGTTGTGCGCAATGAGTGAGCTCGTGAGTGAATCGCTCGTCCTGCGCTGGACTAGGGGAGGGAGTGCTTAGTGTTATGTAAATTGGCACCGATCTGAAGGTTGATATCAATATCTACACCCTCTCAATACCCGCCTCGGAAATTTTAGCCAAGACTAGGTACTAGACCAAGAGGCCTGCTTTTGAGGCATCTGATGGCATAAGCACATATGAAGTAAACTATATCCATATATCCATTTCTACTTATCTATGCAATATTAACAAGTTAACCAGAACATGCTAAAGTGCCCGCCAAGACGGTGGCGCTAAGCAAGTAATCGGGGGGTGCTTGTCAAGTCCCGATCATTTTTTTCGATCCGCAGGCCCTCTCCCAAGTTCCATCAAGCGAAGTCGCAAGCGACGAAGGGTTTGCCTCTTCTTGTTCCCGCCCCAAACCGCCCCTTGTGGCCATCTTTTCAATAACCAGGCCTCAGAAAACATCGGGACAAATATGAGTTCTTTGCGACATGCTACTCGGAGCACAACTCCCGCTTCGATCGCAAGGACGCCTTCACTGGCTGTCCATTCATACGGCAGGTCACCGGCTTACAGAAGGTTAATTGCGAATACACCCAACTCCGCACGAAGCAACACTGCGCTTCCTAGCCCCTCACGAACCCCTTCAGCTCCCTTCCGTCCTCTATCCCCCCTCCGATCTCCATTTCTTCCCGAGACCGTAGCCGCAATACAGTCGCGCGGTTTTCACGGAACATCATCATGGCTACAGGAACAGCCTGCACGACCCGAGAAATCACCAAAACCTGAGGAGCAATCAGAAAAGAGTACCTCCGAGGCTCAGTCGGAGGCCAAGGCTGGATCTGAGGAGCAGACAAAGGAAAAAGAAGATGGGGAGGAATCAGGAGAGGACAAGAAAAAGGATGAGAAAAAAGAAGATCTCCCGCCACCACCGCCCCATGGTGACAAGACCCCATGGCAGGTGTTCATGGAGACTATGCAGAGTGAATTCAAAGCTTCGAAAGAATGGAACGAATCGACAAAACAACTATCTGATTCAGCCCATCAATTCACCGAGAGTGAATCTGTTCGACGTGCGAGACAAGCTTATGAATCTACCACAGGCGCCGTTTCTTCCACTGCCGGAAAGGCCTTCAAATCCTCCGCTGATGCTATTGGAAAAGGTGCCGCCTGGACTTGGGATACCAACGTCATGAAGGGTGTTCGAAAGGGTGCCAACATCACTGGAGAAGCTCTTGACAAAGCTACTAAACCCATTCGTGATACCGAAGCCTATAAGAGCGTTAAAGATGTCATCGATGATGGCAGCAGCTCACGATACGGTGGCTGGGTCGAGAAAGAGGAGCGAAGAAAAGCACGCGAGCTTCGCCAGAAGAATTCTGCGTCAATCCATGGTAATATGGAAGAAGGCGTTGAGGATCCAAAGTGAGTGCTTGTCTGGCAAAATTCTTTCGCATTCCTTACTAATTCTCTTCAGTGCTGGAACGAACGTTACTCTTCACAAGGATGCTGCATGGAAAGAAGCCTGGCGGGACTTCCGTGACCAAAACAAATTTGTTCAGGGTGTATTCAGCATGAAGAACGTCTATCAGGAATCCGAAAATCCTTTGATCTCCACGGCACGAAGTATCACAGACCGAGTTGCTGGTTTCTTTGCAGAGAATGAGACCGCCATGGTAATTAAAAAAATTCGGGCGATGGATCCTAACTTTCAGCTCGAACCATTCCAGCAGGAGCTGCGAGATTATATCTTGCCCGAAGTCCTTGATGCATACGTCAAGGGTGATACCGAAACTTTGAAATTATGGCTCTCAGCCGCCCAATATTCCGTCTATGAAGCCCTGACCAAACAATATCTACAAGCCGGTATGAAGTCAGATGGGCGAATTCTAGACATCAGACACGTTGATATCCTAAAGGCTCGCATGCTAGAGCCTGGTGAGATTCCCGTGTTCATCATTACATGCCGGACACAAGAGGTTCACGTTTACCGCAACGCCAAAACCAACGAACTAGCTGCCGGCATGGAAGACCGGGTTCAGCTCGTCACATATGTCATCGGCATTACCCGTACCCCTGAAGACGTGAACAACGCAGAGACAAGAGGATGGAGATTGATCGAAATGCAGAAGAGCGGCAGAGATTACATATAAGTACTACATGAAGCGAGATGATCTTTCTCATCTTACGGTTATACGATACATGAACTATAATAAATGTACAATACTAACGGGACTCGGAAAAAGGACGAGCCGACGAGGTTTAGGCGGACGGGAGCGATCTCAAAACACCACTCTTGTGCATTGGACTACAGGCGTTGTGTTGACGACTTGCATCATCATCATCATGTCCCAATCAAAATGTATATTAAGCGAAGGAGGGACACCGCCATCCCAGGACGCGGAACATGTAGATATATACCTTCAGCTAGCCGTGCTGAGACTGTTCCCAAATTGACTACTCTACAGCGTAGTAGAGATAGTCAAAACCACAATTCAAAAAATTGAGATCCATGACCTGGGTTCTTATTTTACTACAAGCCAGTCCCAACAGACTAAACCCTCCAAAGGACAAATTTCTAGCTTCACCTGGGTTATTATTGAGGTTATATTCAATTCATACCGTGATGTCACCTTGTTTCATACTCAAACCCAAGATTGACCTGACGTCTCATTCTCAGTCCTCCTGCTACAGTTTCAAGAAGAAGAAAAACATAAAATTAAAGACCACGCAGGTCGTTCAACCTCACCGTTCTTTCCCGTCCTCCCCTTGCGCCTTTTCCTCAGCTTCCCTCCGAAACTGCTCGCGCACCTCCATCAAACATTTCCCCAGGAGATTCAACCCCCACTTCGACCGATTCCTCTCGGCGCCCTTGGCCGCGAACCCCACGCCCCAGATCCTGTCGTACGGACTCGCCTCGACTAACTCTCTCGTCCCTGTCGCGAGTAGCACGTCCCGGAAACTAGGTGCCTGCATCGTTTCTGCGGCGTCGGTGTTTCCGAGTTTCCAGACTCTTCCTCCTTCTTCTTCTTCTTTTCCTTCTTCTCTCTTATTTTGAACAGTTTGTGCGTCGTCGAGGACGGGCAGCGTGAACTTGCACCAGTTCCCCTCGGCCACGATGCGCGAACGCTCGCGCTCCCAGACCGCGTCGTCGAAGCCGCGGACGGCGCGGCCTAGTTCTTTGACGTCGCGCGGCGAGCTCGCCTCGAGGATCGCCGACGCGATCTCCTCGTCGTCGAATAGGAGCGCTTTGTGGTGCATCATGTAGTGCTCGGCTGTGGCGTAGATCTTGCTGTTGTCTGTGCGGTCGCGGAAGGGCTGCGAGTACCATTGTGATAAGTACCCTGTTGCGACTTCTTGCGGACGCCAGAAGTAGATCGGGTCTGAAGCCGTGGGGTTTGGGTTGGGCGTTGGGGGCATCGCCTTGGATGAGCGCGATTTGCGCTTTGTTATGCGATTTGATTTTGATGGCATTGTGAGTCTTGGGGTGTGGTTGATGGGATTTCGAAGTGGTGATGATGATGATGATAATTTAATCAGATGCTCCCCGATCTTACGGCAATTGGTGTTCGTGAATATGTTGTACGATACACTTAGGGGAACCAAAGCATTTATTTTTCTTCGGATAAGAATACCTATATGATTTTAAAGCATTGAATCTCAAGATCTGAGTTGCTCCATTTATTTATTCAAGCATCTATGTAGTCCTTCTTGAACGTAACTGCCTCATAACTAGCTAGCTTCAGCTGGCTAGACGCCGATTGACTCACAGCCCGCGAATCTCTCTCGCTCAGCCTCGATGATCAGGTTGATTGAATTGACAATTGCATCGTGCTAGATTTTCTATGCATTAAATTGATGAATTCAAAGTGCTCCTTGCGGATATCGCTTCATATTTGTTTGTGATGGCGCGATTCGCGCTGTTTGTGTAGGCACAATGTATTCATCCAACACCATTCCTCAACCCCACGTGTCGCAGCGTGCTGATGAGCATGATGAAAAGCCTCAGATCCTATTGACATTTGGGGAAAAGCGACCTCGGGAGCTTTCATTTCTTCTATTTCTAATTATCAATCTATAGCCTAGAACTGGAAGAAGCCATAGCCCTTTTGCTGGAATTGTAAGTATAGGAAGTATGATGCATCTTCGTTCATGCAGAAATGAGACCTGCATCCCATATAACAAAACTACACGCTCACCACAGATCTCCAGATGCTCCATTCTGTCATGTGGATGGAGAGCTCTTTGTTCATTCACGGGGGAGACGGTCGCAATGTTTGCTCTTTGGGTTGTCCTCAACTTGGCCCCAGCTTTACCGTTGTTTGATCATAGAGGTTGCGAAGAGCTGCACGGCATTAGCAATTTCGTCAGTGTGTGAAGTAAGAAGGATTATTCGAGGCTACGCCTAGTCACAATAACTGCAACATATACGAGGCCAACTAGTGCCCGAAAACCTACCTTTAAGCCTTAATCCTAAGCAGACATACACGGCGAATATGAACAGCCTATTTGCCGCCCACTCACAAGTGTGTCCTACCAAACTATCATCCCGAATAACATCAAGCCACGATAAACAGTCATTCAGCTCTGGCCAGCTAAATGCAGGACGCGCTAGCACAACAAACCATCACTCATCCTCGGGAGCATTTCTATCCAAGATCAGTCACTCTGGGGACCGCAATGGCCATACCGAGGGATCTCAGTGCGAAGTCGGCGACTGTCATCTCAACCAACTTCCCGGGACGGCATATTGCAAATACCACACATGCCGCACGGAAAGCTGCGTCGATATACGGGCGCTAGGCTCGCGGTACTGTCTCGGCCATAAGTGCCGCTCTTGCAGCGCCGTGGCAGAGGCAGAGAGCAGCTACTGCGGAACTCATAAATGCAGTCACCCATTCTGCGTGCGACGAAAGCCGAGCGGACAGAAATGGTGCAAGCAGCACACATGTCGATGGACAGTGTGTATTGAAGCTCCTGCGCAAGGCAAAAGATACTGTCTGGACCACGCCTGCGCAGCCGGGGATTGCGCCCTCAAAGTCCTTTCTGTTGGTTGTCTGCTGGGAAATTACTGTTGTTGCCACAGCTGTTCTGTAGAGGCGTGTCTGCTTCGGGTGTCGTCCGCAGGAGTCTTCTGCGCGGAGCACGAGTGTTCGACTCGTGGATGTCCCAACTCTAGACTCTGGGACGATGGCCGTGGCCCTACTCGGGTGCATGAATGCTGCAAATACCATACCTGTGTGCAGAGGGGATGCTTTGCTCCAGTTTCTCATCCCGGCACTCTTTGTGATCGCCATTTCGAAGATGACTTGAGAGCGCCGAGCTCGGGACTGCTTACGGCGTAAATTCCCAATCACCGCATGGCAACGAGTAATTCTTTGATGCTAAACTGATGAGCACTGTCGTTCGTTGGCTTAGTAGTTGGTATGGGGTTGTATGTTGATGGTTGTGACTACACGGAGGTTCTGTGACTGCTGTGAACTGGTGATATTCCATCTGTCATACGGCCAAGGCTAGAGCCCTTGTCACACCGTCTGTGCCACCAGTATCCTACGGAGATTCCGTATTATAGAGGTCGGTCATGGCGTTCAAACAGAGCACTATACGAGTCATTCGTTACTTTATTTCTCAAAGGGACATAAAATGGGTGTATGGAAACCCAATTTGAATAGTAAGAGTTGATAATGCAGGACCGGTTCTGAAATGGCAACCGGCCAGTGACTCATGTAGAACGACGCCAAGCATCCGATCGCAGTGAGTTTATAAACTGCGGTCATTTTCCGTCGCCTGGAATACGCTATCAATCGAGTCTATTCATACTACTATCACTAATAAAGGTTTGATCAGTTGATCGAAAATATTGTTCACGGTTAATTAACCCCTTTCCACAATGGCGCACCCGACGACTGTAGATCCGCCCTCCAACTCAATCCGCTACATCCCCACCAACGAGGCCTACGACAGATGGGCGGAAGTCTACGATAGCGACGGCAATTTCCTACAGGCGCTCGATGATTTAGAACTCAAGACACTCTTTCCAAGATTCGTAGCATCAATCAAGTCACCCAAGCCTTGGCGGATAGTGGACCTGGGATGCGGCACCGGGCGCAACACGGCGCTCCTCCTCAGGGTTCCCGAGAGCGAGACAATCGCGCTGGATGCGAGCAAAGGCATGCTAGAAGTCGCTAAGACTCGACTTGGGGGTTCAAGTTTAACCCCTGAGCTTTCCGGGAATAAACCGATACTTCGCTTTGACGTTTTCGACATGCTCGCCACTTCGGGGCCTCCAGCATCTGTAGCCCCTCACACCGTGGATGCCATAATCAGTACGCTCGTCGCTGAGCACATCCCGCTCTCGGTATTCTTCGCGCACGTATCACAGCTACTTCGCCCCGGTGGAGTGCTGCTTCTGACAAATATGCACTCCCACATGGGCTCGATCTCACAAGCTGGCTTTGTGGACACGGTCACGGGAGAGAAGATACGGCCGACGAGCTATGCACACACTGTTGAAGACACGATACTCGAGGCGCGTAAATGCGGGCTTGATGTTGAGACTGATGCAGAGGGGAATGGGATTATTGAAAGGGCAGTTAGTGAAGACATGGTTGAGAAACTGGGACTTAGAAGTGGGAAGTGGGTTGACATCACATGCTGGTTTGGTGGGATATTTCGTAAAGCGGATTCATGAGCGCCTATGAAATACCTAGAGCGACATAATTTTATATGACATTATTGTCAAAATGCTTAATATACCAGGGTACCCATGTTAACCCTAGCCTGCACTATTATGACGGATGACACAAGATCTTGATATTCCTTTCAAGGTCTATCAGGTAGTGTAGATGAGGTGACAATGGTTTACTACCAGAAGAAGAGGCCAGACTCACGAACTAGTCACCGACTATATGTACTTAGGTGCACCTATTCTGGGCCGTTAATGCTAGCTTGATAAAAGAATTCGAGACTCAGCAGGGATGTCATGTGTACTGTATGATCAGTGTTGTGATCAAGATATTGCCATGGTCTAGATCATTATAACTTATGTCTCTATTTGGTAAACTACGATAAGACTATAATTATCTAGACTAGATTATAACAAGTTTAGTGAAAATCAGGAAGTATAAACATGAAGCTAACATTTAAATTTCGGAGGTGTCATCAAGTTGAGAGAACCAACGCCGACGGTGGGCCACTGGGACCACATAGGACAAATCATCGGAGATAGCCTAAGCGCTTAAGATTACCCCGCATGTTCCATTTTCTTAGTAATTTTGTATTATATAAAGAATTATTTAAGTAATTTAAAGCATTGAAGTTATGCCTTAAGCTTTATTTAATATTAACGATTTTTATAATGAAATTATTACTTTATATAAAGCTGGAACTTCTATTTTTGTTATTCTTACCAATCTTAATTAATAAGGTTACTATTATACCTTTTATATATTATTTTATTATATTTAAGTTTAGCATTTAATAAGTTGTTAAAATTAATTTTAATTTAAAAAAATCCTTTTTTGAATTTAATTCCTCTTTTTTATATAAGGCTAAAAAGATAAATTTATTTAATAAAACTTAATTAAAGCTGGTTATCCTATAACTTATTATATAATTAAATATATTTAATATAAATATAATATAAAGTAATAATATTATATAAATAAAAAGTATAATAAAATTATATAATAAGTAATAAAATAGCTTAAATAATATATATAATAAAGTTTTATAATAAAAGGCTTTAGGAAAAATTATTTTTATAAGTTTATATAAATATAAACTAGCATTATTATTAATAGAAATTAGCTTTATTAATATTATAAAGTTTATTAATTAAAGCTTATATAATAGTAAAGTTATTTAACTATTTATTAATATAAGAAGTATATAATTTTAAGCTAAAACTTTATATAATGTTTTAATAAATATATAAAGCTTTAAAAGATAGGAATTAAGGTTTATATAATAACTTTTTCTTTTATATAATAGTTAATTTATTAAATTTATAGCTATATTAATATATATTTATATATAATTATTTAAATTTATATTAGCTTTATTGCTTATAGTATTATAAGTATTTTAAAATAATTCCTTTATATAATAAATATTATAAGTGTATAATTATTATTTATAAGGGTAAATATAGGAGTTGAAATACCTTTTTTTATTGGCGCCTAAGGTTTTTTTGCTGAATTAAATGGAATTGCTATAGTGTACGATAGCTTAAATAGTATAGAATAAATTTATTAATAGGGTAACTACCTTTTTTTATACTATATATAGGGTATAAATAAATAAAATTAAAAAATTAAAGCTTAATGGTAAAGCTTTTATATAGGATTAATTGATTATTAGATTAATTTTATTAATAAATTAGGTACGACCGGGTATTTGAATAAAAAAAATTATTAAAATCTTATTGCTATATAACGCATCTCCCACTTGACCTGGCCACCCAATTAAGCTGGCCACCCCCCTAACCTATATAAAAATCCAATGTTTCAATCTGGGATAACTTAACCAATATTGGGCCTATAATAAAATAATTAATACCATTGAATTCGTTATTTAAAGGGGAATCCAACGGTATTTTTTACTATTTTTTATAAAATTTATTTAGCGAGATATTAAGCAATATGCTAAAGGGGCGCTAAGCAAGGATTATTTTAGCGCTTACTTTAGCGTATTCCTTAATAACTCCGCGAATATAAATCGTAAAAATTGGTAAGGGGTACCGTTAAATAGCTCCTCTTATTACGAATCTAATGGTATATTTTATTATTTTATACGACTAATATTCGTAAAGTTATTGAATTATCACGTGATTAGCGCACCGACGTTTTTTGTATGGGCTGGTGGGGTGGCCCGGTCAATTGGGTGGCCAGGTCAAGTGGGAGATGCGTTATGCAATTTATAGGCCTATCCTTTATATAGAGATTTTAGAGTTTATATAGCTATAAAATAACTATATAATTTGAAAGTAGAAATATTACCTTTATATTATTCCTAATAAACCTTATAAAATTTATAAAATGTTTTAAATTAATTAAGAAATTTTTATATTTAAAAGTTTACCTATTTATACTTTAATTTATATAATAGCTTTTCCTTTAAAAGATATTAAAATCGATGCCTTTTTTCCCTTTAAAATAAAAAAGTAATATAATATTTAATTAAAAAACTTAAGGTTTAATAATATCCTTTATATAGAAAAAGATTATATATATTTATATTTTTATATATATTTTAATCTTTAATAGCTTATATAATAATATATAGCCTTTAATTAAAAACCTATTTTATTAATTATTTATTATTTAATTAATAGTATTAATAAATATATATATTAAATATATTTTATTTATTATTATATAAAAGTTAATTTATTTAAATAATTATATTATAATAAAACTACTTAATTTTTAAAAGAAATAATAATTTAAATAAAAACTCTATCCTCTTTAAATTTTTTACTGGTATATAAAATAATTATAAAGATTTAAATAATTAAGTATTTATTATATAATTTAATCTTTTAATTTAAAACTTTTTCCTTTCATTAACCTTTTTAACCTTTATAACTTAATAGTAGGAATAATTATATAATAATCTTATTTTAATTTTATTATTAATCTTATTATATAATAACCCTTTACTTTTAAATCTTACTTTAAATTAAACTTTATATTAATAATTAAAATTATTATATAATAACCTAGGTTCCTTAAATATAATTTTAAATTAAATTTTAAATTAGATTTAAATTCTAAATTTAGCTTATTAGGTAAATTAAAATCTAAAATAAAAGGTTTAAGCTTTTTAAAAGTTAAAATAGAAATATTATTTTAAATATATTTTATATAACTAAAAGGAACCTTTATAAAGATATTAAGGTTAAAGGTAATATAAAAGTTTTTAATTTAAATAATTAAAAGGTTAATTTACTTTTTAATAATAATATTATTATATAACCTTTAATTTAAAAGTTTATTATTATTATAAAAGAAGCTATTTTTATATATAATACCTTTATTTTTAACTTTAAGTTTTATTATATAAATAAGCTTTTTTAAAATAGGTTTAACTTTTTAAACGTAAATAGGAATTATTATATAAAAATTATAAAAGCTTTTAAAATAAAAGAATTTTTTATTTTTAAATAAGTTTTTTATTATATGGTTAAAGATGCTTAATTTATAGGTTTTAAATAAATTTATTAGCTTTTTTCTATTAACTTTAATTATTACTTTTATATAATATTACTTTTAATTAAAGTAGGTATAATATTTAGGTTTAATTTTTTATTATATAAAGGTTTAAAGTTAATTATTTTTATTTTAAATAAGTACTTTAAATAAATAAATAAATTCTTTAAATTAATATTAACTTAATTATTTATTAATATATAAAGAATAATAAAAAAAGGTAAAATATATATATAGTTTTTAAGCTTTATTATATAATAATATTTTATTTTTATAATAATATAATAATTTTTAAATGTTTATTTAAATTTTAATAGTTAGATATTATTATTATATAAGCTTTTACCTAGATTTTTTTATAGCTATAAATTCATGCTGTGATTTCTTTATGTTCTTCTAGATATAGTTAATTTATTTATACATTATTAGTATTGGAGTACGATATTTGGGGTTAATTACCGTGGGGTTGATCACCGAATGATTAAAGGGCGTAAGAGTATTGAAGTTAGGGCTAAAAGTAATATTCTAAGATAGGGCTTATAATTTAACTATTGTACGATAAATTTAAGGCATATCTTTTTCATTATTATTTAGAATTTTAATAGCTTAAGGCTACTTAATTAAACAATTAAGGCAAAATAGTCTATTAGGAAAGGTAGCCTTAAGTTTTTAATATATATAATGTTTAATATTATTAGGGTATATTAAACTTATAAAAGAAGGAAATTCTATTATAGATATTATAATATTTAAAATACTTAAATAATTATATAAAGGAATAAAAAAAGTAAAAGATTAATTATATAATAAAAAAGAAAGGGAAAATTAAATAAAAGGTTAAAGTAAGAGATTTTTTATATATATATTATATTTATAATTTAATTTTAATATATAATACTTATTATAATATATATATAATTTATATTAAAAGTTTATATAATATAGCTTTTATTTAAAAAGAAGTATTATTATAAGATTTTATTATTTATTATATAAAGGTTTATATATTTATATACTTTTTTATTTTAAATATATAAATAGGTACAATTTCCTTTATATAATAAGTAATATTATAAGTAGGTATATTTACTTTTATATATTTCTTATATATTTATTTATTATATATATAATTATATAAAGTATATACCTTTTATATAGTTATATAAAACTTTATTTTCCCCTCCTTTTAACTTTTCCTTTTTTCTTTCTTTTCTTTTAAGTTTAATAATAATAGTAATAATAATAATAATAGTAATAATAATAGTAATAGTAATAGTAATATTATTACTATTATTATTATTATTATTATTATAATATAAGCTTTTTTTCCTTTTTTTTATATAATAAATATTAATATTTTTATATAAATAATATTTCCGCCCTTTTTACCTTTATTTTCCCTATTAGGGGATAATAGCTAATACTTTATTATTATAATATACTTTAATAAATAGTTTTAAGTTTACCTAGCTATAATATTATTATTATATAAGGATATTATATTTTAGCTTAAATTTTATTTAGTTAGTTAAATTATATTAATACCCTTTTAATTTAATTTTAAAGGGTCCTATTTACTTTATTTTACTTTAAGTATTATTATATTTAAAGTATTTTAATTAATAATATAGTATAGCTATTTCTTAATTATATATAATTATTAAATTACTTTAATAACTATTATAGCAATTATAAATATTAAAACTATAAAGCTTATTACTTTGTTTAAAATAAGCTTAATAATAATAATAATAATAATAATAATGATAATAATTATATACCCTTTTCTACGTTTTACTAGCTAATAAAAAAAAAGCTAAAAATGTTAAGTTATTAATCCGGTTATCCAGCTAATAATTTAGCTATTAACCTTATTATTTTTATTTAAATATATATTATTTCTTTTTATATAATTAATTTTTTTCTTTATTTAGGTTAAGGTAGGGTTAGGTATATATAATTTCTATTATTAATAAAACTTAAATAAGTAAAGGTATTAAAATAACTATTGGGCACCTTTATATAATATTTTAGGTAAGTAACCAATTATACAAAAGTATTCTAATAAAACTAAGACCTAATAATTAAATAGATATATAGTTTAATTAAATTAGATATCCTTTCGTACGATAATAGCTTATATAAATATAATCCCAAATTCTATATGCTAAGTGCTAAGTGCCAAGTGCCAAGTCCTTTAGGCTATCTCCGATGATTTGTCCTATGTGGTCCCACTGGACCTTCATGAATGCCACCACAGCCACAACTATACATTTCCAGCTCAGGGCTTGACGTTAGTCAAATGCATAACTTTAGTAATCCTGAAGACTTCAAAAAACATCAGAATTCATAGGTTGCCCTTCAAGCAAGCCAGTTTACTTACTTGCTTCATAACCATTAATTGGATATATGCTATGTTGACAACAGCAGCGCCTTTGGGGTTCACTAAATGACAGCAGTATCAGAATCGTCATTACATGAGGCGCCCACCTTGTGCCTAGAGATACTGAGGCAGTAGCGTGAGACGAGTCCGCAGCCCCATATCAACCAGTAACTCATCAAAGATCATCGAGACTAGGCTGGTCTGATACTTCGTATGAGGTTTCAAAGCATTGCGACTCACGTGTCGCTACGGAGCGGGAGATCGTGAAAGCTGATCAGGAGTTCGTTATGAGTTATGAGTTGGGGGTTTCAAGACAGGGGCTGGGTTTACAATGACCGGACCGGCGCCGGAAACTCAACCCTAGTCTGTTTCTCAGCTCTCGAATGGTCTCATGATATGGCCCTTGACATTCTCGCTTTTCTACGCCAATGATGTGAATTGAGGCCCCCGAGACTAGCACACGCTAGTCCTCCTTATACACTAAGAGTCTGCTAAGAGATAGGAACCCGGCATCTTGGTTCGTGCTAATAAGAAAAAGCCATCAGATCAACATGTCTCCGCATTTCAATATCTCCAAACCCCCACGATGCCATCAACTAGAGCTGCAGCGCTCATCGCCCTTCTCGACAACATTCAAGTCATCGATTGCGAAGATGATTTTGATGGCCAGGGCGATCGCGTAGCCGTCGCAGAAGCAACGCGACGACTGCTCGCTCGTCTGGAAACGCCCTTTGAGCGCGCATGGCGCTTATCGTGGATTAATGGCAATACGCATATGGCCGTGCAGGTCATCATGGACGTCGGAATATGGGAGGCGTGGTATCTAAGCAAACAACGCGAGATCTCACTCGTTGAGCTCCACGCTTTGGCTCGAACACCCTGCGATTTGAGGCTTATCCGTGAGTAGGCGCATTTTGATGAGGCAATGGCTCAAAGTGTCGCTGACGAAGTATGCAAGGTCGCTTGTTTCGTCTTCTAGCTGCGGAAAACGTCATTCGCGAGCTCGGAGAAGATCAATTCGGTGCTACCGCCTTCTCAGACGCTTTGGGGCAGACCAATGAGCCTGTCGCACAAACGATTCTGTCGGGGTATGTAGTAGGCTCATTGCTATCCCTTCAGATGCTGCGTATCCCAAATATACTAACAGTCAGGGAGAACACATCACGGTTTGGATTCGACTCGGAAGTTCCCAGACTTCCTGGCACAGACAGCTTATGCTGAGCCCTTAGACCCCACAAACTCATGCTATATGGACCTAACACCCGAGCGGCTGGGCATGTTCGAGCGATGCCGCGCAAATTCGGAGTATCAAGCTAGCTTCACCGGGTTCATGCGTGGGCTCACAGCTTATAAGCTTGACTGGACTGAAATCTACGACACCAAAATCATCATGAGTGACTTTGACACGAATAGCGAAGCACCGCTCTTTGTTGACATCGGAGGTGCTCATGGCGTAGATGTAGAACGCTTACTGCGTCGATATCCCGAATTGCCGAGCGGAAAACTTATTTTACAGGACACACCAGAAGTCCTCGCGCTGGCGAAAGTGAGTGAGAAAATCACAGTACTGGCTCACGACTTCTTCACGCCTCAACCCATAAGAGGTCAGTAGACGAAATCCTCCGGGATCAGCCCTGCAGGGATAATTTAGACTGCCCCTGAAATGAACCTTCCTTGAATGAGGGTGAGGCTGACGTAATTGACGCTACTTTAGGGGCTCGAGCTTACTTCACACATGCTATTTTACACGACTGGGATGATTCGGATGCAGGGCGCATCCTCAATCAAACCGCTGTCGCAATGAAGAAGGGATATTCGAAGCTCCTGCTCTACGAGACTGTCCTTGTGAGCAAAGGAGCGAGCTTATATCAGAGCGTCTCTGATGTCAGTCTTATGCATTTGATATCCGCAGCCGATCGAACAGAAACGAGATGGAGGGAGCTGCTTCGGAAGGCCGGTTTCGAGGTCCTCAAGATATGGCAGCACCCGTCATCATTAGAGAGCATTATCGAGGCTGAACTGGCATGAAGTAGAGGAAGCTTGTGGTGCTACTGGATGCTTCTATGCCCATATGAGAAATATTTGGATACAAAGGGTATAATTGCAGATATACCCAATAATTTCCCTTGGTATAGTAATCCTAAAATGTGGCTTGTTGTTCGCCTCCCTGTGTAAAAAGGTCAATGCGAGGGGGTCATTGGATCCCGGTCTGGTTTTCCTAGCTGGGGGAAGACGTGGAGTGAATGGTAGCCATGCAAAGTTGGTATATATAATGATGTTTGTACTTTTAAGACATATTGAAATATTCTCTATCCCTTGTCATACCACATACGCATCAGTCACTGACTCACGCCATCCCAGTCGGCAAACATTATATGCTTTATCCTCCATATAAACTGCAACAGCACCCATAATGATTTCGCAGCGAGATATTTTTCTCTCTGCTTCATATTCAGAGTTCAGAGTTCTACCATCATCAGTCTCGGGCAGCGTATGGGTCAACATCCTGATCTTCTCTCTTACATGCCTACTGGCCTTCAATAGCAAGGGTTTCCTCACCAGTCAGAGAAAACACACATATCCCATGTCGTAACCTCTATCTAACTTGTCCAGTCGCAACCAGCAGAAACAAAATGGCTTCTAATACGCCAGAGTCCAAGCCCTTCCCAAAGGGTGTGGTTGATGAAATACCAAAAGTGTCACAATGGCTTCGGAGCCCCGCGGCCATGTTTGCTGGCTCCCTTCGCAACCATGACTGCAGGAACGGGGAGGGCCTGCTGCGAGTATCACGTAATCTCATGAAGAGCCTTAGAGAAGAGATATCGGTATGTTTGATCATTGAATTGCTGCCCTCCGCTTCTACTTGGTGACCTTTATTCAATGTAATTTTTTTATTCTTCTTGTAAACTCCGCTGACTTGAGAGGTCCGAACCAGAACTACCCGATAGAGCATGCCCTTTCCGCCGTCTACTTCGACGGCAAAGATGAAATACCAGTCAGGGAAGGATGGGTGTCTTACCTCATCCCTATAGATGCGCCGGCAGGAACCATGGTCGGAGACTCCTTGCTCGACCCGGGTCATTATGTCCGAATGGAGACATTTACTAAGATATACGGCCACTTTTACGCCATGATTTACGAGTCCCGCGACCTAGACACCGAAGGGGACATGTTCGCCCCGATGCTTGCCGACAAGGTATCCCGACAGCCAGAGAGTAACGCTGTAATCAACGGCACCGAAACGGGCAAGCACACGGTCGCCAGCATCGACGACAACGACACATTGCGAACTTCTCGAAGAGAATCATAAGATAACATCAACGGGGCTAGAATTTTCTGCCGTGGAATCGTTCTATGAAAGAAGGCGGTGTGAGCTAAGGCATTATTCCTTCGTGATAACATATATAGTTAGAGTATTACATGGACACAAAAAGTTACCTTGTTAGGCTATCCTTGCTTATTGAATCTGGATACATATATTCGAGTGGAAATTTACATCTCTTTTCGATACATTGTACACTATTTACAATGCGACAACTCTTGGTCTCGAACTATGTGACGAGAGGTGGAGTGCATTAAAGTGTAGAATATATCTACTCCTCCCATTCTGCCCATATTAGCCTACTCACTACTTTCATCGACCCCATAGTCGTTTTGCTGACAAGTGAACGCATTCGATATGCTATAGTTCGCCTTGCAAGGAATCTCACCTAACTGCGCATCCCACGGTTCCTCAGTCAGATGCGACGTTGTAATTCGTTCACTACCATTGTGGCTTCTTACAGGAGCAGCAGTAATGATTTCGTCTGACGAAATACCTGACTCCTATCATTCTCCCAGATAATCCCGACAGCCCATTAATCTCAGCTCATCTGCCGAATAATAGGGGTATAACACACAAATATGTCGGAATTCATCTTTGTGAGTATCGGATTCATGGCGATTGGTATCATTTGCAACGCGCAATGGCGTCAATTTGGTTCCATTCTCGTGACCGAAAGTAAAAGCTGTTCTAGGTGAGGAATAGATAGAGGTCAGCACGTGCGCTAGCAGTCTGGATAACGTAGCTACATACACGACTGTGTGTTTGAGGTACCAAAACTTCCGAAGGTTCGACCATCAGCTTTATTCGATGAGCGACCGAACAGTCCGGACGTCGTAGTCGTGTTCCCAGTTGTGGTTGTGGGCGCTGGGTTGCTGAAAAGTGTGTGGTTCGCAGCTGGTTTAGTGTTGCTGAATAGACCGCCTGTGGTTTGGGTTTTCTCGGTGGCTGTAGTTGTTTGGGCGCCAAATAGCCCGAGGCCGGGGCTGACGCTCCCACTTGTGGTCGTGCCCATCGAAGCACCGAATAAGCCTGGTTTTGAAGTGGGACTTGCGTTTCCGGTTGCATACGTGGGATTGCCCCCTACATCAGGACTTCCGAAGGGGCTTGGCTGTGCTGGAGGCTTTATGGTTGTACCTGTTGAGTCCGTAAGTATGTTATGAGAGGGCTGTGGTAGCAGAGTAAATGGACTTGGCCCACTGAATGAACTGAATGGAGGAGCAGAGGTTTTTTCCGTAGCTAAAACTTCTTCAAAGATAGACTTAGGAGCATTGCTGGGATTTTTGGCATTACCCTTACTACAGGATTGAGGCACCTCAGGTATCGAAGCTGCGTCCGATGACGAGGGTGTGGGAATTGATGGAGTTTGTTTGTCTTCGTGAATTGTAGTGTCGCTGACTTTAGGGCGGATTGGCATGTCCGGTAAAACTAGGTCATGTTGTAAGTGCTGTTTCTGGTTGCAGTATTAGATGGAGAGGTATCTTTGGCAGCTCCCGTACCTGTTGATTTTCTGCCCCTGTAGGCCTTACAGAGATCGAAACCTTTCTGAAGCGTTTCGCACTCAGCTTCTAGCTCTGCCCTCTCGATCTGCATTTCAGAAGATTCCGCCGCTAGCCGCTCCAACATGTCGTCTTCCATTTGCGAGACCATACTAGTTGTGAAAATGGAAGGCAGGTCCTTGATAAGGCAGTTTTCGACAGCTAGAATGGTTACATTATCTGTGAAATTCCGTAACGATAACTAGGTCGGGTGAGCCAAAGTTGTTTCGCTAATGAATGAACAAACATACCTCATAATATGTCTCTGCCTTGTCAATAAGGTCTTCCGCCCCGGACTCGCCCCTTCGCTCTGACGATAAAATATCAGCGAGTTGGCGTTTACCATCTTCAGTGAATATCTCAGGACGACTAGTGAGTAAACCCTGCAAGACCTCTCCATCTAAGTGCTTCTGACGACGTCTTGCCAAGGTCGCGCGGAATTCTGACTCTGAAGGTTGAGGGTATCCGCTTCGAAAGTGGCAGAGAAGCTCTTGCAATTTGGATTCAAGCTTCGATGTACAGCTTTCGAGGAACGGATCGACGATATTCAGTAGAATGGCTGAGTAGGTCTTTTGATCTGGTCCTGTAACAAAAGCCATAAGTCTTTCGGTGAATGTTTTTACAATTCGCAATAAGAGGTCGATATGACAGCGAGCAATCGCCTCCCATGGGTGTGATTGATCTCGGAATAGCTTTACAGCAAGAAGATCGTTCGTGGTTCCTGGGAATTCCGTACCCTGGTTGGCAGACGACAAAGGCTCTAGTTCGGCACTTATTTCGCTTCTCGTGACCTTTTCAGGCTCGGTAAAGGAATATTGAGATTCGAAAGCTTTCAGAAACGATGGCAGTCTGATGTCTTGCCTTTGAGTGCGCTGAACTCCCTGCTGTTCTGTAGGGGTCTTGTCGGGTACGATTATGCGTCTCGAGCCTTTAGTCGCTATAACGTAGGCAAATGTCTGATTCAATTCGCGAACAAGGGCGCGAAGCTTTCTAACCCTACTCTCTTCCATTGAAGTAGTTGAAACATCAGGATAGAGGCCACCAAAGAATTCATGGGAATAGTTGCCCTCAATCGCACGAAGAGACAGCAGTTGAAATTGAGAGGCTATCCTATCCAGGTGCGCACGAAGCTGAGGCGGCGATGATCTCGAAGTGCCTAAGCGCTCCAGGGAGCGCTTACGGGTGTCTATACTTTCTTGTATATCTTTGATGAGAGGATCTATATTCTTCCGAATGTGATCTAAGAGTATGTTGGAAAGTTTCTTTCGAAGTGTATCGACGCCTCGGCTGTTGGAGGGAATGGCAGACCAGATACCTGATTCAAAGAACTCTTTTTCCTTCGAGTCCCGTTCTTCAGGCTGCAGCGAAGTTTCCGTTTCGCCCCGATTACGCAGGACATGCCATCCAAAAGCTAGTCGCAGCCGGGGTTCTTGGTTTCTGGCTAGTTTGATGAACGTATCTTCGTCGCGGGAGCCTGGAATGAGCAGATCAGGCTTGGTAATGATACCAAGAGTCCGCTCCTGATTCTTGTCATACTTGTTGACTTCTAGAAGCACTTTTTGCATTACGACTTGGCTGCGTGCTGAGACGATAGCCAAAATTATGCTGTTCTTCCGTGCCATATAGGCCCTAACGAGGCGGTCGACAATCTCTTGTCCATCAGCTGGCTGGTTTACGTCCAAAGAGTGATAAAAACCAGGGAGATCAACGAGGGTTAGGTGAGGAACGTCTGGCGAACATATCTCGATACGCAATACATCTTCTGAAAAGGTAATACCATCTCGAAGCAAATGAGTCTTGGCATTATCGATGATACGCGATAAGTCGTCTTTGTCGAACGATGTCTCGTTGAATTTATATAGTGGCTCAGTAGAAACAGACGCAGGCTGTATCTGAACATTGATTTTGACTTGTTGATCGGTTCGAAGCACTAGTTCAGTGGGAAACCGTGTGCACATCTCAGCCTTTACAGGAAAGCGAACGCGCGAGATGGCTTCCAGCACAGAGGACTTGCCAGCGGATTGATCGCCAACAACGATGATTTGCGGAAGATCTACGAAGCGACCAATACCATGCTTTCGTAGGTCGTCTATGGCGTCAAGTAGAACTTTACGCTCACCACCGAGCTGCTCGATGGCATCCGAATCAAGGGAAATGGTGGTCATTGCGATGAGAGGCGGACGGAACCCAGACGCAGGTATAAATTGAGCTCGAAGGAGAATGTGTTTCTGGAATACTCATGTAAGTAGAAAGACATGAACAGATATCAAGCAGTAGAGGTCCAAGATAATATACGACGGGTAAGAACTCAGTAGGTAGCCAAGGCAAGCATTAAATTTAAATGTGGAAGGCAAGCTTAACTGCGCATGTAGTGAACCTAGTTCGGCTGAAGGATCAGCTGAAAAGATATCACATGTTTTTGGGACAGACCCGGTTCATTGGTTTCACTTGCTGCGCGGCGCACAAAGAGAACCAACATCCGTAACGGAGAGCCACACACGATGCTCGTTTACCCGCGCGCCATCGATAAGTTGATAACCGATGAACCTACGTCTACCAGCACTGTGTACATGCTCATTGCACAAATGATTCGTCGGTATTGGAGTCGTCATGTAAGTAGGTAGGTAGGTACCTACTTACCGTCAGGGTTGTGAGAATAGTAAGTACTGAATTAGTAATTCCTTAGTATTTACTTACTAGCTGAGTATTAGTAAGTAAAAGTATTCAAGGCACTGGAAATTAGTAAGTAAATAATTACTAAAGAATTCTTAGTATTAATAAGTATTAGTATTTAAAATAGGTAATTACTAATTACTTACTAATTACTTATTAATTCATTATAAGAATATCGGTTTAAAAAATATTATTTAATAAAAAAATAAAAAATATTGCTTAAAAGAATAATTATTTATTAAAATAATAATATATATTTAATATTTTATATATAATATTATATATTATAATTAAATAATTATTTATTTAAGTAATATATTTCATTATACTTTTAAATGAATTATTATATATAATAAAGGGTTTTTTTTTTTTTTTTTTTTTTTTAAATATTATTAGTAAGTAATAATTACTAAGGAATTACTAAAGAATTACTAAAGAATAATTAGTATTAGTAAGTAAATACTCAAGGCTAATTAGTATTAGTAAGTAATTCCTGGAAATTCTTTAGTAAGTATTAGTATTGGCAAATACTAAACTTACTTACTAATTTCACAACCCTGCTTACCGTATACAATTGCATACTAGGATGCAGATAGGTAATTATCCTTGCAATCGGCCACCCTTGATCAGCCTCTCGGACGATGATGTAAGATGTTCACCTGTGCATGCAGCCGAATGTGCGAACCGCGCAGTTACCTATGTAGCTAACAGCATTGTGTACATGTATACCTAGTATACTATTGAGCGGCAGGCTTTAAAGTTACTTGCTGATGAACCACACATCTTTACAGACTGGCTGAGCGATGCGTAATAGACATTCAAACACAGTGTATTCACACGATAACGGGAGGGGTACACTGGTCTTGGTGTTCTCAGGGGGCTGAATATCTAATATTCGTTTCTAAGATACGGTGAGGCGTCAGACAGGCAAATCAGCTTGTTGCATCACACGTGGGTTGTTTCATTAATAATAATACATTTGTTCGCATTGAAATTTAAAAGCGTAATACAATAGCTTCACCTTGGAATCGCTGAGTCAATGCTATGGGATGAGGGACTAATGTAGTGATACTGCATGTCATTAAGGGCACATCATTCAATGTTAGAAGTTGCATTTTGACTTCCTCCGAGCGAGTTGCTCGTTTTGAACGACGATTTTTATCTCATCTAGCCGTTCAACTGCTATGTATATAGTGAGACAAGCTTCGTGTTGCTGTTTATACCCGAAAGCCTCTGGCATCGGCGAAGGGCAATAGCTATGCCATAGAACGAAAGAGTAGCTAATGAAACAAAAGAGATAGTACATTATTGTTTATTGGTTTTCTTAGGAATATATAAAGTTCTGAAAATTTCAAGAATCAAAGTTATTCCTTGATCATCAGCTTTCAGCTTACTAGAACCCAGACGACATTCGCAAATTCTTATCATCCGCATTTTCAAAAATCATCTCAGTCTCACTTAAATCTCATGACAATGTCTCGATCTAAGAAGCCCCAAAGTGATTCAACTTCTCCTAGTAGTGACAGCACCAAAGCTACTAGCTATATCCCACGGCTATCAAGTGACCTAGGTACACTTGCGGATATTTACTACGCTCCCGCTTGGTGTTACTGCTATTACAGGAGAAACGGGCATCTGACCCTGGCAATTAACTTGGAAGTAGCAAGAGATGGCTTGGGCCGATTCGTGTGCGGAGGCTGTTATGACCGCGCAGGCAAGGGTGTTGTCAGTAGTCTTAGGTACCTGGCAACACATGATAAGACTTCAACATGCTTGAGCAGAAATTAGATACGGCGCTTTAATACATAGCTTGTGCTTAACACATGTGATAGTCTCTAAATATAGAAGAATTTTACACTTATGTGTCTGCTGTTCCGAGATCTCTGTGAACAAAGTTCATCCTCGTTGCTACTGTAGTGATACTTACATCCTTCTGTACTTGACGTGTAAGTGAGAACGGTAAATGATTTTCTTTGATTGGTTCTACTCCTAGCTAGGCTAGCGTCCCTTGGCAACCCCTTTATGAAAGGGACTACGCCCACGGCCACGCGTTCTGGACTTTCCACCTCTCCCACGAAGGGGGTGGTTTTTAGTGGTGGTCGGGAGGTTTTTTCACAGTCGAGGCCCCCTTAACTCATCTTCCCCCCTTTAACCTCAAAATAAGACCAAGAACAAGTATGGGTGTGAGATGGGCAGTTATTCGAGCCCTAGGCGTAGCCAGTCATACACAGCGCCACGCGCAGCAGCACTACCTACGTGCAACCCTTTAGTATGGCCTACGTCTAGGACTTGAACAAAGGCTCACACTCCTACCCAATACATATGTTCAACCAACCTTTCTTTTGCGTAACCGTGTGAAGGTGTAGAATGCCCTTCACTGTAACAAGGGCAGAGGTCTGAGCTTGGAAATTGATGCTATTCACAATATATTGATCAACTAGGGCTACATGAGTCCTTGACCAACCCATTCTTTCTTGGCCTCGGTGGCCTGACTCAACTCTATATACAACTAGTTTGCCAGCCCGGGCTGTCTAGGTCTCTAGGGTCTGTTTTAAGAAGCGAAGTCTGTATAAACTCACTTTCCAATATTGTCTACATGTCTTTGAATGATCGTGAACGGCCTGCAATGGTCTTTCATACGGCCGAAGTGCAAGGCGAACTGCATATTCAGCTAGTACAGGTTGTACGCGCGTAACATGGACTCACGCGACGTCAGCTGAGAGGATGTTGCCCATTAAACATCGAAACAGTTGTCATTCTTTTTTTATCTTGCTAAATGAATTTGGGGGGATTTCAGACAATAGGTATTACTTAAACTGGGCGATGGCCCCATTTGCCTTTGCTCAGATTGGCGACGGAGCCCCAGTCTCCGTCCCCGACCGGAATTATAGTCTGTATTGCAATTCTCTTGAGAACGGCCGTTTATCTGCATAGATATAAATATGTTCCTGGGGACAGTAGTACTCAGGCCGTTAGACAGCTTTAAGAGTTCTTTGTGTGTTGACTAAGAAATCATTATGCGCTGGGCATCTTGGGCATTCTTCGCGGCCGGCGCCCTGAGCGGGGCAAACGCGGCTTCCCTAACTAAAGTCACGGAGAATTTCGGTGAGAACCCGAGAAATGTCGGTTTCTACATCTATGTGCCGGATAGGCTCGCGAAAAGCCCTCCAATCTTGGTGAATCCTCACTGGTGTCATGGCGACGCTCGAGCGTGCTATGCGGAGTCGCAATACGCGACCATGGCATCGAAGTACGGCTTCATCGTCATCTACCCGGACAGTCCTAATACGGCTGACAAGTGCTGGGACGTGTCGTCGAAGGCGACCTTAGCGCATGATGGCGGCGGAGATAGTCTGGGGATAGTAAACATGGTGCGCTGGACGCTGAAGAAATACAACGGCGATCCGAAGCGTGTATTCGTCACGGGTGTGTCGTCGGGCGCGATGATGACGAGCACGTTGATCGGGGCGTACCCGGACGTCTTTGCTGCCGGTTCTGCATTTGCCGGTGTCCCCTTCGGGTGTTTCTCTGGAAATGGCTACGGCGTTTGGAGCGACTCATGTGCAACGGGCAAAGTCACGCACACGCCAGCCGAGTGGGCAGCACTAGTGAAGGCAGCCTATCCTGGATACAGTGGTTGGCGACCGAAGATGCAGATTTTCCATGGCACACTCGACGAGACGCTGAATTATACGAATTTCCTCGAAGAAGTCAAGGAATGGAACGCGGTCTTTGGTTACTCGCAGACACCCACCAGCACGACTCTCAACATGCCTATGACTAACTGGAGAAAGGATGTCTACGGTCCAAACGGCTGGTTCGAGGCCTATAGCGCCGGGGGTGTGACGCACAATATCCAGAATCAGGAGGCTGTAGTTATGTCTTGGTTTGATCTGACTTGTATAACGGGACATTGTTTTAGCTGGGGTACAGGAGCAGCGTAATCCAATACCTGTGCCATAAACGACATCATGGTAAGGCTGGAGGTTTTCACTCATAGCAAAATAGGACAAAAAAAAGGATACCATCGCCTCAGTAACTATTGATGACAGACATGTAGGATCATCCGAGATGTGTTAAGGCCATACACATACACAATTTTGTCCGACCTGTCGTAGCTATACTCAACAACACGATTCACAGCGTTACCTGTGATATTCCATTGGATGACTTGATGTCCTGAGCCATTAACTTTTCCATTAGCTCAGAGCTGAATTATAGTTTCCCAAAGAATTAAGAAGATATATATTACAATTGTCAGATCAATTTCAACTGCAACACGTGCAACACCAATCTGGCTTCGTGGCCCAATGGCAAGGCGTCTGACTACGATCAGAACTTGAAAACAAGTTCACACGCGCAATCAGGAGATTCTGGGTTCGACCCCCAGCGAGGTCAATCTTTTGCTTCTTCTGACTGATTTTAAACCGTTGCCATGTGCAAGACATGTGCAAGAGAATGGTTGGTTTTTTTATTATTATCATCTATGGTTAAGTGGTATAGTCGTATCATCTGATTGGTATTATATGTATATATATGTATGTATATGTGCATAGCTTGCTTACCATCCATCTACTTCTAACCTAGCATAGAAGCCGATACTTGCACGTTCAGAAGGCACCCTTCTCTCCGTTATATATTCAAAACGTGTTCTTACGTCAGTACCATCAACATATGAAATCGTATTAAGTAATTGCATTCGAAATTGTATATGATTGTGTGTTATTAAGCGTAAGCAAGGGTGAATGATGAACTATCTTACTGCTGTCATAGGTATGCCACAGATAGAAATTCCACTTAGGCATCCCTGCTATATCCTAATCAGAACTGTGGCCTGCCGTATTATGTACGTATTATACAGATATATGTCGTTAGACTATGCGCCGTTAAGAGGTTCTTTTTCAGGGGCGTCTTAAGACATCATAAGAATGCAGAAAGTATTGAGCTTCGCTGCTTGACGATGCAATTGAATAGAGCGAAGTCAGTATCGAGTATGGTTATGCCTCCGAGGCTTGATGCCTGCATGACAATTTCAACCGTCGCTTATATTCAGAAGAGAGAAGGGAGAAAGAGATAGCGAAATATTGCCTTCGGGTAAGTAGAAGGGACCAAGTCGAGGTATCTATTACATGCGCATTGCATCTAGATCTGGAAAATCGTCGGTGAAACTATCAATGCTCCGTGGTGTAAAGGCATAAATGATCTAGATATCTTCATTTCGGAATTACCCTATCGCTTCGCAACAGTCCACAAGAAAGAAACACCATCAACCGCATCTGTCTCAACCTTCGCAACCAAGACCTCGAACCCGGCTTTCTTCATCGCCTCCAGCGTCTTTTCCTGACCCCATCCGCTCCAGAACATCCAATCCTTATCATCTAACCACTGCTCCCTGACCGCATTCTCTGACTCTTTCGCTGAGAAATTCGCAACAAAATAGCCGCCTGGCTTCAGCCATTTCGTGATGCGCTCCAGCAGCGCCGTCTGCTCGGTGCGGGGTAGATGGATGATGCTGTAGAATGCCACCACGAGGTCGAGCGATTCATTAGGGAATGTCAGAGCACTCATATCGCCAGGGATAAGCTCCAAGCGCTGCGCGACTTCATCTTCAGGGTTTGTGATGAGATTCTCTCTTGCGATAGATATCTGAGTGGTCGAAAGGTCGTTCGCGATGACCCTTGCGGAGGGGTGAGTCTCCAAAAGCTTCTGAGTGACAGGAAGTCCGCAGCCACACCCTAGCTCAAGAAATGCGGGGTTCTTCTCGGGTTCGGCTGGTAAGTTGAGGTATTCCAGCGCTTTGCTAAGGTACTCCATCCGCTTTTTGGAATGTGGAAGTGTCCATTCGTTGTATTTCGATGCTACGGCATCGTAGGATGCTTTCAACCGCTCCTTGATGTTTTCCGGCGTCGTGGCAGCTTCAGAAGCCATTGCAAAGTCTGAGCTTTATTTACTTCTAGATTTCAATGCGATCCGACACTATTTTATATATTTGATTGCCAGCATGGAGCTTTGGGATCGCGTCAGTCATGACGAGTGCCGACTCGGAGGTGGTCTCTGACGGTGTACCGGTGAGTGACTAATGCCGGCCGGTAATCAATCCCGACCCAGCAACCGTTTCGGGCAGGTGGGAGCACTAAAGACGACATTAGCAAAGCAGCGAGACCAACAATATTAGTGTTGGAGTCATAACCTGAAAATACATGCATAAGTCTCCCTTATTCTTTCCGACACCTGTCACCCCAGGAAACTTGAGGATTTTTATGTAATGCTTGGTTATTGCGAGAAAGGAAAATATCAAGTATAGCGCCTTTTCTCCTATTCGATAGAGCACAGAGCTTGCTCTTCCTGAAACACCGCCCTCCAGCGAAAGACATTTAAAGCGACGACGTCACGAGTATGGCTAAATATCATTAGAAACTTTCAAGCGAACAATCCTACTATTACTTATTATAGACGCAAATGGAACGTAAAGAGGGTCACATCTGGGGAGCACGTTGGATGTCTGAGAGCCCTTTGAGCAAGAGAGTAGCATGATGAGAATCTGGAGCGAATATGAACGATGTATTCTGAGCATCTTGAACGTAGGTGGGGCTATATAATAACCGTTAGACCGCTCGAACGTCTAACGGCGTCGTTTTTGACGTTCGAGAGAGCAAGAAGAAGAGAGATATGAGATACAGCTTGGATAACCAGAGTTGGCCAGTGAAGGCCGCGCAAGATACTATCCGAGTGGGTAATGAACATGATATCATGATGAAACGGAATGGCACCTTTCAACGGAGTCCCTCACCATACTGGCCGCCACTAAGACTGTCTTGGACTGCGTGATAGTGTTCGTATCTGTCCCGGCTTCCATTGTTCCAAGTTAATTCTCATCATCGCTGAATCTTGGAGGTGGCTTGCTTTTGAATACCTTCCACAACGGACCGGTCCATCCCAACAGCGGTACCAGGCATCACAGAGTCTATCCCCAAACCCTCCAGCATAGTCGGAAACCAATACGTTTCAAAAGCATAACCCATGCAATATGGTATGTGGGAGACCTTATCTGTTTCCCCTAGTCCAAAGAAGGTGAAGGGGTCGCTAGGAGCGCGGCAATAAACGGGCTTGCCAAGTGATTGCCTATGGTCAATGTCACGCGTGCGCGTGTACTCCTTGTGGAAACTCTCGTTACCTAGGATGTCTTTTCGTACAGTTGCTTTTATAACTTTGTAGCGATCTATGACGTGTTGTGGGGGCCAAATAAAATCAGCTGGAAAGTGAGTATACCATTGAAGTCCAATGGGACCACCATTGAGTATGATCATCTCCCCATCGATCGCATCCCAGAGGAGTAATCTGCCACGGGCAACGATATATCCACCGTTTAGGCCAGTGTAGCCATTATTCTGGCCGTTGTCGATAAGTGTATCAACAGCGAAATACCTTCCTTGTAAATTGAATTGGTAGCTACTGTTCCTATGAGGCGACGGGGGGCAATGAACGAAAGTAACATCCTGCGGAATTCCAATGTCCGGGTCCTATGTGCTGAGTTAGCCTCGACTACTTTATATAGAAATGAATCAACGTACACGATGGTGAGGAATTTGAAGGTACCGACGAGAGGTACTGATGAAGTATTCTGTCATTTTATAGGACGAATCTTGATAAGGCGAAACTGGAGTGGGTTGGACCGATGAAGGAGAATGGTATAATGTGTATTGACAACCACTTATTCAATCCGAACTCGTTCTACTATATATACGAAATTCACATGATAGAATCTAGAACAGTGCTGCCTGGATCAGATGCTTGCTAAGGATGAGTAGTTTGCACCACTCAAGCTGGAATGCTTTGCTGGTTTCTCCCATCAGGGAAGCACGATAGATTAGTAACAGCTTTAAAATAGATACGAAGGGGGAATAAGGGGTTAAAACGGCACAAGATCATGTTTCCCAAAACGTCCGAGGTAAACATAACTCAATTAGGATAGACTGTTGGATGATCTTGAAAGCTGGCCTTTTCTGACGACTATTCATAATTTAAGGAGACAAACACGGTTTTGTTGGCGACCATATGTTCCTGTGTGAAGTCTTGCCGCTCGGATCCTCGTTAAATTTCATCCCAAATACAATGAAATTTGCTTAAATCTCGTTGGATGGCCACATTTATCTGAAAATATGATTAATTTTAGTATTAGGTGACGATAACACGTGCGCGTAGATCGTGCACATGCTAAAGTGTTTGTGCACGGAAAATTTGCGCGTCCCTTGCTTGGTCATTGACAATGCCTCAATCAAGAACCAATTGTTGCGAAAAACGAATTCTGATACAATAGCAAACATAAAGCAGACAATCATGATAAATGAATTTTTAATCTGAAGATGTGCTGCAATTGTACCTCGGTCTTGGAAACTTAGCTGAGATACTCATCCCTTCCAACAGGAGGTCGCAACACTCTCCGAGAAAGTTAAATCATTCGACGCTGTGCAATGAAAACCCCGAACCCGAAGCAGCTCCTAGCTCTGGTTTGAGGGTTAAAGTCGGTATCTCGTAATCTCCTCCGTTTTGTCGGCGATACCCGATAGGTCTAGTAGTAGATATGGTTCGCAGCCTCTGTCGCAGTTCATCGACTACTGACCTGAAGACCAAGTCATCCGCTCGATCCAACTGGTAAGCCATGAATTGAGGGAGCACTTCGAAACCAGTGTAATCCAACAAGCCATGGTTTATTGGGAAAAGCAAATCGTCGATCGGACCACTGATGCCGCGGGCAGAGAAATGCTCTCTCCAGCTCCCAGCAGTTACCACAAGAAAAGCTTTCTTCCCTTGTATTTTCCCTTCTACATATCTGTCACCCCATCTCGAGTCGTTGTACTCGCCCAGGCCATATGCGAAACCTAAGGAATAGACTCTGTCAAACCAGCCTTTGAGAATTGCAGGCCTACCCATCCACCACATTGGGAATTGAAAAATAACAGTATCTGCCCACAACAGCTTCTCTTGTTCGCGCTTCACGTCGTCCGTGAGTCTGTTTGACGCGGTCGCCTCCGCCGAGGCATATGCTACCTTCAGACGGGTGTCAGGCGGAAGATGGGGGAAGTCAGCGCGGTCGACTTGGCTCTTCCATTGCATAGCGTATAGGTAAGAGACCTGAACCTCGTGTCCTTGCGCCTCTAGTTCTTCGACAGAGAGCTCTATTCAGTGACTGCGGCTCAGGGTGAGCGAACACGATGAAGATCTTCATGATGTAAGTGTAAATGAGACCGAGATAACCTTTGATTGAATCGAGAAAGAGTATAGTAGAGCCTACCAGTTCCTCTCATGGATTGGCCCCCATCAAAATCGACCCTCTTATAAGTCATGGCCACGGCCACACGGCGTGATTCAACTGTCCACCCATTCGGCCTCTCGGGTCAAGTTGCTTTGAATGATTGATCAGTGACTCTCAGCGTTGGCCAAATGTAGTTTACTAGCCAAGCATTCGGCAGGTATTCGCTTCATTTTCGGACTGACCCTCTTTCATTCTTGGACCGGTAGTTTACGTAAAGCGAGCAAGGCTCCAATCTAGTACGTAGACGGAGAATTGCCTACCTAGGTCCTTAGTAGCATAATACGAGATATTTGATAAGGATCTTAATGGAAAGTCAGTTGATCGCATAAGCAGAAAGCAATAAAAATTAAATAAAATGAAAAGCATAGGGAGAAGTATCATGGTGAATAAGAACAAGAACAGCGTGCATTCAATCCGGGCAACTCTTATTTGTAACTATCATTTTAGTTCTCATCGCGTTAATCCAGCGCAAACTGTGTCCTATCTGGGCAATCTCAACTCAAAGCACCGCACGATCTGTTGCCGTCTGGCGTAAATCCATGTTCTTCTTCCCCCTTTTCTTTTTTTATATATATATTTTCTCTTCATTTTCTGTCGTTTATATTCGCCTCTTCTCGGCCTTAGCGGACTAGCTTTGTCCATCCTCATCACGCGCATCGGCCGGCAATACCAGTTAGCGACCAAAAGCACATTCAAGCCGACTCATCGCTCCTCCTCATCCTCTGTCTCGTCTGGGTCATAGCCGACCTGTTCTTCAGAGGTGGCAGGAGGCTTTGGAACTCTGATTCGAAGAGATATCTTGTTCCTTCCGACCATAGCATTCTTTTCAGCAGGACTTGCTGCTGCTTGACCGTTATTGTCCTTCGGAAGTGACGATAAAGTTAGTGTCCTACTACCATTTCGCTGATCAGCTTGAATCGCATCGAGCAGAGGTCCAATTGGCTTTAGCGTAACCGAGGCTCGAAGGGGGCGAGTTCCTTTGGGGCCATTACTAGCTTTCTGCTGTGGCTTTTTCGAAGCTGTGTTTTTCTGAGCAGATGTGGTCTTCTTCGTCTTAGATTTAGTCGATCGAGTAGGTGTATACTCGTCGTCTTCCTCGGTTTTCTTGCGCTTGCGTCGACTTGTATCAGGAGTGATATAACATTCTGCGAGCGCTTCTTCCTCCGCCATGGCTTCTAGCTTAACGATATCTTCGAACAAGTCGGGCTGCACGTTGGAGTCCCGATTCTTCCTGAGAATACGGCTCGGGGCCTCTTGTTTGATCGCCGTACCATCGAGGGCAATAGCTTCTTCTTGAGATTCCTGTGCGTATGATTCTTCATCCTTAGGCGCTGGCCCTTTCTCGAGAACGTCTAGATGTGCCGCGTCTCTCGCGTTCCGGCCGTGAACTTCGGCGTCTTGTTGAATTTGAAATAGTTCGTTTCTATTGTGGTGCAGCAAGTCTCTGTGTGGCGGATAAATCTAACAGAGCTAGTTGTTAGCACTCTCCGGTTGTAGTGATCACCGACTCGAGATTCTCAGCAGTATATGAATATGAACAAGAGGCAAGATGTCTGAACGACATTTAAATAACTGGCGGAGCCCGGGCAAACTAGAATCATACCTTTGGAGCCTCTTTAATAGGCGTTGGATTTGCTGTAGTAATTTCGCTGTGTACCGTATACGCATTCCCAAGCCCATGGTTACGCCCAGCACTAAACCCATGGTTATGGTGAGGTTCCCGTACATGTGGGTTCCTCATCACGCCAGGGTTAGGGTGGACATTATAGTAACCCTCCCCGTGATGCACATTGTAGCATCCATGCACGCCGTATAGGTCAAGAAAGCCCTCTCTGGTACTCCATTCATGCACCCCCGGCTCGACGAAGTGAGGCAAAACCATGCCATTACGGATTATGACCAATCGTTGCCGAGTTTTAAAGCGAAGAGCAACGTGAGTGGGTAATTCTTTCATCTTAAAGCTGGCTGGTATGGACATGTTAGATGGCGATGTGACGAAGTACGTGCCTCCTAGCCCTTGCGGAGTGCCTGAGTTATCGTAACTCTGATATTCAGAAGGATCGAAGGTAAGTATATGACCTTGTGGTCCAATGATCGTGTACTCAGGAGGCAGGCGGAACTGAAAAATCTCACCAGGCCAAGCGTCCCATAACTGCTGTAGCTGTGGGTTTTCTATGTTCCGCAGCGGCCCCTGCGGTTCAGTTTGGGAGTGAAAAGGACGGATATTCTCTTGTCGCAAAATGTGTGCATTAGCCAGGCTAGAGCCAAATATGTCCTTGGGGTTGACTGTCGACTCCATCTGTGGCATCAGTGGTCCCTGTTTAGTTATTAAACCTTCAAGTTCAGCAACTCGGTTCTCAATCTCATCGAAAGGGGAGAGAGTGGGTTCATTACTGACATCATCACGTCCAAATCCATCGTGACCTGGTGACTCAACTCGATTATCTCCGGCACCCCGAGTATCAGATACATTGGTTGCTAGCACAATGTCATGATACTCATTGTGGAAAAGGCTCATAGTAGACCAACCAACATAATAGCGACCACCGACAGGCAGTTCTCTGGAGCCATGAGGCCCGTAAGCCTTACTACCTGCGGGGACATCAATGAAAGACATACGAGCGTCCGGTGTTCCATCTTCACTAGGTTCCCAGGCAGCAACAAGGGCGACCTTAGCTCGGGTGTCGTATTGGAGTGCACTCGTATACCTAGAATATCTTCGTTCTGCGCGGGTTGGTGGAAAGGCAATGTCGTGTTGGTCAAGGTTTGAAAGATTTGCATCTGATACATCGATATTCGGGGGCCAAAGGATGACGCGTCGAGCCCATGACTGTACTGCTCCCACGCACTCTTGAAATCCCAAGGCGTTGAGGAAGTCGCAAGCTGGTGCGATTGATGACGGGGTTACAAAGAGAGGTCGTTGCTGCGGTATGTCTTTGCCCGGGGCTGATGTCGCTTCTTGATTTCGACCCCACTCTTGGGCGATCAGGCGTCCTTCGTTACATTCTTGTTGGTACTTGAGGTATGCTAGAAAGAAGCTCTTAACTTCGTTGGATTGCAACTTCAGGGCTCTACATGTGTCTTGGAAGGAGCCAAAGTGGGAGGTAAGTTCTGCGAGCATGATAGTTTGACCGACGATATCAATCTTAGCCCAGTCTGGGCTGATAGGTCGGAGGAATGATGTATCTTTTCTAGCAGGAAGCTTGCAAGTGTATGCTCTTTCTGGTAGCGACGCCATGGTAACAGTGGGTTGGATGGTGGTAGTAGCGCTAGCAAGTCATCCGAAGGGGTTGTTGCAGTTGAAGATATTTAGGCTACTTCCATAAGAGATTGTAACTGAGGTAATGCGAAGAGGGTGTTTCTTTTAGGATCAACAGATGTAGGAAAGAGCGTGGATGTGTGAAATTTTTAGGCTAATGTGTTGTGTTGTGCGCATGGGTGTAAACAGTATTACCAAGGTGCTTTATGTTATCGTGGATGGTGTCGGCGTCCTTGTCAGATGACTGTTTGCTTCACTCAGTGAGTTCTCAAACTCAGGTACATGAACAATGATTACCTTCTTAGGCAGCTAATTTTCACAGGAACTTGTTTGCTGCTCTGTAGACTGCCGATCAACAGATGATGCCATCCATACTAGAGTTCCAAACTCATCCAGACTTTCACACCAAGTGGCCAAGTCCTTTTGAACCTGAGTATCTATTTCCATACGTTTATTCGATTGGTCATATTTCGAGTAGGCAAGTAGATCTTGGATAGTAAGGACGCGATTGGATGACATTCGGCGTTTATATCTCTGTAATCGAAGGGCCCAGATTTCGGTAGCTTCATGGTCCCAAAGATCCCTCCCGGAAGGCAGAGGAGTGGCCGGTAGAGTACAACAGCGCTGAGGCTTCCCGTCTCGAACAATCAATACCACTCTGATCACATAGAATAGGTTTACTGTTCTAAGAGGTAGTTAATAGAAATGTCATATCTAACTGAGCATAGAAATCTGGCGAATACCTTCGTATGCTTTCGTAAATAGCCCACGTTTCTTGGCTGAGGTTTGAAGTCTGATAAATATCTTCTTCATAATCACTTTGAAGGCGAAGGCTGGATGTCAACGCCTGCACAAGAGAGTAAGCATCGAGCTTTAATCACATATGAATTATGCACTTCCTCCAGGCTCTTCAACATTAGCTTACTACATCTTACGAATTCTAGCCAGATGTCCCTTGAGACCCTTGTTGTGCCTTCGTCATACCATGGAGCATGATACCGATAACACTCTAGCAGAAAACAATATGTGCATATTGAGCTGACATTAAAGATTCCAGAATAGGTGTACACTGTAGAAGAGGGAGACACTAACAGAAATCGTTACTGCCAAAAAGGCAATATTATTCTTGGCGATCGATGTTGTATCCTGCGCTTGGAGCAAGACTAAGGACTTCGAATCAGTTCTTTCTGCGGAGTAGGAAGACACCTCTCGGTATTACGCACGGTAGATCACTGTAGCCTGGACAGCCGCTAGTAGTGTTGGTACATCGTAAGTACGATACTACAGTAAAGTTAGCATAACGCTTAGAAGTAACAAGAGACGAACGATCCCTCACTTCTTCATAAAGGCGCCTCTGCTCGTCATACATCGCTTTCCAGACGATCTGCGCATTGCCAGGGTTTCGGCCATAGAACATTCGGGTCAAAACGGCGCAATTCGCCAGTGGTTTTGGTAAGCACTGATGGGTGCCATCTGCTGCGGTGCAACGGTGAAAGAGTTTGTTGCTCAACACGCATTGAGGATAGACGAAAGGTGGAAGCCTACTTCCTCGGATTAACATCATTGGGAAGTTATGAACTTGACCCAATAGTATTCTCGCCATTAGTGATCGTTCGTTTGTCATGCTTCGTCGGTGGGTAACAACATTCTCGTAACGCTTTACATATATCCCAATTGTTGTGTCATTTTCGATCTCCTCAGCTTCTTCACCTTCACTTCTAGGTGATGAAAAAGAGTCCCCCGCGAGCGAGCTTTGCGTTGTTGTTGGGGTTTCGATGGACTGATCATTAGCATAGGTAGAGGCGTGACTTCTTTGAGGAGTTTTTGACTGAGATCCTCCAATAGAGTCCCATCGTAGCGTGGGTGTAGGAATGAAAGTAGTGTCTCGGGGAACCTCTGCAGGAGGTGGTAGAGGTGTTGTCTTGTCTTTGTTCCATAACAACTGGCCCCACGATGTACCCTGAGGGTCATTAACGAGGGAGTAGTCCCAATGATGCGGTTCACTATCATTTAGCGTATACGTAAGTTCATCACCAATGATACCCTCGACTGCTAAGGTAGTTGTTCCTGGAGTTGGGCAGTTGAACAAGGTTGAGCGGGATTCCGTGGGAAAGCTAGGGTTGACTACGGACGGGCCTTGTCGCAAGCCTGCCAGATGTGTTCGAGTGTATGGGTTAGAGCGCCACGAATTTCCGGCATATTTGCATTCTAAGCCCCTATTCGAACACCGAAAGCAAACAGGGTCAAGAGTGCATCTGGTCTTAGCCAGTCTGCATTGCTCGCATGCCTTTTTGCGGGAGATTGGCATCGGATGATAAAGTTGATCCAAGAAGCGACTAGTTGCTATGCTTGGGGATTGGCGGAGAACTCAAGTTGGTGTATGTTGGGGCACGCCTCTCTTCCTGCTCGTCGATGTTCTCGCATCTTGCCAGGCAGAGCTCGGGGACTCAAAATCTCGTTCAATTTCACGGAGTTTGTCAGCACCGGAATACCATTCGCTATTACCGGTCTCGACTCCACCATGCCGGAGTTGAAGTGGATATTTATTTGTCCTGGAACCCCAATTCATCGAAATATCCTGGCTGCTTAGCTCAGACGTCAAGTAACAGTACCTCGAATTCCGGAGGCGTGTATAAGACGGCGCTTAGATAATGTCAGTTGGAATAGGTACCAGTCCGGTGAATTCGAGAAGGTTGCATTTCCGTACAAAACTTTGGTGTGTTGAATCAACTGTCCAGTAACTGAGTCTCCAGCACTGAATAGCTCACAGACGATGCGATAAATGTCAGATAGACAATGATCAAGTGTTCACGAATAATCGACTAAGTAATGAATGTCTGCTGTTTTATTTCTGAAGTGGTACAAACATGCAATCAATAGTTACTTGAGCCACAGCTGATTTATCGTTAGTTTCTGGGCTGAGCGGGGAATCACGGCCCTGGCGGCAATGCATAGTCAAGGTCACCATACCGTCGGGCTAGACGTCCGGAGTTGAAGTGGGTATAACTAACCTACGAAAGGCCATACCATGAGTGTCTGCGAGGGAAGAGTAGAATGAACGAGCATATGCAGCATGTCATGCCCGCCGTCTTTAATATTTAAGGAGACCAGCTCCAAGGCGATGTATAAACCCAGATCGTTTGTCTGATAAGTAACACTGCGCCTCATTAAGTGAACGTTCTCCTAGTCTTTAAAAGAGAAAGAAAGAGAAGAAAAAACAGCTGAGCTATTTCAACCAGTCAGGATGGCCCCGATTCGCGTTGGTATAATTGGTTTACGACCGATGCCAGAGGATGGTTCGAAGAGAACAGCAGTCGGTTACTGGGCTGTGACGGCACATCTCCCAGCATTGAAAGCGCTACCTGAAGACTACGAGATTGTCGCCGTATGCAATTCGAGCGTCAAGTCTGCCGAAACAGCTAGTAAGTACATATACTGCTCTTATACGAAATAACAACAACTATGCTGACGCATAGAATCAAGTCAAACAATACGGCCTGAAGCAATCCACAAAGGCGTATGGAAACCAAGACGATCTTGCGAATGATCCGCTCGTTGATCTAGTCGTTGTCTCCGTTGGTGTGGGAAAACACTTTGAGTTGGCGAAACCGGCTCTTGAGAAGAAAAAGAATGTCTTTGTGGAGTGGCCTTTAGCTGTTGGCCTCGCACAGTCCGAAGAGTTATCCAAACTTGCCACGGCCGCAGGTGTTCGTACATCTGTTGGCGTGCAGGCTAGAGCAGATCCGCTCGTGGTAAAACTCAAACATATCGTTGAGTCGGGGCAGATCGGAACGGTCGTACACTCCTCAGCATGGATTTCTGCTAGCCTGTATCCTAGTGACACATGGATGGAGAAGGGGGAATACTTCCTTGATCACAAATCTGGCGGCAACATCTTCTTCATCTTCTTTGGTCACTGTGAGTTTAGCCATTAACAGTGGGTCTGGCCGTGGAGGAGCTTATACTGATCTCCTCGCCAGTCCTCGACAGCTTCACACATGTACTTGGCGATTTTGCTGAGGTCCAAGCAACTCTGAAGTCAGCAGTTTCGAGCGTAAAGATTTTCAACGCCGAGGGAGTGCTCGTTAATCCCACATACTCCAAGACAGGCGCAGACCAGATACTTGTACAGGGAACACTCGAAAGTGGCGCTGTTGCGTCTCTGTCGGCGAAACAGTCGAAGACCGATGTTGACGACGTCTCTTTCCGCTGGGTTATCTCTGGATCGGAGGGGTCGGCGGAGGTCATCGTTCCCCAGGCGAATTGGCAAGCTGGAGAGCCTAAGCGTACACTCAGACTTAAGATAGGCGATGATGCGGTTACTGACGTAGATTTCCTGGCCGGTGACGAATTTGAGTCCAAGGTGCCAGCAGTTGCTGCCAATCTAGCTCGCCAGTACCGCGCCTTTGCCAAGGGTGACTTGGGAACTGTTGCTACCTTCGAGTCAGCGTTAGAGACTCACCGGCTTCTCGACAGGATTATCAAAGCCGCTGGCTGGGAGTCCTATTAAGTTCGTGGTGCAGCACATGATACGGACATGAAGTAATGTCAGACGATAGGGGGGGGGGGGGGGGATTTTGGTAAATTCATAACAGCTCGAAGTAGCGTGAGGTTTTACAACTTGTACTGGATACTTTGGTCGATGGCTTCTGAATAAACGAATAGTTTGTCAAGTGATTTATCATAAGAATATTACCATATCGTCAATAATGTAATCATACTTTAGCTATAAAAGAATTCCGACGGTATCATGAGTCTTACAGGAGATGTTTCAGGGAGCCTCCAGCCACAAGAATTATAGGTAGATTAGGGGCTGCCAGAAACGTGGCTCAAGCTCTCTCGACCTCACTGTTTAGGTAGGTAGGTAGCGCATTGGATCACCGACCCACTGTTAACCTTAGTAGGTACGGGGAGGCTTGCGCCCCAGACAGTTACGTATGTCCTACAATCCGACATTATTCAAGCTAGTATTTGACAGCAACAGAATTGCCTTAACTGTCTTTATTTTCGATACTGAAGCCTGCCGAGTCGATAGATCGCCCAAGCGACACAAGTTCCAACATACCAGTCAGGGAACGAAAAGGCCATTGGCGCCAAACAACAAACGAGGCTTAAGATGGCCCCGCGGATTGAGCCCCAGGAGATCGAGACATACTGGAATATCTTCTCAACAAGGACGAATGGCGGCAAGTTTCTGACCGGTGAACAAGCCGCGCCTCTCCTGAAGAACAGCGGACTACGGGATGATCAGCTAGAGCAAGTTTGGGACGTGGCCGATGTCGATAATGACGGCAATTTGGATTTCGAGGAGTTCTGCGTGGCCATGCGCATCATCTTCGACATAGTGAACGGGGTGCGTCGGCCTTTTGCTCTCTAATCAGATTTATCCGTCGTGGTGGAAGCTACATAGCCTAACGTGAGCTCATAGGAGTACTCAGAGGTCCCTACGACACTTCCGGACTGGCTAGTTCCCGAATCGAAATCACATCTCGTACAAGCGAACCGAGCGCTCACGGGCAAACAAGTACAATTCGAACAAGTAGACGACGACTCCGATACACCCGGCCTGAAGGATGGGTTCGATTGGTACATGAACCCGCAGGACAAGGCGAAGTACGAGTCAATATATCAGGAGAACAGGGACATGCGTGGTGAAATATCCTGTACGTCTAATTGCTACGCGATTACAGCTGGTATCTCTTCTAACTATATTACCACTCAGTCAATTCCCTCGAAGACCTCTACGAGTCCCTCGACGTACCAGATACAGACATCCGGTCAGCATGGAACCTCATCAATCCATCCGCCGGGTCCTCCATCAACAAAGACGCATGCCTCGCCTTCCTCCACATCCTAAACAACCGACACGAAGGGTTCCGGATCCCGCGAACAGTACCAGCGTCCCTCCGGTCCTCGTTCGAGCGCAACCAGATCGACTACCAGATAGACAGCCAGCGGAACGCGTCGCGGTGGGCCGCCAAAGCCGACGAGAACACCTCCACAGGGCGCAAGGCCAAGTTCGGCGACCAGTACCTCACGCGTCTCGGGCGCGGCAGCTTCAAGGCGTCCGGCACGGACTTCAGCAACGCGCAGTCGGACGCCGAGTGGGAGGAGGTGCGGCTGAAGAAGCAGCTAGCGGAGCTCGAGGCCAAGATGGACAAGGTCGAGGCGGAGGCGAACCGGCGTCGCGGCGGCGGCGGCGGCAAGCGCGACAGCCAGCCCGCCCTCGTCAAGCGCGAGCTCGAGCAGCTCCTCGATTACAAGCGCCGCGAGCTGCGGGAGCTCGAGGAAGGCAGCGGCAAGGCCAAGGTCGGCGGCAATCTGCGCGGCGTCGCGGACGATTTACAGACGGTCAAGGAGCAGGTTGACGGGCTGGACGCGCACCTCGCTTCGCGCATGCAGGTCCTCGAGCAGCTGCGGAGGGAAATCGAGGACGAGAAAGTGGGGAGATGATGATGCCTGCCCAGCTACCTACCTACGTTAGAAAAGGCGCAGTGAAGTGCGTGTTAAACACTTGACTACAGGGCAAAGATGGAATTCAGTTGGGTACGATACGGAAGCGTGATATCAATTTCAACACCTGTTAACTAACCACGGATGCGCGAGCACGGGGTCGAGCTCGGTGTTTTCGCAGCTTGTATTCCGGCGACGTAAATCCCCCTTACGGTTTCTATAGGCTTCTTTCACGGGCAAATTACAGTATGAATATAATCATTTATTAAAGCTACTATTCTAAGATGCGCATGTTCCATCATTGGGGGGTGTGGGGCGGGGTATCGAGAATTAAAAGTGCTACGCTCCTCGTCCCCATTCTGTCCTCTTCAATCCCATTCTCTTCCTCTTTAACAACTTCAAATCAAACAGCAGAAGTCTAAACAGCGTGAGCTCTCCCCACATCTTGAGCTGTGATATCCCTTTACGCGGCAATCTGATTCGGCACAGGGAGAGCAGACCTCAGCCTCGTCAGAGGCAAGTCGTCATCCCGATGCCGGATTCGGTTTTTTCTTTAAGACCAGTGTGTTTTATTGGTCTGGTCCGTTTTAGAAGTTAGTACCGTCGACCCATGCAGGTAATTTGTCGACACCAAGTGTTTTGCCCTTGATCAGATAAACCATTATACTGAAGGCCTTGACGGGGCCCATTCTTCCCGCGCCTCGTGAGCGGCCCGTGGCGACCATGAGCACATCGATGGGAATCGTCTTGACTAGCGTCTGAGCTTTACCCTTCAACACGGCATCGATATTCTTCGCGACACCGGCAGCCTGCTTGTCGGTGAGAACAAAGCTGCCACGGGGCTTCCACACGACGTCGCCCGCCGCCCAGATGTTGTCGGTACCCTTGACCTGGTAGAACTCGTCAATATCGACAAACTTCTTGTCGGTCAATACCTCGACTGGGAGGAAATCGGTGTTGGGGATCATTCCCATCGTCGGCAGATACAAGTCCGTGACGAGTTTTTCGCCGTTCTCGAGCACAATCTCAGTTTTGCCGTCGGGCAAGTTGTTGGTGCTCGCGACACGTGCATTGGCGCGGATCGTGACGTGGACCTTCTTCAGCTCTGATGCCACATTGCCGGCGATACTGTCGCCGCTGAGAACTTCCGTGTCAGCGGATAGCAGTATGATCTCCTTCTTGTCGTCCGCGTTTTTCGGGTTGCCATACTCGAACCCTAGCTCTGCTGCTGTCTCGACACCGGTGGAGCCTGCACCGGCTACGACAATGTGCTTGGCAGCCTTGACTTTCGTCTGTGTATCGTTGATGAGGGCCGTGATCTCCTCGTGTGTGCCATCATTTTTCCATGGCACCTTAGTAGTTCCGACATTACGGGTGCCTGTGGCCACCACTAGGTAGTCATAGGCCAGATCGCGGTCGCTACCATCCTCGCCCACATGCACTCTGACCGTCTTTTTAGAGGTATCGACAGTCTCGGCTGTGCCAACGATGAACTCAAATGAATTTTTGGGATATTTTGCGAAACCCGCTGCAATGGGGAGTGCATATTGGTCCGGCTTCAAAACACCTGGGACGATGGCACGGACCGCAGCTAGATTCCAATAGAAGTGGCTATTCTACAACTATGTGTCAGCATTCTTTCTCAAACACCCCGCTAATGAGGGGATGACATGACATTCGAGGTGCCCGGACACCACGAGCGACAAAAGCCCCCCGCCGACTGTCTGCTTTTTATAGGGATATGGGCGTGGGTCACTCAAGCTTTTGGGCTGTTGGTATAAAGGCACTATCAACGTGATTTTGACTGAGCCTTACCTTTGAGACGAGAATGACTTTCAAATCTTTGACTTGAGGCTGGGTGTATTTAAGTAGTCGGTGGGCAACCTGAACGCCGGCAAATGCGCCACCAAGAATCACGACCGCTAAAGAACAGTTAGCTTTTAGGGTCTTTCAGAGATATGTTGGGCCCGAAGCTTCGCGGCGACGAGAGTCATGGATTCTGGCATGCGTACTCTTCGTATCCTTCGTCATTATGCTTAATTACGATGTCGGCCTTGAAGAGGAACTTCGATATTACAATGCTGGCGAAGTCCGGGGGGTTTGACCAGTAGGCCCAACAACGCAAAGATATAAGTAGGTACCTATTGCGAGTTGGCGATGAGAAGATATGCGGGGTGCCAGAATGCAATGCGATGGATGGAATCAAAAGGTAAAAGACTGGGAAGAGTCGACAGGGTGGGAAGATCAGAATGAAGAGAGAAGAAAAAGAAACAATCGTCTCAAATAAGTCCGGTGGCTGTTGGTATGCAAGAACTTTTGTAGGTATCATGCTATCGGTTTCATTTTACACGGGAAGTTACACGAACCGGAGCCCCACCACAGGTCCAGGTCCAGGTCCAGGTCCAAGACCCGACGGCCGAGGGGGTGTGTGTGTAGGTACCGGTATACGTGTTTCGCATGCCAACATCCGGGCTGGGGTAGCTCGCAGTCATGAAGCTTAGTTATGATCTATGATGCGATTCGCATTGATAGCATTGCTGATTACGAGAGGGTAGACGTAGATACGTATGTACGTAAATAGGTACCGTATATGATACCTACCACTATGATACTGCATGCATCGTGGGTCACACTCATGTGACTCGGGTTGGTGACCAGGCTGTGCCGTTACATTCATTCACCGAGCTTATTAATCCTTATAAATTCGAAAGATTCGTCCGCGTCAAAAACCCGCTCATCATAGCGAGTTATACCCATGGAATATAGAATATGTATTGTCGAAGAAATCCCTAAGAAAGCTACTGTTATTTCTAGTTAGGTACTAGGTTAGTTATATGCTAGTCACGGTGGATGATAGGGTGTCAGAAGATTGGTTTGGCCCGTTGCCGTACTTACACAGATGAAATTTGTGATCAGAATAGCTCGGCTCACGATAGAGATTACTATAGAGATTACTTGACAGCGGGAGTGCCTATACATACTATTGGCCTGGGCCGTGGACACCGACGACGCTGGTGAAGCTGACCATCAAGTGCGCGTTCTTCGGTCCCGAAAACACACATGCTCATTACCCTTGCCGCTAGCGTCCCGAAAAATGGGCGGCGAAATACTTAACAAAACAATGGAACATTTTCGACCAGCGAATGTATTATTTATTCCCAGTGTACCCTCTCGTTTACAATTTTTCATATATCCCTACAGCATGGCACGGGGATTCCATAGCAGCGCATTATCTGGCCAGAGAACTCTGCCCAGGTGCTATTCAGAGTTTCGATAGTGGCATACAAGGCAGGTAAGTAATAACTAACGAGCAAGGCACGTATAATGTGCATCTCAACTTAGCTGCCCTCGGATCTTTGCCTGCATAGCTTGCTTGCGCCTCCCCATTCAAACACTTTCATCCGCCTCTATCTTGAATTCAGCTCAGGTATAAAAACCACTAGTTGGTAAGAGAAGACAATGTAAATTCATCGAAGCCTCCCCTTCCCGCATGATACCAAACATAAGCAAGACGTGTGAACGAACAGCTGGTCTGCTAGTAGGTAACGGTGTTCAAATTGTTGAGGCGCCGAGGGATGCCTATGGCCCTAACCCAATTCAGCCACTCGATGTACGTAAGTAGGTACCATGTACCCAGACACCAGATCTCAGGTACAATCAGATGCCCTCCTCTTCGTCAAAACTTCCAAATAAAGAAACCAACGATGCTGCAGCTATCCACGTCGCCTCTACTGGTCAAAACAATTCGAAAAGGGTCATCCTAAGCACAACATCTATGAAATTATACCTATCAATTTCGGCTGTTAGGTACCTACCTATGGCTATTATAAAGACATGTACATAGATACCTAAACAAGACCAGAGTACATACATACATAATGTAAGCGCAAAAGCTACTGTAGGTACACATGCAGGTGATCAAAAACTCTGGAGTTTTCTCGCCATGCCAAACCCGTAGCTAGCGCACATGTTGTAGCAGAGGGAACGGACCAATGAATCAAGGGCAGGTAGGTGTGCTTCTTTCCTAACTCAGCGAGCAGGAGAGAGTTGTTGTTGTGTGAGAGGTGGGAGAAGAGACCCCCCCGCTACTACTACTACTGTACTTACACCTCGGCGCCCACCCACCCACACATATGACGATGCTTGCTTGGAGACAACCCCGCCAAAAACAGCAGAAACCCACATCTAGGTAGTCTGGGGAACAACAACCACGGGTAGCACATTCGCATTCATTCGTTTCCCCTCTTCTCCCATTCTGTTTTCCTTTTAGACCAACTTTGAAAGCGAGCACTTGATCATCCAAAATACCTTCGTTCCATCCCCCCCCATCATCAATCATGTCGAAAGAACTATCAGCCGGAGAGAAGGCCGCCTTCGCCGCCAACCCAGCTTTCGAGAAAGCTGCTCAGCGCGAGTCCAAGCAGCTCACCAAGAAGCCCGACAACGACGAGTTGCTTGCACTCTATGGTTCGTTCTCCCTCTTTTCTCCTTCAATTTTTATTGATCTCTTTCTCCCTCTCCCTTCTTGTACTTGGAGCTAGGCACTACAGCCGCCACCACCATTACCATGCTCTGAAGTCTTCGAGAAACAAGCTACCTTCCAGACCAATTACTAACCAATCCCGCCGACGGTTCTACAGGTCTCTACAAGGTTGCCTGCGGCGAAGATGTCACAGAGTACCAAAAGGGCCCCAAGGCCCCCGGCATGTTCGACCTAAAGGTTCGTCTCGTTGCCCTCTTCGTTCACAATATCTATCATACAACCCACCCCGCTTTACCCTGATGAGAATCGAGTTCTTGCCGTCAAGACCCGCCACTCAAACCCCATATCTTTCAATCAGCGAAACGACAACGTGATAATTCAAGAAAAGAAAAAAAAAAAAAAAAAAAAAGGAGAAAATAAGAACTGTCAAGCTAATACTTTCGCGTTGAACAACAGGGCAAGGCCAAGCTGAGGGCCTGGGAGGGCTATGTAGCAGAGGGCATCTCCGCCGAGGAAGCTCAGAAGCGGTACATCGAGAAGGTCGAGGAGCTGAAGAACAAGTACGGCTTCGACCCGGCCAAGGAGCCCGAGGTCGTCGGCAGCTAGATGTTGTTGGCCTTGTCCCTCATTCTGCTCGTCCTTTCGGCCTTGTGGCTATTCATTGGCATATCCATAATACGGACGCATGAACTGCCCGATCTCTTGATACAGACCAATGAATACGAAAGTCCACCTAGAACACTGCCCCCTTTTTAGCTGCCCTATTTGCTCATGTTCCTCTCGAGATGATACACATGCACGCATGCATTCAGAGATGTTTGTCAGACACTATAGGTGTAATAGGTTTTATGTTGACATTTGCTAGACCTTAGCATAGTTCGTGGTACCTCTAAATTGCCCATATTGGGTTACTCCGTGCTTGTGATTTATTCAGAGAAGCCCTTTACATTTAGGATGCACTGATAGCTATACATATCATGCTAAATGTGTAGACGAGTACATATGTGAGATACCTACTAGACAGATGATGAGGGTTAGATGTCAGAACTCAATTGCCCGGCCACATTCGCCCCTTCCAGTCTGGCTCCGTATACTCCATTGTTGCCACCCACGGTACCTCTGCATCCCCGTATTTTTGCAAGGGTAAATCATACGGAATTCTGAGTCCCACGATAGGCGAGTCTTCATCACTATCGCTATACTCCTCTCGGCTTGGCTCGTCCGTCCTGAACGTGCCTACCATTGTCGCCTTTGGGTCACCCGTCAGCAGCTCTGGCCAAACCAGAACACCGATTTCCCAGGAGGCTATGCGCACTTCTCCGAGTTTGTTGGTGGCTTCGCCCCATGCTTGCCTTGAAAGGTTGGCCGAGGTGAGGAGAGCCCAGTCGATTGACTTGGCGCCGTAACATATGTACGTCTTGATGTGGGGTGCTGCCCGTTTCCGGCCTGAGATTCTGGCATTGTCGTTTGATGTGGATGCGTTTGTTAATCCCCCTTTACAACTGTCATTTGCCCAGTGATGGAAGAATGGCCGGACATATCGGAGTTGCCTCATGTGTATTGGGTGCTGGATCTTTGTGTGGATCGAGCCGCCAGATGCGTACCCGTCCAGTGATCGACGGATCTCGTCCGGGGTGGGAAAAACGATCTTGAAGTTAGGTCTAGTAGCTGATTCTTCCCGGCGTGGAGGACGTGAGGTTGAGAGCGAGTCAAAGAGGTAACGTTGTAACCATGTATCGTCTATCCCCAGCGTTGCAATCGATGATATCTGCACAACGATCTCCGACGCCCCTGCTTGTAACGGCACAGTTTTTAAGGTCTGCCGTAGCGCCTGCCACCCCCAACAAGTTACCTCTGGTGCCAGTTCGACGTCTTGCTTCCCTGGCACACTTGCTACTAAAGCCCCACGGACAGCAAAGAAATTGTATTTTGCGAGGTCCTCAACTAAGGACTCGCAGACGTTTCGTCTTTCGTTATACGCCCGAAGGTAGTTTAGTAGGTCGAACTTGAAACGTGGTCCGCTGCCTATAGCCCCACATGTGCTGGCCTCTTGCGGTGGTGACTGGAGTTTGGGAAGTACTGGTGATATCCAGACACCGTTGGTCATATTTGTCCAATCTTTTGCAATCATGTTCGCAGTGTGGATGATAACCTGGGCTGTATCATCGTGCCGGAAGAGCACGAGCATCTTAGAGTGATGGGTGCCAAACAGCTCAGGCATATAAGCTGTGTGAAGAGTGACATTTGGGTGCTGTCTTGCTTGTTCCTAGTAATGTGGTCAACAATTTTCCATGACAAGAATCCGAAATAATTTTCGAGCACTTACTTGAAGCATTAACCTGTTAGAATCCCCTCGCTTCCAGAACCCGTGAACAATGTGGATTTTAGTCAGAGCCCTTGTATCCTCGTCGAGATGTTCCATCAGAAAGTCAACCTGCCATATGAAAACGTATTAGTCTAGTTCCTTATTACATACTTTCTAGAATTACGCAGATAATGGTGATCAAGTTTCAGGATCAAAGGTTCACGTACTGAAGCAATTGTTAGCGCCGGAAGACAATAGACCATTCTACCAAGTCTAGGTCTCAAGACTGGCACGGTAGGTTTTGATACGTACCATCATGCAGATAGTTAAAATCCCACAGCTCGGCAATAAGAGGGTCGCCGACTAAGTCGCTCAGCGATACTGCATCTACATTGTCGGTATCAGAGAGGTCCCTGATTGATGTCAGTCGGAACGGTGATGCTAAGATTTTCCTTTCAGTCTTCATTTTCTTCCTTGGAGGGCTGATGGGATGAGAAAGAGAAGACGGAGTGGCTCGTTCAGCGTCGCCAGAACTGCCTAACACATCGTCATTCCCATTGCTTAGGCGTCGACGTTTTAGTAGAGGGTCAGTCATGTTGCCAATATCAGCCAACCTGGTGCGTCTCGATCGAAATGGAAGACACAATTCTGGAATAGGGAGGATGAGGAATGGAATGAGTTCTAGGACTTCGGACTTGTTTGCTACGCTGTGCTGTAGGTATCGTTTAGGAACCTTGGAAGGTATGGGGTTTTGTGGTTGCGACTTCCAAACTAGATTCACGATGTGCTTCGCACCTGGACTTTCATGCAGGTGGAAATACACCTTATGACATTGGACTACCAATCAAGGAAATATCTGCTTAGAATACAGCAGGTTGACAGCTTATTACAACCAGTCCGATTTATACTTTCTAAATGCCCCAGATACCTACCTCGCTGCACTTAGCTAGGTATTCACATCGTGTTTCCTCTGTCGCATCTCAAGCCACACTTTACGTAGCACCTTTGATTGGGGCTCAGTTTGACTGTGGCGGGACCCTCACAGGGCCAAGCTTCCTATCAACTCCCGGATTGGATGACCTTCCCTAAACAGGCTAGACAGTACATACTTATCTTTCTAGGCCTGGACTTTGCGCTAGACTCGTATCCTGACTGAGACTTAGCTGTTGGCAGACTGTTGGTAAGGAATTAATTACCTAAAAATGTACATAGCATGCATGCAGCAGCGCGCAACGTGCCATCTACGGCAATAGCCCGCCCCCCTTTCAAGCAAAATTCCAACTTGGCATCCCCTGTACCTTAGGTAGCCCACCCCGACTCTGCCTGGCCCAACGAAGGGCTGAAATACCTCCTTGCTGAACTCCATCTGGCTTCTCCTTTTGACACACGAGACATCACGACGGCTCTTTTCTTCTTCTTCTGCGCTTTCTTTGACTTCGACCCACTGGTCACCGACTCACACTTTTACTTCTTGTTGCCGCGGCTTCACACGTCCGCCTACTATTGTCCTTTCACCCATCTTTCTCCATTTTGCTATCTCGTATTAGAAATTTAATCCACCTTCAATGCGCAATCCCCGATAACGCGATCCCTCCTCGAGCCCCTAATCGCCGCCACGTCTCACCTTACCCGTCGCTGCTCACAGACTTGTCCCATCGCCTATCGATCCTTCTCCCCGCTACCTGTGTAATAGCCTTGAGGTGTCGCTGTCTCAACCTGCCAGCCTTCACGGCTTGCATGTGTATTTAAGTGGGCGGGCCGCTACCGTCATCTTTGCAGTCAGAGAGCTCGATCATTCCATACACACACAAACACACACACACAGCCATGAGGCTCACATCGCTTGCGCTGTTCTTCGGCGCGGTGACGGCGGGCCTTGCCCAGGCCATTGGTGCCGATAAGACAGATGATCCCGGCAAGGAGAACACATATTTCAATGGCAAAAGGGTGCCTCCACTGCTTGAGCTGACCAGCGATAACTTTAACGAGGAAGCCCAGGCGTCAAAATTCTTGGTAGTCAAGTACTTCAAGTATGTAGTTCTTCGCCCATGTTTCACTCTGAACCGCGTGTTACATTTCATCCTACCACTCTGACTTGAAAGATGATGGCTGTGAATCTTGAAACACCCCGCTAACATCAGGAATCATCAGCCCCTATTGTCCTCATTGTCAACTGTTCGCTCCGACATATCAAACCATGTACGAATTTTACTATACGTCAACTGTATCAGACGTGCCCTTCGAAAAGTACTACGACATACGATTTGCCACTCTCGACTGTATGGTAAATGGAGATCTCTGCACTGAACATGAGATTCTCGCTTATCCCCGTACGTACCTCTACAAGGACGGCAAACGTGTAGAATTTGTGGGCGGCGCAAAGGAGATGAAAGTAGTCTCCGATATGATTGAGAAAGCCCTCGAGGAGGAGAAACCTGGTACACGACCGAAGGAACTCCTTCTGCCTGAGCCTGAAGCAACCGAATCACCTGATTATACAAAGCCAAGATCTTCAGATGCCGAGAAAGAACAGGTGGAAAAGGAAGATCTCACTGCTTCCAAGACAACCATCGACGATATTCTAGAATCCAAGGAGAAGACCAAACCTGCCAAGCCGACAGTTACCCCGAACAAGGAAGGAAACTCTGTCCCTCTCACTGCCGAAAGCTTCCAGGAGCTTGTCACTATGACGCAGGAACCGTGGTTCATCAAATTCTATGCACCTTGGTGCCACCATTGTCAAGCCATGGCCCCCAACTGGCAACAAATGGCTAAAGAGATGAAGGGCAGGCTCAACGTAGGCGAGGTTAATTGTGACGTGGAAAGCAGACTTTGCAAAGATGTCCGCCTCAAGGGCTACCCAACAATCCTCTTCTTCAAAGGTGGCGAACGGGTTGAATATGATGGCTTGCGAGGCTTCGGTGACTTCCTGAATTACGCTGAGAAGGCTCTAGACATATGCGAGGGAATCAAAGACGTTGATGCGGCATCCTTGGCCGAGTTGGAGAAAAAGGAGGAAGTGATATTCATCTACTTTTACGACCGTGCCACTGCATCTGAAGACTTCCAAGCCCTTGAGAGACTACCTCTCAGTCTCATCGGCCGCGCCAAACTTGTTAAGACGGATGACCCAGTGCTATACGATCGTTTCAAGATTACCACCTGGCCAAGACTACTTGTTTCCCGGGAAGGCCGGCCCACGTACTATACGCCTTTAACGCCGAGGGAGATGCGTGACACCCATATGGTCCTATCGTGGATGAAATCTGTCTGGTTGCCTATTGTGCCGGAGCTTACGGCTTCCAATGCCCGAGAAATCATGGATGGAAAGATGGTAGTACTTGGTATATTGAACCGGGAAGACAAGGACTCCTTTACCGGAGCTCTGCATGAGATGAAGGAAGCTGCCAATGACTGGATGGACAAGCAAATCCAAGCTTTTCAGCTTGAGAGACAAAATGCCCGTGATGCTAAGCAATTGCGTCTGGAAGAAGCTGAAGATCGAGGGGACCAACGCGGTGTAAGAGCAGCCAAGAATATACGCATCAATATGGATTGGTCCGATCGCAAAGAAGTTGCTTTTGCCTGGGTCGATGGCACATTCTGGCAGAGATGGATTCGAACTACCTATGGAATCGACAGTAAGGACGGCGATCGGGTAATCATTAATGATGAAGATGTAAGTTGGCGAGATTAAAACTTGAAACAGAAATTATTTGCTGACTCCAATCCAGAACCGAAGATACTGGGATCAAACTATCAACGAATACAACATTGTTCCTTCGCGCGTGTCCATCCTGGAAACTCTCTCCAAAGTTACCGCCAACCCGCCTCTCATCAAGCCTAAGCTTACTATTTCGAGCTTTGAGAAGGTCTTCTTCGACATCAAGATGAATTTTATCGAGCACCCTTACCTCAGCTTCGGCTGCATTGCCGGCATCGCTTTTGGTGTTTTCTCTTGGTACAGGGGTAATCAGCGAAGAAACCGTTTGCCATTCGGGTTAGAAGAAACCCTTCCCATAAGGGAGTTCAAGGATGGCCTCCTCGGCAATAACGCCAACGGTAAGAACGACTGAGAGCACACAGTTCATTTGGAGGATAGAAGCGAAAACAAAAAACCACGCTGGCACCGTGGACATCCCTTCCAGGTGCAACATAGACACAGGAGTTCTGTATATTACGCTTTTTTGTCACGTCACGCCGCTTATGTCCCAAACCCTCTCGGATATGATGGTTGGGTGGCTGTGGAAAGGAATCCATCAAGGGTATTGGTTATGAACTGGGATACAGCGGTACTACGTCCGGGGATAGCGGGGGGAGTTGATTTCCTTATATCAGCATCAATTCAGCATCAATTCAGCATCAATTCAGCATCAATGGCGGGGCCGACATAGATCGAAAGGGCCCAGACTAACATGGTCACACCGCTAATGACTGATTTTGTGTACAAAATATATGGTATGACATTGTGATAGCGGGAATATCGTAGTAATGTAGTCCTTTGACAATATATATAAATATTCATATCACCTGCAGAAGTAGCATTATATCAGTGTTCATTGAATCCTATACCAACTTTCCATCCACTTCTCATTCTGCACATTCTACCCCGCGACTTACTTTTTTTTTTTTTTTTTTTCGATCCCACAGCCATTCTAGTTTACCTTCACATATTGATGATGCTCATGATCCAGTTTTCTTACTGGTATAAATGCCCGACTATTCTCCTTATGAACTCATGACACCCTTCATATAATCGGAATCCAATATCTTGGTAAATCTGAATTTCATTTCGAAGTACGAAGATGGCGCAAGCACTCAGTGCTACTATGAATGCGACTACTAACCCTAACGGCGAGGCATTGAAATCCACCCACAAATCAAGGGTGACTTTCCCATGCCTACTTCCTATCAGATTGGCCTTGTCTGATGGTATTAGCTGATGTTTCGAAGCAAGTTCTGGAAATGCCATGCGTATTCTTTGACCCTTGGAATCGACCACTAGCCGATTTGAAGCAAATTTAGATATTTAGACTAGTTGTTAAGAGATGATTGTGTAGTTATGAGGTCTGTGTAGAGTATGACCTAATTGTTCACTTGTCCGTATTATTCGAGATAACGGACGGATCTAGACTGGCGACGCTAATGAGACTCACAAGTACTCCGTAGTAATCATTCGACTAACCTAACAAGTGCATCATATTCTGAAGTTGAGAAGAAGTAGACAAGTTGCCCTAGGTACCATAAGAGATCCAATACATTTTTTGCCTCCAATTCTATCGAATCATCTCTTCAGCCCTGCGTATCGTAATCACAAGCCAACAAGTCGTGGAAAATCAGGTATACAGCTCATCAGTGAACGCATTCAAGCTCAGCCCTTCCTTCGCTAGGTCCTTCACGTCAATGAGGAAATCAAGCGGCATCTCGACCAGGGTCCCGCGGACGCGCGACAGCCACTCCTTGACCTCGGCCGCGCCGCCGCCGAACTCCGAGCGCACGACGTGTCCGTAGTCGACGCGGCCGCGCTTCTTCTCCTCGCTAAGCTCTGAGCCGGGGATGATGAAGTGCCGGCTGAAGAACTCGTCGTAGTCGGCCCAGGTGCGCACGTGGTCGTTCGGCACGTTGTGGAACACCTTGCTGAAGACCTCGGTGTTCGTGCGCGCCGTGTCCGTCCAGCTGCGCCAGAACCGGTCGGATAGAGGGTCTTCGACGGCTCGGTCCGCTTCTGAGCCCCAGTCGTAGTCCTGCGCGTCCCGGTTCACGGGTGTCCAGTTGCGCGTCGGTTGGTCCCAGCGCTCGTCGCGGAGCCATCCGAGGTGCTTGCGGAAAAGCTGGCGGCGCAGGGACGTCGCGAAGCGCGAGGCGCGGAATGCGCGGCCGTCCATTCTGCTTTCGACGAAATCTTGGTCTTCGATGACGACGGCGATCTCGGAGTCGTGTGTGCCGAGCTGTGAGCGGTCGTTCAGGTTGGCTGAGCCGCAGATCACGAGCCGGTCGTCTGCGATGAGCACTTTGGAATGGATGTACAGCTCCTCGGAAACGAAGGCGTTGATCTCGGATTCCTCGTCGCCGTGCCATGGGATTTTGCGGATGTCGGGACCGCCGTCCATATAGCACGCACTGACTGTATCCCAAGTTTGGTCGGGGACTCTGGAGGCTGCGGACTGGTACCGGTCGTATTCCTCGCGATGTCCGCGGCCGTCTCCTCGGTACACCATGTCGTCGTGTTGGCGACGGGCGTCGTCGTAACGGACACCGCTTCGCTCTTCGGCTTGACGCATCGTCGACGAGGTGTTGATGCGGTCATAGTTGCGGAGGTTGTAGAAGCCTATGTAGCGTCGCCAGTCGTTGACACCATTCTTCTTTAAGCATTCAATAATACTGTTACCGCCTCGGTTGATGCTGTTGTACTGGTATTCCATGATAGCACGGGTGCCGAGCGCGCCGTCTGATTTCAGGTCGCCGGCAAACGCTGGGACCGCAGGCATGAGGACTATAACGCGGAAGTTCTCACGACTTGAGTGAGCGCGGACGATACGTGACACGATGCTAGCACCGATCTTGTTCTCTACGGGGTACTGCTTATCCCCTGTTGCCGTGATGAAGAACTGTAGAAGTTAGGCAAAGATGACTAAAGTAGGGGTTGGGCTGTGCTACTGACTTGGTTCTCAATGTAGATGAAATGCTCGGCGCTCTCAATTGCATGAACATAAGCGTTAGCAATGGAGTGCTCCGTCGGATGCCCAGAAGACCAGTCACAGGCACTGATATGAGGTTAGTAAGGCTCTTTCGGTATACAAAGACAGATCCGCACTCACCTACGACAGAGCTGGATTTTGGTCCTTCCAGCTTCCTGTCGATGCTCCTGTCGACGCTCGTGGCCGTCGTCTTCTCGCTCCCTGCGGTCTTCTCCTCCCATAAAGTGTCGAACCCCTCGGCTTATCTGGTGTTCAAACTCGCCCATTTCAGGAATGGGGAAACGGTGGCTTTCATTACCATGACTCTCTCCATGTTTTGGCTCTTCTAATCTTCGATACTTTCCGGGGTCTTTCTCGGCATATTTTTCATCAAATATGAAGTTCCTAAAACATGTCAATTTGGTTTACGGAACGACCAGTAAAGGATTAAGACATACCATCTGTCAGTAAAGTGATGGATGAGGCTGTTTACTATCGGCCCACTCAGAGAAATAGCGATATCAGACCAACCCATTCGCGAGCTTTTAGCTCTATCCACTATGTTGTAGTATTAGTACTTGTCATATAATTTTCAATCGCACGTCACATACGCTGATTGTGGTCCCATTTATCGACACCTTCGAAGTCAAATACTCGAGCATTGTTGAAGTCTTGGCCGGGAAAAATGATAGCATCCAAATTCCCTGGATGGGCATCCGCGATTGGGTGACCTGAGGGGTGTTCGTTAGTCTTCTTCATTTTGATATCAATCTTGTCTAAAGACTCACTATTTGTATCGTATCTCCCAAAGCCTATGATACTATTAGCCTCATATTAAGTTGTTTGAATGTAATATGATGTGGTGGCGTACACATATCAAGGCCGCCCATGAACACAATATGGCGGTCAACGACACAGAGCTTCTCGTGATGAGCCCAATACAGTACAGTGTCACCAAATGAGCCGTAAAGCTCCTTTAACGCATCGCCGGGAATTTTCGATAGTCCAAATGCGTTCATCTTCAGGTTATCCAAAGACAACCCTGCAAAAGCTTGCTGCAATCTGGACCTGCTGGTAGGTAAATGATCAGGGTGCCGGAAGACTTTGATCTTTGGATGAAGTGCTTCAAGGGCGTGCTTCGTGTGCTGTAGATCTCATTAGCAACTCTAGCAAACAATAATAAACCATAGCTCATACAGCCGAGTCCACTGATAGAATATAGGGGTCAGCATGGGGTCTCGAATCTTATCTCAGGCGTGTAGGTATCCTTACAAGTCAAAGCCTGAGTGACCTCCTTATAGACAATGATATTAACGTCTACACCTCTCTCGGCGGCAGCTCGCAGCAGATTGTCAAGGCGGTATCTTTCATTACGAGAAGGCGGTCGCCGGAGGTACAATTCGGGGCTCAGCCACCAGTCAAGAATGTAGATGCTCTCTCGTGCCTCTATTATCTCATGTAAGCTCAGGTAATCGCCATTGGGCGCTCTGGATGTGCCATTAAACTCACCTTCGAGAGCCATTGAAACGGCCCAGAAATAGGAGGCGCCGTCGACATCTATGAAATCTAATGTTAGCTGGTGTATGTGACTGTTGTATGTCATCCGTCTAGTTCCTCTTCACCCTCTCTCAGAACGAAAACTCTAAAGTCGCGTGGGTTTCAAGCTTCGAATTCAAAGACCATTTCTGGCGTAGAATAACCACAGCATAAGGAACGCACAAACGAATATATGGCTGGCTACTTACACCACTTAGCATTGCCGGAAGTCTCAGGTGAAAAAGATTGAAACCTGTGGTTGGTGTTGACAGGTCTGATTTCTACAGGCGTCTTGCCATGGGCTTGCTCTTGGGGCCGGCTCCCGCTCCCCTGTTGCTCCGGGTGATACTCAGGGCGGTGCTCTTGAGGGCGGTTTTCTTCTTTATCGTCATCCAAAAAGTCCTTGAGTATGTGATCTTTAACCACATGCTCCGCCTTGCGCAAGAGTCGGTCCATGTTGAATCACGAAGAGAGTGTGAAGCGGCGTGTCCTGTTATGTTGTTACCAAAGGTAACACCTTCAACAAAGGCGGGGCAGGATCTCAAGTTCAGAACTAAAGCAGGGCCGCCAAGTTTGTCTAGTTATTAAACAAGAAATCAATTGCGGGCTAGGTGTAACGAAACAAAGGCTGCGACAGTCGCTCAATTTCACATTGCAATGGCCGTAGAAGACTGACGTAAGCAGGGCTAGAAAAGAGTGCCTCAGTCACCTCGTACCAGTCAGTCCCAACAACTTGCGTCACGAGGGCAGGCATTCGAGTAGGACAGACAAAGTACAAAGTCCCGTCATGGAGGGGCATTTCTGGAGGGGCAGCCCATGTCGAGACATGATCTACACAGCCCTATTGGCCCTATTGGACGCGTTTGTCGGCTCGGCACTTTCAGCTGGACCACTTGGATGGAGCAAGCAAAGGATACAGGAGGCGAGGGAGGTAGCTCACATATTTCACGGCGACTTCAACCTGGCAGTGTAAGCATAAGCCGGGCCATAGTAAGATCACACGATGTAAGCAGTCCTACATTAACAGGCTGGGACAATTGTCAGATATGCCGGCCAAGGGTGAATAAGACTATCGTGACGATTACCTTAGGTACTTAGGTACTTACAACTTTGGAGCTGACAGGCTTGTCTGAGGCTTTGCATGCAGCACCTGCAAACGAGCAGTTAGTGGCCTTGGGCCAGCTCCCCACCACTCCACCACTACCTACCACTGTAGATATAGTTCTAGTGCTAATAGAGCAGGCGGTAGAGGGGACACTGTGGATTTCTACGCCTTAATGAGCGGCAGAAAAATACGGGCCCACTTAAATTTTCAATTGATGGATTTTCCCCAATTGTCGTTTTGTATGCGCTATCTCTCTCTGCCTTCCTATCGGTACATCTCAAAGAGACTATAGAGCCCATTTATGTGCTCTTTTTAAGCCTCGAGAGGACAAAATATCACAATGGCTAAAGGCCAGAAAAAAACTACTGCTGCGTCGTCCGCCGCAAAGCAGGATTCTCGCTTCGCCAGCTTCGAAACGAACCCTCGATACCGTCTTCCGTCTAAAGGGCGCGTCAAAACCAAGATCGACAAACGATTTCAACGAGTCTTCGAGGATGAAGATTTCACAGCCACCGCAAAGTTAGACAGATACGGCCGAAAACTCAAGTCCGACAACAAGAAGAAGGCTTTACGGGACATATACGAACCCGAGGAGCCCGAGGTTGAAGACGACGCCGTCATACAGAGAGAGCTCGAAAAAGCTGACGAGAACTACGATCCAGCCCGGGGTGGTGGTTTTTCTTCTTCAGAAAGCGAGTCAGAGTCCGAAGATGACGACGATGAGGAAGAGGGAGATGAGGAGGAGGGAATCGCTGGGGAGTCAAAGTCAGCTAGCATGCAACGAATACGCGACGAGCAGGCCGATATCGAACAGGGTGAAATTACAAAAAGATTTGCTGTTGTCAACCTAGACTGGGACAACATCAAGGCTGTTGATCTGATGGCGCTATTCTCCTCTTTTGCGCCTCCGGGGGGTCAGGTCGAAAAAGTCTCGATTTATCCATCTGAGTTCGGTAAAGAGCGCATGCAGCGTGAAGAAATCGAGGGACCCCCTAAGGAGATCTTTAAAAAGGCTGCCCAAGACGAGGACGACTCCAATGATGACCTAGATAGTAGTGACGACAGTGAAGATGAAGACGAGGAGATAAAAAAAGACTTGTTGCAGGAAGGAGATGATCAAGACTTCGATAATGACGCCCTTAGATCCTATCAACTCGATCGCTTGCGTTATTACTACGCAGTCGTCATCTGTTCTGACACTTCCACCGCCGAAAAGATATACAACGATTGCGATGGCTCAGAATATCTCGCATCATCGAACTTTGTGGACCTACGCTTCATTCCAGATGATGTTACGTTTGAAGACCAGGCACGAGACGAATGCGACTCTACCTTACCCAATTACGAACCCACCGAATTCGTTACCGACGCCCTTCAGCATTCACGCGTGAAGCTAACTTGGGATGTAGCTCCTGATGAGGCTGCGCGGCGCGAAAACATCAGGAAAGCATTTAGCGGCAGTAGAGCTGAGCTAGAAGAAAATGATTTCCGAGCCTATCTTGCAAGTGATAGCGATGGGGAGGATGGTATCGAAGATGACATTGTCGAGCCAGAGCAACCTGTTGTCGAAGATGAGCCCAAGTTAAGCAAAAAAGAGCTGAAAGCAAGAAAACTCAGAGAGGCCCTTGGGCTGAGCTCTGAGCCAATGACGAAACTGTCCGCGAATATTGGACCTGTTGGGGACATGCAAGTCACCTTTACGCCGGCGTTGATGGGCGACGAGAAGAAGAAGGAGCCAGAAGCGGAAGAGACGACTGTTGAGAAATACATTCGCAAGGAGCGTGAACGAAAGGCTCGTAAGAAGGAGAAGGTACTCTCCAAAAGAAACGGGAGTGAAGCAGAAACTCAGGATGAGCCTGCTGAGCCAGAAGAAGATCTCGGATTTGATGATCCATTCTTCACAACTGATGAACCCGCGAAGATATCCAAATCAGCGGAGAGAAAAGAAGAGAGACGGAGAAGACGCGAGGAGAAGGAAGCTACCGCAGCTGAAAACGCTGCTCAAAAGGCGCATTTGGAGAAGATCATGGCAGATGATGCTAAGGATCAAGCCGATCATCTTGATCATTTCAATATGGACGAAATAACACGGGCCGAGAAGAAGAAATCAAAGAAGGGTAAGAAGGGAAAGAATAAAGTTGAGGATCATGGAGGTCTACAAGAAGGCTTCGACATGGATGTCAACGACAGTCGATTCAAGGCCGTATTTGAGAGCCATGAGTTCGCAATTGACCCTTCAAATCCTAAATTCAAGTCAACTCCTGGTATGAAGAAACTACTTGAAGAAGGCCGGAAAAAGAGGAAAAACAAAGGGGACGATTATGAAGCACCCTATGAAGTGAACGGCAAAGCCAAGAAACAGAAGACCAAGGCTACCGACGACGATATAAGCAGTCTTGTTGAGTCCATAAGAAAAAAGGCACAGGCTAAGAATCGATAGTTCAATAGATATCTATATACCCGGCCTTTTCAAGGCCATTACTCATCATGCCGGATTTCTGATCATTACATCCATGCGCCAAATCTAGTGACTAAAGCGATATGTGTCTATCACGCTCATAACCCGTGGCGCCACCCTACAAACCTCCTAGTAGAAAGGATATTATTTTCCTATGCGTTTATGCCATCGCGTCGAAGCCTGTCGAAGCCCCTGAAGCAGCAAAAAATCCCTCAAATGTCATGAAAACCCTGTTCCCTAGCATCATGCTCACCACCCCTATTTCTGTCCTCTGAGTGGTTTATCTTCAGTATGGCGCTGTCCACGATAACATCGTGCACATGCTCCCTAGGCACCCAGACAAGCTGCAATATTCCGAGGACGGCCACGCCAGCGCAGCTAAACCAAGCAGCAGCCGAGCCGCCGGCGGCATAAATAATGCCGACCACCGGCGGCGAAACCGTCCTGGCAAAACAACATCCGGACATGGCGAGCCCGTTGACGCGACCCAAGATCGTGGAACTCGGCGTCGCGTTCTTCAGTAGGATGAGGGCAGTAGGTATCACGATGATGCCGAAGAAACTCTGCAGGACCATGGCGAGATAGATGCCTGGTGACTGCAGGGGCGTGGGGAAGGCCGCGAGGAAGGGCATGACGACGTAGCATGTGGGATAGAGTATGATCATCCAGATGAAAGAGTGCCACACGCCGACACGATCGACGAAGATAGGGAAGATCAAACCTTGAATGAGTAACCCCAGGACGCCGTTAACGGCTAGGTAGATCCCGACGTCGTGCACCGTGTAGCCCAGCCCGCCGATCAAGTCGAGATGTCCGGGTGGCGCGGCCGGGCGGTCGAGGAGGTGTGTCGGGAGAAGCGTCGCGAACGCCATCTGGTGGTAGGAGACCAATACCAGCGCGACGGTGAGCATGATGATGGTGAAATTGAACACGGGACCAGTGTATTCCTCTATTATCGTCGGCGGGGCAGCAGCAGAATTGGCTTGGGCCTCGGGAGTGAACTGGATCGAATGGACCGTGCCGAACGAGGTGCGACGCAGATCGAAGCTCTGCTCGACTGCCACAGGGAGACCTTCTTCGAGGATAGCGGGACGCTCGCTGACGGCTGAGATGCGGGGGTGTTGCGGCCGTCGACCAGGAATCAAGTGCGTTCTCTCGTCTGTCCTGCTTTCGTCCTCTTCGATGACCGCAACGTCGCCCTCGGCAGCTTCTTTTGCGCTGCCTGCGAAGAATGTGCCCCGCGGGTTCGTCTCCTCGAGAAAGAGCATGCCTTGGGCAATCGCGAGCACGATGATGACGACTGAGACCAGGTTTGGCAGGAGATACGGGTATCGGCCAAAGATCCCGTCGGCTGGAAACAGCGAGGGGTAGAATCTTGCGGGCTGGGCGAGGAAACCCCCCATTGCTGACCCGAAGATGCCCCCTAGTGTCCAGACGAATGGCTGTGAGGCATATGCCGCGGCTATGTGAAAGTGATGTTAGTAGAAGGATATGGAGAGTAGTATTAAGGGGTCAGCGTACGCTCATGCTCAGGCACTTTGACCATCTCGGCCACCATGGTTTGCATCACCTGTTTGAATCTTGTTAGTTCATTGTTTCTAATTGTAACACTATGATCAATTTTCGTGAAATTAAAATCAAATCGATCCCATGTTTGATATCTCTTGTGTATGGCTTCTCTGACGTGCCCCTCGGCTGTGAAGATCATTCAATCCAACTTACCGCAACGTTGCCGTTCAATGCTCCACCAATGAACCTCGCAAGAAGTGCGACCCAGTAGTTCTTAGCAAGTCCAAAGATCAAGCTCGAAATAGCAACTCCGCCGAGCCCGAACAGCACGACAGGCTTCCGACCGTAGCGATCAGATAATGCGCCCCAGCCGATAGCCGTCAGGGCCTCTGCCACGGCGTAGGCCGACACGAGAAGTCCGGCGTAGAACGCCGTGTCTTTGTTCTCGCCGCCGTTCAAATCTTCCACCATCACGTACGTATACGCCAAGATGGAGTTGAACGCGATGGGCTCTGAGAAGCGGCATATTGCTAAGTTTTGAAAGCAAGATCAGTCCTATTCACGCCGTAGTGAAGTCGCCAACAAGGATATGGCATCAATTGGATACTATATGCATGAGGAAATCATAGCCATGTAAATACCCAAATACATCATCGCAAATACATAATTTTGAAGATCGAAGAAGACATACCAAGAATGACAAGCTGCTTGAGAGGGAACGGGGGCGTCGCCCCGTTCTCTGGTGTCTGCGGCGCCATGGACGATCAACAGCAGAACGAAGACAGACAGAAACAGAAAGACAGAAACAAAGATCAAAAACCCTCTATCTTTCTTTTCCTCTCTATCTCTCTATTTCACTTTCTTTTTATTATCCTCCGCGCCTCGAGATAGGAGCGGCATATCTGGCGATAGGTAAGTGTGACCTGAGCACCCGAGCCGATACGCTCCTTCGAGCGGGGCGCATGTGCGAGATCGGGCGGGGCCTTCTTGAGGATGATGTAATTGAGAAGATTGTGCTCAAGCTCTACTACTTGGCCTCGTTAACTACCTTCTTTCTTCTGTTTTTTAAAGAAGAAATAATAAAGAGTTATATGTCTATTCGGCTTGCTCCAATGATCGCGGCGCGGCGTTGAGCTATGATGGGGTTTAAGAGGTTGCTGGATTAGTTCGCGTGGATTTCCGCCTTGGGCGCGGACTGGGTGCCTCCGTCGTTGCAATGGTACGCTTGACGACCAATCAGGACGGCCAATATTATCAAGCTCTTGGTCGTATAGGTTGTAACTTGTAATATCATGTATGTAGGTAGATGGAGAAACGGCTCATTGGAGTCGTTTTGAGTTCAGAACTCCACCATGGAATGTTATTTGTTGGTATGTGATATACACTCAATAGTCGCTGCATTTCTAATTCCCAAGACTTTCATCCTATTACCATCTCGAACACTGTGAACCATTTCCCTATACACCCCGACAATCTCATTCGATTCGTTACTAAAGTGTAGGTGCTCCGCTAAGATGGTGTGGAGAGCTAGCTTTTGACGTAAACTAGGACACTTAATATAATCTAAGATCAAATCTGAAATCCCTATTCTTCGGAAGATGTTTGCTCCTATAAAGCGCATCCTATGCAGATATGCATCTGACAGAAAGATTGAATGTCGTGCGATTCTGCTTGGTACACGTAGCTTCACTATTCGTGAGGATGTGCATGTTTGGATTTTTTTTTTTCTTAGAGGACGAGAAGGACTGCTCTTTCAGAGAATTCAGTATTCTGGCTCAAGCACAACCTCGGCTAGTAGAGGTCGCTGTACAATTATTACCTAGTTGCGTCATAGATACCGATATTTCCTTATAGCTCAGAGCTTATGGCGATCACAAGCTGGTTCCTCCACGCTTTTATTGAAATATTGGAGGAACCGTGCAATCTGTAGTAGTATGCTATGATTGTACATTAAACAAATATGTGGTAATGGTCAGGCAATGAGGGGTTTCAGTAGGTGGTAATGTTGAAAGGAAGCACTCATCGTAATGGTTACGCAAGCGCCATGGGTCAATCCCTTTGAGGGGCAACATTGTCCGATACTAGAAATTGTTGGTTTAAGTAGCTGTGGCCTTCTTCCTCAACCACTTCGCAAAGTATAATAACATTAAGGAGGTATGGAGACAGGTTAAGGGTGTCTCTTTCCGTCGTCCTTGAATATCAGCCATTACCTACATCATCTCTCAAACCTCTGCTCTATTCGTCCGTCATGAACGACTCTGATTCAGACAATTCCAATACCAGCACCGAAAGGTTCACCCCTTCTTGCTCAGACACCATGTCACAGGGAGATTCCCCTTCCTCTTTGAGCTCCGATCGCGAAGACACTCCTACTGGCACAACAACGGATGATGGCGTACAAAACTCTTCTGCCTCGCTGCCTTTCGCTGGCGAGGTGCCCGAGGACGGAATAGTATATGCGATTCGCGATATAGTCTCAGGGGGATTCATCACCTTACTAGATGGACATGTTGTGGTTATTAAGGGGAAGATTGGTGTAGGAGGGTGTTACTGGATCTGCGACGATCCAGGCGATGGCTGGATAGCATTCCGTAATCTTGTCTCCGGAAAACACCTAGATTACTCTAACAAGGGGCGTTTCTACGCACCCGAAAAGGTTTTGAACAGCCGACAGTTTGTGCCCCGTCCAGCAGCGTTGGGAGGGTATAATCTCTGTGTAAATTATCGGAACAGTCTGAAGGCAGCAGCTGCGGAAGATCCGGAAGCATTAACTACCGGATTAGTTGAGGCTGCAACCATCAAGGACGCAACCCGGTGGGAGTTTATCAGGGTTTTGAATTAACCACAGATCACCTCTCAGGACTCTACAATTTGACGAGACCCTGATACCTCGTGAGATCTTGACACCTTGTGGGCGCTTCACAATTTGCGAGAGCTTGAAGTCATTTTTGACGGGGTCCCGAGACGCTGCCGATATGCATCTAAGAAGCAACGAAAAGGAAAGGGGGTTTAGAACGAGTATCTTCTCGGCGAGGTTCAACTTTAACAGCAAGTCACGTTTTACTACTAATATTCCTGGCAATATATTCTCGATGATTACTCAGAGTTACCAATGACACATTATGCAATAGGAAGTTCATGTAGAATACGGAATTGAAGAGAAATACGTAGGTTGTAATTCTCAGCTTCATTACAGACACACCAAATCTTCCAAATTGAACCTAGTTTGGTTGAACCGAGAACACAGCATATTATCGTAAAAGATATGATTGCGTTGCTGAGCAACGTAGGTAAAGTTCAACCTTTGGTGTAAAGACTGCATAGAATTCTAGGTGACAGATAGAGTTCTTCACGACATAAAGGATATCCCTAATGGACGCCTTGCAGCTCCAGTCCCATCTCGTTGAATCGCCATCAATGCGGCATCATCAACATTAATCTGTGCGCTTGAGATTCTCACTGTCTTCTACTCCTATACTGAGCTATCCAGAATGGGTGGTCAGCAGCGAATCGTGGTTATTATGAGGCAGAAGCTCCTTTCCACTAATTGCATGCCTAGAACTAAGGATATTCCACTCAAGGAATGAATAGAGTTTCCGCTGCTTAACCTTAGATCTAGGTCCAACCTGAATTTCCAAGTAGCCGCTTGTTTACTTGCCGAATCGAGCTTGTTTACTTTTATTTTCAGGTACGCGGCTGGTATTGTTGAACTCGCGAAGCGGATAATCTACCTAACAATATTGCGAACCATGTAATGCCTCATGTGATCGCTGAACAATGAATATAACCACACTAGATGCTCAAGTAGTCGAAGCTGTTACTATATTTCAGGTATTGCCTTTGGAAGTGGTGGTCAGATACACCTTTTGCGACCCTTTTGACGGGCGTAGCACCATTAGGTTTTAGACATTGGGTTCCAAATAGAAGAGTATATTCAGGCTTCCTACATAATGGATCATCCCATACCCCTATGAAGTAAGTGTCGATATTACTTGTAATTTTCATACCGAAGTTACAACTTGGAAATGAAGAAGAGACCCGAGATTGTTCTAAAAAACCTGAATATGAGGAAGTCGTAAGGGGAAATACCAAGAATTCAGTTTTTAATAACGAGATAGTCGTCATAGAGGCGCCAAACTCTAACCACGTAGGTGCTACCTGCGGGCAAAGTGTAATATATCGGAACCCTCTCCTACCATGGACTTCTGGGTAGGTATAGTAGGAATCAAGATTCGTTAGAAAACTATACTTCGACACTTAGGCCTACATAAGGGCAGCCTGCCCACCTCTCTCTCGCCCAGTGGGACAATTCATCTTTCTCCTCTACATCTCATCACTACACATATTTACCCAGATCACATACTTACCCCTATAACAAGAGCGGCTTGGTGCCATCTATACGACTTTACAGAGTATTATTGATATTATACTCTTAATCATATTCATATCAATTTACTTCTCTATATCCTTTCCATTCACTTTTCAAGATGTATCGCGCTCGCCGAAGGTCAAACAACGAGCCGCTCCAAAAGCTACCTTGCTTTTGGTCTCATCCACCACCTGCACTTGAGAATCAGCCCGAGCAAGAACCACGACAACAACCACGTCCATTCATTCCTAGAACCATCGAAGGCTTATCAACCCAATCGACAGACCGTTCTACTACACAAAAATATCGTTCAAATTACTTCAAAGACCTCGGAGAGGTCCCAGAGTCCGGCGGAGTATATATGATCCGCGAAATCGATACGAAAAGAACGATCACATTAAGACAAGGACAAGTCACAATGACCCGGGGAACCAGTCCACAAGGCGGCTGGCAATGGATATGTGAAGAGCGACAGAATGGCTATATCGGCTTCCGAGATATCGTCTCAGGGAAATACCTAGGTCGCGGCAGCGGTGGTGAATTCCATGCCGAGGCAAAGGAGATGGGGGATAAGGAGTCATTCGTGCTTCGCCCGCGAAATGCAGGCGGGCATAATCTTATGGTGAAGAGATGGCGTGGCCTGAAGGCTGTGGCTATGGGCGACTGTGAAAATGCGGAACCAAAATTGGTGGAGGCTTCAAGTCGCACTTCCCCTGCACGATTGGAATTTATTAGGGTCGGACGAGATACGGTGCTATAGTCGTCAAGCATTCACCCAATACACTACACATGTTGCACGCGCTGAACACCCTGTACCTGTAGCCTGCAAGCTTCAATCGTCATCTTCGCATTCAAAATTGGCGTTATTTGGTTCTCACTATTTGGGGATATATTGGCAGACCCGGGAGTTGGCACAGACTTATTGATTGGACATAGCGTTGAGGCCAGTGGTCAAAGGAGGAATGAATTTGAATTGGTCACATAGCTATGAGCAGCCATAGCAAATATTTACATACAAATGTGTACCTTATCACTACTAGTAATATCTCGTGCGTGTTGTACTCCTTATTTTAATAATTCCTGCCCTTAAGTAAACTAGATACCTTAGGACTGTAGCAAACGGTTAAAGAATGGGCTCAACCTTGAAACATAGTTTTATTTACCCTATCGACTTAGTACACTACCTATCATACGACTTCCAGGCGCCTCACATCAGTAAATGATCTCGTAGAGACACCTTTCGAACTCAGGGGCGGTTTCATGCTACTATAACAGTGCAGCATGGAGCGAGATTCGAATAGTTCAGAAGGATATCGATGAAAGGTGGAAGCTCGACTTCAGTCGCACTTCCTTCTTAAGATCATCGAAAAATGATAAGGCCAATAAGGAGTCCAGGAAAGACGGACAGCACTTGTATAAGTTTTCAATTCGCGGGAGGAAGGGACGCAGCGCGCTCGGGTAGTCACTACGCTTAGGCATGCCCTCATTCTCTACACAATCCTGATATTGGAGATGGCGTGCTGCCTTTCTCTCTGCACCACAAATTCCCTCCTTTTATCTCAATGCCTGGGTGCTACAGGTAGCCAATATCTCATCTCGTAATTTCTGCCCAGCAAATTTACCTGTCAAGAATTTGATGTGTATTTCTTTCAACGTGTGGATAGGTAGCTGCTCCAGTATAGCTTCAGCGGCTAGAAATAGTCGTATTAACTAAACAGAGTCGCTAGAAATGGTAATCTAAGAACTTACAAGGTCTCGAGGAATTATGCCTTTGTTTGAGCCGCTTGGCTAGCATATCTGAAAATTGGTCACCTACCGTTTTTCGTAAACAAAATCTGATCCTATGAACCCCTGACCTAGTTGTGCTTCGTACTCATTGCCGTCACTGATCCTCTTTCTTTTCTGCGCGCTTCGCTCTTGTTCGGCTTCTTGGCGTATGTTCTGGCCTCCTTCTCCGGTGGACTCCGGCCTCGACTCTAGAGCTGCCTCAGGCAGAGAGGGTACAACAGTCATCATGGCGTTGTTTTGTGACTCATGTAGCCCCTTTCGCGCGATATCAGAGGTATGTGGTCTAGTGTCTGAAGGGGGTTGTCCAAGAGTGAGTAATGGGCTTAATTCATTCGAGTATGTAGGCAGAGTAGTGGCGAGGACTCGGCGGAGTATTCGTCTCATCCCGAAAGATTTTGAGCATCCAAAGGTAGCCCCAATTTATATATTGCAATCCAATCGAGCAAAAATTCAAGAACTGCCCCGAAATCTAGATACATAGTTTTTAACGCAAACAGGTTGGTGGAATGAGCATTTAGGTAGGTGGCTACTGGTTATAGCGCGCCATGGGTTCAAACCCGGACTCCTATGTAGGATAGGTGAGGTTAGTAGTGTTGCTACAACCTAGACGCATAATAACTAATTTCGAAGGTACTATTCTTCAACCTCCAAGGTTTAAAAGAACTATGTGGTTGTGACCTTAGATGTTCCTGCCTTGTAAAATTTAAGTAGAAAGCATTAAAAGACAGGTCAAAGTTATGGAGGCCCCTATTCCAGCTACCATATGCCTTGAATACCTAACTAACTGATCGGGGCGAACATGCCCAGGGCACCAGTGGCTTCTAGAAGAGACCATCACGCAGCTACGGTGAGTTGAAAGACAACCCGCACCCAGTGTTGAACATTGCGGATAGTTTCCATCCTGAGTCCTGGTACCAGCGCTTGTTCCAGCATGACAGGTCGTGGAAGTAGGTGGTAAGCCTAAGGTGTAAGTTATCAAGCACTTTCTCCATTGGAATTGATTTATTTAGTTTTTACATATGGCTACTCCTATCTCAATATGTACATTGTGATGGATAGATGAGTGTCAACCGGTTAACCCTTCTCATGTCGACTCTAGTAGATTGCTGTTTGGTATTTTGATTTGCTTCTGATGGTTTTCCCGAACCTGAATAAGAGCCATGGCAGCGGGAAAAGAGCAATGGAAATGAATCCAAAAAGACTAGAAGCCCATGCTACACCGAGATTTTGATAGACTGTAAAGCCTCATCAGCATGACTCCACGATCGGAATAGAAGGAATGAAGGAAGTACTCACGTTGGAGAGAAAACAAGGGAAACACGGCTGCTAGACCATAACGGGCAAGACTGTTGGCACTGGTAGCACTAGCGACGTTGGTTCGATGATACACATCACCAATATATTGGAGTGCGCTGACAAATAAAGAAATATTGCCTACGCTGAAGATCACGATGGCTAATATGGGAACTGCTGGGGAAACACTCGGCCGAGTTGTCCATGCGAATATGAAGATGCTGACAGGGAGAGCGACACTGCCAATCATGGCCGGGAGCAGTCGATATTCGGGGGGCACCTGGTGAGGCGGAAACCGGTGGATTTGAGGTTGATAGAATAACTTGCCGCAAAGCCAGATATTGAGGGCACCAATGACACAACCTAGTGCAACCGCGAGAAATACGAGTCCGGACTGGATCATGGTAAAGCCATAAACATGTTGAAAGATGTAGAAAAAGGAGCCGAAGAAATTGAACAGGACGCCAAAGACAAAGGCTACATACAGACACAAGAAGCCTACAATAGGCTCTGTGACCATCATGTGGAGAGGTCGAAGAAGTCCAGCGGTCAAGAACTGTCGAAGTGTATCAACGAAAGGTGCACTCTCAGGTGGCGTTATCCCAAGCTCTTTCATGCGTCGGTGTTGAATGACGGGATGGTAGGATTCGCTTCCGATCAATACCCATATTAGACTGAACACTGAGAAGAAGACCAGTGTGAATTGAGTCCATCGCCACCCCATACGGTCGACTAGGAAGACTCCAAGGACGGGTCTGTGATTCGATATCGTCAGCTTCCGTGAGAGAGCTTCAGGGTTTAGGGGCATTATGGCTCACTCACCCGAGGCCTGGACCTAAAAATGGACTGAGGATCCAGAGCAGGGAAGGAAGGCCCCTATCTGCCGGCGTACTATGAAAGGTCAGCAGCCAGACAATAGCTCATATGCGGATTGAGAACGGATGTTGATGACACAAAGATACGTACTATGTCTCTGCGAGGAAACCGCTAGCGATGGACAAGCTAGGGCCGTAAGCAAAACCAGCGAAGAATCTCAATACACAAAGTCCAGCGAATGACGGCGTGAACCCAGCTCCTAATGCGAATAGGCCGCCTGCACTTGCTGCTCCGATGAAGACGGCCTTTCGGCCTACTGTTTCCGAAAGAGGGCCCCCGATCACGGGTCCTAGACCTAGTGCAAGTACACTATAACACGAGAGATCAGTCCGAGCCCATTTGAAAGCCGCTTTCGAGAATCAGCCATAGCGGGGAATTTGGTTGTTTTTACTATGTCGTTAGGGGTAGAAAGGCCACTGTGCTAGGAACCCCGAATTCGTCGATGAGTTGTTGATGTGCAGGGCTGATAATGGATGTCCCAACTGATCTGTCACCGAATCCAATTCATGTTAGTGATATAACGACGAGTGAAGGGGATGAGTTGAATATCGTGTTTACGAACCCTGCAAAGGCCACGATGGCAGCTGCTGCTAGTTGAACATTCTTCTTCCATTTTGGCCAGTTGTATGGATTCTCCGGGTCCGCATCAAAGTCAAATTCTGTTGAGGCCTGGTAATTGGTCTTCTCGACTGGGCTGGCTTTGATCTGTGCCACGTCGTCCGAATCCGATGTTTCTGACATCGTTCTTCGCCTGAGTAGATTAAAGTCGTTGGCCTCCTCTGCTTTACACTTGCAATCTCGCTGATATCTCGTCACTAACAAGGCGTTGTAGATACATTTGCTAATCGTGGTCTGTATCACATATTATGTGCATGGCATGCGAGATCGTTTATATAGAAACTGGACACGGCTCATTATTAATCACCGTGTAGACAAGAACGATCTCAGGAGTAACAATTAACCTATCACTAGTCTCACAATATTTTCAAAACACGGGAACAACCTCATCAGCATGGTACCCACTGGCTATCCAACCCTTTAGCGTACTCTGGACAGTTTTATATGGTATATATAGCACATACATGTGGGGATAACATGGATTTTTTTGATTAATCATCTCCCGGAGGTACGGAAGCAGAGTAACGTCGTAGCCAGGATTTGAGGATTACTGATACAAGAGATGCGGCTCCTAGACTCCTGGACTTCCTGTTAAGGAAGCATGAAAGGAGGTGAAGAGAACAATTGGCCGGATAGGATATGACGAAATGGAATAATGGCATTGTGATGATGCCCTCCCTGTACAGTGGATATTGGGTGGGTAAGGGTAGGTGCCGGACTAGTTCGCCTGCGGATGCACAGGTCTTCGTAAGACGTCTCCATTTACCTTAGGTACCTAGTATTCTATCTAATATGGAGAGATTATAATGATAATAATAAAAATCATTGATATCTCTGAGGCGCTTATTGTCAGCCTTTTATATACGCAGGACACAAGTTTGATATAGGGGCTGTGGTTGCGTTGAAGCGCAAATGCAGTTAGCAGATATATGTATGAATAAGGTACCCAAATATGCACCTATCTGCTCTTAAAATACATCATTGGTAAGCCGCCAGCACTGCACTGATGAGGTCGGGTTCAGTGCTCAGAAACAACCTCTCACCCACCTTTTGCGAATCGCAATGTCAGAGCCGGCATCGTCGGCAGCGGGTCCTCTTCTGAACATCAATGGGCTCCTAGACAATCCTGTATTCGCCGGAGGGTTTGGCCTGGCCTCGCTGGGCGCCGTGCTGGCCTTTGCGCGCCGCGGCGCCCTCACCTCAGCCAGCCTGATCCGACGGCGTTTGCTGGTCAACGTCGAGATCAGCAGACAAGACCCTGCATATCCCTGGATACTAGCCTGGCTATCTGAACCCCGTCCGCAGACCTCCTTCCTCGCCAAGCGACTCACGCGCATCAACAAGCTATCCGTGACGACCACGACGAGCACCACCCCCAACGGCCCCACGCAAGCCAGCTTCTTCCTGCAGCCTGGGTACGGCCGCCATATTGTCAAGTACAAGCACGCATATATCGCAGTTAATAGAGAGAAGCAGTCGACCGCGAAGACAAACACAGGCGAGCCTCACGAGACCTTGGAGTTGACTACATTGTATGCCCACCGACATATCTTTGAGGATGTATTTACCGAGGCGCGCGCACTTGCGCTTCGCGCAACCGAGGGGAAGACGGTGGTATACTCAGTGAGGAACTTCGATTGGGTGCCTCTTGGCACGCCGCGTAGGAAACGCCCTCTCGCCAGCGTCGTATTGGACAAGGGGGTGAAAGAAGACATTGTGAATGATGCGAGGGACTTCCTGGCCCGTCGCCAGTGGTATGTCGATCGCGGCATACCCTACCGTCGAGGATATCTTCTCTACGGCCCTCCTGGTAGCGGAAAGAGCTCATTCATTCAAGCACTTGCCGGCGAATTGGACTACAGCGTGGCGATGATTAATCTAAGCGAGGTTGGTGTCACAGATGACAAGCTCGCCTTCCTCCTTACTAAGCTACCGGAACGTTCTATTGTATTATTAGAGGATGCCGACTCCGCATTTGTGAATCGGAGGAGGCGAGATGGTGATGGGTATAGTGGTGGGACTGTGACCTTCTCTGGACTTCTGAATGCTCTAGATGGGCTATCTGCCGGTGAAGAAAGGATCGCATTCCTCACCACAAACCACATCGAACTACTCGACCCGGCTTTGATTAGACCTGGTCGAGTCGACATGATGGTCCGCATCGGTGAAGCAACTCGATACCAAGCAGGGCAGATGTGGGATCGATTCTACGGAGACGTGGACACCGATGGCGTAAATAGAGAACGCTTCCTGGCTCGCCTAGACGAACTTGGATTATTCCGCGAGACCGTAGAAGGAGTACCCTCGGTCCGGACTAGCACCGCTGCTATCCAGGGTCTCTTTCTCTTCAATAAGAATGACATGGAGGGCGCCATTAATATGGCCGAAGGCTTGATTCCACAAAAGTTGGAAGCTGAACCGCAATAAATGTACATCACTTGTAACATAACTGTATCATATGAAGATACCCAATCAAGAAATATAGGGAATACCAGCATTTGGGCACATCATGCTTAGAAGTAGATATGGATTTACTAGTTTTAAGTGTATGATACAGGGTGATGGGAGGCTGGATTTGGGTCGTCTTGGCTTGTGCTTGATTTCGGCACGGCTCTTGAGGTGCGTCAATCATATCTGCAAAGTAACAGCTAGTCTTACAGTTGGCTTAAAACTTAGTCTAAACACTATCGTCTAGACTTTAGACTTCAACAAATAGCCAAGCTTCTTATGGATAGGCTGCGAATGCCCTCGATCTAAAATTAGGAAGATATATGATTGCCCACCTTGAACCAAAATCAAAAGAAATCCAGCTGCGCACGGTCTCTGATGTACCTAGTACCTTGCTGCCTGAGATCTCTCTTCAAGTCGCTATATTGTCTCAAAATCAAATTTGACAAAAAGAGAACATCTCGTTTCATGACCTTTCAAATCGAGCAGGCGGATGAAGCTCCAGCCCGGAACAACGTAAAGTAATCGAACGGCCGTTAAAGCGTAAATCGGGTTCTCCTCAAAGCTGATGTCATCCTTAATAAAGATGCGCAGGAAGACGAGTTCGTTGTCATCGTATTCCCACTCCAAAATGTCATCCCAGATAGGATCTGTCGGCGGCGGATTCTCGCCTCTGTGCAGGAACTCGAGCTTGTGTTGTCTGTAATACTTGGTTTTTCTCTTCTGATGTTTGCCATTGACATCGTCAGGGTGCACGAGCGAACACGTAACGTACGGCTTGATGTCTTCTGCATCCCTTCCCTCCGGCACAGGGACGTTCGAAGCACCGGCAATGTGTAGACGGAGCTTCCTCCGCCGTCCGTTGTTCAACTGCCCACTCCCACCTGCCCTCAAAGCGGCGGGTTTTAGTACGTAGCCTTCTGTCTCGCTGAACATGGCCTCGTTCAATTGCATGCTGCCGCCGAATGTCTGCCAGTTCATTGCGCATATCTGCGCTCCAACGGCCCAGAAAGGGACCTGGGCTAGATTTTTGGACGATATACGGGTACCTTTGGGATATACGCGCATGAGATACTTTGCGTTGTGTCGGGCAATCTTCTCGCTGTTCGCGGGCATGAGTGCCTGAAGGCCACTTTCGGAGACGTTGATGAGGTGGTGATGAGGCGCGTCAATCAGCTCGCTTTCATACCACGAGTTATCCCTAGGCTTCACGGACTGGGCATAAACACCCAGAGCCGCGAGTTCCGGGATGATTTTGCCGTTCTTGACTGCCTTCTTTCTTGCCTTGTATGCCGCACGAGCTTGCTTCTCCTCGTCATCTTCATCTTCAGAGCTAGAGTTGCTATCATCGCCGTCTTTGTCTTCCGCAGTTGGGAAGAAGTACTCGACGATAAGTACTATCTTGGATCCTAGTTCGTCTAGATGTATCTGCTCGTCTTTTACTTCTTGCTCCCGATGACCTTTCTCGCGGACTGCTTTGCTGAGAAGTCTGTCGCCCCAGACCTCGTTCATGATCTCCACTAAGCGCATCTGCCCATGTGCCCCGCAGTGGTTCTCGAGGGACAAAATGATAGGGGCAGCCCGGTAGCCCTGCTGGTCTACGGCCGCGGCCGCCTCTTTGTCGACGACATCACGGATGGCTTCACAGACAGCACGGAATGGAATGTTCGAGACCAAAGTGTACCCATGGGTGACCTTTGGCTCGTCCTCGTTTTCGTCATGATCCCACGCATCGATCTCAACGCATCGTGCCCCAGTCATTAGAGCAGATTCGTAGGCAGCAGCTGAGGATTGTCCCCGGAGCTGATGTCCAAGGAGATACGTATTGTGACTGGAGCTTATGAAGTACTCTGTCAAAGGATGGGATCGGTCTGTTAGCTCTGGAGGCACTTGGATATGCGGCTTGCTGAGCAAAGCTACCAGAGCCGGACTCAAGCCTTCCATCTCAAGAGCTGCATCTCTCTTGGATACGATGTGATTATCTGCAAGGAATGACTTGAGTGCGTGACTGATGGTCAGCTGGTGACTTGTGATTTCTGTTGGACGAGAGCTATGACCTCCTCCGGCTACGGTGAGATTGTCGATTTCCTCACCCACGTCCTCCGCGTCTTGCCCCCGAGCAGCTTTCGTGAAGGCGCTGAGTCTAGCTAGACCAGCAGTGATAGAATCGGCCATGGCCAAGTTGGACGAGCAGTGAGCTGTTTGTGGTGTTTCTCGCAACTGTCTCTCAATACTTTATTGTGTTATTTTCAAATAGTCAATGGTTTCTGGTGATCTACGATATCATGAGGGGGTCAGTGATCATTCATTGATCTAAACCCCTTGGCTGACAGGGCGAGATGCCGCTATCCGCCCTAACAGCCCTAATGGTTGTCAGCAGAGCCGCTATAGCCGGGATGTCACGTGGTTCAGGTGGTATGTAGATCAAACTGTTGTGGCCCTACGACGTGCCCTGCGATATGCCCTACGACAAGGCCTACGACATGCAGCTGACAATCCTGTAGGACTCTATCATAGGCACTCAGCACTGTAATCATACAAGATGCAAGTATCTATGGTGTCCGTTTCTACGATAGAGGCCTCTAAACTCTTGTCGCCGTCGCTTCATCAAATGGCCGTTTGGAACGAGGACTGATGATCATACTCTTTGTTTCGTTTCGTTATATTACTCAAAACCCAAAGCTACTCGAAGCAACACACTGCAATCAACGCTGAAATGGGATCATATGCCGCAGCAGTGAGCCGTGTTCATATTAAACCACCAACTGTACCTTCAGCTTGTCTCCCTTGACTATCTCATCCTTCTTCTCCATGAGCTCAGGAAGGTCCCATGTGACGTTGACATATCGTCCGCCCAGCCACTGTCGCTTCTCTTTCGACAGGTAAACGACTGAATCTCCAGTCAGCTCAGCCGTGTCGACAAAAACTGCGAGCTGTCAGTTGCTATGTTGGTGGTACGCTGTAGATAGACATACTGTGAGCCAGTTCCTCGGGTACTTTGCCGTTGGACCCGCGCGTCATGTCGGTAGCCACATTTCCAGGATGTATGGTGATGGCGACGATTCCCTTGTCGCTGTACTCAGCATCGAGAAACTCGGTGAGTCTCAGCACGGCAAGCTTCGAGGTTTGATATGCGCTGTATCCCGGAGAGCGTAGATGTGCGCCAACACTGCTGACAGTAACGAACGTACTCAGCCCCCCTGTCTCGAGCATGAGAGGAGTGAGAGCACGCATAACAAGATACGGTCCCTTCAGATTAACGGCGAATGTATTCCACCAGTTATCGGGGTCTGATTCTGGTATCGGACCTCCGCCGAGCCCTGTTCCAGCATTGTTGACCACAACGTCCATGCGGCCAAAGACCTTTTTTATCTTGGCAGCTGCCGCATCGACACCTTCTCTACTCGAGACATCGAACTTAAGTTCGAGGATCTTGGGTTCCGGTTTTCCCACGCTGGCTGCCGCGGCTCTCATTGCCTGAGAAGTGTCACTTAGGTCTGCTCTTCCACCGATCGCAATCATTGACGCTCCTGCCTTTGCAAAAGAGACACTGATGCCCCTACCTATACCCCTGGTCGCACCACTGATGAAGACTGCTTTCCCACTCAAATCAGACTTGGCCGAATCGATGGCAGGGTAAGTATCGCTATGAATGACCGAAGTTGTATCATAGTCACCTGCGAAATGGTCAACCATTGTACGAAAGGAAAAGGAGTGAAACATCGCATACCAGGACCTTCAATTATGTTATGGACTCCCTTCGGAGGAGGCATCTTCTTGTTTAAGTCGATATAGCGCTTCTTCAAAAAGGATTCAAGGTCAAGCGGGATGATCAGTAGCTGGTGAGATCCGGCAATGCGATGTGATAATATCGAGATGTCGAGATGACACGGCCGGACGCCAGTACATTTTTATATTCTATCATTTAGCGCAGTCGGTCTGACTTTCGAAACAACGCACTACATGCTGTATGCGCCCAGGCATCCATTGTGCTGCAAGGATGATACGATTTTCTCAAGCACGTCTGGTTAGTTGGATATGTTGAACAGAATGATAATGACGTCTGCCGTGCCCGTGCCATATGGTGGACAATTTATCATCAGGCACCATGTTATCAGAAAAAGCTTCAGGAAATTGTTATGGCCGAAGAGGTCAGTATGTAAACTCCGATGGGGCATATTTCTCCATATTCTACGCCGAATTTTCACAACGGTTTGCGGATATCGGCGTTTTGCCACCCGGAGATATTGGCACACCTTAGTCACACTCTGCAATCGATTGTACTAAAGCTGCCGGTTGTACCCCTCGATGACTCAACTTCCTATCCCACACGAGCAGTACTAATTGTATGGGTGAAGTACAGTTCTTTCGTTAGGATATGTATCGTGGCCTGTTGCTGCTATGATCTTTTGGATGCCGACGTCAGGGTTTAGATACGCAGTTAATCTAGACATCAAGCTAGCTGCATAATCTAACCCGCCAAGAAAATCCTTTGGTCCTTTCGAGCTTTGAAAGTAGTTTGCATCTCTCCAAAACCGGGCGAAGGTTCCATATACCTGGTGGTGAAGTACCCGAGCCGCTCATACACATCGAACTCGTTGTACCTATTTCCAATTCTGATAATTCGCAACACCAAACCCTGGACATCATTGGTGCAAGAAGAACCGAGGGTGTTTGCTTCCCCCCGCTGTAGAATGAGAAATGGCATGCACGTTAGACTTGATTGGAGACGTATATCTTGAGAATTAGTGTCGAAGAACACCTTTGCCGACATTGATTTCACTTTACCAACACTGATCTCCCAGACGTCAGAATTGGTATCTACATCTAGCGAGCGGCGGGAGATTGGGAATGTCCAGCCGCAGAGTTCTATGGCGGGTAGTCCTACATATGCGGCATCCATGGCTGGACATATTTCGCTGTTGACACGCAAGCCCAAGATGGTCACTAGTTGCTGCATCAGTATGATCGTGCCTCGCGAGTTCTCTGGAAGAAGATCCAAGGCCACCGGTGCGTCAATAGATGCCCATGACCACGTCGGTGCTACGGGGATGTCCATATTGGTTCGAAGCCGTTTTCCGGGACCCTCGATCGCAAACCACAGCATATCTGTAACGAGGCTTTCGCGCCATAGTCCACAAATATAAGTAAACCCTGTAGCGTATGCAATGTTGTCCTGGATTCCCTTCAATGCGATGAGTTTGTCGGCAGGTACAGTTAGCTTACCACGAGAGTACGACTCTACAATATCGTACCACATCTGGCTGAAGCTATCTCTTCCTACAAAGGGCTCGCTTGCCTGTCGAGGGTACTTTTTCGTCGCACCAGAATGATTCTGCATTGCCCATGCATATGGATTATGTTGGTCGAGCTGATTAGATCGCAGAGCTTCAAAGATAGCCCTGAACCCGGCATGGTTGTGAGGTCCTTTCTCTTCGATGTTCTCATCTTGTGACCACGGCTCGTCGGCTCTTTTCAATACATCTTTCCAGAAGCCCCGCTTACGTTGCCATACTCCGTTTTGTGCACTGGAGGAAACCGTCGCGTTGTCTGGGTCGATTAGGACTGGCGGCGGACGCCGGCGCACCGATTCCGAGCTTGCCCATGAGACGCCGCGACCCTCTCTTTCCCCTTGCTCAATTTCCCTGCGAGTTTTACTCGTTTTAATCTCAGGTACATACCAATCCCTGAAATCCTCGGGGTACAACTTATACATATAGCCGTGGGGGTTGAACTCCGAGGCCGAGCGTCGACGGCACTCCCAGTAAATCATCTCGGCACCGAAGTGTAAAATGCGGCGGGACAACAATCGCTCCTGCATCACCCAGCCACGAGTGTTCAGCGGCGCAAGATTGACATTACGTTCAAAGTCGAAGATATCGTCAGTTCGCGCAAAGATCCAGTCAGCATCTGGTGAAGTACGACTCGAGACGCCGATCTTAACCGGCCTAAGACTCCGCGTGTTCCGAGAGTGGAAACAACCCCCGTCGCTCGATGATGAACCCGTTGACGCGATCGTTAGTGTAGCACCCGAGTACACACCTCCCATTTTCCTAGCTTCAGCTTCCCAGTCAAGTTCCCAGGTTCTATCCCCGTTGGGTTCACGTTCGTCTCTCTGGATGATGCACAAAGAATCAATCCAAATGTAAGAGGATATGCCAAGGCAGAGTGTCGTGGTGATGGCGTCTTGTATATTCTTCGAGAGACACTTGAAGTCTATACATTCATAGCAGCGCTCTATGTTGCTGGCGAGAAGTTTGAACTGCATACCTTCTGTTTCACCCCAGCAATGGCTGAAAGCCAAGTATTCAGGCCGCTTGTCCAGGTTGCCTGTACGAACCAACTTGAGTATTGATGGCGGATCTCCAGGTTGCCAATCTTTCCCTGCATGCACATAGAGGAGACGGCTTGGGAGTTCTTGGTTACTGCCACCAATGCTATTACAGAGCGCATGATTTTCCTTACACAGCTTGATCCATTCTTTGGCCTGTTCGAAATGCTGCAAGGAGTTCGTCTGACTCTCATCTATGGCCGGGGATGCTATCATTATTGTTAGACTTCCGAACTATCACGGTATTGCTTCTTTCTTTTAGGGTTCACCCACCTTTTGCAAACAGCTTCTGCCTATGAATCAAGAGACGTGCGCCAATCGCAATATCACCCCAATAAAGCTGAGCGTATGTGTATAGAGACAGTGGCCGCTCTTCCCAGACTTTCAACTTTAAACCACTGTTGAGATCTGTGGGTAAAGGTAGGTATGGGCTTGTACTGTGGTCCGCCCTCTTACCAAGTGTAGCCTCGACAATACTTTTTCGCCGTTTCAGACTCATTGAATGCCATATAAGAGAGCAAAAGCCACAACCCTTAGGGCTAGATTCGTGGCTGGCCATATTTTGTTGATCGTGAGCAGCTTCACAAGCGAATGCGAGACACATTTCTGTCCTGCTCCAATACGGGTGCCATTCCGCCAGCTTTGTAAGATATAATGACGAACCCATAATAAGGGCAGATTTCCTCGTCATCTGGTCACATACATTGCATAGATTCGGATGGTCTTGGAGATGCGGATCCCTTGCACTAAGAGGGTGCCATACTGGGCTACTCAACTTCCACGTCCGGACAAGAGAATTGGAAGAGAAGGAGTTCACATGCACATCGCCCGTCAGCCAGACTCCATAAAGGAAATATACCAATGCCCGCAAGGCGATGATGAAAACTGCCCACGAGATCATACGTGCTTTTGACTGATCTGGCCGTACATGAGCAGCTGTTGTGACCATAATCCCATACCACATCCCATACCAATACAGCTGCATGCCAGGGGCCATGGCATAGACGCAAGCCATGTGAACAAGACCCCAAGCACAAGCCCAGCTCAAATCGAAGTCGCTATTATAAGGGTACATGAAATGGCGCAAGCAGAAAACAGTAGTAACCATCGCTATCACACCAGGCGGCCCATTGTAGAATATCGCCGTGAGCAGCATCCTGCCGTATATCAAGTTGGCCGCCAGATACGGACCGACCGAGAACCCGGGGAAATGTATGCCATCGGGTCTAATCTGCGTGCCCAGCAGAAAGTGTAGACGCCAGAGAACCGTGGTCAACATGCTCGGGCCACGCATTGCGATGAGAACGGAGAGAAACCAGAAGGTCAGAGGCCAGATCTCGGCTCCGGATGACAATGTCCAGCGGAACGCTACGATGTAAACGATGATATCTAGCCTTTTCTTGGCATCGAGCGGAGGTACCTGGACAGCGCGAAGGAGGGCGACGAAGAGCGCCCAGAGGAGCGAGGAAATGAGAAACGACATCTCAAAGAGTGTTGTGGACGGATATGAAGAGTAAGGGGTGCATTGTGGGAGAATGGGCGTGTTTGCACATTTGTCGTGCGGCTGAAGTGTTTGACGGCGGGTTTCAGCTCCGAGACACCGAACTCTGAAATGACACAGACAAATTGCGTTTTAACCTTCTTACCTTTTAAAGATTCTCGCCTCCGGCACAGCGGGGTTGGACCGAGGACTTTGCATTGAAGCTTTTCAGAACATGATGATTTATCACGAAATGTAGGGTCCATGTGGTGATCTTGGATCCCCTGCGGCCTTCCCTACCTACCTACCTCTGGGATCCGTCGATATGTTCAGCACCTCTAACATGTAGATTCTACCAAGAATCTAGAAAGGCGGTATTATGCGTGTTTCGTGTGAAGAGAGGCTGTATTTGTTGCGAGGTTGATTGCTGTTCTTGCCGTCGAGACTTGGCACTGCTTATTATGTAAATTGCAGATGCGGAGATGCTATCAAAACACGATATAGTATCCCGATATAACACTGTCATAGTGAATCCCATCCCTTCATCCTTGTGAAGGGTTAGAACTAAGATATCAGTTGGAATGTATTAGAGTACTGAAGTCGGTATGGGATAGCCACGATTTGAAGTATACATAACATGAGCGTCGCATATCTGACCAATCTCGTAGGAGCTGCAACTATATGCCAGGAACGTGGTATGAAAATATGGGCGCAGGAAGCTGTGATGTATGATCATTTGGAAAATCTGAAGATGGCAAAATTTTATCACGGGTAACGTAAAATTGGCGCAACCGCATGCGTCTTTGTTTGTATGACAACTAGAATTACCTAATCATCCCCGCGCGTCAAGTCTTTCGATAAGGTACCTGGTAGAAGAGTGAGTGAGATCCGGTAGCAATTTATGAGAAACTACCTTTTGACTAATAATTATGTCTGTGATCTCATTCAATTCACATTTTCTCTCATCGGAGGCTTTTAGTCGAGCATGTGTTATATTGATTGAAAGAGAAATATCGACACAAGAGTCAAAGCCTACCTAGTTCCAACGGTCGGGCGGAATGTCCAGAAGAGGTAAAACCGTCAGCCATCAAGGTGGGCTTTTTACCCCGCCCCCGCGTTGTTTTTCAACATCATATAGTATGGCTTACTTATTACTTAACCACAAGGGGCAGAGCAAGATGTCCAAGAAGCTTAGAAATCGCACAAACCTTGCGCATGCCGACATCGTCATCTCTTATCATCTTATCATTCTGTAGCGTCAGCGATGGGGGGAGCCCTCGATGTAATAATGCTTTGTTTTGTCGGCCCCCCCATCACGGCGGAATCGGTTGTTCGGGAGAGCTTTGCCGTCACTGATCTAGACCTGCTGCTCGTTGCGTTGGCGCGGCGGGGGGGTAGTCTTACCCACCATAATGTCGTTGATGGGAGAAAAAAAAAACATCGTGAAGTACTGGTTTTAACCTTTTTCTACTGCACCGCCTTCGGCCGATGCGGGTGCTGTCAAGGGTTGGTTCTTTGGTACGGCTTGAAAAAGTTTTATCTCGCATGACATTCTTTCATCCCCTCCTCTTCTCACCATTTTATATTTTACTCTCGCGCTTAGTTAGGATATATAAGATAGTTTTTAATTACATTAATCCTGCTAGTCAGTAGATTGTGCACCTCTGTCTGACCTGTCAAGATACGCGCCCCTCTCTGGAAAGCGCATTCCTTCTGAAAGAAAGATGGAGGCCGCAACATTGTTCCAGGCCCTCGTCAAAGTCGAGTCCAACTCGCTGCCCCAAGCTCCCCAGCGAGCCGTCGCGAGGACTTATCCGGCCGTTCCCCAGCAGAACAATGACATCGAGCTAAGGCCCCTGGCGAGACCATCGGCACGGCCGAGCGTGTCGGGCGTGACGACGCCCCGGGATCTCGAGATGAGCGTCCCGAACACGCCCGGCGCTGGAGAGCAGCCCGATGATCCGCTCAATGCCTTCGAGGTCCTGCCGGGAATCTCGGACCCGCCGATGAACAGGTTCCGCCTCGCCGTGTGCTGCACGCAGAACCTGCTCATGGGTCTCGTCGACTCTGCACCTGGTGCCCTCATTCCATACATAGAGAAGTAAGTCTGACCAGCTCGACCAGTGCAACACCGCCATGCTAATTCCCTGCCCCACAGACACTATGGCATTGGATACGCCATCGTATCCCTCATCTTCATCGGCAATGCACTCGGCTTCATCGCAGCCGCGCCCTTCGTCGACGCCATCCGCATGCGTCTAGGTCGAGCGAAGACCTGCTCGCTCGCAGCTCTCTGCCTAGCGCTGGGTTTCATCCCGCTGCTGGCGGCGGCGCCCTTCCCGGCCATCGTCGTCGGGTATTTCTTCATCGGCTTCGGGTCCGCCATCAACCTCGCCATCGGCAACGTGTTCACGGCCAATCTGAAGAACGGCACCGTCTTCCTCGGCATCCAACACGGCAGCTACGGCGTCGGCGGCACGGTCGGCCCGCTGATCGCCACGAGCATCGTGTCGCGCCTGGGCGCGCAGGCCTGGAACAAGTACTACCTCCTCACGATCTCCTTCTCCGTCGCCAACGCCGCGTTCTACCTGTGGTCCTTCTGGAACTACGAGAACGAGACCTCTGCCGATACAGCCTTGTCGCAGCACCACGCCGGCGAAACCGCGTCGTCTCCGCGCACCGAGCTCGGGGCCATGCTCGGTGCCTTCCAGTCGCGCGCCGTGCTGCTCGGGGCGACCTTCATCTTCGCGTACCAGGGCGCCGAGGTGTCCATCTCTGGCTGGGTCATATCCTTCCTGATCGCGACGCGCAACGGCGATCCCACCGCCGTCGGAAACGTGACCTCGGGCTTCTGGGGCGGGATCACGCTCGGCCGGTTCCTGCTGTCGCCCGTGGGGGCGCGCGTCGGCGAGAAGCGCTTCGTGTACTTCCTCACTGTCGGCGCCGCCGTCTTCCAATTGCTCGTGTGGTTCGTGCCGAACATCATCGGCGAGGCCGTGTCTCTCGCCATCGTCGGGCTCTTGCTCGGGCCGATCTATCCGTGCGCTGCGACTGTCTTTATGCGCAACCTCTCGCGGCAGGAGCAGGTGAGTGGGCTGGGGGTTATCAGTGCGTTCGGGAGCTCGGGAGGCGCCGTCGCGCCGTTTACTACGGGGCTGCTTGCGCAGGCCGCGGGGACCTTCGTGCTGCACCCGATTGCGATTGGACTGTTTGGCGCGATGCTTGTCTGTTGGTTCATCTTGCCTGCTACTAGGAAGAGAACCGAGTAGAAAGAACGTTGCTGCGAAACCTGATATGTGGCTGACGTAATGGAGTACACTACAAATATGATGAACGCTTTAGTTTTAGAATCGGTTCATGAGTAATGCGTCAAATAGAAAGAATATCTATGAGAGAAATCTATCGTCTATCTAAAGTCTGATGCAATAGCCTGGTACCATTTATAACCATCTATGTCATGGTCTAATGTTCGACAACTCACGTATGCAGTTCCCGGGCTGACCCATCGCTTCTATCTCTATTTTGTACCGGTCGCGGCTTGTTGGACGCTGATCTTGCCCCCGACAACGTCCGCGACGACTTTGTGTATATCAGAGAAATCATTGAACACGGTGAAAGGAACGTTTTCCTTTTCACAGTAGGTGACGAGATCTATGATCTTTTAGTTCTCATTCGTCAGGAGAAATGTGAACGAAGGAAGTGCTTACCTCGGCCGGCCTTGGCAAACAGCAAGTCTGTCTCTTTGGCGGCAGAGAGGTCAGAAACACCATCTCCGGCGTAGAACATGACAGGTCTATCCTGAAGAGCAGCATAAGGCCGGATCTCGAGGCTCTTGTCGTGGCCGAATGAGCTGTGTTCACGATCAGTCTGAGCTTTGCATCGACGGTTATAGAATGAGTTTAGCGGTATATTCTTACCTCTCGTCGTGGTATTGGATGTCCCACCCATTCTCATCATTGATGCTCTTGCCGGGGCGAGGCTTCACGTCGTTGCTCACAATTTGCATGACAGCAGCCTCCTCCTCACCTACCAGGTGAGCAAGGAGAGCTCTGATGATGGGTTGCATACCGCCACTCAGCACGACAATGGGCACATTGTTTTCTCGGCACTGCGTTGGCAATTGTCAGTTTTGTCTAGCTGTTGGCTCGCCTCGTATATTTTATTTATTATGGACGACAGGTCTACAACTCTCCCCTCCCCTCCCCTCCCCTGAATTTTGAGAGCGAGGCTAGAAAATCTGAATAGGGCAATCTTGTATATCGCGAGAAAATCATAATTGGGCAAAGACTTACCCAAGCTGCAAACTCTTTGAATGCAGGGTCTAATTTGACATTTTCGAGCAAAAGCTGAAGGCATTGATCGAAGGGCTTGGTAACACTGTCGAGCATCTCCTGAAAAGCATCCCGGAAAGGACGGCCGTTGTGGAGAACGTCCTTGTTTCCCTGCCGCCGAAGTTCAACACCAAAGCCTAGGTTGTCCGTCAACCAGTCGTTGCTGTCCTGGAGAGTGATTGTTCCATCGAAATCAGTGAAGAAGATCGCCTTTGGTTTTGTGCGCAAGGCGGGAAGCGAGACGATGGGAGCAGCCATATTGACTTTCGCGCGGCCGTAATACTGTAGGTAAATTGAGATATTAAAACTCGGCCAGAAAAGTGACGTCACAAGGCAGTTTCCGCTGATTCCTGAGCGGTATCTAGTCTAGTAAAGCTGGCGACCGAAAAGCTGTCTGTAAAAAGACTTGATCTATAAAGGATATAATCAGAAAAAATAAAGAAAATAAAAACAAAAACTGAGTTTAGGAAGATCCTAAGGGCCTGTGATGAGTGAGCAGTTCCACGTGCTAGCAATTCGTCAATTCTGTCGTGGGGTTTGGCTAGCCGCCCCTCTATCCAGGATCGGCGCCCTTTTTTTTGTCTTGGCGTTATCCAGAGCGGCACAACGCAGGCCCTGATCTGCAAAGCAGTGGCACGTCACAGCGATAGCGGTACTGACCCGTATTCCGCGATCTTGCAAAGGTTGCAAGACATGCGGTCTGTCTGTAGTCTGACTCTGCAGAGACTTGTCGTAACTGCATGAGAATGTAACAAACATTCAGTAATCTTGCATAGTCGGGGTGATGTGCCTTGTCTTCTGATGGCTTAGCACTAGGTTGGGTCTGAGGGGACTGACTATATTACCAAGTCAATGTGAATCATTTCAAACTAAGACCGTGTTCGGCAGCGGTATCTGATGAGCAAGGATGACGACAAGGATATCACATTGTCGTTCTAGCGGTGGAGAGATCTTTGAGACTGTTCTTCTGGGGGCTTACTTGTGCAAGCTGAGATGCTGTACACAGTATTCGCTGTCATACGTGGCTAGACATAAGGCTGGCGTTTCAGTTTAAGACAGAAGCTATGGTCGGCACATGGATTTGCGGCTGTCGTTGGACAAGATGTAAAGAGATCTCAAAGCAGAAGATACGGTGAGTAGATAGCATGTGAAGATTCCACAAGGGATACTCGGTGTGATTCAGACAGCAGCACGCACCCGTGCGGCAAAGTGGCCGTCTGAGCGTGAGAGATAGAGCCAACTTCGCAGAATGTCGAATGGTATCATACCTACTAGGTGGCAGGTTTAGGCTAGATGCCTACCAGTTTACTCTTCAAGTCATTGCCGTAGAAACGTCGATTATATCAGTAGATGAAAAACAGGACCAGTAGGTGTTGAGCATATCTTGAGTCGTACTCAGACGGGCAGGAGGAGGCTGTACCCACTACACATAAAACCCGCCCACTCTGGCCGTGCCGTATCGTCGTGTCGCCGTATTCCCGTATCCCCGTATCCCCGTATCGGAGATTTAGAAAGAAGTTAATAGGCGGCCCGATTCTGGCTTTATGGACGGGGTCACAGTCACAGAACCTACCCTAGTGCAAAAACATTGCGATGCTCTACCTGGCGTAGTCTGGTGACAAGAGGGGGGGATTATTTCTAGAACCATTCCGGAACTCTTCTCTTTTGCCTCGCCTATTTTACCCGTTCAGACCCGTTGAACCTTCCACACAGGTACAAGGTTAAACCCCGGCTGCCACCTGACCATGCCCCGCAAAATATACTACATGCACGGTCCCTGGCTAAATATTGAGGCTGGGACAAAAGAGCCGTGTTTTTCTGTTATAGGTGCAGAAGCCCTTGGAGGGAATAAAATAGAAAAAGCACGATTATCTAGTTAGGCATCAGAGAATTGATTCAATATTACCTAAATATACTATTGATAATTGATGAGAATCTCACATATCAAACTGTTGTGCTATGCTGTTGTAAGTGGGCAAAGGATTGACTATGATCCGAACATCGAACATCGTACAACTAGCAATCATCTGATCTCTACAACGACTGCACTTGTAGGATAACGTGCAACTAAAAGACGCCCTATTTTTTTTTCCCCTTAAAAATAATGGAATACAACATCAGACCTCTCGCTACGGCTTTTCTTCCCCTCCTCCCACGAATCAGTTACAGACTCAGACATCTTGAACTAGAGAACAGGTGACGCACACGTGTGGTGTTACCAAGGGTACCATAGCTACCAAAGCTAACCTACTTTAGGTACTTACCTAGGTCTTAGTGCACCTACCCCTGGCCCAGACTGTTAGGTACTGTACCTACAACTGCTGTGAGAAACTTAGGTAACTAAACAACATGCTTAGCGCAAACTCCCGGTATTTTACACTTCCTTAGAGTGCGTGGAGTCTAGACCCCATTTCAAATTCATTCTGCCTATTACATCGGTATCTGCCTACATAGTGATGTACTATGTAGGTAGTAGACATTTCTTTTTCTTGATGTCTTGTGGCTGCGTACCCATAGGTAGGTACTGCTTACCTCAGAATAACCGCCGAACCCCATTCGCCCCATACCTTAAGCACCTACTTAAGTAAGTACCTACCCCATATTACCCCCAGTACGTGCCTGCCTTATCTGGGTAGGTAGCCTCACAACTGACCGATCGCATTATCATAGGCCCCCGTTTTCATTCCTTTCCCTCGGCACCCCCTTCACGTAACTCACTTGCTCCAATCCTTGTTGCGCTGCATGTTAACAACTGTTACTATTCCTTTGGATCGTCAATGTGAACATCAGCATCAATCAACATTACTCTTAAACCTTAATATCGATACTTGGGTCACACGACCTGCTACAAGGTAACGAACTGCGCGTGCATCTGTGGTCCACATACCTACATACCCAACGCTATCTTGTCACGTTCATTCATACCCACCACTTTCCAACATAACTTCACTCGTCTTAGTAGAGTTCCCCGTTTTATTTTGGGACTGCTTCTTTAACATTAGACAAAAGGGTTGAGCTTCCGTGCTCCAACACTACACCCGCCCTTACCGGCCCTTGCCGACCTGAAGCCCTAAATCGTGAACTCCCCGAGCGATCCGTTGCCAAGCGCCCCAGCCATGGGATTATGAATACAACCCGGCGTTCCACTGTCCACAAGTTCTAGCTCCTACGAAGTAGTCTAGCCTCACCTCTCCTCCAATTCCCTCTCCAAACCTTGTCCTACGACATAGCAAGCGAGCATGCCCGAAAAACCCCTTACCATCGCTACCTATGCCGCCGGCGCGTCACTAGCAGCCATAACCCTCGTCTATGTCTTTGCGCCTACCTACCTCATTGACAGCGATTCAAACTCGGCTAGGAAAAAGGGCGTCGTTGGCTTGGTGAACCCAGCCAACGACTGCTTTATCAACTCCGTTCTCCAGGTCCTTGCTGGGTTAACTGACCTGCGCGTCTATCTTATAAGAGAGGTCCACCGCAGGAATATAGATGAACCCTGGGTCTATGAGGAGGTAGTTGAGGACCCCGCCCGCCTGAACAATCCGGAATGGAAGAACCAAAGTCTTCAGTCAGGTATTGTCACCAAGGGCCTTAAGGACATGCTCGATGCTCTCAATGAACGACCCATCTACCGAAAGACAATATCAGCGCTGAGTTTTGTCAAAGTACTTGAGACGGCATTCCGCCAGAGGATTAGCAGACAACAGCAAGATGCACAAGAGTTCCTGCAGATTGTAGCTGAAAGATTATGTGATGAGTACCACGCTGGGCGCAGAGCACGAGAAGCAGCTAAGGGAAGAGGCGCGCCAATCAGATCTTCATCAAGTAGCCCTTCGTCGCCTGTAGATGGCAATGCAATTCAAGAGCGCCTGGCAGGCCTTGGGCTTGGAGCGGATGGGGGGGACAATCGAACACCACCAAGAAGTGTTCCAGGTATCCAAACTGGGCCAACCACGAACGACATTAGCGAAGAAGAAGGGTTTCCAATGGAGGGTGCCTATGAGAGCCAGATTGAGTGCCAAGTTTGTGGGTTCAAGACAAAGCCAGTTCAAAGCACATTCTGCACTTTAACATTGAGCGTGCCTCAATCGAAATCCAGCTCTCTTAATAATTGCCTCGACGGCTTTTTCAAGAGAGAGTTTGTAGACGATTACAGGTGTGAACGATGTAGGCTTGTGCATGCAAAGAAGCTGTTCGAGGCTCAGCTTGCACGATCCACCTCGAGTGTTGACAAGGAGGCAATCAAAGGGTCCATTGAGAGGATCCAAGTGCAGATCGACACCGACCCAGAAAGCCCACCTCCAGGTGTTGAACTCCCAGAACTACAACTTGCTCCCACATGTCGCATTGCCAAGCACACCCGTCTCGCCAACTTTCCCAAGATTCTTGCCATTCATCTGTCAAGGTCTATATATGATAGTCATGTCTCACAAAAGAACTTGGCCAAGGTGTCGTTCCCGGAACGATTGTCGATTGGAGGCTTGCTGTCACATAAAAAGTACAAACTACTCGGCGTTGTCTCACACAAAGGAAGCCATCACAGTGGCCACTATGAATCATTTCGAAGGCAGAATGTAAACTTGCCGTTTTCAAACACGAATGCATTTCAACCCTCAGATGCCTATACTCCATCCGCGAATCCTACACCTGCGGCCACGCCGAGTCCATCTGCAACTCCTCTTCATAAATCAACAGTTCCTAGTCCCGTGGCATCTACAGCAGATTTAATGCCGAGACTGTCAGCTGAAACTTTGTCAGCTGTTTCTCAGCGCTCGGTAGTGACAACAAGCTCAGCAGCAAATGGTCATCCGCCTAAGCGACCTTCCCCAACATCTTCCCCTAGAGAGCGTGATACCGATACTGTTAGTCTGAAGTCAGTTGCGGCATCGGCTCGATCTACCATGTCTCGACTGTCGCAGTCTGCTAAGAACAGCCGTAGTGACAGTCCATTTGGAAAAACCAAGACCTCTACTTCTACGACCGAATCAGTATCCACGCCTAGAAAATCTGGAATACGACCTCGTCGTCGGAAGTCCAATGATCGATGGTGGCGGATTAGCGATGATAAGGTGAAAGAGGCTAAGACAAGCGAGGTACTGGGTATGCAACGAGAGGTGTATATGCTCTTCTACGAGTTGGAGAGGAAGGACACGGCGGACTCGTAGGAAGACCTTCACCGACTCCTTGACAACATCGAGCGAGCGGTAGACTACGACCCAGCGGAAGACCCCGAGCTTGTCGATGGCCTTCCCCCTTCTTCTTGGCTCGCCGTTCGGGCAGGACAGGGCGTATCTGGCTGGTTGGAAGTTGCATATCTACGAACACTATACGCCTTCACCAAGGCGGGACAGAAAGCCAAGACGATGGCGAGGGGAGGGTGGAATGAGTACATGGGCTACTATGATCTGAATCCTGACCTCGAAGCCGCATATGACAAACGCCAACCGGTCACACGGGGCGGCATATTTGAGGAGGCTCTTCAACCCAACGAGACGGGGAACTAGACAATGATAATCCCAAAAGCAATGATGGTTACATTATCACTCCGATGAGAGGCCCTATTGGAGGTGTACCACGCATACACCATTGAAGCATACAAATCGGCGTTTTTCTTCTTCTCACATCATGGTCCGGGCGTTAAAAAGGATATTACACTTTTGCTTCTATCTTGGCAGAACAAAACATTGCATCGCATCTTTCCCTTTCTTGTTTCACACGGCTGGACTTGGATTTACACCAAAACTCCACATGTACATTCACCATCAAAGAAGGACAGATGTTACCCCCCAAATACCCAGGGAGATGAGAGCCGAGGCTCGTTGGCATAGATGTTGTGGTATCTTTGGTTGGAAAAATATCATCGTCACGATTCTTTTGTCCCACATGTTGTTAAGTGCGTACTTGTGTAGAGAACGAGCCAGGTATATCGTCACCTAGGCTTCTATGTCGGGAATGTCGCAACTAGATACGCAACATCCCTCTTATGCATACATATGTACAATATCAAGATGAAGTGAATCATCAGTCATCATGACATGTCATGACCTATCGTATGGCTTTTGTAGTTGAAAGTGTGGAGAAGCAGATCAAGCCACGGAACAGGTAACACACATAGTACCGCGTGAAATGCTGTCCAATAGACATGTTCGTGATCGGAATACGATTGACGTAGGGATGGATGGGCTTGTGCGGAGGTGGGAGGCGCATTGCGGGGGGCGCGACAACGGAAAAGCAAGCGGCATTCTCAAGCTTTCCCAATATCTCCCCCACTATATCAATAGTATACATCCTTTATAATCTGAAGACGAATTACTTTACCGATCATTTGCATCGCCCGTTCATTTGTGCAGATTCAGAGAATTGAGCCCACATCGCAATTCATCATGGGAGAAAGGAAGCCATTGATTGATGTAAGTCTAGCGATAACCAGATTGGCCGTGAGCAGGGGAGCATAAAACAAACTGACTGCGAAACTTGTAGCTCAAGTTGGAGAACCCGGATCTCTTCCGCAATGGCGCTTATGTCAATGGAGAGTGGATCGCAGCTAAGTCCGGGAAAACGTTTGAGATAATCGGTATGTGCATAGAACCCATATCATCGGGAAGATTCAAATCTATGAAAGCGATAACATCACTCGTGCTTACCACATGTCACGCTAACGAGCGGTCTTTTGAAAAGACCCCGGCACCAACCAGGCCTTTGCAACATGTCCCGACATGAGCGTCGAGGACGTCGACGCCGCGGTGCAGGCCGCGGGCGATGCATTCGTCGCATACCGGACATACACGCCTCTCGCGCGGTCACTCCTCCTTTCTAAATGGGACGCGCTGATCCGCGAGAACAAGGAAGACATCGCGCGCATCCTAGTCCACGAGACAGGCAAGCCCCTCGCCGAAGCCCGCGGCGAGATCGACTACGCCACGGGCTTCACGCGCTGGTTCGCAGGCGAAGCCGAGCGCATCCAAGGCACCACGTACCCGGCCGCCATCCCCGGTCGACGCATCTTCACCCTCAAGCAGCCCATCGGCGTCGTCGCGGCGCTCGTGCCCTGGAACTTCCCCGTCGCCATGATCCTGCGCAAGGCGAGCGCCGCCTTCGCCGCAGGATGCACCATGGTGGCGAAGCCGTCGCCCGAGACACCGCTTACGGCGCTCACGCTGGCGCATTTGGCGGAGAAGGCGGGGTATCCTAAGGGCGTGTTCAATGTCCTGCCTACGACGCTGCAGAACACGCCCGCGCTGAGCGAGGCGTTGTGCAAACATCCTGTTGTCAAGAAAGTGTCGTTTACGGGCTCGGTAAGGACTTCGGCAGTACTTTTTTTTTTTTTTTTTTTTTTTTTTTTTTTTTTTTGCTTCTGTGAGAGGTGGCTGATTTGATGTGTGAAAGACCCGTGTGGGAAAGATCCTCTCTGCCCATTGCGCGGATGGCTTGAAGAAGCTGACGCTTGAGCTGGGGGGTAATTGTCCGGTCCTCGTCTTCGACGACGCGAATCTGGAGCAGGCTTGCGAGGGTACGTTGATATCCACTGAATCCCCTTACTCCCAAGAGCCCTAGCGAAGGAACTCGGAGAGAAATCTACTAACTAACTGCTCACATCCAGCGCTCGTACCCCTCAAATTCCGCCACGCCGGCCAAGCCTGCATCACAGCGAACCGCGTCTACGTGCAGCGCGGCGTGTACGACAAGTTCGCAGCCCTGCTCACGGAGAAGACGCGCGCGCTGCGCGTCGGCCACGGGCTCGAAGAAGGCGTCACCATGGGCGCGCTCACGGTGCCGCAGGGCCTGGAGAAAGTCGCGCGCCAGGTCGAGGACGCCCAAAAGAACGGCGCCCAAGTCCTCACCGGCGGGAACCGGATGCGGATCAACGATGGCAAGGGGTTCTTCTTCGAGCCGACGATTGTCGGGAATGCTAATCACAGCATGTTGATTGCGTCTGAGGAGACGTTTGGGCCGCTGCTCGCGCTGTTCCCGTTCGATACTGAGGAGGAGGCTGTTAAGGCTGCTAATAATACGAGCGTAAGTTTTTTTTACCTATTTCCTTTTCGCCTTCCCTATGTCTGTTTTCTGGAAAGGTTACTCTCAGAGCGATACGAGTCTGGCTGGGAATTGAGCTGATGCGGTTGTTGCTGCTAGATGGGTCTTGCGTCGTACTGCTTTACCAAGAACATCGATCGAATCTGGCGGCTTTTCGAAAATCTCGAAGCGGGCATGATTGGATTGAATACCGGTAAGTCGAGCTTAGCTTGAGTTATACAGGGTTTGCGATACTGATGGTTCTTGTAGGGAATATGTCCTCGGCCGAATCGCCGTTTGGCGGCATCAAGGACTCGGGATATGGAAAGGAGTCCGGCAAGGACGTTGCTATCAACGAGTATCTGATTACGAAAACGGGAACGCTCTCGCTTGAGGGGCAGTACTAAGTGCGGGTTCAAGGGTGAGAAAGAAATAATACGGCAGAATGATTTTCAAGATTGACGCGGGTTTTCACGATCTCATAATGTCAACAGGGAAAAGAAAAGTATTGTTATGTTTACTGACTGATGGTATTATGACTTGATGACAGTCTACGGGGTCAAAATGTCTAATTGTAACTTCAGACACAAGTACTCACTTACTCAAATCAGTCTTTTCTGAGATACTCAAAATACGATTTTATTCTCGAATATATCGGTGTTCTAAGGACCAATCATTTAGCTCATGACTTTAAACAAATATGTGTGTATTATTCTGTATGTACACGCGAGACGCACAAGGGAAAACTCGACTACTTACTGCGAGAACTACCCAACATCATCAGATGCGAGTGTTCCTCATTCCTGACCCGTCTAAGAAATTCCTCTGGATCGAGCTGTCCAGGCTCTGCCTCGCTCCCGTCTTTCTCGTCCTCAACCTTGGCCTCGGACTCAAGACCGGACTCAGAAACGTGCTTCACGCAATCCCCGTATGCTTCGCTAAGCTGTCGTTTGAGCTCGTTCATCTTAGTCTTCACATTTGATAACTTGCCATCGATTCTCGTCTTGCGGCTCTCGCAATCCTCGCAGAGCTGCGGGACGCGGACTGTGGTGCTGATGTGTGTGGTTACCGTTTCACAGGGCTCTGTACGTTTTCCCGCGATGAAGTCGAGTTGGTCTTGGCATGGCTTTTGCGGTCTAGGGGAGACTTGCGAGTGGTTGCACTGGAAGACTGATTTCCTGTAACGACACATTTTGATGGAATGGGACGGTTGTTGCTAGTAGGATGGGGTATCAACTTAGATGGATGAGTGAGATGGGCTCATCAAGGTCTAATTAGAGAAATTCTCTATGCTTATATATACAGTTCATTCAGCTGTGTGGCCTGAGACAGCTTTAGGATTCAAGGAGCTCACACTCAGGTGTTTGGTGACAATGGCCTTGTTGAATCCTTTGTTCGTATCATGGTTATTCTGTGTGGATTCCAGACCTTTCATGAACCATTACGAAGTCCTTGTTGTTTTCCGAAAGCCATGTTCGGGATGAATGAGCATTGTTCCTTAATTGCTGTCAACTTGCTTCTGGAACACGTGTACCTAGCCATTTGATGTACTACATCTACTGTGGACTGACCTTGACCTTTTGCAGAAATTATGAGCTTCTCAATACACCAAGCTTAAGATACTAGGTATATTGTATGTTAATTCTATTCAATCATCTTGAAGCTATCGACTCTAAAACCTATTCATAACCAGCACTATACAGTACTCCAGGTGTTTCGTCCCACACGTTTAATTCATCCTTTGTTTGAGCAGGCAGCATGGTATTATCTTTGAACCATATAGGCACGCATAAGTCACAAAGGACTTGTATTGTAGGTTTTGCCTATGTTGTTAAACAATTGATTCATTAACTTATCTAGCAATAATGAATCTATATAAGCTTATTGTTGATTATTTAAGGATCCCAAGTTCCATAACGGTCTGCCCAGTCTGAAGCACTTTCGTCTCATAAACAGTCGAAGCAAACATGTCTCACACAGCCACAACCCATAACGCTGAAAATTCAACGTGGTTTTTGCCTAAATCTGATCTATGTACTGAAGCTCCTTCATTATCAGTACTTTCCCCGCAAGAACAGTCTGTAAAAGAAAGAACGCAGTTAACGAATGTCTTGAACAAGGCTAATCGCACACCGCTACCTACGTTGGCCGATGTTCGCCGCAAGCGAGAGCCTCCTAAGCCCAGACAGTGTCCGAAATGCCGTAGCCCACTAGGTACAGATCGGGGCAAACTATGCAGAAAATGTCAAACTATAAAGAACAAATACGTGCGCAACCTTCGCCACACTCGTCAAGCGGCTGGTCTGTGCCCTTATTGCAGCGCTCCGGCCCCCCAAGGACGTGTGATATGCCTAGCATGTAGGGAAAAAGAGCGATTTCGGAGAAGAAAAAACAAAACCTTGGTTGATCTCTCTCATTTAGAGACACAGAATGAGAATCGCAAAAACCTAATGTTGGAGGTTGAAGAGAAAGACTAAGAGGTAGGCCTAGCAAGCGCCTCTCAAACATGATGTAGATGGTCCTGTATCTATCATCAGTTTTACTTGACAACTATCTATTTCAGCTGATCAAAAGACTTCTATAGACACTGGCATCAGAGATGACGTACTTAATTATAAAGCTAAAGTTAAGAAAAGACATGACAAGTACGAAAAGTAATTTTCCAGCAAACCTAATATTACTATAAGTGGCTATGTGACCATACAAATATAGATTAAGCCCAGTAGGTAGTACAAGTCCATTTCCTCTAGCATAAATCAACCATCTCATGACTTCATCAACTATCCCCCCCAAATTGATCTTAAACAAGCTTCTTCACATCTCATATTCTTGCTCCAAATACTGCTGCTATTCGCGCGCTCTAAGTCATTGTGGAACCAAATCAAACAAAACCGACTGCTACCCGTCCATCTGAGTAATTAAATGGGGCAATTGGTCCCCTAGCCTGTCGTTGGTTAACCGCTGACCATCAGGCGTCGAGAAATGATCTCTTGATTGCTTTTCCCGCTCTTCTCGTGAACAAGATGGCGATGGATATATGCACAGTGAAAACCCTTGCCGACAGGCGGTTCTCGGTGCTGCGCATATAGCATCACTGTCAGCTATGCGCAACAGTGCTACTGGGAAAATTCCATTTGAGCTTTGGACTGCAGTCGCTTGGTCACGAAAAGAAGCATGGTACAGATAGGCCTTGTCAGAAGGGTTGTACAAGGTATACGGTAAGAATCTCATTGTGGCACAAGGTCTAAAAGGAAAGGTCAGAAGTCTGAAGGCATTAGACTTCTCTGGCCGTATCTCTTTCTTCGCCCTGAGACCCCTGACGGACCTAAAAGCGGATTTCCCTTTTGAGCAGAGTATTCACCGGGAGAACCAAGCTTCGCATTGGTTCGGCCTTTGTGAATAGCTAAGACAAATCGGGCCTTAACTGTACCTACTTAACACGCCGTTTGACAAAAGCATTGTGGTGACAACAGTCTTTCAATACGCGCCAATAGAAACGCTGGGTTGCTCAAGCCCGCTTCATATCACCATCGAAAACATCACAGTCTACTACTACAGTAACGCAGCGATAATTAGATACTAAAACCACAGAATACATGGCTACGGTCAAATCAATCGAGTCGTAGTATCCTTGTTTTCTTGCAAAAGATACGATTTTCTTCATCGATAACTACTAGTTGAGATAAGTGGCTTCTTCCAAACCTATGACTGCTAGGTGCAGGTGTTTGAACTCGAAACATTGCAGTTCACCTAGATGCCTGGCTAAGTGATTCAGACGTGTTGTGTAGCCCAGCATTCGCGTTTTTGTAAACCAGGGATATCGACCCCAAGATGTCAAGCTTTCTTCTAATCAGCTTAGTCTTACGACTAGATGTAGATCTGGCTAGTGTATTATTATATCCCTTGCCACGTGGGCTGTCATGCATACGAAGCCTTCAAAAGAGGAGTGGTATCGCGTATCCCAACCGCGACTACTGTTTCTACATATACACTATATCAGGAGGCAATAAATTTAACGGAGTATCCCGATACTTTCACCCTTTACATAAAAGGACGCGTTCCCCTTCAGATGTATGGCATGGTACCTTTTAATGGCTAGCTTAAGTACTTGCAAAAGGGTGATTGCAAGGGTCGTGGTACGTATCTATGGGAGGGGGTTTTACTATGCTGGATGTAAGGTGATGCCTCGATAGTGAAACGCGATGCCCTAAAAAGCTTCCCGCTGTTATCAGATAGTCAATACTCCGTACAGATAGATGACAAATTCACTGACCAGCTGACTGTTTCGAAATCAGGGGATGTACGCAAGCACGGGTGAGTAAGGACCCTGGAAAGATGGACTCTCATACAGGGGTATAAGGCGTGCCTCGTTAGGCATTTATGGGCCTTTATGGGGGTCAAGACCTCGAAGCGAGATACCCCCAAAGATATCTCTCTGCAGGGGGGCAAAATCAATAGCGCACGACTTTTTACAAGATATAAGCTTGGACTAGATAACAATCCTGGTATGTATTTAGAGGTTCGTGAGTCAATTAACGACAACCCTGAAATATCAGAAACGCAATTGCGAACCCCTTGCATCTGTCCGGTATGGAACTACCCGAACTAGCGATAGCTTCAAGGATTAATAGGCTCTGAAGCGTTCGTGTAGTCGGAGGTCTTGACTATTTAGTCCCACGTCTCCGCGAAAAGGAACTACCCGTTCAATCTAGTATACTTGTGTTGTTATGCTTCCGTGTATGGGGTTACCGGAGATTGGATGAACTTGTTCAATGCATCGGAACATAGTAGAACACCAAGGTATAATGTATGATGATTCGCCTAGCCTGCCGCGTTGGTTACACCCCGTGTGATTGTAACCCTGTACTCTGATGATGAACTTTCGATGCCCCTGAAGTCATAGCCTTCCTAAAGACTAGAAACCTCAGGATACACTAGACCCGAAAACTTCGTGATGAAATTTATATATAGGACGATTTCATCCTCAGAAAGGCTGTATTGAATCTCCGTACTCAGCTTCCAAACCATCGTTCTCATACTTATCCTCACCTATCCAACAGCACCTCTGAGCTGGTGTGCAACTCAGAATCTTATCTATCGAGGATTAACACCATGCATGCCAACAAGGTCTTCCTTATTGTCGGCGCTCTTGCCGTTCAGTCTCTAGCCCAAACTTTCGCCGATGAATCCTGTTCTAGTTCTTGGCTTGCGCTTGAGGCGGCTGCTCCCCAACCCGCTTCAGAAATCTTCGGCATTTTACCAGACCCGGCCAGTATTTTGAGAGACCCCTCCGGCTATGCGAGCGCCCTGTGTGCAGCCGCCTCCGAGCTACCTCCTTCGGGATTGAGTGATTTTGCAGAATGGGGTCAGTCGCTCCTCCACTTTGCCTCGGTAGAAATCTCAAGCTACGATGCTCTCGCCACGAGCTGCTTCAACACGAACTCTGCGGAAGGGGCTGCGGCCACCAGCTACCTCCACTCCATCGTCTCGCAAACGGCTCCGCTGTGCGTGGAGACCACTGTGTCCAGTACAAAGGGCTGTCAACCCAACGCGTCCGCTACGATTACCTCATTGCCGAAGCGCACGCCAATGCCCCTTCGGAGGATCAGGTAAATGTGTTGCGGAACACATTGCTGGCGTCGTGGTTGTTTGTCTTCCAATTGTTGCACCTTTCGGTAAACAGCTAGGTGGCGGTATGATGAGATACCTGGCTCTGAACTGAGTAGGACAAACAAGGAAGTGGCTGATTTTGAATGCTTCTGCGGATTGGGAGTGACCTGGGGTATTTTGGCACTTAGGAAATGTGAGATGTGATCATGTCGAACAAACGAGGATGATAGCGCTTACGGATGAGAGCATAGCCAAAGAACAGAGGGGAAGCTGTTTCTATGAACTGTGGAATAGTAGTAACAATTAATTACTCAACTAAATGCTTCAGAGAAGTTTTAATCTCCAAATGTGAAGCCCTTCAATGGTGTGATCGCAGTGTTGTGCTAGCTTCATTCTTCTTAATTTTAGGGAGTCGGTGTTGATAGTGTTTTCAGACGAACTGTCATCACAGGTGCTCTATGTGGTGTTATCGATTCATACTGAAAACACACCGAGGCTGATGAAGTTATAGGCTTCGTCAAGGCTATATGAGGTGATAGGTGGCCCGAAGGGGTAACAGCTAACCGTAACTCGAGCAGGGTCTTATCCTTTTTTGTGATGATACGGAGTACATCTGGCGGAGTTAAGCACATCTACTAGGAAATGCATATAAATATTATTATTAACCTCAAGCTTATACCCCCGCACAGCTGCACTATCCAGCTACCGAGGTTATTAGTTAAACTGAACCCCTGTATCTAAGCTATTGACACTTAATTGCTTGTGCAGCAACCGGTTAATTTGCATACAAATGTTGAAGCATTGGCATGGAAGCCTTTAGAATTGGAGGCTCTAGCATCCGAAGTTGGAGTCTCCTAAATTGCGTTTTCCATATGACTATCAACACCTATTCAGCTCCGTGAACACTTAGTTGAAATTGAGGTTTATTCAACTAGCCGATGCACTTTTACGCGCAAGCCCTTAGAGTCTTCAGGCATCACAGGGACGGCAGTATCGCTTGTAATCACTAAATCCGTAGCAGATGTCTCAAACAGCTCAAGCATACCGACATCATCCTTACCCCGAACTTCCACTGTGCCGTAAACCCTGAATAGCGACGCCAGGGTGAGGTAAAGCTCTGCATACGCCAAGTTGATACCGAGGCACGCCCTGCCACCCTTACCAAAGGAGACCAAGTAGTGATCGAGGCGTGGGTTGTCGACCCAGCGCTCGGGCTTGAAGACATGCGAATCTGAAAAGACACGCTCGTCATGGTGGACAAGGTTACTGGTCATGCTGAGGGGGGTACCGGGTGGGATACGCCACTCAACCCCACCGGAGCGGTATACGAGTGTCTCGTCTGGGCAGATGCGGTGCAGTCGGTGAGAGATGGCGTGACTGAGGCGCACGCCTTCCTGGACCACACCTGTCAGGAAGGGCAGCCGTTCAAGCGCAGCCAGGCTGAGTGGCTGTGAAGGGTCCGGAATTGCGGTTTCCAGCTCGGCTTTGAGCTGCGATAGGATGGCGGGCGTGGCGAGAGCGAAGTACGTCGATACACCTAGCGCCCAGGCTGTTGTAATAGTCCCCGCGGCCACGACAACTTCGCCCTCCTGCCAGAGGCGATCGTTCGACTTATCGTAGTCTGAAAGCTTGCTGTTGAGTATTTCGTGAAAGATGGTACGCTGCGTCTTCTCGTATGCGTGCGTCTGATGCGCGTGTTGGATTTCGGCGACCTGCCGCTTGATGTTGCCCTGCAGCTGCGAGTAGGCACCCATTGCAGGACTTAACTTGAGTAGAAGAGAATCTGGCAGTTTACGTAGCATATCCATCAGCCACGGGAAGTGTTTCAGTACATGGCCGGATTTGCCACCCTGTAGCATTGCGTCCCTAAATGATGGGTCGAAGTCAGGGGCCTGGAGACGGTTCTCACTCCTTCCAAACGCGTAGTATTCGACAATATCTGCGCTATGAATTAGTCCGCAGTCTCAACTTTAAGGCTTGAGGGAGACGGTGCTTACCGTTAGCCAAGGCTGCAAAGGCATCGTCTAGCCTCATCGTAGCCCCAGACAGGGCAAACTCATGGAAACGCCCAAGTAGAATGCCCATATTCCGGTCAATAAGTGGCTGAAGGGCTCGCACGCTCTGCTTAGAGAAATATGGCGATAATGCAGCTCTACGCACACGATGTTCGTCATGTCCGAGAGTGCCAATCAGGCTCTCGTCGACGCCAAATGACCGGGTAATCCAATCCCACTTATCACGTTTTCGTCCACTGCCGGCGTAGATGGTATCGTAGAAATCCGGGTCTGCGATGTGGATTTCATCTGGGTTAATGCGGATGATAGGCCCTTACTGGTAGTCAGTATAGTCCTTCAAGTTCGGCAAAAGACGGCCACGTACCATATCTCTTGTGCAATCGACCAATCTTGAAGGTATACTCGGGCTCAGCAATGACGTCGTACCAGAACTCATACCAGTATGTCAGTGCCGCAAGCTTCGGCCCTGGAAAATGTGCTATTGGACTCAAAATCAATCGGTATACAGTGAGGTATAGCAGGTAGAAAATGAAGAATGCGACAAGGGATACAAGTGTCACCGACTGGCTGATTGTATCAACTAACATAATGGTGATGGGTATCGACATGTTAGCAAATTTGCGTCTTGGTCGCGGAGGAAAGAAGGGAGGGAGGAGTGACAAGAAGAGAGTTTGGGGCGGGCTCTTGACTCTCTTGAAATCTACCTACCATCAGCAATCCACTCATCTCCGGACTCTGGCTTGCTGTTGGCAGAAATAATACTAGTTCTAATTTGCTATCAACAATACAGCACCTATAGTCTCACATCAGCCATCTTATATCAGGAATATCATATCATCAATATTATGCGGTGTCACGACACCGTTACTACCTACCTACCACGTGAGTACTAAGGATGTATATAGACCGTAGATCCCATTGCGTGGCAACATGGCACGGGGCTACCGGTTCATGATTGTTGGCGCCGAAATCTGCATGTTGGCACAGCACATACTTTCCTTCACTTCAGTTCATTTACACATTTCATCGTGGCTAACAGATTGAAAGATAAGTAAATTGATTAAGTCTATGTCGTCATCCGAGGTGAATGAAATGAAGATTGTAATGCACCTTATTGATACCCCCAAGACCCAAGAGTTTCCTAAGATAGCACTATTCCTGGCCTTGAAATCAAATTTCACAACATGGAGACACTGTCATATCAGTCGAGTCTCGTCCCTTTTGACGAATCCCGTCGAACCGGTTGCTTCACAACGCTTCCCATTCGCATTCATCCCCGAAATGACCTCGCAGACCTAGCAAGTCGCCGCTTTGTAGAAGACTGGGCGAGCAACATTGGGGACGGCCGAGAGAAGCAAACCTATTTCTCTTTCTCACCGGTGGGAAACTGGTCTTCTCTCATCTATCCGGAAGCCATTCCAGAGCGGCTTGGTGTGCTAGCCTACCTCTCAGATCTGGGCCTGATTCATGACGGTAACTTGCTTCCATATAGCCTCCTTCCGAATATCTTCTAATTGTATGATCAGATACTGCAGAAGGACTCAGCATAGATGAGGCTCAAGCTGAACATGATCAACTTCAGGCAGCTTTAAATCCAAATGATGAGCGATCCCTTACCCCGGGATCAAGAGCACTGAAAACCAAGAAACTTGTCTCGCAATGCATTCTCGAGTGCGTCAAACTGGATCATGAACTTGGTCTAAACATGCTGGCTGCATTCCGTGATGTCTGGCTAGCTATAAGCGAGAAAAACAGTGATAAAGAAGCGCAGACCATGGAGGAATACTTGGAATATCGCAGCGATAATGGTGGGATGCTGTATGTGATCAGGATTCTGTCCAATTCCAAAGCTAATCAGGTAATAGTGTCTTTTGGCCAATGCTTCAGTTCAGTCTTGGAATCACTCTCTCAGAAGCAGAGCATAGGCTCGTGCAGCCTATCATCGACGCAGCCACAAAAGGGCTGCTGTTAGCCAACGACTATTTCAGTTGGGAGCGAGAATACAGAGAACTGCAGTCCGGCCATTCCAAAAGGATCGTAAGTGCCATTGAGCTGTTTACCAGAACCAAGGGCCTTTCAATCGATGCCGCCAAGAATGAGGTGAAGCTCAGCATTATCAACGCAGAGCGTGAATTTTGTCAACGTCGTGACGAGCTCTACGTCGCCCAGCCAGACTTGTCTTTGAAACTAAGAAGATGGATTGATTGCGCCGGTTTGGCCGTCTCAGGGAATCACTACTGGTGCTCCGCTTGCCCAAGACAGAATGCGTGGAAGGATGAAACTCATGTGAACGGAAATGGAGTTAAAAGGACATTCTCTCATTCTTCAGTGACCAGCCTCGAGGAAAATGATATAAGCACAAAGAGGAAGAAGGAATCAATCATCAATATATCTGAGCGCAGCGACAGCAGCAGGCCTGTTGTCAGCGACGTGTCCAGGTACCCGCTTCGCAAGCCCTCCGATCTTGCCATCAATGCGCCCGTAAACTACATTGCTAGTATGCCTTCCAAAGGCGTCCGAAGTGCTCTTATCGATGCCCTCAACACCTGGCTCCACGTGCCTCCCGCAACGATCAAGACCATCACGTCAGTCGTCGATATGCTGCACAACGCATCCCTCATCCTCGATGATCTACAAGACAATTCTCCATTACGCAGGGGGTTTCCAGCGGCTCATATCATCTTCGGACAGCCTCAGTCCATTAACAGCGCCACCTTCATGTTCGTCCGCGCGGTGGGCGAGGTCGCACAGAGCCTGTGCCCAGCGGCATTGACGGCAGTGCTTGAGGAGCTTGAAGGCCTCTATCTGGGACAGAGCTGGGACCTGTATTGGAAGCATAACCTAGCGTTCCCTAGCGAGGCAGAGTATATCAATATGATTGACCACAAGACGGGTGGCATGTTTAGGATGCTACTGCGTATCATGCAGGCTGAGAGCGTGATTGGGGGGACGCCGATGGCACTGCCCCTAGATTTTGAAAGACTCACGCTGCTCTTCGGTCGCTTCTTCCAGATCCGGGACGACTACATGAATTTTGGCGACTATGCCACACAGAAGGGACTTTGCGAAGATCTGGACGAAGGAAAGTTCTCTTATCCCATCGTCCACTGCCTGTCGAATCACCCGGAGTATCGGGGGCACATCCTTGGTGTTTTCCGGCAGCGCCCGACCACGGCTACAAGTACAGCATTTCAGCTAACCAAGGAATGCAAGGAGTACCTGACAACCTGCCTGAGAAAGTGCGGGGCGTTTGAGAAAACGCTGGACTGCTTGCGGGAGGTGGAAAGTGAGCTGGAACTGGAAATTGACCGGTTAGAGCAGCTGACGGGCGAGCCAAACCCTATGCTACGCCTGTGTCTTGCAAAACTCAGTGTTAAAGGGATTTCTAAGTTAGAATGAAAGAGATGACTTTCATTAGTGGTTCTATAGGCCTACAGACCCCGAACTCTACAACCCTATCTCTCACGGTTTCATATAGTAGATAGCAGGAGATTTTTGGCGTTTCGCTGTTGTGTTTCGATTTGACCTGATTATTTTTTTCTTGGCTTAGTTTAGGTAACCCCAGTGTATCTAATTGGTCTCTACTATTTCATTTACTAGCCGCCAGATAAACCTTTACGCTCATACTCCCTTAGTACATGTACCTAAAACTATACACTTACTAGCCTTCACATACCTTGAAGTGTGCTGGAGACTGGTGTTTTCTTGCCCAATAGGTAAGATCGTAAGTAGTAATTTGGTGGCATGGGTAACCACATAACAGGTTTATCTAGCATGATCAACATGACATGTAGCCCATCTTACTAGAGGTTATCAGATCATGAATTGTTATCACAGGTCATGCACTGTAAAAGGAAAATTCTTGCGATCTAGGGAAAGAAGGTCCGTGAGATTTTCGCTATGTAGTGGCATTCCGCATTATAATTCGCGAATCAGCCTGCTGTGAAACCTTATATTTTACTTAGACTTGTTAAATTAAGAATCGCTCTTAGGTAATACATATCAACGAAAGGTTCTGCGATGTAGGGGATAGATAGCGAGTGAGGTTCTCGCTTTATAGTGCCATTTTGGGTTACATATTGCGAAGGATCATGTTGCGAGTCTCAGATCTACAGCGCATGGTCAGATAATCAATATAATGCGCCAATACCTGGCTGCCAGGAGTCGTCTGACTACCCTCCTAGAACCCCAACCTGGCAAATTAGGGTGAGACTTACACGGGGTTTTCACATGCCAACTTCTAAGAGCTAGCTTGGAAGTTTGGCACTGAGAGACGAACACCGCGGGGCACTTGCAAGAAAGTGACTTATTACATCACAGTAGCCGCGACCCAATACTGATTGTTCAACGCTGTCTTTATTTTTGACGCGCTGGATCTAGAGGGGAAATGCACCAATCATTGAACCGGCTCTTGCTTTACATCCTTTGTGCTTGCATTGGAGAAAGTAATGGCCTCACCATAGATTATAGGTCTTGCAAGAGTGCAGTACGTTATTACAAAAATAAACGAAACCGATTGGCGGGAATCTAACCATCTTAGTGTGCTTCTCTATCTAGCCTGCTCTTAGTTGAACAACTTGACACCTATGTTGCAGACTTTGGGCTGGATCCTTCTATCGTTGGAGAAGCAGAAGGAGATGTCAAATCACTCTTCTGGGCGCAGCAGCAGCAATCCCTCCGGCCTGCTTGCCTCGTCCACGTCCAGGCAGTCGAGGATGTCACAATATTGATCGGGACTGCACGCTCCACCGGCTGCCCCCTGGCCGTCCGCGGCGGGGGACACTCAGACATACCTGGTGCGAGCAACAGCGACGGCGGTATCACTGTGAACATGGCTGGCCTGAGAAACGTCGTGGTGGACGAGAGCGCCAGAGTTGCTAGGGTGGGGGCAGGCGCCACGTGGGGAACTGTCTACAGAGAGCTTGAGAAGACGAACAGAACTGTCGTAGGTGGTAGATTGACAGATGTTGGGGTGGGAGGGCTGTTGCTCGGCGGTGGGTTGAGCCATTTCTCTGGCCTACATGGTTGGGGTTGCGACAACATTCGCAACTACGAGGTAAGGAGATCCAAACACTGTATCTATGTGCTAAACGCTGATAATTTCAGGTTGTTCTTGCCAATGGTAGTGTCATCGACGTCTCGCGCTCTACCCATCCGGTTCTCTATCGCGCTCTTCGTGGAGGTGGGAACAATTTTGGTGTCATCACACGTTTTGATCTCGAACTATTCGATCAGGGGCCAGTATGGGGAGGGTTGCATGTCTGGCCATTTTCCCCATCCGTGACATCGGCTATTACTGGGAATTTTGTCAGGTTTGCTCAGGAGGCACCGTCAGACCCGCACGTCTCGCTCTTTGCAGGACTTGGATATATGCAAGGTAATTTTGCTTGGGCTATCGGGCAGTACGACGCTCTTGGACGGGAGGAGCCTCCTATCTTAGCTCAGTTCAGAGACAATGTCGAGGCTTACGGCGCCAAGAAGATTGTCAGCACAGCGCGGGTGACGTCGTTGTCGGACCTTGCAGATGAGCTCAACAGATCTGAGCCGGCAGGAAAACGGAGCCGGTTTACAACAGCGACTTTTAAGGTCAATAAAGAACTATTGCAGCGCATGGTCGGCTTTTTCGTAGAGCAGGTCAAGAAAGCGCTAGATGAGGGTCTTCATAATGACGAAGCTTTTAAGCCAATGCTGGGAATTCAACCCCTGACACGAAACTTGCTCAAAGAGCAAGCACAGCGCGGAGGGAATGTGATGGGTCTCAATGAGGAAGATGGTCCACTAATTGGTAAGTGATTCATCCCGTCATGGTTGAAACGTTGCTTACAATTTTCTTCTTGTCAAAGTCTGTTCTTTCGGGTGGGAGTGGTCTCAACAATCGGATGATAAAATCGTCATAGCTGGCATCAAGGCGGTGCTCTCCCAATCGGTAGCAGCCGCCAAGGAGAGAGAACTATATCATCCCTTCAAATATATGAACTACGCTGCAGAAGATCAAGATCCGGTCGCAAGTTATGGGGCAGATAACGTCGTCTTTTTGAAGAAGGCTAAGGAGATGTATGACAGTGAGGGCTTTTTCACGAAATTAGTGGCTGGAGGATTCAAGATCAATAGCAAACTAGTCATATAAACTTCTTCATATAGCTCGATGTATAAGTGGAAGGGAATAGCTATTGCTATGTTTTTATTGTAAGAGCTAGCCTTCCTGGGCATGTGATTGAACAAAGACTCGTATAAGGGTTTGGAGAAGGGGCTTTGGACAATATAAGAATCTACTAAGGCTTCAAAGGTCTGCATGCCTCTATTCAGAAGCTTTCCGTTTGAAGAGTTAACTTTCGGTTTATATATACACCTATATCGGCGTTCCTAGCCTTCGAATACCCCCAATGTATAATATTAGCATGTATTGGAAAGCCTGATTATAGCAGGATCATGTAAACACGGACATCCTTCGTTCCAGATGTACGTAGCGTGTACGACCCTCGCTTACTCCTTGCCATGCGTACAAAATCATGCATTGGGAGATTTAAGATGAAAATAATAAAAAATGATACTTACCGCAGCGTAGCAAGTGCCTTGTAACATCGTTGGCTCGTTCATTATTGTCTTTAGACAAGCTAATTCCTAGATCTAGGATTACGTACTTCGGGAGTATAATTGATCGCAGATGTTATCTCATACTCATGATATGAGGGGCGACAAAATGTAACTAAACGGAGATGACTGCATGAATGACTACCTATGAGAGAGCTCTGCCACCTGGCTCTGTTTTGGGTGGTCAGCACTACCCACAGCACTCGTCTAACATTTATCAGATACGTCAGAGTACTTCACCGCAATGTAGGTCCCAATATCTACCTGCACATAAGCATATCATCCTGTAGGGTTTCGTGTGACTTGCACACATCGCTCCCACAAGAGTTGGTTATAGTGACGACCTCCTTGACATGGCTGGTGTTCTTGCTCCTCCACTTTTGGTGACGCAGGAATTGTCTTTCTATCACTCTTCGTACTAATGCGTCACTCATAATCATTGCGAACGTCTAAAATGGCAGTTATCTCCTTGTTAGCAACTTGGAGCCTAGGGCAACAAACCGGTGTGGCCGTAGCAATTGTGAGCCGCGTGGTTTAATCCTATTTTGGTTTTTATATGTTCTCTAATAAGTCGAGAACAAACAGTTTGCACTAGCCCTTGTGTCCTTGATCGTATATGGCTGCTTTTTCCATCCAGTCTCTCACGTTCCTGGACCATTTCTGGCGAAGTTCTCCCCAGTGAGTCATCATATAGCACAGAAGAAAGACACAGTATACAGTCCTAATGAAGAGAAGTTATGGATTATGAGAGCCTTGTACCGCATGAAATTCAACTCGGAACTACAGGCCCTCCACCAACGATATGGCAAGATAGCCCCCCCATGGTTTACGGCCTGATTGACTGATTCGTCCTAGGACCTGCTGTACGAATCAGCCTCAACGAAGTATCGTTTGCTTCCTTGGAGGCGGAAACAACAATATACGCAAAGCAAGAGGACGGTCGTTTCTCTAAGAATGGGACCTTCCTAACGCTTTTCTCAGACCTTGTTTTGAACACCCCCACACTTATCACCATACCAGATCCAGGCCTTCACAAGAAATTGCACAAAGTTATTGAACAAGCTTTCACTCCTCGAGCGCTCGCAAAGCAGGAGCCTATTCAGAAGCTCCATATCGACATGGCTAAGCTCAACATAGACAAAGTTGCAGAGAATGGAAGCACCATGGATCTTGCCGACACTTTGGAGACAATCTTCTGGGAGATTATTAGTGACCTAGCTTTCGGAGAGCCGCTCATGGCGGGCAAAAGGCGTAAGTGATGAAAACTCAATTTTAGAGCAGACACAAAATTAATTGGTCCTTTCAGCTACATATGAGTCACTGAAGCAACTTGGTAAAGTATCCATGCCCATGATCGAAGCCCTGGGCTTCTTTCTAGCGATACCTGGCATCGCTCCAGCACTTGAGATTGCCAGGAACTTTGTAACTGCAGTAATGCCACCCCATTCGCAACTTTCAAAGATTGTGCCGTCGACAAAGTTACGCGAGTGAGTAGCTCATTTCTTGCTTCCAATTACAGGGCTCTGACATTCCTACATCTAGTTGTATCGAGAGGCAAGACGGCAGGGAGGACTTTCTCACCGCCATTATGGGCAGCGAGAAGCAAGGTATAACGCTTGATTCAGATGCTTTCTTCAGCAACGCTATGGGTCTGACGTTCGTATGAACCCAGTCCGGTCGTAAGACTTTCACTAACAGGTGCACTCAGACTGGCCGGCTACCAGACGACAGCTACAACGCTAACTGCCATGTTTTACCACATTCTACGTGATCCTAACTCTTATGACAAGCTTCGTACCGAACTGAGCTCCAGTCTCGCCAATGAAGAGGACATTACAGGGGAGCGTCTTGCTCGATTACCCTTTCTGAACGCTTGCATCCGTGAGACCTTGCGTCTGCTCCCACCTGCTAATGGCAAAACGGCGCAACGAACGGCCCCATCGGGTATTATAGCAGGGCTATACATTCCCGCGGGAACCATCGTCTCTGCCGACCTATACACGATTCAGAGGTCGCCGGAATATTTTGCCGACCCCGCCACATTCCGACCGGAAAGGTGGCTCGAAGGCGCGGCCGAGAGTACCGAGTTCAAAACGGACAACCCAGCGGCCTATCGCCCTTTTCTCATTGGGAGTAGAGCTTGTATCGGCAGACATATGGCGCAGCAAAGCATTCGCCTTATAGTGGCGAAATTCCTCTGGGCTTATGACTTTGAACTCTTAGATCCGCATGGATTCGTTTGGGAGCGCGATGCGGGTAGCAGCCTCATTTACACTGACTATAAGCTTGTTGTACGTGTAAAAAAATCAAGTGGGAGACTATAGGATACGGACAGGGCCAAAAGCGCATTCAATGTGGTATTTTAATATGAGTATAGAGCAGCTTTGTGCTAGCTTACTTGACTAGCACGTTAAGCGATGAAGAATAGAATTTGGCATGTTATACTCTTTAATAGTGCTTGTTGATTGTGTATTTAGATGATACTAAGTTCTAATGCACTTTACAATGATTTTTGTATTATATATGTCGCCTATGAAGCTTCGTTGCAAGCGGACGTCAATGCGTCAACACCCCTTGGTAAGTCGCTAGACAGAGGACCGGATTAATTCAGCTTTAACACAACGCTAACGCTAATGCAAGGAAGTCCAATAGTATTACGCCTATCTCGCCTTGTGACAATTGTTTCGTGAAGCAGCTTCAACTTCCATGGGGTCGCCTTTCGATGGCGGTGATGAGCTGGTCGCATCGTACGGCTCTCTGACCAGCAGTTGCAAGGTGGCGGGCATGTCAATCGTGACCACTACTCTGTTTCAAGTATGGTGTAAGTCAGATTGGCATCGGCCATTTTGTTTACTCATCTCGCAAAGTCGTAGTTCCGTCACCCTAATGACAACGCCCAGATGCTCTGGGAAGACATACGAGGTCTCACCCTCAGATACATGGCGCTCCATCGCCCAGCGTCAGGGCATCAGCGTCGGGTGACTCGTCTCGGGTAAGCTCAACACTGTCACATGAACCTTTTTTAGGCTCATTGCGTCTCAACTTATGCTGAAAGCTGATTGATTGTCTATGCAGATAACAGCTTGAAAACATACTGTGCCGGTTTCAACGCCACAGGTTCTCTCTGCATTCAGAACACATGCACCACATATATTGCAGTCAAAGCAGGTGGCACATGTTCTACTATCGCGAATCTTTTCGCTCTCTCGAGCTAGTGCGTTGCGCCGGTCGGTAATCTAACCACTTACCCCGGATATCCCGGCTATGTGGCGCACAATAACGCGACCACAACCTCCGCTTGGTCATCCGCTCCCAAGGCGACTTACACTCCCCCGGTGCTGAACATCACGGACAACAACCCACCCGCAAATGCCACTCGGTCAGATTGCTTACCAAAGCACAGGAATCCATCTCTCGACACAGCAAGTCCAAACTGAGTGTTCCAAAGAGGCGTGCGATACTGCCTCTTGGCGTACAAACCGACAACCACCACCATCACAACACCAGCACCCCAGCGACGACGCCCACGCCTACTTCTTCCAGTAGCACGGGTCCTGCGATCCCGGCGCCGACGCAGGCGAACAGTATCGTGAGTAATTGCAACAAGTACAAGATCGCCGTGGACTGATATTACTGCTACATATTCGCCCAGAGTAATGAGATTACGGTTGATCAGCTGGCTACGTGGAACACTATCCTCAGTGTGGCCGGCGCGAATTGTGGCACGCAGTTCTAGCTTGGATGTTATTGTTGCGTCGGTGTTTCTTGAGCGGCTGGCTACATGTGTAGGTTGCGTTCGATGCAGAGCGTGGAAATGGTATAGGATACGGCCATCTAGCGCGGCCGTTGTCAGGAGACTCGTCGCCATTGAGGTGCATCAACTATTGGAATATCGATGGCTGACCTAATTCCAGCGTAAAAGGCACCCTCACATGCATAATTGATATATTTAATCCAATTGTGATCCGTTAGCCTCTTAGCTGTCTACATTGCTTAGCTGAACCCTGTTAGCTTAGACTTCTCTAGAGAAACTTAAGAGTCCGTCAACTCTTATGCGACGACGAGTGTGATCTAGAATTACGCCACCTACCCTATCGTGAAGAAGCAAAAACATCAACGTTCGTATACGATGATGGCGTTCTTGAAACACTCCTATCAAATCGAAGCTATTCCTTGAGTGGAAAGGTAGCTTATGGTATAATACTGTTAGCTCCCGCGGCTCTGTAACGTTCCCGACAAATATATTAGCGGCGTCGCCCCACGCAGCCAAGTTTCCAACTTGTAGAAACAACACAACACCAAACAAGTCACAAGTGGGAGGATCGGAACCGACCAGAGTGTTTTCAGCTGAGATGCTAGCAGTCACCTAGGCCCATTTGAGCGATCGTGGCTGTCTGTCAATCAAGTCTGGATTTGCGGCCCGGCGAGATCTTTCCCCAGAGCGGTTATCAAGCCGCTGCTGGCATGTCTGGAACAACCCGTTACGGTCGTTCAGCCCTACAGCATCCTAGTTGGGTTCTTTCGGTGCTGAAGCCAGCCACGTTGTAGTCCCCTCAGCGCCTGTCAGGGAGTAGAGGAGAAAAGGCTCCGGGCTAGGACATAGCCCCTGGCACAGCTTCTCACGTCGAAACGCTCCTGGTCGTAGACAAACGAAGATTGGATCTTCGAGCGCACCTCAGCTCTCTAGATATCAGCGCAGTCAGTTCTGCGGACTAGCCAAGTGGTCGAGCCCAGTCTAGCTAATACGCTATCCAATATAGTGGCTGCTTGCATGTCGAGTAGCTCGTCGTGGTGTGTGTTTCTTTTTCATGAATTAGCTTACTGACTCACTTGTTTACATCTCCTGAGCCGATCCTAAACTTTGCAGCACGTCTGAGCGCAAGCGACAGACGACTTAGGCAAGAATATACCAGGAAGGCTGGGATCAGGCAGGAAGCGGCAGCATAGCAAGACCGAGAGCGTTCCATCGACGATGATAGGTAAAAGAGGAGAGGGTTCGTAACCCTTTCTGCTCTTCTATAAATACCAAGTGTTCTCGCAAATCGTCGATGGCTTGTACTTTGCAAGACTCACCAGCCCAATTTAAACCACGAAGAACGCATCAACATGGTTGGCGGTGACGGAGGTCAGCCCTTTAGAGACGCCGAGCGTCAGTCAAACTTGCGACAGATTAACATACGATGTGCCCGCCGCGTCGACAGTCTGCAGTGCATCTACGCAGACGGTAGCAGCTCGGAAAAACATGGGGGAGATGGCGGCAGAGATGAAATCTTCGCCCTCGATTCAGGTCAGTTCGATGCGATACTCTCACGATGAAATGTGCATTTTGCTAACGTGCTCAATGCCTGTAGACGAGGCAATCATTGTAATAGTTTTCTCCATCATACCAATGATCAGACAGCAAGACTAACTATCTATCTCTAGACGGTCTGGATATGGTCCGGTAGTGAGATCGACGCCATCCAGTTTCAGACCACGAAGGGGCGACTGTCTCCCAAGTACGGCGGCAGCGGCGGCGACCCGACCATCTTTCGCGGCCATGACGGCACGCGGGAACGAGCTCTGATGGCCTTTGAAGGCCGCTCGGGGGATATCCTCAATTCGTTGGATGTAAGTCCAAGTCCCGGTGATATCCCAACGTGACAAATGTGTATCTGATAGCAGCCCCACAGCCGATATGGTCGAATGCGCGCGAGCTGGACAGTGAACATGTTGCAGTGGGAGATGCCCAGGGTGGCGACGGAGGCGATCCATTCGACATGCTCACCACCGTCAGCAATGCATTCCCCTTCGTCCTGAAGGCCATCCACATCCGAGCGGCTAGAACCGTAGACGCGATCGAGGTGACTATTTCCCATCCCTGAACTAGTTTCTCACTGGCCACCAATCAGCCTTAGATAATCTGATGCTGATGATGTTGATTCTGGAGTGTGTCTTCGCCGACATCGACGGTCGCGAAGTCCGAACGGGCCGTCAGGGAGGAGACGGAGGCGACGCCTACGTCTTCACGCTAGAAAACAACGAGCGCATCATACGTGTCGAGGGTCGGGCTGAACAACTCATCGATAGATTGCAGTTCTTCACGAACAAGGGCCGTACGTGTTCACCTGATGCCATTCATGTCGAGGTTTACTGACTCCATGTCTTATAGGTGCCAGCCAGACATACGGTGGCGACGGAGGTCACGCATTCGTTTGGAACCCACCATTTTCCGGACACGACTCGGCCGCCGATGCCAATATGTCCCTTATGTGTTTCCAAGGCCGATCCGCTCGCCGTGTAGACCGCCTAGCTCCGGTATGGTCCCCCGATCCGCCAGTCAACTTCGCCCTGAGCATCGACTGGTTCGAGGACATCAGCTCGGCCATCACCAGCAGCCCAGAGACGGCCTGGACTAGCGATCAGAGCGTCGTCAACACGACGATGGACAATATGTCGGCCAAGGTAGTGTGGGCCATGCAGGCGTCCAAGTCCTCGACCATCACGCTGTCCGACTCGAGCCGCAACAAGGTCGGCGGCAAGGTGGCCTTCGAGGTCACCGCGAAGGGCAAGCGTGGCATCCCGTACGTCGCCGAGGGCGAGGTCTCGGTCAAGGCCGGCGTCGAGGCCAGCGGCGAGAAGGAATGGGGCAACACGGCGACAGATGGCAAGACTGTGTCGCGCACATACACTGAGACCATCGAGCAGACCGTTACCGTCCGGCCCAGCATGCAGCTACAGGGCCGGGCCGTGGCGTATAAGGTGGCTGTCCATGACCTCAAATGGAGGGGCAACATCACCGTCACTTATGCCGGGGGTGGGAAGAGGACCTTTGCTGTCGATGGCACCTTTGACAGTGCCAGCGCGACTAAGTGCCATACCACCTACGAGACCAAGCCTCTGTAGTCGCGCACTCAAACTTCATCTTGGAATAGATGCCTCGACAGAGCATCTGTCAGATGTGCGGCATCCAGATGGTTCTTTGCCACATGAAGGATATAGAAGAATGATTTGTAATAGCTCTCGGAACTCACCTGTGTATATATGTCACAGTAATCTCTGTATCATAGAAAAGAAGAACAGAGACAGAATTCAACACGCAATTTCAACAAACGGCTGAGACTTTATCCCTGAGATCGAGTATACCACTGCAGCCCAGGGCGCGAAGATGAGGCAGGCCAGTCGTGAGATCCTCATCTCCATGGCCATCATCGCTTTCTATCTCGAGGCAACCAGGAACAAGGCTTACCCAATAGGAACGTGAATAGTCTAGATCCGCCTTGAGTGAAGCATTGTTGCTGGTAGTCTGACTGATTTTATATTTCCTTGTATCAAGTTGTAGAAGTGATGGAGAGCTAGCTGTAGTACCACTGTGGACTCCGTACAGAAGGCTACTTATAGTGGGTAGGCACCTATGGGGTCAGGTGACAATTGTGACCGTAAAGCCCAGTTTTTCCCTCACTTTTGGAGCCCAGAACTTCCACTTTGGTTGCTAGTTAGCCTTCCATACAACCTACAGCTTCTTCAACAGATGACACCCAAGCTACCTAGGTAGACTAGGAATAACCGTGCTGATAAGTTGGGTATACACCTGTGCATTCGGATCCCAGCAGGCATCTGCAACGACGGTGACAACGAATTCAATATCCGTCCCATGTAACATGTGTTGGTCAGGGTGGACAATACCTTACTTAGGCACATGTATACGCGATGTGCATATTTGATTGTAGCGACAAGAGGTGCGCATATAACTAATTCCAGCTATACCTAACTACGTATGACGAGACTAAATCAATGCCGCCGGCTTGGGTTTCATAACGGCAGGGAGGGTTGTTATACTGTAAGTAGGTAGTACTGCTGCAACTCAACGACCAACATGCATAAGTCAGCTTCAATTGCTCGGCGTGTTGACGGCGACGGCGCGAAACACCGACTATCCTACAATTTTCTCGTTTTGAGCGCGAGGGAGTCTGGTGGGCGCGATCATGACAATTATTTTGACGAGTGCTAGCTACTATCTCACTCCGCAGAATGTTCATCTGAAGTAGTTGAAATGAACGATGCTACTGTGAAGTAAATCAATAAGTATTAGCAACTTAATCGTCAAGTTCAGGTAACTTCCATCCACCTGGACACAGCTTTTGGAACACCCCATCCGGATCGTAATGATTTGCAGCTTCCCTCATCTTCTTGACATTCTCCGGTCCATAACTCGTGAGAACATCTTGGGACTTATCCGCGTAGTTCATGTACAACCAACGGAAGAGCCCGCCCTCTATCGATTGCGCGAACTCTTTCAAACTCTCCACGTACCCCTTCGCCTGAGCATAGGCAAAGGCATGTTGCTCTTCCGTCTTCATGATTACAATCACCTGGAACAGAATTCCGTCGCTCTTGTTGTCTTCGACACCCATGATGTTGCCCCCAGCTCTGAGCGACTGCTGGGCTATGATCATGGGAAGAGGCTGGAAGGTACACTGTGACATGAAGTCGCCGTCTGGCATGAAGGACTTTAGACTAGCTACAAGCTCGTCATGAAGCTCAGAGGCCTTGAGCATGATGCGCGGGTCACTCTTGAAAGTTAGGGTGAACCAACTCGTACTATGGAAAGCGATTAGTATGGCCGTCTAATTGTCAGATGCCCTAGCGAATAGTCCACTTACTAATGGTCCTTAGGCAATGTAGCCTCGAAAGAGAGGTCATATAGTGAGGTCGTCTTGATCATTTCTGTGATCCTGGGGAGCTCTTTCCATTCATCGAAAATGGGGTCATCCGTCACCCCTGCTGTGTTAACCACTAACACGATCGCAGTTACGTCTTTGAGATCGGGTTGGTATCCAATGACAATGATGAGATTGTTTTCCGTGTTCTGCTTTATCTTCGTAACGAAGTCCATGGTCATTCGACAGATTTTGGGTATCGTATCTTTAGGGGTCACTAGGATTCCAGCCCAGACTTGATCGAGGGGCACAGTCGTAAGAGTGAATCGGGTGACGATGCCGAAGTTGTTCCCTCCACCTTTGAGCACCTGTAGCAGATCGGCGTGATCGCTCCTATTGGCACTTACGATCTTACCGTCGGCCAGGACAACCTCGGCGGCGACGATGTTATCGCACGCCCAACCCCTCTGTGCCGTGAGCCAGGCATTCCCCCCACCGAGAAGGAAACCACCGACGCCGACACTGCCCGCACGCCCACCGACAACTGCGCGATTGTGCTTCTGGAGTTCTCCGTACACCTGGTTCCATAAACAGCCGGACCCGACTTGGACCGTCTCAGACTCTTTGTCAAATACGATCTGGTCGATGAGGCCGAGGTCGATGGTCACTCCGTCTTCGATGTTGCTGGCCCCTTCCGGCATGCTGTGCCCGCCGCTACGGACAGCGAAGAGCTGGCGAGCATTGACGAGCGTGACTAGGTCGCGCGAGAGCTCTTCAGCTGACGCCGGACGAAGGATCCTTGTGGGCCTCTTCTTGGCTGTATTTGACCAGTAAGATGCAACACGCTCTTCGTACGCAACCTCCGCGGGACACAGCACCTGTGAGAGTAGCCCCGCGTCATCGAGAGCAGGAGGAGGGGTTAAGGCCATGTTGGTGTGGCTGGTGGATGGCGAGACTACGAAAAGAGTTGGTTGCGACTCTATAAAGTCACGCCATCACAATGTATCGTGGTAGTACAATGAGCCCTACCACTCACAGGTTAAATGAGCGTACCAGAAGAAAGAGGCTGCCCAGAGACAAGACAATTGTCAGATTTGAGCCAACTACATGAAGTCTGGTCAGAATGTGTGTTACATATACGGCAGATACTAAGAAGGGGCAGGCAGGGTTAAATCTGCAGTCAGCCATTGTTGAGCCTGCAGTTGTTAGGCTATCTAACCACAAGTCATCTGCGGCATTTATCATTACCAAGTACCCAACCTTAGTAATCTTCATATACTTAGCGATTGGTCTACTAATGGCTAGCTACCTGCATCTACCGCTTGAAGTTATCACCAGCCCTAATTATACCCCACTCCCACGTCTAACTTCAACACCTTCACCTTCAACACTCCTGCCTTTCAGTACCTACCTAGGTAGTTATGCGGAAATAGTTTAGAGATAGCGCTTTGGCCACATTGTCACTTCTTTTGACTTTATTTCTCTTGCAATTATTGAGAAGAAAATGCGTACATTATAAGTCATAATTAGCGATTATATTGCGCGTCATACTAATTTTGATGGTATTTCTTTGGCCGCCATTTCCGCAACTAAAAGTCACAGATCGTTGTATGCAGAAACGAGCGAAATCACTCCGTTCTAATTGGCTATAAATCCTTGTCTCTAAATCTTGCATTTGGGGGCGGAAATGGCAGCCAAAGGGATACATCCTAAACATGGCTATCAATGTCAGACAGCTGCAACAGCCCGATGACTACAGGCTTAACCCTGCTCCTGAAAAGGGTCTATTCATCCCCTGAGCTCCTCCTTTTCTAACTACTTCAAGTGCCACACGCTCTACTTCAGTTGACGCGGGGGATCATCCATTCTTTGGGACTTGTTGAGGTACCGTAATATATTCTTTACTCCTTTCCTTATAGTCCGCTCCTAAGTATAATATAATTGGGTGCTACTGAACGATTAAAATCAATAAACTAGCTATTACGACAGCCGGCGTAGCTTTGCCACTCAAAGGCTGTATATATACGTACGAAGTACGGAAGCCCGGATACCGGTACTCCAGTTCAGAGTATTGCAGACCTTTCGGTACCGGGCTAGCCACTGCGACGATTACCGGTACCTATACTGAATCCACGTGTGGGTTGCATCTCGCTTGCTTTTGTCAAGGGTACCGACGGTTGGAGTTTGGAGTGCATGAAAACGGCATTCATTGAAGTAAGCAATGGTAGGAGGATCTATCCAACCGGAGGATAATACGTGACTTCGCCAAGCCTTTCCATCAACCGCTGGGACGCAACGCGATAAACATGCCTTGACCATCGTGATGAGAGAAAGATCAGAACGCTAAGTAAAGATGATTGGCTGATGTTATAAACAAGATGACGCCGATACTGATAAAAACGCCTGGACTCATGACACTAACCATCGCGTACATACGTCGGAGTGCCTTCCTTTTAGGTTGGTGTCACAGGTGGCAAAGATCACATGCACTCTAGGTTGTGCGATGTATCCAGTCGACCAATCCAGGAGCCATACTATCGGGAGGTAGTAGATTATATCTGCTAATCACCTTAGATATGCATGTATGACATACCTACCTATGCTGTCGGTGCAGGATGATCATGAGGTATTTTGTTGAGTCAAGAATGTGCGAGTAGGTTCACGCTGATTTCTTCTTAATACATGACGTGTTACAGCCTTACTCTCCTTAGTCTGTCCTACTTTAAACATATTTTCGTTATCAATACAGCATGTACGGGGAGAAAATGGGATATTTAGGCCGTAAGTGGATTGGTGAGCTGGATTGTCTTCCGCGTACATGACTATCAGCTACATAGATCGACTCCTAAGCTATACCATTCCTCGTGATTAACCAATACATCTAATAGGCTTGGCCGCCCCTCTGATTATTTGCATGGATTGCAGCAGGAGGGTGTGAACAGCACATATATGCCGATTCATTGATCGATTCATTGATTGACGTAGCATTCAGCCAGTTCGATGAGCATCTCAAGATCGCAGAGAATTACTCATGTACGCCATCGCTGTTCCCGCCGTTGGTCGTATCATGAAGGCCCATGTTTATCACAGGAGCTGTGTCCGCCGCAGTAAACCCTACAGCCACCTTATAAGGGCTGCTTGTGGCGTTCTCCATGATCCTTGGAGCTTGGTGCCCTAGCAATTTTAGATCCGACAACAAAAATCACCAAATCCGTTGACTCAATATGTCTTTGATACCTTTTCTCGATGCTAGTGGAAAGCTAGGTTGGACGCAGGCGGCATTGAGTGCAGCGGGCCTTACTTTTACATGGTACATCGTTAGCTCTGTTGTGGCCTGGTATAAGCTGCGGCATATTCCAGGGCCGTTTTTGGCATCCTTCAACAATATTTGGGGGTTCTGGGCTATCTGCACGGGTCAAAGTAACCAGATTATCGCAGATGCGCAGAAGAAGTATGGACGTGTAATGGTATGTGCTGCAAACTACTTGTCTCTCGTCCCTCGACCTCCTTACGTCAAGGCGGAATGGCTGGTTCTATCAATATTATTCAAACACTCCCTACTGACATTGTATATTTTTGGCCTTAGCGGGTCGCTCCAGACGCTATCTCGACTTTTGATCCAGAAACTTTGTTTCGAATAATCTCGCCTAGGTCTAACTACCTGAGGAGTCAGTGGTATACAAACGCGCGGTTCGACCACCGAGGCGACAGCGTGTTCACCATGACAAACACTCCCAGTCACAACAAGCGGAAGGCAAAACTGGCACCAGCGTTTTCCGGGAAGAACGTACCATTTCTAGAGACTAAGCTCGATAAATGGCTGACAGCTCTTATAAAGACTATTCGTGACAGAATAGCCAAGGGAGAAGAGACCATAGAAATCGGTCTACTAATAGAACACTTTCAGCTGGATCTAATCTCAGAGCTATCGATGGGACAGCCATGGGGCAATTTACAAGCAAATGAAGATCATTTCGGGTATCTGGAGATGAGAAAAACCGTTATACCTTCGATCCAGTCGTGGTTACACATACCGCTGGCCCGAAAAATCTTCATGTCGTCAGTATTTCTGAAGCTTTTCGCCCCCAGGACTACAGATACTAAAGGGCTAGGCCTTTTCTTAGGGTATGAATATGCCCTCCTTATCGTTCTATGAATTAGTAATATTAATACTGACTTCTCTTCAGGGTGCTCGAAGATGCAGTGAAGCGGCGCTTTAGCGTAACACCAGAGAAAGCTCCGAGGGAACAAGACATCCTAGTACGTTGGAGACTTCACACCCTTTTTCCGCCACCAAATGTCAATCTAAACGTGAGGTTGATAGCTGATAATTATTCACTCAGGATATATGGATTGAACACGGCCACTCCGCCCGCGAATGTCAACTAGATTTAGCAATCTTGGTTCCAGCTGGTTCTGATACTACTATCATGATGATACGTGGCACTTTATTACTCTTGATGTCCACGCCAGCGGTCTACTGGAAGCTCAAACAGGAAATCAGGGACGCAATTTCAGACGGTCGTATCTCTAGTCCCGTCACTAACGAGGAAGCCAAGAGTCTCGAGTACACGCAAGCCGTGGTACGAGAGGGCTTCCGAATCATGATGCCTGTAAACTATGGATTTCCGAAACAAGTACCTGATTCTGGAGATACCATCTGCGGTATACCAATACCTGGCGGAACCGATGTATACGTGAATTACGAGTCCTTGATGCGCTGCGAGGAGGTCTTTGGTAAAGATGCGGATATCTTCCGCCCAGAACGTTTCCTTGGCAGTGGGCCAGATGTTGCATACAAGGTGAAGGTTCTCGACCTCGCCTTTGGCGGCGGCTATTTCACGTGCCTGGGAAAGACTTTGGCGGTTATAGAGATGAACAAGGTATTTGTTGAGGTAAGGGCACTTTTTGATACAAAGTATTATTATGCTTTGCAAGTGGTACAGCTTGCTGATACAGATTTCCAAACTTGCAGTTATTTAGGAACTTTAACTTCCAAACCGCCAACCCAGAAAAGCCATGGAGACGAGAAGTATATACAACCTGGTTGGTTCATGATTTCTGGACGAGGGTAACGGAAGACACGACAATGGGGTGATGTATTAGGGCAACCACGGTCCCGGGAGGTGTTTTTTTTACCATTCCTATATTTATCATTCGTCAAATTATTCTTACTCAGTTATCTACGGCCCTGTTAAATATCATTCAATATTATTTGTCAGTAGTCTCAAGGCAACCCTCCTCTCCCTGAATTCACAGAGAATGATGTCGGTGGTGTACGACAAGGTCGTTATATGGTAGATTGAACATATGGGAAATGGCTCAATATTATTTTCTTGAATAGCTTTCCATTGGCTAGGGAACACATTAGCAATATCTGGATTATGAACTGAATCCGCCTCGCCTCATAGCTGTAACTCTAAGACATTGTGACCATGCACTCAAACAAGAACGGTGCCCGGTGTTTCTACAAAGAAAATTAACGATTCACTTCGTAGGTGGCCCCGAGTGCGCATGCATTTATCACTTCCGACCCTCATTGTTTTTCCTCTCACACCGAGCTCTAAAACACATATGAACCAGATAATCTCTCAAGGCTCCTACACCTCTGGCACCGAACCCCTTTATCGATTTCGGTTTGAATCTGTTCGTGTGTAACATCAATGCCCCTCGTTACACTCAAGGTTTCTTGTAGTTCCTCCAAAGGTATGTGTCCAAGACGCTGATGCCAACGCCAGACCCGCTCACTCGCGTATGTCTCCGCCTCCTGCTGCGTAGGTGGGTTGCGATAGTCCCAAACAGGGGCTTGGAATGCATCAAGAGCAGCATTCGCCAACCGATCTGCATCTGCATTTTGCTCACGCATAACGTGCCAGAAGAGGACCCTGATCCTCTTCTCGCGACCCAGACGGTTGATCACATGCAAGAGCTCCTTGAACAAGTCTTGATTCTGGACGGGTTGTGATCGCGCATTAGTGAAGCCGTTATCGAGCCACTTGAAGATCCACTCCGTTATCCCATTGACAAGATAAGCTGAGTCCGATTTGACAATGACTCTATCCAGAGTTCGACCGGAAGTGATATGGTGTTTCCACTCATGAGCGACAAGGTTGCCAATGGTTTTCAGAGCTCGCAAGGCAGCGCATAGCTCAGCGCGCTGCGAGCTAGCGTCGCGATGGGGTAGTCGGTCGGATTTGTTCCAGCTGCTGTCGTCTCCGAAGAAGACGCCCAGTGCTGCTCGAGCATCAGGTTGACCGTTATTGCGACATGCGCCGTCTACAGCGACTATTAAGGAATTGAACTCGTCGTCGCGGAGACGAGTGAGTGTCATCGGAACTTCAATAGTTTCGCCAGAGCGAAGAGCTCTTCCGAGATACTTCTCCGGGTAGAAACTAGAAGCCATAGTTCGTTTTGTCTGACCGGTTGATAGAGAAAGAGGGTGAAGCCGTCTCAGGGATTCTAGAAGTACGATACCTCGCTCAAGAGCGCCATGAAGCTTATAACACTAGGCCAGTAGTATCAAATTAAGGCAAATGGTCAATCGTATTGATTGTTAGAGAGAAGATTTCTCCCCAACGAAACGGCTTGGGAAGAGTAGACGTTAGCAAACGGTTGAACAAACGCCACAACCAAGCCAGGGCGTAATTGTGCAGATCCGCTAGAGAAACGACAGTCATTGATTTGTCGCTGCTCAGCCAATCATTGCTATTTGTTTTCTAAGGTGAGACATTATTAGATATTTAGACAGCCTATATGCACATTTTTTCTCAACACATAAACGGATTGTGCGGAATTCTGTGTTCAAATGCAGTACAAATATTTGTGACGTGTTTTTCTAGCTCGGTATTTGCTATCTAAAATATTATGTTATATTCGCAATCTCAAGAATCTTCGGAGACCATTGTTCTTGAAGGTTGAAGGCATCTCAGAATGTCTCCATGTAATCGACTAGTTTTCAGTGCCGTGATTTGGTTCATAACGCCTTCTGGGTCCACGACTTAATAGCTTCCTCAATTTTAGGGGCATACAGCCAAGACATTTGATTCGGGTTTGTCGCTGATTCGTCGAACCACAGGTCTTCTTTCGGCAATAGAGCCTGTTTCTCCGGGGGCAGGCGCTTGTTGTTGAGCTGTCGTGTTAAGACAAGGAGATCGTCAATACGATCTTGGCGCATCCTTTGCCAGTACTTTAATGCTTCTCCCCATTCTAAACCTACGTTTTCTCTTACTGCCGCCAATATCAAGGCTAAACTCGTGACATCTTCAAAGGCTTGTGACGCACCTTGGCCTGTAGTTGGAGGAATCGCGTGAGCGGCATCACCAAGAATAACCACACGCTGATATTTCGGGGAGGTCCAATTAGGCAGTCTGGGGATCGCGTAGAATGGCCATACGTTCATGGTGTCACGGTCGATAACCTCCATGCTAGACTTGGCAATGTCAGGCCAGACCTCAAGATTGGTTGTCACTCGCGCAACTAGAGCCTCCTTGTCAGCCATAAAAGTGTCCCAGCCCTCCCTATTTTTATCTTCGATAGCGATTTGAGTCCCAGCTAGCATCGCCGAGCCATCAGGCTTCTGGGGCGCAAGAACAAACGCGCCGTTTGCTGTCAATACGGTGACAGGGAACTTGTAATCCTTGTCCTCGGGGATTCGTAGCTGCTCTGTCGGAGTCTCCCATGTTAAGGCGGCAAGGCCTACAAATTTCTTCTCAACACCAGGAATCACATAGTCTCTCAGCTTGCTGTGGATGCCATCTGATCCGATGAGCAAGGAAGCCGTTTCAGTACTCCCGTCGGTGAAACTGAATGTGACACGGGTATCCGACTCATCGACCACTTTGGCGAATTTCTTGCCAAAGTGAATTGGGATGCTTCGCTCGACGCAGGCAGTATAGAGAACATCGAGGAGGTCCTGACGATATATGCGCAACGCCTTGTAGCCAAAGGCAGACTCATTGCCAAACGGGTAGCGCTCAGTGGTCTGTTCGTCCGCATTCTTATAATATACATGTTCAAAAAGGTAGCCTTTTTTCTTGATCTCGGAGTAGACACCTAATTGATCTAGGATCTTCAATGCATTGGGTGCTAGCATCAATGCGCCGCTCGATTTCGGTGGCGCGGCGTTGGTGTTGCGCATTTCAAATACGGAACACTTGATTGAGAGCCCATGGAGAGATAAAGCGGCTGCAAGTCCCTGTGAAATCTTCAGTGAGTATGTATATACATGTATATATAAGGCTTGAGATGTACGTACAGCAAGACCGGCCCCGATGATAGCAACATTGTCGGAGTAAGACAGCATAGTGCCGATGCTCAACCGTTTCTTCTGCACTGAGATCGTTTTAAATGAATAAGTATCTGGTTATATATACCGTATTTTGAGAAAGTTGATGAAAGCAATCGTCTTAAGCGTAAGTTTGCGAGGATATAGAGAACCAGAGCTAGATTGTGTGATGAGATGTCGGATCTGGACTCAACTGTCATGAGCGGGCTGTCGAGCACTTATATAGTCCTCTGAAGAAGGATGAAAGGAGCGCAAGCCCGTTCGGCGCAGCATAATAAATTGCTCACTATGATCAAAGTAGTTTTGATTTCTGCTGTGTGTTTGGCTCTATCCTGACACTCAACCCATACAGCAGTACCGTACTCTGTATGATTCCGATGCGATACACTCGGCCGATACTAAGTCTAACTACTCTCGTCTCGGCCGAGTCGTTTCGATGGATAACAAATCGCGTCGGACATTATGTCGAAGGCGTTTCTCCAAATCCTTCTGACGACCTAGGTTAGATGGGTTACCAGCGCCTTGGATACCAGCTTACGCCATCTCGGCTTATACTCTCATGCAGGGGTATCGAGCGTGAAGCTGACATTTTATGCAAGTACCTCGATTTCATCCTAGCGGGGTGAGACGTTAGCGCGCGAGACGAGAAAAAAAAAAGGATATGGAACGCTTCACTGAACAATGGTAATGGTTCGAGCGGGTTGACACAGCATCGCGCAACCTTGTTGCGTTCTATATAGATATCATTGCAGTTGGGCGGACTTATTGATGGATATTCGCAATTGCGATAATCAACATCTCCCGCAAACGGTTAGCTGTGTTATGAAACTATCTAATGTTAGTGTTATAGTGAGTACAAGCGACCGGATTCCCGATCTGACAGCGTTCTATCTTTAGGCAGCGTCGTGATATAATGGTGCGCTTGTATTGTATGACAGTTAGATACAGGAACATTGTTTCATCGTAACTGAGGTTTTAAGTAGCCGCCTGATTATAGTAGCAACATTAGTAGAGTAGGCTTTTGTCACAAGCTGATATAAAAGGCGAATGAGGCGAACCCATACCGTCTCTTGCCTGATTGCTTCATTAAAGCAGAGGTGGGCAGCAATTGCATTGGGCGTAGTGGGTGCCGAGAGAAACGAGGTGAAATGGGGTGAGTTGGTATATAAGGTGCTGATTGTTTAATCTGGTACAGTTGGTCGAACACATTCTAGAGCTCGGGCCGTAATATGTATCAAGAGACTTCTCATGAATCCGCCTTTACAGAACAGGAAAGTGAAGCATATCACAATCCATATAACATTACATTGGCAGCCGTAGCTGTCTTGAACATTCATTTTAGTGACGCGACGCGGTTTAAAAACGACTTATATTCATTCATTATCATCGGACCAAACACCATTACATTCCTCCTTTAGTATGCCTAACGTGTCCCTGTGCTCTTCGCAAACTCTTCCAGATGCGCGTACCATATTACGCCATTACCGTTGATTGCGTCAATAACACATTCGTTCCCGTTGAAGCAATTTCTATTATAGACCATCAGTACATATCCAAATCATCCCACAACAACCGCACGATCACGTACATTCAGCCTCAGCGACTTAGTCGAGGACGCCAACGGGTGTCTGGCAGAGAATATCCTGTCCAAGAATGGGGAGGACACAGCATCGCGCGCGCTGGCCGATATCAGAGCAGACGGCCATAAAGTTTGCGGCGTCAGTTGGGACGCTGGGAGGGTTGGCGCAGTCAAGATCCGCAACACCTAGAACGTCTGTAGCGCAGCATTGCGATGTGCCGTAAAGGCCGGTGCAGGGCACGTAGGCCTGGCGGTCCTCAATGGCCGGGGCGGCGACGGCGACGGTCGCGAACAGGGCTGCAATGATAGCGGTGAACTGCATTTTGTGTGTTGAAGATTGGAGTTGGATAGAGGGTAGTAGTTCTGATGGGAATAGAAGAAGACAGCTTTGTGTTAGTATCTGACTTATTGATGATGATGAGTTCTAGGACACCTTGAGCCGGCGGAAACCCGGAGGCTTTATAAGTTTTCTGATTTCGTGTTATGACACCAAATCAGAGCGCTCACACTACTATTCGTTCACCTTGGCCGTGTTCCTTGGGTCACAATCAAGGCACTGCATCTGCGCTTCGATGGCGTAGCTGAGTAATGACGACGTTGACTTCATATCGAACCATCTCCTGTGTCGTTACTCGATCTCAGTCACAATATCCCGGCAGATATGTGATATACCGTGAGCCTTAAAATTAGTGTTGCCCACGAATTGGCCATACAAGACTATCATCATAGCCTTTTCGCCTTGGGTGGGTATGACATGATCGCGCCGATCCCCGTTGGCCTCTCACTGCCCCTGCATTGAAACCATCTAGCCAGGGGCTGTCGACTGCATCCCGGTAGACCGGCACATACTACTCGATCTACCTATGTAGAGACAGGATTAATGCATCTCATTAAACCCACGCGAGGCGGTGTCAAAAAAACTAGTCCGGTTCACCAACACCACCCACCTACACCTTCAACAGCCGTTTTTTTAACCCGTTTTTGACGTTATTCAAACCTATTCTGACCTATTCTTGCCAGATTTTTAACGTTTGTGATAGGTGTGTTATACGCTTAATTAAAAGTGTAGAAGGTGTTTTTTTATGTTGTGTTTTACCTTGCTACCAGCATTTCTAAAGCTATATTTTATAATGTAGGTGGACCGGACTAGTTTTTTTGACACCGCCTCGCCACGGAAAGCTATTGGTGGGAGGTAAGGCTATGACATGGTCTCATTGGGCTAGTTCCGATACTGAAATACGGGAACTGCTCTGAGATTCAATAACGATGAGGCTTTCTCGGATGAAAGGGATCATTCCACATGCAAGTTGTTGATAGACACATGAGATGTGATTCTATTCGTGCAATAGTGAGTACAAAGTAGGTTTACATGTGGATTTGACTCTCACGAGTGTAACGAAGTAAGCATGTTGAAAGACGGCGCGAAGTATCTTTCAACAACTGATGTTAATCCAATGCGAAGATTCAATATTGTGAGACGGTAAGCACCGATGACATCAACTGAAGCTACAACGCAGGAACAAATTTGCAAGGGTTGAATAGTGGAGATATATAATAGTGTGTTATAGCTATGACATACACGCGTTCAGACACGTTCTAACATTTTCTCCGAACATAACCCTACAGTCCTAGCACCTGGGTATTCTGCGCGGGTGCTGGGCAATCCTCGACAAGAGAGTAGAGGTGAAAGTCGAGAGCCCTGCATTGGTGTGCATGAGAGGGTCCGCATACAAGACTTCGTAGCTATTTTAGATACGAAAAGATCGCCATAAACCATTGTGGCTGCGCGCTGCCATGAGGTGGCGACTACACCACTGCTGCCAACGTTGTACGAGACAGAATCGGTGCCCATCAATGGCAGCACACATCCAATGGCATCGCATAATTGAGAAAAGAAGTATAATAGGAATAATCTTACACTGAAACCGACCATAGAGAACAAGTGGTCTTGCGCACGAAAGAAAACAAGGAAATGGGCGAGAGATCGTCCGGGATGAGTACCGTAACGAGCTAGATGTCCTTAGAGGCAAAGAGATGACGCCGGTATAAGATTCCACATAAGCCCGGGGTTGCCCACAACGCGTTGCTGTAGTCGTTTCCTTTATATTACAGGCGAGACCTCGGTGAAGAGCGCCGAGAATACAAGACTACCAATTGAGGAACGGGAACAAATACTATGTAATAGGGCCACTGGGGTTTCTACACTACACCGCAGGTCTACGCTGACTGGGTAACCTCTTCGTCATTGGTACTGGCAACAAGGCATCATCCTGGCTTTTACACTGACTAATCCTAGAACCCTGAGCATTCACCAAATGAGTTGATAATACGTGGTGAGTGGCAAAGATCAGTTGTTGGATCGCTGGGTTTTCAGTTCCTACACCATGTTGTCATCACCCATTCCGGTGTTATACCAACTTGGATGACAAAGGAAAAGGTAAAGGACCTATGTTGTCATCGGCCAACCTCTTAGCTTCCAAGCCTTGGTATAGCCGATCTCAACATGTGTAAGCTTCCTGCTCGTAATTTCCCGTAGTTTCAAGCATGTTGATTACGAACCGCTGCGCAACAAGCTAGCTAGTACAAAGTCTGGGAGCTATTAGGCTGCTCATACAAGCAACGTTTAGTGGGAGTAAAATGGGACTCGTGCCGATAGTGTCCTCGGCAATTGTCCTTGTTGATGATGCTGCGTACAATTACAAACTTATCTATCGTTGCAATGTCTATCCCTGCCGTGTCTGCCTTTTCCACGCGAGTTTAATCACACACTTATGCGCCTGCCGCTGTCGATTAAGCATAGAAATTGACCGTCTTCAAAGAGAGTTAGCTGAAAGTAATAGAAGAGTGAGGGAGATCGTGAGAGCCAGCTTACCTCCTTCTTCTTGGCCTGCACTTCCGCAATGGCATCCACGTAGTGTTCGTGACTAATCTTATTCTTGCCCATCCTCAGCGCAATCATACCCGCCTCAACACAGACCGCCTTCAACATGGCACCACCAAATTCGTCTGTGCTACGCGCCAGTTCTCCCCAGTTCACACTGCTATCCACCGTCATTTTACGCGAATGAATCTTCAAGATTTGAGCTCGAGCTTCCTCATTTGGTAAGGGGAACTCGATTTTTCGATCTAGACGACCAGATCGCAGCAGGGCGGGGTCAAGGACATCCACACGATTTGTAGCGGCAAGAACTTTGATACGATCATCTGAAGCAAAGCCATCCAGTTGGTTTAGCAATTCAAGCATAGTTCGTTGGACTTCTCTGTCACCGCTCTTCTCGCTATCGAATCGCTTAGTACCAACGGCATCAAGTTCATCGATGAAAATGATGGCAGGGGCCTTCTCCTTGGCAAGTGCGAAGCAGTCCCTTACGAGTTTAGCACCATCTCCAATAAACATCTGAACCAACTGAGGACCGGCAAGCTTGAGGAAAGTCGCGTCAGTCTGAGCGGCACAGGCTCGCGCTAGCAGCGTCTTTCCAGTACCTGGCGGACCGTACATTAGAGCACCTAGAACATTGTTAGCGCAAGGCCGCATCAATATAAAGGGCGTGTCGTGATAACCTTTAGGTGCCTTGATGCCGATCTTCTTGAAACGCTCGGCCTCCTTCATCGGCCATACAATGGCCTCAACCAGCTCTTCAATCTGCTTGTCTAAACCACCGACATCACTATACTTTTCCGTGGGCTTCTCGTCCACCTCCATGGCCTTTACGCGGCTATCATACTCAGCAGGTAGTGTGTCTAGAATGAGATAAGAATCTTTGTTGACGCCGATAAGATCACCTGGCTTCAGAGCCTCGGGGTCCACAAGGCCGATTAGTGGTAAGAAAATGGTTTGCCTCGTCGAAGTCTTAATGACAGCGGATTTACCGACTCGCGTGGCATCCAAGTCGATATTGGCGCCTTCCTCGGAAGATTCGGCCGTAGGATCGAGGTCTAGCAGTTCAACAACATTTCCGACGAGATATGGTAATTGCCTATGCACACTTTAGCTTTGCGAGATTGCAGAGGGCCCGGGAATGAGAGAGAGAGACAAACCGGTTGTTGGCGATCTTTTCTACGTTTTCCTTGATCTTTTCGGCCATGGTGGCTTTCTCGTGTGATAATCGCTGGTATTCACTCTTCATAATACGAGCGTCGTTCTCGAGCAGGCGTTTGCGGGTCTGTAGATCTTGTGTGCTGAGGCTTAGTATCTCCTCGTCCAGAATCTCGTCCTCTTCAGGCTGGGCATCCTGCATTTCGGCATCGCCTTCGTTGTTTGCCTTGTTGTTTTCGTTCCCTTGGCCATCATTCTTCTTTTCCTTGTCATCGCCCGAGCCTTGACGCCTCGAGCCCTCCCTGTCTTGGATGCTCGACATGATGGAAGCTGGATGAGAGTGGCAGAATACCACGAGCACTGGCGCAAAAGGTCGTGAAGCCGAATTCGCTGTCCGGACAAATGCGGTATTATGGAGCGTTCCCGTATCTTGCAATCGTTTATAGACACGCGTGTTGGGATAGCAGTCAAGCCACGTGGATCGGGGTGGAAGAGCTGATGAGCGGTGGTGATGATCTCGGAAGGGAGCTTCAGGCTGGGTGAGCTCACAAGGCAGGCAGCTGGCACGTAATCAGGCAAATGAATAAAGCGGGGCACCTGGGTACTTCAAGTCATCAGCGCTGGCAGGTGAAACTCCAAGTACCAAAGGGCATTTGATAAGCGAATAAGCCAATTGAGTTCAATGGTATCAATGGTATCAATGATATCGATCTATTCAGCAATCCCTTTAAAAGCATACGTTCTCAGAGGAACGGGACCCCGTTACCTGCATTTATCCCACCATCTCGTCATTGATCCAGCTTGGCTTCGGGCAAGGTCATAGGTGGATTAGGTGAGACGCCTGCTACGTGGGTAAGATATTCTACGAACAATCCCACTTGGATACGCCGGTTTTCGATCGCGATATCATCTGGAGCGGAAATTGGGGAAATGACCAATATCCGCCCGTACCTCTTGTCTACAGACGACACTGTTACACCTCCGTCACACTGGCTGGGTTACTCTGGACTCGACGTTCGGCTCCTGGAACGGACGCCGCGGTTGCGACTGGCTCCCGTGATATCATGACCGCGCCCTCTACAGCTCCCGAATTAACGCCACAGTTCTGTTTCACGACTGTTGCTCTTAGAGGTACGTTGGCTCCATGATCTGTCGTATGCACTTTGTCCACCGCATACTCATGCCAATTGCAGATTTTCTACGTATATCCCGGGGCGCCGTTGACGACTCAATAAACCAGAACCTCAATGCTCTCGTGACGCCTGCCAAGTCGGGCTTCGACCCGGCTTCCACTTCTGTCCAGGGCGGTCGAGGGTACGTAAGAAAGATTGATCCTCGTTCTTGCCAGACTTTCAAAGACCAAGTTCTGTTTCCCTCTTGGCAGGCGAGGTCCGATGTCTTGACTTACTGTGCATACGTGGCTACGAGTCCTGACCCCGATGACCCGGAATTGTCCCAGCGAGCTTCTGAGACGGCGGAAAGCCGGGAGCGAGTTGTCGACGAGCGGTTAGACCCTTATTCCGGCCGGTATTTCCCGAGGGAAGCTCGGACCGAGAAGCTGGCATTGCTCTTAAGGCAAGAAAGAAGTGTCGAGAAGATTGTGAGAGCACGAACATGGGGCCTCGTTCAAGAAAGGTGCGGGAACGAAACTTTTCAAGATGCCGAAGCAGCTTTGAATGAGTGGCGGCAGGGCAAAGGCCAACCCAGGTCATGACATTCTCACCGAGTCCGGTTCGGATGCAATGGCCCTTTCACTAACTCACTTGATGACCAGAGTGTAAGGCATAGCCTGGCGAATCAAACCAGTTAGTTGTACACCATTAGTATTACATATACCCAAAGTCCCATCTCCGCCATAGGCTGTTGTGTATTATATATTCAGTGTATAGTATAGAGCTTAATAAAGCGCCCCTTCGTGTATTGATACCCGCATTTCAAAATTGTTGAGCGTAAGGATCCTCTTGAATCCATGATGAAGGCGTTTGATCATTTCTATTGTGTGCGTCTACGTCATTACCAGAAATACATACGTCTAAATACACCGTCGAAGATCATTCAGCCGCGCGGTACTATTAAATACTCGGATTATCCAGGCATTTCTATCTACTTACCTAGGTTGCCTAGGTAGACACAGGCAGGCGAGACGAAGCATTGCCTTGACTTTCGAATACTTCCAAGGTTGTAAATAGCTTAAATACCCTATGCATTACCTAAGGCTCGTAAGTACAGATTTGCAGGTGCAAGCCAATCTGTAAGGTACAAGCTTCGGTACAGGTACCTTACTATAGGTATCTAGGTTGTGGTCTGAGCTGCCTGTCTTCTGAGACACTGTCCCGCTAAACCAGTGGGCCGGATATTACAGCGAACCGCCCAAGGGTCGTGTCAGGGCCTCGACTTCCGAGATCAGACTACGGTACCTATATCTATGTACCTACATAGGTAGCGATCAAAGTATATGCACAGCTGGGTGTACCCCAACCTACGGTGAAATCACAGTCCGGCTTACATGTATTCGAGCTGCCCAGGGTACATGCAGCGCCTACCACCTGCTTACATATGCATGTACCTACATATGTACCTACTTATATACCTAGGTACCTAAGGGACATTCCTGTAGGGAAGGAAGCATTTTACAAATGTGTCCATACCTACATAGAGGTAGCTCGACGGAAGCAGTTCATACAGACAATAAACTATTCACCCAATCCCCCTCTTCAGCTTGCTTCCACCTCCTTCAAATCGAAGTCCGTGTTTCTGGCGTGCGTCCTGTTGCTCGGGGCCAGCCAAATTGCCTAGGCATAACTCTGGGCGTCCGTGTGCTGTCCGTGTGTCGGTAACCGGTATGTAGGTAATTTATGTGGTGCGCATAGCTCGACTTTTGATTCATCGTTTCTAACGGCCCCCCACAGCCACCAAACGCTTAGGTTCGAACACCAGACACCACTCCCGATATAGCAATTAGACACAATATCAGACACGACATCTCCCACCCTCCGAGCACCGCCTCGCCTCGCCCCGCCGCCGCCGTTCAAATACGTGCCGACACCACGTCTCCTCCGCCTCCCCCGTCTCTCCCGTCTCTCCCGTCTCCCCATCTCCCCCTGCGCCCAGTGTCTGCCGTGGTAGTTCGCAGTGTCCACCGGTCCTCGGTCCGTTGGTCCAGCAGTCATCGCTAGCAGCCATGCCGCAACCTTTAAGCTCGAAAGAGAATTCACTCTTTCGCCAGGTCATTCGCAACTATGAGGAGAAGCAGTACAAGCGCGGCCTCAAAGCCGCTGAGCAGATTCTCAAAAAGAATCCCAAGCACGGCGACACTCTGGCCATGAAAGGCTTGATCATCAACTCCCTGGGCAAGACGGACGAGGCTTTCGCTCTAGCCAAGGAAGCTCTGACGGCTGACATGAAGTCGCACATATGTTGGCATGTTTATGGCATACTTTACCGTCACCAGAAGAACTTCGAGGAGGCCATTAAGGCCTACAAGTTCGCCTTGAAGCTGGAGCCGGGCTCTCCGCAAATCCTGAGGGACCTGGCTTTTCTACAAATACAAATGCGCGATTACCAAGGCTACATTCAATGCAGGACTGCCATGCTGCATGCGAAATCCCAGTTGAGACAGAATTGGACCGCTCTGGCTGTTGCTCACCATCTTGCCGGCGAGCTCGTCCAGGCCGAAAAAGTTCTAACCACGTATGAAGAGTCTATCAAATCTCCGCCCTCTCACGCCGATCTCGAAAACTCAGAAGCTCTCTTGTACAAAAATTCCATAATCGCCGAAACGGGTGACTACCAGAGAGCATTAGATCATCTCGAATCCATTGCCAAGCATAATCTTGACCGCCTCGCAATTCTGGAATTAAGGGCAGAATACCTGGCTAAGCTCGGCAAGAAAGATGAGGCTATTACAGCCTATCGGGCGCTTTTGGATAGAAATTCCGAGCATCCCGAGTATTACAACAAATTGGCGGATGTTATGGGCCTCGGTGAAAACGACACGAACGCTCGCAAGGCCATCTATGATGAATATGCCCAGCAAAATCCTCGATGCGATGCTGCAAAACGTCTTCCTTTAGACTTTCTGACTGGTAAGTTGCGACAGAGAACTGCCAAGTCTCGGCGCTGAACACAAGTTGGCTGACTACCCCCACAGGCAATGACTTTCGCGATGCTGCTAAAGTCTACTTGAAGCTGATGCTCGATAAGGGAGTACCATCCACGTTTGCTAACCTTAAACATCTTTACACTGATCCCTTCAAAAAGGAAACTCTGCAATCTTTGGCTCACGATTACGTTGAGACTGTAGAGTCTCCAGCTGAAGGCGAATCCTCTGAAGGAGATCTGAAAGGCAAGCCCGCCGGCCTCTACTATCTTGCCCAACACTATAATTATCACTTATCTCGTGATCTGGGAAATGCTTTACAATTTGTTGATAAAGGTCTCGCAATTGTACCTGAGAATGTTGAATTTCATATGACCAAAGCTCGGATATGGAAACACCGTGGCAATACCCGCAAAGCGGCTGAAATTATGGACCAAGCCCGCAACCTTGACTTAAAAGATCGTTATATCAACACAAAGGCAGCAAAGTACCAACTACGGAACAATGAGACTGCCAAAGCTCTGAAGACAATGTCGCTCTTTACCCGAAACGATAATGCGAACGGCCCATTGGCCGAACTCATCGACATGCAGAGTATATGGTACTTGACAGAAGACGGGGAAGCTTCTGTACGTAATGGACTCATTGGCCTGGCATTGAAGCGGTTCCATGCTGTGTATAACATTTTTGATGTTTGGCAAGAAGATCAATTCGACTTCCACAGCTTTTCCCTGCGAAAGGGTCAAATCTGTGCATATGTGGACATGGTTCGATGGGAAGACAAGCTTCGCGAACATCCCTTCTACACTCGTGCGGCTCTAGGTGCAATCGCAGCTTACCTTGGTATATATGATAGCAAGCTTGCTATGAATGAGGTCAATGGTTCTGCTAACGGAAACGCGGAAGATGAAGCGGAGAAGAAAAAAGCCCTCAAGAAGGCAAAGAAGGAGGCTCAGAAGGCTGAGAAGGAAGCAGCTGAGCAGGTGGCTAAGCAGGATCCGAACAAGCCCAAGCCCGCTACCTCAGAGAATGTCAAGAAGGATGACGACCCGCTTGGGCTCAAGCTAGCTTCAACTGATCAACCTTTAGTTGAGGCTACCAAGTTTCTGTTGCCCATTCTTCAATTCAGCCCAAAGAGCATCGATGGCCAGGTTGCTGGGTTCGAGGTCTACATCAGACGAGGTATTACCACTTCCCTTTTATACTTTGTAGCATTTTATACTTACTTATGCAGGAAAATACCTTCTCGCTTTGAGTTGCCTCAACGCTGCGATCGCCATCGATCCTACCAACCCGGTTGTTCATGAGCAGGCAATACGCTTCCGCAAGGAGCTGACCTCAGCAGTAGCCTCTCTCCCTGCTAAGGTTGCCGAGGTAATTAATAGCGAATTTACAGCCATCGACGCCTCAACAGATCTGAAGAAATACAACGCTGAATTTTTAGAAAAGAACAAAGATAGTGCTGCTCACGTGGTCTCGGCTATTAAAATTCGAAAACTTCTGGGAGAAGACCAGAAGGCATGCGAGAAGGCTCTTTTTGGTATTCTTGATATGAAGAGCGATGATTGGGAGGCGGCGGCTGAAGCTCTTGGTTTGTTTTACCAGTGGCGAAGCAGTGAAGCGGATGCTTTCAGAAAGGCAGCTGAGGAGAAGTGGCCAGAAGTGACTTTATTCAAGCCTCCACCACCCCCTCCATCAACCTCATAGGGTTCAGGTATAAAAAGAATGTCCTCCCTCTCGAAATTGTACTTCGACTTTGATGTTGGTGTTGGGTGAGTGCGACTAGAGCGCACGCTGGTTTGTAACACTTGGTGTCGGCACATTCCTCATTCAATTCACGAGAGATGATTGACTGCATGTTTAAGATGGATGGGAAAATAAAATACCTGAGAGAGATACGTTAAAAATAAACATAAGATCACAAAAAGTCCGCGCTATGAGCTATATACCGCAGTCATGATTAGCCGGATCCTGGCATGGCAGCCAATTCACTTGACTGACAGACTCGGAACAGACAACCTACACTAGTCCGGGTTGCCTGACCGAGTGATGGCACCTACAACTACACTAGCCGCATCCTGCATCAGACAGGTTAGACATTCATGTCCGTTGATTTGATAAATATATTGGTTTGCGTGTGGGGAAGAGCCAATCGCACAGCAATCACATAGTCACACGTCACTCGCGAGTTGGAGGGATTGAGCAAGCATCGTCAAAGTACAATTTCATTTCATTAATCATGCAGTATGGTATTCGCGTGTAGGGGCTGAAGCCCAAGGCTCAAACCCCCAACTCCTGACGCCAGTCCAATGCTTTTTTGATTTTCTCTAAATCCGGCCATGGCGCCTTCTCATGTCGTTGAGTCGTGATCATATGCTTCGGGATGCAAAGGGGACATAGGAAAGATTGAATGAGTGTCGCTTCTCCGTCTCTCTCTGACGAGGGAGCTCACATGGTGGGGGGCTTCTCACAGATAAGAGCGGTATCTTCTTCGTGGGTTGATGCTTGGCGAGGTGAGTGGATTTCTGTCCGTCCCTCGTGATCAGATGGCGATGTAGGACATCTCTTGTCTGCGCCTCCTTTGCGTCTGTGGGCGACCTTTCGAGATAACTAGACATCCACACGGCATTGTTAGGCCTTTAGCGCCCTGTCCCTTAACAACGCTGTCTCCATGTCAGCTTCACAGACAACCAAAAATTGTGAGAGTGGGGATTCTACATACGGATTCGAAGGGCAAGCCGAATGCCTCGCATGCAATTTGATGCCTAATAACCCATGAACACACAGCTGGTTGTTCGCTGAATTCAACCATGTTAGCCAACCACCGAGAAAATCAACGAACAGGTGAAAACCCACAAGGCTCAAAACCACCTCTCGGGAAATCCTTGACAACATCGTAATCCAAGGAGGACGCATCGCGCGCGTCGGCCACAGCCCGCGCAGCGGATCTCGCGCCCAGCGTCTTGCGCATGAGGTCGAAGAAGCACCAGCCCTCCAGTCCGACACAGACGAACGAGATGAGCGGCAGAAGATACTGGAGAGCGAACCAATCCTCCACGAACGTAGCCGCGGGAGCCGCGAAGGCCTCCCAGAGGCCGAGACCGAGCGTTGTTGTACCAGCCATAGAAGGCATGGCGGCGATGATGGGGGGGGAGAAAAGGAAAGAGAAAGTGGGAAAGCGGGATGAGGGTCCGGCTTTCATCTTATAGTTCGATCACGCCGTTTCCTGTAGTCGCAGCACGCGACACCATATACTACCTACATCGCAGAATATGGCACATACACAAGCTTACTTACACACCGCATCCAACGGAGGCATGGCGTTGCATGCATTTACTAACAACACTACGCTCCATAGAGATAGATAGGGGATACCGCCAGTCGTTACGTCCGCCAAATGTGGCCAAGCTGTGGACCGGCGTGGGCACCGATTGGTGCTGGTTTCGCGCTCAGTGGTCGCGGAAGCAGGGGCCGGATTTCTCACCGCTTGAATAGTCTTGGTCCGGTGGGGATAAACACAGAACACAACCCCTTTTTTTCATTTTTATTTTCCTCGCCTCTTTTGATTTCAGTATTCTTCGGCCGTGTCTGTCCAGCCATCGTCTACCACGTCAATCGAACGTCCCCGTTCCGATGGTCGTGCCATTCCACTGTTGGATGGTCGTTAAACTCGTGACTGTGGGGAGGGGTTCGCAGGCGGGTTGCGCTAGCTCTGATCTGGTCTGGTCTGGCTTGAGGATATTCATGGGGTTGGGCGTTGTCGAGGCTTACCTAATTGTAGATAAGTTTGGTTCATACATGGTGGTGCGTGTGCGTGCCTAACCTGACCTGACCTAATCTCACCTCCCAACCACCTGCTATTCTGCGCCTGTTATCGTCGGTGAAATGATCCGGATCGCTGCCAAGAGTTTGCTTTCCTCGCTTACCGGCGAGCCGGCGAGGGGGCGGAGTTGGCCGGGGCATCGTAAGTGTTTGCATTTCTTCTCTTCTCGCCGTGTTCGTACTCGCTGGCATTTGGTTTGGCGTAGGTATGTGTAATCTATCAAGGGAATCAATCCCGCTTTTTCAATTCGGTTTTACGAATATTGTTAGGGAACGCGGTCGCAGTAACGATATTCTTACTTAAGTGTCAGTTGATGCTTGAAGTTAACCCTTCTATATGAGTTGAAGGTAATACATGAGTATATACCTTAACTTACATCTGCCACAACATTCATTGTGAAAATGGAGGAGTCGTGGCTAATCGGTTCACGATAACTAGGTAATATTCACAATACCCTGGCCACAACACGACCAGCGTGGCGGTGGCCAATGAGTTCTTAGACAACCATCATTCGCTGCCTAGCGATCATGTGGTTACTTACCAAAGAGCCATTTTATTTATTGGACGCGTCAAATTACATACGGCATTGGCTCATCTTTCATTTAACCTCAGTTGCAGGCCGAGTCTACATCGCCGACCTGGACAATACTGTTTATTACGACTCTAGCAAACTCGAAACTCGAGTCAGTCATGGAAAGGGGGTAAGAGCAAAGATTAATGATGCTGAGACTATTAAGCCAGGATCGCACTTGTTTAATTCACCAGGATCATTGATAGTTCACGCCTTATCATGGCAAAAGCTATGTTAATTCACTAAGAGGCTTTTAACTATCGTCGATCTTTCTCTAGAGCCTTAATCACTAGACTATAACAAGGAGGCGTGTTTAGAAAGCTGTCGATGCTGGCTGTGTCCTCCTGCTCTCCTGTTATACTCACCGTAAAAATAATGGCTTCCCCTATCGCACGCAGCTCTTTATTACCTTTCTCCCATGACCCTGTGTAACCGTGTTGGCAAGAAACGTGTTTCGAGCTACTCAATAATTGGTCGAAAACCGAATCTCTTAACCCACCACTCTTTACCCATTCCCCTAAATGTTCGAACAGAGCAGGTATGCGTTGGTTGCAAGCAAAGTTATTCAAGTGATCGAGGCAGATCCACCATGATCCCCCCAAAGAACTAAATGCAAGAAGAAACTTGTCCGTTGTGCCTCGACAGTCAGTGCATTGAAATAGAATGGCTTGTCTCAACGGATGCGTGTAGAAGAAGGCTCTTTTCAGAATAGAATTATAGAATGAACGCGGCCAAATCAGGACTTCGGTAGAATCGTCCGCTTCGATTGTGCAACTGATCGAATACTGATGTATCAGATCTGCATCTTCAGGATGGATTAGTTTAGAAAGAAAGGCGGGCGCGTCCGTAGTAGAGTTGGGCATGTTGCTATGTAAGGTGTCTCTATCATCCATGCCCAAGATGTCTTTCTCAATGAGTGTACGTGGTAAGAAGCGAACGTAACCGTAAGGCGTTTGCATTAAATAGACCCCTATATTTGAACCCCCCGGGCCCATAACGCAATATAGATATAGAATAGCGGCGTTATCCTCGTACCGAAACAGGTCGCTTTGATTAACACGAAGCCCCTTGTTGGTCATTCGAAATTCACCGACATATGTTGGAACTTCAAGTCGTCTAATGTGGTGACTGTTCCTAAACTCCCGAGGGGAGCGGGCAAGGATGCCTCGGTATGGCTGGTCATCTTTTGGCACAGCTGTCCAAGCAAAAAGCGTTATGTCATCTGACTGCCTCAATAACTCTTCTTGTAGGCGGATGAAAGAGTTCTCGCCTTCGCCATATAGTGGAGCCAAGTTCACGCCCAACAAACCAAAGAGGCAATAAGCAATGTCTTCGACTCGAGTCGTGCTTCGATCTGCCGCCCACGACATACGCTGAGCGACTGGGACCTTTCGAAAAGACACATTATTTGACAAGACATTTAGAGGAATCCGAGTAATTGAATGTATCGTCCATAATAATGTCTCCTTGGTGCCAACCAAAGTCCATTCATCATCGTAGAACTCAACAATTTGAGGCGCAATCAACTCTTGCAATGTCCAGCCACGAGAGAACCACCGACACCGAGAGATAAGCTCATTATAGGACTTCTGATGGTCATCTCGCTGTTTGAATTTTGCCAGTTGGGCCGTTCTTGGGGTCATGTAAGGGGTTGATAGTAAATCCGCGATCTCAGCGTTGGATAAGTCAGACAGAAAGGCGAGGCACACCGCAGCTTCTGAGTACCACTTGAACATGGAGTTGATTGCCTCGGAGAGCTCAGCACTACTTGACTTATCGATACAACATGTGTCAATCCATGCATACTTTAGACCTCTCTTGCGAGCTAGCTCGATAGTCATATCGATTTTTTTGAAGCCTTTCAAATTCCTTGCTCCCGTTTTCTGATACTGCTGGAAAGAGACCTCTTCATCCTCCCAAGTGTGAGAGAGAATGGCGTATGACCCTTTTTGGGGGTTTGTGATATCCTCTAATAGATATGTCTCCGTGTTGATAAGCCACATTGTTCCGCCGCACTTAATGGAGATAGTCAAATCGAACTTCAGAGAGAAGTTAGATCGGGGTCTTCACTCGTTTGGAATCCGATGTATATTGCTTGGAATCATCAGTACGAGGATTCCGAACCCACCGTTAAGGAGACAGTGGTATGTCAGTCTCGGCGCAGATGTGCGGCGGGAGAGTATTCGTGAGGGGTAAATGATGGTACGGCACTTATGTAAGCAAAGTGCCACATGCCTTTTCGCCAGTTAAGGGTAGGACTTCAACACAGCTATTTGGACACTGTAATTCAAGATTAGAAACGGTTAAGTACGATTGTAAATTTCTTGTAATGGAAGATTGCTCCAAGGATGTCACGGAATGTCATAAGGAGTGCAGTACTATGCCACTACGCCACCAAAAGGTAACGACGAGTTATCAAGTCGAAGGCTTGACGTCTCTGCACTCACTATATAGTACTGTACTGTGACAAAGGACGATACTAGCAGTGGTGCTTGGCAATCATTAGTTACACACATTATTAGTTCACCTTTCGTATATGAGACTCTGGAACTAATAAGCACTCTAAAGCTAATGTGCTATACTTAGGTTCACTTGTAATAGGTAACACAGGCGGCCCGAATAAGTGAAAGATCTCAGTATCGGCCCTGATCGATATTGCTAGCAAAGGCGGTCCTCGCTGAGCAATCCCATGTGTACGGGCTGCCTACATAGTAGTATACTACATAATCTAAGTAGGCTATCACGCTTCCCATCAAATCAGCACAACGACTTTCTGGCTGAATACCCCCTTGTTTTGGAGGTCAATAGCATCCTAGATGCTCCCTAGACCATTACCTACTATTAGAGGCTCAGGAGCGAGAACATACTCTCCATTTTGCAGAGCCTATGTTAAGAACGATACATATATTGCCTCTGCTATCTGGATTTCTGCAATTATCGGGCCATACACATGTCCCACCTTAACACCGCTTGGAGGTGCGGAAAAACCGCCTGTCATTGATGCAATACATTTGACCCCTTCAACCATCTGTGCGAGTTGTACGCATTGCTCGATAGCCTTTACCGAGGCGTCAGCTATGCAGACAGTAGTTTGGAGAGGATAACCTGTTCGCTGGCGTAGTCGAAAACGTGGCTTGTTCCAAGACCCTTGACAAACTTAAAGTTCTTAGGCGGTGACGTGGTCATAACCTCGTAGCCAGTAGCCATAGCGACCTGAATGGCATTGCGCCCGACACTAGAAGTACCGCCCTAGATGATTACGATAGTGTGGTGTGGCGTCTGGGCTGTCCCTGTTGTCACAGTACAGTACTATATAGTGAGTGCAGAGACGTCAAGCCCTCGACTTGATAACTCGTCGTTACCTTTTGGTAGCGTAGTGGCATAGGTACTGCACTCCTTATGTCGTTCCCTGACACCTGTCCCAGGCAGCTGTGAATCGAGGAACTCGGGATGGAACAAGGCGCAGGCTGCGGTGGTCGATCCGGTTGGGATTACTACAGCCTTTTCCCATGGCATGTCATCAGGGACTTGATAAGTTATGTTGGCTTCTAGAATGGTGTAAGCTTGGAAGCCTTTCTCTTCGTTGCGTTAGGACGAGAAATTCGTGTTCCCAATCACGTGTTGACCTACTGCGAGTTTGGATACGTTAGGCCCGACTTCGACAATCTCTCCGGCAACGTCCTAGCCCAGAATTGCTGAATACTTGAGCGGATACATCCCAACTCGCTGCAGTATCCCGTCAATAGGGTTGATGGCTATAGCTCGGTTTTTGACGAGTGATTGACTCTCTTGCGGTCTGCCCATCGAGGCGCCATTGACCTCAAGCGACTGGGTTTGAGCAGCTGTGAGCCAGGCAGCTTGGTTGGGGGGCATCTGGGTGTAAAAATTCGTAGCGAGATAGAGAAATAGTTGTGAGAGGAATGGTCGTCAAGTTCTGTCAGTGAATTGAACAGGATGAGCTGGGAGATCCCTGCGTTATCGAGAATCTCAGGGTCGTCGACAGAGATGGTTTTTCGGACAACCATACTACTGTTATCTCCTTAAGACCATGTTGGAGGTACATCTGACTGGAAGTGGTAAGTCTTAACTACGTTTTCATTAACTCCGACAGTTTAAGCCGGCGGCGCGTTGCTCCGTCCATGCCCATATCACCGCCAACTCTTCTGCCCATGAAGATACGAGGAGTCTCACTGCAATTGGATGGTGAGAAAGCCTATGTCATTTCACAGCCGGCGAAGCGAAGCGCAACCATCCATCTGAGCGCGAGCGCCATGATCACAGATCAATTGCAAGAGACGACAGTGGTAAGTTTGCCCCTTACTGCCCCCTCCCCCCCTTTAAGCTGTATACACTCAAGGCCCCTCGGGGTTGCCACTAGGTCTCCTGTATGCACTCTCTGAGGCACAGACAGTTTTGCGAATGGGCGGACTTTATATTTTAATTCCGCGTCCTCCACTAGAAATGGCATTGAGGGGGAAGTGAGGCACAGCAAAGGGCACAGCAAAGGGGGACAAGGATAAATTTGGTATATAAAGAAACAGCGTTTGCCATGGTGTTGATGGGTCTACATAGCTTGCGACTAAAGCATACTGAGTGTAGTAACTGGCTTCTGCTTCATTGCCGTCACTGTCAACATGAGTTCCAACACAAATCACCACCTCCCGCTTCGTCGTCTTGGAAAAGATGGGCCCGAGATACCAGCACTGGGTCTCGGCTTACTGGGCATGTCAACACTCTACGGCAAACAGCCCTCCGACGAGGACCGCTTTGCCGTTCTTGACCGCGCCCTCGAGTTAGGTGCTACCCATTGGGACAGCGCCGAGTAAGTGTCTTTTGCTCAGCTCTCGGCTCACATACACAGCTGACTAACGTGCCATATTAAAGCATGTATGGAGATAGCGAGAACCTTTTGGGGAAGTGGTTCAAGCGTACCGGCAAGAGGGACCAGATCTTCCTCGTCACCAAGTTCGGCTTCAAAAAAGGCTCAAATACGGACATCGACAGCTCTGCAGACTTTTGCAAGAAGGCTTGCGATGCGAGTCTCAAAACGTTGGGTGTCGATTATATCGATCTTTACTACTTGCACCGTGCTAACCCTAAGACTCCCATCGAGGAGACTATGCAGGCTATGCTGGACCTTAAAGCGTGGGTACTACCTGATTGTAGGCGACTTACTTGCCGTCTTTCAGTGAAGCTGACTTTTTTTTTCCTAGCGCGGGTAAAATCAAGCACATCGGGCTCTGCGAGATCAGTTCTGCCACTCTTCGTCGGGCGTGCAAGGTGGGCAAGGTCGACGTCATCCAGTGCGAATATTCGGCCTTTGACCTAGACATCGAGGGCCAGAGCGGCACTAATCTGCTAGCCACGTGTCGTGAGCTCGGTGTTGGCGTGGTCGCTTACGCGCCTCTCGGCCGCGGACTGCTGACAGGTAATCTTGAATCCAAGGTGTCAATCTCAGGGGAGGGCGACTACCGCAATGTATTCCCTCGATTCAGCGATGAGAATCTCGACGCCAACCTCCGAGTTGTCGCGCAGCTGAAAGCCATCGCGGACGAGAAGCATTGTACCACTGCCCAGCTGGCCATCGCTTGGGTATTGAAGCAGGGGCCTGACATCATTCCTATCCCGGGTACTAAGAAGATCAAGTACCTCGAAGAAAACGTCGGCGCCCTCGCAGTAGAGCTGACGGATGCCGAGGAGAGGAGGGTCCGCGACATTGTCTCCCAGGTGGCAGGAAAGCGGGCGCCTGACTGGGCTGATTATCAAAACTATGTTGACACGGTAGAGCTCAAGTAAAGAGGTAAGAACGTTGTATTAGCAGCCTAGGCCGGGATTGCTAGCAGGATTACCTTGGCGCAGAAGTTCTGACTGCGCGAAGTATAGCTACCATATACTAGTAGTTCCCTAGAGATAATTTATATCTTTGCCGAAATAGAGGGCGAGTACCAATTCACTCTACTCTTAGCAGCTTAGAGCAAACCCATGATGCCATGCATAATCCTTGCAGTCACTTTTTGCGGCGAGTTCATACCCAGCACTGGTTGATACAGAGTAAGGCCAGGTGCTGGGATGTTTGACAAGAGCATCGTGGTAATTAGTGACGCCTTGAACTACACCAGTTGCGATGACGCGAGTAACACGTACTTTTCATTTCGAGCCTTTTGATTCTTCGAAAGCTTCATCAGATTAGCACCTTCAATAGTTCGGCGTGCTAAAGCAGGGATTTTAGCATGGTTGTATCTGGCGACCCTGCATCCTCTTACAAGCCGCCTCTACTTTGTACTCTAAGTCCATTATCTTGCCCCTAACTGTTGGGCTGTGGTTTGGTCTTTCTGACTATAATATTCGCTTTAACCAGAGATTTTGGTAATGGTTTGCGTCCATCATCTGAAAACTGGTCGAGGGGTTCCGCCTCTATGCCGCTCGCTGTACCTGGGACGTGAATTCTGGCGGCACGTAATATGGTTGATAGTTTCAAATCGTATGCAACTTTGCTGCGGACCATCGCAAGTTGCCCAATGGCAATCGCTACCCCTGTGATCAACAGTACAGCACCATATGCTACCCACAGACCAAAAGCATTATAAACATAAATATTCCGATATGTCTCGTACGTCACATTTGCGAGTGGTGGCGGCGAGGTCTGTGACGCATAATCTGGCCTTTGAGAATAATGAGTCACCTTTTCAGCCTTTAATAGTAAAAGAAAAGGCTACTTACTGGAGATAAGTGTCGCTCAAAATACCAATTGTTATATTCTCAAAGAGCTGTTCCAGTGCGCGCAGTAACGGCCCTCGAGTATTGTTTAATTTCTGGATCGGGATACCCTGTAGAGCGGGCGAAACAGTAGACACGTCGGTTATTAATGGTTTCTCATATCTAAATCGTAGTTCATTCGTATCCATCAACACTGTATTAATGATATTTGAAGCCGAAGCAAAATCTAACATGCCGACAAGCAGCATAGCGAAAGCATCTTTGAGTGCTTGGTAAGACACCACCTGTGCTTCCACTCGATCAAAGGGACCACTGCCCCATGTTTCATTTGACCTCGTTGGATAATACACTCCAAATCCCTTCATCCGTACCGGTTTTGGCGATAGGCTATGCTGCGTTACTTTGATGTCCTGGTCACCGTTGGTATATCTAAAGTTCACGTGATATGATGCGTTGTGCAAGTCACATTCAACGATATTGAATGATCCGAAAGCTCGCAATAAGGCCTCTGGTTCCCCTGATGTAGCATTAATTGCATCCATATATGTTTCTGTTGTAAAATAGCCTTCAAACTCCGAGTCGAAGGCTAAATACAATGTTGCGGTTTGTATTAGGTCATCATCTCCCATATGTACCATATTTATGCTGCTGACATCACTGAATCTTTCGAAAGGGTTCAAACCTAAATGGCTCGTCCATGAGAAATAGGCCAGCGGTGAGTTGAAACCTCTTTCGATGGTGTCATTGATGTACAATGCGTAGTTCCCGAGAACCTGAACTTTGGCCTCGCTTGGAACCTCCTGGCAACGCAGAGATGGTCCCCAGAACTGAATGCCCCAACTTGAATTCAGTGCTGGTGGCGTGATTCTGGAGATCACTCCTTGTGCAGCCGTTGCAGCAACAAGTCGCTGAGTCCGTTCTGATGGGCCATAATATTGTCTCCGACCTCCCTTATTATATGTTTTATATGTAGGATCGTCGGGGAAAAAGTGACAGAAGTTGGGATTCACAAAATCAAACTGCGGAACATGACTCAAGGCGGCTGGATTGGGTTGTTGCACTAGCGCTTGAATTGTTAAAGTTGTCGGTGTGAGAATGAAAGGTAATGGAAGCAACCTATATGGGATTTAATCATTTTAAACCGATTTTGTAGCTGACAAAGGAGCAAATACGCGAAGAAAGGGGAGGATTCTCACCAAAATAAACCGGCCAGGATTGATAATAGGCGGTGTCTCCGCCAAATTGAAATCGTGCAAAACCTATCAAAGCTATTTAATAGGGAAGAAGTGGCATCAGCATCTACAAGCCGAATCCCATGTGAGGCTGACTTCAAAGAACGCCAGAAAATTTGCGTATATGAACTTGCGAAGCTTGTAAATAGTAGTGATTTGATGATAACGGCTAAAGCCGACCCGATCGCAAGGTTTAGTTGTTGTCTTGAAAAGGTCACCCACGCAAGGTCATATAGCCCAGCAGGAGCGACGGTGCCAGACAGACTCTGGTAGAAGGCATGATGACCTATCACCAAGGCGATAGCGGCAAAGAATGTTGCCCACAAGGTAGCAGGTGTACCCCAGTAGATTTTCTGTGTCTGAGAAGCCGAGTACGCCGAGCTGGACATTCTGATGTTGTCACAGTACAGTACTATATAGTGAGTGCAGAGACGTCAAGCCTTCGACTTGATAACTCGTCGTTACCTTTTGGTGGCGTAGTGGCATAGTACTGCACTCCTTTGTCATTCCGTGACAGATGTATTGTGAGATGTAGGTTCTAAACCTAGCAATTTAAGTGATGGCGCGCCAAAGACAGTACAATTTAGGGAATCAAAATCGTAAAAAGAACGTCGTTGAACTGTAGACGGAGAAAGGTAGCCCCTTACATCTCATTTGACAATGTAAGCCGAAAGATGCCCCTGGTGTATAACATTGTTACGGTGGATTAGGAAGGGTCGCATCAGAACAACATCCTACGCAATCTGAAACCTCAGCCCCCATATCAAGTAACCTTGACGAGAATGCTCTGCTAGAGTTTCTCAAAATTGCCAAGCCTCACCTAAGCGCGCGCTGCGTCGTCGCGAGGGACATAGTACTTACCGCAGCCACAAAGCTTGGCGATGACAGGGACCTGCGTGGGTGCTAGTATGGTGGAGTTCTACAGCCGAAGTGTCGGGAAGGATTGGATAAATAGGTAAGGGATCACACATCAGAGAAACAGTTGCATTTGTGTGAGGATTGCCTACCTACCTATATATAGACTTACCTGTATATGATAAAGTAGGTATTGAGGGGCCTAAGGAGAAGGGGCGAGGACGTGACATCTCTGTAGCCCCTATCTGCCAACCCCTGCTCACCTCTGCATGGCAGCATCGCCATTGTTTCATACCATTTCACTCAGATATAAGCGATGGCACACAACAGGTTGAGTCTATTCAGTTCAGTGCTTTTTAATGTAGCCCTCTTCGTCATTGGTGTCATAAAGATGTTTAAAAAGGGGGCCCCCTATCTTGCAAATATCCATCTATCGTAGATACCCATTCAGACAATATACGGGATAAGAGCATATCTATTGGGCGAGTATTCACCCCCGCAGTCCACATGATTCTACATAGTATTGAACTTCGCACATCTGATAATATTAACTATGCTAAAGTGCGAAGGACACTAATATAACCCCTGTTCTATCTATACAAAGGAGGTTACATCTGAGTCCTATCTGTAGCTAATAACCTTCAAACCGATATGGTTCCGCTATGCTGCAATACGCAGTCTGCAAGCAAAGTGAACCGCCGTGGCAGCCTCAGGTCGTCTGAATCTAATTGCCCAATAATACCCTTCCAGCCACTCATTAAAGTGACGGGAATGGGCCGGGGTGGGGATTATTCTATAGTGTTTGTGTTGAAATGCTCTTGTGTCGTAGTTGTCACAGTACTGCCCTGCTGTGGTTGCAAGTAACAAGGAGGGAAGTTCTAATTCTTACCCCTTATTCCCTTATTTAGCTTTATATACACTGTTCCTTGGTCTGTGCTGTACTTCGGAAATTAGACTTCTCTTAGTTCCGTGACAGTAGTTGAGTTTCTAGGTTGCGTTCTGACTTGTGGTTGGCCCACAAGCGAAGCACTACCTAGGTATAACGTCGCAGAGTTCAGAGGCTAGATGCGGGTGAATGTTATAGCTCAATTTAAGGGGATACCCAAGGCAGACTTCACCTATACTAGCTGTGCCGTGTATGCCTTGCCCCTTAATCTGTCCCTCAAGGCCAAATCTTCATAAAACCAATTGCCTGAGGCTGCCTAACGCAGGGCTGCGTTGCAGATTCTTTCTAGGCTAGTCTTCAACGACTCGATATTAAAAAAATGTATTTAATTATGAAGCTACTTGAATTTCTTGAGTTGATCTAAACGTAGTGAAGATAAGTCATCCACTCTCATTTTACTTGACTACCGCGAAATCCATCGACGAAAGGTGTTCGCAATGTCTCTTCTCTTATTGCTCGGGTCATTACCCTGAGCGCCCGCGTTATCGTCGTAATTTGCACAAGGACCATCTTTGTATGCGAACTGGTCGTCGATGCAGGCAAAGGGTATCTCAATCCCTGCGGCGCCTACTTTTTGGGCTGTTGTTGGAGGAAAAGTCAGTATTCGAATTTATCGACAGGGATGCTGACCATCAGGATGCACACTGAGGAGAAGAGATAACTTACTGCAGTATGTAACTTTGTCTGTCACGGTTCTCTCCAGATACATGGGGAAGTTTTGCTCGTACTTATCGCTGTAGAGGATGACTGTAAAGCACGAATTAGCATACTGCTGAATTTTGCAACAGAAAACGCCTCAGAAAGGGGTTCGAAGTGCGAATTACTTACTGTAGTTCCACTTCCAGCTCATGATATTTCCGTTACCACAATCGAAATCCTTGATACCGCTGCAGTCGTCATCCCAGATAGAGCAGCTGATTGAGGCGGAGCAGATCTCCTCTCCGTCCTGTACTACAATCGCAATTACGTCCGTTCCAGAGAACACACCCGTCTGGGCGTAGATGTTGGCCTGCAGACACGGCACATGCTCAATGGTGGCACAGAGCTTGCAGAAGGGGAAGTACTCGCATCCTCCGTTAGCAATTCCACCACAGCCATTCTGGCGAGGAAACAAAGCATTAGGTGAGCTCAGATCCTCAATCCAGGCTAGGTCTTCATCCTCCGTAGTCACTCCTTTAGAAACAATTTCAGCAACCGAAGTCGCAAAGCTGGGCGGTGCGGTAACTTCAGCAGGCATAAGTAGCGCGCTGCGAGCACTTCTCTTTCTGGCGACTGCGCCACCTGTTTCTTCGGCACATTGGGTATAGACAGTAGTACCGAGACAGACTTCGTTAGTTGCCGAGCATTTTGGTGTGCCGGAAGCGGTGTACGCTGGTGGACAGGGCGCTGTCGCCATGCATAGCGCTTCTGTTGCACACGCAACCGAATCGCCACCAGTAGTACAGCGTGTTGTTGTAGTGTAGCCTGAGCATTCAGTGCCTGTGTATGGCGTTGTGACTGTGCCTCCACCAGTTTGAATCCCAGTATGTGTCGGCCCAGGGTCTGGAGTGCCACCGCCGTCGTTGTTGGTGCGTGTCGAGCCTGGACTACCACCATTGTCGTTGCTACTCGTGGGCGCGGGATCGGGACTGGCACCTGGGTTCGATCCGAAGTCGCTTACCAAACTGGAAGAGTGAGCAGCCCACCAACTGTCGTCTGTTCCAGTGGCGGTTTCGGTCCATTCAAACTCATCGTCGAACTCCCAGTCTCCCGCTGATGCTGGTAAACCTGTTGTGCCAGTTTTGGTCGTAGTTGTGGCAGTGACATCACAGCCAACAACACTGAAGCAAGTGGTACTGCAACTAGTTGTTCGCGGAGAAACGATGGGCGAGGGAGTGCAGACGACACGGCAGTCGGACACAGTCGATGGCTCTGCGCAGTCTTCACCTTCTTCGCCGCCACCACCACAACCATCTCCAACGCAATTTCCTCCTCCTCCACCACCGCCACCACCACCTCCTCCTCCCCCTCCTCTACATCCTAGGCCGAGACACCAATGAAGGCCCGGTGGGCCGATATGTGGTGGTTTAATACCGGCCGGTCCGCAGTTGTGCTCACATACGTGCCCGCAACCTCCGAGGTGTGTGCAAGTGGGCTTCGGTTTACCAGAATGAGCAGGGAATGAGCCATGGACGAATGAAGCTGGAGGAGTTGTACTGTGAGAAGGAGGAGTGGAATCCGGTCCTGGGGGCCTAATATACTGTCAGCTACTTCCTCGTCTTTTCTGCGTTAGGAGTGACGCGCAATGCGACGACTTGTTTTCGATCGTATCATCGATAACATCAGAGACTTACCAGGGTCCTGGGCTATACGTCCAGTATACGGGCTCTGATCCCAGGGTTGTGGTGAAGTATATAGGGGATGGATCAAGACTTGTCCAGGCCCAGATTAGGGTATCATCGCTGCTGGTGCTGTTCCATTCCACATTAGAGAACTGGATGACACTCGTCGTAATAGCTGGCACGTTGATAGTGATGACAGTAGTGATGGTTGTGTATACCGTTGTACCATCCCTAGTAGACAATGGCCAGGTCTCTTCGACGGTCTCTGTGACAGGCGGGATTGAGATAGTCGTCTCACTTGGCAGGGAGAGAGGTGGGAGAACGAATGTGCAGGGAGGATAGCACTGCAGTGTTGGATCGGCAGTCGTCCAGATATCGGGATCAATCTCGACGTAGTTATTTTCTCCTCCTTGACATTCGCCCGACTGACATCCTACTCCACAGAAGTCGCCGCCAGTTCCACATTTGCCGTCTGCAGAGCAACAACTCCCCTCAGGACAAGTGTTGTAATTGTTCTGAGCGCCACAGGTACCGTCAGTTGATGGACAACCTGACTGACATCCCGTGCCGCAGTGCGCATCGTCAGACCCGCAATAACCCGCGGAGCTGCAGCAAGTTCCTTTACTCCAGCTACCGCAAAAAGTGTTAGAGCCCTGTATGCCGCAGGTTCCGTCACTCGTTTCGCCACCGGTGGTACAGCTACCGCTTTGGCAGCCATTCGAGCAGTAGGTAGCTCCACTACCGCACCATCCAGAAGATGAACAACAATCACCAGTAGGCCAGTCGCCACAGACGAGGCCTCCGTTTTGTGTTCCACAAGTGCCATCGGTTGTGGCCGGCGGGTCATCACCGCTACCAGCACTGTTGAAGTCGACGGACCATACCAAGGTACCTCCAAAACAGTACCCATCAGCCCACGATTTCTTCATAGCGATAGTCTCAGCATCGTCATAGCCGATCCACTGATCTTCCCAAACCAGCTGCTTGATCATAGCACCCTCGATGAGTTCCGGAGCTAGACCTTCGGCGTCGATCTTTTGTTGAATTTCACGTAATGACAAGACGCCTGCAGTGTTGGTGCACGGCCCCGGTTTGCTAGGGCCAGAGAAAGGGCAGAGAAGGTCCGAACAGCCTGCATTGTTAAGAGTATAACCTCTTCCGTAATATGCCAAGCCAAAATTGATCTTGGAAGGATCTAGATCGTCGAACCATAAGGGCAGAGTGTCGTTAGCAATCTCGCGGACATCCGTCTGTGCGCGGACGAGAGAGCCGAGCGTCTTGACGTCGGCATCCCATGAACCGTGCAAGTCATATGCCATAAAGCCGAAGAAGTCTACACTAGACTCCATTGCTTTGGCATCGAAGTATCGCAGGTACCAGTAGTCGGGAGCAAGCGTCATGCTGATACCATATTGGCTTCCGAAGCTGGCACGCATCTCCTTGACAAGTTTTACGAGATTCTGGGTATCCGCTGGCTTTCCGCCTCGTTCGGGCGTTGCTGGGTATTCCCAGTCTGTCAAATCCAAGTTAGTGTATTAGTCTATGATCATTGACGAAATGTAAAGGTTCAACGCAAGCGCCATTTGACACTAATATAGCAGTGTTTCAGCAATCATTGCAGCATAAAAAGTTAGTTCATACCTATGTCAGCACCCTGGAACCCATACCGGGCCATGAAAGACTTCAGAGATGAGATGAACGCAGCGCGCCCTGCTGAAGTTGAGGCCATGTCGCTCCACGCAGTATGAGTGGGAGCTTTTTCATCTGAAAAGTCGAAGCCACCTACGGCTACCCATGTCTCAAGTCCTCTGGACTTCAAGGCTGTGAACTCAGACACAAGACCCAAGCTGTCGTCGACTGTGATTTCGTAGCTTGATGGATCGAACTATGGAAAAGTGGTCAGTTGCTCAGGCTTATCGAGAGCCATGACTGTCGGCGAGAAGAATAGTAGGGTCCTGCTTACCTGGACAAATGCGTAGTTCAAATGAGTGAATCCAGTGGTATTCAGCTGGCTCGGTGACACCTTGTTGCACAGGCGATTCGCAACATTGTCGGCCTGGTAGTAACCAACCGTGCGGCCGCTGGTTGAACCGCTGCCTTGCCCACAAGATGGTGGTGGCACAACTTCGCAAAGGCCATAGTCCGCTTGGCAGGGAGATTGACCATTGGGATCAGGGTTACCGCAGTATGTCTCTGTGGTCTAATAGTTCTAGTCAGCATCTAATACTCGGTAGAGAGGAAGGAGACAACTGTGCTTACACCGCACCATCCGTAATAAGAGCAGCAGAGATTCATGCCACATTTCAAATTACCTCCCTCACTATAACGGCCGCACATAGCTAGGACAATAGTCAAAATCTTTGTATCGTCATAACGCACTTCACTATCCTAAACGCTTTTAAAGGACTTACCTGTGGCATCGCAATTCGATGTACAGTTACCGCTCCCGCAATAGGTTGGGCCGTAGCCGCAGATACCATTATTTCCACAGCAGCTAATAGTTCATCTTTTTAGCGTGCGGTAGGCTCGTAGTCGTGTTGAAGCACTTACCTGCCGTCTGCGCAAGGGGTATTAGGGCCGCAAAGCAGCGGATCTCTGCGCTCCAAAGAAAAGAGAGCTCGAGTATCCAATCCAGAGACTATCGCATGATCGATATATTGTGATGAGATGTTGAGGATGGGTACAGGCGGTGCAACAGCTGGATTCTGTTGTGTTGGAGGATGAACAGCCTTAGCAACCCCGACACTGGCATTCCCAGTCACAACTATGAATAAACATTAGATCAAGCCGGTCTTCCGCATTTCGAAGTCCAATGGAATATACCTGATCTTTCATTAAAAGAAAAGAGGGCAGAGCAAGGTGCCGGAGCGAAGATGCTCGTGGCAGCAACAAGCGCGCACACATTCTTGATGTGTGAGCCCAGCATCTTCACCGATCACGAGTTCCCTTGCGCATCAAAACACTTCAAGCACTGGCGATGGTGATCCATGATGTATAGGATGGGAGGATGCGATACTTATATCGTATAACCCACCCCTTTGGGAACATACAGATTCCCCCTCTGGAGCAAGCTCATCATCTACATGCATAACAATGTACCAATACCTCAAGACAACGTTGTCGAAACTATATGCCGGTCTATTCCCGGGCGATAGTATACCAGACAGAACAAAAATTTTCGCATCCGTGTATTAGCGCTGACCCTACGATCTTTTGAGGCATGAATTGTTAGATAGCAAATCCAAGTTGGCGTGAAACACTGTACCTATCAGCCACCAGCCTCGGCTTGGGCTCATTCGATCTTGCGAGTCCTCATGGATAGTGGCCACCCAATCCCATGGCGCTGGAAATGGATAATCGGCCAGAATTCGGCAACTAGGGCTGTGGAAAGATAGCATCGTAGACCGAAGCGATGCTAGGAATGTCCCCCCCTAACATTCGCGCTTGAGATCCTTTCGTTTCTAAAGAGCCAGCCGATTTGGGCCATCGCTCAGGAACAAGCAGACTGAAAACTGCCTAGCGTAGACGGTAAATTCCTTCGAAGGTAGGACAGTCGGCAGTATCGTAGGTTTTATTTCTGGCAACGCGGCTCCACTTCGTATTGCCAACCGGCCGCCGGCAGCGCTTGAGATGTGGGACAAAACTGGAACAAGCTTTCCAGCCGAGCCAGCGATGCCGCCAAATAGTTCTAATATCCACTTCTGAGCTCAATAGTTTCGGCAAGAGAACCGGGATGTGAATCCTGCTTGCGGGCTTGGAATATTTTCAGCAGAGCTTTTAAACGAGGCTTCATGTATATCCCTACACGCAAGGTAGAAAACTAAGTATGATATTTAATTCCTTACACTAATATTTAGTAGACTGCTATATGCCCGTACGTTTCCTTAATAATACTAGTCAACCTATTCTAAAATCTACTTACAAGAACTAAAATGCTAATGTAGTTCTTTTCCAACACTGCAAGCACATAGTAGCCACCGATAAGACCGAAGCGAAAACGCATTCTGCTTACAGGCATCGGATGTCACGATACTTGTCAAGCCATGATGCTATCTACCTTCCTTCCTTGTAATGGAGCAACTCATTAGACCGGCTCAAGGATTCAGTGTCGAAGCAGTCTGGCGGCTTGTTCAGATTCGGCCTTTCGGCTCATGCCGGATCCGCGATGTGTATGCATAGTTATGGTGTCTGTATTTTATAAGGGCCCGGGGGCCCTTTTTGAGTAGTGCGAGGGGGTTTTGATCGCGTGTCAATCAATAGCAAACAGCTTTGCCAATGTCACGAACTCTGGTCGGACTCTGTGCTCGCGCTCTGCTTTGCATCGCACCAGCAACGGCTGTATTCATCCCCCTTCATCATCCCCTTGAGCAGTCGCTACAGATCCGCGCCTTTTCAGATTTCAAGACTGATGGCAAATGCACTTCTGGTCAGGAAGCGAAGCTTACGACATGGGTCACTGATGCCATAGCTCTGGCAGATGCTGCCATTGATGCTATCACGTCGCTTCAAGCTGCCTCCAGGCCTTACTCTGGGGCGGACGATTGGACTGCAAAGACTCTGCACAGGTTCCTCGGTGTTGACTACGCTACCGGTACGGCTAGTGATTATACAACCATCTCAGGTGAGTCATGCCTTGGGGCCGAATTCGCGTTTGCGAAGTTGCACGGAGTTATGCTGTTGTATCAATCTTATTGACATGCCATAGGCTATTACACCGCTGCAAAGAACTTCATGAGCGGGCAATATGCACCTTACAATGTTGACCAGTCCTGGATCTTTTGTGGTGACTATTTCACGGAACCCAAGCAATGGACAGATATAGCATATGATAGAAATGGAAACGAGATTCCCACCTCGCCAACTGACAATACGCCATTGAAGCTCGAGGATGTCCCAGAGTACACCGCCGAGAAGGCAAATGGCAACGTTCCATATTGGATCGACGCCATGAAAAGATATGCATTTCAGCTTCCAAATGCTCTAAACCCCGGGCAGCGGGGCAGAACGCCCGGTGGGATTTGCACCAACGGCAACAAAAACCCGCTGGCGGTTCACATTCGGACTTCAGATAAGATCTCAGTCATAACAATTTGCGATCCGATGAACAAACCTGTCAATGGGAAGAACGGCTTCACGTTATTCCCGTACGATAAGATCTCCGATGTTCCAATTGCGGCCGGCAAGAACCTAAACTACTACCGAACGGGCAGCGGCACGATGCTGCACGAGATCATCCACGCATCTCGGCCCGCAGGACGGACCCCAGATACTATAGCTAGTGAGTTCACCATCATCACCATATGCTACAAACGCGTACAGGCATGATGACTAACCAACCCAGACAACTTCCAACAATGTGCAACTCAATCAAACCGCGCAGCCGTACGACATTCACCAGAGTGCGCTGCTGTGTTTGCAAGTGCTATGTGGATTCAAACGAAGACTAAAAACGATGGTAATCCATATGTATTCTGGTCTGGAGCTGCTGCAAAGCCTTAATTTGAAGCTTCTGCTCGAATGTAATAGCAATACGAGCAAAGCAATATGTGCTTCTCGTAAGATTGCGGTGTTGGCTTACAGTAATAGCTTTGCGGCAGATAGTACCTAGTTTACGTTACATTATCTAGTTGTATCCTGCATATCCAGCTACGTCATCCATGATAAGTGCCTCTGGAGACACTAAACGACTCTCTTGTCAGAAAGGGAAGGCGGTGATACTTGCGTTCCACATACTGGAATGCTAGGAATCTATATATAAGACCTTCATCCAGCTAGGTAACTATATTGTAACTTAGATTTCTAAATAATCTAATAGGATTATATATACTACTTTTAATAGGTTATAAGCCCAAACGTTTACCTAAGCGTATCTTTAACTATTAAGGGTTAAAATTATACTTTATCTTTAACCCTTTACTATTTATAAATATAAAATAACAATATACGTTAAAATTTTACTTTATTAATCCTATAGATAAAGATTATATTGAAATATTATTACTTTAAATAATAGTTAATAAGGCTAGGTTTTAAAGGCTAACTTAAAGAATTTTTAACCTATTAATTCTTTAAAATAAATAAAGGTTAAATAAATTATATATAATTAATTATTTAAAAATTCTTAATTTAACCTTTTCCTTTTAATAATTATAAAAATAATTATAATTATATTATTAATATTTAATAATGCATTTTCCACTTAACCTAGCTACCTAATTAACTTAGCTATATTTTTAACCTTTATATATGTATTTAAAAATATCTTAACAACTATTTATACAATTAACTTAAATTAATTTAAATCTAAATCGTTAAACGTTTTTATAACATTTTTATAAGTTTATATATTATAGCTAGGTTTATTATAAACTTTATAACGTTAGGTATAAATCTCCTTCCTTTTTATATAATAATTACCTTAATATATAATATAATTTTTTACTTTAAAAATACCCTATATCTTTATTTAATCCTTAATATCTTTAATAATAAAAGATCCTTCATTTTATAATTTAATTCTTTTTATATAATAACATTTATTAAACTTATAATTTATTTTATAAAAGCTTTTAACCTTTCCCTTTAATAATATAAAATAATATATAATATTAATTATATTATATATAATTTAGCTTAACCTTTTAATAATAAATATAAAAAAGCTATTTTAATATTATATAATCCTTTATTTAATATATTTAAAAAAGGAATTAGCTTTAATTAAGTTATTTAAAGTTATAATTATATAAGGATTAAATAATACTAGGGATAAAGGGTTAATTTAAAGTATAATTAAATAATTTAGCTAATTAATAATATAATTTAAATTATATAATATTAAACCTATTCCTTTAAATTCCCTTTATATATTATTTAAAATAATTGCTTTATTAAATATATAGAAAAATATAGTTATAAAATCTTCCTTTTAAATATAAATAATATATACCTATATAAAGCTTTTGATTTACTTTTTATATAATTATTTTAAAGGGCTAAATACCTTAATATTAAATAGTTAAAGGTAATAAAAGAAATAGGGAAATATATAAAGGGTAATAATATTATTTTTTTTATAATATAATTTAAATTTATATAAATAATAGTTTTTATAGCTATTAAAAAGAAAAAGGTAATAATATTTTTTTATATAAAGCTTTATATATTTATTAAAATATTTAATTTAATTTATAGTTTATTTATTTATTATTTAACTATTTTTTATAATTGTAATTTTCTAATTGTTTAATATATTATTATTTTTATATTAAAGTATAAGGTAGTTTTTCCTTATTAAAATAATATATAATAAAATAATCTAACTATATAATAAAATTGTTTAAATAATTATAAACTATTTTAAATTATTTAATTAAATAGTTTATAGTTTTTATTTATATTTAATTAAAGTTATAACTATTTTAAATATAATTTTACTTATTATAAATTTAGTTTTATTAAAGTTATAAATATTTTCTTTTTAAATATTATTTTTATTTATTATTTTTTATATAAGGATAAATTAAATATAATATTTAATTAGATTTTTATTTAATACCTATTAATAATTAATTCTTTAATTAAAATATATTTAAATGTTTAAAGTTTATTATATAAAGTTTAACGTTTAATTTTTTTTAATTAACTTTTAACCCTATAATATTATTAATTAATTAGTTATATCTTTTATATAATTATATAAAAGCGGAAATAATTTTATTATAAAATTAAGGATATATTATATAATTAATTATTTTTTATCCGGAGTTAATTGGGCTTTTAAAGGTAATATTTTACTTATTAATTTAAAACCTTTTATTTAAAGGGTAAATATTATATAAAGAATATTATAAATAATAATAACATATTAAATAAATAATTTTAAGTTTTGTTTAATAATTTAAAGTATAAGTTATAGGTTACTTTCTTTATAAAGGGTTTCCATAATTGTTGGTGGAGAAATAAGGGATTTTTTTTATATATATATAAAGGTTAAAAATGTAGCTAAGTCAATTAGGTAGCCAGGTTAAATGGGAAATGCATTAATAAAAATATTATTAAATATTTATTATAACTTTTATAATTAGGTATAACTTTAAGCATTTAATATTATTTATTTTTTAAGAATTTAAACTTTTTTTTATTTTATATATAAAGTTTTAATATAATTTAAATACCTTTTTAATTAAAAAAATATAAATAATTAAAATATTAATTTAAATTTAAATTATATTAATTAATTATTTTTATTTTTATTATTATTATTAAAGGCATTTAAAGTTTCTTTTTACCCTTTAATACTTAATAATTAAAATCTCTTTAATTATAAAGTTAATACTTTATTTAATTATTAAACTTTAAAACTAATTACTTTAAAAAACCTTTTTATTAACCTTAATACCCCCTTTTTTAATATTAATTTTTAAATTAAAGAATTTAATTTAAATTTACCCTTTATTTTAATTAAAGATTTTTAAAGTAATTACTTTATAAACCCTTTCCTATTAAATACTTTTTTAAAAGATTTATATTAATAATATATTATAATATTAAACTTTAAAAAAGAAATTAATTAAAAATTATTAATTATTATTTAACCTTATACTATAAAACCCCTTATAGCTATTAATTTATTTATTAAATTAATTAAATTAATTTTATTAATTATTATTATATTATTTATAATATTAATAATTAATTAAAATATTGTTAAATAATATTAAAAAGTTTAAAAAGGTAGCCTTTTTTAATAACTTAAAATAATAATTAAAATAAAGTTAAAATATATAAGAAAAACTTAATATAAATAGGTTTATTTAAATATTATTAAAAGGGCTTTATAAAATAACCCCTTAATAAAAAAAGGAAAAAGTAAAAAAACTTTCCTTATTAAAAAGGATAAATAGTTTAAAAAATATAATATAGCTAATATTATAATTTAAAGTAAACTATTATAAAATACTTATTAATAAATTTAACCTATATTAATAAAGCTCTTTAATATATTTATTTTATTATAAAATAAGCTATATTAAAATTATAAATTTAAAGGAAAAGCTTAATTTATATAATATTATTAATAATAAAAAGAAATAATATTTAAATTTATTAATAATATTATTTAATTTATTATTATATTATAATAAATTTAAATAAATATAATTAAACTTAATTTAACTTTAATTTAATTATATTTATATATTATTAAAAAATTTATTAATAGTTTTAAATTTAAATTTAACTTTTTTTTAATAACTTAAAAAATTAATACCTTTAAAATTTTAATTATTAATATAGTTAAAATTATAATATAAGTAATAATTACTTTAAAAGAAGTAATTAATATAATATTATATTTTAAATAAGGTTAAAAGGAATAAATAATATAAATTACTCTTTTAACTATTAAAGTTAATTTTTTTTTATTTAAATAATAACTTAATAATAAAAGGAAGGTATATTTTAATTATAATAAAATATATCCTCCTTTTTATTTTATAATTTATTTTAAACTTAAACCTTTAAATTAAAATAAAGATATATATTTATAATAAATAAAATAATATAAAAATAAAATAAAAAGATTTAAAAGGAATAAAGATATAAAGGGAAAAAAAAAAGTAAACTTTATTATACTTTTTATATCCTTTTAAAAATTATTATAAACTTTATTTATTATTAAATTTTTTAAATATATTATTTTTATAATTTATTTATTATTAATAAATTAACCTATTTTTATTAATTTTATTAATATTATATTTAATTTAATATTTTTAATATTTAAAAGATTTATATAAAAGTTACTTTAAAGTAATACCTTTTAAAATAAACCTAATATTAAAAACATTAATATTAGGGCTATAAGAAAACTTTTAAATAATATATTAAAGGATAACTATTTAAAAAAAGTTATAAAAGCTTTATTTATTATTATTAATAAAAATTAAACTAATAACTTTATAAAAATATTAAAAATAGTATTAATTATTAATAATAATATTAATATTCCTATATTTTTAAACCTAATTAGCTTTATTAACTTATATATTATATTATACCTTATAATTATTAAAATTAATAGATTAATAATATAATTAACCTAATATAAAAACTATATCTTTATTAATATAATTAATAAAATATAAAAACCTATTATATTAAAAAATATAATCTATTATTTAATAATTAATATAAACTTAATCTTTATATTATATTTTATAAAACTTAATGCTAAATTCCTCTTTTAAAATAATAAAGCTTATACTTTAAAAGGGGATAATATATTTTTAAAAAGTATAAAATATAATAGTTTATATATAATTAATTAATTTAAGTTAAATATTAAAGCTATTATTATTATTTTTATTACTTATTCCTTTTTTAATTTTAAATTTATATTATAATATAAATGTTTTAAATATATTAATAAATCTTTAATTAAAAAATTAATAAATATTAAATATATTAAGCTTTAAAGATTAATTTATATATATAAATATTATATTTAA